TCTGTAGTATAATCTAAGATTTTAGAATCTCTATTTACTCCTATAGCTCTTTAAGCTTCTATAGTTTTTTAATAGTATCTTAGGTTGCTTAGAGTCTAGTATTAAGGTTAGTTAGTGCTATCTATTACTCGGTAGATAGGCTTAGAGGGTTAGCCGTTTCTTCTATCGAAGGAGTAGAGCGAGTTCTTAGCGCTATCTTCCTAGGTAATCGAAAATAGAAGAAATAGAAATTATTAGAGAATAACTACTTATATAGGGTAGAAAGCCTATCGACTAGGTAGGAAGATAAACGTTAAGTAAGGAAAGTAAAACACTATTTCTTACTATTATAGATCTCTCTATAATCCTTAATTTATATATAAGCTTCAACACTTTTCCTATATAACTAAGCAAAGACGGTAGATTATATTATAATATATAGTCTAACGTAGCCCCTATATATTAGAGATAAGCAAAGGCTACAGAGAAGAGGGGTCCACGAATCCCTAATAGAAGGGCACCGAACCCTTAGGGTCTTATAGGTTATGTATCCTTGTTAGGGAGACGTAGGGCTGTCATAACGAAGCCTGACCGATAAGATGTCGAGTTGACACCTAAGGCGTGAAGTTGGGAATAGCTTCATGTTGCAATATTATATAACAGTATGAGCGTTTTAGGATAGCAAAACATCCTATATCTAGCGGTTGTAGAAGATACGATGAATACGGTAGCATACATAGTGGTATAACGTTGTTTTGCTAGCAGATTTGATCGAATTGTGGTGTTAGATGACTACCATGACTATCTAGTATCAATAAGCGATATTTGCCTTACGTACGACTAGTAGTTGCTAGTATAAATAGCTTCTCTAGCTAACGTAGGCCTATATCGTCGTTAGTCTAACCGTTTAGTGATATTTCAATTCGCTAATCGCTAGGAAGGTTATTAAACTAACTAGCAATATAAACCTTCCCTTTGAATACTATACACGGCGGAAGCGAGTAGCTAGTTGCCGATATAGATTCAATTGCTGTTACCCACTCTCTATTTCCTGGTTGTAGAAGAGCTTTCCGACTATATAGATCCTTCCGTGTAACAACTTTACAAGTCGCTATTAAGCCTATTGCAAAGCCGGTTTCATCAAAGTTATAGATATCGCTAGGAAGGATACCGTTATCGTTGATTGTTGATTCAACAAGCCTAAACTACGCGCGTAGACTTGCTAGGTCTTCGTTTTGGGCACGTTGATAGTCGTAGCGCCTACTAAAGCGTGTGCAAAGCTCTAGTCGACGTTTAATATAGCGTGTTACCCAATTAATGCCGATCGAAGAAGATTGGTTATCACCACGCGTTGCTAGTAGAAGATTTGCTATATCTTTAATATGCGAAGGCCTAGGGGAAGCACCACGCGTATCGAGCGATAGTATCCACTGGCAAAGCGAATCCTCTTCTTGTTGTGTCAATTTAAAGCTATTAGCACGCGTTTCCTGTCGATATGTTTTGCTATTAAGCTGGTCGCGTAGTGTAGTATGTGGCACGTTATAAACCGCTGCTGCTTTGCGCATAGATATAGTTGAATCCTTTTGAATAGCAGCGATAGCGAGTAGTATCCTACCCTCCCTATCTAGCGATTTTGGAACGTTTTTAGAACGATTTGGTGGCATAGTGTGTGGTAGAAGATAGTAGGTGGAAGATAGGAGACGCGTTTTAGGTGGGGTGTACGACTCGCTAGTGTGTACGACTCGCTAGTGAATTACGTTACTCTTTCTTTCTTAGCTAACTATAGAAAATACTGACGTGTTTCACTAGTATTCCGCGCACCCTACTAACCACTACTTTTTGAAAACACTATATTTCCACCAAAACGCTATATATTTAATTCAACTATTTACTAGGGCACCGAGTAATCTTATGCCCTATATTCCCACATCCAGAACATTGAAATACACGCTTAGTAGTAGGCTTAGCGCCCTTAGTAGGCTGCTAAGCAAGCTCTGTATCATCGTTTTGAATAGCTTTAACGCTTGCTAGCAACGTTGAATCTAGAGATATAGATTCGCTGACCGTAGAACCTTGCTGTATAGATATCTAGCGAGTAGAACGTGTGCGTTTTCGACGCTTCTTCTCGTTAAATCTATATAGTTGCCGAATCTCTTCCGCTTATAAAATAGTGTTATAAAACGCTAGTTTAGTACCTTTGATTAATTAATCTAGTGCTCTCTCTATAGGGCTTCCTAGCGATTGCGAGCGCTTGCGTAGTAGAGCTTTGATAGATAAAGCTTGCTTGCTAAGCTTGCTTAATCGTATATAGCGTAGTAGGCACGAAAGCGCTACTCCTACTACTAGGCCTACTAGTAGTAGGTATTAGTGTTTAAAGCGATATATTAAGCTTTAATAGGACTCGCTCGGTATCTAGCAGAACTAGGCCGGCGCTAGCAAAGCTTGATTATATAGTGCTAGGTAGGAAGGCTTCCTAGCGTGCTAGTGTATAGGATTCTAGGAAGTCGAGCTTATCGATATAGTTATATCCTAGGCGAGCTTAGGCCTTAATTAAGCGACCGTATAAGCGCTTTAGGATAGCAAAATATCCTATATCTAGCGGCTATAGAAGATATAACGAATATAGCGGTATATAGAGTAGTATAACGTTATTTTGCTAGTAGATTAGGTCGAATTATAGTATTAGATAGCTTCTATAACTATCTAATATTAACAAGCGATATTTGCCTTACGTACGACTAGTAGTTACTAGAATAAAGAGCTTTTCTAGCTAGCGTAGTGTTAGAGAATAACTACTTGTACAGGGTAGAAAGCCTGTCGACTAGGTAGGAAGATAAACGTCAAGTAAGGAAAGCAAAACACTATTTCTTGCTATTATAGATCTCTCTATAATCCTTAATTTATGTATAGGCTTTAATACCTTCCTATATGACCAAGGTAAAGGCGATAGATTATATTATAATATACGGTCTAACGTAGCCTATATATAATAGAGGTAAGCAAAGGCTATAGAGAAGAGGGGTTTACGAATCCCTAATAGAAGGGCACCGAACCCTGAGGGCCTTATAGGTTATATATCTATATTAGGGAGAAGTAGGGCTATTATAATAAAGCCTGACTGATAAGGTATTAAACTAATACCTAAGGTATCGAGTTAGGAATAGCCTTATATTACAATATTATATAATACCCTTAGATATCCCTATCACCTAGCTAGTCTGTAGGTAAGAAGCGTTCTATTTTAATCTTTATAAGTCGATAATTAAAGAATAATAATATATTATTTTTGATTATATCTATAGGGATATTATAGAGAATAAGGCCCTAAGGGTTCGGTGCCCTTCTATTAGGGATTCGTAAACCCCTCTTCCCTATAGCCTTTGCTTACCTCTATTATATATAGGCTACGTTAGACCGTATATTATAATATAATCTATCGCCTTTACCTTGGTCATATAGGAAGGTATTAAAGCCTATACATAAATTAAGGATTATAGAGAGATCTATAATAGCAAGAAATAGTGTTTTGCTTTCCTTACTTGACGTTTATCTTCCTACCTAGTCGACAGGCTTTCTACCCTGTACAAGTAGTTATTCTCTAACATTATTACTTGTAATCTTCAAAAATCCTAGACGAATCGGCAGATCAGGCCTGTTAGTTAAAAGGACTCGTAGTCGCATATATAAGTCGAATATCACTATCTCCCTCGAATTCGTCTAATACGTTAATTACTATCACTATACTCTGTATAGGGATATTTGATCGCTCGAGGCTTTAGAGTAATTAAAGGAGAATTTTTTCGAATTGCTCTCTTATTGTCTTTGCTAAGATACCTAGATTATCACGGACTATTTTATAGAGGGCCAGCATCAACTAGGGAATACTAATCGCAAGTTACCTTGCGATTATTGGGAAAAGCTTTCTAGCATTCCCTCAGTCCTCTTCGCCTCTCTTAAAGAAAAAGGTTGCCCCTAGTAACTTGACTTAGCTAAGAGATTTTGCTATTATTCGAGAGATAGTCGATTTCCCTGTTCTAGTTATTCCCCTTAACTAGAATATATATTTTCTACCTAGTGACGAAGCCTATACTCTAATCTGACCGAGCATATCTATTCGTGTGTCTAGAAGACATTCATCTTTATACTGATCTCTTCGTATCAGTGGAACGCAGCTCTAGGAACGATAGATAATTTGCTCTCAATATCTATACCAAGGTTAGTACGATCGACATTAAGCAGAATACTCTCGTATCGTCTTCATGACGAATGCCATCGTATATGCCTGCATCAGTGCTATCGCATATGCAAGCTTCTATTTAATCTGCCTTGAAACTAAAGGCCGCTCTGGAAGAGATTGATGAGATGTTTGTCTTTTCTAATTCGATTTTTGATCCCGTCAGAATCTCACTGGAAATGCCTTTCCAAGTGGGTATCACCGCTCATATTGCTGACACAGAAAAGGCCAGGGTGAAGGAGGAGCGGGTAGAAAATGTCGGCATATGATCAAGTGGCCATTAATCACCAGACATCGTGCCATATCCCTTGAATGTGGCTTTTTTGACTACAAGCTTTTCCCAAACCTCGCCAACTGATAAGTGTGGAGTCCACAAGGCTATCGAGAGGGTCGAATACGATTCATATAGATATAGATATAGACCTGTCAATAGACCTGTCAATAGACCTGTCAATAGACCTGTCAATCTTCCTTGTTTACAGACGCACTTCAGAAATAGCTTTTTTTGCGGTTTTTATATATTCAACCATGACCAAGCTTTCTCATTCTAGAGTACATGAAAAGAGGTGATGTTGGTCTCAAAAAATTGTTTAAAAATCTGTATCCGAAAATATTCATCAAGATGCTTCTGCAGGGAAAGTCTGATCTACCTTGTCCTACACGTATATTCTTACTGATATAAGGTTTAGTTTGAAGGTAGAAGACTCTGTTGACAACTATGTATAGAAAATTCAACGAGCTTGCAAATCCACATGAGCCCTGGACTATATAACCATGACTGTAATGTCTACTGGGTCTGGGTATATTTAACCTTCTCATCTTGGCTGCTATAATTCCCAGGGGTGCCCTGATTCATGTGATTAGCTTTAAAATCCACCTTCTCGTCCATCGTACCAAAGCCGTACTGGATGGCAACTCGTTCAACATCCTCATCGGTGAGATAAGGGAGCTCCTGGGCGGCTTTCACGTAGCTCAGATTCTCCAAATAGCCCTTTGCAAAAATCAGATCGATCTCCTCCAACGATCGGCGTGCAGTTTCTGGGTAGAAGAAGTAAATCACAGGCAAGAAACAGGCATTGATCGCAGCGAAAAATAAGTAAGTTCCCCAGGAAATCCTTGAGATCATGATAGGGGTGACCATGACAATCAAGAAATTGAAAAGCCAGTTAGAGCAGGTTGAGAGGGCGTTGGCTTTCGCTCGAGTTTTGATTGGTGAGATTTCAGCAGGATAGAGCCATGGCAATGGCAACCAGGTAGCACCAAAGCTGGCAATATAGGTGAAAAGGCCAACTGCAGCACCCTTGGCCGGGCCCGGCTGGCCGGGGATCAAGCAAGCAAAGGTCAGCACCATGGAAAGCATCTGTCCAACCGTACCGTAGAGGAAGAGCTTGCGACGACCAACTCGCTCAATGAGAAACCAAGAGCCCGTCGCGAAGATCGCGTAGACGACCATGTTTACACCACCTAGGATACTCGGCATTTTCCCCTCCATTTTGAGGGAATTCTTGAAGAGGATGGGGAGGTAATAGATAACAGCATTGCATCCCCCAATCTGCTGCATAAACTGGGAAGAGGCGCCGAGGAGCATGCGACGAAAGTGTTGAGTCTTTCCACCGGTGAAGACAGCGGACATGGGTGTGGTTTTCCCGATCTGACCGGAAGCACGAATGGAATCCATGATGATGTTCTTTTGTAAAATCACCTCTGGTGAATTGATAGGCTCTCCCATCAGAGCTGCAATTACTCGCTCGCCCTCTTCGTAGCGCTCTCGGGTGAAGAGCCAACGTGGTGATTCAGGCAGAATTGACATGCCGATGATAATGAATATGCCGAACAAACACTGAAAGGCAATCGGGAAGCGCCATACTAGATCTGGGGAGCCGTAGGAGGCACCAAAGTCGATCCAATAGGCGATCAACGTGCCAAATGCAATAGTACCGCCCTCGATGCAAATAAGAAGGCCACGGTTGGAAGTCCGGGAGCACTCGGCTTGATAGGTTGGGATCGTGGAGGTGTTCATGCCATTTCCTGCTCCGGTGATGATACGACCGATGATGAATTGGGCCAAAGGCTGATGCCCTACGTACGAGGTGACTTGAATTACAACGCCGAGTATCATGATGATAGCACCCGTGATGATACCTTTGCGGCGACCAAGCCAGTCACCCCAGATAAGCATAAATAATGCGCCGAATAGACAACCTAGGAAGATTTAGCCAACAAAGCCCTTTTGAGCAAGAGCCATGAGGCATAGCTTTACCACATACCAACTTCGTATAACGCAGTTACCGTGCCCTGCATGGTCGAATTATCCTTCAATTCCGGCAGAACATCCGTGAAAGCATCAGCGTCGATGATACTACTCATAACCCCCTGATCATAGCCGAAGAGCAAGAAGCCCATGGTGGCCGTGGCCGTGACTGTGCGCGACAGTAGGCGGCCGGACATACCGGCAAACTGTGGAGCTTCCGACATGATGGTGATCTATAAACCCAATTATATAATTAGAGATATTGAAGGAAGTGACTCAGCTCCTATGAAGAGACAAGATCAAAACAAGTAGCTCAGGGATATGGGGTTAAATCGAGAAGCGGATAAGCGAAAATAATCAAGAAAGAATAATGGAGGCAAAATAGGGCCTTGATGAATGAAGGGGAAAGAGTAGGACGGGGTGGAGAGTCACGGGGAGATGCTCCTCTTATAGTACAGGATAGCCTCCGTTTTGCTCGCTCTTCCACCCGATCTCGCTCCCCCTTCTTTTCTCCTCTCTCCATGCGGTGATGGGTGTTTATCCATGATGGCTGGTGTCCAATTCTCCATGTGGCCGCGGGCTCCACCGGCGGGGCTGCTTCTGGGTCGATGGTCTAATACCGAAATGAGGACTGCCCAGACATTCTCTGTCGATGAGTGGGCTGGAAAAACTCTCTCCAGGGTCAATTCAGCGCTCCGGATGGTCCCGATGACTACAATTTCGTGAGGATGAAGCTTTGCATCGTTGTCGAGAATGTCTCTCGAGTGACAGCCAAGGTAGTAGGTTGCCAAAGCCGAAAGGATTGACAGAACATTCTGACTAGCATACTAGCATACTAGCATACAGGTTCGAGGTTATGTATATATATATATATGCAAATGTGAAGGGAAACAGGCAAATTCGTCATTTTCGGAGAGCAGCGCAGCCACGATTGAGCGGTTGGATTGGGTGATGTGATGCCGTCTCTCCGAAGCTGCTTCAAGCTCCTACATAAGCCCTGTACTCATAGCCTGCATGGTGGGCATCCATAGCTCCCCCCTTCGGAGATGACATTACTTGGTACTGACCATGCCCTGATACTCTTTCATCATGTTGTGACCCAAGAGGAATCGGGATACATGTTTTCTACCCTCATCTACTTCGATTTCCATTTTCTCTCGTTAGAACACGGGCCACACTGACAAGCTTTTCGTCGTTTGACATGCCCGTGGAGAAATATTCAAGCGGTCTCCACCAGAACACTCGGATGGACGAACAAGCGGCGCCCCTCTGGAGCCGGTGGAGTTCCCACTACAACTACAGTAGGATCTTAGGATCTCGAGCCGACAGACGGAGCAGACTCTGAAAAAGCAAGGTGTACGGAATACAGGATTTGATTTGGATGGTCCAATATGATGCAGGCTGGTCAGGCACTCCTGGTAAGCTGATGAAGGATGATGATGGCAGCGTGAAGATCTTTTTTTAACTTCTTAACAGCTATTCGCAGGCTCGAATAACACGCGATGGCACGAGTCATGTCTGATCTTCGCACCCTCGACTTCTAGCTGGAGCAATGCGGGTGGCTTTACTTCCCAGGGCAGCTAACGCCACTGCCGCGGACTTAAACGAGCCCACCAGCATCGCCTGGGTTACCGCTTGCACATGCCGTGGGGATCGAGAAGTCAATTGGTATAAGATAAGCATTATGGATCAATGGCCGAGAAATCCCCGCGAATCGTGTTCACGGAATTGATATTCGCCGGGCCCCGCATAGTATACCGACCTTTCTTCGGGCTTAGGCCTTTTTTGTGGGAGCTCCGAGAATCGCCTGAATGATGCTGCGAGAAGACGAGAGATTGAGATTCCTCTCTCAGCACTGACTTCGGATGACCTGACTATTTCAAGACTTGACTCCGAAATATTTTCTGGATTGGCTGGACGGGCATCGGGACCACCCAATCGATGCAATGACTTACCTTCGCCCTTCTCAATCTTGATCCTGTCCAGAACTGAGCATTTCTGAACACCGAGGCCACGAGAAATGCTATACTACACGGGTCGGGGGGGGGGGGGGGTTCCCAATACCATTACGTAAAGTACATGGGCGTCCAGGTGGAATATTAGGTAGGATCATGCTGTGTGTCATATGCAAAACCGATTACGCTGAAAAAATTGAGAAAGAGAAAGAAAGGCACTGCTGTGAATTTTGCAGAGAGATAGATCATCGGGCTGCGCTTTTGATGCAGGCAGCATTGATCCATTGATCCTTCCGAACCATCCAAACCAAACCATCGCAGAAGGGGAATAAATTACTCCGGAAAAACAATAATCAAAGATATCGTCATTGTCGCTGTGGCACACGATCCACTCATTAACCAATTCCTTGGCGTGGGCCTTCTCGGCCACAACCTAGTACCCACCTGAATTTCTCCTGGGATTTTTATGGGGCTCGTGTGTCCACTTGGAGTTCCAACAACCGTTGGGGAAAATCGTAATCATCATCATTCGGTGCTGGTCTCAGCTTGCATCGGATCGGGGATGTTCGGGATCAGCCGGAGGGAGAAACCAAGGAGAGAAACCGCTCTAGCTGCCTGATTGATTTATGTTTGGATGCTCACACTTTTCCGGCCCATCGCTTCCTCTAGGTGGAACCCGAAGACCAGGCGATAAAGATCTCGAAGCCATGAGTACTGGCCACTCTGAACCATCGCCTGACAAGCCCGCGCCATATCTATGGCGCTGACCCGAGCCTGTGCCCCGACATTACGAAAGACGGGGTCGAACGCCACGAGCTTTCTATAGTTCTTCAGCAATGAGATTTGCCACGGAGCCGAACCAAACGCATCGGAAGGCAGAGATTTCACGAAGGATGAGAGATTTTGTGCGCCGCCTCTTTGGTAGCCACTATTGATAGCGGCCTTCGTAACAAGGGCCTTCAGCCGGGTAAAATTGGGATTCTCCGAGGCACTGGTCACCGTATTTGTGGAGGAGACCGTGTGTCCCGATGACCGAGACTTCTCCGAAATACTCGATGCATTCGAGGGCCACATGCCTTGTGAGGTATGACCATTGCCGTATCCGAAGACAAGAATATTCGGGACAGGCGCTTCGTCGGGTGAAACAGTGGCCGTATCCTCGAAGATGGTGGTAGGGGTTTCGGGGTTCATAAGCTGGCCCAAATCAGTTTCAAACTCCAGTTCCGACTGCTGGGTCGCTTGCTGGAACGCCTGGGAAAAGGTCGTTTGACTGGGGCGTGGAGTTCCTCGATCGGAACTGCGCATGTTATTCAACGTCCAACCTTCACGAAAGATGTCGCAGAGCTCCCAACAGGCTTGCACCGCCGAGCCTAGGAGCTCCTCATCAAATGGCTTTTCGTCCTTCTTGCTTTGACGAATGCTGAAAAGCATCTCCGCCAAGGACCAGCATGCGCTAAGCAGGGAATCCGTCTCCGTCAGGCGAGTACGCTGCTTCATTAGGCGGTGACACAGGGTTATGTAGAAATCTAGGGTTCGTTCCCGAAATGCGTCCGGTAGATTCCGATCATGGGTGTTATAAAGGTGATTGTTGAGTTCAAAGCTCACCCGCAGCACGGAGTCCGTCAGGTCGCTATCACAAACCCGGACTTCAAACAGCGCTTGGCAGAAATCTCGGCACAGGTCGAGAGTCGGGTTAACCTGAGACGCATAGTCATCATCATGGGTGTCATATAGCTTTTGGCATAGTCTCCAACATGATCTCCAGGCGTCTTCTTGCTTCCCATCTTTATGGGAGCGTAGGAGTCTTTCTCGATTGATATAGCTTAAACTAGCCAATGTATTGCACAAGGTCCAACACTCCGTAAGGGCCGCTCGAAGGGCATTAATCTCAGCTTCTTTACTGCCAGAGTTCCTGGATGCGAAACTAGGGGTTCTCAAGCTTGGAGACATCTCTAAGGGTGTTTTGAATTCGATGCTTTCAGGAATATCTGCAAAAAGAAAAAGAGTGATTAGCTATAATGGATTTTTTTTTGCTGCGAGAGGTATGCAATCATTCCCTCCAGCCTGACTAGTGTACCTTCTAAGCTGCTTGAACGTGTCCGCCGTTCCGACTCTTCAAAGTCATGCCGTGTTTGTGCACGCGGGGTTGCTCTATCAGACCAATCCTTGGTGGGAGGAAATGAGGTTGTTAGCGGAGGTGGGGATATGGGGCTGGTGCCAATCTGTTTGAGGTTCATGGTCAGTAAATTTCGGGCTCAAGTGAAAAAAGCAGGCAGAAGGAACCTTCTTGGGATCCGTGATGTCGAGAGCCTCAGCCGATTTTGAATATCCTGATCCCGACGAGGGTGACTCAACTGCGTCACAAAGTTCTTCTGATGAGGGTTGTGTCGACGTCTGGTGCTCATGTTGACGGTCAGTGACAAATAGGTGTGCTGAACCAAATAACACAGAAAAAAAGATATGATTGGAGACATCGACGCCAAGTGGCTGGGCCAGGGACCGAAGCCCGAATATGAGAATGAAGAAGGGAGATGGGGGGTTCTTACAAACTCTCCAAATCCAGGCGGAGCATGAATTACGGATTGAGGAGGCTCATCCTCATCCAAACTTGTCACAAGCCTGGCATTCCGTGGATTGGTTGTTTGGATCTGTCTCGATCAGCACAAGACATCCGACGACAGGAGTTGCCAGCGATTGCCAGAGTGGACTGCTGTGCCGGCACCTACTTCCAATCCTGACGGGGTAAAAGGAATCGGGGTTTCCACTGGGGTTACTGGAGTGGTCTCCTCGCCGTCATTCTCCTCATCAATCTCCGTATCTTCGGATTGTTTGGCAGAGGAAGCCACAGGCGAAGTCTCTGTGGCGGCCGTTTGGTCCGTTTGGTCTGTTGAACCGGAAGGGTCGGTTAGAACAGGATTAAGTGATGAGTGTTTCGAGTTCCTGGCATTTGACGGAACTGAAACGACCTCGAGGGACCTTTTCGGGGTGTGAGTGAGCGAATTAAGACATCAGGCCGCTCGATGGGGGATGGGGGTCTCTTCTCGGCAGAGGACTCACATCGAATCTGGCCCCGCAAACGGGCGAGAGGTGTCGTGGTAGGATAAGACAGAGAGCGGCGACCTCACGGCCATCATGGCCGAGCTCTTCTGACGAGGGGATGTTGGACGGTGTTGGGTGGAGAGAAGGAAGCGTCACGATCCCCGCATAGAAGGGTCCGAGTGGAAACGTCAAAATGGCGGTTCAGACCACGCCTTTGAAGGCTAGATAACCATCCGTCCTAGTGGGATCCCACCGAGAGGTTCGAAGTGGGAGAGGAACCCAAAGCCGGCCCCCAAGCACCCCAAATAACCCTCTAAGCGCCTGGGGCGTGATGAGCATGCATCTCAGCTGTGGCCCAGCTGTATCTCAGCGGGCCGTATCCACTCAGACGCCGCAGACCAGGTCCCGACTATTCCAGATAGGGATGCAAGGCGCTTGCCTATGACCCGCGAACAAATGACAGTTGACCGGACGTGGTTGGGACCCACCCGGGAGCTCAAAGGAAGCGGGGACAGCAAGTAATAATCAAGAGCCAGATCCAATGGGGCCCGAGGATGGAGGATGAAAGATGGAGCATGGACGAGGGGAGAAGCGGAGGGCACGACTGGAGGGCATGAGTCGTTTAGATAAGAAAGAATAGTAAGAATAGATTGAGTTCACGGCCCACGATGGCAAATGCGGCTCAACGCCGGGATGAAGTAGGCTTGCGCTCCTCACGTTTACAACCATCGCCAGAATTATTATTTGAAGTTTTGACGTCTCTGAAACGCGTACAGCCTGGGCAGGATGGACATGGTTCGTTTCCAGAGATTCTCTTAAAGTGGTTGCGAAGTGCTTTCAATTGTCTACAAATGTCTCAATAGACGCCCAAAAATCCCGTATTGTGTCAAGTAACAAGTAACGCCTTCCCAAATGCAGGAATGGAAAGGAGAGAACTGAAGAAAATTTCCACCCTCAGAATGCCCGGAACCCACTCCAATCCACATCAAAGATCTTCGCAAGAGTAATAATAAGCCCCCATCATGTTGAGCGCGCATCTGTCATCTGTTCGAGCCATCCAACCGAGACCACATGGGGCGGAGGCGCAATGAGGAAAATGCTCTGATTGGGCCAGGTATCGTGTCATCATTCCTTTTGATGGTAGATCTCCGGACGTGGTGTCGTTTTGCACGCGGTTAGCAAAAGAGATGGCGGTCATTGGAGAAGGGTGACTGGGTGCCTCCCCAAAATAGATCGATCGCATTAGACTGAGATCCGTCTTCGGGGAAATACGCTAATGCCAATTAAGCATGGGCCTTAGATCGATCTTTTTCAGCGGAGTTATATCTGGAGCAAGTCAGTCAGCTTCATGCATTGTCATGGCAGTCCGCGGAGGTCTGGGCACATACCGCAGAAGCTTCTCGATCAGGTCCACATGAGTCATGACCATTCGTCGGCAGCAGTATCGTCGGCATCCCAGTTGGTCCATAGCATCGCTGAGATATAGTTAGAACTTCTCCGGCCCCAAAGGAGACAATGCGGGGAGGAAGTCACATACCCGTCAGGGACACCCTCATCGAGCAGTTGCAAGTAACGCTCCCACAGATCACCAACAACCTAGATGGAATGAGTGATTGCTCAGGGTCGACGGAAGAGAGCGGCCTACCTTTCCACAGGAGAAGCACCGCACGGGGATAATCATCTTGGTTTTGGGGTGGGACGTTTTGCGAGGGCGGAATTCCTTAAGAAAGCGAGAGGTCTTTCAAACTTTTCCCGTGACGGGCGGTCAACGCTGGAGACCGCTTTTCTGCCACCACTCTCCGCCTCAATTTTCCTACGAAAAAAAAAAAGATGCGGTACTGAGCGGATCGTTCTGTCTAGCTTGACTTGGTCATTCGCACGAGAACTCCGGGCATGACTGATTGATTTGAAGGGTCTTATTTTTTTTCTAACAGCCAAGCCTGCTGGTCTACGCCAATCCCACTCAACTAGCCTGTACAATGGCTCCAAATCATTCACCACGACACCAGAAACGGTCTCGGGCTAACGACGTCGCCGAGAAATCGTCGCGATTAGGCGAGGAGCGAGCCAAACGACGTCGAACTTCGGAGAGCAACAACTCGCAGACGTCGAAGAAGCCGAAGTCTTCTACCGTCCAAGATGCCCCAAACGACAATGTGGCGCTCCAAGAGATGGTTAAGCGAAAGGGATCTGCACCCTGGTCCTTCTCGCGTCCAGTAGGTGGTCGTTACAGTAATTTGGACCCTGTCATGACCATAGATGAGGCGTAAGTTGTAATTATTGCTGATCCAGAAGGTGCTTGTTGCTCATATCTGATTTAGATATCTTTTTGTGGGACTTGACTCTGCAGTCCAGGTCTTCGCAACCTCTACCTCTCGCCTGCTACGTACCCTGCAAATGGAAACTGGTCAGAATGTCATCGGGTATCAACTTTGTCCCGCGGACCCTGAGGTTCTGTACATTTTTACGTCCGGACTCGTGACCAAGTGGCACTGGGATTCTGGAAAACGACTCGCCCGATGGGGGACTAGCGCTTCAGCCATTGCAGTTGATTTGCCAGCAGTGGAAAAGAAAGAGAGCCCGGCATCATACTCCATTGTGACACAAAAGGACGGTAAACGGCAAATTCTGATCAGTTCCCTTGAGCAAAAACGCAACCCCCTGGTTGCTCTCGAAACCAGTGAGCAGATCAATACCATCAAAGCTGCGTGTGGTGGACGGATCATCGTTGCCAGTGATGGGTCTCATCTTTTCATTGGCACTACACCTAGCGTTGACCTTGACTCGCCTGAGTTGATCCAGTATACCTGGAGAGAAGCCTCCCTGCCAGTGACTGCAACGTGCCTCCACTTGCGCGAGAGTTCCAGTCAAGTCTCGGAGTCCAAACCAGTCAAGGGATCTAATACTATCGATTTGGCGATTGGAGAAACTGGTGGATCGATTTTGATCTACCAGGATATTTTCAACATTCTATTCACTCACAAGGCGGCGGAGAAGAAGCTATCTCCCAGGAAACTGCACTGGCATCGAAGTGCCGTGAATACCGTGCGATGGTCCAGAGATGGTAAATTCTTTGGTTCCCTCCATTCAAACTTGTGAAAGGCTTTCTAACTAATTTTTCACAGGCAATTATCTTATCTCAGGTGGACAGGAGTCCGTCCTGGTGCTGTGGCAGCTGGATACTGGGCGCAAGCAATTTTTGCCCCATCTCTCATCTCCAATCTGCAATGTTGTTGTTTCGCCCAACGGCAATTCATATGTGGTCAAACTGGCGGATAATTCGGTCATGGTCTTGTCTGCGCGAGAGCTACAGTCTTCCACCAGCGTGACTGGTCTGCAATTGTCCACCGAACTAGGAAGCTCTAAAGACCTTTTCCAGAAGAGAGCCTTTGGCACCGTAGCAGCGCTGCATCCCCAACACCCCGAAAGACTGCTTGTCACCGTTCCCGCTTCTCACCAGTCCCTCCAACAACCAAGTTCTGCTGTGCTACAGACTTTTGATATTCGTGCGAATTCTCATATCTCTCGACAAGCTCTGGCTCGAACCAACACAACAACATTGAATATTAGTCCAGAAGGAACCTCGATCGTCGCTCCCGATGTTCGACATATGGGTATTGTGCAGGATGGGAAGTGGTTGGCAACTGTCGATACCTGGAGCCCTCATCCCCAAGACGTGGCAGCTACTGCTAGCAATGTGTCGAAAGGAAATTCCACTCCCTTGCGATCAGAGGTCTTCCTCAAATTCTGGAAATGGAATACCTCTGCTGATTCTTGGGAATTGGTAACGCGTATTGACGGGCCCCACTTCAATGACTCTCATCACTCGACGGTGCTGGGTTTAGCAGCCCGTCCGTGCACCCATGAGTTCGCAACGCTGGGCGAGGATGCATTCATTCGCTTCTGGTGTCCAACTGCTCGACATCGCAGCGGTCTCAAAACTGATGGCCCTGAACAACAGCTGGATACATGGAAGTGCCGGGGACTTGTTGACCTCACTGCAAGTCTCAAAGGGATGACTTCGCCTTTGAAGGCTGCATCTCTGGCCTTTTCTGAGGATGGCTCTGTTCTTGCGGTCTGCCTGCCATCTGGGGCTGGAGCAGACGATGGTTTAGTGCTCTTGATCAACTCCCGGGATGGCACTGTACATTATCGACGGACAGGTGTTTTCTTCGGAAAGCCCTATTCCTCTCACTTCCTCGGAAGGTATCTCATTGTGGCTTCCACTGGGTCGGTGTCGGTTTGGGATACGGTGGACGATGTGGTCAAACCCATTCAATTAGCGACATCCCTCAATCCTGCTGATACGGTTCACCAACCACTGGTGGCTGTGAACTCTCGCGTCCAGTCATTTGCAGTCGCCACACGTGAGCCATCCAGTGGTGGGAACAGCTCACACAAGAAGCGACGCAAGGCCCGATTCAATATCCAAATCTATGACGTCCCATCTTTCGAGCTTGTCTTCCAAGAATCCCTCAGCAGCAACCCTCTTTCACTTCTCTCCGATGCTTATTCCGGCGATTATATTATTATTGATTCCACCGCCACGGTGCAGCGACTTGGATGCCTCGATAAAGCGTCACAAAAGAGCCTTCAACCTCGGGAGGTCACCACTCAGCTTGACACAGGACTGGCGAATATCTTTAACCGGGGTCATGACCAAATTATCCCTCGCCCTATCGATGAAGACAGTTCTGCCTCTCAAAATAAGGCGCTAGCTAGTGTCTTTGGTGACACACCTTCTTTCTCCCTGCCTTCCATTGGGGTGCTTTTCAGGAATGTGGTCCAAACATTGGGCTCCAGCTAGATGTCAATCTATCTACTTGTGGTTGGAGTTCATGGGTGATATATATCGATATTTTATGCGTATAAAATCAAGCGTTTAGGTGGGACCAATGTAGGTACACAAATAAATATTTGCAAGCCCCAGGGCTATCGTGTGTTCAGAGAATGAACCCTCGGTATTAGCATCTTATATCATTTTATCATTCCGTAGACACGCTTCTATGCAATGCCTCAACTATATTGAAGTTTTTGTAATCATGTAGAATTGAGCCACGGTGGGCCTGCCTTGACTGGACTTACCCCTAGTTCTTGTCGAGTCCGGACTTCTCGGAGAGGCGGTTTTTTGCAAAGGAATGACAACAGAAAACATAATACTCGTTCGTTCATTGACACCTACTTTGGGTGCAGTCAATTGGGATGACAGCAAGGACAAGCCAAAGTCAGAAATGCGCCGAGGCTACAAGTCTATTGTTTCTATACCCCTCAAGATATCTGTCCTTAAATCTGTCCCAGTGTCAGGACAAGCAATGCCTTTCTCCCATGGACGTGGTTCAAGTAAGCATCTAATTCGTGGTCCTCGTTAATCAGGAAGAATATTTCATTCCCGTTTTCGTCCTTATCAGCGCCCTCAATCTTGTCGAGGATTGAGTAGGGGTACCGAGCTGAAATTAATTGTCGAATTTCTTCGACAGACCGTGTCGACAATTTTTCCATCCAGGCTTTTGTGGGAGTCCCTTGGGATTGACCTTGAAGATTGATCTGAAACCATATAGGAGTGTTGAGTAACGTCGGGTGAAGCATCGGGTCCATATACTCAAACGCGCTTGGAGCCTCATGCTGCGGATTTGCCGCGAAGGAGGGCATGTCATTAGCCGCCTGGAGAAGAGAAGGATCGATCTGCATATCACCAAGCTCGCTGGCGGTGATTGGAGCGCTTGCGAGGGCCTGGGACGCAAGAGTGCTAATTCCGTTGCTAATTCCATTTTCAAGTATTGTATTCACTGGAGTACTTCTCTGTGCCACCTGATCCTGAGAATCTGCACGGGGTGTGGATCTCTTACGAGCAGGGTCTCGCTTGGTCTGGTCGTCACGTAATCTTTTCATAACGTCGCGGCATAGTACTTCCAAGGCTTTCAACTTGGTTGTGTGTTCTGGGTCTGCCGCTCCCGGTTCGAGGATTCGCTGAAGTAGGCCCGAGTCGCAAATCCATTGTGTCTTTAACTCCTGCCAGTGCTCATCACCAGCTTCGAGCTTGCTTGTGAAATGATCTGCCTTGAGTGTATCGTAGAAGGCATTCCGGATCTGGCGGCTCTCTTCCGGATTGATTCCAAGGGCATTCTTGGCTTCGGCAATGGTCATCCGTCTCTCCAAAGTTCTCATCCGTTTCGTTACGTCCGTACAAACGACATCAAGAGCAAGAGCCTTTGCATCACGCTGGTTAGGTTCGGCATTGAAAACCTGTTGAAGGTGTGGGGATTCCTGGATCAATCTGTCCTTCGCTGCTTGCCATCTCTCAGGTCCAGCGACGGTCTTCTTTATAAAGCCTGCTTCTTCGCATATTCCTTGAAAATGATCTCGAATTTGGCGGTACATCACGTTGTCCAAACTAAGATATCGCTTACTCTCATCGATAGTAGTCTCCGAGGGAAAGCGAGGAGGTCCTGGCGGATCAGCAGGTAGCCCGGCCCAGCCCCGAGTACGGCGCCGACGTTTCCTAGCTGCCCACCGTTCTGCACTTTCGGACTTCAGACGATCCAGCCGCTCCTTGCGTTTCGCAAGAACCTCTGGCGACAATCCTGGAGATGAGGGTTGCTCTGTTACGGACGTACCGGGCTCGGGAGGAAGAGATTCGACCCCATCAAATGCCTCATCTTGTTTGTATACTTCCTGCTGAAGAGCAAGGAGACCTTCATCCTCTGGCTGTGTATCCCGCGTGGCCGTACTCGGCTGGGTCTTCATTCCATTGGGGACTCGCAGAAGCCAGCGGTTCTTTGCACGGACGCGCATCAATTCCCGCTCCTTGATCATGAAACCTTCCTCGTTGAGAATGCGGAGCATGTCACGCTGATTCGTGTTGTGTTCCCAGAGCTCCTTGACTCTGGCGACAAGCTCAACATTTTTATGGGCGGGATTCTGTTTGGATGGGAACCCCCATCGTTTAAATTGAGTCTGAAAGGCGCGCTTACTATTGATTCACCATGAGTTAGCTTATTGAGCCCGACAAACAATGTGATCAAATCCAATCGGCTGAAGCTTACCTTGGGGCAAACTGATAAGCCGTTCTCATATACTCCATGATCTCCTCCAGAGCTTTCTTTTCCTGAATGTACATCTGGAAGCAGATGTCCCGCTTCCCTGCCCAGTCATAAACCATGACGGGGTTGACGCTCCTCCCGGTGGAGGCGCGCCTGGGTGGGAGAAAGAAGCCTAAGATGCCAGCGGAGAAGCTCTTATCAGGCGTTTGTTGTCGCTGCTGTGCGCCGTAGCGAAGCAGAGGAAAAGACGATGGCAGGGCAGAGGTGACACTTGCGCAGTTTGGTCACGTGTCTACCACCGAAGTATAGTCACTGTATTGGGTATAGGTTAAGGCCATCACATCTTTCAGACCATTCCTTTGACCCATTCTTCATCGGGAACCTCATGGACCATTGCGCATCTATTCCTCAATTCCTGCAAGGATATGATAGATGTCATGCCATCACTCTCCTTGAAGTGGACTCAAAATGATTGAGAAAAAAAAATCCTATTCAGGCCGAATCTCGCCTGTCCCCTTTACAAGCAACATTTCAAACTTTCCAGATATTACCATGCTGTCACATGGGCAATAAATAGCCTACACCCAGTTTAGAAGATAGTCATATTCGCAGTCCAACATAGTGCTCAGGTAATATATCAACCATGATATCCATGACGCCATTGCCACACCCCAAATCTTGCGTGGGATAAAAGTCCTCCCAATGAACCTGCAAAGATTTCCAAAAAAGCAAAACGAAGAAAATAGGACACATAGGATCGGTGGATGATGAAGCTATGGACAGGGAGACGACCGCGCCAAATATAGCAAAAAAAAGAACTAAAATGCAAATCAACTCATCTTCGCAATTTTCGCCGGAATTTGAAAACCCGGGTCCGTAGCCATGTCATAAAAAGAACCCAGGTGCTTTTGGATTGCGATTTCCATGAAGCTGATGGATGTTGTTCATGACCTTTAGGATCTGCCGGCTGAGACGCTTTGAAGTTTTCTGGCTTCTCCGATATCTCATCGCTGGAATGAGTTGCCGGTGACTCTCGACTTTCAGACATGTTGCGCTTGACTCGCCGCCGGGTCTGTCGTTCTTCTGCTTTGATCTGCTGCTTTTCGAAGCGGCGAGTCTTGGCAGCTTCCTTTTCTTCAAACGCCTGGCGCGCAGCTTGGATGGTGGCCGCTCGGGAGACCGGATCCGTGCTGGTTCTAGTCCGAGAACGGAAGACAAAGTCCAGAGAGGCTCTTGAGGTAGGGGACGCAGCGTCAAGAGTGCTTCCATTATCCCGTGAGTAACCAAAAGAGGGTCGACCCGTGACGCTTGACTGTGAGATCCCAGATAGCCGAGTAAATGAGTCGTCTTCAATCTGCAGCGATAGCCGGGGAACCGGACCAGAAGATGCGCGCACGCTTCGGTGCGTCTCAGAGGCATGCAAAATTTTGGTCCTGGTCTCTAGTTCATCATCCTCGAGCCCATCGCTATCATTGCTCGAGGTTTGGTATGATTGACTCAACGGCGGAGTATATGCCCGAGGAGTTGGGCGCATGGGGTGGACATACTGCGATCCCGGTTTGCCTCCACTGGATCCAGTTGCCGTTGAGAACTGGGAAGTTCCGCTGGTAGATCGATGATGCAAGCCGGACGCTGTTCTCCGATACGTCATGCCGGTCAGCGACTCGCTTCGACGTCGATCTCGGTCCATGTTCAAATAGATGCCCAGTCCCTCCTGTTCGGTGGAAGAGCGGGAGAGATCGATAGATGCGGAAGGGGCATCCTCACGGGACATCTTTCGAAGCATCGGCTTGATGTGGGCTTTGGGCTTCACGGGCCTGCCCTTCTGAGAACGATAATCGAGACCATCGTAAGATTCACCTGGGGCTGTGATCGAGGGGGCTTTCGCCGAGCGCATGGAGCCATATCCTTTAGATTCTGGAGAATATGACTGTTCAGAGAATTCTGGAAAAGGCGAGGGCTCCTGTACGGACTCAATAGGCAAGCGGACAGGGGCCAGCCCGGAGTCGGCGGGAGCGCATCGATCTTCTGAGTCTGGTGCTTTCGAAGTACGAGAATTTCTCTTGGAGCGCAACAGTGATGTTGAGTCGGTGGATATCCGCTTTCGAGACTCCGGCAGTGCCTGTTCTCGGCCATAGTGTATATCAGTGCGCGCCATGGTCATTGCACGCCCGCCAAACTCCCAGAAACGAGGCTCTTAGAAACGACTCGCGCTGCGCATGATTGTCGCTGGTGGTGGAACGGTTCTTGTTCAGCGCAGAGACGAGAAATAGATTCGAGGCCAAGAGTGCCGACGGAGCACCAGGCTAGTGAATAGCGTGTAGCAGAGGGGGCTGAAGAACTGCGCACGTCTGCTGAGCGGGTTGAAAAACCACGGGGGGGGGGGGGGGTGATTGAGCGGGGAGAAGGGGGAGGCGCGTAAGCGCGGGGAGGGGTGGTGTTATCACGAAGCTGAGGGTCGGGGGCTGCGCTGGCGCATATCCGACAGATACCAACAATGACCGATTTCCACGAGTCTTGATATTTGTTGGGTTGTTAAAAGGATCAAGGAAGGATAAGTTGGGGGCAGGCAAAAGTACAGAAAAGAAAGGGAGCGGTGAAGCCGGAGTCGGGGGGAATCGGGGGAGGCCGCATGCGGACGGGCCGGCGCAACCACACGATATAGACTGTACATACGTCGCGCAAGTACCTTCGGAGGAGAGGCAAGGTACATCAGGTACCTACATCCACGCTGTACGTGACCGCCACTGCCACGTTCCAGAGCAGGTCACTGACACCCCCGTGACAGTCATGACTAAACACTACATCTCTGAGCCGTGAATCGTTCTATACCTATTCATGGCTCCTCCAACTCCTCCAGCCACCTCTGCCATGGATTCAATCATACAGCCTGGAGATTCGTTACGCTCGTTTAGATCGCATTTCATACCTTTTCCTACTCGAGTTCGTCCAGTTCCAAATCCGAGCTCAACTTGTTGCTCCCCTAGGTGTTCCCCCCTCCGCGGCCGGACGTCCATGGGTCTGATATAGAGGCGAACTGCTCTTGCTCTCCCCAAATTATTGGCCGGGCCTCGACGCCTCATCAGAGCATTGTTCTAGAAAACCTCTTATCCGGCAGCGTTGCCAGTTTGCAAAGTCAATGTCCCAGATCACAAGGGATCGACTTGCCAAGGTGACCGAGGACGCGCCAAGCCCGCCAATCGACGCGGCTGGCTGGAAGACGCGGGCTGTACAGCACAAAGCCAAGAAGCGTTTTGAATGGTCACCCCACCATCGTAGAAAGGAAGGTTGGACAAATAAAACCGAGGCGGGGGGAGGGGGAGGAGAATGGACTGAAACTGGCTGAGTGTTTCCCTCCCCCTCCTCTCTCCGTTCTTGCTTTTTCTTCTCCGTTCTCCGTCTCTTCCTGCTCCCCATCTTCTTCTTCTTTTTTTAAAGTTTCTTCTTTGATACCATGGGGATGTCTTTGCACAATCTGTGCTTCTGTCTCTTCATCATCCTCGCCTTCTCTGGCCAGGCCTATGGTTTTGGGGCAGGAAACATCGCATCTCTCTCTCGGATCGAAGGTCAGAATTGGCGTCATGGTGATATTGAAGATACATTATTGAGCCTATTCCTCGCTCGTGTCGCCGGCGGGCGGAAGTTCAGCAAGCTTGATGTGAAGCGTGTATATTTCGGTAACTGGCTTCGCGACTATAGTCAAGCCGTCGATGTCGGTACTGTCAAACATGTCAGCGCCGAGGCGATTCGCATCCTGATCTGGGTCCTGGGATTCATGAGCTTTGGGTATGGTACTCGTGAATTTGAAGTGACCACAGAGCGGTTGGGTTGCTACCAACCCACAGAACATATCGATAACCCGCTCGGCTATGCGGAGGGTGACGATGCCCGTCGTTACGACCGGCGTCTTCGAGGGCCTATTGATGAGGAACGCGAGTTATCGATTGATCCTCAAACCGGTATGTGAATGGAAACAGAATTCCTCACCTGCATGCGGCACCAAGCTGACCGGGGCATCGCGCTAGGCCTGAAAAACTATATTGCATCCGAAAACCTAGGTATCGATACCTCTGCGGCTTTGATCCGTAGTGTTCTCGGCCGCTCAATCCAGTTGGGACGTCGCTACGCCCGGTCACGTAATGACGATGACCTACATGAGGCTCTTCGCTTGTTGGGAACCGGTCTGCACTGTCTGGAGGACTATGCTGCCCATTCAAATTACACAGAACTCAGTCTGATCGAGCTGGGTGAAAAGGGTGTCTTCCCCCACGTTGGCCGCAATACCAAGATTCAACTTCGGGGTGCCCGCGGAGATGTCTACCCTATTGTGACCGGTACTTTTGGTGGAGTCGACTTTTTCCACTCGGTGCTCGGAGAGTTCTCTGATAAGACCAAACAATCCGAAATTCAGTCCCTTGAAGGTGTGATTACGGAGTCAGAGAATGACGGCCCTTCGAAGAGCCTTCTGCAGGATCTGCTGAGCAAAATCCCCAGCGGGTTGATTGGGGACAGCAGCGATCAGGCTGGTAAAATGGACGAGTTCAAGGCCAAGGCCGATGATGCTCGGCATAACAGTCAGAACATCAGTCCCCGCCAGCCTGAAGAATGGACCCGCTACTTGGACAATGTTCAAAAGCAGATCTATCCCGTTCTCGAGTGGCACGACCAGCTTTTGAAGGCAATTAACGAGGCAATCGAGAAGATTCCCGTGTTACCAGATCTGATTGAGCAAGTCCAAGACGAAATTACGGTCTTTGTGTTCTCGGTCCTTGCGCCGTATATCCTCCCTATCATTCAACAAGCCAAGTCAGAGCTTGAGACGGGTTCTTCGGAAGTTATCCAGAGCAGCAGGCAGCAGCAGCACATTGTCTTCAATGATGACTCTGCCTCAAACCCCACTCACTCGATGCTCTCCAAGGACCATTTCTCCAATGTGCTCAATGAGCCAGCTGGGCGTATTGCTTCTCAGGTTGTTAAATGGACCGTGCCTCAGCTGATGCAGTGTTGGGATGACGACAGTATCGATATCGACCGAACCCTCAGCCGAATCATCTCTGGAGTATTCCACCATCCCGCTCTACGGGATTATGGAGATGATGGCGCCGCTGACATTCGAGGCATTATGTTCTCCACTGTGGAACAGTGGTGGAGCGAGAAGAGCGACCGGGAACGTGAGGGGCTTCGTGACCAATTGAGCCGCAATGGCGTCCGTGAGGGCCGAAACCATAAAGATGGAGTCCAGGACTGTGGCCATGGATGTGGAAAACCACTCAGTCTGCCTAAAAAACATCGCAAAGGCAGCTATGGCAACAGCGGTCAACAGTCCAGCAACGACAACCTTGAAAAAATTGCCTCTCAGGTTGTTGGGGGAGGCGCGTTAGGGGGTCTCGTCGGCGGCCTTGTAGGTGGAGTGGGCTCAATGGTCCTGGATAACGGTGATTCCTCTGGTCGACAAAGTCCTAAAAGACAGCATAGTCCGAAGAGACAGCACAGTCCGAAGAGACAGCACAGTCCGAAGAGACAGCACAGTCCTAAGCGTTCGAAGAGCCCCAAGCCTCGAAAGCATGAAAGTGACGATGAGCACGATCGCCCTCGCCGCCAGCATGAACACCGTGACCACGATGAAACACAGACTTACGGCTACGCGCCTTCTCGACCACAGGAAGGGTATTCACATGAAAGCGATAGGCCCTCATATGGCGGGCCACCTGATCCTCGTGATGATTATCAACGTAACGAGTATTCTCGCCAAGATTATCCTCCCAGTATGCCCTCTAGGCAGGACTATCACCGTGAGGAATATCTCGCAGATTTTCCCTCTCGCAATGACTTCCCTCCCTCGGGTGATTATCCTCCCAACCAGCCTCCGATGCAGAATTATCGCGGCGAGGAATATCGCACTGATTTCTCCGCTCGGAATGACTTTCCTTCTGATGGGTTTTCTCCCAACCCTCCTCCTATGCAAGCTTATCACCGTGAAGAGCACCGTCAGTATCAACAGGAGGAAAACGGATCTTATTACCGCCAAGAAAGACGTGAGACATATGAGACAGGTCAGATTGAATACCAGCGAACCGAGACGCGGTACGACTATACGTCATCTCAGCCTCAATTTGAGCATGTAGAACAGAATTACGGCCGTGCGGGATATGAACAGTACGTCAAAATTCTTTTCTTTTCTGTGTATCGCTGCTTTTCAGTGCTAATTATATATTCGATACAGGGAGTATTCCGATTATGGTGGACCACCACGAGCAGGTGGCAATGAGTATGAAAGGCCTGGAAATCCGGTCGGAGAAGACAACTACGGCGAGCGCTTTGGCGGCATCGGAGGCGGCAATGTTGAGATCGTGGAGCGTCGGCCTCGTCATGAGCGCCGGTCTAGTGGTGACTCGCGGTCTGGCAGCGAGGAAAGGCACCCTCGACACCACCGACACCATCGGCACCATCGATCAGGATCGGAATCAAATTAGGTAGTCCCCTAGACTCTGCGTCTTGAAAGAGATCAGGGCATGTATGCCATATCAAACGACCTACCATTCCTTCATCTCGCCGGGCTTCGGCTGCTCTGTCCGTACGACTTTATCGCAGTTGAGCAGGCGCAAGGGATCAAAAGCTAATTTCAGCTAGAGAGGTGAAAATGTTAGTGCTCAAGGTAGAATAGAGTGTGGTTTCCCGAACTCACGCGACGCATGGCATCCACTGTAGACTCTCCCAATTCATGGGCCAGATAATCCCGCTTGACAAGACCAACGCCATGTTCACCGGTCACAGTGCCTTCCATCTCCACGGCCCGCTTGACCATCCTGTGAACTACGCCTTCGGCCACTTCTTTCTCCTTGTCACTGAATAGAATAATCGCTAGAATCGGGTCAGAACATAGTTCAAATACATGCCATGTTGACTTGCTTGCTAGAAACCCCTAGAAGAAAAAAAAAAAAAAAAAAGGGACTCAGAGGGACTAGAATAAACTCACCATGGAAGTTGCCATCTCCAACATGCCCACACATGCCAGCCAAGAGCCCGCTCTTAGTCACGTCCTCCTTCGTGGCCTCAATGATGTCGGGCAGTCTGCTCATCGGAACAGCAACATCTGTGGTCCAAACACGATCCTCTGGGTTTCGCCGCATCGCCATCACACTCCATAGAGCAGATTTCCGGGCGCTCCACAGTTCCTGCATCTCCTCCTCGCCACGAGCAAACTCGAAGGACCTGCTGGAGGCTTTAGAGGCAAGCTTTTGGACCATGCTTATCTGCTCCTTGACGGCCGCAGGGGTGCCGGTGAACCGGAAGAAAATGGTCGGGGATTCTTTCCATTCGCGGCTCGTTGATCCACTGGCGTTGATACACTTCATCTGCACATCGTCGAGGATTTCCACTCCTGCCACGGGAATACCAGCCTCCACAACATGCGTAACGCACTCGGCGGCATTATGAATGTTGGGGAAGCTGGCGACAGCCACGCTCTGGCTTTGAGGCTTCACTGTAAGCTTAAGAGTAGCTTCAGTCACCAGGCCGAGGGTGCCTTCACTGCCTATGAACAATTTGGTCAGGTCATAGCCCGCACTGGACTTGCGCGGGCGTTGCCGGGTCTTGATGACCGTTCCGTCCGCAAGAACCACGGTCAACGACAGAACCCACTCCCTCATCGTACCATATCGATACGCATTGGTTCCCGAACATCCAGTACCAACCATACCACCAATCATGGCACCGGGGCCTGGGTCAGGGGGAAAGAACAGCCCATCCTTGGCGAGCTCTTCATTGAGATCCTCCCATCCGACCGCGGGCTGCACAACCACGTCAAGATCCCGTTTATGGAGATTCAGGATCCGGTTCATGCGGCGGAAATCAATGCACACTCCACCTCGTGTCGATGCAAAATGGCCCTCCAGACTGGTGCCGCCAGAGTATGGGGTGACTGGGATCACTCGCTGATGGCATATTTTCATGATCTGAGACACTTCCTCCGTGGTTGCGGGATAGAGAATCAAGAAGGGCTTCTCGTCCTCCTTGCGAGAGTAGGAGGACCAATCAGACCCAGCATGCATTTCCAAATCTCCCACGGAGGTCGATACGTTCTCTTTGCCCAGAATATCGACAAAGTCGGACCATGCCGCCTGTAGATTGGACTGAGAGACATTGTGCTTCGGTGGCTCGAGGTCGAGGAGTGCGGAAGTGGAAGACACGGGCAGAGCTGCCGGTTTTAGAGATCCTAGGTAGTATGCGCCGGTTGAAAAGAATACCAGGGCTGCAAAAGCATCATAGGTTAATGACAATGGCACTGATCAAAAGGGAAGAGTAGCCCTCCTTCCCACCCAAGAAAAGGAAGCTCGTCAAGGCTCCATGGATTCGCAGGGTCGTGGCATACCGAACATCATCGCCGCATAGCGGCCGCCCGAGGATTGATTCTGATATTCTGAGAAGCGCTCCTGCTCCGCGCGCTCGCGCTTCAGTCGCTGTTGGGTGCTCTCATAGAGCTGACTCTTGAAAGACTGCTGCTGTTTCTCGTTCGCATAGCACCGGACCGAGGCAGCGAACAACCCGTGGTGGGAGAGGGCGGATGGACGAAACTGAGCACTGCGCAAGGCCCCACGAAGGGCCGTACAATTAGGGCGAATCATGGTGACGGACGAAAGTACAAAAGCTCGACAGTCGACGTGGACCACGGAGAATAGGGAAGAGTAAGTTCGGCAGAGCTGCTCCGCACGGGGCTTGGCGGAGACCGACCTCTGTAAGCTCCGTACCACCCGGATTCTCTCCGCCGGGTATTGGGGAGGTCGTTGTAGATTTGGCGGTTCTGAGATCGTGTCGGTTTTGAATTGAGAAAGGGATTTGAGGCACTGGAGCCATCGAAATGATCCTCTGCAAATTCCCAGCCAAGTGTAATTGACACGGTGAGAAATTCCCCATATGAGACCGTCTGCGATACACACATCGATGAGATGTAAGACAGTAGGTACTAGGAACGGAGCTACTGCATGATCTAGAGATTCTTCGTTTGGCTCTGTATACCCCGTGCTCCCAATTATCCATGCTTCTCCGCTCGATTGGGATTTCTCACCCCCCACCTCCCTTATTCCGCACGGCCTAACACGGTCTCGATCCGTTCATCACCGTATCACAGTCCAGAGATCCCGTGATGGCCCCGTGATCTCTATCATGACTAACCGCACCTGACTCAGCAGGTCAGGTGGACGTTTCCATGACATCTTCGTGGCCCACAGCGTCTTCGTCTCCGTCTCCTCGCTCCATCCATTCACGTCTTGAGGCAAAACCGGGTAAACAGACCCCGCGGTTAAATTCCCAATTGGATCCACCCCAGGAAGGTCGTCCGAAACGTGCATTTTGTTACAAAGAAACTGCGGGGAGCTCAGCTCGGTTCAATTCTCTTCTTTTTTGCCGGTTCATGTGTCTATTTACTCAAATACCATATATATAACTTGATCAGCTGTCAATTTCTCTTCCTCTCCACCCCTTCCTTGCCACTTGCCCTCTTTCTTGATCTATCTCATTTACCGTTCATCGGTTGATAGTGGCCAGCTAAACCTGCCCAACATGACTTCGACCGCGACAGCTCAGGTAGGAAATGCGAACAGCGCAGACCGCCATCCTTCTCTGCCCCGCCATCCCTTGCACCACCCCTCAGAGTGGAAGCTCAATTGGGCTAACGGCAGCGGAATAGAATCTCTCTTTTGTCCTCGAGGGTATCCACAAGGTCAAGTTCGAAGACCGACCAGTGCCACAACTTAAAAACCCCCACGATGTCCTGATCAACGTCAAGTACACCGGTATCTGCGGTAGTGATGTAGGTGACTCCCCTTGGACCCATTGAACTGTGGGTGTAAAGAGCAAACGAAGAAATGCTCCGGAGATGCTGAGACAGATCGCTTTGATCGCTGACTCTTTTCCCCTCGCTTTCATATATAGGTGCACTATTGGGAGCATGGTGCGATCGGCCAATTCGTGGTCAAGGACCCCATGGTACTCGGTCATGAGTCGGCCGGCGTGATCAGCCAGGTTGGGTCAGCGGTCACTACGTTGAAGGTGGGCGACCGGGTGGCCATGGAACCCGGCATTTCATGCCGTCGGTGTGAGCCCTGCAAGAGCGGCAAGTACAACCTGTGCGAGAACATGGCCTTTGCCGCGACCCCGCCCTATGACGGCACCCTGGCCAAATACTATGTCCTCCCGGAGGACTTCTGCTACAAGCTGCCCGAACACCTCTCCCTGCAGGAGGGTGCCTTGATGGAGCCCCTCGGCGTGGCGGTTCACATCGTCCGACAGGCGCAAGTCAGCCCGGGACAGACGGTAGTCGTGTTCGGGGCAGGGCCCGTGGGGCTGCTCTGCTGCGCTGTGGCAACCGCCTTTGGTGCATCTAAGGTGATTGCAGTGGACATCCAGGAGTCGCGGTTGGCTTTTGCTAAGGAGTATGCGACTACGTCGACCTTCATGCCCTCGAAGGCATCCGCGATCGAGAATGCCGAGCGGTTGCGCCAGGAGAATGACCTTGGGGCCGGTGCCGATGTGGCCATTGACGCATCGGGCGCTGAGCCCTCGGTCCACACGGGCATCCACGTCCTCCGCACTGGAGGCACCTATGTGCAAGGTGGCATGGGCCGCAGCGAGATTCAATTCCCCATCATGGCCGCATGCTCGAAGGAATTGACCCTCAGGGGTAGCTTTCGCTACGGCAGCGGAGACTACAAGCTTGCTGTCAGCTTGGTTGCTTCGGGTAAGGTAGATGTGAAGAAGTTGATCACCGGCACCGTCAAGTTTGAGGAGGCCGAGAGTGCATTCAAAGACGTCAAGGCCGGCAAGGGCATTAAGACTCTGATTGCTGGGATCAACGAGTAAGCTCGCGGTGACCTGTTTCTTTTCTTTCTTTTTGCTTCTGATTCTCGGTACCCGGCAGATGATGTGAAACGGCCTGTTCTTCTTCTTTATGACAGTCATTATTATTATTTATTGTTCAGGAAATTTGAGATGGTAAGCGGAGTCCAAAACAATATGATATGGGATTGAGTGCGACCATTGTATTGGCCAGAGAAAAATTCCATGTAGCAAAAAAGGATGAAGCCATAGCACACGCAAGTTCTTTGCAAGGGAAGATCCCGCTTGTGCGCGGGGGTCGAAAAGCATACAAAATCTGTGGAGATGATCATGAAACGAACGTTGGAAAGGGGGTATCGTGCAGCGATGGAACGAGGGACAGGTGAAGAGCAAATAAAACAAAACAAAACAAAACAAAACAAAAAGAAAAAAAATAGACCAACATCTTCTCAAGCGCGGGCAAGAGCACAACATTGCGAATTTATTCAACATCGCCATGAATTTAACAGCATCCTCGATTTCTCCGGGATGATGAGCCACCAAGACGAAACACATCCTCCCATTCCCTCATGCCCCCCTTCCAGCCCGGGTTCTGACTCGGAGGTTTGCGACGGCGCGATGGCCGGAGGGGCAAGGCATTGTCGTCGAGGGTGGCTCGGCTCCGGATACTCGAAACGTCGCTGGCACCATGGCCATAGTGACCCCCATCCCCGTACTGGATCCCACTCTGAGGGTCGTCGGGATCGATCTCCCCGAGCTCGATCTTGGTCAGGATGATGCGGGCCAGCCGGTGGAAGACCTCTTCCACGCCCTCCCCCGTTAGCGCAGAGACTTCCACAGCTACCGGGATATTGGACTGCGCCGCCCAGCGAGAGGTATCCTCTCGACTGACCTCGCGACCTTCGGCAAATGTCGCGGTCATCCGAGTACCCGCGCCCAAGTAGTTGGCCGAGCGCATCGAGCCGCCCGCGTCAAAGGGCAGCGAGGACTGCTTGCTCGAGGTACTCGACGGGGTCGGCGGGGGTCGCACGGTATCGTCGGTATCGGACGATGCGGTCACATCGGCCACGTCGGCCTTATTCCCGGCGAGCAAGACGGTCAAGTTGGGGGAGGCGAGGGCTCGGGCATCCATCAGGAAGGTCGGGAGCGCGGCAAAGGAGGCATAGGAGGAGATATCATAGACGAGGATAGCACCGGCGGCACCGCGATAATAGGAACGTGAGACGGATCGAAAGCGTTCGGTGCCTGCCGTATCCCAGAGTTGGAGCTTGATCCGCCGTCGGCGCGAGCCCGTGCCGAGCTTGACGATGCGGGAGGAGAATTCGACACCGATGGTTTGCGAGGAGAGCACACGCCCTGGGGATGGAAATAATGGTCAGTGTCCGGGTGCAGGTGGAAGAAGAGGCAAATTCAAAGATGTGTGGGATGCGTGAGACGTACATTCATTCTTCACGAATCGGTGTAGCACACAGGACCTGGTCGACCGGGAAGAGTGGTTAGCTCTGTGTCAGGGAGCGTGTGTCTGAGGATACTGCGAGTAGAATCTCCTTAAAGGGAGAGAGAGGAAGGGACCTTCGTGTTGGCGGAATGTTTCACGGCGAGGATAACTTACTTCCCAGAGCCACTCGGACCTAGTAGGATGACCTTTGCGAGGTAGTCGTACATGCTCCCCAGTTCCTAGGCGCGAAGTTAACGACGGTGGCCAGCAGAAGATTGGGGTGAGGAGCATACCTGGTCTTGATCAGGAACCGAGGAGACCGACGAGGAGTTCGATAGCCCCCTCGGACGCACCATGGCGCCGGTGTCGAAAGTAGCGGAGGGGTGAAAGAGAAGATGCTCTCGCAAGGTCCCCCTTTGGGCGACCGCCGAGGATCAGCCGATGTGCATGTGGAACCGGCGCCTACGAACTCCCAAGTCGTCTCTTCCACTGCCGCGCGAAAGACCGCGCTAGAGACCGCGCAGTCATTAAATATCCGGTTCTCACAGCTCTCGTTCTTCTCGTTGTGCTCGTTGTGCGCTCGCTTTTACCCGTTCGATTACTCTCTCGCCCTCTATACTCCTTGTATTTCGAAAAAAACTTCTAGTTCCAGTAGTGCTTGTATCCCAACCAGCAGTGCTCTTTTTACAATTTGACATAGTGCGTAACTTCTATCCTCCTCTACATCGTCTGTATTACGGATACACGTTTCTATCCTACACCCCATCGTCCCTATGGTCTTATCTCCCCCGCAAGATCATCTGACATGACATAATGATCTCACCGGAGAAACTATTTGTATCTTGTCCGGTCGAATCACGTACTGCGATCGAAATTGCTGACCGACCCATGCTTTCATCTTTCTCTCCCGGAAGTTTAGGAGGCCAAGGAGAGAAACAGGCTAATGTGGCTGATGCTTGATTGGCGCCAGTGTGGCCCCAAACGTGGTATAAGTGCGAACGGACCTGCTCACCTCCGCAGTCTTTGAAGTTGATGTGGCTGTGAGGCGATGCGTGGCGATGCGGGAGCCTTGTCTACCCGTGCTGTCTGTTCCCCCTGGTTTTTTTTTGGATCGGATATCTTTATAACGATACAAGATCCATAAAGATATTTCGCAGGAGGTAGATATATCTACATGGAACACTTTATCATGATCAAACGGGTCATGGATGGACTGGTTTAAGACCAGAGCCCAGAGAGTCGAGAGAATCCAGACTAATAGGCCCCAGGCCTGATGCACCTGGAAAACGAGAGGAAGGATAAAAGATGGCTGTGGCTGCGCCACAGCCCCCTTCCAATGCCAAAATCTCACTATGGCACTACGTCAAGATGTCCTTTATGTCCCTAATGTCCCAATACCACACTGTCCTGTCAGGATGTGAGGCTGATACTTCCCTCTCGTATTCGGGCCCGGACCGCCTCTGGGAGGCGGTGCTCTCGGCCCAAAACTTTAACGGGCAAACTAGTTTGGTTCATGCGTAATAGGAACCCCCGTAAGCATTCAGCAGAAGACCCTTTGGAGCCCTCTTGGACCCTCTTGGACCCTTTTATGCCGCGGACCGTGAACCCCGTTTTTTTGCTTTTCTGGTTCCTGGATCTTGCATATCCTTTTCTTTCTCTTCCATCTCGTCCCATTTTCCCGCCGTCCCTGTGTTTCATCTCTTCCTTCCCCTCCCTTTTGAAGCAGAGAGGTGATCGAAATTTATTAGATCTTTTCCTCCCTCATCTTGCTACGTTGTCTACTTGTCAATACATCGCGTCCGGAGCCCAGCTTGATTCTCACCATGAAGTTGTCTTGGGCCACGGCGCTCTTGTTACTCGGCTCGACGAGCGTCACCTCACTTTCCATTCCCGAGACCGGGCTGATCGAACGAGATGCAGAGGCGGACACAGCCTTCACCCAATCTGAGTATGTTGACTTAGAGAAACGACGGGGTGGTGGCGGCGGCTCGCGGGGCGGAAGCAGCAGCAGCAGCAGTGGCGGAGGCAGCGGAGGCCGCTCCTCCAGCTCCAGCAGCGGAAGCAGCTCGGGTTCCTCACAAGGCTCGTCCAGTGGCAGCCGTAGCTCCACCAGCAATCGCGGTGGCAGTTCTAGCGGAGGCTCGGGAGTCTCCCCTTCCTATGGTGGCGGCAGGTATGATGATGATTCCACTTCCTTTGTTTCCAAATATTCAATGGGCTCGCATTGGCCTTGGATCTTCCTCCTGGGCAGCTCGTCGACCAGCTATACCATCTCGGAGGTCGCAACCACCGCCTACAGCCCCCAAAAGACAGACGCTAAACCAAGCTACGGCAATCACAGATACTACGCCGGCGGAGCGCGGACACCCTACCAAGCCGGCACCAAGTCCACCTCGGGCATCACGCCATTCCTGTTGCCCGCCACCGCGCTGGCCTTTTTCCCCGGCGTGTGGCTGTGGAGCGTTTACGCTTACCCGTTCGGCCACCCCTATTACTACGCCCACGATAACAAAAACGAGTCCATCCCGGTGACCTGTCTGTGTGAAGAGTACCAGGAGTGTGGCTGTGACGACAACAACAACAGCACCTACTACACCTCCCTCTTGAATGGCACACAGCCGCGCAACACCAGCAACGTGCGCGTTGTCACAGTCAATGGCACCGAGAAGATGTATATCAACGGAACCCTGGCCAATGGCACTACCGTCGACGATGGCACGACCTCAGGCGCCCCGGCCTTCATCACTCTCCTGAACGCCAGTGGATACTGGGTGATGGTCGCCGTGGTGGCGGTCACCGTCTTTACCATCTAACCGCTTTTTCCCATCTCCGGCCAACGAGACCCTCCGACAGTTCCTTGAACTTCCGACGCGACGAACCAAAAGCTCCTTAATGCGTGTGGTGGTTTTTGGTACCCCCCCCCCACTTTGGCTTGGAGCCTCCACCGCTAAAAGTCTCCTTTTGTTCCTCCTCTTCTTTCCCCTCTCGCTAGCTGGGGGGATTCCTTTTGCTCCCTTTGACGAATTTTTGCTCCTTGGCGTGACTGCCTCTGCCGAGTCGCGTGTTCCGCCTCAGCTTCTCTCGGACGAGCCTTTGGGCATTCATCAATACTCATGACGATACGATCTGGGATGGCTGATTCTGCGTATTCTCTTCTGTTCTGATACCCCTCTTTCCCCCTACCCCCTTTTTTTCTTTGCTTCCTGTCGTTGCGAAGGAATACTGGCATGATCATCATTCACTATAATATTACTAACCTGGATCAACACTCGTTCCGAGTGCCAATAAATTATTCGTATGGCCACCTCTGCAGACTCTGCTTTTGAATTTTATGCGTGGAGAGTGCTCATTTTGATTACACGAAGGTCATTAAACCGTTCGTCTGGTCCGCCCCCACTCGAGTTGCCCGCAATCTGGTAGATACGTGGAGTAAATTCCGTACCCGTCATCCGCAGCATCGAATTCCCCTTGTGTAGAGCCGTGAGCGTAACAACGAGACTTGGCGAGAAGCCGGATCTGACTGTACTGAGTCTATGGCAGACACCTGTTCCTGATTTTCCGTCTCATTCTTTCTTCGTTTCCAGCTGTAGCCTTCTCCATGATCTATCATATCCCTCCTCGCCTCTATACAGTGGCATAGTTAACGACCCACGGGTCGCATTCCTGCGGTCGCTGGGCGTTACGTCGCCCGCTAATCCCGACTCGGCCTAGTTCCGCCCCTAAACTGGGCTTCATTTCCTCGTCCTTTTCATTCCTCTCAACCGCTTCCTCTCTCCTCGCTCTCCATCCCTCCGTCTCTCTGTCCTTCCTGTCGTTCGTACAGTGTCATTCGTTTGAAACCAAAAATCTCCCAGACACGGGCTGTCACATTCTTTTCTACCAGCTCCATTCACTCTTTATCGTCCCGCACGTCCAACTCCCCGCAATCCCATCTACTTGAAACAACAACAATCACAACATATCAACATCATGCAGTTCACCAAGACTCTCCTCCTGCTCGCTTCGGCCCTGGCCCCTGTGGCTTTTGCTGCTGAGGCAGCTTCTGCGGTCACGCCCACAGTGACCAAGACGTTGACTCTGGTGCCCTCGGGCTACACTCCGTCTAGCTCGACCCCGACTCCCACCTCGACCCCGTGCTCGACTGTCACCCCGTCCAGCACTCCGGTCTCCTCGAGTGTGTCCTTCACTCGTGCCCCCAGCTCCACTCCCTTGATCAAGCAGACGACCTCTACTGTCGTCGAGCAGAACACCCAAACTGCCGCTGCCGCCGCTACCTCTGCCGCCGCCTCTTCTTCCGTCGGGATCAATGGTGCTATCTCCCACCAGCTTCCCGCCGGCTTGGCTGCCGGTGTCATGGCTCTCGCAGGCTTTATTCTGGTTTAAATACCGTTCTCCAAATAAGGTGTTCCGTGGACTGGCGGGAGACGCGTCTAGATTACGCGATAAGTCCTTGAGGATCGCGGTCAACCATGGTGCGGACCGGATCTTCTCCATATTTGCACCTTCCATCTAGAACGATGGGCTCTCGATTCCTATTCTCTCATGTCTCTGTATCTTTGGGTATTTTTTTTACGCCCACCCTTTTTTTTTCTTATATATTTTTCTGATATACCTTGTTTACTTTCTTCGACGATCCCGGGCTTTGTGATGATTCCTCCGACTTCTTGATGCCTATACCCTTTTTTGATTCTTACTTTCACTACCAGACCTCTTCACCTCATCCAAGTTCTTTGTCTTCTTTTATTCTAATTTTTATTCTATCGTGGTTTTTTTTTTTAGACCGCTTGGGTGATCTTGGAATTCATTTACTAGATTTATCGGCTGCGTGCATTTTGTGGCTGACTTTGGAAGCATTGATGTACGTCGTACTTTTATTGTATTTTTTTGGCACTTCCGCGCTCGCAGAAGTACAGGACGAGTCCACATTGTTGAGTATCTCATTCCGAACTGTTTGCCTGCTTTTCCATCAAAAATGCCTAGATGAGATGAGAGCCATCTATGATGTAAACTAAATGATAGTGTAGGAAATACTTGCAGAACAAGGGGTTTTCCCAGCGGAAATTACCTTTCTAATTAATTCTTGTCGAGATGAACTAGTCGATTCTGCGGGCTCGAAATATTTGTGTGCGCATCCCAATAGGGCATGGCGAGACGCATGAGAAACAAAGAAACCTTCAGGGGAGAGAGGACTCAGTATAATCTATCTACTTAATAACACAATGCGTGTAGATCCCCTCTCGAGCCGGTGGATCCAACAAAAAGAACTATCATACAGAAAGCATCAACCAGGCCTCAGGCACCACATTTACTCGCTCTTGAAAGTTGCCTCATACCTGGAGAAAGAACGTATAATGTCAGTCAAAAATGTCCCCGCATCATAGAAAATTGAGGGAGTAAAATAGAAAAAAAAAACTTACCTCTTGCCACGGAATGCCCACAACCCCCAGTTTCCACACGACACATCGTGCGGGTCCATGTCATTGAGATCCCAGCGCAGACTGCGGAAGATGTTCTCGCCCGGCTCGAGCAGCAGATCGAACTCGCCCGCGCACTTCTCGTGCACCCAGTTGATATCGCGCTCCATATCCCACTGAGTATACCCGGTACAGAGGATGGGCACCTTGGTCTCCAGCAGCTGGGGTAGGGTCTCGGACCACTCGTGTGAAGAGGCCGGGTGACCAAGACCGGGGTGGAACAGCATGAAGCAGTCGAGGTAAGGATCGAAGGGTTGGAAGTACTGGGCCTTGTACATGGTGTGGAAGTAATCGACGTAAGTGGAGATCTTCATTTGGCCACCAAGACGATCCTCAACGATGGCACCGAAGGGGTTCTCGGGGGTGCGCTCGGGGAGCGGGAACTCCGCGTCACGGTTGGCCATGCTCTCAGGGCCAATGAAGATGATGTGCAGGAGGGAGCGGGGGAACATATACGAGAGCTGCAGCCAGACTTCTCGGGGCAAGGAGGACTCAGCGCGAGCACCGAGGATAAAGATACGGACCGGAGGAGCCTTCAAGCGCAGGCCCTTGACGTCAATATCTTCGCCAGTCTTGGGAGGGTGCAAGGAGTAACGGAGGGCTAGAGAATTGGTGAAATGTTAGCTGAACCCCCTAGGGTCAATAGAGAAAAGAAGGATTGAGAGCAACGGAAAATACGAGGAGGAAAGGCGGATGAGAGGGAGCGCACGATAAGATCGCAGATAGCGAAATACTACATACCACTGAAACTTTTCAATCCCTCAGCCGTCAACCGGTTCTTCTTCTGGATACTGTACGGGCTCAGCTCATGCAAGACACTCGCAATGGTCTGCGGGTATGTAAGCATGCGAGTGACCTGCCGCATCGAGCGGTCTGAGTTGATCGCCTCGAACTCGCGGGTATACATATAAGTATCCCAATTGGTCATGTTGATTACGAAGTTATCATCCTGGACGCCCGGGTACGAGAACTCCGGGAAGAAGCGGCCGGAATGCAGGTCATGGTCGTCCTCGTTGATCTGACGGATGGTCTCGCAGACCTCAAGGTGAGCTTCAAAGTCATCCATCCAGTGGCCCTCCGAGCAGTAGATGGGCACGCCGCAATCGGGACACTCGAAGTGAGAGTGGGCCGGGGGCTGGCTAGCCTCGTCGGAGGTCTTGCGCGCTTCCGAGTCGTTAGGCGAGACAGGGACACGTGTCTGCTGATGGCTAGGATGCGGGCAAAAGGCATTCTGCTTAATAAAAGCAGCGCGCTGTCGAATGGCGGGTGAGGGCGAGTTCGAGAACGAGTGGAACAGGTTGTCAGGCTTCAAGAGCGCTCGAGTGTCGACGTTGGGGCCAGTGGAGGTGGAGGCGGCCCGCTGAGCGAACGGCTGGGATATAGATGACTTAATAGCAGACGAAGCCTTGCCAGTGCCCTGATCTTGAGGGTTGGTTGCTAGCAAGCCGTTGTTGCGTTCGGAGCCGAAGCTGCGAGTCCACAACGGGGAGACGGCGCATCTCCGGCGAGAAGGGCCCAAGCTCGGTAATCTGGCTGGAGAGCCATGTGCTCGGACTCCTTGCCGAAGCACCTGAAGGCACTGGGCACAGGTGTATCCTCTGGCCATTGTGGGATTCAATCGATGTGTTGAAAATGAGCCGTTCGGCCTGGCCGATTTTCCTACGGAGGTTCCCGACACGTGACCCAATGTGGAGACGCGGAGGTTGCATGATGCAAGCACGGGATATGGTTCGATGAATGTCCTTCAAACTTTTGACATTAGCTCCTTTTCAGTTCTACTTTAGCTATTTGTGATGTGGTGGAAGTGATTTTGCAATTATTTCGGAGTTCTCTCTATGATCCTACACAGTTGTATTGACAAGAGCTCGTGTTTCGTCGTGTATTCATGCACACTGCAAACCAAAAAAGTCTTGTACAAAAGCAAAGTTACAACAACATGGGGAAAAAGACGAAAAGAACCTATGTCAAGGTCTTGAGCGAGTTTCGGAATCAATCAAAAGATATCCTGCGAGAGACTCCAGTCCTGGGCATCTCTGGATGCCCAGTATTTACCATTGTGAGCCCAGAACTCTTCGCCGGTAATGGGACACCTGGAGCGGGTGAACCATTGAGGCTTGTAAACTTCGCCGCTGGCCTCGCGTTCTCTTCGCTTAGCGCGCTGCTTCTCCTCCACACGATGCTTCTCATCGGCCGCAAGATCATATTCACCATCCTCCATGGCCCGCTGGTCAGGCCGCAGTCTCGTGTCAGTAGGAGGCAGCCATTGCTTCAGGCCGTCGGGCAGGGCGTTGAGGGTGATAACGAAGGGAGTCAGATTAAAGGGAATGCCAGTGGGACGAGCATGAGCTTGCCAGACCAAGAGTGTTTTGGCCGATTCGGGGTCCTGGCCAGAGACCGGTGCCTCGAAACCAGGGGTGTGTCGCGCATAGATCTTGTCATTCCAGCGTCCGCCAATGCTCCACTTGGGGGAACCTTCGCCATCAACAACCTTACCGGTGACCTGGTAGGCCGACGAGGCTTTCCAACCACGAGGCTTGAAGTCTAGATAACAGACCTCACCCGTCGTCCAATTCTTGATCTCCATTAGACCGTAGTTGTCCACAGTAGGGTTTCCAGTAATGATACCAATGACGGAAGAGGTGACCTTCTTCCAGGTATACAGTTCCTCGCCGCCAGTGACAGGGCGCAACTTGAGGAACCACGTGCCCAACAAGTTGATGTCAAAGGATTTGCCGTAGAATTTTGATTTGAGAGACGATTCACCCTATATGTAATTGTCAATCAGCGTTGTCCTCGCGGGTCATGTTGCTCACTAAGAGAAAAGAACCAATCTTACCCAGTAATCCCACTTGGGCGACTCAGCCCACGCAGCTCCGATCGGTGGATGATGACTAACTTGTTCCACGAAAAACCGGTAGCCCTTATCGGGCCGAACATACTCGAATGTTTCTCCCAGGAGAGGGTTGAATGGCTTGGCCACACGCCCGATTGTCGAGGCGTACTCACTAGCAGCGTAGGAGGCAACATATACAAGACGTTCCATCGAATCAGACCGATCTGCGGCAATATCAAGGAGATCGGTGTATTCCAGATCCTCCGCAACACGCTGAAGCAATGAGGTCGGCTCGTTGAAAGAGACCGGGAGAGTCATTTTTGTCATGTCTTTTCCAATCATTGATTTGAGAATACCCTAGAGCAGAGGTGAGAAAGAGTGGGCTGTAAATACGTGATCCAAAATAGAAATACTTACCCACAGTGAGATCTTGGGTCGATTGTCATTGTCCATCTTCAGTCTCTCTCTCACGGGATCCTCGTAGCCCTTGAACGAAGGGCCAATCACAATAGTCTTTTCAGATCGCGCCAGGGCGCTCTCATCTTGAGATTCCTCTTTCTTGTCGGTCTCAACCATTGGGAAATCCTCTACTTCAATCTCTCCAGCGTCAATGGCGTCAAAGAATTCATCGCCGTCTGACTCCGAGTCATATATGCTGTCGATCTTGGACAGAGCAGATGGCTTTCGGCTGAGAATGGGCTCGGTGCCGGCCTGACTTGGCTGTGCATTAGTTTCTGGTAATGTCTCCGGAGCACGAATTTCAGGCTGGCTGGTCTCTAAGGTAGCCGAGCCCTCCATAGGAATCCGGGATGGCGGGCCGCTAATTGAGCGGCTGCTTGCCGTCGCATTCTCCAGGGCCTCTTTCAGAGCCTTCTTCGTTCGCTTCCTCTTTTCCTCAGACTCGCCCATCTTCGACTGAAGCTCCTCATGCTCTTGGGCAACGCGGGCCATGCTCTCCTCCCACATCTGTCGGAGATGCTCCTCTCGGTTCAACCGATACTGCCAAAACGAATCGCGGTCTCTTGAGATCTTGAGGAGGCTGTCCACCAATCCTTTCAGGCTGCTGACGGCAGCTTCGTAGGCGCCAAAGGCCTGTTCGACTGCCGGATCCGAGATCGACATTTCTGGATTCTTGGAGCGCTCGGCCTGGAGAGAGGCGGCCACATTAGCAAGGAGATCTAACTGAAGCTTCGCGGACTGGGCGGTAATATTAAGGGCATCTTTCTCGTTTGTAGGCATGTCGTGACTGGAAGCATAATCGCCATAGTCCTCATCGTCGCCGTCTCCGTCCGGTGTAGTTGTGACATGGCTGGTCACTCTGTTCATATCGTTTTGAGTCACACTTTGGTCCACAGAGCCATACGCAGAGCTTTCCTCATCAACTGCCGAAGTTTCGAGTGTTGTGCGAGAGGTGTGTGTGCTGAGTCTTGTCATGCTGCTGGTCGGGACACCCAGAGAGGGGGGAGCCAAACCCTTCGTACTGGGCCGGTGGCTGAGACCGGATTCAGACGGGGTTCCCATGGTGCGTCCTTCGTTCTGGTCAATTTTGGCCTGGCGAAGAGCTTCAGCGTCCTGGGAGCGCTGTCGAGCCTCCTCCTTCGCTTCATCCTTGGCCCACTGGATCGCGTTGTTCAAAGACCAAAACCATCGCTTGGCCTCGACAACGTGATTGGCTTTCAAGTGATATTTCACAGACGACTTTCCATGTATCTCAAAGCGAGTCTTGTCCTGAGCATCCATGTTCAGCCGAGCAATTTTCATGTTGATAGCCCCGCGGCAGGCAGAGCCAATGTCATCTGCAAATATGAAAAGTCAGCGCAGTTCAAAATTATGGCATGTCTTTCTTGCCATTACTCTCTCGCTGAGACCAAAGAAAACAAGGAGAGAAGGTTGAACCTACCTTGATGTTTGTAATAGCTCAGAACACCATCTTCGAGAACAAACCATCGAAGCTTATAGCCACTAGTGTAGTTGGTCCACTTCTTGAGATAGCCTCTCATCTCACGAGCATCTTTACCGGCCAGAGGGGCCTCGCCAATGGAAGCCCGACCAGCCAGGCCTTGCGCACTATTGTTTCCAAGGATTGCTTTCTCTTGAATGCCTCGCTGCGCGGCCGCCGCAGCCGGAGATTTCTTCAACATGGCCCGAGTCTTGTCGTCCTTGGTGACATCCTGGGGCAGCTTTCCTTTCTTGTCGCGGCGGAAAGGATCGGCGCCATGGGTCAAGAGAATTTCAATCAGCTGCACATTCTTATTACGAGCCCCTTCGTGCAGCAGAGTGCCACCGGACTGGGCCGTGGTCCGGTCAGTGACCATTTCCAGGCTATTCACGTCTAAAATGCCCTCCGCACGTGGTTCCTCCAAGAGCTTCTCCAAATTCTCATAGTCGTTCTTAGCCACTAGGGCCTGAATTTCCTGTGTCTTGCTGTCGATAAAGAGGGATCGCGCCAGCTGCAACTGTTGAAAGATTTCGGGTGTTCGTGCGACATCAAGCGCCGTCTGGCCGCGGTAGTTGACGATGGCGTCGTTGACGACGGGTCGATTCAGCAGGTCCCGGACCAACGAGGCTCGCCCCAGCTGCGCGGCCAGATGAAGCGGAGTATTGCCCTCGCGATCTCGCGCATTGATGTCCAGGCTTTCCCCAGACGAGAGCACAAATTCCACGACCTGGGGCTCGGCGCACTGTAGCGCGAGGTGGAGAATGGTGGTGCCGTAGAGACTGTGGGCGACCTGAGGATCGCTGGATTCCTTAACGGCCTTGGAAATCGCCGTGGTATCACCGCTGCGCAAGATCTCAAACAAACGGAAAGTCCGTACCGACTGGTCGAGGGACAGACTGCCGCTCTCAGTCTGGGCCGCTGACGGCACCCTTTCCATCGTGTCGGCACCGGCGGCTGAGTAGCTCGAGTTGGACTCAGTATGCTCCAGGAGGGGATCAGGCGGGGAGTTCATCTCGGTGGGCTTCTTCCGGCTGTGACGGCTGTGACTGCGGCGGTGTCCTAACGGAGAGTTATTCGAGGAGGCTGAGCCGACCGAGACGTCGTCGTCATCACGGTCTTCCCCTTTCGATTTATCGCGGTGCAGAAGGGCAAGTGCGAGGGCACTTCGCGAGCGCTTGTGCCTGGCAGAGGGGGACATGTCAGTAGCGCTTCACATGTGACCAGCAGTGGATTTGGTTCGCTGGAAAGTTGCCGAGCTTTTGTTTTTCTTTCCAGCCTGAAAAACGGCAATAATCACGAGTCTTGGTGCGTGGCTCAGGCTCTTCTCTCTCGAAATTTCGTCTATTCTTCTGAAGACATCCTGCCCCCAATGTCGGGGGCAGTTGCTGTCATGCCGACGACCAGTGAACCATGGGTCCATGCGTTGGGGGGTGGGAGGAAAGCTGGGGGGAGACTCACCCCTCGGGTTTTTCAGTCATCTTCCAAGCGTACGCGGTACAAGGACATGGAGGGAAGAGAAGAAAGAGGTTGAAAGAGTGAGAGACAGGTTCAAGAAGCTCAGCCACACGAGAAATTTGGTTGATCGCTGTGGCTGCCTTGTGTTGAGGGGGGAAAGAAAGGACGAGGCGCTGATCGCTCCGCCTTGGCACGGTGTTCACTATACGCCTAGGTTGAGGGTACCCCTTTCTCTCTTGCCTTTCACATGGAGAATGACGAGCAATGGGATTACCAGCGTTGGTTTACAGGATCATGCGCTGGGCTGGTGATCATTATACAATGGGATTCTATTATGGTACATACGAAGGAGCCGTCTCCCTTGGTTTATTGACTCTGGAGATTCGAGTCTATCGAGTCTCGCCGCTGACTAGCACCACCACACTTCCCAGCTGGCGCCGCAGATCCTCCTTGTCCACATCGTGGGTATCTTCCACCTCTCCCCACATGTCCGTCTGCCACTTGACCTCGAGACTGGCCGCCTCGGCCGCCTCCTCCAGGCCGAACTTCGGGGATTGGTGCTGTTGCAGATGACGGAAATTCTCACTCCACTCGACCAGCAGCCGCACGGCAACAAGCAGACTCTTGGCGGCCAGGATGCCTCGCTCGAGACCCGCCAGGTCATGGGCGGACAGTTCCGAGACCCAGGTGCGGATGCTGTCCTTGGTGGCTTGGGGCTGGGATACCGGGAGGATACTCTCGGAGTCGAGGATGGGTACGATCTCGAGACCCGGCCAGACCTTCGTAGATAAGAAGCTCATGATGCTCTTGGCCACCCGCATCTGGATCTCTCGTAGACTCTCGATCTTCTCTTCCTCATTCTTCCGGTCCAGCACCCGGTCTTCGCGTTCCGGCTCCCAGCAGAGGAGTGTGTCAGTGTCCAGGTATCGCATGGCGGTTTTGATGATCTGATCGCGGGTCACGGTGGTCCCCTCGGCATCTTCGCGGATGATATCCGCGGCACGAGCGGAAAGGGAGGTGAGGGGGATGAGGTGGCCCTTCAGGGCTTGCTGGGCGGAGGTCATGACATCCCACTCGAGCGCGATGGCATGGGCGAGGTGCGGTTTGGTCGGAGGGATCGAAAGGACTTCCTTCGTGGGCGTTCGTACGGGCCGCTTGTCTAGAAGCACTTGATATTCCCCTGGAGTAGATCTATCGTAAGCAAACCAGCGAACCAGGGCGACATCGATCGAGGACGTACCTGGCTTCCCGTGGACATGGACGTCCTTCCAGAATCGCTTCTTGAGTCCCACAGAGGGCTTTGTGGATAGTGACTCATTGAAGGCATATTGACCGGGCTTTGAATCTGTCTGTTTCTCGATTTGCTCCGTGAATTCCGGCGATGGTGCCGGAGCCTTTGGAGGAGGGCCATGAGCGGTTATGGGGTGCGCGACGGCAGCCCGGAAAGGCGATGAATGGATGTACCGGCGAGGAGCCTGCTGCTGAGCCACCGCCAACAGGCGCGCAGATGAAGAGCGAGGAAGGGCCATGGTTGTGGTTGATGTCAGAGAAGCTCCGAAGGATTGGCTTGCGGAGCGGAACTTTTTCGAGTCTCGGCCCGATCGCCCACCGCTGGACCCGGAAGTATACCAGCAGACATGTATACATTCACTCCTCTCTTCTCCGCACCATATTCTCGACCCTGTCTGCCAACAGTGTACAGCATTTTGCGAAGGGATTTAAAGTCGGCTCTCTACGTCGCTACTTGCTGATCACCGATCGCCGAAGATTTTTTGAGTTTCGCCCACGAACTTACCCTTTCCCCAGGCCACGCAAGTGAGTTGCCACCATCTGGCGGGGTCGAATGCGCCATTACATCAGGGAGGTGCCATCGAATAGGATTTCATGTGCGATGACACCATGTTGGTCCAAAGGGTCTGGAAGGGGAGCAACCCAGGAAAGGTCAGATACGAGCATGGTGCATCTGGTACGGAGTAACATCTAGATATGGCACTGGGAAGTGGAGAATGCAGATTCGAGCGGAGAACCAGAACGCGGGTATTCCGATTAGAAATTATGAACAGCAGAAAGGAGAAGAAAAAGAAGAAATTGAGTCAAATAAGCCTCCCATATTGCATCTAAAGGTTCAGAAAGCCGAGTCAGGCAGCAGGGAGACGAGGAAAAAAGAACTTTCAAATGCCATCACCAAAGCAATCAAATGATAGATAGTCCAGAGGAGCTAAACCAGCTGAATAACATATCGAGATGCAGAGCGCACGAGAAAAAGTGCAAAATGACGATATCCGCCCATGCTTTTGTAATTTACACCAGAAGAAAAGAAGTAACAATATGTAAGAAAAGAGGAAAAAAACCGCTTCAAAGCTCCAGGTTGGCCGCCCTTTTTTGGGGTTGAAAAACCAATCATGCGCAAAGAAGAGATAAAATGACCAAAAGAGACAAGAAGAGGAAAATGAAGAGTCAAGAAAAAAAAGAGGAAAAAAGTAAATGCTGCGGGGCATCAATCGCATCGCTGTGATACCATGCCCTAGTTTTTGTCGGAGCTCACAAGGCTGGGGATCAAGGGAAGGACAAAGTCTTGTCCGACCTTCCGCATCACGATGGGGGTTGAGCAACAGAACAGCAAGACCCCGGACTTTTTTTTGGCTCTGTACCCTCAATTGATGGATGGTAGCGAGCAGCCACGGCAGATTGTCATCAGGGAATCAAGGAATTGTTCAAAAAAAGTCACCAGAAGACAAAAAAAAAAAGAAACAAACAAACAAACAAACAAAACCAAGATAAAGCGCAGGGCGCATCTAGAGTCGCGGACTGAAACACAAACTCAAATTTCGAGTCGGGCAAGGTCAAAACAATGGTCGTCACGGCATTTCTTCGTAAAAATAAAAGGCAGCAGGAGATCAAGGGTTCGAAGAGCTGAGTGCAGGGGACCCGGGGGAAACGATCAGACCCTTTCCAGAACGCCGTGCGGTGCCTGGGAGTGCGGAGAGCAGACCTTGCGTGCAGACCTTTCGATTTGACCGGAGGATCACACGCCATCGATTCTCCGGCAGCAGACATATGTCGACAGGTGGTTTTCGGTGTCTGAATTCTGGGTCACATGCAGAGAGCGAGATGCTCTGGCCACAGGGAGAAGAGGGAAGACCCGACTGTCGCGCATTTGACAGACAAGCCACGGAGGAAGATAGGATGGCGACTTGCACCTACTTGGGGAGATAGCTGGAATAGTAGGGCTGCTTTCTGCGATCGGCATCGGTACGCTTCTTCATACGCTCTGCGTCATAATCATCGGCACCGTCACGGCTACCCCATGTCGTCTAGAGCGAACGCGTACTGGGTCAGCTGGGTACCAGGAAATGCGCATATATCAAAGACCAGGGTCGGAAATAATATCAGACAAATAGAGACAGGAAGCCGAAGACAAAGAGGGGGGGGGGGGGGAATGGCTCGCGCGGGAAGATTGTGGATAATTGAGCTGCAAGAGAGAGGAGTCGTGACCAAAGCGTTGTGATGCGGGCATGTTATAGGAAGACGGGGCCCGAGAGACAGAGGGGGAGACGCTTAGGCCAGAGCCACCGAGGACCCGCCCAAGGACCCGGCAATTGCCCAATTGCACGGAATAGTAAATCGAACACGAAAAGAGTGCCCAGTAACAAGAAACGAAAAAGCGAGAAAAAAAAAAGAAAAGGACGATATGAATTCCTTGAAAAAAAATTTCGACGGAGATGCCGAGAAAAAAAAAAGAGGACTTACCACATTCAGGGTCATCACTGCATACATCTTGATAGCGCCGTGGAAATAGCCGAAGAGAATGGACACGGGTAGAAGGAACGCATCGACAGGGTATCGGATATAATGCCCAAGTAGCTTGATCCACTTGCTCGTGAACATCCAGAGATACAGGAAAGTCATGGCGCGGTCGTGCGAAACATCGCCCCAGCCGGCCGTCGCCTTGTGGCACAGCCAGACCAGCAGGAGATCTCCGAGCAAGGCGGGAGGCGACAAGGTGGTTAAGTGCACCGCATAGGCACTCCAGGGTTGACGACTAGAAAAAATTATAACAGTTAGCGGCGGCTGAAAAAAACGAAAATGAGAAAACAGAGAATCCAAGGTTCCCTCAGAAAGACAGAGCGCAATTATGGGTAATCATGGGTGACCATGGGAGACCATGGGTGCTCGAAAAGGGGATGGATTGATCATGCCAGAACCGAGATGGGGCGACGGGACATCACTAGCAAAGGCCGCCCGGACACGATGCATCCTCGAGCGCCACTCATAGTATTTTTGAAATGCCCTCGCCCCTCCTCTCGAATGTTCTGAAGCTTGTGATCCTGAGAAGGGTGGAATTTGCAGCCAGGCCAGTGAAGGCCTATCATTTTTTTTCAGACCCCATGTCTAGGCAGTTGGGTTCGCGAACATAGTGAACATAGGGGTTGTATAGAGTCCAGTCTTGAAACCGGAAATAAAAAAAGCCAACCCCCAACAACCAGTTTGTGCCAGACTGGGGAAGGCTCTCCATTGGTAGTCGGAGAATAGGAGAGACCCTCAAAAAGGGAAAAGAGTAAAACAAAAACCAAGGACGCATTCAACTGAAGAAAAGGGGTTTCACTTACTACCAGATGTGTTTCTCGTGGAACATACTGGTGAGATTGCTCCGCCAGTTACTGCGCGACCAGCGTGCGCATTGCTTCAGGAACCGAGAATTGTCCTCGAGGGTAGTGAGAACCTCCGCTTCAGGGTGGTACTGCATGCAGCACTCCCAGCCATGCGAGACCATCCAGCGGGTGATAAAGTTGTCGTCGTCGGCATTAAGCTGATACTTCCCCCACCACCACTCCTCGTTGGTGAAGGCGTAGGTGAAGCCCTCGTCTTGGAGGATCTTGGTCCGATAGGCCACCGTACGGCCAGACATGCATGGCAGCCCACCGTCCAGATTGATTGTAGCCCCGCAGTCGAAGTTGCGTCGCTCGAGATACAAAGCGCCGAGGAACCCCCAGACCCGCTGTGAGAGGGTCGGAGCCACCGCGCGACGTAGTCGCTGACAGGTAACCACACCTCCATAGCGATCGTCCTTTTCGAACGGCGCAAGAATCCAGGGCAGCACAGTTGAGGGCCAGCTCACGTCGTCATCGGCGAGAAGCGTGATGGCAGTCCGCACTTCGGGGATCGCGCGGGTCATCTGGCGCCGCTTATTGGGATGGGTGACCGTGAACAGGCGAATGCGCGACTTGGAGGCTGGCATCGCGCTCAGCATCTTCTCGGCCTTCTTCCGATTGGCCTCAATGGTGACCAGCAGGATCTCATAGGGTTGATTTTCTAGAATCGAGCGGATCGTCTCAATCAATTCCTCGCCACAGCCTTCCAGGGTGGGAATGATCACGGATACATCCTGGGAGGTCAGTTTGGGGTTATCTGGTGGCGAGATCGGCTTAAATGACCAAAACGAGACCAGATTGATGACGAGGCGCAGATAGCGATAGACACTGTTTCTGACACGTTAGCGCTGATACATTGCCAGAGAACATCATGGAGGGGGTGCCATTGCAAGGGTGAACTGACAACAGCGCGACGAATGCCCGCAGGAAAGGGAATGCCATGGTGGGACAAATTGGGGGTGTTTTGAGGGGAAGTTGATTATCAAAGCGTTTCTTCCCAGAGGCTGCTTTTTCGGGATATAGTTCTGAATCGGAGGGTTTTTGCTTGCGGGGAAGGTGAGGGGACAGGGAGAAGCTTTCGTGGGTATTGTTCCAAGAGTGCTGCGACTTCCGACTAGATTCCCGAAGACGCAGCCTTTCAATTAGTTTATGATTCCCGCTATTTTTTTCCTTTGCGATCTCATGGACGACTGTCACCTACCGAGAGCCTCAATCAGGGCCAATTGTGCCGATCACTCCGCGATACGTTCCCGAGGGAAGAGAGAAGAGGGAGGATTGGGGCTGGTAGGAAGAGAGCGCGGGAGATCAAAAACGAATGCCGGGGAAGACACAGCTTCCCCAACCAGCCCGAGAAGAGAAGGAGGAGAGAGAGAGAGGAAGAGAGGGAGAGAGAGGAGAAAAAGGGGAGGAGGAACGAAGAGAGAGAGAGAAGACGAAGAGGGAGAGAGCTCGAGTCTGGTGGCCGTCAAAGACGATTAATTTGTAGGCACATGTTGACGAGCCCATCCTGATACCCACGCGAAGCTATGAATAAATTGGCATAAATTCGAATTCTTCTAAATAATAATAAAAAATAAATAAGCAAAGAGAAAATAAAAAAGCATAATAAAAATTATTATTTTTGAAAAAAAAAAAGTCCAAAATTCCAAGCTAAAAAAAGCGCCCCAGTCTCCGTTGTCGTTTTGAGGATGCTGCAGGTGTAGTTTTGCCTCGTGCGTCAGAGACCCTGGATCTAGATGGAGGCATTTGAGCGAGGGATTGGCGGCGGCCCATGCAGCGCAGTGACATGGAGTGGAGCCGGACTTGGGGCGAACCCGGGTCAGGCCTGCGGACGCCGGCGTGCAAGCGGCGGGAAAAGGCCTGTAGAGGCCCGTAGAGACCGGTATAGACTGGTATAGGCTGGTATAGGCCTGTATTACACCCCCGTCCGATATCCGAGTTCCGCGGGACAAGGCGAGGATGCGCCTTTCAGGTCCAGGGCAATAAACAACAAAATGAAGGCTCGCTCTCTTTTTTCGACCCTGGGACATTGAACTAAGCCCGCGATCGGTTCATTCTCCCAGTCGGACGACCCTCCAATCATACGCCCATTCATACTCGGTACCCGAGGCACGTTAAACCAAACAATCAAAAACATACCAACAGTTACCGAGCACAAGCGCAAAGTTCCAGAAGGCTGAGCCTCGTCGTGCGGGTCGGCGCTCCTCGATTGCTTTTCCTTATCTAGGTCCCATCCTAACCAGACCGTGCGAACCCAGTCAAAATGGTGGCCTGATTGGTCGAGCATCTGGATTGGAGAGAATGGGGGCGTATCATGCGCCCATTCTGGTCCTCAAAGTCAACCTCTGATTCAGTCGCCTCATGTCTTGCAGAGCCGTCCCTAGAGCGGGGGAAGGGGGGAGGGGAGGCTCAAGATTACGTTTGCATGATCGGGATGCGGTTTTTGCTTTTCTTTTTTTCCCCTTTTTTCCCATCTCTTGTCAATATCGTCTTGATTGTTCTATGCATGTTGAATGTTGACATTGATCCCTCTCCGAAGATCTATACTCCGCATGCTAAACATTCCTCGATTCTGTTTCTGGGTGGGGGAATTGCAGAACAGGAGCCATGCAAAAAAAAAATAAAAGGATAAAACATGAATCTAGTCGAAAGTATAGAAGAGTAGTAACATGATCTGACCCCCGCGGTCGCACCCTACATATGAGATAATATGAGATACAAGAGGGAGAATACGATATAATACTGCGAGAGTATGTTGGACAGAGTTTCCCCTACGATCCCAATACCACGGAACCACGACCGTCAGCTGGGCCGCATCGTCCTTTGCTCCATTTCCCAAGGTCTCTCAGGCTTTCGTCCGGCCTACACGAGGCAAACTGGCTCGGACATGTGCCGCATATTTTCCCAGCTTCGCCTGGATTCTTGGAAAGCATGCGGTTTTCCTGCTCGCGCTGCTTTGCTCGAGCCTCCCCGTCGCGATCTATAGCCTGCCCACCATCCCCGACCGAGCAACATGACGAAATCATACCCTTGGGGGTTCGTGTTTTTTTTTGGTTTTTTTTTTCTCTCTCTCACCAGGCAACCATGCCATTCCGGGTTCTCGTACTTTTCGTCTTCATTGGTTCTTGTGCTGTTTTTCTGTCGCAGGTACACAGCGCGATCGACTAGGTCACTCTAGCCTCTCTGTGGCATGCATCAGACGCGGCAGAGACGACAGGGGAGATACTTCCAGGAGGGACCACCAATCTCCACTAGAATAGGTAAGGTGATCCACGATGGACTGCCTAAATCATCCAAACAGAAACGTTTGGACGGGGGAGCTTTAGAGCAACCTGAACCCGAGTCTCGAAATCAAAGCAAGCTCGAAAAACAATACAAGACCCAGCAGGACTAGGACTAGCGGGTGCGAATAGTATAGGAGACCATTTCCGATCCTTGCACACGAGATGCCAGTGTCGAGCGTGCAACCCCCCGCTGGTTTCCCTTCCCTTGTTGAGCAGGAGTTGCATCTCGGATGGAGTCCTCCGCCCGTGGCCCGCCGTCATTGGTGCCCAGCCCATGGCCGGGAAACTTTTTTCTTTCCCACTGCACGGTCGGTTAGCCGTCCTCGGATCGACAGGATTATTGAAAGAATGGGATTCGGATTCTCATGCATGCGGAGGGGAATAAGCCCCCGCCGGTCGACAATTCGATTAAAGGTCCTCTCGGCGGAGACGTATAGTTGGGGAAGGGGCTACGGGCCTTCGTACTGAACCAACGTTGCCCTAGTTCGACGTTCAGTCCCCGAAGTATACTCCGGATAGGAAACACCGCGAGGTGACTGGAGACGCGTCGCAACGTAGACCAAGCCAAGTAAACTTACCCCTCCCCTCTCAGCCCTCGATCCCCCTCCTCTTCTCCCTATTTAATTTGGGTATTCCGAAATCTCTACCTTTCTATCTCTATCTGTCCGGAGTATACTCGGCCCTCCAGCCACCCCAGCCTCCGCCATGGAAATATCCTCTCCCCCTCATCTTCCCCAGTAGATTGATTTGTGGAAGAAATCAGCTCAGGAACCCAGACTCTAAACTTGGGAACGACTAGCGCCCAGGTGGATTCGCTAGGTGGCTAGCGTGTTCATGATCCCCCTCCTTTCCGTACCTTTTTTTTGTGTGTGTGGATGAGGGAAGTCCTCCACCTTAGGGCTTCCTCTTGGCTCTGCCAATCTGTGCTTCGATAAGTGCAGAAGATCGCCCGTGATTCGCACACGCTTTGTGCCACAAGATGGATTCCTTAATTTTAACGTGCATGAAGGGGGCGAGGAGACGGGAAGATAAACGAAGGAAAAGAAGAAAAAAACGGGCAAGAAAAGGGAAGCCCACTCGTGCGCATCCAGATGCTGTTTTTCGGGCTGCAACTGGAGCACGAGAAAATAACCCCCCCCCCCCCCCCCCCGAAGGAAACGCTGAAAAAGCGCGGGCCATTAGGCCGGACAGAGAAATGAAACGGGAATCCTAGCGGCGATCGCCACAAAAACGATGCAATGCTGTTCGTGCGCAATGGTGGAAGCTTAGGTGGGGCCCCCGACTGAAGTTTCCGTACAGAGTATGGAGTATCAATATTAATGAGAATCCGTTTAACGTACCAAGGATCAAGAGCATTCGGGCCAAAATGAACCAGGAAGAAAGTGCGATCACAAGAGCCTACATAGCGGACATGGTCCCTCAGGCCATCATCAGTTACATAATGCGGTAGATGATTACTTTCCTGGGGAAATAAGAGACGATATATAGGATGACGGAGATCAGTAGATGAGTAGATCGTGTATAGTTCGGGTGACTGAATAACTTGGGATCCGGGGCTGCAAATGCGGAGGCATTCCCTTCTCGCCCTTTCACGGTCGCTTTGGAGCTTGAACCAGAAGGCAACTGGAATCACTTCCCATCGATAGCGACCCTCCCCCGGACCAGGGTTTTCAGGCGACCCCGGTGTGGCGCGAGGGACGAAAGAGGACCATTCAGCCTAGTCCGGGGAGCGGCTGTTATATGTAGAGCTCGAAAGTATCGCATGTTGCATCAATGCGTATGCGTATATAGACTTTCGTCCATGCTTTACTTTCTCTTCCTTTCCTTTACTTTCCCATTATTCTATCGACTTGGTCCGTGAGCAGAAGAGAACTAATCGATCTGGGGGGAAGAAGGGAAAAAGGTGGGGGGAGGTCACAGACACTAGAGAAATATTGAAACTATAACAAACCAAACAAAACCATCGAAAATACAGGACGATCCCCAAAGTCCGAGAGGGCCGGGGGGTTTGCCAATCCGTCAGGTACACAGCAACGGTCCTGTCCGCGCTCCCCCGATATCATTCCATTTCCCTACACAGCCCCCTCGGTCTCGCCGTGTTAGGTTCTGTTTAGTCTCTCTAGTTCCAGCGCCTCTAGGCCGTCGAACCGGGATCTGATTGGTATCAGTCCGGTCGACTCCTTCCTTTCTGGCTGCTCGCGCGCCAGTGTCGCTTTGGCGTCTAAATGAGCAAGGGAGCTCGTGCTGGGGAGAAGCCGGGGCCAGCCTTAGCGGAGCCTGGTGCGTCTGCAGGCGGCCAAAAGGGGAGATCTTGCTGTCCACACCACGCGCCCGAGGGTCATGATCGTCTCTGCGAAGTATATTTCAGCTCGGAGAGAACGAGCGACGGAGCAGGTAGGGTCAATCTCATTCGTTACTGGCATTCCATATATCGGTTCCCTTGTTTCTTACCCATTCCTCGTGCTGACATCGAGAATGGCTCTGATGGTGATGGTATTACGAGTACCCGCTCTGCGGTTGTTTAACCCCCACTCGTCTGGTCCGTTGGCCCTCTGCCACTCTTGCCTCGATGGCCTGGGTCCAATGTGATCGACTATTTCCCGCATCTTGACGACTGCGTGCTCATGGGCTTGGAATAAATCAGAATCCCCCGAGTTCAGACCTGTGCACCGGGTCTGCCAAGGGTCGCCTGGAAAGTCTGTCTGCGCAATCGGGTACTTCTGGTCCAAGGTCAAGGTTATGGTTCGCTAAGGCCGTGTAGCACAGGCCTGTTGCATTCTCCAAGTGGCGACGGACATGCTTCCACCCTCCTTCCCCTTCCCCTCGTGGAGGGAAATGCACTAACGACGAGTTCGACCATCCTGGATGGTGGACCAACCTATCCGGAGGTGCCTTGGTTCGGCGTCACGCCGGGGTGGAGATTGAGGCAAAACGAGGAACGCAGTCGATGCGGTTCGCCCCTGGGTTGATCCTATTTTATTTTTTTTATTTTCGCTAAATGCATGCCAGCCAAAAACACGTCGTTCCCGCATCTGTTGCTCGTCTTCGGCCGAACCGAGCCCCTCAAGGCGATCGTCCGTCGCGCATCGCCCCCTTCTGGATGGTCGATTTGTCGTGGAGATCACGTCTTGGGTGAAACAGACGCGTACAATCTCTCGGCTGCACGGACTCTCTCACTCAGTGGACCCAGTGCCTAGACTCCACAAGATGGGGGTGAGTTGCGCGAGTCCACTCAAATCCCGGGCGCGACCGGACTAGTAAATGGCCTGGCCGGACATACCCTCGAAGATTTGGTACGGGCTTTTCCTTTTTTATTTTTATATTGTGCCCCTTATAACGACAATCAAGTTAGAGGAGGGGACTGCTCAATAGTATCTTTAGGGAAGTTCCATCGGTGGTCACATCAACCGCATTCAAGTCTAACCGAACTGAAGTTACAGATAAAACAATCAATACATGCCGGGTAAGGCATAGGCTATGCTGAACCATCTATACGAACCAGGTCGCGGACCCAAAAAAAAGGCCCCAACACTCCAACCACCAAGACCAAAACGGGCCCAAAAGAGAAGGGACAAGTGCTTATCATGGGTGGACCCCCCATGCTCCAGCACAAACGCTAGATGAAATGACAGGACGGGGGGTGGACGCGATGACATGCAGCTGGAGGGGAAACGGTGACAATGAGCGGCGATCGCACGGGTTTCCCCCTCTCGTCCCAGTTGTCCCCTTTTTTTTGGCGCCGATGAGCCGATTAGCCATGATTTTTTGAATTTCGCAAATCTCAATGGGCTCTAGTTCCGGCGAACCGCCGAGGGAGAGGACATGGTCCGGGGCTAGTGTCCTGGAGTCCGGAGCATATCAGACTCATGCAATCCCGAAGGCATTCTTCTGTTTCCAACAAAAATACCCGCAAACTCCTCCGAACTTACTACACAAGGACGGTCAGATGGCCCTGTCTTGGCTGGGCGTTTAGGACTTCTGTTCATTCTCTTAAACATGGTAATTCTTGTTTATGTAGGAGAGATCGAGCAATTGATTGAACCTGGAACAGGTCGGTTCCTTCTATATTTGTGCCTCGGTATGCAGATATAGTGGGGGTAGCTAGTGAAAACATAATACGCCTATTCTACTCCGTACAGATAATATGGTAACTGGTGTGTATGTATGACACCAATAACCCAGAACTCCTGTAGACAGAATATGATGCGCAGAGATCTGAGACTCCAGATACTAACGGTCCGTCCCTAGGGACTATACCCATTTTTCTATTATTTGGTTCGACTCTCCACTCGGATCCATGGGTACACTATCTTTGCTGGGCCTAAACAATGCTCCTGTGAATATGGGGGAGACCATTCCCATCACATAATCATGATGTCTCGACGACTGCTCCTTCTGTCCGCCTCTATTCCTCTCCAATTGTGCTCTTACTCTCTCTCTGTCTGTCTCTGCTCTGCAACCATTCGAAACTTCTTGTCCTCTCTTTTCCTCCCCTTCAAATTCTGATCAGACGAGCCCCCATCCTTCATCAAGCATTACCCGGCCTTTCTGGGTTGTTCCCATGCTACTTCTGTTGCCTATTTGGGATAGCGTGACTGGGCGACGCACAGGAACAGACAGGAACATCCACCAAATCCACCGAGAACTCGATCGGCCGTGGGGCTCTCTTTTTTCTCTGCTCCGTTACGAAAGGTGGATCTCACGTCCAAAGTACAGTACATGGACGACAAATCCTTCGGAACGCCCCTCTTTCCACCTGCCCTGGCTCTACCATCCACTGAGATTCAGTTGTTCAGATGGATTCTCCCACTCTTCACTATAATACCCACTCCGTCGCCAAGTCCGGCCGCTCCACTTCCCTTGTGCTCCTCTGCTTCCCCTTTCGACACACACCATCAGCGAGCCAGCACCCACACAGTTCACCCACACTGTCACATATACGTATCCACCATTTCAAATCAATAGCGTGCGGGATGTCCTCGGGAGTCTGTGTGCCATCTCGCGATCTGGTGGCAACGGGCAACCTCCACTCGGCCACCGCTGCAGGGGGCCCCATCTCCGCGCGCACTGTCCCGTTGTACAGTCAGATCGTCTCCCCCTCTCACCACTCTCCTCCGTTCTCCGGAGGCTCAGGAGCCACTCCGTTTTGGACCTGGCCCTATGAGACGCCCGTTCGATTTGGGGAATTCAAATCATTCCGCGCTCATATGTAACTAACTCCCAGGGCATGAACGTACCCAAGCTCCCGACCTAACATCCCTGCTCTGGTCCTCTTAGCTGCAGCGAGGCTGCCTAAATGGGCTGCATTTGCTGTAACCATCAACCGAATCGTCTCGGGTGAATCACCGGCTTCTGTCCCCACTGGTCTGGTCCCTAGGCTTTTTTTCTCCGCCCACCAATATCAGATACAGCGCTATACTCGATGAAGGCAGACCTAACGTTGTGGAGCGGCAGCGACCATGTCCGTTTTGGAAGGGGATTTACTCTTTCTGAAAGAAGTTTGCCGTCTTCCATAAGTTCGTAGGTACGGAGTCTAGACTAAGTAGAGACCTAGAAGATCAATTTCGGATACCTGGGAAGGATGCGCGAAAGGATTTTCTTCTTGGTTCTCGCTCGTGACGGTACTTCTGTTCCGATGTTTCATCCCCACGGGCCCTGACACGACATCCCATGGATCTCGTAGTCGAATGACAAGAGGACACATCGGGATACAGAGATAGCGCCATCCGGGTGTGGAAAGGGCGCATGGAGCGATATCGATCTCCATACAATAGAGTAGAGTGCGAACAAAACGGAAAAAGAAAAAGAACCAAAAAGCCGAAGGACCACAACACAGCATTTTGTGGTATTCATATCCCATATCGTACAGCGACTCCATCTGTAGCTTTCTGCTTGGGAAACCATACACCCTTACCTTTCCATCCCAACGACCCAATGTTCGTTTCCATGGGGCACGATTCAATCCTGCTCGCTACCTATATACTTCGGACACTTCTACAACAAAGCCTACCGCGGAATGACGTTCTTTCGTCAGTGCGCATGACATGCATCTCTGATTCGTGGCCATTGCGCTTACAGGGGATCCCAGCACCCCTCAGCACTCATCAGCATACATCAGCCCCCGAAACACGTTCAGGCCCTCTCATCCGAGACGGGAAAAGCAAGAGATACCCATTTTAGAACAACCCAGAGAGTCGGGACCGGCTGAAGCAAGACCAAAAGCCCTCGGCTGTGAGTGCATCGCGCCCAGATATCGGTCATCCCTTCAATGTCATCATGTCTATATCCCAAGCCGCGCACGTCGAAGAGATCCCAGGACCTTAGATTACCCACATCTGACCTCCGTGGAGATAATGACTTCTCTGTCCGTCTCCTAAATTACCTCAAGGCGGCATCGGCAAACTCCAGCTGTACACGAAAGAGCACGAAGTACGCAGCACGGAGAGCCGACGATCGCACGGGGACCAGCAGCGTGACGTCAACCAGGCCCGTCCCGCGTCTTTGCTGTTCATGCACCTTGATAGATGGAGGGTCATGACCACGGGCCTGGGAAGCAAAAAAGAGTGGGGGGGGGGGGGAAGGGAGGATAAGCAAAGCAGACCTCGGGACCGGGGAAATAATATCTGCTCTTTGATACAACCTTTCAAACCGTGGTGCATGGCGGAACTGCAGCACCTGCTTCCCCCGAGGCACTAATGCGTGTATCAACCAGGAAGACGGACAGGAGGGTGGCCTATTCCCCTTCTAGAACCATGTAAGATAGCACACCTGCCCCCGGTGCAGTCATGCAGGCGATGCAGAGAGGGCTCTCCACTGCCTTCTTATGCTCCGATCCTGCAGGCGCATCCTGTAGGCGTTCCCTGCGCCCGACAGGCTGTCGAAATAGGCTATACGGTCTAGGCTCTCTCTGTGTAAGCTGGTCGCTACTCTCCTTCCGACTCCGAGGAGCACTGTCCCTCTATAAGCCGGTGGTGATATAGGGGAGTGTGTTTTAGGAGAGACCTTGTTTGGGCTGTATGCAGTAGTGAGAGGACAAGGGGGGAAGGGGCTGGACTGGAGAAGACCGGCACATGAAATGCAGAAGAAGCCGGATATGAGCAGCAGCATCTATTTATACATTTCTCTTTGATTGCGATGCCCCAGCGACTCAGCCAACCTGAAGGACCTGGAGGAACAAGTATAGTAAGGAAAGTAGAAGGAAACATGTCGTGAAGAAAAGAAATCAAGCTAATATAAGCTCCCTCCCCAAAACGGATAAGCCTATGTGGGAAATTTTAGAAGTTGACCTGTCACTTCAGAAGATCTCAACGTAATCTCAGCCCTGTGGGATAGACACTCGTGACTCGGTACTCTAAAAATGGGGTATTAAACAAGAGGAAAAGAATGTCCAGGATTAATTCAATTTCAGCAAAGAGTGAGAGGCGAGAAATCGACAATCTGCAATGCAACTCCAAGAGCAACCACATACGCAATCCATCACGCTTTCCTCTTCTCTTCCCCCCTCTCTTCACCCCCCGCCCGACTTGCACTCTACTCTGCAGGCTTCCAGAGCCAACCTGCAGGGTCAAAACAAGTCTCAAAGTCGACGCCACCGAACAGACCAACCGCCCCATACAAATCAAAGTCCCCCTCTAAGCCGGTCACGCTGCCTGATTCCTCATCCATCTCTTCATGCAGACCCCAGCCCCCTGCGGGATGACCGTTGCGGGTGAAAAACACGTCGACCGTGCAGGACCGACGGACTTCGAACAGGGCATCGGCCAAGGCGAGCGGATTCTCTGGGAGCGTGAAGGTCATGCCGATACCCAGGGTCTCGCCGGCCTGAAATGGGGTCGTGAAATCGCGGCCACCCCACGAATCGTTCACGAAACGGCAGCCATCGTCGGAAAAGACTCCCAAACTGCCTCGCTCCCAGCCTGGAGAGCGCCAGGCGGGATAGGGCTGCGCGACAAAGCCGATCGCCAGCCCGCTGGCGTCGGCGCCGGGGCCGGCCCGCAGTGCGCGCAGCGTCACCTCGAAATAGATTGTCTTGCGCTTTTCGCGGACAAAGGGCGAGTCCACGGTCGCAAAGTACAGCGGCAGATGCGTGAGGACGAGGCAATCGCCGTTCTGGTCGACGGTGCAACCTGTCCAGCGGCCCGGCGCAATAATGACCAGATCCCCCGCGAACTCGGCTTGTCTCACGGGCCGCAGGTCATGCTCCTGCACGGAGGTGTAGACGGCGGCAGACGGGTGGACGGGGATCCACAGCGGCGTCTTGTCGCAGAAATCATGGGCGCGTTCGGCATCGTCGCTGGAAGCATTGCCTGTGCCGGAGGCGTAGTACCCCGCGATAGGCGGGGGTGGGAAGACCGACGTATCCGGGACCGCTTCTTGCCAGTTGTGATATGGTGGGGGATCTCCCACTGGACCCTGTTCCTGTCGATCATCCAGTCCGCGCGGAGGTGCTGCGAACGAGGATCCTGATGCTTGCTGGGCTGCATCGTAGCTTGGCGGGAGGTCTTGGAATCTGGCGTCCGCCGATGCCATGATATTTGTTTAGATGCTTGTTCCCGTAGGAGCTCGGCCTGGCCTGGCCTGGTCTGGTTTGGTGTGGTCTGGTTGGGCCTGATTGGGTCTGGTTGGGCCTGGTTAGGTCTGGGTAGGTTTGGGTACCCCGAACTGCTTGTGTGAGTTGAGATGGTTGAGTCGAGAAGGTTGGATGTGTGATGTCCGCACCAGGCTGGGAGTAAGGCCACCCTCTAGACCTTGGATACTGGAAGGTCCATGTTGCCAAGCGGGGCTGTGCCGTCAAAGAACCGTGGGTGCGAGCAGTGAAAGCCCTAGATCGTAGATATCGCGGGGCTTTGTTGTTCCTTTTCGTTTGGATTGCTTGCTGGGGGGTTTCAGCTTCCATCGCAGTGTCCGTGTGAACTTCCGGACCGGGAATTAATGAACATCACCGCTCAGCGATGCATTCCCAACCCAACTGAGTGACAACAGGAAACAAGATCGGAGAAGGTTTGAATTGGCTGACTCATATGCTGTGTTCAGAGCTGAGAAAATGCCTGCTTGGTGATGGTGCACCTCGTGCACCTCGTGCACCGAGGGTGAAGATGTGAGCAGTCGCGGGGAGAAGGAAAGGCTAAGAAATGGTTGGGCTGCAGGTCTCAGATGTCCAGTGCACCACAGACGCTTCCAGTGGCGAGTTTTGAATTCTGCTGAATTGGGTGGACCGGCGTTGCTGTTGTTCTGCTGTTTCTTTCTGATTCTCTCCTTTCTTTCTTGCTCTCACTTTCCTCGCTGGGTTTGGCCTCACGGGGCTTACATTGGTCTCCCACCAGCCATCTGTGGCCCGCAGAAGGCGTCACTCCATGCACCGTTCGCCCTTTACACTTCGCCCGTCGCTGCCTCCCACGTTCGCCAGGGGTTGCAATGGCGGACGATCCTCAACCCCGCAGACGGCGATCATCTCTCTCCGAACATATTCAACGGGTACTCCACGTTGAGCGATCCAGCAAGGTTCGTCCCCACAACCGCCCAATCAACAGAGGCACCAGCTAACAAATTCAAGAAGCGCCAGAGTTTTGCGCTGTGGGATGACAAGACCGGAGAGAAAACTCGGTCGGCGCAAGCTCAATCCATATATGCGGACGAGCGCAAGGCAGACGCTACGATCGGACATCACACGCCGACCGGCCGCTCTCTGCAGGATGAAACGGTGCCGAGCTCCTTTACGTACTCCTCGCCAACCTCGCGGCTGCCATCGATGAGCACGCCGGGTTCGAGCCCCTCGGTCCAACCAGTGCGCTCTCGAGACGAAGAACTGGCCACTCAGCAGATGGCAACACCAGTCAGAAGCAAGCCAAAGCAGGATGAGGAGGAAATATGCACCTCTCCAACCTGGAAAGACACCCTTCGAAAAGAGAGGCGGGCTACCAAACGGCTAGAAGCAGAGAGAAAAGAGCTCGAAAAGCGTCTGATCCACTTGGAAGAAGCACAAGCTAGACTAGAAAATGGCGTGTTTGATAGAAATGCTCGACGCTTGACCAAGAAGCAGCCACTCGGCAGTTCTAACAGATCAACGAGTGCCAGCTCGGACAGGCCTCGGTCATCAGGCACGTTCTCGGCATTATTTTCAAGGTCAAGGCAATCATCCCGATCCCGAGCGAGCTCTGTGAACGCGACGGAGGACCGAAACCAACGTCACTCGAGTGATGGACAAACCGAAACCGACACATTGAATGGTCCTCCCAGTTTGCCTCTAACCCTCCCTGAACGTTTTGGAGCTGCAGTATCTCGAGAGCTGGCCACCCGGCATGGGACATCCCTGATGTCCTCCCAGCAGCTTCAACGCTCGCCGCACATGCTTCATCATACCATGGCCAAGTCGGATGATCTTCGCGAGAACTGGAAGATGGCAGAAGCCTGGAAGCAACAGGACCAGGACAGCGGCCATGAGCCAAAGGAGATACCCACGAGTCAGAAGACAGAGTACATTCCGAGCGACCAATCACTAGGTGAAACCTTCCAGAGGAAAAATGAATCCGAGTCATATCTTTCAAACTCCAAGTCACCCGTGGATCTTGACCGGGAGCTGTTTACTGCCAACCTTAGGCATGAAAGAAAGCCATCTGGGGGGACCAATCCTTTCTTTCCTCCCTTAAAACAACGGACCCCAAGAGCTCAGTCCACACAGCCACCGTCAAAGAAACTCCCCCACAGTCAAGGTCAACCCAATTCGCAACTTGATCCTCTTCCCGCTCAAGTTTCTAGCACCCGACGTCCGCATGACCTTCACGGTGTCCCCCCTGAGAGTGTACATGGCCCATACCACGCAAGAAATTTGCAGCCATCATCGTCCACGCCGGGAAATCTGTTGAGTGACCTGGCCAAGAAGAGCCGAGGAGAGACACAAACGAACACATACAAATCATCGCCACTTGCCTTGAATCCTTTCACAATGAAAGATGCCACCCCAAAGCATGAGTCTCAGAAAGCAACAGCTACCCCGGCGTCAGAGCCTGCTGAAAATTCACTTGTGCCCCAGCCGCTTCGATTTTCACAGACATATAATTTTGAAGAGCCTAGGGGTCGTAGTCGACAGTCGACATCTGCCAATGTGACAGAAACCCAAGATCAGGCAAAAAACAATACTCGCCATGGGCAACAACGGTCCTTTAAAGGCCCAACAGACCTTGCTAGACAACTCGAGAATCAACCTCCCAAAACTTCCTCATTTGACCTTAATCAAAAACCCCATACATCTGAAGGTGCCAGGCCTGCCCATGCCTTTGTTCCTCCCCTGAAACACCCTGGCCGAAGACTGTCTATCTCGAACAACTCTCCGGGATGGGTAGGCAATAGGGGTCAATCAATCCCTACAATCGTCATGACAGAGGCAACAGACACGAGCTCCCACGAGGCCGAGAGCACAGGACGTTCTCCTCCCGCTCATGATCAAGCCACTTTTAACAATATTCCCGCCAAAAAGTCAACTGGACCAAGCCATAGCCGATCATCATCCCATGACTCGGGGGCATCGAGTTATGACACTGCAGATGAAGAGGTGCTTGACACTCCTAATCATCCTGGGAGCCACCAATCAACTTCTCCAAAGACTGAGACCACCAACAGCGGCAATTCGATACCAGAGGCACTCGTCGCAGGTAAAAGCTCTCCTAGCTATGCTGGTTTCCAGGGAAATTTTCCTCTATCTCGAAATGGTGTGGTGACAATGATGAGAAAAAATCCTCTCCAAAACGTGAAACAGCCCAAGCAGGATCAGTTGATCGCCAAATTGTTTGTGATCTGCTGTCAATGCCGCTACTGGCATGATTTCCCGTCTGAATTATACGCCAAGCTTGCTTGCCCTGAACGCCTTCCATCTGAATCTCTCCTCGGGCGAACTTTTTCGAGAGGGAACTCGTTTAAGCGAAGGACTTCGTTCAGGAATTCGATGTTTGGAGGGCTGTCTTCAGAACCATATGACCGACGACACCTGTCTGTGCCAAAACGAACGCAACCTCCTGGCTCCATACCAAGTAGCCAGAGCCCACAACTACCTGAAAACCCTATTTCATGCTGCTGGTGTGGACATAGCATGGCCAAATCCTGTTGCCAAGGATGGACTACTCTTGTCAAAATGCGTGAGAGGCACCATTGATCTTCATTCCATATAGGCAGTGCCTACGATATTGATGAATTACTGATGATGAGGATCTGCAATAATGAGACCATGATGTTTTTCTTCTTGACTGTATTCTTCGATCTAGTCTGCGGACCATGCCACTAATTAATTTGTTTTTTCAATGAGACTAGAATTTCAACCTCCTTTTTTTGAAAAGTTTCCCCTACCAATGGCACACGATGTCCATCGTAGTTTACCTCGGTTTAGAAGTTAACCAGTCGGTTCGCGCTCTAGGATAACTAGTTAACTAGAGAAAGTTATGGGGTCTGTGATGACTAATCCTTAAGCGAATGACCTTCCGCTTCGATCGGGTTTTTCCATCTCGACTTCTGTATTCATCCCGTACACCACCTCATCAATTTGTGCCAGAATCTGATGATGCATTCTACACAAATATTCAATAAATCCTAGAAATAGGCTTCAATGCGTTAAAACTGACTTCCATGAACAGGTCATTCCCAGTCAACCCATTGATTGATCTTGACGCCGTCGCGCAGTCGAATACTTTTCCCCTATCCCTCTCACACTCAAAATCCTACGAAACACTATCGAATATCGCAATCCTCCAATCCAGCTGTCTCAGTCCTCCCGGGCAATACTACGGACCCTCCTAGGAGGACAGTCACCACAGTGCTACGTCTTGTAGCCGTGACCGACTGGAGCTGGGCTTGGAAGCTGGGTGAACTCTCATTTGAGGGGAATCCTACGCTATCTTTTCGCTGGATTGCTAGAGCAAGAATTCAGGGCCTTCATAGTTCATGTTAAACTTGCTCGAGTCTTTTGACTTTGTCTTCTACGAGAGCATGACTCCTTGCGCACCTACATCTATATCTACATCTATATCTCAAATGAATGTCATTTTTACGTTCTCATTTCATATAGCTCCATCCGGGCCAAGTGAAAATAAGCCTTTGTGTAAAATGAATATGCAGCTAGATTATCTAGGATCATACTGACAGGGTTGATCTTTCATCTCTGAGCTGCCATCACTTCTATGAAGACAAATCGGGCTCAGGCTTAGTGAATATTAGCATTATCATCTGCTTAATGAGTAAGCGTTTAAACGGAGCTGGCAATCGCTTAGTATTACTGATTGATTGATAAGGGATAGTTATTAAACGAGTCCATGGTTATGTTCAAAATAGAGATTCCTTTGAGAACGCCCACTCACTTATTTGACATCTTCCTTGATCCGGGTACGGGCCAAATCAAACATGATTTTGGGGAGGAATAGCTATTATAGGAAAGCCTCAAGGCTTCGTCTGAGACAACCTTTTCTATCTCTTCAGGAGCTGTTGACAGTTGCTTCTTCGAATCCACCGTCTTGATCATGCACAATTCACCGACTCTTTAATTTATGCCTGCATACTATAAACTGTTTATCGTACTCGCTTCCTGTTAGAAAGAAAAGAGTTTGCCTCCAATACATCCATTGTGCTGCTTTAGAGCTTATTCTTCACCTTCTCATCGCCAACCACATTCACAACCACCTTCCCCCATGTCTCACGCCCGCCCAGCGCCTGCAATGCGCGCGGCACACTCTCCAGCCCAACAAAGCTGTCATCCTTGAATGCCGTCCCGCGGAACTTCCCTTGCGCAACAAGATCAAAGATGCCGCGCCATACCTCGCCGACGGTCTCTGTCTCAAACTTCGCATACTGACCCCAGTGCAGTCCAACCAGGCTCACATTCTTCAGCAGCACCCGGTTGAGCGCCACCTTCTCAATCTTGCCGGCCGCGAACCCAATCACCAGCAACCGCGCATTCCAGGCCACACACTTGAGACTAGCCTCGATCATGCCCACGGGGTCATACACGATATCCACACCGGCCTTGCCATTGCCCTGGCGGTGTGTCGCACACAGCTTCTTGACCAGCTCCGGCCACGCCTTATCCGTGTAATCGACAACGTAGTCCGCGCCAAACTGCGTCGCGATTTCGCGCTTGCGTGGCGTGCCCGCCGTCGCGATTACTGTCGCGCCCTTCGCCTTCGCAACTTGAACAGCGGCCAGTCCGACGCCGCCCGCGGCCGCGTGCACGAGCACCCAGTCGCCGGCCTTCACGCCGGCGCGGTGCACGAGGCCACCGTAAGAAGTGGGCGCGGTGACAAAGAGACCCGCGGCATCCTCAAAGCTCCAGCCCGTGGGGACAGGGAGCAGAGTGGGCTCCGGGGCCAGGACATGAGTGGCATAGGCACCCTGAGTGGCACCAAAGACGCGGTCGCCGACGTTAAAGCGTGGCGGGGAAGCTGGTGCGGTCGGGAGCGCGACGATGGTACCCGCGAACTCGGCGCCGCCGACCCAAGGAAGGGGCGGCTGATGTTGATATTTGCCTTGGATCTGAAGGATGTCGAAGAAGTTGGTGCCGGCGGAGTGGATTTCGATCAAGTACTTGTCTGCAGCGGGGGTGGGAGTTGGAACGGTGGAGACCTTGAGGTCGAGAGGGCCCTGGAGATGACGAAATGTAAGTCATTGTCCATTCTGAATAGACCTTCTTGCATGTATGGGTAAGGGAGAGAGGGGAGGAGGATGAAGGTTCCCGGGTTTTGGAGATTTAGGGGTGGGCAGGTATATTGCGGACCTTGACATATTCGCTAACTTGAATGGCGCGCATTTTGGAAAGAAAAAAAGATTGAAAGAAATTGTGAATTTCTATGCGCAATTGATTGACATATGCTTATAGCACGAGGGGATCAAAGGCAAAGTCAGGAGGAGAATTTGCGGAGTTCGGGGTGGTTCAGTTTAAGCTTGTTCCCCGCGTGGAACATGCCGAGGTACAAGTTCGGATAATGAGCGGCCTTGGCGTGGCATCCTTTGACATGACTGGAAGCCTACGGAGGCCAGGTCTAGATGGATCCATATCGAGCACGAGGAAAAGACAGGAGAAAAAAGGTAGTAGAAAGGCAAAAACGTAAGAATGTAAAGAATGGCTCTGATGGGAGGGCTCAACTCCTAACAAGCCTATCGCTGGATATTGGTACATCTCAGGTTGGATACAAAACGCATGGCTGTTACCGCATTCAAAAGTACATTGATTCACCAAGAGGTATCAAAAAGACAAATACCACCCCATATCAACGCCAGACACTCCCCGGAATCATGAGATCAAACCAATAAATACTCAACAAATTCAAAAACACAAAATGAGCTTCAAGCAGGTCGACCAGCCATTTCGCAGTTTCAACACCAAGTATATCGTCATACATGAGATCTAGAAAATACAGATCATCGCCCATTTTTTTCCCATGGAATTAGATGAAAAGAATGAGAAAGAGTAACAGGGAGGATATATAGAGAAAACGAGGAAAGCCACAAGAAAGCAAGAGATAAAGAAGAGCAAGGGTCAGGAGAGAAAGAAGCGCAGTTCTACTTCGAAACTCAGTAGCTCACATTCGAAGGCTTCTGCATCATCGGCTCTTGACCCATGTATGGAACGATAGGGGCACACATCATGGCATGGGGACCAACCTGACCCGCAGGCATGTGCATCATTCCAGGGTGATGCTGGCTATGAAGTGGGATGGTGTATTTTCGGATCGGGTCACTCGGGCGGACGTGGTGCCCCGCAAAGTCATACTGCAGGGACATGGCACGCTTCCAATGTTTTTGATCGTATCCATGATGGTATTCTGGAGCCTCACTGTAATGAGCAAATTCAGGTGGGAAGAGACCGGCGGGCGGAGGCACCACGTATCCCGCCGCGGGAGGAGGTAAAGGGGCGGCATGTGCGACGCCCGGTGGGGGTGTGATGGGTTCAAAAGGCATGCCGTACCATTGCGCTGGATGCAAGCTGGGGTTGAGGCTCATGTCCACTGAGACTGAACGGGCAGGCCACGCAGCTAGCGTGGGATCGGTTGTCGAGCCTGGGCTAGGGATGCATGACTCGGGAGAGAGAGGGTACGCGGTGTAGGTGGGAGTAACGGCAGCGGTAGTGTTCAGCATCAACCCAGGATCCACAGGCGACGTCTGAGAGGGCTGTTCAAAAGAAGTAGTGGCTGGCTTGGCGTCTTGGAAGGAGTGCATTGCAAGATGTCCCTCTGATACGAAGCTGTGTTCCCCTGATGGGCTGGGGGTGAGCTTCTGAGTCAGAGGGGCATCCCATTTGGAAGCTGGCGAGTAGACAGGCTGTGTTGACCAGGTAGAACGAGGAATGGTTGATTCCTTCGGCGCCGGGGATGCCTTCTTGCTGCGAGGAGAAACGGATGAGTCCTTGACGTCCTTCTCAGAGTCAGGATCCTCGGAACCTTGCGGCTTCTTGCGAGTCTGGCGAGAAGGCTTGGTGACCCGCCATTTCTTTAAGCGGCTGCGTAATTGGGTCTCGCTAGAGAAGATTCATTAGGAAAAGTACATAATTGAGGTTGGATCCTCTATATCGGACCAAGAAGTTCGACGGTGACTAACCTTGGGTCAAAATCATCGGACCGAATCTGCTTGATGACCTGCTTCAAAGGCCATTCTTCCTCCATATACAATTTGGCAATCAGCGCTTTTTTCTTCTCCCATATATCCGACGAAATGGACGTCTTCATTCTTCAGATCCGGCCACCGGGATACCAGTGTAGGCTCGGCAGGGAGAGAAGAGAGTGGGTAAACAAGCGGTAGGAGTTTGGAGAGGAAGCAGGGAAACAAGAAACCAGGGGCTCAAGCCAGAGAGGAGGTCACGAAGTGTATAAGTAGGGATGAGTCAATTGGACTTTCAGAAATGTGGAGCAGGAAGAAGAGGAAGCAGGAGGAGAAGAGGAGGAGGAAGACGAGACAGAGCCGAGGTGAAGTAGGCGAAGTCGAGGTGATGATCCAGAAGAGGGTCCGGGGAGGAGCGATTATAGGGCCAACGACTCTGCGTGATTCCGATGGAGCAATGCCTTGGTCTAATATTTATTTCCCTCCGGATTTGTTCTCTCGAAAATCCACAGTTTCTAGGAAGGAGGATTTTAGGAAATCTTTTTTTTTCTGGATTTCTGGGTCTCTGGGTTTAGCTTTTTATGGTTTTATGGTTTTATGGTTTGAGCCGGAGGAGATGCTGAGTCGGGCTTTCTCCACCGTTGGGGTTTTCATCCTCCATGGCGTTGGGTCTGTCACAACGTTCCTCCTTGAACCCCCCTCCCCTCTTCTTCCGTGGCGTCAGAGCCTAGCACGCATGGTCGATCATCTCGGGATTGGCATCACGATGCTTGACGTGGTGCACGAACGTGCCCTCCGTGGATCGGCGATCCTCAGAGTGGATCATTGACCCTCAGAGTGGAACATTGACATCTCGCGCCATTAGCAGCCAGCATCAACCAGCAATTCCAGCAACTCCGCTATCCCGAATGAAGCGCTTGGCGCATGGGTGTTCATTGAAAGAACAAAGACAGACCAGGGCAGGGCCATTTGGGCTGCCAGCAAACCTCCCAGACACGAAACAGTCTCACCGCGCCGACGGGGGATCCAGGATTCATAATTGACTGATCATCTCGCGAGCCATGACAGCCTGTCGGCGCAGATATCTTTGACGGCCGCCAGCTCCATCACGGACTCGATCTATCTATCTGTATCTTCTAATGCAGCCCGAATGATACTCTCTCAGAAAAAGAAAAATATCGAGATCCTTCGGGAAGCAGCATCAACCACCCCGGATCTCCTCCTTGATGGTCAACAGATGGCAGTGGATGTGCTCCTTGTGTGACTCCCACTGCTTCAGATCGGATCTACCGTACGAAGATGGGAATAACACTCCGGCCGCCCCCAGCGGTCATGCGGGAGGTAACACATTGCTGGGTTAGTGATGCACATGAGCCCCTCGGTCCTAAACCGCATAGGTGCCTAGCCTTGTGGACATCAAGGAAAGCTCCGGGACCCGAATGATAAGCACCCCCTCTCTCCGTTGTACTTCCTCCCCCTCCCTTAGGCCACACCAACCCATCCGGGCTCCTCCCCCAGCTACGGGCTCCACTCAGGAGTCAGGATAGTTTGGCTGGATCTCCAAAGCCAAGGTCGCCGATCATCACCGAACCAGGATCCCTCACGCGGCGATGCGGAGTGGACTCCGGGTCTACCTCATCTCACCCAAAAGGCGGACGATCAGAGCCGTTGGGCGTTTCAAACCTTCCCATGAATTGAATTCGACATTTGTACCGAAAATATGGTGTCTACAAGTGGATAGCAGCGCAAAACCCACGGTTGAGCAGAGGTACAATTGGGAGGGGAGGGAGTCGGGGTCTGAGAAGGATCGGAGCCGATCCTCCATACGGAGTACCGTCCCCAGCGAGACCCAATGGATGGAACACACTATCGAACAGGGCACAAACGGCTCGAAACGCACCTTCCTTTTTCTCTGGAGAAGCCCACTTAATGTCCTCTCCTCTTCTCCGCCCCTCGTTCTCGCGTTCCCAGTACTCCATATGTTTACCCGCGTTGCAATGCGGATGCTTTTCTTTTCCTACTTACGGTCAGCACTGGTCGCCCTGAGCCGCTATAGTCAACAGCAAGACACCGCCAATGCGGTATGGTGTCAGGCTAGTGGAAAGCTCCTCTCGGACGAAACCAATGATGACGCGATTCGTGGAGCAGCAGTTCGTGAGGGCGCCAATCGATCCGACCGTGGATCGCCTACGATCTGCCCGGGTCCTCAATAGTGGATAGAGTGGATCCGTTCATGACCCAGTTAGCATCCAGACTCCTCGGTCGGCTGCTTCTTCCAAAGCCTGTCTCGCAGAAGGGGGGAATCAGCCATTTGATCGTAGAGTCTGACACCCAGAGAACCGAAAAAGCAACTGTACAAAAAGTAAAAAAAAATTTAAGTGGAAGAATCAGACATCAAAGGGAAAAGATCCGCAAATGATCAACCGCAGAAAGCACAGACCAAACCGATGTCGCCACTAGGCACCCCTGCATAGCGTCCACGCTTCGTGTCGTTTCCCACGAGGGCTCCGGCCAATGGTCGAAGGCCTCAAGGACTGTATGCGCGGTGTGATCTTGCGATGATCTTGCGGCTGCGTCTGTCACGCAGATACGGGATGCACTGCAGCAGCTGTCAAACTCTGAGAAGACTAATCTCCATCCATGCGAGCCGAATCAAGATAACATGGTATACATCCTATCGAGCATGTTTATTGTTGCTAGTGAATTCAATCTTTCCCTCAGTTCTCTCTTGCTTCAATAGTGTTCTCGGGAATATGAGACTAGGTCAAGTGCCGTGACCATAGGAATGAACTACGTCAAAGGTTCCGGAGACAGGGACCCGAAACCCTAACAAGCATCATTCTTTGGGTCTTTGGGATTGGAGAATCTAAACTCGAAGCCAGGAGCCGAGGTCGCTTTGCCAACATCCGAACTATGACCGTAACCTGGATAACTGGTCGCGAGATGTATTCTAATTGGATCACGCCTGGGTCATTTCTGTCGGGAGGGAAGGCAACCCAAGAGATCGAGGAGCAAGATTGGACAGAGTCAGCAAGGCCCCGATATGCCCGTCCATCGGGTAAGTCATTCGCGGTCAGCAACAACAGTCCCCTTCTGAGTTCAGTCTATAGCTATGGACCCCATATATCTCCACGACGACAGCGACGAGAGGCGGCAATTACCGCGAAAATTGCCAATCACCAGTGGTTCTTGAGATGGACTCCAGACTAGAGCGAACAAAGTCCGCAGCTCTCGATTTCCACCTCTTCTCAAACGGCCCCTCTTTTCTCAGCCTTTCCACGAGAGCTATTGCCGTGGTGTGCGTATTCTGCGTGAACAGGATCTGGATTCGTCGCCCATTCATCCGCGCCATTTCGCCGATCCAATCAGGGCGGGGTTTCGTTTCTTTTTTCGCTCCCAAACCCAAGCAATCAAGAGCCATTCTTGATATTAAAACCCTCAAAGCAGTTTAGCGGTTAGGAAGATCTCCGGATCTCCATGGATCTACTGCACCTCATAGAGAGTTTCCCCGACACATCTCCTGCACCGGGTCTCTCTCCAGATGGGGTACTTCGCCTGTGAGTCCGGCTCCTCCAGTCACATCCCACGGTGTGGAGCTCCACTCCATCTCCCCCAACTCTCCAACCATACTCACGTCTCCGTCGCCATCTGGGCAGCCAGCAGGCACGAAGGAACGAAACCAGGATGAATTGCCCGAATCGCTGCATTCTCGGTGTCATTTCCCAAATCGTTCTTATGAAACCCATTCGGTTCCGGGGGTCGGGGAGAGTGTGCAGAAAGTCAACCGAGGAATACCCAGTCCGCGCACTACTCCAGGGTTTTGCCAGCAGCACCTTACTCCAACTGTCTCCATTGTATCCCGCCCGTATCTACCTCTGCCCGAGCCAGTAGGAGTCTCAGAAGATTACTCCTCTGAACTGCAGCACCACTGTGCCGAAGATGGTCTTTGATTCCCGACCCACACCAAGCCCTAGCTTCATCAGACAACCTCATCACGAAAGAAGATTTCAGACAGGGATTTGGGACTGGTAGAATTACAATCTAACTGAAATTCGGAACTCCTGAAGAACGCTAAAAAAAGGAGCGAACCTGATTTGGGTTCTCGGTACCGCCTGGACCAGGCATAGTGGGCACGTAGGGGGGGATCGACGGGTCCCGCTCAGGATACCTTGATCACTCCCATGTGCTTTCTGGCCGGTAGGACAAGGCAACAGAAAGTGGAGGAAGAGAGAGTGGACCGGCCAGAAGGGCGATTTTGGGAATAGACAACGGGATTGTTGACCAGCTTGCACTGGGCCGATTATGCCGGCCCCCAACGGCATCTCGACTCATTGAGGAAGTTATGGAGGACGGAGGACATACCAACTCCAGGATGATCCCATGATACAGTAGAAACCAATGCACGCTATGTACCCAGAGTCCTGGAAGTCCGAACCAGCTACGACATCAACCCCTGAGGAAATGGGATTCTACAGCCTCACAACGGCATTGTTCAATATTTTAGCGCCGGACACGCAAAGTTCTTGTATCAAAGTCTTGACGAAACTTCCAGGAGCCGATTGTCTCTCACTGGCTCACCCTCAAAACTCTACTTGCCTGCCTCGTATCAGGGAATCTGCAGCAATTACGAAACCCGCTCCTTTGCCCGCTTCCGCCCCGCACTAATAAAGTGACCACCGTTGTGACTTGGGTTAGGATCACGGAGGCAAAGAAGCCTCCGGTCTGACAATGCAAAGTCTGCAGGCTTAGCATGATGATCGATCATTTTCCGTTCGAGCCTGGCCGGCTCTAACAGAGTTGGGGCGACCCGAAACGCTGGGACCAAGAAGAGCGATCCAGTCGCCCTCAAGGGGTATATTCTCCGTGGAGGACGAGGCACATGGGATGGTAAGAGCGTTTGACTATTGCGACTTAATTTCAAGGATTTGTCAAGCGCCAGGCTCATATCCGAACGGAAGAGTATTTCGGAAGACAGGAACTGCGTAGTGATTACTATTCGAGTTAGTTCGGGGCGCGAGGGCACCCTATACGATCTGTACTTGTCCGTCTATGACTTAGCGGGTGGACCGGGTTTCTAGGGGAGATCTCCAGGGCTAACTGCGTCTGGAGAAGCCAGGACTATGCAAGGAGCAGATCTGAGAAGAAGAGGATCTTCATGGAAATAGATTAACGCTGGGGCTTTTAGTAAAAGCTCTTTGTTGTCCTATACTGAGACTAGGACGAGACCACGAAGTATATTACCCAGTTGCTGCTCCATATAACCCACTACTGTTCCAACTACAACAACTGCAAGCACAACAATCTGGCAAGACCAAAAAGAGACGGAGAACATTACTAGGTGGCCATTCCCATCCACAAAATCAGGCCCGAGAATCTAGGAGTTTCGCTTTGTAGTTGAAAAGCTTGAAGATGGTATTCAGTATTCAAGAAATAGGAGATTATCAAGACACACTCGAAAAGAAGAAAGGAGAAAAATAGATAGTAATAATAAGAAAAAGACACGCTATTCCCAGTCCCAAGACGAGTATACACAGGTGATAAAAGGGTGAAGTAAGCCGAATCTACGTCTTCTTTCTTCGAGCTTGCCTGTGCGTGTACGCGTAGGGGCCATGCACACGCTCAGCCCTTCTGTTGCTCCCCGCTGGTTGGGCAAATTATTGCACACCAGTTATCCACATTCCACGAGGTCAAAGACTAGGGGCAGAAGGGGTTTCCGAGACCCGGGCGATCAGGGAGACCGACAAGTCGGGAAGACAGGTTCGGTGGATGTGACGATCGTCTGGAGGCCCCGAAGATAGGGCGCGAAAAGAAAAGCAGACTTTTCCCAAATAGGGCAATCAGCTCCGGTCAGGAGAAATTGGAATTGTGAAACTTGTGAAACGGTCGCGATGTGGACCCTGAGAGCCGGAAAATCCCCCCAATAACCCAAGTAGTCACCAAGTCTGAGTCTGGGCCTCAACGACGTCGATTGACCCGGTGCTCCTTGCCCTTCTTGGATTTCTTCTTGCTCTTGTCCGGGGGCAACACCAGGGGCTCGTCACGCATGTTCCATTCCATGAAACGGAGTAGGTAGTCATCGATGTGGCCCAGTTGCGGTTCGCCATCTTCATTTTCCTCGGGTAATGGGGCCGATGGGTCTATAGGCTGCTGCGTTCCATCATCGGCAATGGCCAATGGCGTACCGGCTTGCGCGGGCGTGCCATGTGAGATGCTGCGGTCCTCGAAGTCGCCATCGTCGGCGTGCTCGAGTTCCTTCTGCGCGTTTTTGGCTGCATCGATATCTTCCTTATCCTCGGCCTGTTCGAAAGCACGAGTGCCACTGGCTACGCGATTGCCGAGGACGCGATCCATGGCAGCACTGGCCTCGTCGTGGCCATCGCGCTCGTCGCCCTCAATCATGCCTTGCACGTTCATCTTCGTAAAGTAATCCGTGGTAAACTCACCCTCTTGGATGATGACGTCGTCCAGCATACGCTTCTGGTTGGCCTTGCGCAGAATGTTGGATTCGATGGTGTACTCGGACACAAATCGATAGATGTGCACATCCCGGGTTTGACCGATACGGTGACAACGGTCTTGACATTGCTTGTCCATGGCCGGATTCCAGTCCAGGTCGTAGAAGATAACGGTGTCGGCACCTGTCAAGTTGATACCCAGACCACCTGATCGACTGGACAGAATGAAAGCCAAGATGCGAGGGTCGCTGTTGAACCTCTCGGTAAGCATCTGTCGTGACTCAACTTTCGTTGTGCCGTCAAGTCGAAGATAGCGATGGCCGTGAATGTTGAGGAATTGTTCAAGGATATCCAGCATCTTGGTCATCTGCGTGAAGATGAGGGCCCGATGACCGCCGGCTTTGAGGTCGCGCAAGAGCTTATCCAGACGCTGGAGCTTACCGCAGTCGTATTGCAGCAATCTCTTGTCCGGGAAAGCAATTGAGAGGCGCATCCGAGCTTCGTGGAAGGGGTCGTAAGGCTGGTCTTTGGAGGTGTTGGTCAGAAGGCGCGTCTCCACGGGGGTCAGTGCAGCCTCGGTTGTGCCTGAAGCGACGGCGGCGGGTGTCACACAAGCGAACCTCTGCACGTAGCCATCCATTTCGAGAGCTCGTTCCTCTATACTCAGGATCATGGAAGCAAGAACAGATGATCGGCTTGACAGCCACTCGGCCATGTTGCGCTTTCGAAGAGGTGCGTTAGAGAGTGCGTGCTCCTTAGTTCCAGCTCGCAAGAACTCAATCAAACTGCTACCATACACAGGGCGTCGACCATGACGTTTGGACTCAAAGTACAAACATCGCTCTAGCTCGGCCATTCTCCTCTTGCGACAAGCATTTTCCAAAGACTCCAAGATTGTTTCCATGTTGGATCCATCAAAGCCCATCGTCCAATTGGTTCGTTTGTACTGACGTTCACGAAGAGTGTTGAAAGGTCCAAAAGCCATCAGCCGAATACTGTCATCAGCCAGACGTCGCGAGATATCTTCTCTAGATACTGGTGCAAGGTTGAGAAAATCTAGATCAACTTTGGTGAGAGGGTGGTCGAAAAGAAGCCTTCTTCGAACAAGGGATTCCTTCATGGTGTATTCTGAAGCCACAGACCGTGGCATAGCGAATGAGGTAGAAATCTGCCGGGTTTCGAAGAGATCAGGGTGGTTGCAGACCTTGCGAAGTTGCATGAGACAGTGAATAATGGAGAGGAAGTTGCCCGATGCAAGAGTTTCTTTTGTCTGAGCCATTGACATGAAGCCATCGTAGAGGAATCTTTGTCGTTTTGAAAGTCGGCAGTAGACAACATGCTCATACTTGCCAGGCATTTGCTTCTCGACATCTGCCTTCAGACGACGAAGAATGTAAGGACGAAGAACGGTGTGAAGCTTGGTGACCACCTGCTTGGCCTCATCATCCATCGTCTCTCTTCCATGTTCGAGGATCTGTTCCACTGGTCGTCGGAACCACTCAGAGAAGTCTCTCAGATCCGCGAACCCCTCGACACCGTTGCCATTTTCGTCTGAGGGCATGAGGAAGAACAGTAATGACCACAATTCTGTCAAATTGTTCTGCAGCGGAGTACCGGTCAAAAGAAGCCTTGCTCGAGTCCGGAACGTGAGAAGGGCCTGCCATCTCTGCGACCGGAAGTTCTTGATATTGTGCGCCTCGTCTAGAACCATGTAGTGCCAGCTCCTCCTCTTAAGAGACTGTTGGTCCTGCAGGACTAATTGGTACGAGGTGATCAACACATTCCAGGTGTTATCATCGTTCCAGCCACGGCGTTTGGCCTTACGCTCTTCTTGGTTACCGTAATAAGTCATGATCTTGAAGCCTGGGCACCATTTCTTGAACTCCATTTCCCAGTTGAGCATGACACTAGTCGGAACAACCACAAGATGGGGGCCCCAGACGCCGTGGTCGACAGCAAGATGGGCGAGCAAAGCAATTGTCTGAATAGTTTTTCCGAGACCCATCTCATCTGCTAAAATACCATTGATATGGTTGTTGTAGAGGCCAGCAAGCCAATCCAGGCCGTAATGCTGATATTCACGCAACGTTCCACGCAAGAGATGTGGAATTGGTGTCTTCAAGCCGGGGGCAGGTGAATGGCTTGCCTGTAATGATTTCTCGATTGCCGGGTCGTATGAGGAAACCGATTCGGGTTCCGATGGCTTGGTCGCAAATGTTCCCGGAGATGCCTCACTGGATATCTCCCCTGGGTGAGAATCATTGATAGGCACGATATCTATTTCCTGGGGCTGGTCTGATTCATCTGGTAAGGCAGGAGTTTCGGAGGCAGTGGTAAGATCGGGCGGACTGAGCTCAGTATTCTGATCGTCCATGGGTGTGTCAATGGTCGAAACATTTTCGGTGTCAATGGGAGTATCCTCAGCTGATGCTTCAACAACTTCTAATGGTGTGCCCTCACGCGATGAGTCGTGTCCATTCGGGATAAGAGAAACCTCATCCGGGTCCTCAAATTCTACCTCCTGATCTTCCGGTTCTTCTTCCATTGCTTCATCCTCTCCGTCATCTTCTTTGGAAGCAGCAATTTCTTTTGAGAAAAAACCGAACAACCCAGGGCCATCATCTTCTTCCTCTTCGGAATCCTCTTCATCGCCCGAATCGTCTCCCTCATCACTATCACCCATGTCATCATCCATATCGGTTGATTCGTCGCTGTCATCCATCAAAAGTGGATCAACGTCGTCTAACTGGGTATCTTCTGGAATGGCCTGAGAATCGGTATCATCAGGTACAACTTCGCTATCAATGGCGGATGTCGGGGCGCCAGAAGTTACTGAAACATCATCCATGATGTCCTCGTCTGGTAGATTGGCATACTTCAATCGAAGTTCGTCGGCGGTCAACGCGGCATCATCATCCATGTTTGCTTCATCATCAGTCTCGGATTCGGATGTCGACATATTGCTTTCATTTTCGGAACCGGAAGATCCTAACATAGAATCCGAATCGCCATCCTCTTCGCCTTCGCTCGTAGCGAGAGCATCACTTGGTATCTCGCCCAGAATTTCAGACCGGCGTTTTTCAAAGAGCGCCGTAGACTTTTTAATAGCTCGGTCGAGAGCCTGCTGATCTTGGACCTTTCGCTCTTCTTCCCATCGCGCCAAGCGGGCCCGATCAATTTCCGCGCGGGTCAAGTCAAACATCTTCTGCAGGTCTTTGAATAGCTGCTTGCGTTTCAGACGCACTTCCTCCTGCTGCTCTCGAAGAATATCCTCCGGGTTCTTGTGGCGTTTTCGATAAGCATCAGCACACCATTGAGCAAATAGCTTGGCCATTTGGCGATGCCGCTTATGTTCCTTCTCCAGCAGTTTTTGGAAATATATTGCGTGCGACACGAGGTGGTCATGATGCGAGTACTGTGGGGGCGGCTCTTCCTGCTGGTCTGTGATATATGCTGAACAGACCTCCGAGCTTAACAAACCCCCAGGTTCTGCCGCATCAACGACTTCGCGTCGCCTCCGGGCCTCCGCCAAGGCTTCCTCCGAAGATAATAAACTCGGCGCGTCCTCGCGATCCACCCATTCTTTGAAAGAATCGTATTTCTTATTTGACACGTGGCCAGGATGTCGGATCGGAAGGACCGGCTTCTTGACTTTGATTCGAAGTCGAGGGACTTTGAGTGATCCTTCATAGATCTCCCCATTATTACTGTGCACATTGTCAAGAGTATCGATAGCCGATGGGGAGGTCGTAGAGAGGGAGGACCGATCTCGGAGTTGGCGGGGACTGGCGCCATTCAAGCTAGGACGCGGGCGATGTAGGGTGGCGGAGCTTCGAGATCGCGTGCGAGAAGGGATCTGCTTCGGTGCAGGCGACTGCGACGCTGGCTGTTGTTTACTGGCGATGGCGTTCCTGGAGGATCCGGTCCGGGGTGACCCATTGATAGCCACCTTGCCACTAAGCTTTCCATTGACCTGAGCACGCGACTGAGTCATAGCCAGCGGTGAAGATGTGGCAGGCTTCGCACCATCACGAGCATTCCTATGCGCATACTGATGCTGCGCGGCCCGCGTATGTCGTTTATCGGATTGAGGCTGCAGTTCCAGAGGAACCGTGTTAGTCCGCGAAGACCTGCGACGGCCCTCCACCACAAACGAGGTCGGACCCTCTACCCCAACCCTCTTCCAGGGCGGGGAAGGTGGTCGGGGCGTAGATCGCCGTGACGGTGTGGTATCTGTAAGCCTTCGTTTCTTGGATGGGGGTTCGTCAAGTTGATGGATAGCTTCATCGTCTTTCGGCTCGGAAGGGAGGGACTCGTAGGGGCCAGAATCGGACGGATTTTCCAGGACAGGTGCCTCGAGGCGTGGAGAATCAGGAACCGGTGTTATGAATTCATCTTCGGGTGATGGGCCGTTCGGGATGCCGTTTTGCATGACTTAGAGCCGCAGACGACAGGGGCCTTCTGCGCAGCTGACCCCAGTTATCCCAACGAAGACGCGTTTGGAGAAGGTGATTTTGGCATCAACAAATAGGTCTGATCGAGTCCAGGTGCCACCCGAAGTTTGGCATGCTTATCGGGTCAGTAGCGTGGATGGAGACGGGAAAACGATCAAGATGGAGGGAATACGTGAGGGAAGTGGTTTTTTCGTCGGGGCGACGCTACAACTTGTAAGCGCGCCGCGCGTGGATGCCTGTTGTGGCCTCAGGCCACAATTCCGCAAACCTCCATCCGTTCCATCATCGACCCTCCAACCGTCCCTCAAGTCCCCTGCCTTCCCACCCTCCCTTCTCCACGGTCTTTTGGTAGAGCAGTCAGTGTTCCCCTAGGTTTCCAAAGATTCCTTTGCTTCCTTCACATTTTTTCTGACCCTCAATTTCTTCTAGAGATGCTGTCCCAACGGATCCTGGCCCGACGCCTTCCCCAGGTTGCTGTCCGCAGCGCCATTGCCCCCCGCGCATTCTTTTCCCAAGTCCCGACCCTCCGTGCTGCTGAAATTGAGGATCCCCTTCAGGTACGAATTACTCAAGGCCGACTATACCGCCCACGACTGGCGTACGTGAACTACCTGTCTAACGATATCTCAGAATGGTGGCTACCAGAATCCTCCCCGCGTAAAGCGTCAGTTCAGAGATCCCTACGGCGGCTGGTGGGATAAGCAAGAGAAGCGAAACTTTGGCGAGCCTGTTCACGAGGAGAATGAGATCCTGGGTGTTTTCAGCCCGGAGCAATACACCCACGTCACTCCTCGCAAGGGTTTCTTCCACCTAGGAGTTTTCGTTGCGGCTTTCCTGAGCGTTTGCGGTGTTGTCAGCCTCTACTATCCCGACAAGCCCAGTGTGCCGAAGACTTACGTCGATGGCTTGGAGAAGGAGCTGGGTGGTCCCAATGCCCTGCCGGTATGCTTATCCCCTCCAGCTACCGTCCCCGGTCATGACAAGTGCCTTTGAGAACAGAACATTTGCTAACATATCAATCTAGGCCCGCAAGGCTGGCGAGGACAAGTGGTGATTTCCCTCTGTCCTCCCTCTTTTTCATGTTGTGTGTGTTTGTGTGTAAATACCAGTCCGATTTTGTTTCCCTATGTTTGGCGTCACTCGCGAATTGGACGGTTGATTCGCGGAGGAGATGCTTCCCGGTTTGTGGATGCATGCTGTGTCAGTATAAGACTAAAAAGAAATCCAACCAAGTCCTACCGTCGAGCTTCCTGAGCGTCCCGTTCGACTTTGATATTGTAGAAGCGTTCAAAGGAGTCGGGTGGGGCGCATATCGGCTGAAGCCACAGTGGCTACCTCGACACCACACGAGACAATTGTCGCAAACTTCAATAGACACCGCTTAGGGTAAAGTCTGTTTGCAAGCATACCGTGTCCAGATAAGCCTGGCCTCAAAATGAACATCTAAGCTATCGCGAGTATATCCAGACTATCCAGGCCGAATAGTTTCCCATCGTACCACCACCCTTGCAGCCAGAATGCGCACTGTGGCTGCACCCTCGGTAGCGTAGATCGGGCCCGACAAGGGAGACCAGGGCTATTGGTCCTGCATGAAAATCTACTAGCCCAGTAGGATCTTCGTAGACCCCACGGATCTTGTGGACATAGCGGTGTCCGTTCATGATCTCCAATTAGGCATTGTTTTGGTTCGGGCGCCTACGTCAGTTGGTTCGGCAGCTTCGTTTCATCTTCTTCCCCCTCCTTTCTTCTTCTTCAATAAACAATCGAAAAAGGTCGCCCCTCCCCCTCCTGCTCGGCAAGACTGTGTCTACTTGTGAGATCTTTTGAGACCTACAGAACCCTCCTTTGTCTTAAGAGACCCTTCTTCCACCACCCTGGCTGGTGGTCTGCTTCCAGCTCCATCCATGGTCCCGCATTCCACTCGCGCTCCCCTCCGAACTTTCGACGACGCCAGCGAACTACCTCATGTCGACGGCATCGACTCAGTCCCGAGGAGTCAACCGACGGATCAACAGCCTACAGAATGAAGGTCGCCATTCGCGCAACTCCTCTCTGTCTCGGCGCCGGCCCCTTAGCGCCAACGTCGCAGGCAGTCATGCTCTGCGCGTAGCCTATCTCGCCTACCTCCTTCACCCTCGTTCTCGTCGCATTCAGAATGCACCGGCCGCGCCGGCGCGGCCCAAGCGGGCGTCGACTTCAATCCACGACTTAATGAGTGACTTCTCACTGGTCAGAGATTCCAAAAGCACGCGGATTCCACATGGCTTTGTGTCGGAGTTGGAGAAGCGCTTGACAGGAGTATTGGTCGGTAAGGAGAAGCGAAAGGAATACCAGGATCATTTGGTGGTGCGCACCTTCGCCGCTTTTCTCAATGCGCTGAAGGAGGATTCATTTCGGAAGCGTATGGAGAAAGACCGCCGAGCGGAAGATCTGGTTCTGATTTTCTATTCGAATGCCATAAAGGAGCTAGGAAAGGGCAAGGAGCATGATGATGATAGCTGGAAGCTGATGGTGGACCGACACGTTGCGTTGTTTGTGCGTCTGCTAGCGCTGATTCTAAAGAGCAATGACTGGTCCAAAGACCGCCCAGAGCTGGCAAACCGGTTGTCTGTCCTAGAGAACAAGCTTCTTCTGCAGGATCAAGACTTGATGGATTCGAATATCAGCGCAGCGGCAACGGAAGTGGTGGCTACACTCAGCTATGATGTTAAGGACATGCCGCTTGTACAGCATGTCGCTAGGATTTTCGGGATGACAACTGCCCAGGCTCAGTCTGAAATTAATAAACACAAGTCCACTTGGACCGAGAAAGCGGCTTTGCAGGACCTCAAGACCTACCAGGCACATCTGAGTCTTCATACCCGAAAGACGCTATCGAAGGAGGATTTTGAAACAGATGAGGCTTTTGAAAGCTGGAAGAAGAGTGAGGGCCCTGATCTCTCGCAGATGATGCTTGCCATTGTGCAGTCGAATCCAGAGTTGGCCAAGAGCACTCCTGGTGCGCTACCTCAATTCAATTCCACTCCGTCTGACGACCTCTCATCCCCACGCGGCGATCGAACATCCTATGTGATTGATTCGCCTGTGGATCTCAGCTCCCTATCATTGGGAGCTGATGTTGACTCTGAAGAATCGGACACATACACCTTCATTCCATCTGATCCCCGGGCTGTATACAGGTTTATCTTGTCGCAAACTCTGACCCACGACCTGCGGGATCGCGAGATTGAAGCTTCGCAGGCCACATCAGAAGTACCGTCGATGAAACTACTTTCCAAGCAATCAACGGAAATGCTGAACGAAATATGTCTCCGCTGGCGGATACCCAACTTTTCGCGCATTCCTCTGTTCCTTGATGTCATCCAGTCCAAATATGTGGATTCCGAGATTGATCTCAATACACTCGACTCGGCCTTCACTTTCGTGAAAGAGTCACCGAGCACCGAACCGCGATCCAAGCGTAGTAGCTTTGTGGCCTCTGCCGTTTTTGATAGACGGAAATGGACTGTACATGATCTTCAAATGATGCAGCAGCTTCTTACCAAGATTCATGAGGCTTTATTAAGAGAGCTTTACGATGTCATGATGGACTGTTTCGAGGCAAAGCCGCGCCCAATTGGGCCGGTGATGTACATTCTCGAAAATCACATTCAAATGGATCCAAACTACGTCGAAAATCCAGAGGACATCGATCGGTTTTCTTCATATGTCCAGGGTGGTCTTGCTGAGAAAGCGACGGAGAAATACCAGGCGCTTCTTGGTCAATTAATCCCGATCGACCAGGAATTGTGGCAGGCCGATAATGTGATCCAGCTGGGGGAAGCAATCTCGAAACTTGCTCAGAAGATCCAGAAGCGGTATAGGAATAACCCTGAAATTATGGGGTAAGCTTTCAATAATCACATCACTTTCGATATTCGGGTTTCTAATCATAACAGTGTGAATCCCTATACTACGCTTTGCTCCAATGTACTGCCCATGTTTGCTGAGGACGCGAATGAAATGGTCATCCGAATCATTGATCGGGCCAAGTCCACAGGCGAGGAGATTGCAATTGAGGATGGCTTTGATCTATACAGGCAACTGGCTACCATACGACGACTTTTCACAAGCACTATCGCCAAGTATGTCCCACTGAAATTTTTTTCGCTACTCGACTCAAGCTGACAGGTCCTAGCACCCCTTTTCCATTCCATGTGGAATCTCTTCTAGAAGAGTTCGTCTGGCGTTGGCTTCGTTTGACTGATCAAAGCGTCATGGAATGGGTCAATCAAGCCACTAAACAGGATGCTTTCGCCGTTCGTGCCGACCAAATGGCCGAAGTTGTTCCAGAGGACAATCGGCACAGTGTGTCAGTAATTGATATCTTCCGATCTTTCAACCAAATTGTGGAAAACTTAATAGGGCTAGAGTGGGATGATGACCTTCAGTATGCGAAGTTCATGACCGCTCTCTCTAACTCCATCGGTAAAGGCGTGGCAAAATACTGCGAGTCGTTGGAGCAGAAGTTTGCTCGAGAAATGGACCGTCTCACTCCGGAGCAAGAAGCGGCGTTGAATCAGACCACCCAAGAGAAATTGATGCAATTTGCCAAGGACACATGGACGAACAAGGACAAAATCGAACCATTTCAATTCTCCTCCGAGGTATGTGCTCGTCCACTTGATCCTGCTTGCCCGTGCACATCATTAATTGACTGACTTCACAACAGTCCCTGGTGAAGTTGAACAACATCGAATATGCTCTCACACAACTGGACAAGCTTGAGCGTGAAATCAATGTTGATGGATGCGCCGACGTGATTGCAAAGCACACTCCTCCGCAGCTGAAAAAGGTCCGGAAATCCACTACTTATGTCTTCACAATTAAGGTAGTTGAAGCAGAAGATCTTAAAGCCTGCGACATGAATGGCGGCAGTGATCCCTACGTTGTCCTAACCGACGAATACCAGAAACGCATTGCGAAAACCCGAATCATCTACAACAACCTCAACCCGCGCTGGGAGGATGCAGTGGACATCACAACTCAAGGCCCTCTGAACATCATCGCCACAATCTGGGATTGGGATGCAGTGGGTGATCATGATTATGTCGGCCGAACCTCGATCAAACTTGATCCAGTGCATTTCAGTGATTTTTTGCCTAGAGAATACTGGCTTGATTTGGATACCCAAGGACGACTTTTACTTCGTGTAAGTATGGAAGGCGAGCGCGATGATATCCAATTTTACTTTGGTAAAGCTTTCCGTACCCTCAAGCGGACGGAGAGAGACATGACTCGAAGAATTACCGAGAAGGTTTGTATCCCTTCTCTCCTCATGATATGTTGGCCATTTTATTGACAATTATTGGGTTTACAGCTTTCTGCATATATTAGCCACTGTCTGTCCCGTCGGACTCTCAAATCCCTACTCTCGCGCGGTCTCAGCATGTCATCTGTATCTAATTTCCTGAACCGCAATCGTGGGCAGCCGACTTCTACTGGCCCAACACCGGCCGACGTCGAGAACGCTTTGACTCCGCTCTTCAATTACTTCAACGACAATTTTGCCATTATGAACAAGACTCTCACTTCTGAAGCCATGCGAATGGTGATGGCTCGCCTATGGAAGGAGGTTCTTGCCACAATCGAGAGCTTATTAGTGCCACCTCTATCAGACAAGCCGTCCCATCAGAAACCGCTGACCATCCAAGAAGTGGACATCGTATCACGCTGGCTCGTGTTGCTTTTGAGTTTCTTCCACGCCATTGATGAGGAGACTGGCGAAGCTGGCGGCGTTCCTATCGACATCTTGAAATCCCCCAAGTACCACGAGATCCAAAGCTTGAACTTCTTCTACTTCGAACCCACGGAGAACCTCATTCGCACGTCTGAGCGAATGGCCTCAGCCACCATCAACCGCCAGCAAGCTAACCGCAACCGCATCTCCGCCCCTGCACATCTCGGTGCTACAGGGCCCGGGTATGGCGGGCTGGGTGTGCCGGCCGCGCGGCGCGCCAAGAGCATCATGCTCTCCCGGAATCTGGGTACGATGAAGAAAGTCAAGGAAGAGAAGCGTCGTGAAGCACAGGCCGAACCTAACGATGACATGATCCTCCGCATTCTTCGCATGCGACCCGAGGCAGCGGGCTATCTGCGTGATCGGAGCCGACAGAAGGAGAGACTCGCGGCGGCGGCGGCAGCCGATGCCATCGTGAAGCAGAGTCTCATGGCAGGAGTAGGAAGCCGAATGAGCGGTACAATTCCGCGACGGTGAAGACAACTTTTCTATCTTTATTTTTATTTTCCCCCTCTGTGTCTCAAATAAGTTTCCTTTGGTCTACTGCCTTTTGCTGTTCGTCTAGCGATCGAGGTTCTAAGGATACCGCACATGATGTGACTCGTAATAGTCTTTTTTTATAAATTCCATAGCAATGAACATTATACCTTGACTTTTATTTTGCAATATTCATGACTGTAGAGCAGATAGACAACATGGCCATCTTTGAAAGCAGCCACTCAATTTCCGGAACGAAAAGTGGGGGGAGGAATTTAGGGCTCGGGTCCCTGATCACCTCCCCGCAGCGATCCAGTTATCCACGAACAACTCTCATTCGGTCTCATTTGAATTATTGCAGCAAGGCCGCCTCTACTAAATCTGTAAGTGATCTTCACCGGCGCCCCTCCTCCTTCTACATGCCATCTGATATTCGGGGACAAACCTTGTCCGACCTAAGCGTTTAACCTTATCCAGTTCCGTCAAGCAAGCTCCTTCCCCGCATTTCATCCTCACTCACAGCAACCCACCTCTCACCCTCCCACCCTCCTCCTTTAAACGCAAAAAAAAGGAACAAGAAGAGCCCGCGATGCACCTCAAAGCCGATCCGTCCAGCCTCGCCTCCGAGACCCTCCTCCCCATCACCGCAGCACCGTGCCACGACCCCTCTACACACGCATCACTCCCACCCCCGCCCCGGCCAAACAACCCCCACACCACCTCTACTTCGCCTACGGATCAAACCTCTCCCCAACACAGATGGCGCAGCGCTGCCGCATGAACCCCACCCTCTCGGCGACGCCGGTCGCCATCGCTGAACTCCCGCGTTGGCGCTGGCTGATCTGTGAAGCTGGGTACGCGAACGTAGTGCCTCCAGCGGGGTTGCGCGTTAGTGCGCAAGAGCAGGGCGCAGCTCAGGTGCCTCAGTCTGGGGCAGAGGACACGGTGTACGGGGTACTATACGAGATGGACGAAGCGGACGAGCGGATCCTGGATCTGTACGAGGGGGTGGACGGCGGGGCGGAGGAAGAGAAGGAGGAGAAGGTCAGCGTCAGCGTGACGATACGGCCCCGGGAGCAGGGGGAGGGCGACTATAACAAGTGGTATGTGCAAGCGCGGGTGGTGCGGTGGCTGGACGACGGCCATGTGCTGCGAGAGTCCGGGGAGATGGTGCCAGTGTTGGTATATGTGGATGAGGAGCGGGTGGGAGTGGCGGAACCGAAGGCGGAGTATATCCCGCGGATGAATCGGGCGATGCGGGAGGCGGAGGCGCTGGGGATGTCTGAGAAGTGGCTTGAGGAGGTGCTGAGGCAGTTCATCCCGGCGGAGTAAGCATGGGTTGGAGATAGAAAGCGTTCTTTTAGTAGTCTCGCGGTGAGAGAAGGGGTCTGAAGTATAGAGAATAGGTTTCGAGTGCAATAGATTTGTGTCTGGGATGAAAGATCCAGACAAAATGCTACTGCATTGCTGTATATAATAGAGATTGTGGAAATCGAATACCAACTTTTGAAGAGAGGAGGAGAAAGAGACATCAAAGAGCAGAACAAGTTGACATTAGCAAGCTATCAGTAGTATCAACAAGATCCAGATATGGACGCATTTGGACAGGCATAACCTGAAGGTATATATCTATTTGAAGGGGAATCAAAAAAAAAAAAAAGTTGAAGATAAAGAAGAAGAAAAGAGACAGATCAACCAATCAGATTTGGAAGAAAAAATATTTGAAAATTTGTAAGAAAAAATGGGGAATATAGAGAATATGGAGGATTTGCACGGCTGTGATATTCCCCCGGCAGAAGGAAAAAGCACCGCAACCCTTTGAAAAAAAAAAAAAAAAAAAAAAAACAGAAGCATGCGCACGGAAAAGGTCCATCCCAAAATAGAAAGAGTCATAAAAACAATGATAATAATAGTTAGAACTCAAACAAAAATAGATAATGACTCGGCTGGTGCGGATCTGTTTTCTTCGGCGGTCCGGGAATAGCGGCTGCTGGGTGGAATGTGCGGGTGGAGTACACCGCCAGATCCCGGAGCGGACGTATTGTGAGGGTCATTACAATTCGGCGAGATCGGGTCGGGATCACGAGAAGAGAGAAGCGAGATGGAGACAAATGGCACTTTTCAGAAAGGCGGTTGAGGATCGATCACAACGTCATGAGTTGGAAGGTTTTTTTTGGGCAAGACACAACACATAGAGAAAAGAAACCAGGCAGGTTTTGATTTAAGCCTGACCTGAGAGAAGGGTGCAGACGGGGGCAGGGAGCTTGTCGCGGCCCTTCAGGAACTCCAGCTCAAGGATGAAGAGGAAGCCCAACAGATCACCACCCATCTTGCGGATCATTTCGCCACCGGCCCAGGCAGAGCCACCTAACGCAATTGATTAGCAAATGGGGGTCTTAGGTCTGAAGGTACCGGTACATGAACAAGACCATGCCCGGATGTATCCGAAGGTATATCTGGAGGTGGATGTATAGACAAGACACACTCATTATCGCCACGGCGTGGGGTGAGCGGGGAGGGGAGGAGGGGCGGCGGAAGGCAACCTACCAGTCGCAATGATGTCGTCCACGACAACCACCTTCTGACCGGGTTTGATGGAACCCTCTTGCATCTGGAAAAAGTCCTGGCCATATTCCTTCTCATAGGCCTGGGTGATACAGGGGCCGGGCAGCTTGCCCTGCTTGCGAACGGGCACGAAGCTGGCACCAAGGCGCAGCGCCAAGCTAGGGCCCATCAGGAAGCCACGGGCCTCGAGGCCGACAATCACATCGGGCTTCTGGCCGCCAAAGGACTCCAGAATGTGCAGTTCGAGTGAGCGGATAAGAGCCTCGTGAAGGGCGGGATCGGCGAAAATAGGCAGGATGTCCTCGAAGAGAATACCGGGGGTCGGAAAGTCCGGGAACTGGCGCAGGGCGGCGCGCAAGTCTACTTTAAGACTGGCGAGTTCGGCGGCGCTGGAGGAATAGGTGGCGGCGTGTCCGGAGACTTGGGCGGAGGCATTGGGGAGAGTGGATTGGGACATGGTGAAAGGAGGGAAAAAAGAGGAAGAGAAGGGAGGGGGGGGGAGGACGAGGATAAAAAGGGCTTTCTAAAAAAAAAAGGAGGGGAGCAAAAAGTCGAAGTGTAAAGATTGCAGTAAGTGAAAGAGAAAAAAAACGGGTAAATAAAAAAAATTCTATTTTTTTTTAAAAAAAAAAAAAATTAAGTATGTTGGTAAAATTACGGGTCTCCCGCCGTGAACAGTTCAGGTTGATAAGCACTGCAGTTGCCCCTCGGCGGGGCACGTCTAGATTTTGCCCGTACGGTATAGTACACGACCATTGCCCCCCCCCCCCCCATCCCTTCCCCCTCCATATCAGAATGGGAGGGGGGGAATGACGAGATTGGATTAGATCATCGATGTTCGATGAGGGTTCTAGATGTGCTACTCTAGGTTCTAGGCTGGACACAAGGAGCTCTAGGCAGAGATCAAGCCCATGGCCAGAGGGAAAGAGAATATCGAGAAGCACCAATAATGAACCACGAGATATCCTCAATGTGACTCGGGGCCGAGCGGCGCCCCGATTTAACAGGGACACCGATCGTCTACCTCATCAACCAGCGGTCAGATTGCGGTCTGTGCAGAGGTAAACGAGGGACTAACCCTCGCAACGCTACCAGGTCGATACGTACCTCGTCGGGTACCATGGACTCCGTCCCTGCCCAAAGCCATCAACCGGACTGGGGCTAGTTCGAGGTACCTGGCGCTCCATATCTCCAACGACTGCGACTGTTCCAGATACCCCTATCGACCAGGAAGGAAAAGGATATGCACGTCACGGCAGTGGGGGCCCTCCTACCATCAGAGCAGTGAATCGGGGGAAAGGGAGGAGGGGGACCATCTGGAACTATGCATCGGTCGTAACACACCTGTACCTTCTCTGTACTCTCGGTACCCGTGGACAGAAGGTCGGTCTGGCTTGGACTGCAGTGTCACGCAATGCGATTCGAGCCGGTTTCTAGAATCCGCACATGCGGCATCAGCGTGTGGTGTTGCTGTTGTGTCTGGCTGGGGGACTGTCCCGCTGCGGGCCTCTCAGCGTGTTCGCTCCGTCGCGGATCTGCGCAAATTGCCTGCTTGGCACTGTACATTCCGAGGCGTCCTTTGTCTTGGTCTAGGGAGATCCAGTGTATGTATCCAGTCTGTCCTAGCGGTGGGCTGCGGGGACCAGGGCTTGGAAGAGTGGAGGGGGAAGGCTGGCGAGGCTAAGTAGGAACTAGCCGGACAACGGAACGCCTACTGTTCGGGCCGGGCGAATCAGCGGGTAGCCTGCGAACAGGTTCCCTCCATCACACCATAGGAGGCGGGGGGAAGGAGGCGGTCTTTTGGTCTTTCTGTCTTTTTGCCTGTCTGGTCTTCCCATTTTGAGGAGGGTTGGTGGTATCTGGCCCTGGCTGAGGTGGAGGTGGAGGTGGTGGGTGTGGTGGGTTTTCTTTTGGAGAAGGTTGGGCGGAAGATCACGACTGAAGAAGCAACCAGTTTACCATCTGAGGCACTAAGCGCGAGTGAGTTTGACGTGACCGCGAATACGATCTACATATCCCGCAACATGATGGTGTATCTTGGCTATTCTGCAGAAATCTGTACGTCGTACCTGGGTTTCTCCATCGTCCCTTGTCGCGTCAGCAGCCAGTAGTATAGAGCATCATCGAGCATTTACAGCCAGTCGTATATCTGGAGTAGCTCGGTCGAGTGTGCTCCGTCGATCACCGTGCTCTCAGCCTTGGGTCAGGAACTCAAGAACCCAATGACTCATGGAGTATTTCTGGATCCTGTCGATTACCGTCTAGAACCCTGGTCTCGATTGCATCTGTCCAGACATCCCCGAATAGTCCAGACCGGGCGGAGACAGGCCCCAGGCCCCCCGGTAGGATGCTGGGCAAATGAAACAGCCCATCCGCAACGCTCTCGGACCGTCAGCCCATCAGATCCGGGATGGCTCCGTCTCGCCTCTGCACAACATGTCTTGATCCATGGTTTTGAATTTGAGAGAACACAGTGTCACATACATTAAAAACAAAGACAAAAACAAGAAAAAAAAAAACAGAGGGAGGGAGACGGGAACAAAAGGATGCGAGTCTGGTTTAGTAGAAAGGTGGTCCGATTCACCGAGCAAAAGACCTGCATAATTGAAACATTGTACTCGATGGCTCGATCCATACATCCAATCAGGAAGGAGTCGAAGCCACTACGATCGCGGCCCTGAAACTTGTCACAGCGTGATGAGGCCTGCAAAGAGTAGTGGATCGACTAGAAGGAGGGCCACCGTTATGGAGAAGACCAGGGGCTGGCTTCTGTTCTGCAGGTGGGATGTGCATACATGGTGGAGAGCGGAAGGAGGGGTAGCTGCAGTCGCTATCACCTTTCACGCCGTCAGGAAGTGGGCACGGAATCAGGCCATTTCGGGTTTATGCAGAGAAATACAATCAGTCCAATCAGGGAAGAAGGGAAGGGGTGTTGAATCGAAACAGTCAAGGTGAAAGAAAAGAAAGCATGAGAGAAAAATAAAAAGAAAAAGAAAAGAAAAAGAAAAGACAAAAAAAGATCTCAGGTTATTTGTAGGAATAGCCGAACGCGGGGGTCGAACCCGCAACCTTGAGATTAAGAGTCTCACGCTCTACCGATTGAGCTAGCCCGGCAGGGCTGGTTGAAAAGCAGTGACAAACTTGACATCATGAAGGCAAATATCATGGTTAAAGGTTAAAAGGGTGTAATAAGATGTGAGCTTAAACACTATTGTTCGTGACATAAATGTTTCATACTACCCATACCCATAGGGATTAGCGCTCTCCTAACTCTCGGTCTCGGCTCGGTATCCTGGCGAGAGGCCTGGTAAATAATCACAGCTGCTTAGTTCGATATTGTACAAACTACATATACATATATATAAAGAGGGAGTTCTCGATAATTCATCCGACTCCACTGTGCCTCCTTCGCCTAAAACGACCAAATCCGAATTTATTCCAATGATAATATTGAGACATCGTACAAGCCTGAATTTGGACGAGTAGGAGGTACAGACAAGGTATAAAACTCTCTCCAGCGAACTCCATGCCCCATTATCCTTGCTGTGTCCTGGCCATTTCACTGGTCGCGCGGCCGACAACCACGTGACAGGAACACGGACCAACTCGCTTAACGTTTTTCCGGCGTTGCGCCATCCAGCTATAAAAGCTCTGCCTTCCGATTTTCTCTCCCTCCCCATCATCTTCCCCCCATCGGGTGTGCATACCGTCCCCCTGGAGCTCGGTTCTCCTCGAACGGCTCATGAAGCTCCCCACTCCCTTGTAATCTATTGATGTTATCCCGCGACCATGTCGCCTGCGCCAATTGCCGAGGAGCCGCAGCTGGATCTGCACCAGGATCAGCTCCAAGCAGTGGGCAAAGCATTCGATGCCCTGCTACTAACCCTCTATCGGCTTACCCACAGACACAATGAGCTCAAGCAATACACGGAGGAGGCTTTCAAACAGGTAAATAATCCCACATCCCCTACTTTGTCTTCTTTTGTCTTCCTTTGCCACTTTTCTTTTTTCCCTTGCACCCAATCTCTACATGATGAGAGAACTTGATTAGCTCTAGATCAGGAGCCACCTCCTTTGGTGGCGTTGACGGAAATAACATGTATTATCTGAACGAGATGTCCTCACTGGCCTTCTATTTGTTGCATTGTTACCTGTCTTAAGACCGACCGCTAACGGGCATCCTACGCAGTATACGAATGTGACGAGACAACTGGCCCCCCAAGATAGGCCTCATGCGATGGAGGTGCAGCAGAGATTACTGGACCAACAGAAAATATTGTGTCAGGGCCTTGTGCACAACAAGCCTCCAGTCGAAGAGCAGTCGTTGAATTCAATGGAAGTAATCAAGACCCTTGTCTCGCATCAGAATGTAGACGAAAATACCACGCGGGCCATCGTGGATGGAGTCAAGGGCTACAAGGCTCTGCTCCGCTCCGATGGCCTCTCCCAAATATCCTCCATGAATTCGTGTCTGCTCGCAAGAGGACCGGACCCATCGGTCTCCCTGGAGCAGGATTTTACCACGAATGGTACGCAGGGCAGCCTGCACTGTCCCTTTTCAAAGCCTAAATCCCCCCGTCCTGGAAGTGGCATCCAGAATGGCAGAGATGATGGACCTAAGATTCGAGTCGACACCTGCGGACACGACCATCTGGATCCCATCAAAGCGGAACAGGAGGAGCGGCGTTCCAGTACTACCCCTTCAGCTGTCCGATCCGTGGACAGGTCCTCGCAAGGACGATGTCCCGTATCGCGCTGTCCGATCCGGTACCTGGACAAGCATTCGCCGGAGGAAATTGCTGAATATGTCGAACGACACAAGCACGAAATTCCTCGGAGTCACGCTATCTGTGTGAAGCGGTACCAACGGGATCCCCAGAATATGCGACAGCTTGATGCCAAGTACGGCGGCCTGATCAACATGATCAGCGGCCTGAGTGTAAAGCATCAAGCCTTTCTCCCGGATCGCCAGACCAACGGGGTGGGAACCTCGCCCTCCGCATCGACCGAACGAGTTGAGAAATGGGCCGAGAACGTGGACCCGGCCACACCTGGACCGCCGAACCAGGTCGATGACCGTGACAACCACTTTGATCGGCCACTCCGTGAAGTGCGGGTTGGTGAGTCCCCGAGCCGGCCTTGGGGCATCCCCGTTCCAATCGCCGAACAGCCCGCTGCGTCCGTCCCATTCTCCGGCTCGGTCTCTGGTCCCGTCCCCTTGGAGGCCCACCTTGGCGATTCACCCACCAAGCCCGCCGGTGAATCGCCTGCTAAGCCCGCCGGTCGCTGTCCATTTGGACATGACGCCCCTAAGCCTGAAGAGCCCGAACCACTGATCGCTGCCGCCGCCGAACTCAAACCCCCTTGGTCCAACTGGGGTAATGTGGATAAAGTTGACGTCGACGAGAAGGTCAACCTAGTGGACGCTGGTATCGACAAAAATGACGAAGCCTCTGTAAAGGCCGATTTCAACTCTCTCCCCGCCCACGTCACCTTTAACGGGCCGGTATTCTTTGGCTACTCCGCCGAACAAACGGCCAGTTTGATGCAACAACTCGGGCACCTCAATCTGGGCAAGTCATGACTGTATTCGAACCATCTCCGCTTTCCTTCTATTGTATTCTATTGAAATCCTCCTTCGGTATGTTGCATTACTTGGGATCTGCTGTTTTTTCCGGAGCGCCTAGCGAACAGTACCTTCACGACGCGATGACTGGCTTTTATTTGCTTTTCTATTATTATTTTTATTATTTTTATTTTGGCTTTGCATTTTATTTCTAGAAGCGAACCTTTTGAGTCATTGCACCTCTTGACAACCTATGCATCAGCTATTCCTTGCTCATATTACCTAAAATCATATCTGCTTTGGCCCTATCTTTCCCGACGCACCCAATCGATAAACTACGTAGCTTTCGCTCTCCTCGGGAATCGGGAAACGGTCCTAACCCCACTAAAGCGGGGTACAGCGGCAGTACTCCGACTCTCAGCAGTTATTATCCCACCTCCGCCCAACATGTTGCGCACCGTTTTTCGTCTTCAAGCTCTGACTCGCACTCTCAATCCTCGCCTGACAACTCTGTCGCGACCTCAATTCATCACACCCATTATGTCTGCCAACATGACCTCCGTTACTGCCAAGGATGCCTGCCCTCGTACGTTCTCTCTCCCTTGACTCATGCTGGGCGAGCTCTGCTTCTCACCCCGCCAAGTTTCCCGACACTCCTAAAGGCATCATCTAGAAAGGCCAAATTGCTAACCAAAAGGGATAATATAGCTGCCGGCCCTTACGTACGTTCATATTCACTATAATCCAAACCCATTGTCATGATCACTCGTGTTTCTGGGCGAAACGCAATCCCAATCTACTTCCCTCCTTGCCCTCCCCCGCCCCGGCCTTTATCCCAATACAAGACACGCATTCCCGTCGTTCAGCCCAACAGGATATCCAATTGACTCTGCCAAAACAGTCCCAGGCCATCCGTGCCAATGGCCAGATTTTCGTCTCCGGCCAGATCCCCGCCGATGCCACCGGTACCCTGGTCCAGGGCAACATCGGCGAGCTTACCCAGGCTTGCTGCAACAACATTCAGGCCATCCTGACCGCGGCCGGCTCCAGCGTCTCCAAGATCGTCAAGGTTAACGTAAGTTATACCGAACCCCCTCCTTTCCTATCCCTAACCCCCCGAAGTCCTCTCTGGCGTGATTTATACATATATACCCCTCGAGGGAAGTTGGGATCGGAGCGCTCACACCGTTCCACGGCATAGGTTTTCCTCACCGACATGGCCAACTTCGCCGAAATGAACGCCACCTACGAGAAGTTCTTCGTGCACAAGCCCGCCCGCAGCTGCGTTGCCGTGCACCAGCTGCCCAAGGGTGTGCCCGTCGAGATCGAGTGCATTGCTCTGGAGTAAACCCCGGGGCCGTGAAACTGAACCCTCGTGTAATGTTTGACATGCAGCCATAGAAAAAAAGAATCCTATAAGATGAATTGCATTCTACACTTATCTGAGTCTCCACCTCCGCTTCATGGCCCAGTAATCGCTCATTGGGGTGGTAAGATGTTGTTCATGCGCATGATCCTTCTAGCGAAATTTCTATTGTTTTGGCAGTTTGTTCTTTGAGGCTTTCGATCCACTCCGATACCCCGGCGCGATCTATCCCGGGACGGGATTCTTCTTCTTCTTCTTCTTCTTCTTCCTCCGCAACGGGCTCATTCTCATCATCGCTCCAGGGCTCCTTGATCCACGAATGGGCCTGTAGTTTCCGGATCTCCTCCATATCCATCCTCCCGTCCTCCAACCAAAGTCCACCGTCGTAGGCCCGATGCCAGTTAAAGAGACGGGACGTCGCCGCCCACGATTGATTCTGCATGTCTGGTTGTCGGAGCGGTCTATTCCACATATGTATCAGTACACTCAAAGTGAGCACCACGCCAAAAAGAAAAGGGGGAGGAGGCAGTACTCTTTCGTTTCTTCGGTAGTCGGACTATATGCACATCGGGGATACTCCACTATCTGGGCACGATGGGAGCGTGGTTCCAGGACCTCGCCTGCCTGCTGCTTCTCACCGGACTTCAGGGACCAGAAGACAGCGTAAGAGCGAGGGCGATGGTTGTGGGCGCAATGCGCAGACACCGCAAGGCTTAGATTCGTCCTCATCGAGGAGCCAAACGGCGGGGCTGGGGACCACGGTACTGCAGCGTCAGGGTTACAGAAGAACGCGATGGAGAACTCGTGGACGCGGGGAATACGTATCGAATCGCTGTGATTCTGGTTCTGAGTATAGGAGACCTGTAAAAATGACTGCAGGGTGCCTGTCCAGAACGCAGCCAGCAGACATAGGGGCGGCAGGTTACTCTCTAGAGCTGGTGATAAGCTGCATGGAAGCATACCCAGCGCAATTCGGAGCAGCGGATAGGCGAGACCGTTGACTACAAGGGAGTCCCAAGGGAGAACGAGGTGCGGGGCTTTTCTTGACAGGGCGGTTAACAGGGTAAGATGGTCCGGCTGGGTGTGTAGGGAGAGGGCGTGGGTGATGCCCAGCGATGCAGCGCTGAGGAAGGTACAGGGGATACGGGGGTCGAAGAATGCACTGCAGAGGAGCGAGTGCAGGGCATCAGGGATAGCGCTGAGGGCGAGGCATTTGTCAATAGCGTGGAAGAGAGAGTGAAGGCGCGTTTCAGGGCCGTCGTATGGGGTTGCGGGGTGAACGATGGGAGCTGGCGGACTTAGGGCTGGCGGTCGACGTTGCACGGTTGGAAGCATGAGGACGGTGAAAAAGCCCGCGAGAAATTGGCGCTCATCTCCTCCGGATTTACAAGAATTCAAGAGGATTTTGAATGCCAGAGTGGAATCTGGAGAGACGGTGTGCCAATCTTGACTAGGAAATTTGGATTGGTTAGTTGGTCGAATTGACAGCAGGGAAGAGTGACTCGCCTTTGAGCTGGATCGATATCTTCGTCTCGAAGCATCCACGGGGAATAGGAAGGGGCTGAGCCAGACTTCACTTCAGCGGACCACTGATGACCGATGATGATGTCCCAGAACGAGTCTGTCAGAGACCTGCTGTTGCTGTGTCGAATGATGGTCTCAAGCCCTGACGCTTGGAGGATCTCGGCCCAGCGACAGGAGATGATGTACGACCAGGCCAGGACAATGCTGCTGAAGTATGGGGATTGTTGCGCGGCGAAATCTGTCTCTTGCTGCTGGGGCGACAGCTTGTTCTCTTTGTAGATCCTGGGTTTTGGAAGTGCCAGAAATTGAAAATAGTCAATCGACTTCCATCGCTGGTCACAGTCGGGACAGTCTGTCGTTTGCACACGCAGTGATATATCCAATGCGTATTGTCGGCCAGTGAGGTGGATGCCCTCAGGAAGATTGTGGACATAATGCGGGACCTTCTCCAACAGTGCCAGAAAATGATCTAGATAGAGAACTGGATCTAGGCACTGGGAAGATGTACGCGCCGCTTGGCGCCAGTCTTCAAAGCTTTCCTGGTAGCATTGCTGGAAGTCCGAGGCCGACGGGCAGATTCCATCACCAAAGGACCATTCTTTGGCATCGCTTCTGGAGTCTGTTGGGGAGCTCATCGATGCTAATTATGGCATAATGACTGGAGGAGTTGAAGATCTCCGCGCTCAAGAGGAGGCTCTTAGGAGGAGGCTCTCAAGGAGCGGTGAGGGGGTTGTTCATGCAGGGTGAGAGTTCATCCAGGACTTCCCACTCTCTTATTTTATTACGAGTCCTAAATTTCAGAAAGTCATTTTGCTGTACTCCGTAGAATATGTAGCCTCATCGTCAAACTGTCCGCCCTTCGCCTGTGCAGCGAGTTAAGTCTTCGGTTGTGTACTAAGATTTCAAATTGAAATCTAGACGTTTCAGGCAGGGTTGAAGATGATAATTCGAGGCCATATCATCTCCAGCAATTATTTTCTTTCCTTATGTCTATTTTAGCAGAGAGCCCAAGACATGGCTTCAAAAAGCGGTGTATTGATCAAATTGAAACCTAAGCAGGCACTTATAGAATAGCAGACTCGAGGTGATATGCTAATGACAACCTAGCTCCAGAGCACAGCCTATAGTAGCCCTATTTTCCATTCTGAATCCTGAGCTTATGATTCTGGAACACTAGCAGCTACCACTACATAGCTCCCCTAGTGTATGTAGAAAAAAAGAGAAAATCTGGTGAACAGAGTGTTATATATGTATTCACTTTTGCTTTGTAGGAATGAACACCTCTCCTATTGGCTAGTTACTTTATTATGGTATGCTCGCTAGAAATTATCCTTATTAAACTTGAATGTTACTGTTCGAGCAGTTAACAGCCCTAGTAACTTCTTGACACGCCACTCCTCCCCCACTAAAGCTGCTCCAGTCAAGCTTTGGACGTGCTCCGTAGTTGCCAGCGATTATAATTAGCAGTACAACAATCCCTGTCACAGTTTGCCGTCAATCAGTTTTTGATTGTTTGCGTGGATGAATGGTCCAGACTCCCGTGCTCCGTATGTATACACCTTATGGCATCCCGATTCACGCTTTTTTTGAAAATACGAAACTGACCTCCCTCTGACTCAGTCAAGTACGCACCAAAGCTGACTCATATTACGCGTTGCTCCCGTGGCGCAATGGTAGCGTGCAAGACTCCTAATCTTGAGGTTGCGGGATCGAGACCCGCCGGGGGCTAAAGGCTTTTTGTTTTTGATGGCATCCATTTTATTTTATTTTATCAAATCAAGACTTTTTTTATCCTTTGAACCTGTGCGAAATTGATAGGCCTGACTTTTCTTTATTTTATTTCAGTAACTACTCTTCTTGGCTGGAGGCTGAGTCTTGGAGTGGTATCGTCTATTTCTAACTTTTATAACGCACTGGTCTGTGGCTGATTTTAGAAGTACGTATGATCTACTTGAGATTACGGCTGACCAGCCGGGAGCTTATGTTTGTTTTGATCTTGGTGATTCGTTTGTCTGATAAATCATGTATTTAAGCGAAGTCCAGTATTACCTATACGGAGACAGCTGTAACTGAATCTCATTGATTGAGTGGCAGTTTCCATTCCTACTTCAAGAATTATAGGAAGTCCCTTTCATCAGTGGTATTGTCTAAATTGCTATACTAAGTGTCTGTATGGAACCCATGGTTGTGAGCAAGGTGTCCAAAGATGTCACAAGTGCATAGATCTCAAAGAAATTATGCACACCCGTCGAATACTACTCAAAGTGCTACTACTATCCCTCGACTTCTATGGCCGGGATCGGCATTCGGAGAAGCGACAGGCCCAGAAACGTCATTCCTGCTTTATAAAATCGCCGGGTATAAATGCTAAATGATGTACAGATTCGTAATAGGGACACCACGCGACCGCATCGAGTACCGCCTCTTGATCCCCACGCCCGTAGCGACCTGCAAGAGGGCATATGTCTCCTCACCGCCGCCAACCATGACCAAGCTTACGGGATGATTGCGGGGAATGCCGCTCGCGGTCATTTGCGCTTCATCGAGATGGGGACGGATGAGACTGCTCTCGGCGCGGAGGGCAGCGAAGGGAGCAACCGGGGCCGAGCCTGGAACCTGCTCGGACTGGGGATCGTGAGGTTGGGGAAGGGGGGTATCGTCTTCATATGAAACGACGACGACGAGCTTCAGGGATGAGCGCGAAGACCGGAAGGCGGCGATGTTGCGCAGTTTCTGCGAGAATGTGCAGCCACCACGCTTAATGACGATAACTTCGTGGTTTTGGACCACGTCTCGGAGAATGCGCTCATGACAGAGGTCGCCAGCAAAGTAGATCGATGACCACGTCAGACGGCGATTGGACGGAGTTCCGACAATCGACATGGTGGCAGCATCCTCCACATCTGGCAAGGGCGCGGCCCCGACACCAGTTGCCATGCTGGCTGGCAGACTCAGTCGCAGCGGTGTGGTCTCATCGGTGTCATCTCGGATCAGAGACGACACCGAGCTCATCAGATTCGATAGCAGGCTTTTCATGGTGGAGTCGGACGGATCGACGTCCACGTCCTTGTCGCCTGGACCAGACTGGTGCCGGCCGAGGTGAAGCTTCGGATCTTCTTCCTGTGCTGAAGCTTCTGCTGTAGGGACTCTAGCTCTTGGAGAAGCTGACCCATTGCGTCGGCGAGAGGGGTCTGCAAGAACGTCAATGACGAGATCAAGCATGGCGTTGTCGCGGACCCGGGTGAAGTTCGGATCGTACGGATCAACGATATCAGACGTGACCTGGCGTGAGATATATACCTTCTCATCCTTTCCCAGAGGTACATTGTTGATCACCTGCACCCGATATCCATCTTCATCTTCAGGCGTCTGACCCACCAAGGGAACATCTTGAATCATGCTCAACCGGAGACCTCCAATATTCTTCACAAAAATGCCGTCTCGCACTCGCTCCAAGGCCCCTGGTCCTAAGTTTACCCCACCGGGTAGCGATGGGAAGGAGATGTCGAGTGTTGGGCGAATGGCCATTGGCGCACTCGTTGCGTTGAAAGGGACGAGTTGCGGAGGAAGAGTCCATGGATAGAATGTATAGTTCGTTGGCGATGACAAGTCCGATATGGATATACTGGGATGGTCTGGCGAGTCCACCAAAATGGGGCCTTCGCTTGTGTAGCCACGATGGGGTCGAAGGTGTAGCCGTGCCAAGCTGGCTGCATGGAAGATGTCAGAACGGGATGCTGTAATAGACACGCCAAAAGTGGACGAGGTGGGAATCGCTTGGCATATGTTGTCCGGCGAAGATTGAGATGATGTCAATGCTTGCTCACGGCGAGGTTGTTTCCTTGACCTGGTGGTCTTCTTGGGAATGATCAGAGGATGCCCCTCGGTGGAGAAAACCCACGGGGCGTCGATTTTGTTAAGTGGATGCTCCGGACTGAACAAAAGAAACATATACTTCGCAGTCTCGCCAAGAAAGAAGCTTTCCATTCTATCGATCATCTCGCCACTTTGGACATTGCGCAAGCCTGCCCAGCCGCATTTGGTCCAACAGCGGCGTTTGAGATCGCGAAAGACCATTTCGCCAACATGTAAATACCAAGGATCTTGTGTCGCCCTGTAGATGTAGTAGGTGGACTCGATGAACTCAGGTCGACCACCATACCAAGAAAGGCCGCCGTCGATATCGCCTGTGGCCACGTTCCATCGCTCCGGGAGACCTGAGAAGCGAGTCCAGATGGCGGTTGTTAACAAGTGAATCTGAATGGCTTCATCCACCTTGCCATCCAAAGCAAGGAGCCCTGGATAGTATGCGCTAAGACTATCGATCCAGAAGGCGCGGGTAGCACCGGTAAGGACATCCGCAACAACAAGATGGGGATGCTGATATCCCTCGCCACGATATAAATGGCGATTGATGGATGTATGTGAGTCTTTCCAGACTTGGAGAAAAGCATCGGGAGAATGTTGATCCACAGTCAATGGAGGATAATACCCATCCAAAATGCTCCATGGACTGCTGGAATCGAAAGGCGGTCGTTCTCCTTCAGATAAGAGAACATGGGATTTGAAGGCGTACTCATAAAAACTGTCAATTCCAGCACCAATCTATCAAGCAAGTTAGCACAGACTGCCCCAAAGATAGATTGTACAGGTTGTTGACCTACCCCGGAGTATGGTCCTACCCATTTCCCAGATTCCACTTCGATGCCAAATCCAATGAGCCCTATTTCACTGCGGTGTGACCAAACAGCCCAAAAGGCCCTTTTGGCCAGTTCTTCATACCGACCATCTCCCGTGAGCCTGCTCAGGACAGTAAATTCGAGCACCAAACTGCCTGCCCCGGCACTGCATGTCTCCGTGACTTCTTCAGTAGATGATGCGTACGTATATTTTGACTTCCGCTCATTCTTCTTGCTAGATTTCGCATTAAGAGGTGAATTTTCGTAGAATGGAATACCATGCCGCAAGTTGACTCGCGGGTATGGAAGACCTGTCTCGGTATAAAATGCAGGAAGCAGACGGTGTGTTAGATCAACCGCTAGGCGCAGAAGTTGACCGTCATAAACAAAGTCATTATCCCATATGATGCCATGGTTGGTCTCCGAAAATGCACTCTTGTCCCATGCACTGGCGAAATCGGCCTCCTGTTCTGGCGGATGGTATCCAGTAATTGGCAGTTCTCCCACTGCGAAAAGGTGTGAACTGAGAAGTCCGCCTGCGTAGAGTATTAGCCCATGGCATTCTGCAAATAGCGAATCGACCACAATTCCGTGAGTGTAGTCTTTGGATGTTCATACCGAGACCCCGAATAACAGTTTCAAATACCTGCACCTTGCTATCGATATCAAAACCTCTCGCTCTCTCACCCTGACCAGCAGGGCCATGCGAGCCGTCACCGTACAGTCTCACAAAATCCTTTACACCATTTTGGAAATGTGCCAAAGCTCGATCTCCACTCTCCGGACTCGAGGACAAGATTGCCAAGGTCGATAAGCTATCGATCAGGGTTAAGGAATAATTGCCGAGGACATCATTGTGCTCCAGATTTCTTTCGTCGCGAGTCAGAGGGCCACAGGTCAACGGACGTAGCTCGTCTTCCGGAAAAGCATGTGCGAGGTAATTTTCAAATCCGTGGAAGAACATGCGCTCGGTTTCTTGCCTGTAAGATCGGGAGGGAAGGGTTAGCGATGATCCCGAGAGACGGGGATGCGGCCATTGAATTCGTGTATTTGGGCTCGCACAGCGATGAAAGTGCCTTACCTGAGCTCTTTTACCTGGTAGTCTCGCATCCCCTGTGCCAGCGGCAGCCATAGCAACAGTAGAATGGCCCAGACGACCATGATCCACGCGCGATGGGGGTGGAACATCTGCCGGCTCCAACATCGCGTGCGCATCACCGGAGCAGATGGCCGCCGGGGGTCATGGACGGGCGGCAGACAAGATGAGTCTGTCGAGTCGACAAAAGCACAATCTGTCCAGGGATCACAAAACTGGGGGTGGTTCAGCGCCCGCTTGGCTTGGTGGAAGGGAGAAAAGTGGCCGGGAGGGTGGATACTGCCAGATAAGCCATTTCGGAGAACCTTTTGGGGCGCGATCCATTGCATCATCTGCGGGCCCGGTCCCTGAATTCATCTTCAGTCGTCTTCCCTGAAAAATGAATATAATCACGTCGTTGGACATTTTGGACATAGAATATCATGAAAAATTATACTTTAATTCATATTATTGCTATTACGATGCGTTCTTTTCTGTCATGCGCATCAGATGGATCAAGACACGAGTGAAACTTCGGCTGGGACTTTTGAGTCGCAACACGCACCCTCATTGAGACGACGTGCGATCAAACCTCTTTCATGGATCGAAACTTGATTCAAAACAGTCAAATCCTTGCAAATACCCTTAGGGCCAGACAGCCACAGCCAGGAGAATATCAAATGAAGCAAACCCTTTACAGAGTGCGGTTGCAAACACAAGCGGGATTCTATACGTCGTCGGGTTTGGAAATCGGATCCTGAGCCTGACCGGTGATAAGAGGCCGGGCTATGAGAAATGCAGAATAGTCAAATGTCTGAGAGGGACTGACAACCCAGTACTCGAAGCATGTCTATTGGTATATTAGCTTTGAACCAGTCATTAGGTCGATCTATTGTTATCCATGACTTACCGCACTCGCGACAAGATCCGCAACGACAGAAGTTGTGATTGATGGGCGGACGTTTGGAGGAGATAGTACAGGAACGAATAAGAGAGGTTTATCTAGATGCATAACTGGGGATGGTTCTCCCGTGTAAGCTATCGCTAGAGGACTGGGCTCAAATTTGAGAGGCCTCGATTTGGCGAGGAACCGGGGCAAAGTAGCCATCTCGATTATGCATACGATGGCGTAGAAAAGATGAAGACTGGTGAACGTCACAAGAAAACCGTAGAGCAGCGCCTTTAGTGAGGATGGAAAACCTGCTCGACTCCATGATAACGTTATTGCTAATTTGACCTTAGCCATCTTGACTGCATGAGACGATCAAGCAGGAAGGTCACTGTTACCTGCACCGCAAAAGATAATAGCAAAACAGGCAGAAATTCCAAACCAGAGACGCTCCGTGACGCTCAGAATTCTGAGCCGGGCCACTCCGACTTTGAAAGCTTTCACTTCGTTCTGCGTGAGAGACATCCGGGTCGGGATTTTGTGTGGATAGAAATGAGACAAAATCGGCAAGGCAAATGTCGTAAGAGACCGGGGAAGCGATAGAGACATGGATTGTAGATTCAAAAAGAAGAAGAAGAAGAAGAGGGAGGAAACAGGCGATGATGATGAAGAAGGGACGCACAATCGCTCTCTGAAGGGAAAGAACGTTGCCGCAGCTATAAAAGCCTAAAAACATAAGACAAGATAATTCAAGAAACGTCGAAAAAAAGCCTCCAAGGTCATGTTATTTGGGACTATAGTGTACAGCTCATCCATGAGAAACATCTCCCGTCAAAGGGCTGGCTTTTCCAGCTGCCATTCCGAGCTCTTGCTAGCCAAAGAAGCAGAAACCCGGGCCAGCTTTATGGCGATAGAACCAGACTCCAGCAAAAGGCTTCACGCCCCGTTTGCTGCTGATTGAATTGGCTATCCTGAAAGTAGAGTGAATAGATCCGAGAGAATATGGTGGTAGAGATCAAATCAACGCCCGCTTATCCATCATTACAAGTGTTTTTTAGAGTGCCGCGCATCGCACGTTCACTTGCCAAGCTCACCCAGCATCAGATTACGGTCTGATGAGCATGAAACAACTGCAAAAAAAGGATTAGCAAGCGAGGCAATACACATATTGGAGTGGAAAATACTCACTAATTGGCTCATCGTTCGGAGAGAAGCGGACATCGTTAACTGTGCCCTTATGACCTGGCAGTTTATAAAGAAGCTTGCTTGTCTTCGCATCCCAGACAACCACACTGCGGTCACCGCTACCAGCGGCAATCTTCTCTCCCTTTGGATCCCAGCTGGCGCGAATGAGGTTCTTCTCCAGGCCAACAGGAGCACCGTCAAAAGTTCCCACCTGGCGGTTGGTCGGGGCAAATGGCCGGATATCCCATGTTCGGACAGTCGAGTCGTGAGAATTCGACAGAAGGGTCTGCGAGTCAGGTGAGATCTGAAGTGAGGTAATGGTATCGGTATGTCCGGCCATTGAGTAGACGATCGCCTTCTTGCGCAGGTCCCAGACATGGATGGTATTATCAATGCCGCCACTGTAAATCTCATTTCCAGCCTCTGAAAGAGCAACCGCCGTGATAGGGAGCTCGGTCTCCAGGTACTCCAATGCATCTTTTTGGCGGGGGTCCCAGATACCTATGCAGCCGTCATCGCTACCACTGATGAGTAATTCCTGCCCTCGCTTGCTGATATCGAGGCAATTGATGATCTCCTCGTGGCCCACATGGCGGCGCACGCGTGTCCCAGTTTCCAGATCCCAGCTTCCCAGTGTCATATCTGCAGACGCAGAAAAGAGCGCTCGCGAATCGCGCGCCCATTGTAGATCAAGGACTGCGCCCTTGTGGCCAGTCAATTCGCCATAGTTCTCACATTGTCCGTATGTATTCCACAGCACTGTATCACAAATCATGAGATCAGCTTTCGTGTGTTGCTTGTGCGAGAAATTCAGCAATTGACTAGGACTTACAGATGGAACGGTCCATCGAGCCGGATGCGATATGTTGGGCGGTCGGATCAAACCGAACAGTGAAAACTTCCCCAGAATGTCCTAATTCCCTCCCCAAAGCTATCAGAGCTGGTTCCCATCTATAGATTGTCCAATGAATTCTTACCTGTGAGCTCCATGATGGGCGCATCGAGCCCACTGGTGCGAGGTACCTGCAATTGAGTTAGCCATTGCCCACAATTCTGCTTGTCAAAGGATTCGAGCCTGGAAAGACTTTTGAAATGAAACATACCGATTGCACCAGAGCACCATTCTGCGACGAGCCCTTGACCACCGCAGCGCTCGGGTTGAGGTCAGCATCGGACTTCTTTCGCTTGACGACCAGTTGACTTGAAGACCCGAAGGCTTCTGGAGCAGGGCGTTTTTCTCCCGACATCATGGCGACAGAGAAGAAAACCTAGTCGCTAGATACAAACAGAGAAAAGGGGCCGGGCGTTCTGGGTCGAGGGGTTTTATTGCGGAGAGCGAAAGATTCCTAGGAGAGCCCTCGAGCTGCTACAGGAAGAACGATAATCCCACTTGGGCCGGGCGGTGAGAGCGTGTGTACGGCGACAGCTCCAGGATATCTCGCACTCCCCGCAATCAACATCCATCCACCTGATTGTCGCATTTGCTGGTGTATGTGCCGCTGTTGTGTTTCTTAATTTTTTGATCCAAGTCCGACTGGGTTGAGATTCCCCCTGACTCCACCACCATGTCTACAACCACAAAGGCCTCAAGGATAGGAGAAGAGTACGTGCAGCTGCGCTTCAATGTAAAGACCTTTACTAACTAATGATTAATCTTCCAGGATATGGAAGTGAGTAGTCCCTATTTCGACTTTCATGGTGTATATTTCTTTGTCGATTGAAGATTTTGCGACCCCCCTCTTCGGTTTGCAACCCCCGAGTTGACCGAAGCCTCTACTGCAGAACGAGAATCGATAAAGTCAATGCGGAGCTCGTCACGTTGACCTATGGCACCATTGTTGCACAATTATGTCAAGACTATGACAGCGATTATCAGGAAGTGAACAAACAGCTGGACAAGATGGGCTACAATATCGGCATGCGGCTGATTGAGGACTTCCTGGCCAAATCCGGGGTGGGACGGTGTGCCAATTTCCGGGAGACCGCCGATATGATTGCGAAGGTATGTGTGATTTTTTAGAGGTCTATCTGATGTTGATCAATGGAGGAAAGACGACGGAAAGAGGACCCGATAGCTGACATTCCGATCAGGTGGGCTTTAAGATCTTTCTGAATGTCGCACCGACGGTCACCAATTGGACCAGCGACAACAACCAGTTCTCATTGATCTTCGAGGACAATCCATTGGCCGACTTTGTGGAGCTTCCCGACGATGGGCGGGCCCAGGATGAACTGTGGTTTTCGAATATACTGTGCGGTGTGCTCCGGGGCGCATTAGAGATGGTAAGTAACTTTTGTTCTAGGCGCTCCCCCTCTTACCCCTTTGCTGGGTTGTCCCGCCTAGTCCCCCGCCACTGTCCGAACGACAAGGTTCCTTTGTGCTGGGACCGATCGCTGACCCGGAACCTAGGTTCAAATGCAAATCGAGGCACACTTTGTGAGCGATGTGCTTCGAGGGGATGACACGACGGAGATGCGGGTTTCGTTGGTTCGGTACATTGAAGATGAGATGCCACCGGAGGAGGAGTAAAGATCGCGAGAGAGCATCAATTTGGGCGTTCATTAGGCCGGGGGTGTTTTTTTTTCTTCACTTTTATCTTCTCTTTGTTTCTATTGAATATGTGTTAAATCTTCTTTTTTTCTCTTTTTCTTAATTCGAAGAATCAAGCGAATTACGTTGGCATTCTTCTCGATCTACATATGAACGGATCAGTAGTTCCTCCACCTTATCTGTATACTTCTTGAGAATTTCCGGTTGTGTTCAAGTTCCCAGACTTCATTGCTTTTTGAAAACTCCTCTGTTATTAATATCCCTTGTTTTATTCTGTATCTTCTTCGCCTGGAAATGTTTTCCCGCGAGGACACGGTTGTTGCATCAGGAAATTGATCCGGATTGATGCTCGGAATAGGCTTTCTGATCTATCGCGATGAGCCCCAACCACTCCCCGCCACGCGATTTATCACCAGCATCACCGTGTTTTTTGAATGCGAAACTGACGCAGGGGCATAGTGTTCCTGACGAGAACGCCATGACTGGCCCACTTAGTGGCGTAGAGGCCAGAGCGATCGCATTGAAGTGGACGAATGCTTGCAATGCGATCGAGTCAAGAGTATCAATCGACGGAATCGACTTTGTTCCTGATTGCTTGACGAGCGATACGTCTGATACCACGGAATTACTGCAATTACCCGCCACCATCGCGGCGTGTCTACATTCAATACATTTTATAGGCGTGGGGGCCCGAGGCGGATGTGACGGTACGGTCAGCGCAATACGGATCTCCGCCCCTCCGTTTTTTTCATGTCGCCCGATTTCCCTACACATCCAATTCTTCTTCTTTTCTCGCTGTTCGTCCTCCCTTCGCCAGTTCCCAATACCCAGTATATCCGTCCGATTGGATCCTCAACTTCGCTCGGGCATCGCTGTGTTTCGAAAGCGTTGGTTTCTGCGCGGAAGACCTGACCTTTTTTAGACTCCCGCTGGGATCCATCACAGGGCCCATCGCGGCGCGCAAGCATATCACCATACCTAACCACTCTCGCCTGATCGTCCCTCCCTCCAATCCACGGCCTACTCACCTCTTCTCTCCTCCCAACTGCCCTCTTCTCTTTCTTTTCTCTTCATCTCTCCGGTCGCCTGTATGCTCTGTTGCTTTTGATCTTTTCCGGACTCCCTCGCCCAGCGTTTCTCCGCGATTCTGTATGCGACGGTGCATGCCCAGATATACGCCGGACCGCGCCATCCCCAGCCCCGGGCTCCGACCGAGTTGATCCGCTCCGAACAAGCGATTCTCCCGCAGCAGCGCAGCGCCTGTCGCCGTACCCCCCGGTTCGCTCCTCTCCCCTTCCACCGTGAGATCCACCTGCTCCTCTCCCCTGTCTTTCTCTTCATCCCCCTCTGTCTCGTCTCTGTTGTCTTTTCGTTGCATGTCCAATACCATCTCGTTCTGCGATTCCGCCCGATCGGGCTTGTCTGCCAGCGCTCGCCCCCTTCCCATCCCCCAGCCTCTTCACTTGTGGGCTTTTTCCGCCTATTGGTACCTCCGTCATCGCCCAAACCCTATCGAAACCGGCGCCTCGGCCACTCCCTTGGATCTGTCCATGAGCTCGGCTTTTTTCTGACCGTCGCTGCCATTCTTTAGCAATTAGGGACCCCTCGGTTCTTCACTTGCGCCCGCCGAATCTCGAATCGCGCCGATCTCGTCGCGTGGTCCGCCTCCCCTCCTCCCCCCCCGGACAAGACGTCTCCGGCCGCTGCAGATCTTCCTGGCAGAACCCTCGTATCCAAGCCTTGATCAATCGGACTTGGTGTTTTACTTGCGCGGTCACTTCGCCACACGAGGATAACACTGTCGTCCTTACCCTTCGAATCGCATCGTTGTTTCGAAGCGCTGACCGCTTCTTGCTCTGGGCCGCGACCTCCCCTCCTCCTGTTCCCACGCGTTGCTCTTCCCCCTTCCGCATTAGGCTTGATCGCCTGAGTCGGTGGAGGCGCGTTGGAACTTGACGAGTCTTTTTTTAATCATACTTTGAATTGCTTGACAACATAAGTAGGCAAGGGTGGCTGCAATCCCACCGTTCGCCACCATGAACCAGATGAATGTCGCTGGAATGAACCCAGGGGTTGGTGGCCCCGTCGGCGGTGTCCCGATGATGAACAACGGCTCCATGGCTCCTCGTAATGACGGCAACATGAACATGAATAACCCCGAGATCATGATCAACAACCTCAACACCTATATCTATGACTACTTCTTGAAACGTGGCTACCATGAGTGTGCCCGTGCTCTGGTTCAGGATGAATCGATCAAATTGAACACAGACGCTGGCAAAACCAGCCCCGGCAGCCGACGTGACGGTGATGTAAATGGCATCGATGGCGATGCCATGATGACTGACGGCAAGGATGGCGAGAAGATCAAAATCCCAGACGATCTTCCCCGACCAAGCCTACCCAATGAGAGCCTGCAGTCCTCATTCCTCCTGGATTGGTTCAGTCTCTTCTGGGACTTCTTCTGGGCCCAGCGCAAGAAGGGCAACAGCAATGACGTGAGGCAATATCTCCAACATAATCAGGTTCGTGCAGACTCTTCTCCTGTAATGCGCCAGGCATTTCGGCCTAATACTTTTGCTAAATAGAACATGATGCGTCTCCGAGAGCAGCAACATAACCAGCTCCTCCGACAACAGCCAATGATGCCTGGCCAAATGCCGCTGAACATGCGTCGCAACATGGTACCCCCTAACCTGCAGAAGACCGCTATGCAGAATATGCAGAACACCTCCGGCCTGTATGCTCCCCTTGGGCATATCTGTTGACTCCTTCAATAAACTGCTGGGAATCAAATCATGCTGACACGAGGACTCCTTTTACAGATCGCAACAGCAACTTGCCGCGCAGTTCCAGAAGAACCAGCAGATGCAGATGATGCAAGCGATGCAACGGGAACAGTCCGAAATGGACATTAACGGGAATCGCCCGCAGTCTCCTGCCTCCACCGACAACGCCCCCTCGCCATCGAAACGCCCTCGCCTCGAAGGTGCTGCTGTGAATGGTCAGCAATTGGCACCGAATGGACGTGGCCAGGGCCAGGGTCAGGCACAAGGACAAGGAATGCAAGGACAGCCCAACCCCCAGGCGCTGATGATGCAGAACGGAATGCCACGGGGTATGAACCCGGCACAGTTCCAGCAGTTCCAGCAGGGGCCGGCTGCCCAGCAAAAAACTATGCAGGTATATGCCCAAAACTTGGCCCTTCATCACTCTCGCTCAGCACTGAATTTCCAGGGTATTCCGAATGGTGGTATGATGAATCCCGGTGTGATGCCGAACCAGGCGGATCTGGTGCCGATGCCGGATGGACAAGGAATGTACCAAATGGGTGCAGAGTACTACAGCTCCAACGGACAAATGGCCCAGGTTCGACCAGGCATGCAGACACCTGGCGGTCAGCACGGCAACCATGCTCTCCAGGATTATCAGATGCAGCTCATGCTGCTTGAACAGCAGAACAAGCGCCGCCTGATGATGGCTCGTCAAGAGCAGGACAGTATGGCCCGTACTGACGGCCAGCCCCCAATGCCAGGACAGGCAGGATTGCCCCCAGGCACTTCTCCTCAGGGCAGCAGGGCGGGTGCGTCACCGAACCCCAGCGACCAAATGAAGCGCGGTACGCCCAAGATGCCGCCCACTGGCCTCCCCGGCTCACCTAGCGCCGGTGACATGAACCAGAACCGTGGCTCCCCAGGCTCGATGAACCTCAACGGGCAAATGCTGCCAGAAATGGCAGCTCAATTCTTCCCCGGACCGGGTGGTCCTAACATGCGACCCCCAGCTCCAACCCGTCCTTCAGCGGCCCGGCGATGGGCCAACCCATCCCTGCCAATGCTGGCAATCGTATGCCGAGTGGACAATGGCAGCCGGGGCAGCCCATGCCTCCCCAGCATTCTCCTGCCACTCAGCCCCAGGCCGGGACCCCTCAGGATCGAGGCAACATGCCTCCACCTCAGGCGCCACCGGCTGGCGCCAATGCGGGCCGCACTCAGCCACCATCTCCTCAGACTGGTGGCAATGCGCCTCCGACCCCCCAGCAGGCATCCAAGCCTGCGCCTAAAGGTAAGAAGGACAAGGCTGATGGAGGTCGCAAGCGACCCACCAAGAAGAACGCTGCGGCAGCCAACACCGCTGCCGGCGCCACTCCATCTACTGATGCCAATGAGCCTACGCCAACTCCCTCCACACCCGTCACCCCCCAGCATCCTCAGTCCTTCACCAAGGGCGGAGCGAATGCCTCTGCTGCTGCGCCGCCGCAGCCGACCTCGGCCCCTGCTGCCCAAGCAATGGTCCAGCCTACTCCGGACCCGAGTCAACAGACTTTTGGTGATCTTGCCATCCCTGATGTAAGTTTTTATCTTTCCACGTTATCTCATACCACATACCTGTCTCCTCTCCTTTTCCTTTGTGATTGTATCACTAACATGTCTTTTTGACCTATCAGGCCTCTGCTTTCAGCCTGGACTTCAGTACTCTGGACAACCCTGATATCCTGGAAAGCTTTGACTTTGACACATTCTTGAATACCGACGGAGACGCAACTGGCTTCGGCTTTGATCCCAGCATGGGATACTCGAACGACGGTGTTGAGACCGGGGCCACGGAAGGCCTGTGAATGATTTGAAAAGTCTTGAAACGGTTCTCTTCCGGTGTTTAAACCTCCGATATACCCTTTGCGTTTTGTGTACATTTGATTGCTCGTTATAGTGCGTCTTCTTTTTGGACTCTTCATGTCTCTTTTTCCCCATTTATTTCGCGGATACTCGCCCCGATCGTCTCTTGTCTTTGTTGGGTTTCCCATATTTTGGAATATGTTTGCGCGCATGTGTTGTGAAATTGGCGTTGGTGTCTTTTGAACGTCTGTGGTCGCATCTATCCTCCATCTCTCCCTTTATTCTTCTTTCCCAACTTCGATTCTCCTGTCAACCGCTCGCGGCTTCGACTGCCCAAATTGGACTGACTCTCTGGAGAACTTTACTGTATTCGAGATTAGTTGCACTGTGACCTACGAGTTTCTTCGCTTCGCTTCTTTCTTTCTATTACTACTACTTATCAATCGTCTGGTTACCTAATCCCTTGCTCTGTTTGCTTGACATGGGACAAATCTACCCTCATGTTGACCTTTTTTCCTGGAGCCCAGTATGGTAGCCGTGCTATGAAGCTGATGGTTCTCTCTCCCTTTCATTTTTCCTCGGGTTGTCCGACTTTTATCTACCTCTTTCTCTGGACGCGCATTTTGTTGTGCTAGTGTCTTTCGTTTCTTGGTTTCTTTCTCCCTTTTCTTTCTTTTTCTCCTCCATTTCATTTTTTCTTTTTCCTTTCCTTTTCCTTGGCTTTCTTCTGTCTCTTTCATCTAACCAAATGCCGGGCGTTTTTTTTGGGTTCAGCTCGAGCTATCTTTCCAACCAGGGACTATTCATCTACCTTCCAATCTACATCTGACTTATCTCCCTGGACACTGTTATGCTTTGATTCTGGCTCTGACTCCAAAAGTGGCTGATATGCACTCCTCCCGTATATCCTACTACATCCTACCCCGACTTTCTTCACACGTCCCCACTATCCCAACCACAACTGTTGCCTTAGCCGTTCACCGGCTCGCCACGGCAAACAATCCTGTCCCCCTCTTCTTCCAAAAGGCGACCTCCGTGCATTCATGGATCTGGAGCCAGTGCCAGCTCGCTCATAGAAAATGGAAATGGATCCTTGGGCGGCTCAGCGGATCCGTTCATGAATGACAGTTGCTCAAACAAGCCCAGGATTTCTCTCAAACCACCCTCAACTCAGCTTGGACAGCGGGTAATAGTTGCAGTGTCTCGTCTTGAAACGGATATGAAGTCAGCATAAATCACCCCACGACCTCTGTTAAATGTTCTCATTTGGCAAGCATGTGAAAATGGTGGTGATCAATTCTGGATTTGCAATGCCTATTTCCTACAGTACCAGCTTCTCCATTGCTTCTCTTGCAGATTTCCCCCACGACATTGACAATGTGCTTCCTCAGACTTCCCTTGAACAATCTGATCAATCCAGTTATTCCTCAGTGAAGATCGTAACATCTTCGGAGTAGAATGATGTGTTTACCAGACTCGAGTTTTGGATCAACATTGGCAACCTCAAGCTCTGGAGCAACGTAGGAGATGGATGCAGATACATCTGACTCCAACCGGGAGTTGTGTTTAGATGACTGAAGATGGAGATAGGCCGAGTTGGAAGACACGGACTGACCTGACGATGAACCTAGAAGCTTTTCTGCTGAGGTGCCAGAGAGCTGCATGAGAGGTCGGACGTGGTGACTGCTGAAAATGGCACACGCCCTCAGCTTTTTGAGATATTCTTCATGTACTGTCACAATAATCCCCGAATCACCGTGATGGGATTTGGAGAATTGTGAATAAGAATGTCTGATCATTAATGTAATCAACGAAGTCTGTAATAGACTATCTCACATCGCCTGCAAGGCCATCTCCTGCAAGATCTGCAGAGCCAAAGCCCCGCTCCCAGAAACAAGAGAAAAGAAAATAACAGTTAGTGTTTCATAGGCTGCCTGTGTTCGGAGCTCGCAGTCATTCCTCATACCCCCTTTCCCCTTGGTCCAAGACCGCAGCACTGAACACAGAGCAGCAACATCAGCAGAAAGTTCATGAGAACAAAACAAAGAAAAAGCAAATAGAAAGAGCATCGTAATAGCTTCACAAATCCCCGTGGTCAATAAGACCTCTCGTCTGGAGTGCCACATCCAAGGGGTCTACTTAAGAGGAGTGGATGCGCAGGGATGGGGTCGTGGTCGACCGTTGAGGTGAACTCAGCCGATACTCGATCTCGACCTCAAGACTGCGTAATAGGTGGAGCTCATTCAGGTAGATATCATCCGAAGACGTCAGACCCACTTCGTCCTTGAGCATCTTCAGCAAGAATAGGATGACCTTCTTCACGCCTAAGGAGTGAGCTGCACTGTCGGAAATCGGGCGAGTGTGAGCCAGCGTCACCGGGCTGGCCCGGGTAAGATACGGACTCGGGTCATTGAACCAGGCTCGAACTACATGCGATGAACCTGAGCGATCCGCATTAGTCTCCGTGCGGATTTCGGGCTCTGTGACACTAAGTGCAGAGCAAATTGCTGTTCAATGGAATGATATGATGGTCAGCATACTTCTAGAATCAAACGACATAAAGATACTGCAAAGAAACCGACCGTAAGGCCTATAAGGGGTGTTGATTGAAATACTTACTCATCATAACTCGGTACCATGAAGCCTGAGGGCTTATTTGGGCCAGCTTCTCTTGTACGGCCTTGAGCGACGCCAAAGGGTCAACTTTAGTGTCATCGGGGCTCTCAATAGGAGCCAGTCTGCATCTCTCCAGAGGAATGCGATTGGCATTTCCTAGCTTGGGTGACTCGCTTTCAGGACAGGGCAGAGCTAGAGGAGCTGGAAGAGGGCCTCCTGAAGGGTGAGGAGCAAGGGTGGCCTTGTTCTTCTTTCTGCGGCTATTACGACTGGGCAGAGGCGGATTCTGAACAGGTGGCGGGACACGCTTGGTAGGCTTCAGAGCAGGCTTAATGTTCATGCTCTGACCCTGTTTCTCAGGTGATGAAGGCATCGAGAATTTAACAATCTTGCCCCCAGAAACTCCTGATACCCTGCCCTGAGTTCTGGCATCTAATCCGGTCTTCTGATGGACCACAGATTCCTTGGCCTCTGGCAGGATGAGCAGAGGAGAGTCTGCGGGCAAGATGAAGCCTGGGTCAATATTCTCTGTCACCAAAAGCTGGTACAAAGCGTGGTGAGCCACCGTGTTCTGGGCTTCTGCCATGCTGTCACATTGCTTGAATGTACGAAAGAAGTGGCCGTTGATGGCAAGGTCGCAATGCCATTGACTTCCAAACACAGACGGTCCATATGAGGGAGCAGACCATCCTACCTCGAAGCAAAATTCTGAAGAATTGTTTTTGTGAGTATTCTGGCACCAAAAAACCATTCTTTCATGGTACTCAAAGACTGCCTTTCTTACCTTCAAGTAATCGAGTCCAGTTCCATGCCGGTCGAGTAGGTCCATCCATGGGCAGTGGAGGAACTAGCCATTGCGGATTGTACTTGCGCATCTTGTGCATAGCCTTTCGGCAGGCATTCACTCTCGCGAGATACACCGTCTTGGCATTAGGGGCCACCAGGATAGTGTGTCCATAAACAAGTAGGCGAACTCCAAACTTCCTCCCGTCCTTGCCTCCATATTTGAAAACAAATCGCGGCGAAAGGCGAGCCATGACACTCAATACCCCAAAATAAAACAAAACCCGGCTCGGCATTAGATCCTCAAGGTGGACCGACCCCAACAGAGTCTACAACATTCATATCAGCGGGATTTCATATAGAAATTAATAGAGTTCGTGGCACTCACCGGCTCCTCCTCACCTTGTAAGTTGTCATCTTTGATATGATAGAAGATAGACTGCATATCACAGCCAGGCTGAGGGTTAAAAACCTCACCCTGCTCAAGACTCATAAAAGGATCTCCCAAAGGCATGGGAATGAAAGGCACATTGCCGGCTGAAGACTCGAAGCCCTTCCACGCCTCGGAAACCGGAACTGGAGGGCCCAAGCCCTCACTCAATTGCAGAGATGCAGTTTGGGAAGTCAAATTCCCCGGGAGACCCAAGTCTATTGAGAGACCCGACTGTGCAGAAGGCATGTGCAGGATACCGGCCTCGCTCATACCGGATGGCAGGCTCAACGGGAAGATTTGATCTGGAACAAAAAGCGGAATTGAGCCCTGCAGAGCCTGGGTTATCTGGCACGAGCCATAAGACCCAGACACAGCAGGGAAATCCTGCACCCGTACCTGTTGATTCTGGGCTTTATCAGAATTCAGCAATGCAGTCATCGACTCCAGAAACTCTTGTGGACCTGGTGGTGGGGGTGTCATGGGAGTTGACATGCCGCCGATGGTGTTGGAGGATGTGTTAGAGCTTGGAGGATCGTTGATGGAGGAAATTACAGTCATGCCTGAGATGAGACTGTCATTCACCCCGTTTACCTGGTTTTTAGCCTCGGTGGTCATTGTGGTGGACATGCGGAGACGAAGACGAAACGTGCATAGAAAGTATGTTGTTGAACAGAAGAAGGGGAGCAGGAGTGTAGTCAAAGAAGACGAAGACAGTGATGAAGTAGGTGACGAATGGAAAGCTATCTAAGCAGCACAAACAGAGAGATTGAGTAGGTGAAGATGAAAAAGAGATGCGAACAGAAAGAGGTGAGGGTTTCCTAAAAAGGAAGGAGGGCAATCAATACATTCGGCTCATATGACAACAGGGAGATTCAATTCACGCGATGTTACAAATTTGCCAACAGTGGACAACACTTTTGATATATTACTTTGAATTTCCTTGTCAAACTGAGCACAGATTCCTCCTTGAATTGAATTCCATGGGTTTCATACGCTATTTAGGGGGTATCAATACTGAAGTATAGGGCAAAAGCTAATAATATCCCAGGAAACGCAGCTCTTCTCCCCTACAGAATACTGCTCACCACGCTCTCCTTCTCCTTGTCTGCCATATCATCAGCCTTCTCCTCATTCTCCTTGTTGTCTTTGTCCTCTCCGTGCTCCAGCAGCTGCTCCACATCGATTTCACTGGGGACATCAAGGTTGACTTCCTTGACAATCTCCAGCTCCCTCTCCTTGGCGGGAAGTTTCTTCTTGGGGCTTTCTTTGACATTTTCTTTTGCGGTCTCTTTTTTGCCCTTGACGTTGGCACTGGGGCTTGATCCAATCTTGGTGGAAGCGGTGTCTCGATCGGCAGGGTTGTTAGAAGTATTGGACTTCAGGCTTGAACCAGAGATATCACGAGGACTATTACTAGACTGTGAGATCTCTCGAAGGACGGAGCCACGGGTAGTGCTGCGGGAATAACTCGCCCTGCGTGCCTTGGCTGCGGAAGAGGGCTTGAAGGATGACTGAGGAGCTCCGGCGGGGACAGTGGAGGGGGTGTTGGAGGGCACTCGGATCCCGACAGTGGATGCTTTGGTGGGTGTCAGGGCTTCAATCAATAAGTTGTATTGTTCTTCATCCAGGGGTGTTGTCATGCTTGGCTGTTTACTATGCTCGTAGCTAATGCCGGTCATACTCGAGATGGGGCGGCTGCTGGCAGAACTGGAATAGTCAGGCATGGGAACATCTTCGCGAGATGAACGAGCAGCGCGCTGATGCCATCCAGACTCATTGATGAAAGGGTCCGCAATTGGTTCAGTCATGAAAGGCTCCTGATAGCGAGCTTGATAGGTTCCCCATCGAGGGTCTCCGGAGTAGCTTTGGGTGGAAGGCCACTGAGACATGGGCACGGGAAAAGCGCGGTTTGGAGCCCAGGCATTGTATACAGCCTGACTTCCACTGGAGTGACTGCTAGTATTGGGTGCAGCGCGGGAATCAGACTTGCCGGGGGAGTGCCCATGAAGATCGTCAGGCGCCTTCATGTCATCGAAACCTGCCATATAGTCGTACTTGTAAGAAGTTCGGGTCGCGAATTGAGCCCACATACTAGGGTTGGGCCACGCAATATTAGAATATTCAAGAATATCTACCTCGCCCTGTTAGCAGAGATTCTCATTTCCCGCACGGAAACCACGAGTTCCTTACTTAGAGGCGCATGCTGAAAGGACAAGACAAGGACATCTTTGACCCTTTCGAAGGGCGGAGAGCGATGCGGACGAGCGAAGCCTTCGGCAACCACAACTCGGATGCGGCCAAAAGGGTCCCCTGCATCCCAATGGCGCTGGTCCAAGATCTCAGGATGAAAAGCCGGGAAACGAAGACAATCCTGATTGCCTTCACGATCGATGTCTGCGGATGCAGTTAACTCACAAGTCCCAGGGAAAGAGGCGGGAGATTGACCGAGCACATACGAGAACTAAGATCTTCATGAAAGGAAAATTAGCATACAGGGTTGTTGTAGCGGACCAGGGAACTCTCCATACTTACCGATAATATATGGCCACGCCGACCTCTGGCCAAAAACCCCTCCTCTATTCGACCGCAGTTAGCCCGAGAAACTTAGGCTTGCACCCTGTCAAACAATACTCACGCAACACATGAGCCGTCTACAAAGACGCGCGCTTCATAGAGCAACAGGTCCTCCGGTTGCATCAGCCCTTCGATCAAGCGACTGGGCCGGGGCTTCTCCCAGCTATGGATGGAGACCCGGAAAGGACTGTCTTTGGGCATGCTCGGGACGAAGGTCGTTAGCACCGGTAGCTGGCCATAGTTGCTTTGGACGGGGAAGTAGGTTGATGGGCCGAGAATCGTGGGGTTGTGGAGGTAGGGCGAGTCGGTGTCTTTGGTGACGAAGCATTGTGTCTTGAATTCTTGAACGGGGACTTTCGATCCCTCGGGGAAGAGGAGCACATCCCAATTCTCGTAGCGCATTGTGGGAAACGGTGATGAGAGTTATGATGGAGTGGGAGATGAGATTGATGCTGTCTGTCGGTAAACAAACGAGGTGCTGCTTATAGAGTTTCCCGCAGGCCTCGAGAGCTCTTCCTCTCACATCAATTTGGTGCCAATATGATTGATAGCCGGAGAAAAAGGAAGGTGCCGAAGGAATTAAGATTTGAAGGATCCGGGCGGAGGAATTTATTTAAGGAAAAAGAAAGTTGGGAAGTTGGGGCAAGTGAGAATAGAAAGAGGCAAGAGCGAAGCAATTTAAGCGCCAGTGATACCGCCATTAACGCCGTCTAACGTGGACAAGAACAAAACCCTAGGCCTGGCCATCTACAAGAACACATGGACTTGTGCAACTCAACTCGACAGACTAGTCCAAGTAAACAGAAAGGGATGCGTATTACCTTCTATAACACTTCATGCTCAAGAAAGAACTCAACCTCTGACTGAGCACTGGCTCTCCAGTTCGCTTTTCCAACACATTGTTAGAAGTACGAAGAAATTGCCAGAGCGTCACATCCGATGCAAGTAACATGATAGGTATGGACCGAAGAAGCAAAGGAGTAAGAAAGATAAGAGATAGTTGATAGATCTCGACACGAAAGCCCTTCAGACAGGTGGTAGCTGACAAAGGTCTTGAATAAAGAACTTCAAGAAGAAAGGAGAGAGACAAAGGTAAGTCTGGAGCTACAGATACAGACGCAAGCGCCTTGCCAAGAGAGAAATTCCAACGGCAATCAAAAAAAATAAAAGAATAGTAGCACCAGTCCATGCAGGCATAGTTCAAAGGAGCGCATCCGAACGGTCGTGGCGAGAGATAGGAAGCGACAAAAACGCGGAGAGACGCACGAAACAAGTAGCGTGTTGTACAAACCGGTATCAGTCTAAAAAAGACGACGCAATCCAACGAGAAGAAAAAGAAAGCAGAACGCAAGACGTTCAAAGCGAACATAATTCAATTTGGCTGCTGGATGGAAGAGAACAGACAAAGGAGAATACGGACGAGAAAGAAGGGTAAAGAGTTGCGACTGAAATGTTGGAACTTTTCGCAGAAGGCCTGCCCAAGGAGTATAGAGTAAAGAAGAAACGCATGAACAATACGGGACTTTCGTTACACGCGAACAGGACCCCTAGGGCGGGGACGAAAAAAAAGAGAATAGCAGGATAGCATAAGTATGGGGGAGAAGGGCAAAGGGGGGAGGGAGGGGGCATTGAGATAGGTTAGGGAAGATAAAGAGAAAAAGAAGTAGTACGAAATTGGGCATTGGAGATACAAGAGGAAAAAAAAAAGTAGAGCAGCGTTCAGAAAGAAGCGGAAAATAATCAGATCCAGGAGAAAAGGAAAAGAAAAGGGGATAAGAGTGGGAGAAACAGGGAAGAAAACACTCAGATCTTGCTAAGATAAAAGCGCTCAACGGAAATGCGTAGCACAGGGAAGAGAAGAATGCTCATCAAGAGCTATAGAGCTCGAAGCCTTCGGGGCAGTGTGAAACCAGGGGGAAGGAAATAGCAAATTTGTTATGACACAGGGGACCCATCATTGGAATGACGCAAAACAACTCCTGCTGGTGCTTTCAATCAAAGAAGAACGCGCTTACTGGAAGAGAAGAGGGTAGTCAGCCGACCGAGCCTGATAACTCACGAGTGTTCGGGGGCCGGGCTGCCAGGGTGACTGCTAACCTTCATCGGGGCAAACCCGCCATACTGGTGGGCCGGGGGCATGCCCATGGAGGGGTACATGGGGGGAGGCGGGGGAGCCGGACGGTAGGGGCTACCAGCCGGGCCAGAGTTGTTCTGGGAACGGCCCCAGCTCAGGCGGACACGGGAGTTACCGATAGGGTAGCCCTGCATCTGGTTGATGGCCATCTCGGCAGCGTGGCGCTGGACGAACTGAACGAAACCGCAGCCCTTGCCAGGGGGATCTTGACGTAGGTGATCTCGCCGAAGCCCTGGAAGAAAGAGCGGAGCTCATCCTCAGTCACGTAGCCCGACAGACCGCCGACGAAGACGGTTGTGTTGTTGGGGTCAGTGAACTGGTTCATGGGCTGGGGAGCACCGTAGAAGCCCATAGGGGGACCACCCATCGGGGGATACATGCCGGCAGGGCCGGGCATGCCCATGTTGGCAGCGCCGACACCGGGGCCCTTGTTCTTGGGGGTGGCAGTGGAAATGCGCATGGGACGGTTACCGCAGTAGACTCCCTGCATCTCGGTGAGTGCACGCTGCTGGTCGTTCTCATCCGAGAAGCGGACGAAACCGTAGCCACGGGACATGCCGCTGATGGGGTCGGTCATGATCTTGGCAGACTTGCACGAGGGGAAACGGCTCTGGAAAAGCGAGACAAGGACGTATTCGTTAACCTCCGGGCCGAGGTCACCAACGAAGATGGAGTACTCGGGGCCACGGTCATCACGGCTGATAGGGAAGAAAGAAAAAACCAGGTAAGCCAATATCTTTCGAAAGACAATAGTTTAGATTGTAGCTTACCTGCGGTCCGCAAGGCCGCCGCCGGTAGCCCAGTTCAGCTTGAAGACACGGTTGGTGTTGGGCATGGGGGTGCCGTTCAGGGAAAGAGCCTTAGCGGCAGCGGCCGGGGAGGCGAAGTCGACAAAGCAGTATCCAGCATTGCTCCTACTACCAACATTAGGATCTTGGGAGAGTTCTGTGAAGATAGACAGGGGCTGCAGTGGAGGGGATCATGGTCTTACCCAGAGAATTTGTCACGGATCATCTTGACGTTGACCTGCTCACCCATCTGGAACCACAGGTTGCGGATGAAGTTCTCATCAATCCAAGGCTCAAGCTCACCCATCCTGAAATAAGGTTAGTAATTGCTCTCTCCGAGGGAATGGTGCCATCCCTTGGTTAAGAGGTTGTAATATCGAAACATACCAGAGGGTAGTCTTGCCATCAGCGCCTTGCTGGGGAACAGCAGCCGCGGGCTCACCAGGAGCGGCGCCCTGGAAGGGAGCACCAGCCTCACCCTGGCCGGTCATGGTGGTGTCGGCAGGGGCCGGGGCACCGGGGGCAGCAGCGCCAGCGTCGGCCTGGTTAGGGAAGGAATCGAAGTTCTGGAAAGACATTGCGTGCAAAGATCAAACTTGTCCGAAAGACGACGTAAGAATATAAAACGGCCTGAAGAACTTCGTGGAGTCGTAAGGAGAGACCGTAAGTAACGAGCACAACTTCGTAAACCCAGGAACAAAGAGATGGGCGTTAGGTTTCCTGTGAAATAGAATGTTAGGACAGTTTTCTTTATGGACTGAGACCTTCCAGTGGGCGCAAAGGCGCACGAAAGCAGATAACACGTGAAGAGTTAAGGCGAGGCAAAGCGAAGGCGAGTGAGACACAGGAAATGTGGATGGCGAGGAGACTTCAGGCTGAGGGAAGATAGCCAGACCGCGCACGCCGAGGATTGGAGAGAAGATGAAGATCAAAAAAGATATTTGGGGGCGGAAGTGATGGTGGAGTAGAAGCAGATGCGAGACGATCGTCGGTGGGAAAATCGCAAGATTGGCTCCGGCATGACGAGACACAAAATCAAAATGGCCCAGTCCAGGGTCGCTGCCTGAGGGAGCGTAGATCGATCGGAGGTGGTGGAGATGATTCGCCGGAGAAATCCACGCACAGAGAAACCCCAAGTCGGATGCGCAAGGCCGAACACGATGTTGGATGCTGGCTGGTTCTCAAGATGGGGTTCCCGCACATTGCGCCGGCCGTTTCCGTCTAGGTTTCCATCTCCGTCGCCCCCGGCAATTGCGACCGTCCACAACCCAGACAATACCACTCCATCACTCACCCCGCCCTGAGAAATGCAATGCGACCAAGAGTGTGGGTGATTCCAATGAGGGCGACCGAGATGGAGGATGGGGTGAGCGACCGAGGGTTTCGCGGAACGGGGCGGCGCGACGTTTCCCGAGAGCTGGAGTCCCAGCAGCGACGTACAGATCAAGCCATGCGACCGACATAAGGCAAGCGCCGCGACGACATAGCATGCGCTCCACGGACCGAATGCTAAGGGTCAAAGAGAAGGGATGTGGTGGTGGTGGTCGCTGTCATGGTGGTGGGGGATACGGGCAGAGAGAGAGGGGGATGCGATGATGAAAGAGGCTTCAGGTAGCGAGAAATGGAAATACTCACCAAGGGGAATCTGGAAAGAACCTTGAGAAAGCTCAAAACAAGAACGAGACGAAGAGAAGAGGCGAGAGAGACCTGGAAAAAAGCACAACTCCCGAAGCACACGAAAATGAAATCCGCAAACCGAGAGGTGGAAGGAACACTAGGAAAGGAGGGAGGAAAGTTGGAGGAGGGGAAAAGAAAGCGATGAAGAATGGAAATCTCAGATTCTGAAGAGCAGCCGGTTGGACGGTTCGCTGAGGGGGAAAAGTGGGCAGGACCGTACCAAGACGGGACACGGTATGGTATGGTATGGTATGGTATATCGCGGTATCAACGGTATTGTCAAGTTCCGCTCGTCCACTCCAGCGTGGTTGTGTACTTCGCTATACTTGTATACTCCATGCGCCCCTCGAACGTGAACTCCAGGAGTGGACGAACCATAGAGTCCACTGGGATCAACTCTATATACACTTCTCAACAAAATTTTATTTTCATACTCGAAGAGAGAGGACGTTGCACTACATCATGGGCGATCCGGAGCGAGAAATCCACGATGAATCGGGCCCTCCTCTTGGTTGAACCAATATCACTAGATGCAACACCTCGCCTGATGAATACGCTCGAGGGCCAGGGAGACTATGCACATCCGATCATGTTTTCGCTGTCTCGGCACCATGATATCAGACATGCGGGGGGCTATGGTGTCCCAGGATCTCGGGAGCCGCTCATGCGCCCGAGGTTAAACAACTCCGGACAGGCGGGCAGCGACTGGCTCAAAAGGTGCTCTGCAGTGTGGATGATCCTGCCTATGAGAGTAAGGTCAATTAGATTAATGAGGTAAATGACAGAGCCCGTCATTTCTATCCTACCCTCATCCGAGTTGGAATGGCTTTCGTTGCTCTATAGCGCTATGGAGCCCGGGTTACGGGTACTATCTACAGCTAACAGACCATAGGATTATTTTCTTCTCATTCCCTCTCTTTCTATCAATGCCGCGCGCTGTTTGCGATCAAACCAAGAACCCACTAAGACCCCTCGAAGAAGAGAGAAAACAAAAATAAAAACAACGGGATACAGAGAAGGAGAGGGTAGCAAGTGGGCGAGCGGGCCAAAAAGTCTAAGGAACTGCACGAAATCTGCAAGGACCGATCTGTCGCCATCCTTTGCGATGTGACTTGTCGCAAAAGCCCTCTTCCCTTGACCCCTTGAACAGGACAAATAAACTCCCAATCCTCGCCCCGAAACCAACACTTACACCACCAGGCACCCAACATAGAGCACGAGCCCCATGTGCCTGACCGCCAATACGATCGGAATGAGATCTCAAATAGCCTGAATCAGGAAAAGGGAGGGGGTTCTGTTGAGTCACCTGGCATGTTTTATACTGTATATAGATCTACGTTTTTGTGCTCATTGTGAAGCCTAATGATAATTGATGATTATGATGATTATGATGATGATCTGTTATTATTAATCCATAACCGAGGAGAAGTCATCATCATCATATGAAATTTAGCTCTGGGCAGCCAGCCCAAAAAAATACCCCCAAGACGGGACCCGGTTCAGCTGGGATTGATGCGGCGTGTCCCGGCCCCGGTTCTGTTGGTCGAGCCACCCAAAAAGTAAGCTGAACAGGCCCCAAAAAGCCCGCGAACAAACGGAACCTGCTCCACCGGACGCCACGGAACCATGGGAAGTCGCCGCGACTGGTATTTCTCTTTCATGACTGGTCGTCCATACATGAGATTACCGATATCTTGAGTCCCGCGACATGATCGAACGCCCAACAAGGGAACTATATGCTAGGTGCCTTCCGTCGCAGTCCATCTTGAGATCAGCATGATTCCATGTATTAACCTACTATATTGAAACATAAGCATATTGTTATTACCATCACTCATCTCGACTGAAGTAACCCCATGCTCCTAATCGCTGCACTCCGGAGGCTGCTCCCCCCTCCTCCAAAAAAATGCCTTCTGGAAGCAAGGTTCTCAGATCCATGTCCGTAACACCCTGGTCGGTGCAGGGGCCATGCAAGGACATGCCCGCAACGTTGTGCGCGTCCGTCATAAGCAGCAATGGGAAGAACTAAACAGTAAAAGAAAATAACAAGTCAATTCAGAGCCATGGGCCTTGTTTGTTGTGGCGGCTCTTGCTGATTGGGCAGGCAATCGACGCCGGCGCTGGTCTGGCAATGATCAAGATTTAAATTACCTCTCGACGTGTCAAGATGTCTCAATGAGGGTTTGTTACAAGAGGTTCCATGGAGTTGTTAGCGCCCTTTTCAACATGCCCAGTAGTGAATTTGCCTCGTCCGAGATCATTGATGTTGTACTGAAGAGATGATTACATCTAAAGACAAGCCGATCGGGCGGACAGGTCCAATCTCACCCTTTCGGTCGCTTGGCAGCACACGCGGGACGCGACGCGTTATTTTACTTGCTAATTTTTTTTGTTACCTTTTAGAATACATGCAGCTCCAAAGAGACCTGATGAAAGAACCCGGATATAACACCCATGTGCTTCTGGGCATTTTGTGCATCCATCCACTCCCCCAACTGCCGAGCGGGATTTCCCCTGTGGTATGAGCAAGGGATGATCAGAGTGTATCACTGATCACTGTGGTCCCGACGGACTGGGTAGGGTATGCCTTTATTGATTGAATGCTCGAGGGGCCCTGCACAAAAAGATGTCAGATTCCTTACATGGGTTTCATCCTGACACCGATCGGTAAATTATACTTCTCCAGAGTATACCTAGAGTCAATAGAAACGTGAGGAGACTCAAATTAACCTATTTGGCTGGAAGCTGTCATTGGCAGTCCCCTGCAGCATTGCCCAAGTGAATGCCGAGGCGATAAACTATGAAATATTGAGTATTGAATTAGGCGTGTTATTATTGTGCTATCAGCTTGATCTCCTGTCGAGGAGATCGATCCGAGTCCCCAGACTTGGACGAGATTGTTTCAGACTAGCGCGTCACGTAAAAACCCGCACACACTTCCCAAGACGGTTATATGAAGATGATCTCACCCGCAGCATCGCAAGGGAACTATTTCGCCATACACTTATCGAATCTGTTACCTAGCTTGTCTTCAAGCAGCTTTCGGGATGGAATACCAGGAAACAAGGATGACGATTTAACAGTCTGTATCATTATCCACAGCTGAATAATGGTCGTGAACCATGGAAACCAGCTTCGTCGCACCGGGAATCCGGAAAACAGGGCACAAACTCGGTTATCCGAAGGTTGCTCCTCCTGCTCCTGCAGCTAGCACTATAGCCCTGATCAATTCCCCCTCCTCTCTCTGCAAATAGTGCGTGTGCTCTCTCCACGCCCGTCGAGCGTAGGATATGCAAGCACTGCCGCCTCTCCTCGGATGATCCTAGACTTACGTCCGCCCCCCGGAGGGAGGGGGGCCGGTGGCTCAGGCCCGAGGCTGAGTAGCCCCCAAGACCCAAAACGGGTCCACTTTCAGGGCTCGCATCCACATTAGTTCGCGACGCTCTATCCAAAGAGAAGTCCGAGACTCGCTTCTGTTGTTACATAAAAAACCCCAGTCTGGTATCCAGCATACGAGACGCACACTCGAAACCTGCCATTACAAACGACCACCATTATATACCAATACCCAACAGATTGGCTATTTGTGGACGAAACCTGGCCCAGCTGGTTGGGACGCAATTCGTAGGTACCTGAGACCCCCCTCCACCCCACCATGTTTCTTTTTTGGGACCAATTTTTTTTTCGGTGGGCTGTTTCGGTGGCTCTAGTGTCTTCGAGAAGCTTCGTGGTCTGTTTGAATTTTTAAGTCGTGTTAAGTGGGACTTAAAATTGTGGAGGAGGGGTTGGTGATAATAGTAAGTTGGTTTAGTCCGTCTGAGGGTTCGATAAGATGCTCATTATAGTTAAACTACATGTATAATTGGTCTGGAGATAACCATAATCTGAACTGCTAATAGTAACAACGACAACAAACAAGTACAGTCAAAATTACGTCTTTACAGGTACATGCGAGTTTATCATTGTGTCATTGTGCCAAGTCTGCACAAGGATTTCTGAAAACGGAACCAGTTTGATCTAGTGCTCACAGAGGGAGAAAGAGCCCTTCTGAAATGCGGTATTCTGGCCCTCAGCCTTCCGCCCTCAGCCTTCCGCCCACGCTCTTCCATCAACTCAAACCGGTAGGCTTTTGCCTGGGCCATATCCGCCGTCTTTGAATGCTGGGCTGGAGTTTGGCCTTGGTCTTGACCAAGCTCTGTTCGGCACCAGTCTTCCCTTTGCGGGGGAACATTGGCGGACGAGATAACCCGCATATGAGGATCAACGAGGAACAGCGCCAGAATTTTGCGATGGCCCGGCCTTCCTCGGAAGCCACGCTGCCCAAATCTTGTGTCATCAGGTCGTTGGTCCAGCCATCGACCTATTTCGAAATTCCGTAGATTTGCTGCAAGAATTGGTCCCGATCTTGCTCGTAAGAGACATCCGACGGTTGCTCACGCCGCGGTGGCGGAAGGCAAGGGAGCTGAGGATGATGTTCTCGCTGTCATAGTAGTAAATAGCTGATACAGCGATGCGTTCATTCTGAGGATTCCAATATCAGTGAAGAAGACACGAGGGGGGTCGGAACCTGAACAGGGCCGCTTGCTAGTTGTCCCTCGATATGCCAGCTACCACCTTCGTAGTCAGGGTTGTCTGGGGTGAGCTCGATGTTGGCCAGCTCGACGATCACTTGCAAGTTGTGGTGGGGGTGCTCAAGGAAGCGGACATCCTCATACAGCGATTTCCTCAATTTGGAGCTGACTCCAATAGACGACTGGGTCAATTTATGAGAGGCAACGGTTTCGGTGACTGAATTTTCACTGGCTAGCTCGTTTGCTTGCAAGTGCATGGTCAAGCCATTGATTACTATCTATTACTGATATGTAGCATTTATCGAGCATTTCATCAAATATATGTTTACTACATACCACACCCGTATAGTGTGGACAAGTGGCCGTGATTTAATGATGTAGAGAGCCAGCCAATCGACTCGTGAGAACACACCAGCTTGCATATAATTTGAACTCGCAGTAATCTACAAACGGAGGTTAAATAATTCAGGATAAGTGGGAGTTGATATTATTTTTATGTAGGCATGCTGGGAAGCCATCTAACCAATACATGGGCTGTAGGGTCTCTTTGGAAGCTATTTGCTGCATAATGTTCATTTTTTATAATTCATTTTACTACTCGCTAACATGTCGAAATGCTGAATACGAATTCACCAATACTAATAGCCCTCAAAGCGGCCATCTTGTACATCATGACGAGCGGCTTTCCAGCCAGCCGATTGGACCCCGCACAGACCAAGGCTTGGCATGGGATCCCGACCCCGGTTTGTCTCTTGAGGCATCATGAAGTTCCACAACGCCCTGGCCGTTGTGGAACGAACAGAATGCGTGGGAACGTCTGACGAAGAAGCTTGAGCTCTGCGGCGTCCCCCTTCATGCCCCTGTGCCCCACTACCAAAGAACGTCCGAACAGTAACCTCTGCCTTCATCCAACTTCAATCATATATCTCCCACGCCTATCTACCGACTGTAGGTATCTGGAAAATTCATCTTTGACCCAAAATATCCTCGGTTCCTGATACTGCACTTACTGCTTCTCCTGCTTTCCTTGCTACTCAACCGAAAAATGCCGAGCCAGTCCCAAAACCATTCCGACTCTGATGAGGATATCGAGTTCGAAGATGTCCCTTTACGCCAGAATCAGCCATCCTCCAGATCAGATGGTCTTGAGGTCACTCTCTCCGAGTCCGGAGCCCAGGCTGACGGTGGGCGAACCCCGGATCGTCAATGGAACCCTACGTTGAATCTTCCGCAGCAACGAGACAGCCCCATAACTCCGGGCTCTGCGGAAGAAACCCGGCTCCGCGAACGTTTAAGCTCTGATATTGACCGGATCAATTTACGTCAATTAAAGACCGAGATGGGCATGGATATTCCGGAGACCGATCCATCAGCCCGTCCGTACGTGAATTTTGCGGCATTGGCGCGTGATGTGGAGCATTTAGTAGATATGCTCTGGACTACGTCGACCCGTGAGTCCCAGGTCCTCCATTTATGTTATTTCGATGCTGAACGTTACGATCCATGCACTCGTTCAAAAGCTCTGAGTTTTAATCTAAAGTATCTAACGCACGTATATATAGCTTCTATCGAAGTCGAGCCTCTGATTACACTGGCTGGCATCGTTCAAAATTCGCTGCAGGCCTATGCCTTCGACCCACACAGCACCTTCATACTCTTGCACAAATTCGATGTCATCTTCGCATCTATGTATACCGGTGTCCATCCAATTACCGGCTCGTTCCTTCCGGGCTATAGAGCCGGTCATCCACTGCTGACGCAGACCCAGAGAGTCCGTATCCGCAGCTTGGCTGAACAAACTCGGTACAAGGTCATTTCTTTTGTCCAGCGGTCCAGTGAGGAAAATGATCAGAATAGTGAGATCTGTGATGACGAAAGTGAGTCCGATGATGCTGAGGGCCAACAGTGGCTATTGAATGCCTCCTATGTCTTTAATGATGTGTTGATGCTTGGCGAGGCCGAAGTTGAGATTGAAGTGAATGGAAGCTAGCGATTTGGGATTTTTTGTTTCATTCGAATCATATCTTTGTTAACTACCCATGGAAAAACTCATACAAGGGCGAGGCTGGAGGTTACAGGCTGACACGATGACACCATATATAGTAATAAAGATAGTGATAATGAAGTAAGACCCCTTTAAAGGCAAATTCGGTAGAAAGGAATGTATAGTTCATTTGTTTTATCATGATATTATGTTATACCCCCCTTGGCATAGCTCAATAGTCCCGTACCTAGAGAATAGGACCTCAACTTTACCACCGGAAATATTTTCTTTTTCTTTTTCTTTTTCTTTTTTTTTTAAAAAAAAAAGCACCTTAGGGAGACACTATGCATACATTATAGGTCCGTAAAAGCATTGAGATAGGAAGAACTGCGGTCTTTGCCCATTTGCCTTTCGATGATCATGCCGAAGATGCATGGCACTTGATCTGGATTGATCAATTCATTGGAAGCAGTATGTTATGAAATTAAGAAAATCATTAGTTAGCTTCTGGAGCTTAGTGTTTAGAGTCTATCTGGTACTATCATACTTCAAGATCCACGGATAATCTTCGCTGATATCCAGTTTGTCTCTATTTGAGACAACTGACTTGAATTAGATATTTCTAATTTATGTACTATAAGGATAAAATGACCCTTTGGTAACACGGATATATGGTTTATGTGGCCAGAAGCGGAAATCATCTAGTCTTGTTCCAACTTGGCAATAACATGAACTTTTTCATCTCAAGCAATTGCCTCGATACCACAAGTACTAGTATATCTTTTTTCATCAGAGAGAACCAGTACCAGGAATAAATAACATAGAAGAATTGCCCTGCCAAGAACTTGAGAACAAATTAGTAAATAGGATATATAAAAAACGATATTACAATTCTAATGACAGATTCGGTCCATTTCAGAGAGGTGAGAAGATTGTATGTATATCGCTGGTTGATAATGGCATGGCAGACAGCGAACCAAAGCGCGTCTTGCTACACTGGCCCCAGCGAGCTCATCATTGTAGGAGCCGAGTGACATGGATCGATCCCAAGGGAATACTCCAGAGTCGAAAATAGTAGAAGATAGAAATAAAATGAAGTCATAAAATAGACACTTACTATGTACCAGGGCCTAGTACAACACAGTCCGCCGAATATCAGAACACCCAAACGCCATGCTTTTATGCTGTACACCTTTTTATTCGGGCTAAAAAAGTTTCATTAGCACAAACACATCCATACAGCTCCCATAATAGCCAGACCAGCGGCAGTAGGGAGACAGGTTTATCCTCTGAAAATAGAAGAATAAAAAAAGATGTAAAACTTACCCGAATCTTGCCCTTCCGCGACTTAATATCCTGCAACTTCTTCTTATCCTCATCAAACCGCCGCAGCAGCTCATTCTGCCGTTCCTTCCTCTTCTCTCGGCTCTGGAATCGGTAAAAGTCCTCCAGACCATCTGCCTTCTTCTTCTGCCGCTCGACCAACTCCTTCAGCTCGTCCTCGCGCGCCACAGAATTCAGCTTCGGCCCACTAGTAACAGTAACAAAGCCATCCTCATCCGGCTCCGCCGCCTTCCGTGCCTCATCGCGCTTCCGTGCCTCAGCCACCTGCTCGAACACGGTCATGAAGTCGTTCACGGAGCGCAGCAGCGCCGCCCGCTCGGGATACCGCCGCTGCTCATGCGTCAGATAGCGCTGCAGCCCGAGCGCGGGTGTGCGCGAGGCCTGTATGCCGGCGCCCCAGACCAGCGCAGTGCCCTTGCGGGCGGCCTTGGCGGCGGCCTTCAGGCTGGCGTCCATGCTGGGCTTGTCGGCGAAGACGACGATGGCGTGAGCGCCGCTTTTCTGCAGCTTGCGGTCCCAGGTTGATGGGACACTAATATCGTCCAGGTGGGCCTGGAGGTCGTCGGCGTTGACGCGCTTGCGCTTTTTAGAGCGGTGCGAGAGGTTGGCTTCGGTGGTGGCTGTTGCGGCGGCGCGCTTTTTCATGGGGACATCTTCGAAGCTGACGCGCTCAACGCGACCGGCAGCTAGCTGAGTGCCGAAGAGGTGGCGAAGATGGGTGTCGGTTGTGTCAATCGGAATGTTGACAATGAAAAGCGAGCGAGGGGAGTCGGGGTCCGGGATGCGAGGTTCGTGTGGGCGGAGGTACAGGTAGTGTGTGGCGGGCGTTGGGAAGGAGGGGGTTGAGGGAAGCTCCAGTGGCAAGGTTGTATACCCTGCCACTTCCACGGTATCTTTTTTCATTCTGAGGAATGAAGGCGTTGGTGGGGGAATTGTTGGATGGAAGGTCAAGTCCAGAGTACCCAACATTTTTTGAAGTTTTGCGCTTAGCGTAATATTCTGCCTGTGTTTCAAGGCGGCCTTCAAGGCGGTAAATATAAACAAACTTAGGGCTACTGTAAATGGATCGAAATATACAAATGAGAGCTGTGGTCTGTCTTTAAATATATTAAAAAAATAGAGGTTTTAAAGTCCAGAGTTTGTCGACTGTGTTGATAAAAACGGTAAGAAAAATTTTGGTCCTGACAATTCCTGACAATTTCTGACATGAAGCATTCATCTGATCGCCATGTCATACTCATACTTTGTCAGGATCATTAATTCCTCCATTGGTGATCACATAAATAGCTTCTCGCTCGGGACAGTCTAATAAAAAAGGTCAGATAGAGGAGAAGTAAGTCATACAGAGACTTCGAGAATATAAAATACCTGGTGAGTCCTGAATCTTTGCCACCCGCTCCTCCCCTCGGCCCTTGCGAAGCAGCACTCGAGTCGTCGATGCGTGCGCCAGCACATGTCCACCGACTGGTTTGCGACCATCAGCACCAGCAAATAGCGCGCTAGCACCGGGGTCACTTTGGACCTGGTTTGTCTAAAGCCAACAAGGAACATCAGAAACCGAGGATCAACGCAGGGACTTAAGAGAAGAGGTTACAAACCATCAACACACAGACATTGAATTCTGTCCAATAAACCGACGTTAGCACGCAAGCCTAGCAATCACGAGTAAATCCAGAGGGAAAAGGAAATGTCTCCCACCTTCGGCCATATGGGCCAATTTCATCAGAAACTGATTCAATTTCTGCTGCCGCTCCGCCAACTCGCCGCGCCCACAGTAATCCACCCGGAAACAGTTCATAATACTATCGATCACGAGCAGCCGGTATGCACCCGCCGCAAACTCCCTGCTGAGCGCGTTCAGGAGATCCAGCTGGTGCTCGCTATTCAGGGCACGCGCATATGCGATATTCTCTTGCGCTGTGTCCGGATCGACGCCGAAACGTTCGGCAATCTGGGCGATACGTTCAGGTCGGAACGTGCCCTCGGTGTCGATGTAGGCGACTTTGCCGTCCGCACCACCGAGGGATTTGGGGAGCTGTGCGACGACGGACATGGTGTGCGAGAGTTGTGTTTTGCCGCAGCGGAATTCACCGAAGACTTCGCTGATGCTCATGCTTTGAAAACCACTGCGGGCGCGGAGGGAGGAGGGAGGAGTTAGTGTATGTTTTGAGAATGAGGTTGGGGCTGAGCCTGAGTGGGTAGACTGGTGATGAGGGTGAGGGACAGACGCAGCTACGTACCCTCCCAGAATGGCGTCAAATTGTTTGCTGCCGGTCGAGATGCGGACGACCTTCTTGCGCTGATGGAAGAGTTCCATGGCGGTGACGAAACCTGATGCGGAGGGCTGGAATACAGCATTTGAATTAGATGATTCTTGCGCACGGAGAAGAGTGCATTTGAGATACCAGGCATTTTTGGATGGCTTCTTTGATCTTCTCCACTTTGACCTCGCTGAAGCCTTTGACCTTCAAGAGGGTCTTGCGTGTGGCGCCGTGGACGGACTAGACTCTGATCAGCCGACAATGTGTCTTTTACAGGTTTGAATTCCTTACAGCCACAGTGTAGAAGCCATTTGCCTTCAACTTTGTGATATCTGCGGCTCCAATCCCGTGAGACTGGATGGTATCGATGTCGACGATGAAGTCCTGCTCACGAGAATTCCTAGGTTCAGCTGGTCTTGGTCTCTCACAAGGTTTACTAGAAAGGAATAGAATGAGCACACATACATCGTCATTGAATTCATTTCCTGGGTCGGAAGCTGGCATTGTGCTGAGAAAAGTGATGTGGTTGCTACGAGGCGAGGTGGGATTGCGAGTCGAGGTCTTGACTTGGTGACAGTCACGAGCATTGACACGGCACGACAACCCACCGCACAAGAAGAGCGTACAGGAAACCCCATTTACAGATCTACAGAGGTAAGAAGTGAAAGAAGATTTGCGTTTTCATGTTCTCAGCACCGAGATAATCCTTCCCATCGGAAGGCCCCAAATTTCCAACACACTTCGGGTCCAAATTCATCTCCACAGCACACCATCAATCCATCGCACTCACCACCTACTTCATCTCTCGTCTCTCTTCCCCCTCTCTCTCCTCTCGGCCCACAACACGGAAAACCGCAATCAAGAGTTCAAGGCTTCATTCAAATCGAGAAAGATCATCCGTCACAGAAACAAATAGACAAGACGCCAGTTCATGAGACTTACCTCTGGGCCCAAAGCAGCTTCTCCTTTCCTGATAGCCAAGAAACAGACATGAGAAGGAGAACCAAGAGCCCACGAGGAAGTAGAAGGTAGGGTAGGGTAGGGTAGGGTAGGGTAGGGTAAAGTAGGGAGGGGGAACGTTCGTGAATCAAAAACAAAAAGGAACTTTTTCTGTTTGACCGTCGTATACATGATAAATAAGAATGGGGAAAGGAGAAAACAAAGTCGGCTTTGTCAAGAAGAGGTAACCCTCTGTGTAAGAAACCGACACCGATGGGAACCAAAGCCCTCCATGATAGGAAAAGTGAGGGAAGGCAGAGAGGTGAAATATTGGAAAAAAATGGAGGGAGGGGGGTTCTTGGTCCCTAAAATATATGCAAAGGAATAAAATGGCGCAGAGACTCCTGGGGAGAAAAATAAAGAGAGGACCGTTGGCGGGTCGGGCAAAAGAGACCGTAATACAGAGTTGACGAAGGAATAGGGAAAGGAGGGAAAACAAGCACGGGCATTCTAGAGGGGGATGACACGGTGAAGAGACATCGGATAATCAGGGAAGAAGGATAAGACGCTTAGGCGACGGCGGTAGTCGGAGCCGCAGTCGGGACGGGGGCAGCCTCAGTGCTGGCCTCGACGGCAACAGCCGCAACAGGGGCAGCAGCAGGGGCAGCAGCGGGGACAGCAGCGGGGGCCGTGGGGGTCACAGCCGCAGCATCCACAGCAGGGGCGTTGGCAACGGCAGCAACGGCGGCGGCAGTAGCATCGGCGTTGGTCGGGCAGTCGCGGGAGATGTGGCCAGCCTGGGCACACTTGTAGCAGACCTTGCCAGTGGAGCTGAGCGGGCCACCGTTGGGAGCGGTGCAGTCACGAGAGATGTGACCCAGCTTGCCGCAGGCGTAGCACTTCATGGCCTGAGCCTGGCAATCACGGGCGAAGTGGTTAGGACCACCGCACTTGTAGCAAGTGGCAGCGCGAGGGTAGCCACCGAAGTTACCCCGGAAGCCCTGGAAGCCACCCCGGGGACCGGTGGGACGGCCAGCGCCAGGAGCAGCGGGGTTGGTGCAGTTGCGCTGTAACCAGGATCAGTTAATGGTTCTCTGACAAATTCCTAGCAAAGAGATCCGTGGTGTCTTACAGCAAGGTGACCGGGCTGGCTGCAGTTGTAACAACGGCCATTGGCGCCGTTCAGGCGGAGGGTCGGGCAGTCAGCCTGGACATGACCGAGGCCCTGGCAGTTGTAGCACTGCTTAGCTGGAGAGGAGGTCAGTATAGGAAAATTGAGCAGGCAGAGCGGAGACTCGGTGTGGTCCGTCTGAGGGAGGGTTCTTACTCTCAGTGGTGCGGGGACGGGGGCAGCTGCTCGACTCATGACCTGAACGCAATTATGGTCAGTGGGAGAATCCGGGAGAGGTCGGAGCTGTCGGGGATGTCGAGAACAATGTGGTCGTGGGGAACCTACCAGGCTGCTTGCCTATAATATCATAGTTAGGATCACGGACCAGCAAAAAAAAAACCAAAGACCGCAAGAAAGGAAGTCAGGGTATGCACATACAGTTATAGCACAGACGCTCCGAGGAAGAGCAGACCTCTATCGAGCTCCGTTAGTAGTGGCCCTAAACCGACCTGCAGCTCCCCGTAACTCACCCGCATAGTGGCCAATGTTGCCACACTTGTAGCATGCACGACGAGACAGCATCATCTTCAAGAATCTATCCCAGGATCCGGTCAGTCCTTCCGAGTCATACTATGCATTTGAAGCTCTCCCAATCCACCCATAGCTCTGGTCGTGTGCGCTGCCCCTCTCGATCCACGAAACAACAGCCCTCGAGGTAAGGGAAAGTGTCGTCGAGCAATCCATAGAGTTGAACGTCAAAGTTCCGTTACCCCCTCTCCGTCCAACACCGAGCTGCGCAGCTGTTATGTGAAGATCGGTCGTGCGGCGTGGGATAGAGGGGTGTTTCGTCGATCCGCGGGGGGGGGGGGACAGTGCAACACATTTGGCGGGGGAGGGGAAGAGAGCGCAACTCAAGCGAGGGGATGCGAGCAAGGTTCTCACTCACTCTTCCAATGACTCTTCCAAATGTCGATCAGGTCTAGGGAACCCTGTCAGCGAGAACCTTGGAGGCGGGTTTAACGAGGGGATTTGACGAGCACCACGTTCTTGACAGCCCACTAAGAAAAAAAAATCGAGGGCCGCCAAAAAAAAAAAAAGTGGGACGCAACGACACACGCACACACAACGCCGACTGGGGAAAGGATACACCACGACGACTAGACACAAGGGAAGCACTCACCTGAAAAAAAAGACAGTAACACGTCCGATGGTCAAATCAAAGCCGAAACGACCGAACGAACCGGGAGAAACCAAGGGAAGGTCGACGAGTGCAAACAGCGCAAACTTATTGGATATTTAGCTCCCGGGCTTTTCCGTCGGACGAATCGCGAGGCCGATTTTACTGATCGAGAAGTATGAAAATAGAGCAGATTGAAGAGCTTGGGGTTTATAGAATTGATTGGAGGTGGGGGGTAGTAATGCTCGGTCGAGAGAAGCTCCCTCGAGACCCTTCTTCATGATCGAGAAAAACCATCAATTGATCTCGTGGAGGAGCAGAGCAGACGGTTGACAGCTCTGCCGAGTCCGAAGTATGTGGGACGACGAGAATCAGGGAGAGCTTAGAGCTCTCCCTTCATTCCCGGACAGAAAAAAAGCTACGAGGAATGCAATTCTCGTTTCATTCCCCGTTGATCAAGAGGAAAAGAGGAAAAGAGAAAGAGAGAAAGAGAGATCATGCAATTCATTTCTTCGTTCCAATGTGCCTAGACGATACATGCCCAAGATGACAGCCGGTTGGCCCTAGCTGGCTCTGTCAAATGATTCTAAAAAGTAAAGATCATACCATATCCTGCCCCGATCACCATCTACTCTTCCCGCTCCAGGATCGCCGGCGCTTTGATTTCGCGACCCTTGAGGAATTCGAGGTTCTCACCTCCCTGTGGAGACATCACGAGTTAGTATATTCACATGCAACATGGTAGGGGAGAACAAGAAACAGAAAAACAAAGGAGGCATCGGGGAAGCGGGAGGGGAATGGACATACATAGCTGATCAGAGGGGAAATCTCCACTCCAAACTTATCGTCCTCAGTGATGACAATGCCGCCCGCGGCCTCGACCCATCGCTGGCCCTGCTTCATGATATCGTCCCGGCTGGTATCCGGATCATCCTGACCGGTGCCACGAGCATTCTTCAGGGGTGAGAACTCGTCCTCCCGGCGCACCTCGATGGAGGCGAACTTCTCCAGTGGGGTCATGGGGAAGACATCGAACACAAACTGCTCCAGCTTGATGCCGTTGGGCTTCTCGGGCTTCACGGCATCGCCGCTGGACGGGTCCACGAAAGGAATCTTCTTGCGGGCAACGTGGTGGGGCAGCTTGTGCATCCAGGTCTCCATGGACTCGAAGAAGCGGAATGAGTAGTAGTGGTTGACGATGTTGGCCGCCCGGAACTTGAGCAGCCCGGGCTGCTTGGGGTCCACGGCTTCGGCGGTCTCCTTGTCAATCTCCGAGTATTCTACCACGTCGGGCTTCCCATTCTTCTGCACAATCAGGCCCACCGACTCGGCCGCATCGCGCTTCCGCACCACCTTGGTCGCGATGTCGACATCCTTGGAGGCCGAAAATCCGATGAACACGGGATCGGCCACCTTGACCAGGCAGTTGTCCACGCAGTAGGCGTGGATGTGCTCAATGCCCCGCTTGCGCATGTCTTCGCGCACGCCGGAGGTTACGATGGCCTGGTAGATGCCGCCATTGCCGTCAGGGGCCACAGCAACCTACAGGGGGAAAAAATGGAAATGCCGCCGGTCAGCAAATGGACGTGTTCTTTTCAGAATAGAGGGGGGGAGAAGGCCATCCTTGTCATGTAGTACCTGGACGCTGAAGAATGTTTGGGGATAAGCTTACCTTGCCTTTGTTTTCCATGATAATCTTGCCTTCGTTCGAGATACAAGGCAGAACGCCCTGCTCAAAAATGAAGACATTACTCTTGTCCAGACCAAAGTACTTGTTCTTCGCAAAGAACTCTTCGGTGGGCTTGCGAGTCGGGCCACTGGTCATGACATACCAGGGAATCACCGCAGAGGCCACTCCGGACGCCTTCTGGGCCAGCTCCTGGAGCTTGGCGATACGCTCGGCCTGGAGCTGGAAGAGGGGCTTCTCGCTCAGCAAACCGATGTCAAAGCAGCCTTTAGGGGCGGAGCTACCCAGCCGGGTCCCCTGGCCACCGGCCATGAGGACGACGGCCACCTTGTTCTCCGCGACCAGCTTGAGGCCGGTGTCATACCATTTTTGAAGATCGGCGGGGTCGGAGTCGATGATGGAAGCGGTGGCCACCTCCGGCAGGGGCTCGACCGTCGCGGCGGTCTGTTCGGTCTGGGGAGGGTTGAGAGCCTTGTCGGCCAGCTCATTGATGCGGGAGGGGTTGAAGGTGGACAGCTGGTGGAATAGCTGGGACTTCTCGACTGTGGGAAGTTCGTCGACAAAAGCAAAGACCTGTCCTTGTCCCGCAGCGGTATACTTCTCCTGGAGCTGTTTGAACTCCTCGGTGGAGGGTTCCCGGGGGACCTCCTCGGCCGAGCCTGCGAATTTGCCAATCAAGTTGGAGACGGTTTCCTTGATCGCAGCCATTGTGAATTGGAGGAGACGAAGGGTGGAGAGATGCAAAAGACCAAGGAGCACAGCGACGTGGAAGAGAGGGGAGGGAAGGGGGTGGGGGGCGAATGGCAAAAATATAGGAAGAGATGAGAGATGGGGAGGAGTGGCAAAGTAAATAAAGCGCGGGGTTGAAGCTGAAGCTGCGCGGCTGTCGACCCTCACCGTAAAGTTGTGTCCGCCTTGGAATGCTCGGGACGAAACGCCAGACTATAATAATAACAATTATTATTTTTAGCGCGAAACAAGGACCCAAACGAATCGCAACAGCGGGTGAGGGACATGCACTAGGGCGACTGAGACCTGTCCACTGGAGGCGGTGCATTTCTGGGTCTTTCTGGGTCTTCTCGGTCTTGTTGCCCCACTAGCGGGGCGACATCCAGCGGATTTGGATTTGGTGATGTGGTGATGTGATACGTGAAAGTGCTGCGACAACAATTGGCAACACTTGCTAGGCGCCGGGCATCGAAGTCCTTGTCCTACTGTTTCCTACTAACTCCTACTATGTAGTTGCCTGCCTGTACTGCCATGGATGATGCCCTATAAGATCAGGGGAGGGGCTCCTCTCGGCGCCACAACCAGAGTGGTGAATCCTTCGTTGCGAACTATATCACATATCCTTATATATATCCCTACTAATACAAATGACGCCCGTTCAAAATCCCATCTTCATCGTCGGCGCTCATGTCGATCATATCTATCTCGTCGATCAGATCGATCGTATCGATCATCTCGTCCGCGATCGCGCTCCCGGCGTGAGTCCCGGCTCTGACTGTATTCTCGGCGCCGGTACCGGTCTTCATGCACCTCGCGTCTCCGGGGACTGCGACTGCCTCGCCGGTCACGTTGTGAATCTCTCCGCGGGCTGCGGTTCGAGCGACCGTCATGGCGGGCGCCAGGGGGTCCCGACGACCGATCCTTGCGCGAGCGATCAAAGACCATGTTATAGGAGTCATCGTCCTCATCGTCACGTCGGTCATCGGAAGCTCGGTATTGGCGTTTCTCCTCCAGATCGGCGACACCACCAAATCCACCCCGCTGGCGGCGTTTCGAGACGGTGGCATTTCGCCAGGTTTCTGATAGCTTAGACACCTATACGCATGGTTGGCAAAGTACGTAAAAAGAAGTATTGAGCGAAGAGGAATGAAGAAATAGCACGGAATAGGCAACTGTAGAGGGGACACGGGACATACACTTTGGGAGAAATCGACGTGAATACGATGGTCGTCGATCAGCACACCTTGCATCTTAAAATAGGCCTGTTCGCAGTCCTGCTGGTGCTCAAACTCGATGAACGCATATTGCAGACTGTCGCCAGTACGCTTGTCTCGAATGACTTCACAGGACAGGATGGTACCGAAGCGACTGAAGATAAGGTTTAGATCCTCGTCTGGGGCAGAAAGAAAAGGGTCAGCATATTGGAATCCTCAGAGTAACAACTAGTATGGCAGGCTCGCGGCAAGAGCTGAGCACTGACCTTGCGTGACGGGATTCAATTTGCAGACGAAGAGCACGTTCTCGGGGGGCTTGACGTCAGCGAAGGGGAGGTCTCCCACCATCTCTAACGTCAATGCCTGGGCTCGTGCCTCACGCTCACGACGGAGCTTCTCCATGGCTTCTTCATCCATCTCCTCGTCCAGTTCCTCATCGTCCGCGATCCGCACGGTAGCCAATTGAGCCTTCGAGGGGATGGGACTTTCGGGGGTTCGACAAGACCGGCGGGGTCATCAAACGGGTCATCCAAAACCACGGTGTGGCGTATGCGAATATCCTTCAACGGCCGACCCTTATCGTCAATAAAGGACTCATTGATCTTCTCCAGCACGTCGAATCCCTCCACAACCTTTCCGAAGATGGCCGCTTTACCATCCAGGTAGTCGAGGCTGTCGCCCAGGGTGATGAGAAATTGACTCCCTGCCAATCGCTGATCTGGATCATTCATGGCGGGGACGGTGGCCATACTCACCGTCCCACGCTCCGTATGCTTGAGTTTCGGCGGCAGGTCGATCGGAAATGTTCTCTGAGACGGGCCACCCAGCACGCCCCAGATCGAAGATCCACCATCGCTCTCGGGGGCGTCCGGGCCAAGCGGGTCGCCGGTCTGGAAGCTGAAATTCTTTTGGACGCTGTGAATGGGGGAGAAATTGTAGTACTTGATTTTGCACAGCTTCAGGAAGCTATGACGAAAGAACACAGGGAATAGCTTAGTTTCGGGTTCAGCACACTCGCAAAGGTACAGGGGGGAGAGAGCAGAAGGGGCGGGGATTGTAGTGACAGGGGTGGGAAGATTCCTTAGGGACAGGGTGCGTACTTTTCACAGGCCTTGGGCGACTCGTCGACCAGCAAATCGATCACGATGTCGCCTAGTGAGGTTTCGAGTAGCGCGCTCATGGAGTCGGCGTGGCGGGCTGCAAGAGCTCGCCCTCCTCTTCGATCGCAGAACCTGTTGGTGTATGGGGTTCTTCACTTTTTACAAAGCGGATATTGCTAAACTTGCTGGGCTTGCAGGACTCGAAGGTGAACACGAAAAAGTGAAGCGCAAAAGTCGCAAGGTCGAGGTTGGAGGATCGACGGAGGTCGGGCCAATCATGTGCGGGGTCCACCGGAGAAGCAAGTCGTGCAGCTTAGCTACATACATCAACTGTTGTTTCTTCTTTCCCCTCTCCTCTACCTTTCCCATTTTCTTGCTCGTTTCTTTTTCTTGTTTCTTTTTCCTCCTTTCTTTTCTTCTTCAACACCAGTAGCCGTCCCAGCAGCAGGATCTTCTCCTCCCCCCCCCGGTCGTACAGCAACCGCTGGGGGAATTTTCGATCAACCAGCGCCGGCTCGGATGATCGACCGGCGTTCCTGTGCAACGCTGCCTTGTCAATCGAACGGCATAGTTATCTTCCGAAGGTCCCTGTTGGATATGCCCACCAACTGGTCATTGCTGGACATCCACGATCCACTTTCTCAAAGAGGCGGGCCTGATCGATCCCCTGTTTGTTGACAGCGAGCCTTCTCCTCACCGATTTCTAAGAATGGAGCATGCAGCAGCAGTCCTGGCCGAAAGGTGAGGAAGGATAAACTCTGGAGTGTTAGGCACAAACGGAAGAACAAAGAAAGGAAAGCCTGAACTTCCCTGCCAAACTGGCCTGAGCGGGCTTTCTAAACGTCCTAGGCGCTCTGCCTCTCTTTCCCACTCCTCGTCCTCCAACCCTTCCCCAGGATCTGAGATCAGGATGACACCATGTCTCTCTCCATCCACAAGCCATGTACACAGGACCACTGCACACCTGCGCAAGGACCTTGAGTCTACAACTTTCTCCCAGCGCCCTGTTTCACCGCAGGGGCAAAAAACGGTGGGGGAGGGGGGGAAACGGGCGGCCTCCTGCAGCAAAATCCAGCAAAATCATCGTGGTGTCAGCCGTCTGATCGACTCTTAGGAGACCTACACGTGGATGTGGAGGACCTCACCGTCAAATGAGTCCTGGTACTTTCATCTACTGTTTCCCCAGGTTGCCCTGGTCAGGAAGACATCCTGGTGAACAGGGGGAGACCGCACACAGGGGAAAAAACCCCCCTTCTCTGTAGCGCAAAATGGAGATCCGGTCTCAATTCCAACGAGCGTTCCTGGCAAGTTGACATACGGGGGAGAAAAGAAAAAGTCAGCTGTATTGTCCTAGCTAGACTCTTGGGGCTGCGAAGGCCCTCCCATGTCGTGCATTGTCAGACCTTGAGGCTAGTCGGAACGCAGCCACTGAGATGGGCCTCCTTAATCTGCCTCCCACAGGCTCTGTGTATTTGAAACGCTCGAAAAGAAATGGCAAGGTCTCATATTTCCTTCCTTTCATGTTGCTTTGACTCATCTCGCCCGCAAGATCTATTTGCTCATGATGACAATAGCTTTCGCGGCTTCTGCGGGTACAGCCAAGAGCGCCGCTTTCCCAACAGGCTCAGATGCGCCAGTGACCAAAGCAAACTGGACGCTTTAGCAGAGCCGACCTGGACAGACGGCATAATCTTAACACTTCAACCTTGTAGCGGACCGCCCATTGGTATCCCGGAGACCTCATGCATCATCGGCATCGCCTGCGCACCCAAACCATTCCCCTTTTTAGACTCAGACATGAAGTTGGCCAAATTCTCCACCCGCTGATCCAGGCTTTTCCAATCCCAACAACAAATTTACCGACCATTCCCATTCCCATTTTATGGTCCTCCATAATTGCTTTTTATTGAGTTGCCAATTCCATCCAGCTGCGGCGGAAGCGATAAAAATGAGCCCAAGCTATGCCCGATCGAAAGAGCCACTATCTATCCATACCGTCGATCACGACACCTCTCTACCCTGGATCCCTGTTGACGACATCTTTTCTAGAGCACCCTTGGCGAAGCTAGCCTTTTCTCAGATGCGCTTGCTGGCGCCGGGCCGATCCAAATGACAGGTGTCAACCTTTTCCGTTTTCTTTTCTTTTTTTTTTTGCTCTGGGACATGGGATACGTTGAGACAGTTGCATTGCTCGTGGTCTCAGACTTTAAGACCTCACGAGAAGGTGGGAAGACGCACGCGTTTGCAGGTAATGTCTTGTGTTGGTTTTCTCTTTCATTCAGTCCATCCCTCATTCTATCGTCCTCTCCTTTTTCTATCTGTGGGGTCCAGACCTTCTGGTATCGTGTACCGCCCCATCCACGGGGAGGGGGTCCATTTTCAACAATTCAGGCCGAGCTCGGACGGCCCAAGACCTTGTTTGATGCATCTGGAGAGGCATTACCCCCTCCCGCCCCCCCCCCCCAAAGAACTCCCGGGTGCAGCAGCCACACCAATCGGCGTGCTGACTGGATGGATCGAAGGGAAGCAAACAATTGTGGATCTTCATCTTCGATCGCTGCGGAAGAGCATCCCCGGATCGACACTAGGATTTTGTTCTGCAAACGTAGGCGGCAGTCTTCCGGCCTATTTCCCCTTCAGACCACTTGCTGCTGGAAAAAAGAAATGAATCACCAGGATCATCAGGTTCTCCCATCACTCGTGCCAAAGAATGTCAGGCCAAAATAACGAAACAGAGGCAAAAGACAGCCCCCCTCAATTGGCTGGAACCCATAGCAGGCGTTAATCTCCCCGTCTGGGCTTGTTCTCGTCATGGCTATCAGGTCATGCCCCGTGTGACGTTACTTTGTGAAACCATGCCTCTAAAACGCCGGGGCCGTCCTGTCTTCCATGCCCTTTATGAGCCCGGGGAAATCTTGCCTTGGATGCAGTGCGGAACTATGCATATCCTTCCCCTTGGGTACAACAAAATCCAGGGAAAAACAAAAGAAAGAAGAGAAAATTATTAAACGGCGTCTAGGTCCGGAAAAGACCAGTACTTCTGCTCCTCGTACTGCCGGTGTACGGGCCCTTCCCAAACCCCCCTTTCCCTTTCCAGCATCATGATAGAACCACGCATAGGAGCGACCATAGAGCCATAGATGTCGGCTAGATGAAAACCATTTAATAAAAAAAGAAATAAAAAACATGACCAGGGGTCCTCCTGAGAACTATCCACTTTCCCCGTAGAAAGGAAAGAATAAAAACAGAGAGCAATCACACCGATTGTTCCTAGAACATGGCTTTAAGCCCTACTTCAAAAGAACCATTCCCCGTCGACCTTGGCTTTTCTCTGCTTCCTTTTCTACAACCTCCTTCTTTATCTTCCCCGGGCATGCTTCTTTCCATCTAGGAATTGACATATCCTGTGTATGTTCTCCTGCCTAGCTCGACATTACGTGGATAGTCCAGGCATTCTGGACGGACGACAAATAGTGAGTCCAGCAAACGTCTCAGATCCTCCCTGTCTTCATACATTGACAGAAACTCAGCCAAATGGACCCCTTCTATACCGAGAAAGCATCGGGGTATGAGTCCATTCGGCATGAGACCCTGTCCATGTCGCGGTCAATGCGAAACGTCAACCAACATGAGCCCAGTCCGGGCGCTGAAATCGAGGGCAAGATGCGCAACCCCCAGCGTCGTCGAGTGCCAGTGGCTGTATGTCGTCTTCTTCAGTCACTTTGATCTCTGTTGCTTCTTACTGACCCATCTGACCAATTTTCTAGTGTAAACGATGTCGGCGTCGAAAAATCAAGTGCAGCGGTGACTCCGGTGATGGGCAAGGCTGCTCGAACTGTCGTAACGCTAACCAAAGAGATTGTCAATTCTTACGAGTAAGTCCCAGACCATGTCAAAAATAGGAGATCCTCCATCTCGCTTCTTACACCGCAAGGCACATGTTGATCGATTTGTAAACAGGTCAACTCCCGTGACATGGGCATCGACTTGAATTGTCCAAACTGGACCTATACACACATGGGAACGACGATTGTGCCTACCTCCCGATTTGGTGCATACACCTCGGCCACTCCAGGCAAGCCAACTACCTTTCCAGTGACTTCACCTTCAGCCCGTATGCCCGCTTTTCAGCGCACCTCAGACTTCGACCTTGGTAGCCCGGATGGGTCTGCTTTCCCAGACCGGCCTGCGCCAAGTGTTGATTCGATCCATTACGAGGATGGACCATCTGCCCATTATAGCCAGTCGCCTGCATATATGCTTCCAAACGCTCCTTCTGCAGGTCTCGTTGACTACAGCGCAACCCCATGGAGCCCGAAGCTATGGGGCTCTATACTCGGCGGGAACAGATCGACCAATGGAGTCTATCCTGATTCTGAAGTGACAAACGGCTCCCTGCACCAGCCACCGTTTCCTTACATGCTTCCAAGCCATGGAGTTCCATCAACCGAAGTTCCTCAAACGACACCTACGGCTATGGCCACTGGCTCGTGTGCAGACTGTGCCGGGTCAAGCCGTACCCTTCCAACTCCAACTTCTCGCAGCCAGCAGCCTCCAGTTAGCACAGCTGGATTGAGTCTTTTGGGCGCAGAAGGGAATTCTCATCTTCCTCTTGTTATGGATCATAAGTCTTTCTGGGCTACTCGATATGGTCTGCCACCCGACCAGCGCAGTACTACTGCAGACAGTATACCCAGTAATATCCTTTTCAGCCACAACCCCCCTTCACCCGTGCCAAAATGTGAGGGTACCAGTTCCAATCCATCCGAACTGTTATACACATATCACCCTATGCCTACCACAACTGAAAGTGCTACCACGACACTTCCTTCTTCTGTTGTGGCTGCCCCATCCGCGGTCTCTGGTGGGAACCCAGTTTATCCTGTGCTGGAGTCACTGGATGATGCGTCTGCTGAGGATCGTAGCACCACTACTGAGCGAAGTCTTAGCAGGAGTGCTTATCACGAGCGGTCAACTGCAGGACAACGCATATCCGCCCTCACGGCCGATTGTACAGTTGACATTTACGGCTATGCTGGTTCGGAGAGGACCAAATCACGCCTGGTAGATGGAACAGACGGCCGATGCAGCACTGGAACACTCATGAATGGACTGCCGTATACTCGAGTCCCGCACGCAGATACATCAAGCAGCGCTTTCTCCTTCAACAATCTGCTCCCGGATGCTCTGCCCGAGTACCACCGCTCAGTAGTCACGAACGTGCACCGGCCCCCAGTCTCGTTGGGTAACAACGGAGCATACTAGCGAGTGTGTTTCTCCGACATTAATTCTTGTTCTCCGTTCCCTTTTGCTCTTTTCTCCCTTCTGTTGTCTTTTTCATCGATACCAACGTGAAACTCGAGTGTGTACCCGTGTATATTCTCTTTTTTTTGCCTTTTCTTCCTCTCATCTTCACCTAATGTTTGCCAGTCTCAGAAAGGTGCATGGAGGAGCCAAGGCCCCCTGTCATTCTTTTCGGGGGGAAACCGGAACGCCCAGCATAAAAAAGCAGGTCCCCGTGAACACTGCCAGTGCACAGCATTCTGCACTAATCTATTCTGGGGCACTAATCTTGCGGTGTAGCGGCTTATTTTTGGGCTTCGCCTTCTTGCTTGTCCGTTTTAACCTTTTTTGTTGTTTTTCTCCTGTCCTTGTTTTCCTTTTCATGCTATTTTTTTTTCTTTCCTGATCTGTTTGGGCTTACATGCGGGGACCAGTAATTCCCCTTTCTTGGCTATGATTATTCTGTTAAGTCTTGTTCTTGAGCTGAGTCTTCTAAATTTCTTGCCTATTCCTTTCTCTTGTCTCTCCTTGTGGGATTTGATGTGAACGCTTCTTTCTCTCTCCGCAATACTTGATCATTCACTGCACCCCCCACCCCCCTACAGAAAAGGACCTAGTCATGGATCTTAGGACTGGAAACTTGTCCATGATACCTCCCCTGGATACTGACTTAACAATGACACCCAGCAAACCCATATCTGGCTTGTGGTGTGGAGGTTTTTGTCTGTGATCTTTGTATTCTGCTTGTTCTTTCCTATGTGTTTATCGTGAATGATTTTTTGTTTTAGAGTCAACTGAGGAGGAAATGAAGGTGTTTATGCTGATGGATGCAAGGTACAATTTGTTCTTTACTTATTCATCATTTGCAGTTGTTGCGATGGGTTATATGGCCACATATTGAGTGTTTTCCCCCTCCTTCTGTTTTGTCATGTGACAGATCGACAAGAAGAAGACACTCCCCGAGACGACAAAGAGAATAAGTGTTGTGGTTGGACAAGTGAATTTGGCTAAGTGAGCTGTGGAAGGCTTTGGTTTCCATTTCTGTGTGGAGGAAGCTTGTTTTGAATCCGGATGGTGTTCTGCTTTGTTGAAATTTACCACTCATTTTTGTCCTGGCATGGTTTGAGGAGGATACCATTTGACTTGAATTTTCCCTTTCCAAATTTTATCTCTCTTAGTCTTTCCCTTCTGCTCACTTCTGCTTCTGTGCCTCATGGCCTACTAATGCATCTCCCCACCTGGTTGTATCGTCTTAGAAGGCTCCTTATTAGCCTGAGTAGTTCCTAGTCTAATTTCTACTTGTCAGAGCATGAGTAGTTGTATATAGGGCTAGTCCTCTGGGCACCCACACTGAAAGCCGAGAGGTAACACGCCCAGACCAAAGAGACTGCATGTATTTGTCATTCATTTCGCCGCCATATCCCTGCGTATATTCCTCACCATGATGATTGAGTTTCTGGTGTATACCTGGAATATACTTCGTGATGAGGTAGATCGAGTAAGCAGTGCCTATAGCTGTGTCAATTCCAGATCTCATGAATGACTACGCGGATCCCCTCGTTCATATCAAGCCTTTATTGTTGAGAAGATAGGAGAAGTCTCTCTCAATGCTTATGTTACCTGGCAAGCAGTTTGTCGATACGGAGCCAGATCGTTGGTGCCGCAGAATATAGAGATTACCGCACAGCCCCGTAGACGTAGCATGTATATACCTTAAAACCTTCAGCCAGCATGATCTAGCATCCCCAAAGTAAAGAAACACTGTCTCTAAAAGCAAGTGAAGAATAAAAACACAGGAAAAGGAAAAGAGAAATAAAATAGAGAGAAAAAAGAGTCCCCAAAACATCATCCTGGTCGAAGGCTGTGTAATCCCCCCCTGCACCACCCCAACCCCACGCTGTGATTTGGAATCAAAAGAGACCCTGCATCTGGCTCATTCAAGTAACTGGTGCATCATGGAAGCGGTAGGAGCGACATACACAATGAGAAGCCACAAACCGGCGCTGTGTTTATCTTTATCTTCCGGTAGGGTCAATATCCCTGTCTGTCCGGGGGGGAGCGGATGGAGACAACCGCGTTCCGACTTGGATCATAGTGCGTACATAGATTGAGGTAGGATACGTTCTTGTTAGATCCGGTGCATCCGGTTTCAAGGAGATTGACGGGGAAGTTGTTCAAGGGTGGTAAGCCCTAAGATGAAGGATGGTCCGCGGGGCCAGTCTGCTCTTTGCCCCTTATGTGGAGGGGGTGGATCGGATTTGAATTTGGGGGAGGCGGTCCGGAGTGGATTGTGCAACAAGTCTGTCGCCAGAAATGGTGCTCATAGGGTGTTGAGAGCTTTATTCCATTTCTGTAAAGGTCTATCAATGCTGTTGGGTATGTCTTGTGTTCGGCTGGATTGATGCATGCAGCAGGGAAGTATATGGAGACGGCAAATATATATACATTTAAGTGGGGACGAGGTAGCGCCGTATATATCTGGCTTTCATGGTCATATCCTGAAAATGATAGAATAACATCATCTCCACAGAGAATTATGTGAAAATACAATAGTCAGATACCAAGCATGATTAGTATTCAGCACTTTACTGGCCTGAGAGTGCTGAACCCCGGATTTTGGGTGGGACTCTTGGCCTACGTTTTGGGGGCATGAAAATGGGCTCCTTCCGGGGTATGGGTGATTATTCATGTTCATCCTAAAATATGAATAAACAGATCCCTAAGATATCACGATGCTTCAGTGACCGCTTACTGGAGACACTACAAGAACCCGGGTCTAGCATTATGAGGGCATCTCTACAGACTGAGCAGACTTCTATCTGACAGTCTCGGCAGTCATGAACAGAAACAAAAATATGTAATTTCATCCCGGGGCAACAGCCGAAGCCCGGATTCTCATATCCCCTCGCTGTTTTTGATTCGAAAACTGATGATCCAAACCATAATGTAAGAAACAACACTGACGCCTTTTGAGGGAGATCATCAGGTTCACCGGCCTCCACAAAAAAAACAAAGGAGAGGCCGGCCAACAGGGGGAAACGTTCCACATCCACCGAGGAGCAAGGCCTCAACAACCACAAGAATTCTTTTTTTTAGGTAATGCATCATGTTGAAGAGACCCCTTCCCTATTCTTCACACCGCACCACAGCCTGTTGCCATGATATGTAGAATCACAAAAAACATAGAACAGGCTGAAACCACCAGGCCACTAAACATTGCGCCATGCCATTCATCGGACCGTGCAGAATTATGCGGGGCGAGACATTTAGTCCTTGTTCTTCTTGGGGCCCTTGACCTTGGCGGTACCGCGGAACTTCTTGGAGCGGTTCTTCCGTTGCTTGCCTGTAATGAGAATAAAAGAATCGAGTTAGACAGATTCATCAAATGAAGAAACGAGAAAGGGTAGCGAAGGCCCATATCCCTTCCCCAAGAGACGGGAGGGTCGCAGGGGCGAGTAAGAAAAAAATTGTCAGGGCATGGAGACGTACGCTGCTGTCGGCTGGGCTTCTCGATCTTGGAGGCAGCACCGATGCGGACGAGACGGTAGTGAGGCTCGAACTTCTTGAGGGCCTCCTGGGAGTCGTAGACCAGAGCGAAGCCGGTGCTCTTGCCACCACCGTACTGAGTGCGGAAACCGAAGACGGAGACCTGGTCCTTGTTGGACTTGTACAGGTCGGCCAGCTTCTCACGCAGCTCGTCCTTGGAGACGTTGGCGCGGTTGGGGTGGAGGACGTCCCTGGGAACGAAGAATGTCAGCCGCGCGGTTCTTCTCTTCGATTGTGTTTCCCCTTCAATTTCATCAATTCCGACGATCTGGCATTGTATCGCAATCGAATCTCTCGTCGTCTCAGGTTGAATTGTGTGGTTCTGTCGCTGTCGTCTCCTGTGTGAGGCTTTCTCGAATTTCATCGTCCAGTCCAGTCGTCGTCGAATTCCTCCTCTTTTATCGGGGTGAAAAAAATAATAAGGAGAAGGGGTTTCTTACACGACCATCTGCTTGCGGGCAAGCAGAGGGTTGCGGATGAACTTGCGAGTCCGCAGGGTAACAGGGGTGTCGGCCATTTTGGTGGTGTCGTGGTGATGCGGAAGCGAAAGCCTGTGGATGTCGACTTTCAATTTTCGTGCGGTGCGCTCGGCTAGGGCTTGGCGCTAGCCTGCTCGGGAAGGCTTAGGTAATACGGGCAGCGTGACTGCTGAGTCAAGTTCTTATCGTGCTGTTTTATCGATAAGAGCGATGATAAGCCCTTATCGGTCTCCCGCGGTTGAATCGGGGATGAATTTCGATCTTCCATTTGACTACTTGACCTTGACACTACAATCATGGCCGAGGATATTCGCACACTGGTTGCGCAATACTTTGAATTGGTGGATCCGGCACAATTGGCCATTCCACATGGCAACGTTCTTGTGCGCAATGCCACACAGGCAGCTCTTTATGAGCGCATGTTCCATGAATCCCTCACCCCACTGCCACCTGCTAGTTACCGAGCAAGGGTGCTGAAGCTGATACTGGCGCGGATCGAAGAGTCGATCAGTGATCCAGATGAAGATGTATGTATTAAACCACATTTTGCTCTTTCTTGACCACATTGCAATCGATTTTATATACAAACCCCCTCCAGTCCCTCGCCACAGCCCCCAGGTCTCTTGTGCAAACAACTTCCAACATATACATCGCAGGAAATCTTAGATGACCTCATAGAATGCTGGGGCAACCTCGTCTCCCAGCCCAAACCGACCGCTCTCCAACAGGCCCAAGAACTTTCTCACATTAAATACACTACCCCGCTCCAGTCTCCACCGTCCCCTTCAGAGCGCGAGGTCATTATCATCGAATCTCGTGGCCTCATTCTCTCCGGTGGCACCACCGGCAACCGCACCTGGGAAGCAGCGCTACATCTCGGTTCATTCCTTGCCTCACCTACCGGTGAAGCCCTCGTGCGCGGGCAGCGTGTGATCGAACTTGGTGCGGGCACGGGCTTCCTGTCACTGCTCTGTGCCCGGCACCTCGGTGTGCAGGGCGTCGTCGCGACAGACCGAGAGCCCGTTCTAATCGAGAACATGCGCAACTGCATAGACTTGAACCTTCAACCCAGCACCAACTCCTCCGCATCCCTCCCCTTCTACCCTGCTATCTGGGACTGGGGCACGCCGTTGGGTGTGACAGGGGAGCTCGCGCCGTTCGTAGAAAATGGCGGACTGAGATTTGATATTGCGCTTGGTGCTGACCTGGTAAGACTGCTACTCACTCATTCACTTACTTCTTTCCTCCCAGCGAGAGTCGAGCACAGCCGCCCTCGCCCCGTCCCCTTGTCGCACCAGTCTAGCAGACTAACCCCATCCCACAGATCTACGATGCCGACCTAGTCCCCCTGCTCATCTCCACCGTGCGCGATCTATTCGAAAACTACCACGTCAAGCAATTCATCATCGCCGCCACGCTTCGCAACGAGAACACATTCCAGACTTTCCTCGACGCATGTGGCACGGCCTCCTTCAACGTCGAACAGCTGCCCTTTGCGTCGACGCCGTCCAAAGACCAAACAGGCTTCTTCCACTCGACGCGCATCCCCATCCGCACATACCGAATCGAGCGCAAGACGTGAAAAAAAAAAAAAAAAAAAAAAAAAAAAACAAGCGCGGAGAATCAATCCCCGCTGGACACAGGGGAGCATCTAAGAAAAGGCGAGAGGAACTATTTACGAGGTCATGAGCTTGCATGGAACCCGGGAAACACACAAACACACACACACACACACACACACACAAACACACGTGTATATTTATAGACACCAATTGCTCCCAGCAGACAGCTGTATAATGGTATAGTCGAGTGTATCACTTCATCCTGCGATTTGAATATAGAGACTAAGATATGAAAATTAAGGTGTTTCATTCCAAAGAGTGTGTTGTCGCATGTGTCGCGAAGTCAACCACGATAAACAAGCGATCGTCGCAAGAAAACAACCCAGCGAACCAAATAAGATCCAAAGAGAAAGAAAGACACATGAACGCAGAAAAGGTCTAATAAGGAATGGTTTCGTCGAGAGGGTATCATGATGCATAGAACAATAACAATAACCAGCGCCATCCATCCAACCCAGCACCGGTCTCAGCCAAGACTCCCAAGCACAAAACGAGAGTGTGAAGCGCGACCGAGAGATATAAAGCGGGGAAAAGTGAACCAAAAAGAAGGCAGGAAAGCCAACAAGGCGAGAAAAATCAAGTCCGATTGCGATGCAGTAGTTTTATTATATAGGAGGAGGGGGCGGGCGAAAGAGGGACTGGGGCAGTAGCCAGCCGGGGGGTTGATTATCAAAGAGGGCAGCAGAGAAGGTGGGGGAGGGGGTTGAGAATGAGACGAACGAGGATATGAATCTATCGAGCCTGCTCCGTCCAGGCAAAGGGCGTGACTGGACAATCAAGTTAAATAATATCGCTCACTGACCGCCTTCGGCGAGACTCTCACGCAGGAGTTCCTCGTCGATTCGTTGTGGGTGAATGGACACCGGGGCGCGGGGTGGAGGGCGGAAGCCCATGATAGGGCCTTTCTGGTTCACACCAGGAAATCTGAACCCAAGAGGCGGGGCTGGGTCTGGAGGACGCGGGATAGAATGGGCCTTGGGCGCTGGGATTTCAGGAGCAGCGTCCTGGGATTCTGGCTCCTGGGCGGGTGATTCAGTCTCATTGTTCTCATTGTCCGCGGATGAAGAGACAGGGGCCATGCCCCAGCGGCCGAGAACCCAACCACCCATGCGCCGGCCCAGAGTGGTGGGCTTAGGGAACAGGGGAGTTGCGGTAGAGCTGGAGCTTGCGCTGTCAGCGGAGATGACAGATGCTGCTTCCGAGGCAGCGCTGGAACTGGCGGCGAAGGAGGCTAGGAGGGAGCGAGATGATTGCTCCGGGCCCTTGGCGCGGTTGACTGTGATGGCGGGTGCGGAGATAACGGGCGGCGTTGAGACCAGCTCAATGCTCGGAGACACGATGCGCTGGGGGATGCGCATGCCTGGGTACCAATCACCCATGCGGGCGTGGCGCGTGGTCGGAGTATGAATATCCATTCCTGCAACGGAAAGAAGACTATCATGAGATGCCGATTTTCGAAGAGATGGGAATGGTATTTGAACACCAAACACGTCTTCGGCGGTGGGTGCAGGATTGTTAGCCACAGATTGGCAGTATGACCCAGACGGCGACTCGGATTCTTCTGGAATGGCCGGGTGCGCCGCTATGCCGTCGCCCATATCCAACTTCCCTAGCCTTTCAAGGTCCTCGGCGAAAAGACCAGATGAATTATCCATGGATGGGTCAGGGCTGTCGAGACCCGCCAGTGGCCGGAAGGCCATGTCAAAGCCTTTTATATTTCGGGCTCCCATGAGAGGCGAGGAGAACACCGTACTATCCGGGCTGGTCGGCTGCGAGAAATCAAATCCACGATCTACACGATCAAAGATAGAGGAGGTGCGGAACGCAGATTGCGGCGAGCTTGCCAAGGAGTCTATTGCAGGTGATTGCAGCGACCAGCGTCGGGAAGATGACGGCGGCGGGATAGATACTGATGTTTGAGAGAGTATGGTATTCATGGATGAGCCGGAAGACTGGGAGCGGTGGATGGAACGTCGAGGGGACTGGGCACCCATGGCGGAATGCAGAGGAACGGGACTCCCAAGGGCTGGCCGTCTCTTCTTGACACGTCGGTTGAGTGAGCTCTTGTCCTTCTTGGAAGATGACGGGGTGTGATAATGATGATGGATATGGAACTCCTGAGAGACCCGTCTCTCTTTCGCCTCCAGCTCCTCGCTGAGTGTAGTAGACGAGACAGGCTCGTCATTTTCGTCCTCGCAGGCAGCAGCAAGCGGCTGATGAGACAGGACTTGTTCGCGCAGATTTTGGACTTCCTGATTAGAGCTCTCCAGCATCTCTCTGAGCTCCATAATGCCGACCTGCAGATTCGCGTTATCCTGCAATATATCCTTAACGAAGCGCGAGACTACATGCGTGCCGGCGTTCCGGCCAAGCTCTGTCGCCGCGGCCGCACCCTTCAAGCGACTCGCAGCATTGTCAAGCTCGCGTTCCACGTTCCGTTTCCGCTCCATGCGCTGCACAAGCTCTTCATGTTGCTGGCGCTCCTCGCGAGACTCGGCCTCAATGCGCTCCACTTGATCACGAAGATCGCGTAGCGTGCTCTCCGCACTCCTCCAGCGCTGCACGGCCGATTTTTCATCCTCCTGTGCGGCACTGAGACTATCCTGCAATCGTGATTGCTCGGTCTCCATCAGGACCAGCTGGGCTTCGAGTTCGGCTGCCCGCGAAGCGGCAACAGTCAACCTGCGGACTTCCGCTTGAGTGCATTCCAGCATCGTGGTCAGGGACTGGGCATGCGCATCAGAATCTGAGACAGCAGAATTCAGGCCCTCGAGCTGCTCCAGGAGAGCGCGATTTTCCTCAACAATGCGGGCATTTTCGGCCTGAACCTGGCGCTTCTCGCGCTCGAGCGCATCAACGCTAGCAACCAGTTGTTGGCGGTCTTCTTCCGCCTCGGCCATATAGCTTTCATGGCGGTGCAGCAGAGCCTGTAGAGCAAAAGTCAGCGACGAAGGCCCGGCACATTGAGTATCTGTCGCGGCAGCATAATCGCGAAAATTAGGAATGGCCATGACGGACGCCAACGCAGCGGGAGAGGACAGGAGACCTCAACATGGGAGAATCCATGAGAAGACCCAAGGCGAGCGGGTATAATGAGATGGGATGGAGCAGATCCAGGGTAGGATATCATGTATCAGATGCTGTCCTCCCCACCGAAGTATAGAGTGTACATGGAGAAGGTGAGTGGACGGATTGGGTGGAGGGTGGACTGAAGCTAAAAAAGCAAAAAAAGCAAATGCCCGCCCATCGCCCAAGAATGAGAAAATGATGCATCAAACATGTCGCTGACCAGCCAGGAACCAGGGAAAAAGCGGCTGCCCATCTGATCGGCCAAACATAAAAGGGGCCAAACATGCACCGCCTCTCCCCCCCCAAACTTGGCAAAGACAGAAGCAGATGAGATTAGACAACGTACCTGACCTAATCGGGCCGCCGTCTCGAGATCTTTCTCTAGACCCTCGAGAGCAACGTTGTTGTGCTCGAGGGTAGCACAGTCCTGGCGGCCACAGCAGCAGCGCAGAGTGACTGGCGCGCTGGAGCTGGAGTGTGTTGGTATGCTGGGGAGCAGCGCCGACGCCGGGTCGAAGCTCCCGGTATGCGGACGGGAATCCATGGCTGGTACTGGAATGTGATGGCCCCTTGGGCGCGCGGGTATTGGAGCGGGCTGAACATCTGTCGGGATGAGAGCTTTTCGAGCTATCGCCCCCGAGCGCCCGTTGTTTCAGGACAGGATGGATCCCCTAAGAAGGCGAGATGCAGGGCAGACTTTCGTTCATGTATCACAAAGGCAGAAAGCGGAGAAGGATCAGCTGACGCTGATGTAATCGGAGAACGGGCGGGGATGGTGCCTGATTAGTCAGACGCCCAAACAGGCAATATTGAAGGATAGCGAATGGGGGACGGTTGGACCGAATGTATATGGATACAGTTCAAATTGACTATCCGTGACGAAGATTGAGAAGCGTGACAGTGCGCCCTTGGAGTTACATTGTTCTGTTATATCTTATCGTTGCATGTCTGACACAAATGCCAGCACTTGGCTTGCTGTTTCACTGGAACGCAGCGCCATCGAGGAGAACATTCCATAGTTCTGCCAGCCACTCTCATCCTCCCGGAAGTATTCTCTCCTCCTCAACTTAACTCGCACCACGACGACACCATCCCTCGATGACTACATGAAACATGTCAGACTAGCGAGAGAACCAATTCTGAATCATCAATGCTGGCCATCAATTGTTGAAAATGCAGTTATCTATTATCTCCAAAGATCGCAATCGCGCACCAGCACTCGCTCATCACCTCGAATAACACCTCCAAGAGCAAGACAACATGAGACTGACTCAATACAAAGAGGATGAAGCAAACGGCACGCTCATCCTCATACACTCACGGACCCGGATCGACCTCGAAGGCAGCGGGAAATTAAAACGAACCTAGCCCCAACTACGACCCGCCCCGCCCTACTCACTAGCACACGCGAGCAGCATTATAATCTCCGTGACTCTGCGACACAGCCCCAATCTCTCCTCTCTTTACCTTGAGGCCCAGCACAGAACTGGGACTCCGCTCCGGCAACCATACGAATTGAAGAAGCAAAAGGCGGAGGAGTCGAGAAGAGAGAGAGAGAGAAAAAAAAAAAAATTAACAACAGGAAAGAAAGAAGAAATCTCAGCCGAGTCATGACCGGCAAGACAAATCAAACATTCTGGCTAGCACGCAATAGAGAGAAGATGACGATGGATGATGGCGACACCGGACCCGGGACTCCGGCCAGGCCCGCGCCGAAAGGAGGAGTGGATCATAAGTCAAGGTAGCGGAGGTGAGAAAGAGAGAGATAATAAACCCCGAAGATTGGTCTGAGAAGTAGAGAAGAAGAGAAGAAAGCAACACACGGAAATGGGAAAAAAAAAAAAAAAAAAAAGAACCAGCGCCAATCAAAGCTTTCAAAGTAAAATGTCATTCCGAACATTGATGAACGCCCCGGCGCCGCCGTCTTCGCTGATCTCGTTGACTAGCACTTCCGTTTGCCGGTACAGTCGCTCCAAGGCGGCAGAGGAGGATTTGCCCAGGGAGACTATAATCGGTCAGTATGGATGGGAATTTGTATAGGCCAAGCACATATTCAATATATACAAAGGAAGAGATGGGAGGGCGGAAAGAAGATTAATGGAACAAGAAGCTCACCTAGAATCGCCGAGTTCAACTCCTCCGCTACAGCGACTCGCCCTGCCGGGTCGAGATAGTGCCCATGCACCGAGCGCATGGGGTCTGGGTAAGCGACCAGCGAGAAAATATCGTCGAGCATCTTGATATCCCCGCCATTTGCGTCGGATGGGTAGTCCATACGGAGTTGCTGTCCGTACTGCACGGCCTCGGTAAGCAGTTCATTAAACTGGGCGGCCGCCTCAGGTTGTTCCGTATCCATGCCCATACCATCCCAGCCATCCCCGTCGAGTTCCATTTCCTGGTCGAAGACGGCATGTTCGTCGGAAATCCTGGGGGACACGGAGCGGCGCCGTTTCGAGGCAGCCGCTGCAGTGGCCGCCGAGAGCTCGTTTGAGCGGCGCATCATTTCGAGAAACTTGCGGCAGCGGAGTTTGAAGTGGATCTGCGGATGGTCCTCGAGAACATTGGCGTAGTATGCTTTCGTGTGCTTCAGGGCTTTGTCAATGTCGCCGTCGAGGATGGCAGCGCGGATTTCTATGAAATTGTATTAGTTCGGGAAGACGATTTATCCATAAGAGAATTGTAGAAAGGATGATGACGTACTGTTACGATTAATAGCTTCACGATCCTCCTCTACCTCATATTTCTTGAGAGGATCCTGGTGTCCACTTTGAAGGGCTGCCGTTTCGGTGGCTACCTCTCCGGCGAATGCACGAGCCGTTTCGACGTACCCATCATGAGCTAGAAATTGCGCGACTAATTCTTGCAGTAGAGCAGACTCCCCCAGCGGAGGTTGCAGGCTATCGGTGCTGGTATTATTAATCTCCGCTTGAATCTTGGCTCTCTCTTGCTGCGAGGTATCAGTAAGACTGGCAAATCCAAGAAAATATTGCATGAATAGCACCAGAGCGAAGTATCATACCTGGACCATCCCGTCAATATCGAATACGAACGGCTCCTGGCCAAAGTTGGCCTTTAAATGCACGGGGGGGTTGTTTTTTCATCCCCACAGATGGATATAACGTAACGGTCCGCAAGTCATGAAATGCATTCCCTTGAAACAAACAGATTAGCTTGGGGGTTCCAATCTAGCTAGAAAAAGAAATAATGTCCACCTACCTAGGAAAGTTCCATTCTTCGTAAAGAAAGCCGAGCCAGCGGCGAAATTCACTCCACATCCGACCGTATCACCGGCCCCGAAAGTCGGCCCATATGTGCGCCCCTGGCCCTGACTCTCGCCGAAGAAAGACTTCCCATCATCGCCGTGATAGGCCCAGGATTCCTGCTCCCAGCCAGGAAGTCGTTCGACGGAAGCTTTCGTACTGGAGAACCCAATACCGATCATCCTATCAAGAGAATCAGTCTGCCGCTCAATTAAACCCAGTCTCCAGCCTCCGCCTGGGCTCATCCAAAGCCCAGGTCTGCCATGCAAACCACAGCAACCCGATGGGAAAACAAAGGCGAAGGTATCCTCTGAACTTACCCTTCTTTCGGTTTGGACTCAATCTTGATCTCATAGTAGTATATCCCGCACTGTGGGGGCATAGGGTGGTCGGCTCGCAGGGCAGCGGCTTCATGGTCATGCTTATGAACCGGTCCCGTATATCGCACGTCCAGTCCATCGTTCGAGAGTTCGAGACCAGAGTATTTGTCCGAGGAACTCCACTGAGATGGGAGAGGCCCAAGCTGATCGGGGGCGGTAGAGGATGAGGAGGGGGGTTCTTTTTCGATGATCTCATAGGTCATACCCCGATGAGACGGGGCCATCCGGGGGAGATGAACATTGCTCGAGGATGCTGAGAGCGGGGGGTTCGAGGCTGAGGTGGAAGACGACGAGGCATCACGTTGTTGGGCGGCGAGTTTGGCTCGATGGGCGGCGTCGAGGCGAGAGATATAGCGGGAGTGGCGGAGGTAGGACGGGGTGAAGAAGGACGGCCCATCGACGAGAGCCAGGCTGGAGGGGAAATCTGACGCACGGGGATAGCTAGCATACTTGCGCGAGTAGGCAGGCAGGGGATCTGATGAGGCCGTCGGCCGCCAGGCGGAGTTCAGGTGCATGTCTGCGGCATCCAGGCCGGAGAGGGCCCGGTGGAGACGGCCGTCGGGCTGGGAGAGTGGGGGATAGGAAGAAACCGGGTTGGAGTTGAGTAGATGGGAGAATGAGTTGGAGATCGGGGGAGAGAAGGCGGTGCCCGAGACGACTGAGGCGTAGGAGGAGCGGCGGGGAGCGGAGGAGATGCCGTATGTTGGAGTTGGAGCTCCTCGAGCTCCACCGGGGAAGGGAACATCGGCCATGGCGGCGGCAGTGCGGGTCCCCTCCTCCGGGAGTGAACGGCGAGTGACGCTCACCACGCACCAAAGTCACGGCCGCGATTCTTGGATTTGGGGGCTTTCGCTGGCCGCGGGGGTTCATCCACTGCTTGTGGCCCGGCTGCTTTGTGCGTTTCGGGATCGACTTCTGCGACTGCTGGGGGCTGATGTTGCGTGACAAGCGGGTCATCGGGTGACCGAAAGCAGCAAGGACGAGGCCAGCAACGAAACCGAGTCTGTCTTGGTCGGCACAGACGTAGACAACTAGGCCCACCGTGGGGAGGGGAATTTCAAGCACAAAAGGGCTTCACACAGCGGGGGAAGAGATTGGTGACTTTGTTGATTGCGGGGAAAATCCCGGTTAAAGAAGGGAAAAGCAAAGGAGGGGAGGGTTGGGCGTGTTGCAAAGTCTCGCTGTCGAGACCTGCGCTTTGTCACGAGATCTCCCTCAGACCTCCCGTCGTGGTGATGCTTCAGGAGGCCCTGAATCAGACCAAGCCACTGGAGTAGGAGGTGGGTGGATTAGCGGGAGGCATTTGGATGCATGTTGACGTGAAGAGAACGGGAGCTTGATCAGGCCATCCAAAATAGATGACAAGTCTATACGGCACAGGACAGGACATATCAACAATCAACGCATCCATTAGGCACACGACCTGCGAGTCCCCCATGCTCGGTACCAGGGTGTACCGCAAGTACCCCCTCGGCCGTCTACGGATGCCGTCTGTACTTCTGGATGGCTGTGGACTCGTCTGACGGCCCTGCAAGTTCCCTCCCCTTTCCCCCTCAGCCCTCGCCGTAACCCCTGACTGGCCCGAGGCGGGAAGATCATAAGGATCCCAATCATTGTGCTTTATATGTAGACATGAAAAAGAAATATGCTGATTTTGGAGAGGTTGGATGTGATTCCAGAACGAAAAAAGAAGCAAAAAAAAGATAGCTCCCGGCGAGGATCGAACTCGCAACCTTCCGCTTAGAAGGCGGATACTCTGCCAATTGAGACACGGGAGCAATCAGTGTTTTGGTTTGTCACCATAATCATTATTATCAGCACCATGAAGAAGGCTCAATTCGGCAAGGAGCTCTCTGTATTGTCCGACCAGGAACAGTAGACCGGCCACAGGTGAAGCCTTTGGATAATGAGGATATTGAGGATCACTGCGGGTCTGAAGGATAATAGGTAGATCGGCGAGAACTCCTCCAGCGGACCTGAAATGGGTCTTGGATTTTCTACTGGAGGCTTTCTGTTGGGCGATTGAGACCGAAGATGTCTACGGAATACCCTCTTTAACTTCTCGCGCGTGAATAGTGTCGCGGGTATCTGACCCAAGTTTGATGAATTCATTTATGATACAAGATGATTTTGGAATTCCAGCAAAGGTGAAACAGCCCAGACTAGTCGAACACCGCCCGGTGTTGCCAGCAAGAAAAAAAAAACAAAACATGTATGAGTCCCTCCATAGTTATAGTTCCTTCAGTAGCCCAATCCGTTATGCCAAAGACGCCGACCGAAAAGGAACCCCCAAAACCCAAAACCGAAACCCAACCCCCAAATATCAGAGATGACAAGAATTAATAAACCAATGCTAGCAATGAGACAAGGAGAACAATGAAGGAAGAGGGAGACGAAACAAACTCCCTGACAATATCTAATGTGCACAATCATACCCCCCGTTTTTTTCATTTTGTTGGATTTTTTTGTCCTTCAGAGACGAGACGCTCATGCGGTCGAGGCAACTGCCGGCGACGATGGCTCGACCAAGTTGAAGGGAGCAGGAGTGACATCGCCATCGCCGGAATTGCTCTTCTCGCTCGGGACGGCACTGCTGCCATTGACCGTATCCGGCCCGGGGACAGTCAGCACCTTGGTATCGCTATCGCCGCTCTCTAGAACCACCTCCTTGGCTTCGTCGGCCTCGGCTTGAGCCAGCTTGTAGCTACCCCAGGCGGGCAGCTGCCACATCACGCCCGTGAAGCTGCGAAGCTTGAAGGGCTGGCGCTCCCACTTGCGGCAGGGGGCGCCGGTGCGATCAAGGGCGCGCAGGCCGGCATTGATGGCTCCGGTGTTGGCCTTGGGGCCAAGTCGGTGGGCCGCGTTGAGTTTGCTGGGGTCAGTACCGTCCTCCCTATTGGGTCGAGGGTTAGCAATTCATCCCATGTGTGTTCCCGCTTCGGGATGGGTCATCCATTAGAAGAAGGGTGGGCGAGTGGAAGAAGAGCGACTCGTTTTATGTCGACCGATCGGATTGAAGGAGGGGGAAAGGGGGAGGGCGGGGGGAGGTTGGAACTTACAGTCGAGGTTTCTTCTTCGGGCCCGGCCTGCCTCGTACTCGTGCCGCGGGATCTATCACGCCGTTGACACGCTTGTTGCCGGGCTTGGGACCCGGGATGCCCTTCCGGCGCGGTGTATCACCTGGTGTGGCCCCTGTGGCAGGTGTGGAGATCGCATCAGCGTTGGAGTCAGCATCTGCCGACGAAGGGCGGGCGGCTGGAACTTCGCTGGACGAAGCCGGCGAGGAGCGTTCGGTCTTGTCAGGGAAGTCTTGCGGTTGGGCGGTTGTGGTGATGGATTTGGTGTCGGCCGTGTCCTCCACGAACTGCTGGAGGGCGCTCGTAGACAGCTTGAGGGTCACCAGTAAGGTGTTGGGCGTATTCTTCGCCACCCCGGCTCGATTGGAGCGACCGTTGCTGGCACCCGCGGGCATGGTGAGCTGTGTCTTGAGAGAGGGACGCAAAGAATGGGCGGCGCAGAGGCGCGGAGCGTGTGGTGTCGTGGCCGGTTCGGGGCGGGAAGAGGGATTGCGGTCGGGGGTGGAGATGTGATGGAGGCGATTGTGACGAGTGGATTGGGGTTGTCCCCGAGTTCAGCTGGCGAGTGAGGCGAAAGTGTTCCGAGTAGCAGTAGATGGAGTGGTGGTAGGGATGCAGGATGCAGCGATCATAGTCTGGGGAAGAGGGGAAGCTGGGGATGAAGGGGAAGGAAGGAAAGGAGGGCGGCGAAGGGAAGGGGAAAAGGCGTGGGGGGCAGCAGGAAAGGAGACGTGGATTTTCATCTCGTTTAATTCCCAGGCGTTGGCAGAAGGTTCGTGAGAGTCGCTGGGATGATGACCGCGCGTGTATCGGTATTACCCCGGCGCCATACACGGCCAAGGTCACAATCCGGCCGCCCCCAGTGCGCGCCGCAAGGAGGCAAGGAAAGACGGTGACCGTACCATACCGAACTATACATCCGATCTTCGATGGGGACGAGAGGGACATGAGTACCTGCCGGCGATGAACCAGATGAGCGACCTGATCGCGCGGAGGAAGGCGAAAGATCATCGGGAAGATCGATCGATTCTCCCTCCTGAAGACTCTCCTCGCGATCTCCTGGTCAGCCCATCTCCCGATCGCCAGGTATTGTCCGGTCCAGAGTCGGGGGGTACAGCCCCTTCCCAGCAGGACATTCCGACGCCCGAAAAAGAGACCCAGAAAACGCCAGAAACCAACCAACTCCGACAAGGAAACGGGACGAAAAATCTCGACAGATCTTCTCCGCGCGCTCCCGATCCATCCTGGCCGTCCTCCATTTCGCGTGACTGGGTCTTTCTTTGTCTTCCGCTTCTTCTCCTGGTACTCCGTCCTCTGTATACCTACTTGTCTCTGCCGGGCTACTACTATATACTATTTGAAATACCCACGGCGACTATTGCAACTATTGCACCACCTGCACAAAGTCCACGGCTCGGTTGGCCTGGGTCTCGCCACTGCGTCTCAACCCGTTCGCTCGTTCTGTTTCTTTCCTCGTTTCTCTCGGCCTTTGTGACCAGAAAGAAGACCCTGCACGCCAAGGTTTGTCTGAACTGAAAAAAAAAGGTAAAAAAAGAAAAAAGAAAAAAACCTCGAACAAACACGGAACCGGGTTCTTTGACGCGGGAAACCCACTGGGGATGGATGAATGGATCACATTATCATGATCCACTCGTACTCCGTCCCGAACTAGCCCTAGTCTGCTACCCGGACCATCCCATGTAGTCCATCATCCGACACTGACGAGCAGGCAACAAGGAAGCGAACCCCAGGGCCCAGTTGAGCTGGGATATGACCATCCAAGATGACAGGGCATCTCTGAGATGGAGATGGAGGACCACGGTGCTAAGGTGCTAACGAAAACTATACGAATACTGAACGATTCATTTTCTTGGATTCTGCTTCCCCCCGGGACATCAAGCCAGGAAACTCCAGGTTTCCGAGATTTTTCTTTTCTAAAACACGACAAGTGTGCTGCATAAAAGACTGGGGTATCGAAAAGTAAACAGGCAAAAGTCATGAGTAAACAGGCCTTTAGAAACATCCACGTTAAAATGTCATCCAATCCGTCTCTCTATACATGCTTCCCCCAAAAAGGACAGGTTCAGGAAAGAACCACAATGCAAACAAAGGAATACGCTATACCTCCCGCTCGCTTCTATTTCGCCGCCGACCGTCGCTCTACCGCCGATGCAATCGCCTTTTGTACCTCCGGACTGGACCGCGCCGCATTCAGGATAATCCCCTCCTCCATCCCCCGCCGTAGCGCGGCGAGATTAGTGGGGTCTCCTCGAAACGGCGCCTGTCCGAGCTGCATCAGACGGGCGGCCTCGAATTCATTCGCGCGTGAGACACTGTCCAGTTCGGCGACGCGCTTCATCGTTTCCAAGCCCACAGGGTCGTGACTGGTGGCTGGGGCGAGCTTGGAGATGAAGATGTAAACGCTGGTCGCGGTTTGGCGGGCGATGGTGAGGGTCTGGAAGGGGAGCAGGTAGAATTGCGGCCAGGGGAAGAATGGGCGCAGGAAGGCGGGGAGATAGTCGACGGGCACAATGATGGGCTGGGCTTGGGTGACCAGGGTGACTTCGAGGGCGAGCAAGGCGGCGAAGGTGTAGAGACGCCACTGGGAGGAGGATTGGGAGGGTTAGCAGCGGTTCGGGTCAAACCCAAGAGGCTCTTGTCCTTTCGAATGATGCAAAAACAAGGCGTAGACACTCACGAAGCGGCCCCAGCTGGGGAACCATATCCAGCTAAAGACAACCATGACCACGAAGCCGCCGACGTACTTGAAGATACCGCGGGTCAACGATACCTTGAGGTAATCAAGCATCGTCTGCTGTTCGCCCCAATCCAAGATATCCGGGCCGAAGCGATCATAGGCAAAGCGTCGAACGGGGTCGGAAAGAGTATCCTTAATACGCTGTAAAACGACGAAATTGGCATCCGATGCACCAGGGCCGAGCCTGTCCGGGTGATAGTCGCGCGCGATCCGGCGATAGGTGCTCTTAAGGGTGCGTTCATCGACCAATGGAGATACTCCCAAGACCCTGTAGAAGTCGCCTATCTTTTGGATCTGGTAGACGGACTCGTACAGCGTGTAGAGGAGATAGCTGCTGATCACGAGCGCGAAGATGATGCGGCGGTCGCGCTGGTGCCGTTCGCTGTTCTTCGCGGGATAGGGTTCTTTACCGCGGACGAAGAGGATGTAGAAGATGTGCTGAATAATGTCCGTCAAAGTCTATCGAAGGTATTATGGTCAGCATTCGAGAGAGCAAGAAGGAGATAAGCGGAGCGCGCGCGGATCTCGGCGTTCGGGGGTTGTCGACATACAGATGGGATGAAGGTCCACCCCAGCATGGACCAGATTGGGTAGACAACTTCGTCCAGAATTGCCCCCATGATGGCCGAACTGGGATTGCACCAGATCAATATCACAAGATCTCCCCAAATTGCAAAATGGGGGAAAATTTCCTAGTTCCTTGGGGCCAGCCGGCGGCCTCTAAGTGACAAGTGAGATCAATAAAGAGAAGCGCCAACTAAGGGAACCCCCGTTGGCGGGTGATTGCACGTCACCGCCCGTCCGCACCGCCTTCCGCCTCCAATGCAAAATGAAAAAAAAAAAGTTCTCGATCTTCAAAAGCTCCAAAAAAAGCCCAATTATCCACTCCAACAATTCTTCTCGGCTCGGCGGAGCGCTCAATTGGGTCCAGAATGGCCGTTGACGCAATGGACCTCGATACCTCGCCCACAGCGCCCACAGACGTGGAGCGCAAGCGCAAGAGCAAGACCAAAGACGCATCTTCCCCAACGAAGAAGCGCAAGCAGACCGAAGTGAACGGCGACAAGACTTCCAGAAGCAAGAATGATAAGTCCAGCACGAAGACTGCTCCCGTCACTACAGCCGAGAATGCCGACTCCCCCTTCTCGCTCGTCACCGCAACGATGTACTTGCCACTATCGCCCATTTCTATCTCGTCTCTCCACGCACAATCCTCGATGCTTGCAGAGCATCTCTCGCCGCTCCTGCTGACCTACTACCCTCCTCTTAAGGGCATCATTCTGGCCTACTCGCAAGCATCAATCTCCAGCCGTCCGCCTACCTCTCCGGCCCGTGACTCGACCAATCCAAACCCCAAGCCGCTGACCATGGCCAAGTCCGCCGACGAGTACGGCGTGCTGTACGTCTACCTGACGGCGACGTTCCTTGTGTTCCGGCCGCAGCGCGGCCAGACCCTCGAGGGCTGGGTGAACGTCCAGTCGGAGGGCTTCTTGGGTGCTGTGGTATTCAACCTGTTCTCCGTCGGCATCGAGAGCAAGCGACTGCCCGCTGACTGGCGGTGGGTGCCGCCTGGCGAGGAGGGCGAGGCGGACGCTGACACCGACGCAGCGGCCACTACAGACAACGACGAGCCCGGGGCTGGATCCGTGCCGCCGGGCTTCGATGCGGCCAAGGAGCATTTCCAGCCGGCGGCGCTGGCGGCCGACGAGCTCGACATCGAGGGCGGCGAAGAGGAGGACGAGAGCTCGAGCGGCCACTTCCAGTCTGTCTCGGGCCACCGGGTGCGCGGCAATGTGCGCTTCCGGGTCGTCGATATCGATGTCATTCCGGGCTCCGAGCGGGACCGCGGCTTCCTGAGCATCGAGGGCACAATGCTTGACGCCGACGCCGAGGAGAAGCTCTTGCAGGCGGAGCAGCAGGGACAGGCGCTGCCGCCGTCGTTCCACGCCTCCCCACGAAAGTCAAACCGCGTGGTGCCGATCTCAACGGGGCCCGAGCTGGTCTCAGTTGTGGAGATTGATGCGCCTGCAAACGGAGATGTTGATGAGGCGGAGCTAGAGGAGCCCGTGAAGAAAGAAAAGAAGGAGAAGAAAGAGAAGAAGGCCAAGTCCTCTTCCTCTTCTAAGTCCAAGAAAGACAAGAAGAAGAACGAGAAATAAGGGCAAACTCGGGGACATCAATCTTGTGTGTGCATGTGAAAAGACTAGGCTGGCATGACAGCAATATTGCTGTTGAGGTTGTGGTCTTTTCCTTTTTGTTTTTTTTTTCTATACCTGTCACTCTACATTTTGTGGTTTTGTCGCTTGGCGACTTCTGTGTTCTTTTTATCTCACATTCGCGGTGGGCGTTCCGGGCAAAAGAAATGTCTTTTTTTCATGTCAATGTGTACATGCTGATTGAGAGCAATCAAATACTACATCAACCCTATAGACCAACTTCACCTTGACCAGTCTGACATAACCCCGACAATTTCCATCGATATTGCTAAACCTGGAGAAACCGGGTACCCGTATTCCCGGAGACCTTTATACCTCCTCTATTAGGGAATATGCAGCGCAGCGAAAGGCGCAGCGAAAGAGAGGATGAAGCTTCAATGCAGAAACTCCATCTCCAACCCAACTCACATCTTCATCTGCTCCGGCACCCCAACCGCCAAGACATCCACTCCATCCAGAATCTCCTGCTTCCCCGGCATATTCGATCGGCGCATCAACTCGGCACACTTGACCATAATCGGATCCATGCCCATCGTCGCCACCGCCACGACAACATCGCCCTTCGTGTAAAATGCTGTGAACTTCGCCTGCTCCGGTTCCCCCCGCATTACGACATCGTCGTACCCGTTCACTGTGTTCCCGCAGTAGCGCATCTGCGCGCCCAGCGCGGACCAGAATACGGGGATGAACAGCTTCGGCGGTAGCGAGCTCAACGGTGCGCGGCGTGCGTGCACCAGCGCGCGAGCGACTGCCCGGCCCGCGTTCTGCGCGACGTTCCAGTGCTCGATGCGGACGGGAGAACCGGCACCGCCGGGCCCATTGTAGGGCGTTGTCGCGATGTCGCCGACGGCGAAAACATCCGGTAAGCCTGGGACGGCGTAGTGGGCATCTGTAGCGAGAGAGCCGTCTTTCAGGAGAGTGACGGCGGGGTTATCGCGGATGAAGTCGGTGGCAGGGCGGACGCCGACGCCGAGGACGACGATGTCAGCAGGGAGGACGGTGCCATCGGCCAAGTGGACGGCGCCAACAGCGGAGGGGTTGGAGGTGGAGGGAACGGCGCTGTGGACGGACGCCGACATCTTGAAGGAGACGCCGTTCTTTTCGAGGTTGCGCTGAAAGATCTGGCCCACGGTGTCGCCCATGATGCGTTCTAGCGGGGCGGATTCCATGCCGACAATAGTGACTGTGTGGTCTTTGGCGAGGGCGTTACCGGCTTCCATGCCGATGAAGGAGCTGCCGATAACGACGACGTTTTTAGGCTTGGTGTCGCCGAGGGCGCCGAGGATAGCTTGGACATCTTGGACAGTGCGCAGGGTGAAGATGTTGTCCAGCTCGCCGGTCTTGAAACCGGGGAGGGGAAGGGTGCGTGGGAGGCCGCCGGTTGCAAGAACTAGCTTGGTGTAAGGGATTGTCTTGCCAGATGCTGTTGAGACGGTCTTTGCAGAGAAGTCCACGCTCGTGACTTCATCAGAGACGGTCTCGATACCGGCATCGGCGTACCATTGTGGTGGCCGCCAGAGCAATTTGGCAGGGTCTGCAATCAGGGCTTTGGAGAGCTTGGTGCGATCGATGACGAAGTCGCGCTCCTGCGAGATGATGGAGATATGGCCGGGGTATTTCAGCTCACGTAGTGTCTGAACAACACCAATGGTACCGCTTCCACTGGAAAGGATGTTAGCTTTAGCACAGGTCTCTTGAGTGAAATTGTAGATCTGACAAGGGGAGTCTTACCCGCCAACAACGACTACTCTCTCTTCCGGCTCGGAAGCAGTACACTTAAGCACAGGGTTGCGCTGTCCAGCTTTAATGTCGGCCTCGGTGCCGTGGATATACACTGCACCGTCTTTTTCAAAGACATCGAATTTGTTCAGGGCATTGAGAGCGGGTGCATCCTCAACGTCTCCAGTGTGAATATTGAAGCATGCTATTGTTCTGAGATCAGCCTCGGGCTTTCCATATTATTCCTTCCTTCCCCACCCTTAGGTTCCACTATAGCTCCGGGTCCCGCTCTTCTTGGTTGATCCTCAAGGGAGTACAAAAAAAGAAAGCAACATACCTCCATGCCATGGGCACGTAATCCGCCCATCAGGGGCTACCACGCCCCCTTTCATGGGTGCGCCATAATGCGTGCACCGGGGGCTCATAGCGTGAACCTGCCCGTCGAACTTGAGAACGAGCACTTTTCCATCGGCGACGCCCTCGACCTCGCATTCTCGCTTTTCCATAGGCGGGATATCCGCGAAGGAGGCTAAGTCCTTGAGTTTGTATTCTTGGGCCATGGTTGAGAGTGTTCGAACGTGAGGAATCGAACTTGGTGGTGGAGGGGGATGGAGGGGTAATGGCCGTCGTGAACGAGCAACTGTTATGTTCCTAGAACCCCGAGGAAGAGAGAAACGGAGTCTCGGAGTTTGGCAAGACACAGAATGGACCGGAGGTGGTGAAGTCGAAGAGTGCAAGGTTGAAGAAGCTTCGTAGTGGAATCCAGAAGAAAACACACGAGTTGTCGCACCAACAGTTATAGCGGAATGGGCGCAGCAGGAACAAGTACACGTCGTGGAGCCACGGCAGCCACAGCAGCAGATTCGTCGTGCTGGCGAGGTGATTGGTGAGTAGCGGTGACACGAGCCAATTGAACCAATCGAGCGAGTAGAGCGGGGGAGCAGAAGTCGCCGAAGCAGCGTGGATGAGACCATCGTTAACGAGTGCATGAACGAGAATTCATTGCGTTAAATAGAGACTCAGGACCGGACCCCAGAGCCAAGGGCGCCACCGGCAAGGGCTGGGCCATTTGTTTGAGTCTCCCGAGAAACCAGCAGCCCCAAACCAGAATTCCTGGCAGCGAGCGTTGTAGTTCCGTTGGATGAGGGGAGCTCTAATGGCCGGTGACATCACGGTGATCGCCCATCAATCGCCCCGCCCGCCCAATCACCGCGGAGGCTTTGGTCACCATTTCTGGTTTGCTGGTCCGGCCATTGCAAGGACTGCATTTGAGCAAGCGAACCTAGGCAAATTGATAAAATTGATAAACAGAAGACTCATTTTTAACGAGATAATTAATGAGGATATATGTCAGGGAATAGACTCTGCCGCCGATCGAAAATTTTATCAGGTAGGCCATTCTTCGGATAGTAAATCCAAGGGCCGCCATCCGCTTCAGATGGGATAGCTCAAGGCTCCTTGAGCATACAAGATGAGAATGTGAGAATCTTAGTCCAATTCAATTGTTTGATCTAGGTTTGGTCTTCATCGACTATGACCTCGAACCAGACCCAGCTTCTATGGCCCACAAGATAGAAAAGGCGATACAAGAAAAATATGCCCCAGCTCGAGAATCAGGGGAGACCACAATAACAGATCACCAATCGGTCGAGTCAGTTGTCTTCTCCCCCTACGGTTATCTGCTGGCATTGGAATCTGATGATGGAACTGTCGAGCCGTGGGGCTTCTCACAGGTAAGGTGCCCTACCTCCTGACGAGCAAGTCCTAATGTCAGCAGCAATTGAAATGACTATAAAGCTCTTGGATTTGACAGCCGCTACTCTACAGGAGAAACTAGAAGGGTATTCTTGAGAATTGAATCTAGTCATCTTCTTCCCTGGCGGCCAATCACTAGTGTCTGCATCTATTGATGCGAGTATACCACTCCGGGAGCCCACGACTGGTACGCAAGAGTATACACTAGGAGGGAGCTCTTACCGGTGAAATCAGTGGTCCTCTTCCACGACAGGCACATATTGGCACCGCTACTCAATTACGAGACAATAAATTTTCTGGAGACGACAAGAAAAAGGCATTTTGACACAGCCATCTCAGCTGTTTCCGAGTATTCATAATAAGGACATTCGTATATATAGGTTAAGAATCAATTGTTCGAAATTCGATTGACGTTAGATTTCAGAACAACTTGAGATGTAGAAATAGCAAGAAAGGAACTGGAGCCTCCAGTGTCTACCAATGATCAATGGAGAAGCGAGAGACTTTTAGGTAGGAGTAAGAGCGTCGGCCTCAGTCTCAACGGTCTCGATAGGGTCATCCTCGTGTAGTGGGTTAGATGGGGAAGAAGATATTTTGCAATTCAGGATCATAGCAAATCTAATCCTAAGCCCTCCATAAGAGATTACTTATTCCTTTCAACTCGAAAGTGGGGTAAGCACAGAGGGGTAAATCAGCAGCATTTCAGTAGCAGGTCATCATTGAGGTTATCTCATAGGTTCATCTCATCCTCAGAATTGGTCTCGGCAGGGGTAAAAGCACTCAAAAAAAAGATAAGTTACTTGTAATATGTAGCCATGAATAAAACTTACCAAAAGTCCTTGGATTCCTTCTCATCCACAACATGACCTTATGGGCCGCGCACCCCGGTAGGTGCCCATGCAGCAAGTATCTCTAGCTAGAGGGTTACTAGAATAAACCTCGGTCAAGCCTGGAGATGCCTAAATTCTCGAATAACTATGATTCACCGAGAAATGATCATGGTATTAAAACAAATAAAAGCTCACCCTATACGTTGATCTACCTACAATACTGTGCTTATTTTATAGGTGAAGCGATCCTTTGGCAAGGTGGGCTCAAGAGCGATAAAGATTAGAAAATTGGAGCAGTACGTATGTCTCATTGTTAGGCAAATGAAGGAGTAACCTTGCCTAAGTCCCTCCAGTGAGAAAATAATGCTGTCGGGCTCTTTGGTAGCCTATAACAAGTCATTGATCAACTTCAAGCTGTCTACATACTCGCGCTGGACAGGTGAAGCGCAAATTAGTTATGGAAAAGCGTATCTCGCTGTTCATCTTGATAAGACTTCGACTTGGACTTTGACGGAAATAGTCACTTTCAGAACTTCTCCGACGCCGATACGTCACTGAGCAATATTGTCAGCAACTGGTTCAGTATCACTTACGACAAAGAGTCTCAGGCAAATTGGGCTTTGAAGGGAAAAAGATACAAACTGCCTGGTGGCGATTTTCTTCGACCGAAATGAATTTGGTGATAGGACTTTGGCTAAATATTGAACCAGGGCGCCCTACGGGCAAGCCTGGAAATGCAGGCAGGATGAGATGGATCAACGAACAAGCCAACAAATCACACCACGCCACGATGGAGGGAAGCCTCTCAGAGAGGGAACAGATGCTGCTTCAGCGAAAGATGTGTAAAATTTGATTCTCTCCCTATCGGAGATGCGAAGCTATATCCTGTAAAGACTGTGTACTAGGAAAGATATCCTCTAATAAGAGACCACCCAAGATCACCCATCGTCCGCCATTTTCCCACTACAATATGTATTGAGTACATTATGCAAATGGGCGAAAGACTAACTGGCGGCCCATTTGCCAGAATAATATACCTAAAACCAATATGAGACGTAGGCTCTAAAGTGGTGCTTCTGCGGAATTTTTCATTTTGTGCTAGAATAAACCCGTTGTATGTTACGTTATTTCTGATAGTCATAGCTGCTGGCCGTCATGGTAGAGTGTTCGGATTGAATATTGGACAGTAATCTCAAATCTTGACAATAATCCCTTGAATCTGACCTTCCATATTAATATGGCCAGTCAGAATAAATGTGGGTAGTCAACAAATCTCTGGTGGTTTATATCATAGAATTTGTGAACCTCTCCTGATGAGATGCATACAATGGCTGATAAAAATATATTTCAATGAGGTCTACTTGTAAAGATCTGTCTCTTGGCGAGATAAATTGATTCATCTCTCAAGTTCTAGTAGCCATTGAATCCCATTGACTGTATCATCGGTTCTCCGTTGGACGTGTTGCGTCAACTGTGGATAAAACTCCCAGAAGTGATGGGGTAGACCAGGGCAAAAGTCAAGACGAGTAGCAACCAAATTTTCTTCACGCAGTATTCGCACATAGATGAAACTTTCACCTCGTAAGGCATCCAGACCGCAGACTTGGAAGTATATAGGCGGGATGTCTCTGTGTCCCTTGGGATGGTTAAGGGGAACCATCAATGAAGATTGTATATCCGGTTTATAGGCAGCTGTTGAAAACACATAGACACTCAGCAGTCAGCAAGTAGTCAGGCTTCAATGTGGTGTTACGGAATTATGGTTGATCTTGGAAGTCGAGGCTATCCGAAGAACAAGATGAGGTCGAGGGTAGAAGGAGTGATTAAACAAAGACTCATCAAGAAATAGCTGAATCAGGTCCTGTGAAGGAAAAGAGAATTCATTGGCTTCTTCGGCGCTCGAGCAGTCTCGACGATATTTTTCTGGGACAACAGGAGCCGGGAGCAAAGGTGCCACGCTAAGGAATTGCCCTGTTACCTTGACGGGATGCTCCTGGTCGCGGTTGAGGTAGATCACAGCGCTAGCAATGTTACCACCAGACGAGGTGCTACCCACAATCAAACCCGCGAAGGACGAGGTAGAAGGGTGAATTTTATGTGCTTTAGCTGCTACCTAAAGTGAAACTCGGGGTGTTAGTATATTACTTCATGGTCAGCTGGAGGAGGGTGACTGCGTCTCGACTTCTTAGGAGACAAGGAGACCCGCTGAAATAAGAGAGCGGGATGAAAAAAGGTGCCAAATAAAGGTCCATACCCATTGAAGGGTGTCAAGTCCATCATGCACAGCTGTGGGAAAATAATTCTCTGGAGCTAGGCGGTATTCGGGGCTGACAACAACGGCCTTGTTTCTCAAGGCAACGGCGCGGTTCGACTCAAAATCATCATACCGACTGCCAATACAGAACCCGCCCCCGTGGAAGAATATGAACAGCGGTAGGCTGTCATTGATAGTGATCCTTTCCGCAGGGTAATACACACGGGCAAGAATAACACTGCCGTCGCGTATGGGAATCTCGATGTCATCTTCTAAAACATCAGGATTAAGGCCGTGAGTTTCACGAAACGGACTTTTTAGCTGCATTTGTGATTTCACGCAGGATTATGATGTCTGTGTCAGGCGGTAGAGTCGATTGAGTTCCTTGGGTCGTAATCAGCTGTATATCAGCAATAAATCAGCAAATTAACTCTCAAGTAGTTGTGCGACACTATAATCAAGTGGTAGTGGATTGACAAGCCTTTTCAAAATCAGGATCAAGCAGATTGCTTTCCTGTGGATCTGAATTGCTTATAGTCATTTTATGAATCTAAAACTCGTAGAGCTCTGTAAATGGCAGAAGAGGAAGACAGAGGGAGAATAGTCAAGTCAATCGGAAGGAAACACACTGTTCGCGCCTATAGGTAAAGTCAATGCCACTTTATTGGAAAGTGAAGCCTTCCGAGAATCTGACAACCACCCGTACGTAAATTTTGGTCTTTGTCCTCGCATTCGAGCTAATTGGCTGACGAACTCCTGTTGATATGGATGACGTTCCTTTCGGGCCCACATTATACCCGGGTTAGGTTGGTAGTTATAAGGAGTAGAATCGGCTTGCCGTCGGTTAACCCTGTGACTGTGGAGGCAGATTCGAACCGTAGTTAGACATTGTTTTCTGAAAATTCTCGTTGACCCCAAAACAACAAATTGTTTTCATTGGAAATTTTTGGGCCTACATGTTATTCAAAGCTACTAAACTCATACATATCCCCACAATCCTGACTGCTGACAGTTCAAACAATCACGACTCGGCTCCATCGATCTTTTGGGAAGTCGGAAGAGAAAGGTAGAATAATAGAAGCTCAAATTGGCTTTTTCGGGATGCTGTGATCATTATGCCATCTTTAGCTCTCCACAAGATGGAGATACTGTGCAATCGGCTTATTCTATCCCGAGAGGTACATGCGGGACGCGGGCTTCCGACGGAAAACTGTGCTGCCTTCCTCTCACACCCTTGATATATATGCCAAAGCTAACCTTATTAGAAGTAGGTATATAATTTGACCCGCCTGTATTATCGGTGTTGAGAGGCTAAGAATAATTCGGTCGTTAGAAGTCTTAATTAAAGGGATGATGGTGAGTCTTCTATTGCAAATTCATGCAAAGGTTAACGGTGTTAACATTCGATTTCGACAGGATGTTGAAACCCGGGTTATCGTAATTGGCGCTGGTCCTGTCGGCCTATTCACAGCGCTTATTCTTGCGCAAAGCGGGATAGATGTCGTGGTCATTGATGCAGTCGAGGGCATCAACCAGTCTTCTCGTGCAGTAGCGTGAGCTACACACCTCATTCTCCCTTCACATAGAGTTCCTAACTTCTCATAGCTACTTTCCCCCGGTCCTCGGAGAGCTTTCGAAAGCAGGCATTATCGACGACGTAATTGCCGGAGGAGAAAAGAATGCAGATGGCTGTGATTGGAAAACGGCAGATGGGTCCCTTATAACTGGCATTGACCCCCCTCCAGAAGACACGACGTTTACGGTGTGCCTCTCTCAGCCAGAATTTGGCGAGATACTGAGGAAAATATTTGTCGAAACTCGAAATGCTAAGATCCACTTCAACGAAGAATTCCAGCGTTTAGAACAGCGTGACGAATTCGTCGTGTTTTGGACCAAGCAGGGCAATGATGTTACCGAACATACCTGTCGATATTTGATTGGGGCAGATGGTGGACACAGCTCTGTGAGGCAAAGCCTTGGAATCCACCTCGAAGGTTATAAATTTGAGCGGCTACAATTTGTTGCTGTAAACTTCCAATATGATCTACGGAAAGCAGGATGGAAGGCCGCAAACTACATTGTGGATCCTGTTGACTGGGGCATCATTGTCAAACATGGAAAGGGGGCACGCTGGCGATTTGCCACAGGATTCCAGACTGATACCCCGAAGAAAGACATATTGGACGCCACCGTGAACACGGTAAAGAAACGTTTGTGTCGTATTCTTCCCGGTGATACTTCCAAGATCCAGTATGAAGCTGTGGCCCCCTATGTTGTACACCAACGATGTGCAAGTCGCTTCCGGGACAGGAATGTGCTTTTGGCTGGCGATGCGGCGCATGTATGTTCACAATCTATAGGATCCATTGCTTACAAAACTCGGACTAATCACCCCTCATAGCTCAACAACCCTGTTGGCGGCCTTGGTCTAACTACTGGTTTACTCGATGCTGCTCATCTAGCTAAGGCTTTGAATCAGGTTCTCTTACAAGCAGATGATCCCGAGGTTCTCACAACTTATTCTGATGTTCGACGGCAAATATTCCTTGAGAAAACTCACCCTATGAGCACTTCCAATTTTCTGAGGCTTCACTCGCAAGATCCTGAACATGTTAAAGACAGAGAAGAGCTATTTGCCAGGTTGAAAGATCAGGGGGACTTTATCAGTAAAACACAGATTGGGTGATCTTCGTCAGCGTGGAACTCTATTGCAGCTTTAAGGTTGCCATTACCCATAATACCCTAGCAGAATGCTCAAGGTCATCCCCACCATGCTTGAGCCGATAATAATGACTGGCCATTCGGCCTCCTCTAATGATATTCTTGAATGATCAAAATCTCCAAAATCAAACTCTGTGCGCCTCGCTCCTAGGAGGACGGTTTCGTCGTTTTGAATAATTTGATTCGCCATTGACTGAGCAATTTGTTGTCATACAAAGTATAGCCAGCAGAGGTATATTTCCTTCAAGTCTGACATTCTTATATCTAATACATTGTCAGGAATCCATAATGTCTACCATCGCATTACGTGGGGCCGATTCGTTGATGTCCGGGCACGATGGATTGTTTCTCATTGGATGCATACATCTTCCGTCCGTTCGGAATCCCGGCCGTTAATGTTGGCATAGACATACCATCACGGCATCCCGTTCCATTTATGTGGGGCAGTAGTGTGGAGGGTAGCGGGTAACGATATCCCATTGTTCAGCACCCACTCACTACCTTTCACATAAAAGATAAAAATTCACAATGATCCGAGTTATGTTGCCTTGTTTCGTCATTTCTTTATAATATCCCGCACGTGGCTATATTGGTAAATACGCGCAGTTCCTAGGTAAGTTCCTTTAGAATTTTCTAGTATATCGAGCCGGTAGGTTGTTGTTAATCTTCTGTAATCGCGAGCCTTTAGTGCTTGACTTCTATTCTTGCACCCCCCTAAGCGTGGATCTAATGGCGGATAAATGCGTTCTTTCTCGATAGCAGCGGCCAGAAGGGACGGGCCTTGGCTAGTTGTGCTGCTTCTCTAGCGAGTCGATCTGTCGTATTATTCCCGGTGTTTGCAGTGTGTTTAAGATTCAGTTATTGCATGATATACAACTGGTTTATTCCTAGATTCTATTAAGATCCAATAATGGTATTCATTCTTTCCTTACCTGATCAACAGGCCACTACCCTGCAAGTAGTACTCTAACAGCAGAGTACTATATCTTCTTCTAGTATCGACAAATCGCCGCCTATATCTATATGATCTAGAGAATTACCAAAATTACTGGATAACAGCAAGTAGATCTTACATCCAAGCAGAAACGTAATCTTGATCGCCTATTTCATTATAACAGGATTACTATAGAGAATCTTCAAATTTAATTTAAAATCATACAATTCACAAGATTAGGGATGCTCAACAATCACGATAACGCTCAATTACCAAGCGCTAGATTAAACACTACTTAGCAAAATAGGGATACTCTCAATTAGAGATGTAAATCGTTCTATTACCAATGAAACAAGAAGGAAGCCGATGCAGAACGGGCGAACGACGAAGCAGTGGAAGAAGGCTTATGGAACATCATCACTACCCCTACACGGAATCAAGATATAGCACTAGAAAGAGCAGAGGAAGCACACCAGGAAGGTGATATTTTCTTTATAGATACTGCTGGGGTAGGTTGATAGATAGGAAGAATAGAACATATGTTGAATCAATGTGGGGTTGGGCAGAGACACTGCTAGTGAATTACGTGAACAGTTGGTTTTGAAATGATCAAGTTCTGGCAGAGTAATTAGTCGAAAAAGTTGAAGAGAAAAGGAAGGCATGACGGGTTAGGGCAACCCATGAAGTAGGCCAATGATGCCAGTGGGGCACTTTTCACTTATTGAAGTACTCGTTTAACGCCGAGTCAACGCCGAGTCAGCCAGTCCTGCAAAGATTGTGTCTGCTTGACACCATGGAAAAAAGAACTCGACCAATTTCTCTTGGTCGGTCAATGCACTGACAGCCAGACTTTACCAAGGGGATGCCTGTACTTCGTCCTCCGTTGATAGCGATAATTTATTATCTCATCACATCATCTTTCCCGTCACATTAAGCCACTTTGACCAACGAGATACTCAGACCTGCCTGCCCCACTGACCTCTCCAAGCAATATATTGCATGTCACACCTCGGACTACGAGTATGTCCAATGCCAATGAAAGCCAAAGCTCGGCCGCGGACTCTGACCCGTCTTTCCCGTAGTCCTTGTGGGGCCCTCGGAATGCGCGTGTGATCACAACGGGATTCGATGTGGACGTGGACAAGGCAGAGAACAGAACTAGATAGTGGCAGGGCTCTCTTCGGAGGCTGTTATCCCACCGACGGCCACCGGTGAAGATACGGTAGGGCCCCCTTCTACACGGTGCATTAGTCTCTCTTAGAGAAGGTCGAGCATGGACTTGGTGGCTGAAGGCTGATGATGGATGACTAGGATCCTCTTTCCGTCGCTGCGGGGTATCTCTGGGTCATTTTGGTCGAGACTCGTGCTCCTCCTTCGGCACGGCCGTCGCTTTGTACATCCTCGCGCCTGGATCCTACCTGTCAGCGAGTTTTCCCGGTGACGAATGAGCGGTCGCTATAGGATCAAAGCCATCCAGACTCATGCAGATTGCATGAGAGTGGGACAAACCTAGCTGGCGTCGCAATGGCTATCGGACCGTGTCGGCCAATGCTGCCCCTCTCACCAACCGCGTCTCTCACAAAGAAGGGCCATCTTGCAAGAGTGGAGAGGCCCGTCTTCACGATCAACTGGTGCTCAATTCAAGCAGCATGACGATTTGCTCAGTTACGTTCTACTCTGGCCTACTCACATCACTTGCATGGACGAGCTGAGGTACCCGGTCTGTCCGATCAAGAACCCCACCAATCCGGATTTCGCTCCTCCGAACTCTGTCCTTCGGCAGAGCGAATGATGCTCTAGTCCAGGATGGTCACTTCATGCATGTCCAGGTACATGCATGAATGCATGCCGTGATGGAGAACAGACAGGGTGGTGGGGTGCCGGGCGCTGCAGGCTTGAAAGACACTGCGCAACCCATCACACATCACGAAGTCAAGGACAAATCGCGGGGCCCATGAGGCTCCTTCCAGCATGGTCTCTGCACTGGGTCTCACCCCGAGCGCCAAATGATCCGGTATCATTGGCCGCCGCCGGGGCCTGCAGCCCGTCACTGCGTACCCCGGTCCCCGGCCAACCACCAGGCGTGTTTACGCGCCCGCGCTCGGGGACGGTCGAGCATCTCCAACGCTGATCCATTCATTGCCATTCCCATAAAAGATCCCTAACCGCCCGCGGTTCCAACACTTTTTTCCTTTCTTTCTTCAGCGAGTGTTTGTTGTTTAGAGCTGTTCTATTCGAGTCGATTCCAGGTGCTGGTTACCCGGTTTCTTCCTTTCTTCCTTCTTGAACTATACTATTCTATTTGCCCTACGGCATTCTAATTTTTTGACTCCCACCAAAACCCCCCCCAAAACCATACTATCACATACAAACGAGCTGTGCTCTTTGTGTGACTTTTTACCCAATTTTTTTATTCCCACACTTGGATTCTCCTCGAAGTCCAATTATTTTCAGCAAATTATTTTCCTGCCTCAACAAGTTTCGCCGGTCGATCTTGTTGCTTTGCTGTTGACAGCTCTAATCACAAACTACTGTTAAATTAATCTCGCTCGGAATTCTTTTCGATTCCTATTCGTTGTCGTGGGCTGGTTTCCACTGAACAGAACAAAAATCACGAATCTTGTTTCATATCGATCTCATCGACAAAATCGGACTCTGGTAGTTTCGATTTACCCTCCGGTTGATATACACTTTCAAAAGACTCTTGCTTTTTGCGCCGATATCAACTTTGTCTCTCGACAACGTCATTTAACACCTCTTTTTTTATTTACATCGCCAAATTTATTAACTTCGCATTTTTTTCGTCATGGCCAACGTTCAGCTGAAGTTTTCCTTGCGGACCTCGTCCAACGTCAAGACCGTCCACCTCGTCGGCTCGTGGGACAACTACTCGCGCCAATTGCCCCTGTCCACTGAAGGCAAGCCCGGTGCCTGGGCGGGCAAGTTCCGCTTCCAGACCTCGACTCTGAAGCTCGGCAGCCGCTACTGGTACTACTATATCATGGACGGGTACCATGTCTCGCACGATCCGGCGGTCGACTACACCGTCGAGCCCACCACCGGCCGCAAGCTCAACATCCTCGATGTTCCCGCCGGCAAGTCCAGCAGTGGTAGCAGCGAGCGCAAGTCCCGCCGCACCTCGTCTGGTGTCGCGACTGGTCGCTCCCTCTCGCCATCGCGCATCCAGCACCCCAAGCCCTCCAAGCCTTATGCCTCACGTTCCCTCCGTGAGGCCGAGTTCGCGCCAACCGTCGACGACCTGACCCGCCGCTTCGCCGGCTCCCGTCTGTCCGATGAGTACTCCTACTCCAACAGCCCGCCCTCATCAGCCGGTTCCTCGCTGTCGTCCCGCTCGTCCGGCTCGACCTCGCCCTCGTCCGTGTCTTCCATGAGCGACCGCCCCGGACACTGCTACTGCGAGCGCTACGGCATCACCCGCAAGGGTGATCGCGTCAAGCTCGACTGCGGTGGCGCCCGCTGCGGTTACATCGATGAGGAGTCCGAAGGCAGCTGCTCCGAGTACGACAGCGACGAGGAGTACCACCGTGCGCGCAGAGGTGCCCGCCGCCAAGGCATCGTTGTTCGCCGGTGAAATGTCTCGCGGCTTGGCTTCCAGCGTAAAGTCTAGGTTGTGTCTCTTACCTCGGATATAGCCTAGGCTTTTATGTTTTAAGCAGTTGAAGAGACCCCCACCCTCCAATGCTTCTAACGAGGCATGGATTCCCTTGGTCGCCTGGGGCTGGTCATCGTTTTTCGTTGTCTCGCCTAGCTTTTTTTTCCTTCTTGGCCTTTTCAATGCCGTTTGCAGAAAGAAAATGAACCAAATCCAATCAAAAAATAGCCCATACGCCGCGGGGTGAATCGGCTTCACTTCGCGGCGGCAGGGCCGGGGATGATAATGATGTTGTGAGAAGGAAGAAGGGAGAAGAACAACATCACAGAGAAGAAAAAAAAAAGGAAAAACTAAAAAAGGCACACCCCAAACTGCGACAACCTCCACCTTGGATTTGAGCTCTCGCTCGATTTCCAAACCCCGGTGGATCGACAATCTTATCTTGCATTCCCCTGTTGGCAATGAGCCGAAATCGTGCCATGCCTTTGCAAGCTATAAGGACAAATTTCTTCCCCTGCGGAACCCTTCATTGTTAATTATACGTTCTGTCCGTAAAGGGACGCAGCCTGGTGGGAAGTCACCAGCATCTCAACTCCATGGGCCATCTGTGTTCTGATATCTTGGATCCGCCTGCTTCCGTTGGGGGACTCAAACGATGGTCTCGGGCCTCGGTCTTATTCTAGAGATAGCGGTGAAATCAATGAGATATATGACCACTGAACTTCCTGAATTTTAGTGTTGTAGTTGTTGCTTAGAGCCTCGTACATGCTTGTAGCCGTGAAGTTGCACCTGACAGTCCCGTAAATTAAGCGATCAGCATGCCCTTGCAGCATCGACCTACCGCAACTCCTAGTTCTATTGAGAAGGTGATAAGCTTAAATTCAAACTTCAAGTTCCACGTCCGGTATATAGTCGATCCCTTCATACACTATGCATAGAAACGAAATAGCCCGATAACAGAAAAATATACTTCTGCACAGAAACTCATCAGAACAGTAGGGTCTATACCATATTTAGAGAACATGCAACCATGCCTCGCCTAGCGTGGTGTCGGGTCATTTCCAACCCTGAACGATTAAATATATAAAAAAGAAACCACAAATTTACATCGCTTGCGGTCCCTTCCCAATCACGCTCTCCAAGAAATCGAAGCCCTCTCGCTGCAACCACCACGTCTGTGATCCGACCTTCATCATAGCTGCAAACGTGTGCTCTTCACCAGGCACTTCAGTCATCCCGCAGCGCACGTCGGCGGCCTGCAAGCGGGCCAACAACTCGCGGCTCAGATCGATCGGTACCATCGTGTCAGACTGTCCGTGCACGATATACGTCGGGGGGAACGAGGCCGATATATTCTGCGCTGGGTCGACCTGGGCGAAGGTGGGATCGGTGCCCGCTGCGGCGGGCGGGTAGATGGCATTGAGTACGGTGCCGCCCGCAATCTGGGTGAAGGCGAAGGCGTCGCGGGGGCGGGCGAAATTGGGACCCTTAGAGGCGCCGGACTCGGTTTGGCCTTCGAGGGAGACGGTGCTGTCGGTGGGGATGGGGTGCTCGCTGTAGACTTGGTTGATGAACTCTGGAGTAAGGGAGGAGGGCAGTTTGGCGGCGACGTGCGGGATTGGCTTGGTCCAGAGGGGAGAGGTAAAGTGGACGGCACCGTAGAGTGAGAGAATGGCTTTAGCAGGCATGGGGACATTGAAGCCCTGAAGAGAAATGGGGTTAGTTTTGTGGAGAGCAGGAATTATACCAGGTTATAATGTCGTAGAGATCAAGCATAAGTGATACTTGAGGCGAGAAAAAAAAGAAAAACCAGAACCGCTTCAACTCACCAAGCCCAATGCTAATGTTCCCCCCGAAGACGTTCCAAATGCCGCAACATTATCCAGGTCCGCTTGATATGGGCCGTGCTTCTCCAACACGGTGTCCAGATGGCCGACATGCACCCACGCCAACAAATCACGAATATCCTGCATCGGACCCTCGAGCAGATTCACTCCCGGACAGAGCCGGTGGTTTGGGACAAGCACGATCCATCCACGCTCAAGACAGTCGTTGACCTGGGGCATGGAGACCATGCGGGAGGTCCCGAGCATGAAGGCGCCACCATGGATATTGATCACTGCAATTGGCGCACACAAGGTTAGCAAATAGTGCATTCACCAGCTATGAGTGATGAATTCTATTAAATCATTGTCAATATGAAGATGCGAGTGGAACCTCCATATCGCATAGAAAAAAAGGGAATTGAGAGAGACCCACCAACGGGATATTTCTGCGGTGACGTGGCGGTACTCGGCGGCAAGTACAGATCCGTCGTGATCTTGCTGCCGTCGATCTCTTTATAGAGAGCTGTGATGGGATTATCGAGAGACATGACGACTGAGCTGTTGAAGCGGTGGATTTGCAGACGCGGGGCAAGCTTTATAGCATCCGATGTCCGGCAAATCCCCGGACTGGGGAACTCGGGATATCCGAGCGGGTCATTCGGGATTGCGCGGTGGACGGGATGCGCGGGTCGTCGGGGTTGTCGGGGTCAACAATTCGGTATCTAGAGTTTTTTGTCGGACTTAGATCGATAGTATTGATAAAGACACGCTGTGCCGGATTCTTCCAGAAGAAAATAATGATATCTTACGCAGGGTGTGGAGTCTGGAGGGGAATCCGCAGCTTGGAGTGGCTGGAAGTACCTGTGTGCATTACGTTGCCGAGGCATGTCCACCGGAAGCTTCATTACAATAGATACAACTGTCCCGAAAACAAAATGAGTCGAATGAGTTGACTGCTGAACTGAATAAGAGCATCTAGTGTGGCAAGCAGATCACGTCTAGAGAGATCACCAAACTGACCACCAGACAACCACACACCACTGCCAACGACGAGTAAGCCAGGGAAGGTAACATGTATCAAATGTGAAAAGAATGTGAAATTTCCGATTATCCTTCAAATTGGTCTGTCTAAAGAGGCCATAAGCAGTGTCCTGACCTCCGAGCCCTTCAATTACCCACATTATATGACGGTCCCCGTTGGCACGATAATGAATTTCTACCCCCTTCCATGGGAGAAACGATACTGTCGGAATCACCTAGACGGCAAGTTCAATACAGTTCATTCCAAAAAGACACCATGCAATCTTTAAAATTTCATGATAGTATTGAAAACGGTGCAGAATCGCGACCTAAGACGAATGTCCTATTACAGTCAATGTAGCTCGGATAGATTTTCTGTGAATCAAGCCCAAGGAGTTTTGATGTCGAACTTAATTCGACAATCCTGTATTCTTTCCGTATTTCCCTCCTATCTCTTCCTGCTGCTACGCCACTATCGCGATTATCTCTCGTTCTCAAAGAGGGCCTGAATTGCAAAGACAGTCGAAGAGATTAGATTATGTATTAGGAAAAGGAATATCTGTTGGATCCGCAAGGAGATCTTCCTCCGAGCTTGCCCTTATCCACCACATGTATAAAGGTGTGAGCCACTCAAGAAGAATGCTACCAATGCCTCCTATGTCGGGTTTAGACTTCCACCCGGTCGATGAGACTTTGTAAAGATCTTCAGACTTCTTGCGCTGGAGCTTTTCGTAGAATGTAAACGACACTTTTGGCGGCTCATCGATGAAGTGAGAGAGTATAAGTGAGAGTTTAATTGCATCCTCAAAGGCGTGACCGATACTTTCCCCTTTAGGTGGCATCTAGCGAGAATCCACAATAAGTGCAAAGTCTGAATGGGGCTGGAAGAGGGCCGAAAGTAAAGATCGCTAAGAAGAAAATACTTACGGCATGAGCAGCATCTCCTAGTAATAAAACTCGATCCGTAAACCATCGACCATTCGGAGGTAGGACATATATCGGATAGAGAGTCCAATTCTTGACCTCTTGAATGATTTGACCGACCTTCGGGATAGGCGAGTTCTGGGTTCTCCTAGCTCCTTCATATCGTACTCTTTCCTGATCCTTACCAATCATCTTCCACCCCTCACGAGATCCTTGCTCCTCCATCTCCATCAGGAGAACGGTATAGATCATGCTCCGGTCATGGTCGCAGAATGTTGTCAGAGCAGATCCATACCTGGACATCACAAGTCCAGTATCGATGAAGAACGGCTTCTCTTCCTCACCCAATACTTCTTTCGCCTTAACAAACCCATATGCGGCCGCCCATCCAGAGTAGAATGGCTTGCGCTCAGCCTCTACCAAGAGGTTCCTCACAGCTGAATGAATCCCATCACAGCCAAGCACAATATCACCCGTATCCATCCCACCATCCTCGAAATGCACATGAACACTATCAGTAATTTCCTCAACACGACTTAATCTCTTCCCATACTGAACTGTGACCATTGGATGGCGTTCAGCAACTCTTATCAGAGCACAAAGAAGCTGAAATCGCATAACCCTCCACCCCTTATACCCACCTAGCCCCTTCCCTTCTGACCCGGCATAGTCGATTGTGGCAAGCTGGCTTCCAGTACGCATCGAAAACAACTGGATTGCGTCGACTTCACAACCAGCCCTCATGGCTTTCAACTCTTCAAGCACTCCCAGTTTGTCGAGGCAGCGCAGCGCTTTCGGTGTAAGGTTCACTGGGCCGCCAAATGTACTGGGTGCATCGCGAAGCTCGTATATGGTAACACTTGAGTCGGCTCCGTTGGACGAGAAGGCTTGGGCGATGGATATTGCAGCGGCGAAGCCGCACATCCCCCGCCGATTATGATGATGCGTTGAAGTGGACTCATCATGGTGGGGTTGAAGCTTTTAACGAGGGGAATTCCGCGTGATTCACTGACGGATGATATGGGAATTCGGGCTAATGGACCATAAAGGAATTATGATCTCGCGATGAATAATCTTATTCCGGGCCCGATGGTGAGGTTGATTGCCTGCAGAGGAATACGAGAAATACGAGCGTGAAAGTGGCCCACATTCTCTAGAATAGGTAGTTTAGATCCCCCACTCGAGACCACTGACATAAGTCAAAGCTTATCATAGTTAACTAGTACACAAATTATTCTGCAATTTCGATAAAAGAAGATTTCTACCCTCGTATTGTTTCAGACACACATCCTATTTCAGCAATATGCAGTAGTTGATTCCTCGATCTGTTTCCCCGACCTACCCCGGAGCTTGCTTCAAGAATTTCGCGATACGCCCTTTTCAGAGCCCAGCATGTGCAGAGCGCCATCAGAGGTCCAGGCCACTGACTTGAATCAACCAATCAACCATCAAGCATTTCCGCATGAATTGACTTACATATTTGGCTGCCGTCCTAGGGTGTTGAGACCATAGGTGAAGCTATTAGCAAGGCGAATCGCAAGAGTATCGAAATGCCACACGAACCTTACTCCCAAATTGGCTCTTAATGTGGAGTGTCGATACAGTAGGATAGTGTTGGGGCTTGTCAACTTTGGGTCTAATGGAACGCAATGCTCAACTGGCTGGTAGAGAGTGTTAAATACTCTCTACCTCACTGACCTGCGTGTTGCGGCGCTGGATTCCGAGTACTCCAGGAAACCTACAAAAGAAGCTGGGAATCGACTATTCTTGTGATGGTCGAACGCACAGCGGAATATGTGGGCCCTCGCAGTAAGCGTAAAGTTTGTGGGATTACCAAATTCTACACCTTGCAGAGGAATAAAATGGGGACGGCCCCCGAACCCCGCTCTCCAAAATGGTTTCATCCGCCATCTACTTCCACTCACTGTTTATTTTCTATACTACTTACGAGCAAAGTCGACGACATGATTTCGGTATGACAATACCACACAGTCAACGACAGGATTTTTGCAGTGTCCGGGGGTGAATACGGATCTATAGGTGAGTCAAAAGGTCACCAACTGCTCGCGCGTGAAATCCACCGTCGACTGCCAGCGCCCCTTAATTCCAGGGTGACTTCGGACATTACGGCGTGGGATACACTGGCAATCAGGATGCCCCACCAAGGGCAGCATCAAGAATAGGTATAAGGTGCTTGGATTGGCGTATGCTATGATGTACCCTATTTGGTCACACACCCATGATCAATGTGGCTCGGTATCCCGGCGAACAATGCACGACGAAGAAAAACGTTTCTAATTTGAAGCTATTTATGAATCACAGCTAGCAAAGAATTTTCGATGTTGTCCGGATGGTGGTGTGCCAGAACTGCATTCACTCTTGAAGCATGAGGGAGCCATGTTTCGGGACCAGCGGAAGAGTAGACTATCTAGTTATTTAGTATTTTAGCCTGTTATTTAACGGATAAATATTAGCAGTATCTCATATTCTCTCTTGCCTCAACCTCCTGCAAAATAACCCCGGTGTAGATGATATCTTCCGAGAAAACCTTCTGGCTGACCAGCTGTGACAAGTGGCGTTTCGATCCATTTTACAGCTCCAGGCCGTAGTTTAAGATTGTTTGATCATGATTCGCCTTCCCTAGTTGAGCACAGGCAAGAACCAAAGAAAGCTTTTTCCAGAATCGGACTCTTTTGGGACAGCCCCCAGATTTCAGTGATTAGATCGTGCCCGAGGTCAACTTTGGAGGGAGGCTGGGGCCGGCTGGGGAAGTAAAGATTGAAAAAGGAAGAAACCATCTGGCCCCGCATCATAGACCCAAAGTTTATCGATTGAAATAGAGTACGGCTCCGCTCTTAATTCAACATAATGAACGTGAAAAAGGCATTCGCTATAGCCGTAAATGAGATGGCTTCGTAGTATTAGCTAGACAGGAATGACACGAATTATGAGATATTGGTTGATCGAAAAAAATTGCTTTGAGTTCCATCTGAAATCCGTATAGACTGTGCAAGGTATTTTTTGACGCTGATAATGTTTAACCAAGAGCGGAGGTTTGTTGATATAGTCTCTTTGTATGCTTGAAAATTCTATGCCCTGGAAAGCTCATTTCGGCATCAATATAATCTTTTATATCGTCCCAATAAGCATCATCCATAGCAAAGCAGAGCTTGATTCCGTTTGGAGCAGTCCTCAATACATCGATAAGTCCAATTATCACTTGCTTGAATATGGAACTCCGGGTGGGTAAGAACTTGTCAAGCCTGTCTAATAAGATATAAACCGGTTTGTGCGGGTGAGACTTCGCCCAAAAGGCCAGTAGTGATTGTGTGAGAAGTTGGATATCTTTTGAAGACTGTATATTTTTGAATTCTTGACGAGTGTCTTCCACACTTTGTCTATGCTCTTGGTAAAACTTCATGTCCCAACTCAGGATTTCGCAGATTATGACTCCATATATGGTGATCAAATCATCTTTATTGCTGACAACATGAAAGATGGCCGGCAATTCTTCACCTTGAAGTTTTATTGCGAGCTCAGCAATTGCTTGTGATAACCAGGGATCTGGTGATATCGAATCTGAATCATTGAAGCTCCTGACCAGGATAGCATTGCTGTGGCTAGAGCTGAGCCACTGTTGGAACCCAGTATCTTTCCGTAGTCTTTTTAGGTCTCCAACCTCCAGAGGCTCTGAATCCTCGTATTCATCGTCGTCTTGATGGCCGTCGGTGACACAGTTATGTTTTTTCAAATACTCAACTCGTGCAACGGGATCTACCACATCTGGAAACCTTACTGTCCGACGGAAAAGACTGATGGAGCTTTTCCATTCTCGTGTTTCCGTGTCTGAAGAACCTTGTCAGTTTAAACTCAATGGTCTGGAAAATGGTTGTCCTCACCAAGATTGATTTCCTTTATGGCGTTTATATCGTTATATGCCTTCTCAAGACTTTCTTGCAGAAGCAAAGTGCGTTCATGAAGAAGTAATGTAGTTTCTTCCAGAGTTTTGTTCACCTTGGCTTTAAGCCTTTCTGCGCTTTCTTGGACTCTGTTGTTTGAGAACGGAGTCATCATTGTGATAGTCCATCTTTCTTCAGTATTATCAGTATCACTACGTAAATTGGAATCTCAATAACTAGTTAAAGTGCCTTACTAATGCTAGACTGAGAGTAATGTGCCCATATTTCCATGGTGAATCGAAACATCTCCTTATAGACTTCAAAGGCACTTCTTATCATGTCTATGCTTGTCGTGTTGCGGTAGATATCTTGGTATCTTTTAATATGGCCAAGCGATTCCACCATTCTCTCGAGATTGTTTGAAATCATGTCATCCCATTGACTTTTATTCCGAGGAATCTGCTGAAGTTAGTAAAGCACTCGGTAATTTAAGAATTCTATTTAGTTACCATAACCAACAATGAAAGAACTCCGTAGGCCAAAGAGCCCCCTGTGCTGTTCAACCCTTTAACCAGATCCGCAATTCCAGAATAACACTCTAAAAAGCGCGATATATTGACACAGAGCTTCTGGATTCGAGCTCCCAGTTTTCTCATTTTACCTTGCCGTTGCATATGACTTTCATAGCTCATTCTCACTTCATCAACAAGTTTTTCTAACGATTCACGGTCTTTGACATCCTGAAGCTGTTTTTTAATTTCGGGAGAATGGGAAAATTTTGCCTCAACTTCTTCCCACATCGTTTCAAAATCATGATTAAATTGTTCAGGGGTGGGTGTTTCATTCATGGCTCGTATTTCGACCTGTCTAGCAACTGGCGTTCTGTTCTTGGAGTTAAGGTCGTGGTTTTGAACTGGTACGCTTCGATACCCCAAGAAAGTATGATATTTGGTATCTGTTCATCAAAATTTTGGCAAAAAGGACATGTTCACTGTTACCTACGCTTAACCCGGGTGATTCTTTGGGGGCTGAGTGCTGGCTGCAGCCACTTGACGTAAGCACTAATGCAAGCTTTATCAATAACACGGGACCACATCGCCATGTTCAATGCGGGCGTCGAGTACCAACAAGGATTAATTGAACAAGCAAAGGTTCATAAGGCATATTCGCATAGTGTCCAACCCTGGCGATGAACCGCCTGTTCTGATAGAACCATTAAGACAATAGCATATATGTATGTCTGTGAAAAGAAAATGATATCTAGGTACATGATCTTGACATCCCTGGCTAATTTTATTATGAGGGACACCCTTTTCGGTTCCAATAAATGAATAAATTACGTCGGAAATGTTAAATTGTAAGTTATATAAGAAAGCATCTCTTCCACATTTGAGTGACTTTAGTTCAAGCAATAGGGAGTTTTGGTTACAGTAACATGGTGACTCTTTCCCATTGAAAGATAACCCATAATATTTCCAAAAGAACCGGTACTTAAGGAAAGTGGCTTACTGTCTAGGAGATCATACAAGAGCTCAAAAAAGTGGAAAAAAGAAACAATGTCCCAAGACAGTAGGGTAAGTAAATTCAAGCTCACCGTTTAGAGCAGTTTTCCCATTAAACTCACTGATGAACCCAGCTACTTGCTTTCGAGAATGAGGAAATTGGGGGTATTAGGTGTGAAATAGAACAGCTGAAAAAGGAAATGTCGAACCTGCGGTCTCAGTTGTCAAAGTGAGTTTCGATGCCCATAATAAATAAGAAGCAATTTGACCAAAATTAAACTCAGACTCGCGCCCGATGCCCCCGACCAATCATCAAGCCTATTTTCTGAAGCAGAGGTACCTAGTCTCGAGTCAGAAAAGAAAGATATTCCGAACCCCCTGGCAGGAGATGTCCCCGTCACGTATATCACCATGAAAGCAGAAGGGCAAAGCGAGAGATACAAGGAATTGAAAGGTACTCGACCTTCAGACTTTGAATCTGCAGAAGATGGCCAGACAGATGAGATATATACCATGAAGTTTATCTCCTATGATTCTGTTAGCTCTGATAAGTCGAGAACCGTCATCGAAATTTATTCTCACGAGCTTATCGACGCTATGCGGGGAATTATGAGTCCTATGATAAATCACATAGGACCTAATCTATGGCAGAAGTCTCCAATAAGCCTAGATACGAAAAGTCCCTATCTCTTCTATTCTCTTGAGTCTCTTCGACAGGCAGCAAAAGGGACTGAACTTGGAGATAAATGCCGACGTGAGCTCTTGTGCTTTCTGAATCACTACAATAATTACGAGGCAGAGTCCATCAAGGCTCTTGAGTCTGTCATGAGAGAAGGAAAGATAAGCTTCAACATGATTTGGACCCTTTTTCCTTACGGTTCCCGTGTCATCGCTAATCCATTCAAAAACTCCCCGCAAGTGTTTCATGTTCAGCAACATTCCAAAGAGGAGTCTACATTGGGATCTAACACAAATTTCGTGCTAATATGCTGGACATATGACTGGGATGGTAGCGGTCTGGTTAGACATGTGTTTGATTTCAGAATCCCAAAATATGAGGGATTCAAATCAATCCCAGAGCTACCTTGCTGTCCTATTAAATTGTATTGTCAGGATGGAGTTAGTGGCAGAGACCTTGAACAGACTTTAACCGAGAGGGGAAAGCTATTTCGACAACGCTGCATTCCCAACCATATGGTTGCACAACCAGTTTATAGAACTGACTCATTCGTTTTATTCCCAAAAACATCGGGTGAGCTATTTCCAAGCAGTGATTCTCAAGGCGATATTGAATTCAGCGACTCGGATGCTTTCTCAATGTCTGTCATTCTCGACTCGACTCTCTGCAAGCTTCACTCAACAGGAATTCATTCAATGGGCAAATTCCACCCAAACTCCTTTGGAAGACTCATTTCAGTGCCAAGGGCACATTGCAAATGCCAACTATGCGATAATGATGGGCAATATTCATTATTTGAAGAGTCTTTCAGGGGCCCCGGCGGCGATGATTCAATCGCAAATGAAATGTCTATGCTTCTACCCCCGCGTCTTCACGCTTTCGTTCTCGACGTCAAAAAATGGGCACAGGTGCTTGTGAATAATTTAAAAGAGACAAATGATATTAACAACGAGGAAGGCTGGAAGAAATTAGCACTGGACGACGATCACAAGAGAAATATCAGAGCTATGGTGACCTCACATTTTGACCGCGAGAGGCGTAAGATTGCGAAGGATGACGGTGGACGGGACATTCACGATTTCACTCATGGAAAAGGAGAAGGCTTAGTCATTTTCCTTCATGGTATGATGTCCAATCCATTGACGCACATGAAAAGGGTATAATCTTACTCATACATTGTACTAGGGGTCCCTGGGGTGGGGAAAACAATGACTGCAGAAACCCTTTCTCTGGCTTTAAAACGACCCCTTCTCAGAATTGATGCTTCGGACTTGGAACACAAAAATCCAAACCAGGTTAGTGAAGTTTTTAAAAGGCGGTTTGAAATGTCTTCTTCATGGGGAGCCCTGCTTCTTCTGTAAGACCTCCCTCCACGTGGATGATGTTTGGTTTATACTGATAGCAAACGAAAGTGACGAGGCAGATGTCTTTCTACAAGATCGCAAGCGCAGTGAAATTGACCAAAACGCTCTTGTATCCGTCCTTCTTCGGGAGCTTGAGTATTTCCGTGGAGTGCTTATCATGACAACCAACCGCCCAGTCACCATGGACCCTGCCGTTAGGTCCCGTATTCATTATGCTGTCAGATATAAAGAGTTAAATGAGGTAAACATTGGAAAAGTCTGGAATACATTCTTCGATCAGCTCAATGACACAAATTGTGTTCCTGGAGAAAGGGAGAATATCAGGAAATGGTTTGAGGATGGAGGAGCCAGGACGTTGGCTCGGAGCAAGTTCACCGGTAGAGACGTTAGAAATCTCTTCATAGGTGCACAGCTTTTGAGCTATCCAATGATCACAAGAAACAACATCAAAAAAGTCCGTCAATCAATTTGTGACTTCACTGCCGATATGGCGAAGGTGTATCATCCCAAGATACAGAAGAACACTGCAGCTGGAGATGATTCGGACTGATTGAAATTGTTGTCGAGATGTTCCATTTCTGTTTTCTTTCCATTACTACTAAATTAAACCCACTTCTTCTCCTGTCTCCATTTCCTACCTCCTATCAATCAGTCCATTCTGAACTTGACATCAGTTGAGGATCCCGGACGTCTGAACTATCCCCTCTGTTATATTTTTCTGCTTAGACGTCTTGACCTCCACACTTACTAGATTTCAATCCGATGGAGAACTCTTGGGTCTTGCTAGAATGGAGCATTTGTGAGATTGGACCTAATCCAACATATAGGCCACATTACAGAATTTAGATCTGTCATAGCGTAATATGGTGTTTACCGGACTGGAAGGCGCAGGCAAGGCCGACTAACTGCCAAAGGGCATTCCTGGCGAGTAATGCCATCAGGATGAAACAAGACTGTGTTGGCAGTGACAAATGGCGGTGTGCCGGTTGCTGAAAGGGGAGTGTCAGTGTAAAAAAGCGACAGGCTGCTTTATTTTCAGGGTCTCCTATCACAATAAGTATATCAAGGCCATATTTGCCTCCAATTCTCCAGATGGTCACCGGCCCGCCAAGAGGAGTGCCGCTCTAATAGCCAGCTGATTGGATACTCAAGAGTCTACTAGTGGCACTATTGAATACTTATGTTCACCTCTGACTAATACCAGCCTACTCAGGCTTCAAAATCAGTCCTGGTTATCGCAAAGAAGGATAAAAACTACTCGGAGAGCCTGATCCTGAGCGCTCTCGAAAAGCGGCCACTGTCTTGATACATACATGTGCACCTAATGGAATTATATTGAGTCTCTGTATGTGTATTTCATTGAAATATCTGTGGATCAAAGATAGTATCGCAATGCTCTTGTTTATCCGGACAACCCGCTCTAGTAGATACATGTAACGAATGCGATGAAATGCAAAGTTTGCCAGACCGGCCGACAGCAAACCCTGCCTTAAAAAAACTCGACAAGTAAACAAAAACAATATGCCAGCGGCTACCAGAGTCCGCAGACCAGCCTCTCTCACCTCGAAAACCCAGTCCCAACATGAGAGATCCAGTCGATGTACTATACATTGCCGTCCCTGCGGTGTCGTCGTGCTCTTCATCCCACACTTCACGCGGCCTCCCTGGATCTAGCGTCACTGCTTCATGGCGATTATTCTTCCAGAAAATAAACACCACGAACAGACCTTTCGCATACATGCAATTCCCCGGGAATTGACGTCAAGATCCAGACACCATGAAAAGGAGCACAAGTCCGGTAGTTCAAGCCAGTGACCTGCACTGGCGCAACCCAAGGCTCGGAGTGAGGGAAATCGAAGCGACGGGGCTGGAATTATACATAGCCGGCTCTCCCAGAGAGCGGCGCCGATGTCTTCATTCGAATAATGTTCGTTTCGTTTTCCTCATTGCCATGCATCTCGTCCTTATTGCGCATCGAGTCATAACCTGCCCTCCTTCACACGATTAAAGAAAGAAAAGAAAATTCGTGGAATCCGTGCTCGGATGCGCGTCTCTCGTCGCGGCCTTGGTCATTGGTAGTCATAAAGGCTTCTTGCTCATCACGGACTTCACCCCACCCCTTATGCGATTCATCTATCCAGCAGACCACCGCAGATAGAGGAAAGGGCTTCCCATCCGTTCAGAACACTCGAGCCACTCATTTACCGATACGACCCCTTGGAGCTGGAGTACCCGGAATCAGGCCAACGACCGGCGTTGGGTGAGGCGGGTGACCCGCGTGCGGAGTGTCTCGAGCAGGCATACCCGACGAGCACGGTCTTTTCTTGGACGGAGTGGCCGTGCTGGCCATAGGCGGAGCAAGGATCAATGGAGTGTTGGAAGTAGATGCACTTGCAGACGGAGTAGCGCTCGACAACTTTGTAACACATGGTGACGGCGACTTCCGATGGAAGGGTTTGGGATTAAACAGGTCGTATAGAAAGAACTAGTCTGGTAACGTGCGGGCTTGGTGGGTAACTTTGCTGGGCTCGCGGAAAATGCGGATGCCACAAAACAGAAAATAATGAATTGAGTGTGCGGTTCAAATATGCAATGAAGATTGGTTAGAGAGAGCGAAGAGCGTGTCAAGAACCAGTTCAGATATTAGGCTATGAGAATTGCAGCCGGTGGAGACCGGTAGAAGGAGGGAAGGCGAAGAGAAGTGAAAAGAGAAGGGAGAAAGAAAGAAGAACGGCACGTTCGTAGCAACGAAAGGACCGCGATGAAACGAAAGGCACACGAGACTGTTGATGGAGCAAGAGAAAAGAGAGGGGTTCCAGCTTAGAGCCCGGCCCCCAAGATGTTATATACAGAAAGCAATTCCCATGCCGATGCCAATCTGGTCCCCGACGATCGACTCACAGCTGCAAGGCATCCTGCAACGGCCAGCCCTACGGTGGACGCCCCAGGCAGAAAGGACCGCCGGCCCACTCGGAAAAGACCGAAAACAGCGCGCCAATCGGGGAAGACGAATGGGGAGCTGAAGGACAGTAACGAGCTTAGCTTCGGGATTGAAGGGCCATGCGCCTGGGTCATCTACTGCAGCCCAGTGACTCAAACCAGTGGCCGAGGCATTCCAAGAGAGAAAGACAATCAAAAGGGTACTGCATTTGGTAACTGAGGAGTAGGCTCGGCGCAGATTGTGGACTGGGGTTTAGGGATTCATGTTGGTAAAGTTAGAAACAGGCATGATTTAGTGCGGGTGTAGTCCAGTTAGCGACTCCGTGGCACCAAACCAGGAATTGGTCGCAGGCCCCTCCGACCGAGTATGGCACGTATGTTTGGTCGCTCAAGGAAATACTGTAGGAATCCACACCCCGTCAGCCCCACGAGGGACCACTTTTTTCCGTCTTCCTCGTTTGGCGACAAGTCGACAAGAGCGGGTTGGTTCGGTCCCGGTGCCCAGGCATGTGGGTTGCGTGGGAAGAGCGGGTTCACGTCAGAGGAGCGTTCGTGTGCGGAGGGCCTGTGGCTGAGGGGAGAGAGGATGAGGGGGAAATAGCGAGCCAAGCCCCAAGTACGGTGAACACGCCGTTAAGGCCACGGGTCGAGGACCAGCATTTGCTAGCGACAGTCGGTGAACGGCCACATGGCTGGCGCGAGGCTGAGAAAGACCCAGCAAGAGCAGCGAGAGGGGAAATCGGGGCAAGTGCGGATCCACTTGGGGCTACCTTTTTCCTGCTTTCGTGGGACGTCGATCCGATGATTCATCGGGCGCCAGGAACTCCGCCTCAATTCCATGTGCATCCGGTATATCATTGTGGATACAAGCCTCGGACTGGTCAGGCGTTGCGTGGAGTGCTTCTTGGTTAACGGTACTTTTTGTACACCGTCTCGCAACGTGATGCTTTCCACCGCGAAGCTCGTTTTCCCAGTCGGTTCCTCGTCGACGAAGCGGTGTTCATCCCGGTGACTCCTTCGATCCCATCACGGCGGACCCGTTTTCCTGGTGGAGCGGGTTAGGCTCCCGTATTCAGCTGCTGACGGTTTACTGGCCAGATTGCCGGCTTTTCTGGGGACTTTTTCTAGGACCTGCAGAGGGGGGCTGCTTCTTTTAGGAAAAGAACATTGGGTCCCGGATAGGGCTGAGGCTCCATCTGACCCATGGGCATTGGTCGAGATGGGCGGGAGGATGACGATGAAACATGCTTCAGCTGGGGTTGGGACGAAGCGAGCAGGGAGGGGTTTGGGGGTTCGCTGCAGGAGGTTGAAGGAACAAGGTAGTTGTCTCGTCGTCCACCTTGATCGGGATAGCACCGTCTCACCTGACTGCCCGATGCTGCACCGGGGCTCACACTACTCAGAACCGATACCAGCGACCAGGCATCGTGCAGGAACCGACAGCTGGCCAGGGTAGCTTGTCACCCCCAAAATAGCATGCATACGTCTCTCTAATCTCGAGAGGGACTAGAGAGAAAGACTAGACCAACGTCGATGCTGACTGGGCTCGGCAGCACACAACCTCGGCTGAATGCGACTCTTCTCAGGCCGCTAAGATCTAACACGTCACAAGAATGGCTATTGAATACTCTCCTGCTAGAACAATCCAAGCACCCAGGGAGTACAGATGATGCTCAAGAAAAAAAAGGCACGATAATAATAAAATGGAATAGATGACCCAACTCCCATTACACGGTAGTCATACATGAATGTAATACGGCCCCCTTATTTTAGTCCTGCTCAGCTGGCCATGGTCATGCTATACGGACCCTAAGGCGCCAAAGCTCAACCCCTGTGCTAATCCCAGTCGTAGCATCCGAAGCACATCTGCACCCTTGATCGTCTCGGGAAGGCCCACCCGCCAGTCCCATCCGCGGGCACGGCCCGCTTCCTTGTCACCAGGTCGAGGGACAAGCACACCAGAACTGCCCACGGAAGCCGGTCCAGACCCGGAACCTGATCGAGTGCGTACCGACTCAAGCATGTCGTTACCGATGATGGAGAAGGTGGATGCGGATAAGGACGACACTGATTTTTTCAGAAGCGCCCGAGGCGAGGGCGGCGCAAAGCCGTCGGATGCGCCCCGGCCGGCGGATTGCTGCTCGAGCAGAGTGGACCGGAAGCATTCCTCGCACTGCGAGTATACGCGAGGAGTCACGGTCTCCAGATCTTCAATCGCAGACAGGATAGTGAATTGCTGAGAAACCGAGAAAATAGGAGTCGAGTCTGGTCAAATGTTAGAATAAACATGTTTCTTTCGCGCCATGGCGGGATGTATGGAAAGGTCGTCACTCACGATTCACAAACACCAGCGCCTCTCCCAGCAGCGCGAGCAATCCGTCCACCTGCACTGCAGAATCACGATGGGGATCGTACAGACCGCCGTAGATATTATCTGCAGCGCTGCTGATCACCGCAACGAGTGCCTTGGCCGCTGCGCGCCGGCGAGCAAGCGGTTTGAAGCGCGGTCGCTGGCTCTCTTGCAGTTCCATGGCCTCATCGCGAATCTCATAGAACCGACGTAGCGTCGCATAGCCACTGAGGTAGAACTGGAGAATCCGGGCAGCTTCCTCGTCGACAGATGCGATAGACGACAGGCAGGTCTTGGGATCTTTCAGCATCGAGCGAAGTTCCGGGTCCAGGTCAGATGTGGCAGGGTAGGCCCGCGATTGCACCAGGCTGTATGAAATCAAAAGGTCGACAACTGACTTCACCTTGCGGCGGTTCTGAGCACGGGCGTAGCATACAAGCGCTAGGCCAAAGTTCTCAGAGTTAGAAGCGGTGAGATCACCGAATCGCTAAAGAGAGGAAGAAGGTCAGTCTTCAGCTAATTGCGAAATCTCACACCTGCTATCATCAAATGCACTTACCTCAGAGACCTTGCGGCCCTGATCCTCCAGGCCTAAATCGGTACACAGGACGACCAACTTGTCAAGTTGGCTGACATCATCCAACGGCAGCTTGTCCACAACCTCCGCGACCGCTTTCTTCATCGAAACTGAGTCGTGCAGTCGGGCCAGCACCTCCAATGCCATCTCCCAGCCCTCGCGGACACCACTCTCGTTCTCAACCGAGCCACGTTCGTTCAGTCCGAATGCATAGCTCTGGAGAATCTCATCTCTATCAAGTCGATGGGCAGAAGACATGTCACCCTGTCCATATGAAAGAACCATCAAATCATTCTCACTCAGACCGGGCATCTTGCTCACGCCGGAATCAAACCAGCCACCAAAACTGGCGACCTCGGTGACAGCGGTCGTGACGCACAGGGACCATGATTGTAGAAGCTCAAGAACCCCTTGGACATTGCCTTCAAAGACAGAGGCCAAGCCAACCTCCAGACTATTCATGGTGTTAACGCGGAACCCAGCGTTATCGGATGGTTCATTTGTGACGTTGCTAAAGGCCAGATCCAGGCGACGCAGGTAGGCGTCTCGCATATTTCGATCCACCGCGCGAAGCTGATTCTTGGATCCGCGCGAGCGTTGGAAGTCGTTGCTAGAAGTGCTGGCGCGGAAGTCGAGCCCAGGCATGCCGTCATAATCCTCACCATCCCACCACGCGGTCAAGCCGATCGTCGCCTCGACCCAGTCCTGCGAGATGGCCTTGATTGTAGCTGTGTCGCCCAGAATAATGCGGTAGAGGGAGCGGAGACTTTGGTAAATTGTCCAGGGAACCCGGCTTTCAGCCATGCGGGCAGACTGCGTGAAGCTCACCTGGTTCTGCCCAAAGTTGGAAAGTCCGAAGTTAACGGCCTGGAACCGGTTTTCTTGGACTGGAACGTCAGCCTGATCCCGCTCTTCGCCCTCGGCGAACTCTTCCAGATCATTTACAGTGGCCAAAACACGCTTCCGGTACAAAGTCCAGTCAGACCCGGTGATATCCCAATCATCATCCCGGAAACCGGGGCAGGTATCGAGAATCTGCAGGGCTTTGTTCACACAACGCTGAATGTTCTGCAGCTGAGCGCCACGATATCCCGGTTGAGGTAAGCCGTCCTCCAGAGCAGATCGGGCATAGTTGAAATCTGAAGACCGCAAGATCTCTGCCGCTTCCGCAAATTGACCGCGGAGTACGGCCGCGTTGATGATGTCCCAGAAGTTGGATGAAGCGGTTGGGTTTGGTTCCACATAACGCAGCGCCTGCAGATCATTAGTCTGCGAGGCGTGGTTTCCATTGAGCCAATCGAGAAGAATCTGAGGGAGCGGCGTTGCTACGCTGGCACGTTGCATAGCCTTAACCATGCTGTTAGGCACCCCACGGGCAGCTGGATTGGAGGCGGTGGCGATCGGGGCGGAGGCTCGAGAAGGGTGGTGGATCTGGAGTAGCAGGGAGGCCAAAAAGCTGGCCTTAACGAGATTCGGCGATTGCTCCCCAGGGCCAATACTGGATCCAACGCCATAAGGTCTGCTGATCCCACTGCGGTCGGCGCACGTATCCCACGTTGCGGCAAGTTTGTTGGCAACATATGACAAGAGAGCATCGAGTTCAACGTGCCGGTGTTCGGCATCTCTCAATTCATCGTAGAGTCGACCGAGCACATCCTCCGTGTTGATGATCATGTCGGCGGGCTCGTCCACAGCGGATAGGTGAGACCTGGCCGCGAAGTTGTGCAGAATAGAGGGCATTGCGGAGGCTTTTTTTGGCGAAAGCTTGGTTTTGTGTAACGAAGACTGAGGATTCCAGTGCTCATGGAGTTTTGGGCGCTTCGCATCGGTGGGATTTGAGTAGATAGGTTTGCGCTGCGCAGACTGAGTGGCCTGTCGGGGCAACGGGTTGCCGAACGTGGAGTCTAAAAAGCTCAAACGATTGTGCGGGTTTTGACTACTCATATCAAAATGACCTTCCGCATCGTCCTCCTCAATCTCCTCCTCCATTGGTTCCTCCTCATGCTCCATTTCCTCTTCCTCTTCATCGTATTCCTCATTGTATTCGCTTATCTGAGACTCTCCAAAATTCACGGACCGGCTGAATGCGCTGCCGTTCGTGGTCGCGCCACCAAATCGCGTCTGAGCTGCTGGTGCGGCCGCCGCAAAAGGCCTGGACGAAGGTGCCTGAGTCCGTTGGGGTTGCTGGTAGGCGAAATCAGATCCGAATGAGGAGCCAAAGATACTGTCGCCTTTCTTGAAGCCGCCTGATTTGGTAAACAGAGAATTGGTTGAAGTACCGAAATCCATCTTCGAATGCGAATCTATTTGTGAAGTTCCAAACACCGTTGACGGCGGATGCCCTTGCGGTGTAAATGAGTTGGCGCTTGATGGAGGCGGACCAGCAGGTGTGGTTGAAACATTGCTCCAGAAACTTTGACCCTTGGCCTTGTCAGGGGTGGAGGGCGGGCTCGAATCGTATGGGACTTTGAATGACATCGTGGGCTGTGATGGTGGGTTGTGGAGGCGTCAGAAGGATCAACAACTCGATGGAGAGTAAGTTTTGGGCCGCAACACCTTGCACCGGACCACGAAAGTGGAAGCAATGCGACGAGTGAGACCGGGCTAGTGAGACCGGGTGAGGGAAATGGGAGGTAATTGATGGTAGGATCAAACGAGACCCATCATCTGAGTGATTTCGTGGCAGATCTTGTTTTTTCGATTGACTGGTCCTCGACTCGGTTTATTCAGACGCGCCGGGGAGCCGCGAAGACAGGAGTCAGGTGACTCCTGCTACGTAGGAGCTTGGCTATATTCACGTGATCTTCCTGGCTGCTATATCACGTGCTGGACGGTAATCCACGTGATCCCGGAGACACCACGACGGCGGGAAATCCATGGCTTTGATTGGCCGAGCTGCCTCCAACATCTATATGTCCTTCGCGATAGGGGCATGGAACCAACATCATATTGTTTCCTTCCTTCCATTGAGTGTTTCACTTCCTTTTCCTTAGGCAACCTGACTCAGAAACGCCCAATCATGTCATCTGTACTATCCAACCCGCTTCTTCATATGGCCGGACGAGCGCTTCTTCCTCTCGCCGGTGCGCGCTTCTGATCAGGATCGCTCTACGGTTTCAGCCAAGGCATCACCAGAGCTATTATTAGAAAACTAACCTGTGATGACATATATAACAGACGAATAACGGCCAACGCGAGTGCCACTTTTTTTATCTTTTGTAGAAATGGTGTTACAATAACAAGAGCCATCAAGCCCACCTTCCACTTCACCTCTTTTGGCATCCCCTGCTAGAACAGGCTGAGAGACAGGCGCGATGGCCGAAAGCAAGCGGAACAAAATGAAACAGAAGAAAAGCAAAAAGTCAAGTCAAAAGAAGAAATGGGCGGAAGCTTTGGGCAGAACGTCGAACAAACAAGATTTCAACGACCGGACCAACGATTCCAAGCGAGAAGCTAAGCAGCAAGCGCAGAAGCAAGTTCAAAGCCTCCAACGTCGTAAGTCTCTAAATATAACGAAAAGAGACCCTATCGTTTACATCATCCGGAAGGGGACATGGGGCATGTATTATACAATCTGGCGGAATAACATCCAGGTGTATCATGTCAAGACCGAGGTTTTGGGAGGTCTGACCTTCACCTCGGGAAAACCTGGATTCCAGGACGGTGTCACGCATGTGAAAGCCAAGTCCGACACAATCAGGCTTGATTTCGACCAGGCCAAGATAAATATAAGACGCAAATGGAGAAGGAGAGGGTGGATAAAGCGCCCGCGCAGATACTACTTTTTCGATCTCGAACCCGAGAAAGGGAAGGACAGGTTTGTCTGGAAGACCTTTAAGTCGATGACCAAGGAGGCTTATGAGAAACAAAAAAATGAGAAACAAAAGTCTAAAGCGGATAAAAAAGCGGCCAGAGAGGCAAAAAAGAAAGAGGGGAAGGCAAAGAGGAAGGCAAAAAAATGGAAGGCCGCGTACCAAACACAGACGAAGAAAAGGCGGCTTTTCCGACAAGCTAAACAACCGCAGACACAAGCGGACGCTCTGAGGATATGGGCTCCGTGGGTCAACCTGCCGCCGCGGTCTGAGGGCGACATCCCTTGGGTTCCGAAACGGAAGGACACCCGCGAATTGGTCGACAATATTAACAACCAGCTCGCCGCCATCTGGCTTCCGGCGCCCTCCAAGATGAAATATTATAAGCAAGAGGCCCATAGAGAAGATGAGAAGAATCTCAGCGGAGAGGAGCGGAAAAAAAGGGAGAAGGCCCGGGAAGATCAGGCCAGGCTGGATCGGAGAAACATTGGCGCGATGATTGTAGATGGCGCGTATGGCGACCGCTTTGCTCAGCAGATCACCATGATACAATTCGCAATCTATAATAAGATCCGGCGCAAGAGACAAAGGAAGATAGTGACGAAAACTTTGAAGGCTGGATGGAAAGGCTTCAAGTACAGTCATGGAGTGGGCTTCGTCACTGAGCTCACCAAGATCAGGAAGGTCGTTTGATATAGTCCAGGACATTAAAAGCGAGCCAGGGTCTTTCGGTCGAAAGAGCACAGCCTTGGTGAATATGGCTATCGATGCGATGATTGTCTTGGAGGTTACGAATCTAAAACTATAACTTATATACTGATTCATTCTCAACTCTATGATATCTCGTCCATCACGTAGACAACTAAATGCACACTCGTTACCCTTGAGCACAGAGAATGGTGAGGCTCTCCCACCTTCTATTTCTCTCCAAACACCCTATCCAGACGAATAAGTAGATAATTAGACTCAATGGGAGATACAAGAGATGCATAGCCTGAATAACGCCTAATCGTGAATCTTGTATTCGAAGATGGCGTATATAATCAGAACAAACCGTGATGGAGGCAAACTATAGAGAGCGCAAGTACCAGTTACTATGCGAGAACTCTTGGGCAGTCACCCAACACTTAGCCGCCTAACAATCCCTTTCCCCTAATCCAACTACACCCAACATATGGGACAATCGTGATTATTTTTGGATCCAACCGATGTATCAGCCTGTGGCATCTACCCAGTCAAATCGACAAGTAATGAAGTCTTTTGGTTTTCGATGTGAAACTAATTTTCCAGCCTGATTTTAGGGCACTGGGGTCCATGGGTACCTGAGAAAAAAGGGAGAAAAAATATCGATAGGCAAGTCGAGCGATAGGATAATTTCATTCGGATGCTTATGACGTTTACCCGCAGAAAAGTAAGGCTTTGTGATTTTATCCATCTAGAGGTATATTTCTATACTGGCTATCACACCCTGCTTTTGGACATGACTTGTACAATCTATTAAGCACTTCACCAAATGCCTTGTCAAGAACTCCCAAAATTGAAGGTGTAAGATGTAGTCTGATACGAGGGACAGGGATGATAAAGGTGGCAGAAAGCGGAGAGACTTAACTATACTTATATGTGCAAAGGGAAGAAGGAGCAATCCAAAAGAAAATGGGTCAGGTTGGGAAGAGAGGGCTGGGGGGAGGAGGGGGGAGTTAGGCTAGCTAGATGACTGACTAACAGGATCTTGCCCAACATGCTGTTACCAAGGCAAGTTGAACTCAACAATCAATTCCTTAAATAAATTTAGAACCGAGTGGTTTCAGTTGCGACTATTAATTAAAAATCTGTTCGAGATTCGAATGAGCATGTAATGATAACGCTACTTAAGAGTGGGTTGGGAGTTTTCACAGGCGCTTGACCCTCTAACCGCCCATACCGTGGCAGAATATCTGTTGGATGTCCATAACGAGTCAGAACTATCTCTGGCTGGTTGGTATTTTTAGTATAACTGCACAGCATGGAAAGAGCTTGCGAGTGGGTCACACATTGGCCTTCTGCAAAGGATTAAATAGAAAGGCCACCAGCCTCTCTGAGATTTGATATCCAAATTCGAGCCTCTACAGGCAAGCCAATATGTCAACCACTGAATCACATCAGTGGTCCTCTAATAAGATGCCCTCTGCCAAATACAAAATCAAGTTATTCAACCCTCCAGGGTGCCCGTGGCCTTATTACAAAGTCAATGTCGGTAAAAAGCACATTTGTACCATGCAAACAGCTAGCCTGACGTCGAACGCATATCTTCGTTTCAATATTCCAAAGAATCTGACAGATGCTCAAAAAGAGTTTGTGGTTCCTGCTCACTGTGAGCTGTCCACTATACGCGAATACGACTCGTGTTGTATCGATATCCAAACTTCCCATAAATTGAAACTGTACCAGATTGAGCATTCGGAAGATCTAGATCCAGGGTCGTATCTACTCAGAATCAATAGGAGCACGAGCAGCACGTTGCCTATATGGGAGGATACGCCATTCGTGTGGCAGGACCCCAGCCCGGAGGAGCTTATATTCCCTGGAAATCTGGTACTTAGAGACACATCATCGAATGACGTGGTCGCCGATATTTCTCGCACTCACTTGCCAGCTCTTACTAGCGATGAGTATCATGATCGAACAGAGGAGCCCGAGGATGGCAAGCCCAGATATTATTACACGCTAAACATATACGGAAGCCACCCTCCAGCTTTCTCACCTATGGTCTTTACGACATGTCTAGCCGTGCACGAGAAACTCAGGTTTCCAGTTTTTACATAGCATGTCAGTGTGACACTTAAGGGGAGCAGCTTTCCTTCTCTATACGCCGCCTCACCAGACGCCCTGTGGTATTAGAATATGTGAACGCATGGACGCAGCGGCAATAAGATTATACCAGTACGTATTGTCGATAAGGGGGAATATAACACGAGATCCTTTAATAAGGCCCCCGTGTGATGCAATGAGTCTCGATTGAATTTCTTGTACCTAGCATCGAGTGTATTAGCTCATATTGTCCAGTCCATCAATGAATAAAATTCAGTCTTGTTTTAAAAAATAAAGTTTCAAGAGCATGGCAGAACCCAAAGCATAGGAACAGCACAAAGTTCATTCCAGGGAGTGACTACCTCAAGGTAGATCACCTATCTTTCAGGAAGAAGTGTTTTGTGAAATCGTCAAAGGGGCTTTTCAAGCTTCAGTATATGAGATAAAGGATGATGCGCTACCTTTTTGAATTTTAAATAGGTACAAAATACGGATACAGCCGGAAGATCAGTTCACAAAGCCATATGAGATCAGTCGATTACAGACCCTTTTCATTTTTCGGTAACTTCGTATACAATTTCGTATCCACTGCTATCGACAGGAAGGGTCCACGTTCGGCGTTTTATATATTTTGAAAGGTGTCGTTCATACTTGCTACCTGATATCGATCCAGGCTCTTCAATGAGCAGTATCAAGACATGCAGGCCCTCATCATTAACCTTTCATAGGACCTTTATTGCTTTTCTATTGGGCTCGAGCCCTCAAACAGCCCAGGACAAGGTGCATCCATAGCATCTATAGAGATATAGCAATAATGAACAGTGATGGTCACATGACCTGGACAAGGCTGTGGCCGTTGGCCGTTGGGGGCCAAACCCCCTCGATTCGCTGTGCTTTGCCCAGCACTGCCCCGGCGTGTGTGTCTGTGCCCGATCGGGGAATTAAAGCGACGCTGGGAAACAAGGCCTGCCGGCCCCGATGATATCACCCAATAAGCATAAAAAGGTAATACTGGCCGCTGGGCATGCTCAGCCTTGAGGATCAAGATTATTCTTAGCACGGCGACCTCAAGGCCGATAGAATATATAAGAGCCGAAACGGCAGAGGAGAGAAAACCAGAACAAGCAACAAACCCGCAGATACACGCATTAAATATACCCCTCCTTGTTAAATCCGACGCTGTTTAAAGCTCGGAACTCTACGAAAGAAGCTATTTGAGTTATTCCGTATTGCCCTTTGGCTTTTGCGCCTACGCCGGTACGCTACTTCCCTCGACCAAATCGATCAAATCGATCGATCATTTCGCCATGCCCGGGTACGCCTCCAGCCCTACTGCCCAGTACCTCATTACCCACAGCTTCTGGCGACACGACTACACCGTGACGACCCGCGGTCGCGACGTCTATCGTGTCCATACCTCGCAGTACTCCCCGGGTAAGCCCGATCTGACCTTTTACGCCGGGCCCGACACCAGCGGGCCGGTGGCGGGCGTCTGCCGCTACCGACACTTCTCGTCAGACACAGAAATCGGGTTGGGTGACCCGCGCGACGGCCGAATGTACTGGGAGCGCATGCACCGCGACGGGAAGATGACGGTGCGGTACTGTTTCCGGGTGCGGGTGGGCCGGGGGCTGCAGACGTTTACCTGGAAGAAGACGTCGATGGGGCAGGGCACCTTTGGCAATTTGAAGCTGGTGGATGAGGCGGGGCGGGTGGTCGCGGTGTTGTCGTCGGGCAGCACGTTCTCGAAGCGAACGGGCCAACTGGATGTATATGCGCAGTATGGCGGTACGTTCCCGATGATGGTGCTGTTTAGCGGGATCGCGTTGCGCGAGAAGTTGCGCCGAGCGAGCAATAACGCAGCAGCAGCAGCAGCGTCAAGTGGGGGCGCGGCGGCGGGGGCTGCTGGCGGGGGCTGTTAAACTAAAGCAGGGCAAATTGCACCGAGGAGATCGTCGTGTCTCTGGAGAGTTGGAAAGCCAAGAGTTTCCGTGCTGAGATGGTGCATATGCTTATACGAAGTGACGAAAGTGGGGCCAGAGAAGGTTGATTCGATCTGCAGAGGAACCGGGCACAGAGGAGAGACACAACGAACTGGAGTTCGGATTCCGGCGTCCAGGAGGAATTCCCCTTTTTGAGGCCCGTTCGGTGCCATTCCGGGTGGTCGTTAACAGGCGGTTCGGGGCGTTTGGCGTCAATCTGACTCGGGCTGTATTAGTATTACGATTGATGTTATTGCTTATCTGCATCGGGGATGATGCGGTATGACTGTGTATTAGTATGACGAGATCTCACGACACTTGCATTATGAATTGAGAAGTATGAGAATGGATAGTCCGTGATTTGTTCCTGAATCCGATCCAATCAGGACCACCAAGATACCACCAGAGGATACCTTCAAGCAAAGGACGTCCCAGAATCACTATGCGAGACAGAGCCAAGTAGTCCGGACTCGGTGCCAAGGAAGACACTAGGGACTAGCGGTACGAGGCTATTCCTATGGTGCCCCCGTTGTGTCTCGCGTGCGACCACGAGCCGATGAGTCCATCGGGCCCATCGGAGGGTTTCACCAGCTATGTAGTTCGCATCGCCGGACGCCAATAAGCACCGATCGGACCCTTCGCACCCTCCATTGAGGGGGCGCGATGGGGCCTCGATGGAGCCTCGGATGGGGCCCTCAATGACCTCCCCAGTCGTGCCTGTACCCAGTTGTTGGCCAATCCAGCGAGCGGGTCGGGTCGCATCCAATAACTGGATCGCCGTGTCTCTCCCAGATGACTGCTTGGCCCAGAGAAGAGCTACCCCAGCGAGGCAGTGCACCCGAAGCGAGGCCGGCCAGGCAAGACATTGTTGCACCACAGGCGACACAAGCCTTTTTTTTCGTCTTGTTTGATCGACAGGGTTCCCCTTAGGTAAGCCGTATAGAGCGTGGACCGTGAAATTGGGACACTCAAAACGAGCCAAAATGAGACAAAGCCAGCAAAGACCCATCAATCCTGTTGCCTGCCGCCAGCCTTGAAACGCCCCTCTCCGGCACACGCCAATGATGATACCACACAATTCACCTTATCCTATTTAACCCTAAATTTTAATCTCTTTCTTCTGACCTTTTTCCCCTTTTACCCCCCCCCCCCCCTCTCTCCCCCGAGCCGCACTTCGAGATCATGGCGATCAATCAGCATGCATGACCATGGCGCTGCGTCGACCCCATCGCAAATCCCGCCACGGCTGTCTGGAATGCAAGCGGCGACGAGTCAAGGTACGGACTCGCCGGGATGAGTTGTCTCTTTTCAATTGACTCTCAGGCGCTCTCTCTCTCTCTTCTTCTTGTCTTTGTCTCATACATAAAAAAAAAGAAACCCTACCCGACTAATACGCAATTCCCTTCTCTTTGGTCTTGTATAGTGTGATGAAACCCGGCCGATTTGCTCCAACTGTGCCAAACGCCATTCGGAGTGCGAGTATGGCTCGTCGAGCTCGCTCCTCTGGGCAAATGAAGAGCCCCCGTTGCGACACGCATCGCGGGCATCTGGGTCCGACAGCGGGCACCCTGGAGATTCCGCAGTTAGCAGTCCCCCCGCGAGTGACTCGCTCGGCATTCTCGGCCGGCTCAGTGGAGAGGGCTCGACGACTGCCCTCGCGGCGCTCAATGTCCATGATCTGGAACTGATGATGCAGTGGTGCAACTCCACGTACTGCACGCTCTCCCGCGACGAGCGGACGGAATCTGTATGGCGGAGCTCCGTGCCGGAAGAGGCTCTTTCGCACCCCTTCCTGATGCATGGCATTCTGGCATTGTCTGCTCTCCATCTGGCTCGAACGGTCCTGGAGTCTTCCCGCCGGACAGCGTATCTGAACCGGGCCGTGGCACACCAGAACCAGGCCCTCGCCCTCTTCCGGGAGCTCCTCGGTGATATCAATGACGCCAATGCCAAAGCCATGTTCGCCTTTGCCAGCATCGTCGTCGTGTACACGTTCGGCTTCCCCAATACTCCTGACCCGCAAGACCCCTGGACCTGTGTGGACGACCTGTACCAGGTGCTGGTCCTGGCTCGCGGCGTGCAGCAAGTGATCCGGTCCCCCTCCCAAGTTATTAGCCACAGCAATTTCGCACCCATCTTGCAGGTGGAGGAGGCCAGCGCCCCCCTCTCAGAAGGTGCCACGGCCGCGATTAACAACCTCCATGAAACAAACGAGATCTGCGGCGCCCGGGATTCTCACCACGAAACCGAGGTGTACACATCGGCCATCGACAACATGGCCGACATGCTCAGCTGGGTGTACGGGGGCATGACCAGCAGCGTCATTGCCGGCCGGTGGGCCATCAGACTGCCGGCACGCTTTCTCGAATTGTTGCGCGAGCGTGAACCCCTGGCTCTCGTCATGCTAGCGCACTATGGCGTGCTCCTCCGGTATCTCGAACACCGCTGGTGCTTTAATGAATGGTGCGAGCGGGTCGCCAAAGCCGTGTGGGCGATCTTGGACGATCAGTGGAGGCCATTGGTCCACTGGGCCATGACAGAAATTCTCGGGGACCACTACCGAGACCAGATCCATATCTTTTGAAAATCACAGGGAGGTCGATATTCGGGGAGGGTTCGCGGGGGATCGACTGGACTCGCACGGAACGACACTCGCTAATTCATACGAGACGAATACGATAGTAATCCTGCTGGAGCCAAGAACAGATCGCTCCGACAATCTGCAGATTCGGAATATCCCTGCCTACAGCGGTACTCATCGACTGCCCGCAGGGCCCTGACTAACCACGAACCCTAGCCCTTCATCCTTGTCCGCCAAGCCCCTTACCATCTCTTTTGCCCAACGATACAAACCTAGATGCCTCGCACATATTGAACCCACATATTATCGCACAAATCTTCCTCGGCCAAGAGCACAATTGATCTCTGATAATTCACCAGAACATCGCCATGAAACCCACAACAAGAACCCGTCTTACGCAAAAATAAAGCAACCTCATTCCGCATCAGAGATCTGCTCGTGTCCTGTATGTGTTGTGTCACAGAAACAATATTTCGAAAAAAGGGCCAGGAGACTGGGTATGTGTGCGGCGTGAAGTTATGCCACCACCAGGATAATTGGTCCGCTCACAGCCTCTTCATTGGGATAAAATACTCCAGCGTTGTTGGATTACTAGCGCGCTGGTTAGAAAGCGGCCGAAGAAAAGGATCTGCGTGACCTGGCTACCGGCAATGACCTGCTGCTCAGAGCAGAGGGTAATTGAAGGCGGAGTCACTAGACCGCTGACTACGATCCCGGCACTTGTATTATAGCCCACTCCTCTGGAAGTCCGTTCGGATTGGAATGAAAAAAGCAAACAAAACAAAACAAAACAAAACAAAACAAAACAAAACAAAACAAAACAAAAACAAAAGCAAAAGAAAGAGAGCGAAATCAACGAACCCAATGTCTGCACAAGGAAACCCATCACTGTTTCCAACAACAAACTGGATAAAGAACCAGTTGCGTGCAGGACATATGGGACGTGTGCAGTGCTGTCGCCGCGGCGAAGTAGTTGCAATGCAAGAAAGTTGGAGAGTTCCTAGTACTCACTACGTGGATCTTCCTACTTTTTAGATATCCAAAAAACTCCCATTGTTCTATTTGTCTCAAGCCGGTTCATCTTCTCACAAAGCCTAGTCTCCTATCCCTCGTACTCCATGCTCAGACTCTCGTAGCTTCCTCGTCTTCGTAAAATATCCTTTCTTGAAAGCGCGCCGACCGGCTTCGTCTACTTCGTATTCATTACCATATACGGTTTAGCTCTAGGTCTAGGTTTAGCTGCCGTACCCAAAGGGTCCCCACTTACACGCGTGTGGACGGTTCCTGTGGTTGACAACCCGGAACAGAGTTTAAATGCCGTGTCTGCCTGACCAGGCAGCTTCGTTTCAGGCGGCCGTGTTGCGTGTTACGGGGTCGATTCAAGTGGGCTTCGGAGCGTGGGCAGGCTGGACCTGGGGTTTGCTGTGTAAATTTGCCGAGCAGGGAGGGGAATTGGGAGACAGGGTGGATCAATGCATCTGCACGGTGGGCATGATACTTTGTGGAATGGAAGTGTTATTGGATTTCTCTTTGCAGCTGTGGGTGATTTATTGGTCACACGACCTTTTTGCGGTTCATAAGTGACGTGGGAGATTGAAGCTTTTGCTCCCGATCTAGACATTTTTGTCTAAGCATGGTGGGTGAGAGGGCCCAGTGGGCTTTTGAAGTGGGTGTAGTACGGAGCAATCCACATAGTGCTTACATTCAATTTATGAGCATTATGCCATGATTGAAGTAATGTACCTTTTAGGAGCGTGACTCTTATGAACTGGACCTGGCCTTTGCATCAATATCCAATATCTTCTTTTCAATCCACATAATTCCCTGCGCACACCTGTATATGCATAAAAGGCAATCTGTCGAGTGACGTTTTCCGTCTTGCTCCGCGCTCTACTAGGATTATATTGGTAAAAACCAGGGGACATTCCTGTAATTGGTCGCCTTAATTGTGGACTCGTAGAGATCGCTGACCTAGGATATATGTAAGCCCGACCCACCATTAACGTTCGGGGTGCTGCACTCATGAGTCCAATGAGTTTAATGAAGATTTATTCCGAACAGCATAATTGACACGGAGTAGAACCAGGATGGATAGAAGGACAAATAACCGGTATGTTGTCCCGACCAGGTTGTCAGTTATCAAGTCTACCCGTCCTTCTTTTCTTTGCTCCTATGGGTTCTTTTCAGATCTTTTTTTGACTACCAGCAGCGCATCGAGTACTTGGTTCTCATGGCTGGCTTCCCAAATTCTTCATGCAGAATTTTCACGTATCCCACTCGACACACAATCTTCAGGCCTAACCGTGGATCACATCTTTCACGCTGCTCGCATAGATACACAATTCGCACTCGTAGGTGGCACTCGTAGGTGGCTTTGAAATCGGAACTTTGTAGCTGGGGCTCTCCGCCAGCCCAACCAGTTCGATCAATCAGAGAGGCTGGAACATGATCAAACCTGAGAATAATAGACAAAAGTAGTGTTGTTTTTGGGATTCGGTTTCAGACCAAAAGCCAACAGAGGCCGCAGTGAAGCTGAATCAAATGAACAGCGTCTATCAAATTTGCATCTAAATGAAGATTGAGGAATGATCAAGAACTCGCTCAATACTTTATTGTCCTATACTGAAAACTAGTGTTTGCCCAGGTCGCTAGCTAAGTTCAGTATTAAATGCTTTCGGTGCACGAAAGAAGCACAAACTTTAGTCTCAAAACATCTGTTCCTATACATCTTTTCCCTATATACAAGCCTCCATCATTCGAGTCGCAAGTTCCCTACAGTTTAGCCTGGGTCTCCCCATTCTGCAATACATACCGATATCTCGCCTTCCCATCATGCATGTCTTTCAATGCCGCATTTACTTCCTCCATCGGCCTCTTCTGAATCCACGGCAATACTCGCTTATCGGCAGCCAGCTGCAGCATCTGCCGAATATCTTCAGGCGACCCAATATTCGATCCAGTAACCTTGACACTCTTCTGAATCAATGACCACGCCGCCAACGGCGGCAGCGGCTCCTCCGGCGCTCCAACCTGAATAAAGGTCCCATCCCGCTTCAACAGCCGGAGATACTGGCTCAGTGGCATATCCGGCGCCGACACCGTCGACAAGATAATATCCAATGACCGTGAATGCGTCTTCGCCCAGCCCTTCTCCTCGCCTGTCGCAATGAACGCATCCGCGCCCAACCCCTGCACCGCATCTGTCCGCTTGTTCGATGACCGCGAGATTGCCACCACCCGGTCTGCACCCAGTGCCCGCGCAAACAGAATCCCCAGATGGCCCAGCCCGCCAATCCCCACCACGCCCACCGTCTTCCCGGGGCCGGCACCATGCTTCCGTAGCGGCGCGAACACCGTCACTCCGCCGCATAGCAGCGGCGCTGCCTCCGCTGATGGCAGCGTGTCGGGTATGCGGAACACGAAGTGCGCCGGCCCGCGCCACCGCGTCGCAAATCCGCCGTACGATTTGCTCTTGTCCGCGTATCGCCCGTTATATGTGCCCGTCATGCGCGTGCAGTAGCTCTCCTCCCCGTCTGCGCAGGCCTCGCAGTCTGCGCGCAGACAGGCCATGCTCTGCGCGCCGATGCCGACGCGGTCGCCAGGGTGGATGGCGCGGGAGGCGGGCGACGAGGCAAGCGTCGGCACGGCGGTGCCAATGCGCTCCACGATCCCGATGATTTCGTGGCCCACGACGCAGGGGTAGTCGGCTGGGCCCCAACCCGAGCGTAGGGTATGAATGTCGGTGCCGCAGATGCCACAGTGGGTTACGCGGATCTCGACGTCGATGTCAGTGAAGGGCTTCGGCTCGAAGGTTGTAAAGGTGAGGGGGTTGGTAGCATCATGGGCGACCCAGCCTTGGAAGGTTTTGGCGGGAGTTGAAGTCTGAGAGGACATTGTTTGAGAGAGGGGAGAGTGGATAGGAGGGCGCTCTTGCAATTGATTTCGGACCGAAATATGTGGGAGGCCTTCTGTTTGTAGTTTTGTAGGTTCGATTGGAAGTTGAAGCTAGAATGTGGGGGGTCTGCGGAGAAAGCAAATTGGACGAGGGCTGATGTTACGACTTGAGTAAGAGCGGAGCCGTCGAGCTATGAGCAAGAATGCCACTAGGAGTTCATGGAGAAATGCATAGAGAGAATAAAATTTTAAAAACAGGTTGAAGGGCTCAAAGCTCCATCGGGTCAGGATTGACGAATTGCGGAGAACCGAGTCAGAAGATGCCGAGGTTGAAACCGAAATGAGATTCTGCCAAGAACAAGTAAACAAGCAAATCGGACAAAAACACCCAAATCACCGCCATATCGCAAGAACTCCATATGTACAATGCCGTTCCAGCCCAATGTGTATATACAAGTGCTAATTAATAATGGTAAAGTATTTGCTTTCAGCCGGTCGTCGGCGTTTCCTCCCTCCGTTCCTTCTCTTTCACCGTGAGGGAACACCCATGAGATCCTCAAGTTCATCGCTTGTCAGAGTACTTCGCCGACGAGTCCCGGACCGGCTGGTCATTTTGTCAGGTCGACTTCTCTTCCGCGACTCACGCTCTCTCCGTGATTGCTCGGCGATGCGAGCTTCATCTTCAGCGGCAGCGAGCTTTTGTGAGACGCTCAATTGCGAATCTTTTTCTTTGGTCTGCTCGGAATGCATATCAGTATCTTGTGGTAGAATTGTAAATCAGGGGGCTGTTCATTATGGTTTTTTTTGTTACCTGATGGGTCGATTTGCTCTCGGCCTTGCGCCTGGACGATCTGTGAGTCACCATGTCTGATAAATGGGACTTCGTTTGCACTGTCTCGTCCTCATCGCCGGTAGAGATACACGGAGATCCCTGGAGGCCAGGCGTAAAGGAAACCTTCCGAAGTCGCTTAGGTCTGGCGACAGCATTATCACTGCGTTCACGTAGTGCCCTTTCTGAGCGTTCAGGTACTTTGCGCAGCTTGGACGGCGGTCGGGCCAGGTTGGATGTCTCTGGTTTTGATCCTGCCACTCGGTCTTCGGCCTCGCTCATGTGCTCTTCTTCATCCCGGTCTTCCATAATTGGGGAAATATTGCTAGTCTCCATTTGACTATGCATGCTGGGATCTTCGGCAGAGGTAAAGCTCAGGTCAAGGTTCATGCCGCGCTTTAACTCTTCCACCCGAACGGAGTCTCCGCCACCTGCTAGGCGTCGCTGCCACCCATCCATCATCGTTACAGCTTGTTTCCAACGGTTCTCCATTTTCTCCCAGCTTTCGCGCAGTCGTCTAATCTCCTCATCTCGGATCTCAACTTCTTCCAGAGGCACAAAAGAGGGGTTGGTGAGCAGAGTCCGCAGGTGCTCCAAAACAGAGTCCATGTGGGCGGATAGCTCTTCGCATGATGTAGGAAGCGTAGTCACAGCACCCGTGGAAGACTTTTGAGGTCCAACACTGGCAGACATTCCCGATTGCTCATCCTCGCCGTCTCCGTTCGCTGTTAGCGGCAGTCCTTGCAGATCCTTCAGTGTCTCGACGGTGTTTCGCGCCAGCTCGATCAGAGTATCATTCTCATCGCTGAGATTCTGGCAAAGCTGTGTCAAAAATTCGGTTGTTTCCTGATGTAGACTGTATCCTGGGTCATTAATCCGTTCTCCTCCACTTGCTCGCATCTGGGAAGTCTTCGCCGCAGGGTTGATGTTTATAGTTGTGACGCTCAATCCTTCGCGCTTTCCACGTTGTCGTTCAGCCAAGTGTGACTTAAGTCTTTGCATTTCGAGATCTCGCTTGCGAATATCGTTGGCACATTGGGCGCGGACCTGTTGCACGGAGGCTTTCATGCGCTGCACCTGTTCCTTCAATCCTCGGATGGTCGCTTCCGCGCTGGAAATGTTCGTTTTTAGTGCCCGTTCTGAAGCCTCTGACAAGGCCAGCGATCGAGTCAATTCGGTTGCCTTTGTTTTCCATTTTCCCTAGCCAAGGCGAAGAGTAAATTAGCTACCGGCTCTGTTGGCGCTGTTGGCACATCAACGTACGATCTCCATAGTCTGCTCAGACTCGGTGGCGCGCAGGGCCCTAATTGTTGTCGCCAGGCTTTCACGGTGTTCAGCCTCACGCTAAAAGTATGTCAGATACAATGCGACACCACATAATCAAGCAGCGACTGACATCTCGCCTCAAAACCAGGTCGTTGACCAAGTTAATAATTTTGGCCATAGTAGCCTCTGTTCCACCCTCATTGTCATCAGGGCTCGCGAAGTCTATCGCCTGGCCACTCTTCAGCAGGCCTCGAGCAAGTAGAATGTTGTTGACATAGGTCGAAGCGGCCTGCAAATTGTGCGCCTCCATGTCGGCCGTTGCTATTGTGTGGAGCTGGCGATGATCCAAAGCGGAAGAAAGTAAACATGGGTTCGCTCCGGTTGCGCGGGCGCGCCAACCGCGCAAGGCACGTGCCGATTTTCCAACACGCGTTGGAAGGGCGTTTGCCTGATCCAAAGCATAATTAACATTGGCACCAGACTTGCAGGTCAAGTCAGTGCTTTAATCAGAAATCATGCCGTTATCAGTGTCAATCCTCCAACAGAAGGGCCAGAAATTGTACCAAAAAGGGGACTTCAAGGGTGCCATTGAGGCCTTCGGCGAGGTAACTCCAGTTTCATTCTAACCCAAAAGGGCAGCTAATGAGGAAATGTTGTAGGCATTGACACAGCCCCAAGCAGACATAATTGGCATACTGGACAATCGTTCCGCTACTTACTGTAAACTGGAACAGTATGACCAGGCGCGACGTGACGCCAAGCACATGATTAAAAAGGCCAAGGATGATGAACGAGTAAGACGCGTCTGAATGATGCTCGGTTGATTGAAAACTAACGATTGCCCAGGGCTATCTTCGATGTGCCAAAGTGCTACTCCTGGAAGGCAAGCCGGAGAAGGCACAAGAAATTTATGGATATGGCCTGAAAATGCTTCCAAGCTTGCACCCACGACGAGGGGTATGGCACCTCTGTTTCTGTAAATCCCGATAAAGCCTTTATGGAAATATGCTAATTGATATAGATGCTGGAACAACTTCACAAAAAGCTTGAAGACAGGATGCTTTCCAACCGATATGACCCCTTTTCCATGCTCCCTCTCGAGGTCGCAGTTTTTATAATCCGGCATTTTTCTTTTAAAGAGGTCGTGTAAGTAAACCGACCTTTGATTAACCACATGGCCTAGCTTATATTACTTTTTAGTGGGATTTTGCGCGTCTGCAAGGCCTGGGAGCGCTTTTTCAGCTCTATGTCTAATCTATGGATGCATATCGATCTCACCGGTGCCCGGGGAAAAGTGCCTTGGACCGCTGTGAGATCGTACATTCGGCGATCTAAGGCAATGCTCACCCACGCCAGTATTAAGAACTTGGCAACTCCCTCTACGCCGAAGACTCTAGAATTCCTCAGTCGCTGCCCGCGCCTGGAACATCTCGAACTACGGGTCTCCCACGACTCAAAGGATTTTTATCTCAAGTTCAAAGGCAGCAAGCGATTAAAGAGTCTCATTCTTTCAGCAGACATGCCAATTTCACATGATTATTTTGGCAGACTACTGGCCGATCTGCCTGGACTCGAGCGCATTGCGCTATGGAATGTTAAGGGGTCGACTATGGAGTTTTATAACTCTGGACAGTGGCCCAAATCCCTTCCAAATCTCAAGAGCATTACGCTGGCAACAAGACAAGCCTCGCCCAGGCACTCGATGCAACATATGCCCGTTTTATGTATTCCTGGACTCGGAACAGTATGTTCGACTACGCAGCCCTCCACAGTCTCTCCCCTTGCTCACAGTTTATTAACCTAGGCTGACGAAACTCCAACATATCCGAATTTGGAAGAGCTGCGCCTGGACTGGGATCCTCCAGTCTATAAAGCGTATACCTTCCTAGCCGATGGCGAGGATCGAAATCTTCCGCCCCTTCGCCGATTGGAGCTCCGAGGGAAAACGATAGAGTCAGACTTTTGCACCGTCTTGCCTCGAACCATCGAGTACCTCCATCTTCAAGGTGGGACTGCAAGGCGGCCTCTTTACTTGGATCCTCCCGACGGTGCGTTTTCGAAATTGCACACCCTCATTTTCCGGGATACGGGGTTTATCACGGGAGCAACACTATCCGCATTTTTAATTGACGCCCAACCCCCACTCCGAACATTACATCTGGATGAATGCTTTAGTCTCAACATTCATGATTTACTCGGGCTAGTCCTGAGCCAAGATACTCCCAATTCCGAGCTGGAGAAAATCCAGGATTTGAGTCTCTCCCACGCGGGAGGTGTCGACGACACTGTCGTCCGGCGCATTTATGAGACATTCCGGGAGCTCAAGGTGCTCAATCTCTCCTACACCCGCATATCGGGCGTTACGATCCGCCTCCTCGCTGACGCTCGAGCCTCCGACTCTCCCGAACGGGCACAACTCGATCGTTTGATCGTGCGGGGCTGCGAGGGTCTTTCTTCGGATGCCGTGGCCTACGGACGCGAGAGGGGACTGGAGGTGATCACTTGAAATACACTGAATTTCCAAGTAAACTATGTGTATTTATTTTGACGATGTTGTACCTGCCCGTGTGGCCTATGACACCCATGGCCACATTATTGAATCGGGATCGGGATTATTTGACCGCGCAATATTAGTTGGCTTTGATGCTGGGTCGCGGCAAGGGTCTTGTATCATGCAAGACAAAGCCACTTAGCGGTTATCAGAGATCACCTGCCAAGCTTTCGCCTGCGCCTCATGATAATGTGCAGCCTTGAGGTCTTGATTCATGACGCTAGCTACACAAGCATCTCATGTGGTCGGTCTCGGGGGTTTATGAAAGGGGACTGTGCGGGTTTACGCGTTACGCGCAGATCTAGCGAGGCGGAGCCCTTCCCCACTGATAAGACTTTGCGAAATACCAGGCTCTGTGGGCGACTTGTGTCTGTGTATCTGATCGGTTGTCTTCAACATAGCATGTCTGTGGAACCCAGTTTGAATCTATACCAGTGGTGCCATGTGATCTCCGGTGTTCTACAGCCGAGAAATCCCAACACTGTTGCCTCCCCCTTAGGAGTGAAACAAGTGCAATGCAGGATTTATTAGTGCAACTCAGTAAATTCAATTCATGGAAACCGTATCTAAATATAATGCTCGACAAACCTCGGTCCCGTTTTATGTGCAAGAGAAACAACAGTGTAAGCTAATTAAGCGCAGAGAATATCTAAACCCCGCGCTCCTGGCACCACCGCTCTACCTCCTTCGCCAGCTTCTCCCTCTGGTCGCGTACAAGCTCCATCATTGGTTCCACCTGCTTCCGGTGCGAAGCGATCACATCCTCATGTCCGTTCACGATGGCGGCGCCCTCCTTAGGGGCCAAGAAGGTATCGTAGATGGAGACCATGAGGTCCATGACAGCGGACAATTGGTTGGGCAGCCACTGTGCAGGTATAAATGTCAGCTGATGATCATTTGAATCCACAGAGTGCTGAAATCGAAAATTCTCGCTCACTCACCGTAACGATGGGACTGCCGCCAGTAGCAGTCGGGTGCGGTGTCCGACGGATGATATACTCGCGGGCAAACAGCCAGTGGCGCCAACGGAAGCTGCGGACGTGATTCAGGGTGCGGAGGAAAAGGACAGCGGTCTCAGAATCTTGGACGGCATAATCGCGCACGCCAATATTCTCAGCCTTCTCGCGGACGTAGGTCAAAAACTCGCGATGCGGCAGGGGCCGATAGGCTCGGAATTCGTGCAGAATCTTAGTCAGGGGGTAGAGGGCATTGGGATCTGACAGAGGTGATCAAGGAGAGGGATCTGTAGGCATGGAGTGGTTAGAGATATGGATTCTGGATGAGACGATAAGGAGAAAGATGAAGCGGGTGAAGTTGTTTCTTACAATGCTGTCATTGGCACCACTCTCGCCACGGAAGAAGAGGGGCTTGTTGTCTTCAACACCCTCGTAGACCACGCCGTTCGGAAACATGGACTGCGATGTGATACCAAAGATAAAGACTCGGAAGGAGAGGTACTCAGAGGGCTTGGAGTTACCCCACATATCTAGGAAAGATCTTAGCGCCGCTTGATTGTGGAAAACGGATTGATGTCGGATAGACAAGGGCGGGTGGAAGTAACATACCTTCCATGGAGGCCTCGATCTTCTCCATGGCATTCAGGATCTCACGGAAGCCATCATTGACTTCCGAACGAGAGCCATGCTGCTCGAGTGTGTCAACGACTCGGAGTGCTCCGGCGATGAGAGCACCAGACTGCTTGACCATATCAACATGGGTCAAGATAAAGCCAGCCTCTGAGCTTTTCGGGTCATGGCCACGCTCAAATGCGCGCACGAGACGAAGATTGGAGTACTCATCCAGTCCCTTGGAAGGATCATCCAGGTGGTAGTTGAAAAGCGCATAGGAAGCAGCATAGGACATGAAGGGGGGAAGATCCAGACTATATCAAAGTTAATATGTTTCAAAGGGGCATGTACAGTACCCAGCGATGGTTTGGGTGAGTGATTGGATCTTTGGATCATATACGAACGAATAAGGGAAAGAGGAGGATGAGGAATCAGGAAGATGTTAGGGTAAGCAACATACATCTGAGCACAACGGTACATGGGGCGAGCAACAGCCTTAGGTAGGACATCTCGACCAAGGCCGTAACCCTGGTCGGGGTTTTTGCACCAGTTCTCCCAGCAAGGCTCGAGCAGATATGAGGAGGCCAGGAAGGTATAGTCTCGGAAGACCGCGGTAAGAGTGAAGCGGTCCGGGGAACCGTCAGGCATGACAAGCTTTTCGACCTCGTCGGTCAGGTCAGGGAGTTCGGCCTCGGTAGCATGACCAAGCTCGTAGGTCGCCAGGAGACCAGGCTTCCCATCGAGCTTGACAACGGGTAGACGGTCAAGGAGAGATACAAGGGGCTTGAAAGCTTCAGGCAGATGCACAGGGGCAGTGGCATAGGGCAAGAAGCCGGTGGATGTAGTGATGGTGAAGGGGTCCAGGGCATGAGAGAGGGTGGAAGGGTCATCATGAACGTGGGGGAACTTCTTCAAAGTAGTTGGAGATGGGTAAGGGACTTGTGTACGAGTCATGATGGAAAAAAGGGGGGTTGAAAAGTATTGAAAGGAAAAAGAAGAAGGTTGAGGGGATGGGTAATAGTCTGAGGGCTTGGTGTGGAAGGAGTATAAAGGGCCTTGAACCAAGTCAGGAACCAGGAAACCAAAGAAAATGAGCCAAAAAAGATAAGAGAAGATTTTGGCCTTCCTATGAGATGAGAAATAGAATGGAAAGAAGGATGGGTTGGGCGGGTGAGAAGCCCATTCTTATAACATTCAGAGGCCGGAATTGATACCGGCCTCAAGTCCACCATTACGAAAGATAATGCAGCTAGTCGTGGATCCGGTGAAATCAGGAATTTTTATCCTAAACAGGCTTCCAGTTACATCTTTTATATATTTATCCTACTTCTATGATGATCCATGGTCAAAATAAAGTGTTTCATGTCTACATTGTCATTTCAGATGCTCTATACAAACGAGCAGTAAAGAAGGGCAGCCAGAGGTCACGGGAACGCGCTAGGCCCATTCCAGTCATGAAGAAGAGAGCCGCGCCACCAATTTTTTGTGAAGCATCGAGTAATTATTGAAGAATGAGTATGCTTCAATTGGCCTATGAACTCGATTGTATTAGGAATATGCCTTGATTACCTTGAATAATGACGATCAGGGGCCATTTTCTTTTGTTGGCACCTCTATATTCCACCCAGTGCCAAGGCTGGCAGGAAAATAACACAAGCTGATTCGCCGATAGTGTCAAATTAAACTTTCCTAGTGTCCAGAGGCCGGAATTCAGCCGGCCTCCGAGAGTAGCCGGCCATTTGCAAGGTGCTTCAATGTCGGCCCGATTTGATACTCCACACTCAAACTGTGCGACAGCAAACCTCTTTCATTTGGATTTATCTCGGCTTCTGGACCATATGTGATTATGTGTCTTTCCACCGTTTTATGTTGGATTGTAATATGTCTTCTATTTTCTCGCATATATACCAGAAAATGTGCCACAACGCTTAACGTACTCTTTCCCTTCTAGTGCTCACCCCCTCGCCACTTTTGCTTTCTAGATATCTTCAAGGGCTATGAACCCGACCCGGCCGACCATGCTATCCGGCTGGGTTTCGGGCCTAATCCTTAGGCCTAGTGTTACGCGCTGCTAACTTGTTAACTTAAAATGTGCGTTATCGTAGCGTACCTCTCTCCTAAGCTCCGACGATCTATCTCGCAATCGTACCGTTGCCTGCTCTGGCCTTACACGGGCTCGGATCTTTAGAGTAGACCGAAGACGTATGCAGTTGAAGGGCGCCTAGTTAGTCGACGAAGTAGTTATATGGTAACTACTAAGTGCTCCTCCTAGCTGTGGGTGTATCCTTATATTGTACTGTGATAAGATCAAGTAACTAAAGATAGTCGATTGGTAGGCCTCAAGTAACAATGAGTAAATCAACGCAAAGAACAAAATACAGGTGGGTGAACGAGTGTCCTTATATATCCAGTCCTTCCTATCTCAGGATATGCTCGGAGTCTACCCCAGGCTATGTCCCGATCATATCCATCGCTATGATATCCTACCCTTGGCTATGATATCACGTGATCTCAGGTGTTACTGCCTGAGTCCCCCTGGCTCTTGTCGTTCGACAAGGTTCCTGTCACCGCCTTGTTGCAGAACCGATTGGTTCAGGCGTAGCCATATTTGGCACCCTAGCAGTGTCGGTCTTCCAAAATAAGTGGCTTGCGAAGATTGACAGAACGGCTTTGCTCATGTCTGCATGCTGGAGCCTTGGCTTTTGGGTGTGAATTAGATCCAAAAGAGTGGATGCTATTTTATCATTTCAGTGTTTGAACCACTGAGCTTGTTCTATTTAAAGTCTAGTGAATCGGCTTATTCTGACCTTCTCCTTAACGACACACATTGCGGACTGTATCAAGACCACGTGGCTCGTTATTCTTAAAATGTGCTTAAAGCGGACCCGAAATATATTCAAGCTTCGACAGACTTTGGTAAGTCTTGATACCTTATATTTTGCAGTATTCAAGTTATAATTATTATTATAAGTCATGAATCACCTTTACTGATATAAGGTTAGGCGACATGAGCTACGCACTCCCCGCACTCCAGGTAATATTTTGTATCCTAGTTAAGGAAAAAGGGTTGTTACTTATCATTAGTCTTTTACTGAAGCTGCAGGGAGTGAGTCGCTTTCTAAATATGTCTTATAGCTGGAAATGCCTAGCTCTATCTGCATAGGATCTCTTATCAGACGATAGCAAGTATAAGGCTACAGTGGCAGACTAGATTAGTGCAAGAAGCGAGTAAATATTATTTATTTAGGAATCTATTTGAATCAATCTAAAGAGAATTTCGGTGTTCTCTAACCAGAAATTGCCCTCTGATTATGCATCAACCAAAGAATGTCTGCTGCCCACTTGCATGTATTCCACCTCGTGCCTAAGTCTTTCAATAGATCATATACCCAGTCTCGGTGAATTCTGTGTTTTATCTCCAGGCCGGCAATGAGTAGAAACCAAGCAAATCCCAAAGTGGCATCAGAGGGATACCGCTCGTGGATAGTATAGCAAATGCCAAAAAGATCCGACAGAGCCTGATCGTGACCATCTATGGGAACAACACGATACCGAAAGAGACGGCAAATAAGAAGGATCACCCACCATAATACTAATCTGCCGGCGTGTGGCCTTTAAGTACGGCTGACCGGACGGGGAGCCCTGATTTCCACACCCTATGGTCGTATGTATTTTTATTAACAGAAAAAGGTAGTATATAGTCAAACCGAAAATTTATGATGGAAGTTGAGAAGAATCTACAGCATACCTGCTGAGAGCCAACCGTGGATCCGCTAGTCTCTGCCTCTAATCCCTTTCAACCACCCAACATGGGCATCTTCGATCATATACTACTGTGATCCCTGCTTATGAGCATACGGCAATGGAGTGTCACTAACTCGATCCCTTTATAGTAGTAAATGCATTTCCAGACGAACCAAGGAGCACAACTACTAAAGCCGAGCCCCGCTTCCTCGACTTTGCTCTCCAGCCCATCTCATTACTGTATCCACCAGAATCTTGATTTCCTCCGGTGTATTATGAACATGAATGACTACTCGCACGCGCTCTGCTGACCTGGAGACCACTGGATGCTGCAAGGAAACAGTACTGAGTCCTTTCTTTTTCAAAAACTCGGCCAGTTCAACACACCGACCCGGCCTTGGAATAAGTGGAATAATAGGAGCGATAAATGGAGTATTGTACCAGTCACCTGTGTTGAGAAGTCGTAGATGGCCAGACTCAGAGACATTTTGCCACTGTTCATGTCTATGGAAGATGTCATAGAAACACCGTATGTTTTCCTGGAGGCGGTCTCTTCTCTGTAAAGGTGACACGGGATTAGCGTTTGATAGTAATATCCCTTGCAACCATAGGTATAGACTCACCTGTTGGCCGTCTTTACTAGCAAGAATCTTGTACGCTGATCTGACAGTTGCTAGGTTTAGAAATGGTGGAGCAGTCGTGTAAATGAAATTTCTCGCGTAGTTAATAAGCATTTCTTTCACGAGGGGATTGCAGAGAACAATTGCTAGAAGACATATCAATGTTAACTCTGAATCTAGAAACATAAAGCACTATTTTCTCGGAGAGAGAGTTAAAGCTATAGAATTTGGGTAGGAAATACCGATGGAAGCTCACATACGTACCTCCAACTGAGCCTAGCGCTTTTCCACATGTGTGGAGTCGTAAAGCAAAATGTTGCTCAAGACCTAAGGCAGATATGTATCCCGCGCCATTTGGTCCAACTAATCCGTTCGAATGAGCCTCGTCGATAGTGAAGAGAAAATTCCCATGAGTCAAAGATTTTTGAACCACTTGAATAAACTCGTGCGCGGGAGCCATATCTCCATCCAAGCTGTAAAAAGATTCGAGAGCAATGAATACTGTTCGCGTGCCATTCTGAATCATAGAGGACACGGTCTTTATCGCCTCAAGAAGCTCAGATAAAGAGGCAGGATCATTATGCGCAAATGATCTCACGATCGATGCTCTGGATTGTTTGATTCCATCATGGACACTGGCATGGACCAAAGAATCGTAAATAATCGCATCGCCGATCTGAGGCAGAGTACTGAAAATGGCAACATTGGCGGCGTAGCCTGAGTTGAAGAACAATGCATCCTCCGCGTTATGAAACTGCGCCAGATCTCTCTCTAACTCAACCATGTAATTGGTTGATCCACCATTGAGTCGGCACGCACCAGAACCAATCAAAGAGTCGGGATTTCTTTCAAGCTCTTTGAGCAGCTCTGTTCGCAATGCACCGGAGGTGAGAAGGGAGAGGCTGTCATTGGAATTGAAATCAATACAATTTATCTGCTGATTTGCCAAAGGTAGACCCCAATACTGTCCTTCGTGGCGACGCTTCTCGAGAGCAGCTCGTAGACCCTGTTCAAAAGGGGAAGGTAGAGTCATTCTCGGTGAGGTGGGGTTCCAAGCTGTGATTTCGTACAAGTGGTAGGTATTTGGAACCCAAAATATCTTATATTAAGAGTTGATTGAGGACCTGAACAAAATTGTGGGATGATGTGTGATGTAAGCTGGTCTTAAAGTACTGCTTGGTCGGAACTGCTTTAGTAGCCAAAGCACACTCTATTCATGCTGATAAATAGAGTCGGATCAACAGTTTAAACTGCCTTTATGGGCATACAGGTGAAGGGGCGCATAGTTACACCGACTGTTCCTAGCCGACTTGAGGTTGTCAATATTGAAACCAATTGGTCTCAAAGCCACTTTATTCTTACACATTACAATACCAAGGGCCCAAACCAGTAAGATCCCTAAATTATGATGTAGACATGGCCAGTAAAGTCCGTTAGACCCACCGCCACTAAGTCCACCTGTAAATCCAAAGCAAGGAGACTTCCTAAGAGCTATAGGTAAGAAATTTACTTTTGGAATAAAATAAAACATGAGATATTCGTCATTGTTGCAGCAATCCCTTACTTTCATCAGCATACACAGTATTTGCAGAGGAACTCAATCTTATATAAAGGTGGCTATCATCGATTCTAAGTTATATCATTGGTGAATCTTACATTACATATTCATGGCCATTCTCGTAGCTGAAGTGACATGCAGAAGCTAGGTTTAGGTTAGAAGGATTCGTTTCTCGGGTGTCAACACAACTTAGATTATACAACGCAGATACCGAATGTTAGTCTGCTTGACGTTGAGTCCATCAATAAGTTTGAAACCCCATCAATTTTCCACCGCTAGAAGGGCATATGTTGAGTTCTCAAAAGCAGCCAGTAAGGGGTATCCCGCCTAAGATCATATCAGAACTTGCATTTCAATTGCTTGGAATCGGATGTGGATACTTCAGATTATATATGCATTGTTTAACAGGATTAGTATGCACAAGATACTTATTTCTGCTAGTATTGTTGGTAAATCATGACCGGGCATATCTGTTCATTTGTGACTAACTTCCGCCACATCTGATGGCTTAAATATAGAGTGCAAATATTCCAGAAGATTCAAGATCAACAGGCAACAGAAAATCTACTCATTCTAGAAATATGTGGGAACTGATTTCCATTATCTTCATCCCGAACCTATGATCTAACTGAGTTAGGCCTACTACGCGGTTTCTGCAAGCGCCGGGAAGTTGGCTTGTGAGAGAACTTCACATAACTTGGGCACTGTTGAAAGATAATGCCACCGCACACTTAGGAAACGCTGTTGTGTGTCTCACTGCTCGACTCATGACCTCTCCACGGGCCCCAATACAATATCTGGAGATTATCCCGCCGTTTGCTCTCGCTACAATCGTATTTGCTTATGTCTTCGACATTGCCAATCAAATCACATCAATAGAAGAAGATGCCATCAATAAGCCCTTACGACCAATCCCCACTGGGCTCCTCACCAAAGGCGAAGCATCCCGACGCTGGGTTCTCAGTTGGTCTCTGTCCGCTGTTGTGGTTTTATGTATTTCAGGATGCGACGCAGCTGTGTATTTGGTCATCTGGCAGATCTGGGTGGCACTGCATTATGTCTGGCCCAGATGCAATCACTGGTTTATGCGCAACGCTTTCACTGCCGTGGGAGTAACAATTCAACTGAAGCTGCTCGATGCCGTAATAACCCATGCAGTCCCGACAGTTCAAAAGGCTGCCCACCTCGATATCTTGCTATTTATATGGTTTGCTTTTACCATACATATTCAGGAATTTCATGACGTGGAAGGTGACCGCCAACAAAAGCGACAAACATTGCCGTTGATTTTAACGCCGAAGGCAGTAGACCTTCTGCGGGCAGGCACGGCACTTTTCATCATCACCGAAGCATGCGTGGGTCTCCTTGTGAGAATTTCGCTTCTTCTTCCTGCTCCCTCCTTGTTGAGAATTTCTATAGGAGTCGTCCACTTGGTCTTTGCAACGATACTAGCCACGCGCTTGGTGCTAAGCTCCTCGAAAGAGATGGATCATATTACCTACCATTATTACTACTTTTCAGCAACATATACTATGGTTTTCTTTCATGCGCAAACGGTTCAAGTGAATGAGTCTGTTTTCTGACTGAAATTCCAGTTTCCTTTTTTTATTTTTTGGCAGGAAATTGTTTATCAACAATCGCATCAAAACAATTCAATCATCTTTCGCGATCTTCCAATTACTCGTACTACTAAGCACCCATTTCTAGGAACTACATTTTGGCATCCGAAATGGCAGCTATCTTAGGTTCCTCATTTAAGTTTCAGCCCCTGTTATATTTTAAATGCTTTCCACCTAGAATCAAGAGCAAGCATGGCATGTTTCAACAAAGGTTGATTATGACACAAAGCGTATGACCATGCGTCCTTCTGATACTTTCCCTTGCTTCATCAAAGACACCATCTCATTTATGTCTTCCAACTTAAAGGTCCTATGGTTGATATGAGGAGTTATGCCCCTTCGGAGGGAGAAGTTGACACAACGTTGAACTCCAGCTTGGCCAGGAATTCTCGAACCAATTATGCTGAAAAATCATTAGTATACGCACTAGCTTTTCAGTTCTTTTAATTTATAAAAGATGATTCACCTGTTACACCTCGCGGTAATTTGCATGGCAGGAATTGGAATAGGATCTTTAGGGAGCCCAACAGCAATGATTCTCCCCAATGGTGCAATGCAATAAAATGCAGTTTGATAGGCAATGGCAGCTCCGGTTGTAACAAGGATCACATCAGCTCCATGCCCACCGTTCAGCTTTTTAAATTGAACCTGGGTTTCTTTGAAGCCAAGATCCTTGATATTTAGCGTCTTGTCGACCGCATTTGGCCCTTCGACGGCTCTCAACTGCTCATCATGCAAATCAAGAGCAATTACTTTGGCTCCCAGGGCAGACGCGTACTGCACTGCCAACTGGCCAAGACCGCCCGCGCCAATGACGGCCAGGCTTTCTCCCGGTGCTAACTTTGCACGCTCTATAGCATCCCATACAGTAATCCCAGCACAGAATATTGGCGACAATCGAGCTATCTTGTCTCCCACCTTCTCATTGTCTTTGTATAAGTCATCGTCCGGAACGACCACAGCACTAGCAGCATCCATCGTGCAGTATTCCGCAAAAAATCCCGGGGAAAATATCCCTTGGATTTTCATCCTAGAACAGAACTCAGGGCCAATCCATCTACATTCATAGCACTCAAGGCACATTTGATGGTAAGGAGCAGTACCCACGAGGTGGCCGACTTTGAAACCGAAAGCGTCCGCCTCAAGTCCTAGCTCTTGAACAATGCCAACTGCTTCATGACCTATGATGAGCGGGAATTGTTCACGTCCATAATCTCCGTTCAGCACACCGATATCGGTATCACAGAGGGAGGCTGCAAGAACTTTGACGAGGAGTTGTCGCGGCCCCACTGTGGGCATGGCGACTTCCTCGATCATGACTGGTTGCTTGGCCTAGAACGAGGTTAGTGAATGGTCAGTCTAACTTGTACTTTGAAAATAAAATACCTTACTTACTTCTCGGCAAACAGCAGCCCTCATTGTTTTTGTAGTCATGATCAGAAATATGGATAGGCCGTGCGCGGGAGCCCAGGATATATATCATTGATCATGAATGTTATAAGTCTGAGATCGTTGATTCCCCCCACCCTTTTTTTGTTTCTGGCACCAGGGACACGGCTAGAGTATGAAGTTGCTCGAACTAGACAATGCGGTGTAGCATCTATTCAGATAATACGAAATTCATGAGATTAATCACTTTGGGAGGATTGATTATGCTCCTCCGTAAAGAATATATAAATGTCGATTCATGCAAGGAGTTTCTCATTTTCTCCTTGCATTAAACATTTCTGCATATTTAAAGTTCTCGGCAGGATCGAGTATGTTGTGACACCAGAATTTCCTTGCTAATAACTGGAAAGTTGACAAAATGGACTGCACCAGGCGAGGAGGTTTTTCTTGAATCTAGCCTTTCAACAATTATTAGGAAACCGATTTTACATCCAGCAACAAATCGGATGTGCATTGCCGACTCTATCCTGTCATTGAGTTCAACTGGATTTTTTCAACTATCGTGATTTGCGCTCACCAGTCTTTTCCTCTTTCTAGTCGCACTAGAAAGGTGAGATTGGTTGAGATTCGTATTTGTCTTCCAAAATTCTGAACGCTGATCATTGTTTTACTCCGATAGCCTTTGTTGATGAGACTCAACATAGCTGACACCTACTTTATCCTTTCTCAATCCCCGCGTTGCAATAAAAAAAGGTCATGGAGAAAGACAGGGACAGCAAGATTCCATACCGGCAGCTTATTTTCGATCAAGGAGTGGTCACTGAGGAGATTGTCAACCACCAATATAGAGGTACAGGAACAATTGAAGACCCATATCTTGTGAACTGGATTGCAAACGATCCTCGGAATCCTAAAGAGTTTTCTGCCTTTTCTAGATGGGCATACACTGCGTTGATGGCTTTGGCCACGCTTGAAGTGTCATTAGCCTCGTCGGCTTATACTGGAGGAGAGCTCGAGGTTATGAAAGAGTTCCAAATCAGTTCTGAGGTTGCAAATCTGGGAGTTTCTGTGTTCTTGCTTGGTTTCGCAATTGGACCTCTATTCTGGGCACCTATGAGTGAGCTTTATGGACGACAAATATTGTTTTTCGTGAGCTTTTCCGGCTTCACTATTTTAAGCGCGGCAATACCAGGGTCAAAAAATCCTTGGTCATTGATCATCCTTCGATTTCTCGCCGCCTGTTTTGGATCATCGCTACTTACCAATGCCGGTGATTTTATACCTCACAAATTGTGTTCGTTTATTTTCCCCTTTCTATGGCTAATTAGCATAATAGGCGGTGTTATTGCAGATATGTTTTCAGCGACAGAGAGATGCTTGGCAATGAGTTTGTTTGCTAATGCAGCATTTTGTGGTCCTGTGCTTGGTCCAATAATTGGTGGTTTCTGTAAGTATATTGGCTTCCACCGAGATATCTCGAGTCTTGAAATTTGAACTGATCGTCCTTCAGTGGGGATGAATGCCGGTTGGAGATGGGTTATGGGTCTCCTGGCTGCTGTCTCTGGTGTCCTCTTCATCACCTGCTGTTTACTTGTGCCAGAAACATATATGCCTATTCTTCTCCAACGGAGGGCCAGAAGGCTTTCGAAAATCTCCGGCAAAGTATACAGAAGTGAGTTTGAGGTACAACAAGGTAAAATAAGTGCAAAAATCGCATTTAAAACCGTATTATGTCGGCCATTTATTTTGCTGCTGTGTGAGCCGATCGTGTTGCTTTTGTCCATCTATATTGCCACTATCTACGGAACATTGTACATGATGTTTGGTGCCTTCCAGATCGTTTTCCAAGATGAGCGTCAATGGAACCAGGGATTGTCCGGCCTGGCATTGCTGGGACTCTTAGTTGGTGTACTCTGTGCTCTCGGATTCACCATCTTTGACAATAAACGCTATACCAAGATACAGGAGATGCACAATGGTTTTGCGCCACCGGAGGCGAGACTTCTACCCTGTCTAATTGGCGCTATAGTACTGCCTATCAGTCTTTTCGCGTTTGCCTGGACTACCTTTCAATCCATTCATTGGATTGTCGGTATTATTGCCATAGCTCCCTTTGGGTTTGGGATGGTCATCTTGTACCTGTCAATCACCAATTATCTGATTGATTCTTACACAATATTTGCAGCTTCCGCACTGGCAGCCAATTCAATCCTTCGATCTTTTATCGGCGCAGCCTTTCCATTGTTCACCGTCACCATGTACGATAACCTGGGAGTTCATTGGGCATCTAGCGTACCAGCTTTCTTAGCATTGGCGTGCGCTCCCTTTCCATTTTTGATTTCCAAGTACGGTCAAAGTATCCGAAAAAAGTGCAAACATGCAGCCGACTCGGAAGCATTGATACGAAAGTTTCCAGAGCAGACACCTCTACAAATTTCCCACGCCAACGAGAGTACTTGAACGGTTATCATGGCAAGAAAAACTTGGATCTGCTTACTACAAGAACAACCTTTCTGTACCTATTATTATTACTTTTTCGAGTTTTTTTCTTTGAATCTACAGTATGAGATACTGAAAGCATGTACTTTATTGCAGGTATTAGGAATTTAATGATTCATTGAATATCATGCATGTTACATAAAGTACGCATCTGCCTGAGGTCAGCATTTATTTATTTATCATAGTGAAATAAGAGAAAAGAAACAAGGATAGCTTATGCTGTATGAAGACCGCTGGATATACTGGTGCATTCCCGTTATCCATGGCGGGTGTCCCGGGAGTAACGCCCTATATATATCATAACATTCGCCTATTCACCTGTATCGTTCTCGAGTAATTGCGCCGGTGCGCTTGATGTCCCGAGGTCAAGGCTGGGTATCAGCGTCATGTATGCTTGTTACTATCTGCTGGGCTTATCGTAAGAAACCCTCGCTTATCTGGTCTCTTACCTTAACGGTGGAAGGGCAATTCAAGCTTAATGAGGACGTATGGGGCCCGAGGTGGTGTTTCATTACCAGAACTTTATTATGGGTACTATAAAGTCAGATTTTAGTGGTCATTATTAGTTAAGAGTCTCCACATAAGATGCTAGTATTCTAACTCGAATTTCTCTTTACCTAGGAGAAAAGAAAGAGCATGGTGATATCGGCGGAGTAATTCTTGATAAAGAAAATAATTAAAAAACAAAAACATACAACAGTCAGAATTGGCTGGTGATCCCCCATCCAACCAATAACTCACCGGCGTGTGGCTTCAGTACGGCTAAGCGGACGGGAAGCCTTGTTCTCAACAGCCTATGGTCAGATGAACTCGATGCTCCTAAAAAATAACTTATATTCTGTAAGCTAGTCCTGTATTCAAAATAGCGTATAAAGCTAGGTTGGACGAGAAAGGTGACTGGACAGTCATAGCATAGAGAGTAAGAGTAATTCGGAGGGTGAATCGATTCGTAGCTCACGCAACGGGTATTCGACGAGTTAATAGGAACTGGAACATAGCAAGGCAAGCACTGGCGTGTTTCGGATATAGGAGTGAAGAAAGAAACTAGAAAGCTGAACGTAAAGGGAGCAGTGCTTCCGGTGAGAATCTTGTCCTCATCGAGCTGTGCCATTCTTTAGGTCTAGGATCGCGACAGAGAGAGTCGATCCTTGCACTTAGTAATCGGTGAGACAGAAAGCGGGGCAGATCGGGACCTGTTTCCTTCTTACGGAGACGCCTTTCACTGCGATGGAACGTTCTATTGGGAAGACCGGCATAGTCGAAGGTGGACGTGGGGCCTAAGTGGGTGTTCTCTTTGTTTTGTGCCTAATTTATTCAAGATTTCATATTGTTCTCATGATGTATGGATTTGAATCTTGCGCCCTGTGCTCGATCCTTAGTCACCAGTCATACTGGCCTAATCCTTTTGTAGAACATTGAAACAAAATAAAAATTGCGTTGCCTTGATTTCAATGATATATATGGATAGCTTCTGGCTATAATAGACTTTTGCTAAGTCTTCAATCCATGTCTGTCCTGAGCATATCGGCGCAGGCACATTTCATCTTCAACAGCCTCGTTGCACTGGTTGTATTGACGGTCATTCAAATGTGAGTCTCTAAAATAACGCAGAAGATGCTTTTGGCGAGAGTAGTGTTTCATTCCGTAGCATTGAAAAAATTCAAATTGTTTGGTATTTTCTCTCGTTGGAGCTTCTGCGCTCGATGTTCTTTCCTCTGTTGACAAAGAGAGCGCTCCGGTGACATTGCGGAACGAAATATTGCGCATAATTGTCCGATTCCTCGTGAAAGTCGCTTGTTTCGTATATTGTCGACCTCGGCGTGGACCCCCTTCGAGAATATCGCAATATATCCGAACAGCCTCAACAGCCTCGTTTCGACGAGTCCACTCTACCTTTATAGATAGAGTCGTCGGCTAGGTTGTTAATTTTTCTAGCAGAAATATTTGCTTCGGGAGCATATATTCTTCCGTAAGAAGTATCTCTTTTGTTTCTTGTTTATAGATTGCACTTCCAGCGAGTTACCTTTCGATATTAATAACAGCCTATTAGCTATCAAATTCTTCCCGCACACGCTTCCGAAGGTCGTAAAGTAGTCTATTACGCGTATTTATAATATTCTTTTTCAACTAGTTAAGCCTTTAGAGCTAAGTTGCACTCTTTTTCTTGCTTCGCTGAAGCTTTTCGGAAAATATATCTCGTTTTTCAATTACTTCCTTAAGCTCGGAAACTTCCTCGACGCTTGCCTTTTGGTTATCGGTTAGCTCACGAGGCCTCCGCGTATCTATCTACCTGCCTATCCTAGTAACCGCACGCATTATCGCAGAATCAGGCTCTAAGCCCCGTATTAAAGACTGCATATCCGTGCTAATACGCCGCGGTAGGTAGTGATTAAGGAAAGTCCGAATATCGATATATTTCATAATCAAGTTCTATTATACGTCACTAACAAGCCCTACGAAAGTTAGTCTCTAAACATTAATCCTCTGCTAACCTTTATCCTAAATATCAGGTATAAGAAAACGTACTACTTTCGTTCAAGATAGTGCCGCCGCCGTATCTAAAGCGATACGTGAATAGACACTATTTAAAGCTAGTAATTTCCCCGAACGTTTGAAATTAGCTGGATAGTGAAATTTTCGAGATAGGTTGATCACGATAGTATTTTATTAGGCCTTTAATTCCTTCAACTTTGTAGAACATATAATTCTCAGACTTTTCAGGCTTTAGTAGTATCTCTATCTACTACCGATCACCCTCCAAAAATAGACGCCTTAGGTCGCCTATAGAGCGGATCCTAGGAGCGCGGAAGGCGTTAGCTATTAAAATAGCTACTAAATTAGCCCCTAAAACCTGAAATAATAAACTCTAGTAGTTTCGAGGGTATCAAATATTTTCTAGAAAATTGCCACTTAATAGATAAGCGAAGGGTAAAAAATCCGATTGCTTAAGGCTATTCAGACGAACGATCAGATATCCTTGAAATAGACTCAGGATCAGAACGCGTAGAAAAAGTTGACAATCAAAGGAAAATTTTGTAACAGAGCCGTCGAAGAGAGTCACCGTAGTCCTCTGCTCGCAGCAGAAAAGACAGTCTTGAGAAATGGCGATCTTTGATATTTCTTAACAATTGGCGGCAATGTATGTATTGAAAATAGCAGCAGCCCTCCGATGAACGCCCGAGACTAATTTAGCGATTCCCCAAACATTTGTTAAGCCGTAATAGCTTTGCGGTAGAGAAGTTTAATGTCTTTCAACGATCGGCTTCAACGACTTCTAACATCAATTCTCTCAGATTCTTCCATTTGCCACTCTGTCCAACATTGCCTGGGATTGGTTCTGCAACTTTCCAACGGTTCTTAGATTGTTTCTTCCATTTCTCTAGACAATGTGGTAGCCTTATTTTCTTCAGCTCCCTTGAACGATCCTGTAAATCATATTCGGCAACGACTTTGGGACTAACCTGACCCCTCCGCCTACTTTCTATCAAAATTAACAACTCTCTAACACTATGGCTGCTCACGAGCTCCTAAACCTACATATCGTAATACCTGCCTGGCCCTCTCTGCCTTTTAGATGGGAATTCCTATCCCTCTACTCCCATCCTCTGACGTATTCGAAATGCTACAGTATCACTGGCGTATCACTGGCCCCTAGGAGCTAGGATGTATCTTCTAGGAAGGAAACATGAATTCTGGGTGGATCACCCTGACGTCTTCTTGTTCCTAGGAGCTACTTTTTTACCCCAGGAATATGATGCCGCCTGATTCACAGAGGCCACACAAAGGATTTTGGAGATTGCATGGGTTTTCCTAGATATCTCAAGTCAAACTGGGAACATCCTAGGAGCAAATTTTTCCAGGTTTCATTTCTGACTTTCAATATCATAGGAAACAAAAGGTATAAAAACTAAGAAAAGTCCAGTATTCCCGTAACACTTGATCCTTGTATCCTAATGGTTTAACGACTTGGCTGATACATAGTCCCAACAAACCTCAACGGTACTGATCACTCACGCTACTGCCACATGACCAATGCTGACTAGCTTCCACTCTAGCTGTCATGGCTTATTGAGATGAGGAGAACCTGGACGAACCCGGTCCTCCCTGCGAGAATGAAGACGCGGACACGATCCAGATGGACTCACCTCAATTCTGGAAGATCGTGAAAAATTTCGATCTACCGGTTGTTCCAGATAATGTAAGGCTTTCGGAATCAACGAATCCATCAACTTTTATCAAATATCCAGCATGTCAAGATTTCGATATTACCCGCATTTTTCAAGGTCCAGAGCCAAACCCCAGACAAAGCGAGAATGGTTTCGACAGTTCTTCAGTAATTGTCTAATCTGACTGCCTCACCTACGAAGATTTCCAATCCCTCCGAGATCCGCATAAGATGCAATACTTTGATAAATTGACAGCCGCTTCAACTAGCTGGACGGCTTTTGAAAAATCATGTCCTCGGCTTGACAAGTTCGTGTTTCAGCATTATGACAACAATAACTATCTCTTTTGTGATGGGTTTGGACTCTCCCTACAAGATAATGTCAAACAGAGATGGAGCTTAAGAGAGGTTTGTCGTCTGATTCGGTACCGAGACGTGAATATGAAAAAAGGGGCAGTCTGGTTCGCTGGTACGATGATTACCTGCGATGGAATTCTGCCAGCATGCGATTTGAACTGAAGCCTTAACATATCGCCTTGCTTCCTATAGAAGATCTGGATTCCGAATTGGAGCTCCGTGGATTTCTATATCATATATCTTCTTCCCTTCTTTTGTACCGCCTCACTCTCCTCACGGGGGAGATTGGGGAGGTCACAGGCAGTCAGACTGGATGCCCTTGGGACATTACCGATGGGTACAAGATTTCTTGGAATATACCACTTCGCCACATGGACAGCGTTATTACCCTCAGTTTCTATGACTATAAGGGCCAAGCTAGGGCGCTCTTCTCTGGTTCGGAGGAGGCCCAAAATGATGCTGTGAAATTGATCAATCTTTTGACCAGTTTCAGTTTCCCTCATACCTACGATGGTATTATGGCATGGAGAGTAGCTTGAATGCTGGAATCTCTCAATCCCGGAATTTTATGAAGCGGGTGTACTATTCAAAAAAAAAACCCGTTCCTGACCTTACAAGAAGCAAGGGAGAATTTAGGTACTGCAGACCTTTACAGGGTGTGTGTGTGTGTGATATCATTTACACTGACCCCTCGCCAAAAGTTGGATCCCAGGCTACATGAGGTATAGATACAGTGGCAGCCTGATAGGCTGCCACCATCCCCCTAGGCAGAAGGCAACTACAAATAGCTGCACCTACATGCATAGAAATATTTATCACACTTGTACCTCAATCCAGTGTCTCAACTTTTGGCGAGGGGTCAGTGTAAATGATATCACACACACACACACGCGCTCGCGCCTGTATGTTTCCGTGGAGCATGATCCTTACCTTCGAGGTTGTTCGAGCAGCAGGACGAGACTTCAAGGCTTTCATTACCCTGAAGGGCCTCCGGTACAAGCCAGACATCCCAATTAATAGGATCTTCACCTCCCCATTGAGAACTCAAATCATCCGTGCAGAGACGCAGCATTATAGCGGCTGCAAATGAGTAAAAAGACAACAATAAAGTAAAAGTTTCGCAAGATACAATGCTCGCAAACCTTTCAGAAGAAACAGCGAAGAAGGAAGAAGCAGGAATCCAAATTTTGAAACGAGAGACTCATACACATGCTATTGCTCAATCGCCCTGAACAAATGATCCCCAATTGGGTTAGAACTGCTATCCTTTCTGTAGCGATACCATTCTGGGCGCCCATCAACGTACGTTCATCTACTAGAGGGTGCGTTGATCCAAAAGTACGACCAGGAAAATCCATTGTTGAACAGCGATGACGAAGTTTTTAAACAATCACTTGACATGAGCTGCGTGTATGTCATCTAGCTGTACAGTAACAAACCATCACAGTCTTCGGAATTCAACGGCGTTTGTGAAGCAGACTTAGACTCAATAACCAAACTGTCCTATGGCAGATACAGTTATCCCTAAGAATTTGACAATGTACAAATTGACCTTCTCTAATCGATTAAGGAGATGAATGAACTCTGGAGTCCCTAGCATCGCTCTCATAAACTGACAGGGATCATCATTACATATCTACTGGAGTTTGTTTGGCAAGATACAACGTCGAGAAATAATAATATCCTCAGATTCTATTCTCGCCTCTGCCTCGGAGAGGATCGGAAAGTCTCGGGTCTGAAGGCTTCGATATTGCTCCCACAACTTCCTGATCTTCAGCATTTTGCACATTATTCTAGCGGGTCAATAATCACATGCATGGCTGTGGTGAATTTAACTTGTCTCGGAGTCAAACCAAACGGCCTTCAGGCAGCGTTCAGCAGCTTTCAATTGAGGGCAATAACATGAGTAATTCGTCCCGATGAATTCTGCACCAATGATATCCTTAGACCGATATGGCGCCCACGAAGATAGGGAATAGGCAATTGATCCGTCCTCGACAATCTGGATCTTGCGGACTCCATTCATATTTGGTTTCATTTAATACATGGTCGAGCACTAAACCAGACATATTGGATAACTAGAAATAGAAATTGTGGTGTTTTATGCTCTACCCTTGGCCGCTGTTTGCAGTCCTGGAACCTTAGTCCTCTCAACGTGATATTTATCCTGATCTGATAACCCTGTTAACATCCAATGCAGGCTTAGGTGTGTCCCGAAGCTGTCACCAAGCTGATCCTAGATGGGGCTCAGCAATCAGGGAGTGCCGCAAGAGATTTCCCAAAATCACTGCTGATCTAGCACCCATTAACAAGATAGCTGACTACCTTTTGATCTGTTAGCAGGCTTTGAATCTTCCATATCAACCATGTTATTTCCTACAGGGATCCAGCGCGGAGCTTAGAAGCTATTTGACAGAGAGCGGCATGGAAGCTTAATAACTTAATGGTATGAACTTTGCGCCTACGATCACGGTTTGACTCGTACTTGCACTGGCAAGCTTCGGCCACGCATCTGGCGCATGGGGTCATTCCAGAGTACTATATTACATATATAGGTTAGCACTTTCTTCAAATATAGGAGCATGTTCCTGACCTTTCTCTACTTTCTCTGACATCTAGTGTAAGCAAGAGAGACGTTTCGTCGCTTGGTTGTCAATAAGCCTTCCTCAAGACATTGCACGTTGCTTCCAGATTTCGCAGGCAGAAGCTTGCGTCAAGTCCCGTTCTTCGGTATAGCGGGTCTAGATAAAAGGTGGACAGAGACCTAGTAACGACCTTTAGAGTAAGACGTTCGGTTGTAAGAGTAGAGGACCTAAGGGAATCTGTGAGAAGCTCAAAAATGCATGTGACTAGGCTAGGCTTTTCAAAAATTCTATTTATATTCGCAGTTCTCTTTATCTGCTAGACCTTTAAATATCGCCTATAGCAAACAAGAACCTACCTAAGGGTGTCCACTTTCGATGCTATCTCTTGGAAACAGACTCCATACTCTATACGTAGTTCATGACAATATTGAAAGAGGCTTTTATTCAGCATCATAGCCAATATTTCTTTTCACGCCTAGTACTTCATATTGATAAGAACGGTCTTAGGCTCTGTATATGCATGTAAAGCATATACGCCTAGCTCGCGACCAATACCACTCTCTTTAGTTCCACCGAATGGACATGAAAAATGAATGGTACTGACACAGTTGACCCCCACGACACCTGAATCGAAAGATTCACTTAGTCGGAGAGCCCGATTGATGTCTTGAGTGAAAACTCCAGCCATTAGCCCGTACCGAGAGTCATTTGAAAGTGCAACCACTTCATCCTCGGTCTTGAACCGGTTTAACACAACAACTGGACCAAATATCTCCTCTCTTGTAACTGAAGCATATACATCGGTGTCCAAGAAGATCACAGGTTCGATATAGAATCCCTACAGAGTGTGAGCAAATATTTTGCTCGCAGGGGAAAACTCAACAAACCTTCGAATCCCTCTTCTCTCCGCCACAAAGAAGGGTTCCTTGATTTTCTCTTTTTGCGGTGTTGACTATTCTGAGTATGCGGTCGTACTGTGCCTGATCCACGACCGGTCCAATTTCCGAACTTGCTTTTTCAGGATCTCCCATCTTCTCTCCCTTTGCAGCAATTGCCTCTTTATATGCCGCTAAGAACTTGTCATAGATCCCGTCTTGAACGTATACTCGAGATGCAGCAAAGCAGATCTGCCCGGTGTTTGTGGTCAAAGCATTCACACACCTATCGTATTATATTAGCCGTGACCTATCAAGTGTGCCAAATATGGCTTACCATTGGACGGCGTTCTCGAGATTCGCGTCATCAAATACCACGGCTGGACTTTTGCCACCGAGCTCAAGAGTCACTCTCTTTAGATTGCTCTTTACAGCTAAAATCTGTACAGACTTGCCTGTTGCCACACTTCCGGTGAAGCTCACCTTGGACACTTTCATATGACTAGCGAGGATCGCACCCGTACTACCATCTCCTGTCAGAACTTGAAAGACACCAGGAGGAAAACCCGCCCTGATAGCCAGATGACCAAGTGCAGCCGCCGCCAATGGGGTCTTCTCACTTGGCTTCAGAATGAAAACATTTCCGGTTGCCAATGCAGGTGCAGCTTTGAGGCCGATAGATGCCAATGGGCCATTCCAGGGAATGATACTGTGCTCTAGTTAGTAAATTGGGAAAAGTACCATGCAGAAGGAATGCCATATTGAACTGTGGATTGATAGTTCCATACCCTGCAACAATACCTAGAGGTTCATGCCGAACGACCTTGTAAAAACCGTCAGTGGCTGGGAAGCTTTGACCAGCGAATTTTCCCACCCAACCAGCGTAATCTGTTTGACGAAAAGCGATTAGAAAAGAAAAAAAAAGGCAAGACTTTTTTAAATCAAATTAGATACACACATCTGAAACAGCCTATGGCGGTGTCAATCTCAGACTTTCCAAACGGGTTGTAGGGCGCCCCCAGGGTGACCCGAGTAAGAGAAGCCAATTGTTCTTGGTTGGCCTCAATAAGGTCCGCAAACTTAAGCAGAACCTTTTGGCGGTCAAAGTCGCTCATGAGCCGCCATTCAGACCTGGGGCTGAATGCAGCTTGAGCCGCTTCAGTGGCCCGATCGACATCGTCCTCCCCAGCAATGGGTATCTGATCACTAACCAGGGTTCCATCTGCTGGGTTATAGACTGATAACCTGATGACATGTTAATAATGAAGGAAGAGAGAACAGAACGGAAATGACATACTTTTTTTGTGTTCAAACAATCCACATACTATAGTTATAGACTGTCAATCCTTGTACTGTAACAATACTAACCTTGGCATAGAACCAACTTGCCTGATTGTTGATGAAGAGTTGAGTAAGGTGTGAATCTAGCTTCATAATTTCTTTAACTTGCGATCTTTGTTTTTCTGATTCTTTATTTTCTTGATTCAATCTTTCCTAGGACTACTTATCAATAGCTTTACACGCAGGCATTGGGAGATTTCCTGACTAGCTTGACATGACACAGTCCCAATAAGTTAAGGTTAAGATGACCCCGCACAGAGGTGGGTCTTCTCCATAATCACTGAGTCATGTTCACATGACTCAGAAATTTCCACAGAAATGCTTTGATCCTCTGACCACCACCTTTGGGTTTGCCGCTGATTTACCAATACTTCTGGATACTGAATAGTTTGCTGCTCCAAAGCCCCATGTCTGACGCTGAGCCCTCGAATACGGAGCGAATGACCGGGAGACGCATTGTTTCTAGCCTTTCTGCATCACAAATCCAACACAAACGGGAAGTTGATCGCAAGGCACAACGCGCTCTGCGGCAACGGACCAAGTTTCGTATTCAAGAATTGGAAAATGATCTTTCGCGTTTCAAGGAATCCGTTTCTGAGCGGGAGAAGACAATGATCGAAGAGATCCGGCAACTCAGACAGGAAAATCGACAACTGAAAGTCTCCCTACAGAGTATAGGACATTTTGCTCTAGACAACATTTCCGAGGATGTGGTAGTACATCCGACGGGATGCGGATCACTTGGAGATATCCAGGAAAGTCTCGACTTGCCAGCAAGTGGTAGCCCGAAGCCCCATGCAGCCCGTTCATCAGCACATTTAGCCCCCGGTCTCGCTATTCCAAACAGCGTCACATACCCCGGGAGCGAAGCACCGATCCCGGCGGCGCAAGCGCACGAATTACATCCTCCAATCCCACTTCCTATATCAGGTACATTTATCAGCCCCTTGCTCCCATTGCCGGCATCGAACACCTTCCTTCCTATTGTAAGCACATACCTAATAGGGTTTAGGTATTCTAAGTAACCTTTTTTCCGTCTTTGCAGATCATCACCGGGGAAATTCCGACAACTCCTCATGTTCTCCAGCCACCAGAATTCAGAATACGAACACTTGTCATTCAATAACCTCAGAATTCACCTTTGACAATGCAGGATTGATGGTTAATGCGCTGCCGAAGCACACGACCGGCACATGTCCATTAGATCATATCCTACTGGATTTTATTGCCTCCCACCAGGCCTTGGCTGCCAGAGGTGCACCCATATCCGAGGTCCTTGGACCAGGCCAAGCTTGCCCTCTGGATGTTTTAAGTCCAGGTAGCACTTCTAGCACACATGCAATAAGCCGTGTTATGGGAGAGACCCTAGCAACCTTTCCTCATGTAAAATTGCCGGAGAAGATGGCCTTTATGTATATAATGCATCGTACGACACGAGTAGGTCAACCCCCAATGTTGCACAGTGCCACTACGTGAACAACATCATGCTAATGTTATAGTGGCAAATATGGCCGAATAACGAGACCTACGCTGCTATACCGGTATGGCTCAGACCGACTGCAATGCAGATCCTTGTCCCGCATGCAGCTTGGATTGATAACATTCCTTGGTAAGTTTGTCACTCCCCATTAATGACTTTTCTAATATACGAAAAGGCCTCGGGTTCGCGATATTTTGATAGAGAAACCAGAACGGTATCCTTTCGTTCTCTTTTCCGAGCTTTACTCTCACCATGTCAGTGTTAATTGGTCCTATGACCCGGAGGACATAGTTCTCGAAACAGAAGAGGGGCTCGTATTAAACACTATTTTTGAAAAACATATACAAAGATTAAGTAACTGGACTGTCTCTCTTCAGTTCCGGGAATACTTTTCCGGATGGACATCTGATGTTTATGTGGATGGTTAGGAAGGAAACCTTTGCAAATGCAATGTTATGATGTGAAGAAGCAGGTGCTAATAGTGCCACTCATCATCTTGAAAAGTATCTACGAACTTCTGGTCACTGGGATTAAGCTGTAAAAGCAAATTCCTAGCGATATTTACTAGATAAGTACCACAAGATATCCCATGAGCCATCTTATGAGTCATTATGCTCGAGTCAGTACCGTGCGGGGGTTCCGCACAACAGATTCATGACTCAAGATACTATGTGGGATCTTGAACAGTAAATCTGATGCAATTATCCGGGGCCTCTGAATTCGAAAGGAGAACGCAAGCCAGTGTGGACTAGTGCGCACCTAGGTATTGAATCCTAGAATATTAAACTAGTCCCGATAGACACGTGCCACTTTGGTAATGGGTAACTCGGGTAGTCTTGGAACCCAATCCCAGGACCTTATAAATCTAGAAAGATTGAATATTCCAAATTGAAGCTCACGATTAACATTGGAACTTAGTCTGACTTAACTCACCCACAAAGAAAAGCAGTTAATAGGTCAGCTCATTCGAAAATGCAACTCACAATGAAAGCCGCCCAATTCAATACAGTATGTTGCCAAATCCTGCCAAGACCCCTGGGATAATTGCTGTAAAATAAGAGCTAACCAAGGCATTGGGAGAATAGCTCACCAACAAGGTTGAGGTCAATGAGATTCCTATTCCTGAACCAGGACCAAATGACATCCTCATCAAAAATGCCTGCGCGTCTCTGTGTCATTCTGATTTGGTATGGTCCTTGAACAAACACCGTATATCCAAAATTCTGAACACTCTCATAGATGCTATTCTGGGGCCATACGGCGGAGAAGCCCCCCATGGATAAAGTTACGATCGGGCACGAGAACACTGGCACTGTTACGGCAATTGGAAGCAATGTGCAAGGTTTCAAAATGGGAGATATTGTCGGATGTCTTGGTTGCAGCTACGCTTGTTGTAAGTCTTCATTGATGCACTGGAGTGCAATTGGCCAGTAATTGTATGATTGTAATTACTAAACACACTTTCAGATGAATGCGATGGGTGCCAGGTGCACAATCTCCATTGCGCAGAGGGAACCGGCCGTATGCATGGGTTTACTACTCATGGTCATTTTGCTGAATACTCGCTATCGGACTATCGCAATGCGATGGTACTCCCGACGGGCATGGATACTGTTTCCACGGCTCCTTTGTTCTGTGCTGGTGTGACGGGTAAGGCAGCTGGAGCATTTGCATCTTAACTCGACGGTATTACTAACCACCTTATTCTTCCTCAGCTTACCACGCAGTGAAAAAATGTGGACTCAAAGAAGGTGATTCAATCGCAATCATTGGATGTGGAGGACTAGGCCATTTGGGTAATATCCAATCTTCCTGGGTACTTTGTACTGGGGTTAACCAACTATTTGAAAGCCATCCAATATGCTAAAGCATTTAAATTGCGTGTAATTGGTATCGACATCTCCGACTCTCAACTCACAAACGCCAAAGCCCTGGGTGCAGAGTTTACTTACAACTCCGCCTTTTATGCGGGCTATGCTGAAGAGATTAGACAGAAGACTGGCGGTGGTGTACACGCCGCCGTGGTCTTGAGCGCATCAAATGCTGCGTACAGCACAGCTCCCAACATTCTCAGGTAATGGCTCTCCACTTAGAGTCCCCATCATCGATTTAATAGAACGGTGCTAACAAGCCCCCAGAATCAATGGAGTTTTGATGGTGATTGGAATACCAAAGGAAAACCTCTCCATCAATGCTCTTGATATTCTACTTGGAAAATACCGCATCATGGGCGCTAGCAGCGGCACACCACAGCAGATGCGTGAGCCCATTGAGTTTAGCCATAAGCATGGCATCAAGGTGCACCTGACAACCGTTGACAAAATTGAGGATATTCAGCAGATAATTGACTTAATGGAGGGTGGCAAGACCGCTGGCCGATTTGGGGTTGTTTTCTAGTGTATCTACAACTGTTGCATAATCAATCCTATCGGAACAAACATGATATTGTATCCATAACATCGAAGTTAGAAATTCGCGGTGTAATGTAGAAGATCGAATTAGACTAGCGTTCATCTCTAGAATATATCATCCCATTTCAGTGGAATTGTAGCCGTTTCTTTTGCCATGCTCCGTTATGATGTAGCCTTACTTACGAGTTGCCAATTGGAGGAAAACGATTTTTGCTCGGTCTTCTTAGTCCTCTTCCTTACAATACCCGCGTCAAGTCCGGACCTCGGCGGTTGTCCGATCAAAATGCATGACATCTTGCATGACATGGCGATATGTCAGACAACATGAGTAAGCTGACATGACTCATGAAGCGTGCGTGACTCGGTGATTTGGCGTTGAAATCCGCGGAACTACAAACAGGGCTCAAGCTAACTTTAGCACCCAGCTATTACACCACTTTCAAATTATGTCAATTTCGGGCGAAATATGTAAATGGCAGCCATCTGCTAAAGCTGAGACACTACGAACCGAATAATCTTCAAAATATCAATTCAATTCACTATGGAGCCTTTACCGGAGAATCACAAATCCAAACACCCAGAGCTGGCCTACGACGTTGAGCCGAATTACCAGCCCTCTATCAAGGTTTCCGTCTACTTTCGCAAGCGTGATGGAATTTCATCCGAACAATTTCACAAGCACTGGGAAACTGTCCATGCAGACCTAGCCGCTGCTACCCAGGCTTTTCAAAACCACATCCTGCGTTATGTTCAGGTATAGCGGAATCAAAGCGGAATCAGATCGTCCGAAGAGGATACGCTATTGGACCGAATAGCATCATCAAACTCCCGACATGAAGGCGCGTGCCGCCAGCCTAGGAGAAATTGTTCTCGAATACGATGGGTGTGCCCAGCTATGGGTGCGATCATGGAGTGACTGGCAGAAGTTTTATAATAGCGCTGAATATACAGCTGCTCTAAGTGATGATTGTAAAGGATTTATGAAATTGCCTATGACCTATATGATAGGGTATGAAAATCTAGTCGTTGGTGATGCATCTGGTGTGATTGGTGGCAAGGATGGAATGACGACCCAGGTGGCTAAGGAGGCTACAAAGAGCTGAATTGAAAGAGAGATATGATATTTTCCTCCATACTATGATTGAATCCAACTCAAGCTCTCTTGGAATAAACCAATTGAATTAAAAAGTAATATATAGGGTGGGGATATTCTACTTAACCTCGCACTAGATATATTCAGCGATGCATGTCAATGATAGTATTCCTTCTCCTTGATCAGTTCGTTGGCTATATTGTAGTCATGACCGAAGATGAGCTTTGCAGAAAATGCCTTTTGTAGTCGCTGTATGAATTTTCCACTATCGAGCCAGCTGCGATAATCCCGCACAAGCCACCTATAAGCCCAATTCAACTCGAAGTTCTCACGGACATGATATTGATCCGTCGTCCAAATAAATGTTCCGTCAAACGGAAGACTGACCTGCATAATGCACAGCCCTGGGGTGTGTCCGGGGCAGTGGTGCAATGTAATTCCTGTACACAGATCTAATTGTGCATTATTGAATGTCTGCCAGTTTAGCGTACCGTCGAGCTTCAAGTAGTGGCCTCTGTCAATTTCCAGGGAGGATCAGAATTAAAGCAAAGTTATTGAAATCAGGTTCTAGAATTAAACTCTCACAAATAAAGCCTACCATTAGAGCTTGTTGCCGCTGCCCAGTAGGCATGCTTGAATTCCTCTTCATAAACATGTATCGGGATTCCAGTGTTTCGAAAATAGTCCAATCCACCGGCGTAGTCTAAATGCAAATGACCTATAATCACAGCTTTCACATCTTTTATCTCGTACCATGCACTTTTAATTGCTTCTAGCAAGTGATGCTGCTCGCTATAAGAAGTGCGAGGAAATAAATCTATAGCCTTATTTCCCTATTCCTATATTGAGTGATAATCAGCCTAGCGTCTATTATACAAACCGGACATTCAAATGATTGTCTACCGTCTATACGTCTTCCGCGGCCCCGCACTCGAAAAGAATGAGACCTATATCAGGGTGGTAAATCAATCCAGCAATTAACATTAGATCCCTTCTTTAGTTGACGGGATTAGGATTGCTCGCCGAGCCTCTATTGGCACTATTTAGAAGCCTACAACCGTAGACCATCAGCTCTCTATTGTGACGACAGCCTCACTTACTTTAACCTACTACCCTTCATCGACATTCAGAGTCCCTAAGTTCAAAAAGTGCATCTTGGTACCCTCTAGGCATGCGTACGCAGGGACTAGAGTCGGAATAAGTCTCTGCATCGGGAGAGCTATTATAGTAGTACAATTGAGATATAAGGTTAGGATCCTATGTCCTATTATGCTAAATTTGAGTTCAAGAATTTATATCTAGCTAGGTTGTGCCTCGGCTTACTGACATCCAATAGACACAAATTCCGGAGTGGCTAACTGTAACGCGGGAATACATGCTTTCGGGATTACCTGAATTGCTAGACATCCTAATTATTTCAAGGTTCTAGTTCTTTTTTGTTCCCGAAACGATTTCCTTAGATATAGAAGAAATAAATTATTACATCGGCCGATACATAGCCTGTCGACTTAAACGTTAGGCGACGCAAAAATCGGAATTTGAAGACCTTGAAATATTTTGTAGTATTTTCCCGACAGAACCCCCTAAATCTCGGAGAAAGGAATTCCGGACGCTAATAGCGATTTATACGGTTAGATCTTGACGATATGTATTACCCGTTAAAGAAGCGAATCGATTCTAAATTAAAACTTGGTTGTCTCCGGTAAGTCGAAAACCTTGGAAGTGGATAATTAGTACTAGTCTTGGAAAATAATTGAGATATTATAAACTTCTTCGCTTACCCCGCCTGCTGCTACCGTTTTAAGATTTTAAGAGGGAATCTGCAGAGCTTGAAAACCTTCTGAGGTCACTTATTCGTACCGAAAATTCACACACGATGTCCTAGACCCGATATCCCTGCGTTTAGTTTCTCACTGTATGCAGCTCTAGCCTTGGGAAATTATTTGTCTCTGCTATAGTAGCCCCTGGTGATAAAGTAATCGCTACGGCGCGCGATATGGGTAGCTTATCTGAATTTGAGCTCAACGAAAATGTCCGCCTGTTGCGGCTGGATGTGACCGACGCGCAAGATATGCTAAATAAACCTGTAGCTAAGGCTATTTAAGCTTTCGGTTATATCGATGTTCTAGTTAATAATGCGGGATATATGCTTTCCTATGTGTGGGAGGAGACACGGTATATCTCGGTCGGACTGGATTTCTCGCTCGCACTGAATTAATCCGCATCTGCAGCTAATCAGACTTACTTATCAATTCAACACTAATGTATTTGGTCCTCTCAATCTTACGCGCGCTATCCTATCCTATATGAGATCGCGTCGGTCAGGAACGGTTATCTTCATAAGCAGTATCGCTGCGTGGCTTAGAGTTGCTGTTAGCGGTCTATACAGCGCATCTAAGTTCGCCCTTGAAGGTATTGACCCCTTTTTCTAGGATTTATCTAACACCCTAGCTGACTGTCTGTTTATAGCTCTAGGCTCCGTCGAAAGTCTGCAAAAAGAAGTTGCCCTATTCGGCGTGCATATGCACCTTGCGGTACTAGGGCAGTTCCGTACTGCAATTCTTGAGAGCACTAGGAGGAAAACAGATCGTACAACTAAATCAATTCTGGATTACGATGAAGCTGTTAATGCCTTCCAGACTAGACTCGAGCGGACCAACGGTAATCAGCCCGGAGACCCAGTACAGGCAGTAGAGAGGGTCGTGGATACGGTATATCGCATGGGTTATTTCGCAGGATACGAGAGCATTCTACTACGTATTGTACTTAGCTCTGATGCTATCGATATTATTCAGAATCAGTATCAAGAAATGCTGCGAGACATAGAGACAGAGGGAGCTGGCTGCAAGTACTGGTTTTCCGGGGGTAGAAGTTAACAGATATGAATAACCTGAAAAGGTTAGGTGTTAACTCTTAAAATTCGGGTTGGAGATTGCAGAAAACTCCAAATCTAGCGTACAAATCAGGTCATAGTAGAACCTCTAGACACTATAGGGTTGTTTCATCTACATAGGTGCCGAATCGAGATAGACGATTTAGCTAGCCTCTACATGCACTTACATTAAAAAACACTGTGGAAGACCAAAGCAAGCCAGATTTATATGTCAAGCCGGAATACAAAAAGTGGAAGAGTTTCTTCCGTGGAATTCGATAAACACGAGTTAATCTTATATAGCAAATACATAACTAACGTATTTCACTAGTCAGTGGCCCACACTAGTGAGTGGCCCGCCCCATCCGAAACGCGCTTCCTACGCGTCACCTACTATCTTCCACCACACACCATGCCACCAAAACGTTCTGAAAAACGATCAAAATCACCAGGTAGGGAGGGGAGGATCCTACTAGCAATTGCGGCTAGTCAAAAAGATTCATCTCTATCTATTCGCCAAGCAGCAGCTATTTATAACGTGCCACGCTCTACACTTCGCCATCGAATCAACGGAATGCCAAATCGCGAGGATACACGATCACCACGTCTTAAAATGACACAAGAAGAAGAGGATTCGCTTTGCCAGTGGATACTATCGCTTGATACGCGTGGTGCTTCCCCTAGGCCTTCGCATATTAAAGATATGGCAAATCTTCTACTAGCAACGCGTGGTGATAAACAGCCTTCTTCTATTGGAACTAATTGGGTAACACGCTATATTCAACGTCGACCAGAGCTTTGCACACGATTCTCTAGGCGCTACGACTATCAACGTGCACAAAACGAAGATCCTACTAGCCTACGCGCGTGGTTTAGGCTAGTAGAGCGTACGATTAATGAAAACGGGATCCTTCCTAACGATATCTATAACTTTGATGAAACAGGCTTTGCAATGGGCTTGATATCTACTACTAGAATCGTTACACGGAAGGATCTATACGGTCGGAAGCCTCTACTACAACCTGGAAATCGGGAGTGGGTAACAGCAATTGAATCTATATCGGCAACCGGCTACTCGCTTCCGCCGTGTATAGTATTTAAAGGGAAGGTTTATATTGCTAGCTGGTTTGATAACCTTCCTAGCGACTGGCGATTCGAAATATCACCGAACGGTTGGACTACCGATGATATAGGCCTACGCTGGCTAGAAAAGCTCTTTATTCCAGCAACTACTAGTCGTACGCAAGGCAAATATCGCTTGTTAATATTAGACGGTCATGGAAGCTATCTAACACCACAATTCGACCAAATCTGCCAGCAAAATAACGTTATACCACTCTGTATGCCGCCGCATTCGTCACATCTTCTACAGCCGCTAGATATAGGATGTTTTGCTATCCTAAAGCGCTCATACGGTCGCTTAATCGAGGCCCAAGCTCGCCTAGGATATAACCATATCGACAAGCTCGACTTCCTAGAATCCTATACACTAGCACGCCAGGAAGCCTTCCTACCTAGCACTATACAATCAAGCTTCGCCAGCGCCGGCCTAGTTCCACTAGATGCCGACCGAGTCTTATCAAAGCTTAATATATCGCTTCGAACACCTACACCTCCTACTACTACTACTAGTAGTAGGCCTAGTAGTAGGAGTAGCGCTTTCGTGCCTACTACACCTTATACGATTAAGCAGCTTAGCAAGCAAGCTTCCTCTATCAAAGCTCTACTACGCAAGCGCTCACGGTCGCCAGGAAGTCCTACTGAGCGAGCGCTAGATCAATTAATCAAAGGTGCTGAACTAGCGTTTCATAACACTGTTTTGCAAGCGGAAGAGATTCGGCAACTACATAGATTCAACGAGAAGAAGCGTCAAAAACGCACACGTTCTACTCGCCAGATATCTAGGCAGCAAGGTTCTACGGTCGGCGAATCTATATCTCTTGATTCAACGTTGCTAGCAAGCGTTGAAGCTATTCAAAACGATGATGCAGAGCTTGCTCAGCAGCCTACTGAGGGCGCTAAGCCTACTACTAAGCGTGTATTTCAATGTTCTGGATGTGGGAATATAGGGCATAAGATTACTCGGTGCCCTAGTAAATAGCTGAATTAAATATATGGCGTTTTGGTGGAAAAATAGTGTTTTCAAAAAGTAGTGGTTGGTAGGGTGGGCCACTCACTAGTAGTGGGCCACTGACTAGTGAAATACGTTAGTACAGTGGGGACACTTGATTATGTCATAACTCCACCCTACTTTCCATCCATTGTAGATTTTGATTTTTGCCTATAGATATAGATCTAGTGTCTATATTTGATTTCTAATACATATCCCAAAAGTTCCGGGTCTAAAATCAATTCCTCCGTCCTGATGCTTATATAGTATACGTAGGGCGTAGGGCTAAGTTAATTCTAAGTCCACGCAAATCCGCCTTTAATCATAGCTACTCTCACTTCCCCAATCCGAATTAGCAACCTCGATCTCAAACACCGCGTCATCTTAGCACTATTAACGCGATATCGTGCGAACGACGGTTATATACCCCTTGATATAGTCCCCGAGTACTACGCTCAGCGTGCCTCGGTTCCTAGCACTCTCCTAGTCAGCAAAGGGACTTTCATTTCTAAGCGCGCAGGAGGAATAGAGGGTGTACCTAGAATTTGGAGTTACGATCAAATAAAGCAATAGAGAACTATCACTAACGCGTTACACAGCAAGGGCAGTTTCATTTTCTGTCAACTATAGGCGTTAGGACGCGCTAGGTCCCCAGATATCCTCGCTAGGACCGGCAATAATGTTATTTCCAGTAGAACTATCCCTATATCCGACAAAAGCCCTGTCTCTCAGCCACTCAGCATAGAGGAAATCCATAACTAGATTCAAGATTATATGCGCGCTACGAAGAACGCCATCTCAGCCGGATTCGATAGCATAGAGATCGATAGCGCAAATAGTTATCTTGTTGACTAGTTCACCCAAGACACCGCCAATAATCGCACCGACTAATACGGCGGCAGCGTCGAAAATCGATCTCGTTTCGGTCTGGAGGTTGCCAAGGCCGTATCTAGTGAAATTAGCGCTGAAAGAACAGGATTTCGTGTCAGCCCGTAGAGCACTTTCCAAGGCATACGGATAAGGAACTTCTCGCAACAATTCAGCCACCTTATTAGTGGACTCAGCCATCTGCAATTGGCTTATCTCCACGCCGTGGAGCCCAGGATCTCCGGTGGTACCGATATTAAAGATTCAATCGAGGAGGACGATTCATTCTTATTCGACGCCTTTGGAATTACAGGAACCATCATCCTAGCAGGCGGGTTTACGGCGGAATCGGCTGACAAGAGAATTAAAAAGCAGCCCAATCATTCTGTAGCTATCGCTTTTAGACGCCAGTTCCTGGCTAATCCTGATCTCCCCTTCCGGCTCTCCAAGGGTCTTCCTCTGAACAAGTGTGAAAGAGCGACCTTCTACATCCGGAACTCGGCCAAAGGATACGTCGACTATCCCTTTAGCCAAGAACTTTTAGCCCAGTCGTAATTGAAGTAAGGGTAGCTCGGGAATTGGCCAGAAATAAGCCTATCGCATCTTGATTACGCTCCATAGTAGATATCTCCTACCCTTGATCGATAAGTAGTCTTAGATAAAACTAGCAGCGTATCATAAATTCAACTGTTCTTGAATGCTTGAAATTAGTGGATAGTGAATAAGTATTCACTGCTAGTGTTTTTCGAAGTACTATTTAGCACCCCCAATTTTCTAGATAGTAAGCGACATTCTAGGAGCTCTCCAAATGGAATAATTGACCCTGACCATAGAGTGCTATGTAATTCCGGAAGATTGCAAATCTCACCCAAAATTCTTTTCAATTTTTCTTTTCTCTTTTCTCTTAGTTTTTCTTTTTTTTTTTCAGTATTTTATCGTGCTACTTCCACTTAGGGATAAAGTGAAAGTTAGGTAGGATATCCACAAGTAGGAAAATGTGATAAGGAAGTGGATAAAAAAATCACTAACAGTTTAGCATAAGTCAGTCTTTGAATGCTATATAACTTAATTTCTCCACCACCCAACTACCGACAGGATCCGAGGGATTAGCCCAACCTAGTCAAATTCCGCACAATCCGGAAATTGTAATACCAGTGCCGACAGATTCGGGACGATATATTCACTTTCCATTAGCCCTCGGAACTAGTCAAATGCCAACCGAAATCCGATCTGTTCCCCATATTCGATTTGCGGGGTATAACCAACCATTTAAGTAGGTCAAGTAACGTGTCGCACGTTCTCCAGATATATTTTTAGAGAATTTGTAAAGCTTTAATACAACAGCGATGACTATATCCCACTCCACTACACTGCGTATCGCCTCTATGTCTAGATCTGTGACAGATCGCCGCCCTGCTAGAAAGACAGGTCCGGAACCTCCTCGACGAGTCGAAATATCACACGCTCATATTCCGAACAAGCGGATTTTATAAGACCGACCCTTCCAGTCAAGATACAGCCACTATGGACGTGCAAATCTTTGCCCAGTCTCGATATAAAGATGCCTTGACAGTCGCCAATTTCTTACGCCCTTGCACGGACACGATTATGCAGAGTTATCTCGGTGCCACTTTTGCTGTCGATACTCGTCAAGCTACCCCGAAACCGTACTATGAGTACTTCGTGTCTATCTTCCCTCAAGACCGTATAAGGCACATTTGCCACACCCTATTCAACGGCAAGAGTGTCTCAATCGATCCACCACAGCACACTGTGCCGTTCGTCCTTAATCAGCCAACGTATAAGACAATAGCTCCATTCGATCTGGGAGTATTTAGCCCCACCGTTCGCGCTCCTCTGGGATATATAGTTCATGCTCGATCCGGTGATAAGGGATCCGATACCAATGTGGGATTTTTCGTTCGCCATGCGGACGAATGGGACTAGCTACGTTCCTTATTGACTACCGACAAAATTCGACTATTACTTGAGAAGGACTATGTTTGCAACCAAACCTTCCGTTTTGAGCTGCCAAACATATAGGGTAAGTTTCAGAATAACTACCTGGTCATTAAATCTCAAATTTCTGGCTAACTGATTTTACAGCCGTCCACTTCTTGTTGAAAAATCATTTGGACCGCGGAGTAGCATCGAGCTCTACTTACGAGGTCCTAGGTAAGAATGTCGCGGAGTATTTACGGTCTAAATGGGTGGATATCCCGACTCAGTTCTTGGCTCGTGGAAGAATTTAGAACGTACATTATTTTAGAACGTACATTAAATACACCACATCCAGCTGCTAAACTTGAAAGATTAGTATCCAAGCTTTTTCATAAATTGAGAATTATATTTAAAGAACATTTATAGCAGAAATGCTACTATCTTGGTAGATGCAAGTTGAGTACACGGAGGAAACTTGAATTTGAAACAGCCCCAGATACATGAAGCTGGGTGTTAGTTCAGTTGCAAATTCTCAGGGACTCAAGGTATTGTGTGTCCAATTAGCTTCGATCTCTCTTATACATTCACGACCTTTTGATGCACTCACCTCCACACTTCATGAATACGTAATTGGGGTATCAATGAAACAAAGAGAAACCGTACGTTTTGATCGAAGAGCCCATCTAGACTAAAACCGGGCTTCTAAATAGAAAGATCCGGCCTGCGAAATACAGATAACTTTGCCCATATATCCCTCAGTTGCAATCTGAAATTAGATAGACACTAGTGCGTGTCACATTATCGTTTTCTTTTCATATCTTAATATATTTCAGATAGCAAACCTTTTGGACTGAGTACAAACCGCCACCGTTAAAATTCACATTCCCTTGGAAGGGTTGAGGAGCATATTGTTTTATTTCGAGTAGACTCCACGTAGGATTCAAGTTTGATTAAAGTTCAAAGTCTGAGGGTTCAAGCAGTTCTAAGCTCGCTCGATCTGGGTGGTTTCACCTTCTAGTTTATGTTGTGCAGTATCACTTGAGAACCCAGAACTATCATGCAACTCATTGACATGGCCTCTATTTTTGAAAAAGATATAATCAATCTCTTCAAGTGTCATTTCACCAGTCTATTCGAAGAAAAGGGTCAGAGATAGTGGAGGAAAGACCGATTTGTGAAAAGATCGTGACGCTGTAATAGACAGCAATGTTGATCCCTGTTAAAATTTAGTGAAGAGTGACTTATGGTGAATGATGAAGAGGTAGCCTACCCATCATCTGTTGAAGTGACAAGATCAAGAGAGAAATCCGAATACGACGTCCGACTCGCAAATTCGATCGATCCCAAATCAAATCCAACACATTAAGGGATTTAGTCTCCTCTGCCTCGTGCTCAATGGATAGAATTGACTGCTGCATATTTTGTACCGCCAGATCATATATCGGTCGGTCGTGAAGGCGGGCAAGGATTCCGTCCGCTTCCTCAAGGCGACCACGGGCATAGTACCAGCGAGGGGTGTCTGGGAGTAAGAACATGATCACGCCAGACGTAGCGGCAAGGAGGGCTTGAAAGCCTAGGGGAAAACGCTAACCTCAATTAATAAATAGCTTTCAAGGTCCATGTTCACAAGGAATATTTGCTTACCCAAGATAGCTGATTTCCGAGGCGAGTGAAACCGAAGTCTACCCAGTAGGCAAATGCACAACCGCTGACAAGGAAAATGCATTGCAATGCAACCTCTGGGCCACGCTCCTTCTCGGTGAGGCTCATTTCAGCCTATGGGGAAGATTAGAATGTCCTGGTAAAGAGGGCCTTCAGGAAAGTCCTACCATATAGGTTGGTACAGCGCAAGAGATAAACTGAGAACATACATTGTTAGCTCGGAAACCTACTGGCTCAGTGAAGTACAAACCCCGATTCCAAATCCCTAAAGCACCTGTTAGTGGCTTTTCTTCTTCTTCTTTTTTTTTTTTTTTGATTGGAAGCAAACATACACAAAGAACCCTTCCTGCTATGATCTGGCCCACAGACCAAGAGGATGCTTGAAGGCTTCCTCCGATGACTACCAGAATGTCACCTAGGACAACACAACCCCTTCGGCCCAAAGGCATACCAATTAACGAGACAGCAAGAGAGCACACGGCCGCGGCTAATGTGTAGCTTGATGCCACCATTGGAATGATGTAAGACCCCGTTGGGTTCTGAGAACAGTCAGCTCACGACTGTATTGGTAATAGAGGCATCGACTAAGGACGTACTCCAAGAGCTTCACGGAAAGGAGCCGTGACTTGCACTCCACCCAGAACGCCAGCATCGTATCTGCCTTTTTGAGCAATAGGAAGCAGCGAAGTGCGGGCTGTTTCATACATACCCATACAACCCGAATGCCTAATCAATGATAAGTCTGGATATGAGGCTGTGGGTCAATAGATCTACTTACCAAGCAACAGGAGAACCGCATGGCACGATACAAGGTCTGCCCTTTGATACTCTTCATCGTGATAATATTCCAAATGGTCTATATTTTGAGCCTGGCAAGAGGTTATGTAGAGAGACAGAAAGTAATAGGGCCCTTTAAGACACGAATTAGCAGCTACTTATATAGAAAACTTTCAATTACAGAGGCGATTTTGGTCATCACTCGACCCATGCTGTACTAGTCACACTAATCCGGGGTAAGCGAGTGGTAGATCCCCCAGAATTTACAAGTGGATAAAGCTAAAATGCAGAGCGATCATCTTCACAAAGTTTTCCACTGATAAAAGACTTGCATGGGGGAATCAGAATTGGAGCCTCTCTCAAATGGAACTCTCCACCCCGGATTTACAATCCCGTGGGATTTGACAGCGGTCTACTTTGCTTAACCCGAACTCATCTTCAATCATTCCCCACTAGATGCTTGATAGTTAATTCCGACATATAGTATCCACCGTGACTTTCCACGGAATCCTTGTCGTCTTTCCTCTCCTCTCCTCTCTCGGCTCTCGGTCCAGCAGATCAACCATGAAGGTAAATATCCAAAAACGCGTCCACAAACAATTCATCATACTTCAAAAAACTTCAAATTTTTTGACCAAGAGATTTATATTGGCATCATGATGGCTAATCCTGAAGTTATCGTCATCGGGGCCGGACCTTCGGGCATTGCCCTGGCGCATACCTTGAAGCACAAACTAGGGTTCACCGACTTCACAGTGAGTGAATAACACTTATTTGAAATTTTCAGTGACTTGACATTAGATGATAGTTTTATGACAAGCTTGATGGACCCGGCGGCACGTGGCGATTAAAGCCATACCCAGGAGTTTACGTTGAACAACACGGTCAGAGCTGCGTGCTTGAGCTGATGATATATGTGTAACAGGGGGTGCGATGTATGGAATGTTCTGCAAAAGCGTTCCTATATGATAACCTCTGCTCTTCCCGATCTTTTGTTTTCTCTCCAATTAAGATCTCTATTTAGCTGAATACCTTCATCGGGAGCTGCGTGAAGCAAGTGAATTAACAACCAGACAAAAATTCAAAATAATATATGACAAGCCTTATTTCTATCTAATCCGCGCCGGCTTTGACAAATCTCTTTTGCTACAAAACCAAATTCACAACTTTGTAGCCGAGGAAATCATTGTCAGTGATCCCTTTGAATAGAACGTCCTGTCGAGAACCCCACAGATTAGGTACATGAACAGACCAATCAAAGTGGCTGTTAGAATGCCCTTATCAAGTTAGACCGGCGAACGGCTGAAGCCCTACGCAGCTTCCCCAACAATGGCGATCAGGGCCGTGTCAATCTGGTAAATGATTGAACATGATTGAAAATGATTTTTTCCGTGAGATTTTTTGTAGGTAACTTTTGCCTAATTGAGATCACTATTAGCTGGCTATCCAAAGCATTGAAACAAGGGTTGGGGGCGATTCGACGGGGTGTTGAGCTCCATACGGAGTAGGGGTCGAATCGGTCAAAAATATACTGGAGTGAGAAGACTGTTGCTATTGACCAAGTAAAGAGAGCTTTATGGAGAGCTATGGGATGTCTGAAGACCATGGTTTATCTACACCATCTTAGTCTTAGCTGTTGAGCTGGTACTCTCGGTTATCATTAAATTTTGACATGAGGGGTACAATTGGTAAACGAAGTGAGCTATAGAGCATTGGTTCATTCATTCATGCAACAGGACTGGATCTGGAGATAGCAGAGCTTCCCTAGGGTAATTGGCTTCATTAAATGACATAAGGGGGGGGGCGACTCATTTCCCGGTATGTCCAATATTCAGCCCACTCTGAGCAGGGCTGAAGGGGCTAAATTGTTAATGTCCGTCACTTAAAGCACATAAACATCATCGAATCAACTTGATTGGATCCTGGTGAACTTAAATTTGTTGAAATTGCTGCCCATAGAACGATGCGGGGGCCAGGGCTAAATTTGGGGCCAACGCCGTGGCTGGGGCTGAATTTTTCAACCAGAGCGCTGGATCCTAATCAACAAACCGTTCGGCCATGATAAATACAGATAATGAGTTCTCTCTGTATCGGGAGTATAGTCAATTTTGTTCTTCAACTAAACACCTTCCTTCTACACAGACCCCTAGGAAGCAGGAAGTATGGGTGGACGACCATGGCAGTCCTCTGGGTGCCTAAACTGTAAAAAGCGCAAAGTCAAGGTATGCATATAAAAACCATCAAAACTTCGAGCAGTTGAGACATAAATTGACAGTTTATAATTCGCTAGTGTGACCTTCAGCAGCCGACATGTCTACGATGTGTTAAACGAGGCCTCACCTGTGAGAAACAAGCAAATGATGGTTTCTTCTCTCACTTCACATATGATCCAAAGCAAGAGATATCTCCACCGAGATCGCCAGAAGGCCTGATAATGCCAGCTCAAAGATATCACGGACGTGCAAAGCCAATTAGCTCACAGGAATCGATTTCCATGCCGCCAGAAATGGAGTTGGTTTCTGAAAAACGGACGCAAATCTACTCGTCATTCCTGAGTTGCTATTTTTCTTGGGATGATCGAGTGTGTGATGAGCTTCATAGCATAAAACCTCTGATCGAAAGCTTTTTTGGGACATCGAACTGTAAAATGCTTGACTTGGCTGCTTCGTCATTGGCTTGCATCTACTTGGGTCAATTGAACCGAGATGAAACTTTACTTCAGCATGGAGTTCAGATTTACAACAATTCAGTCCGCCTTCTCTCAAATGCAATGCAGCACAAGACTTATACAGTCGAAATGCTATACACAGCAGTCATATTCCAAGTTGTCGAGGCTATTCATTGTCCAGATGGCATAGCGCCGCAAATGGCGCATGTAGAGGGCACAAATACGATTTTGAAAAAGTGCTATCCTCTCAACCCCTCAAACCCACTGATTCACGCTGTCTCTAGTAGCGTACAGAAAATGAGAGTAGTGAGTTTATTTGATTATTCGCGAAAATTCCAGTGGCAGCAATGGAATCTTATATTGACACTCTCCTACTAGATTTTCAATATACACTACATCGAAAAGTCGGAGAGAAAGTTTGATTATCTCCTAGATTTGCGCGACGGAACACCTATGGATGAAGCCTTCGAGCTCTTTATGGAAATTATATCTCAGATGGATCACCAAGAAAAGATTAATTCCTCGGACTTCCAGGCCTGTAATGCTCTGCTACAGGGGTGTTTCACTCTAAGGAGCAAAATTCTCTTTTGGTATAATAGGATTCAGGAAACCACTGGTGGACCGCCCATATCTTGTGAATCAGACCAAGTACCATGCAGAGGGCTGTCGCAGGTAGACAGCATCTTTGGAAATCCCTACAAGTTCCATTCCATGATACAGGGGAAATATCATCTTGTATTTTGGGTTGCGATGCTCCACATCCATGAATTGATATACGTCTCCCAGGCTCTTATCATGTTTCACTCGAATGAGCATACCCGCGTCACTGTTGAACCCAGAGCCGATGATGCATTCATGATGACTGTACATTATGCAGGCGAGATCTGTCGATCGGTGCCATACTTTTTTGGAGATGACATGAGCTTTGCAGGCCCGAGTAAGATAGTCGCACCCCTTCTTCGGGCCTGCAAGCAATTTGTGCATTTACGGGACCGAAAGAAATTCGTCTGGTGCATGCAAGCTTTCTGCATAGCAAGTGGCCATGGATTTTCAATGGCTAACTTACTTGTCCCATTTTTTTGGCAGTACTGGTGCGTGACAGGGGATCAGAACGTAAACTCTGTCATGAGTCTATCTCTGAGATTCAACCCTGTAAATGAAAACTGTGCAAGGGAAATTTTGTTTACCGAAGATGATCTTGATATTATAGAGGAGGTGAGGGGGTGAACAGATATGAAATTCAAAGAATAAAATCTGCATGTCAGGTAACATGCATAGAGGAATACTATGTTGTAATTGAGGATTAGCTGTCATAGGCTAGTAAATCGATGCCCATTTAAATTTCTGTTGTGACAAACTCCCCGAGACACTTTTATTAGAAAAATTCATGTATAAAGAATATGGCACATCATATATTATCTATTATTATGAACAGTATTTGCCAAAATTGAGAATTAGCGAACATCCAGTTGTGAAAGGGTACTCATTCAAGAAATGCTGAGGATATTGAATTCCGGATCTAGTCGATTCATCATTTTGAATGCACATAGCATGAGTCATGGTGATACAAAACAGTCTAATAATGCTGGCTCGGCTCGTAAGGTGACCCGTGTATTCATACATGGGCTTTATGAGAATATTCCATGAGGTCATGAAATCAATCTATCACTCTTGAAAAATGAAGCTCTCAAGTTCCCGGTATGCAACCTCCAGATCATCATTGACAATGATCTTGTCATGGACACCGGTCTCAGCATATTCAAGCTCAGCTTTGGCTTGTTCCAGTCTCTTTTGGACGTCTTCATCCTTTTCGGTGCCACGTCCCCGAAGACGCTTTTCGAGATCCTCAAATTTCGGTGGGCTAATGAAGACATAGCGGGCATCAATGCCAGAGTTTGACTTCATCTGCTTGACACCATTCATCTCAATGTCCAACACAACAATGCGCCCCTTGGCTGTTTGGTCGGCAATTGTTTGCTTGCTTGTGCCATATTGGTTGCTGCCGAATGTCGCATGTTCAACAAAGGCGCCCTCGGCGATCAGATCGGCGAACTTCGAGCGGTCAACGAAGAAGTAGCTGACTCCGTCAGCCTCCCCGACTCTCGGGGATCGAGTGGTATGCGAGACGGTGAATGCGAAGGTGTCAGGGTGCGCATCAAAAAGCTTCTTAATGAGGGTACCCTTGCCGACCCCAGACGGGCCTGAGATTACAATCGGCGCAGCTAAAGAAATGAACAATTAGTCTCGTGATTCATGGTTGCCACTTGTTTTTGATCACATGGCTTCTGCCCTCATGCGCTCGCATCGTCGCCTATTTGAAGCCAGATCTTCTCGTCGCTAAAGGGGTGACGTACAAGAAGGCATTTTGCTGACACGAGATGATTGAGCAGTAGTTGCTTGAGGAGGCTTAAAACTGATATTCCAACGTCGAGTTTCTACCAACGGAGTCACTGTTCGTTGGTGGGTCACGTGCCTTAGCATGTGACTGTGGTTTCTAATTGCGCCGCAAACGACGGACGATAGGCCACCTGACGGCAGCCAACAGGTAGAAGGGCGAAGGGGACCCATGAGAATTCATGTGAAGTCAACAGAAGTCTGACTCGGCACTTGGAGAGATCTACCGAAAAGACTTCCAGGTAGTCAAATGAACGAGGACTGGAGTTTGGGGAGAGTGGGGCCAGGAAGAAGGGGTATCAGCGCCTATCATGCTTATTCCACACCCACCGATTCATGTTCGATCGCAAGAATATTAAGAGCAGAGAGTGCCCATTTCTTACCTCGGTAATACCCATTAGAAAGGACAGAAATATAGAATACACGGAAACTCCGCATAAAAGAGTGCATGAAGGGTGCGTTTGACTGCATCAGCTTCGTAGCTGGCCTGGGGTTGGCGGTCAGCCAGCAATGATATAATCTGCTTTTCTGCCTATTCAACATGTGATCCTTTTGAAGCTAAGTAATGCATGAAGTGAGCGGATATTTGTCAATCTGTAATATGTCTTTCCGTGCATTTTCAGACGAAGAAAATCTCAATTGCCTTAAAGTCGCTACGGTGAGCCAAAGGGCTTGTTTATTACTGCTGAAAAAGATGCCACATGTTGCTTAGATTTGAAAAGTAGCAAATTTCCACCACAGGACGAGAAGTGTATCTAGGTCTTCACTGATAAGGGGATGCTGTGTACATGTCTTTTCAAGAGTCAATATTTCTAGACAGGATGTGCGCATTTTTCGTGGGGATAGAGAACCCCGTTGATCTATTTTGGAGAGACGAGTTTTGGATGAAATATAATACATCAGGGTATATCGTACACAACATCTTTATACAACAAAATGAGGTTTCCCAGGCATCATGATATCTGAAGCTGCCGGTAAGGAAATAATCTCGGCGACTAAAGATGCAATTGCCCACAATGAGGCATTTGAGGTCAAAAGCACCTGCATCAAACGGCGAGGCAGTCCACATTAACAAGCCATCTTTCTTATGTTCCTGAATTTGCGTTGTTTCCACTTGAATTCGAATCATCGGTAGTGCTGTGAACGGTCTGAAGTTTGAGGTATTCCTTTTCGAGGGCCTTTTGCATCTCGAAATCGGCCTGTCGCTCCCGTCGGATACGTTGCTTTTCCATATCTCGCTCCACTCCTCTATGCATGGCCTAATAGCGATATCAAACAATCAGCATCAACCTGGGTTTCACATTTAGCACCAACACATACCGCTCTGTCTTGTTCTTGAGCCCAGTGCACAAAATAGACAATGCCCGCGGTGCCCAGGCCGGTGGCGGCCAGGGTCAGCTTGGATGCCCGGGACATGGGAAATAAACAGGTACTTAGGGCACAAAAAACGGCCTACCCCAGAAAATGAGAATGCCAATTGGAGAGAAGACGATCCTGGAACTTCTAAAAGGTCAAAATGCTGGATGATTATCGGGTTATCGCCCGAGCGGTGTTGGGTGGCAGTATGGCCCCACCGCCTTGGGGGGCCATGCGTGGCTGATCAAGCTCCAAGCTCCGATACCCCGACATCTCGTTATCACTCTTGTCACTTCTTTGTTCATCACATCCGAGAGGGTTCTTGAGCAAATATGGTGAGTTTGGTATTTATTCTTTTTCATTCTTTGTGATCAAATGCTGACTACCGTTTGATTTCTAGTCGGCCCAGAACTCCGCGGGCATCCAGACCCTCCTCGATGTACGTTCCAACTGAGCGAAGCGCTGAAGATCAACCATACTGACAACCTTCACAGGCTGAGAGAGAGGCTCAGAAGATTGTTCAGCAAGGTAACTGACTCCCTTGAGGCCCTACACTAAGCGCTCTCCTTCGCTGACTGATTGAATCATCTGCAGCCCGAGAATGTACGAGACCTGAGATCCCCCCACCCAGTTGCGCATCAACCTAATCCAGATCCCCACTACAGACCGCACCAAGCGCATAAGGGACGCAAAGTCAGAGGCACAAAAGGAGATTGAAGAATACCGCAACTCTAAGGAAGAAGAATTCAAGAAGTTCGAAGCTGAGGTGGGGCACATCACTCGGGATTGTTGGCAAACAACCTACTAACATGGTTTTGCTATCTAGCACTCGAGCGGATTCAAAACGGCTGAGGAGGATGCTGGAAAGGAAGCCGAGGAGAAACTCAAAGAGATCCAGGCTGCCGGCAAACAGCAGGGCGACAAAGTCGTGGACGATCTGATTAGGGCGACTACCGATGTGAAGCCTCAGGTGCCAGAGAAGATTGTTGCTCAGGCATAGAAGCTGGCTATTTTGCATTCTGCTGTTATTTTACTTCGGTTTTTCCTAGAAAGATGCGCTTTCGTGGCCTTCCATCGATATCCAATGTTCGGGGAATATGAGTCTCTTTGTTACTGAGCTGAACTGCATAGTGTTGAAACTTGAAAAGATGCCAGTGCTGATAGACATATTTTACCACGTCAAGACGTGAAGAATCTCTGTCTGTAGGGATGTTATTTACCTTCCTAGGATACGCTATCCATGGAAGGCAATGTAGCGGTTCAGTCGATCACCAATCATGACACCTTCGTTTCCCTGTGATATGAAGATTCCGGCAATATTAAAAGATTTGAAATACTCGGCATTTTTTAATGAAATGGGCCTGGTGTATAAGTGATCCTCAGTAAGAACCAAATCATTATGAGTATATGTATATCGGTTCGAAGCGAGTGCAGAAAGTACGGCTGCTTCCCCTTGAGCAATCTCATAAACTATTCTCCGTGGACAGAGGAGCCTGCCCTTTTAAGTCACGTAGTTTGCCTGGTTTTATCTGATTGGAACTTTTGCTGACCAACTTCATCAGCATCATGTGGGCAGTATCATGGGTATTTTTCAATGTCCATTATGTCATGAAAGGTATGGTAAAGAGTAAGTCTCAGTGGAACTGAAAGGTTTTTGTAATTATCAAAGCTTCTCTTGATATGAAAAAATGTCGAATGCCTCGGCGTAGTTCCAAACCGTGTAAATGGAAGTGCCAATACATTTCTTTCAGCATTCAAAACATTTTATTTATATATAAATTTTTGCTGTTTTTAATCTGCGAGTTTCATTGTGCACTGGCTGACGACACGTTGTAAAGACCAGGGAATTAAGGTGGGAGTAGGCACGAGCACCTCCTAGCTCGTTCATGCTCAGCCTAATGGCAGTAAAAGAAAATGGCAAAGCTAAACATTCTTATGGGAATGCAGATCAATTGATTTTTTTTAAATTTCAAGAGTGGTGATTTTCCTCTATACCCCGGCCACTCGAAAACTAAATGACCGTTATTAAGTGACGTAGAATTTGGGGTGCCCATTTCGGTAGCGTCGCCCCGCCCCACTGGGACATCAATCATACAACCGCATTGCACGCGAAAGCTTCAAGGCACGATGGGAGGAACCATGGCTGCTGCCGCCCGGGTATTAAAAAAACCAATTTTTGATTGTTCTACCTTTCCATCACTTGACTATGCGCCTTTTCGAACATTCCACGCGTCGCCTCGCAGCGGTCCGAAGCCCTTCCTCGAGCCGCGCTTAGAGGACCACGGACGGGTTATTCACGACCAATACTCTGTTCTCAGAGACCAGTACGGTCAGTTTTATTTGATTCTTATCACATATTTTAAGGTTCTTCTGACTCTTTCTGCTTCACAGATGTCCCAAAGCACCCAGTGGTATTGGCACATGGCCTCCTCGGCTTCGACGAGCTGCGCCTTGCTGGTCGCTATTTCCCAGGTGTTCGGTACTGGCGTGGCATTAAGGAAGCTCTTACTGCGCAGGGTGTTGAGGTCATTACCGCTACGGTTCCTCCTTCAGCATCGATCGAAGAGCGGGCAGAAGCCCTATTGCAGGATATCGAAACTGGAGCCCGAGGAAAGGATGTCAACATCATCGCGTATGTTTGCCGCCTGAAGGTTCCTCAGTCATTAAACTAACATTTCACTTGAATCTTAAAAGTCATAGCATGGTAAGTTATAACGAGTGGTCTTTTAGATATTGCAGAACTAATTAGTGAACAGGGGTAAGATGTCAAGCCTTATACTTCTTCTTCCCTACAAGTACTGATAGAAAATCCAACAGAGGTCTTGATTCCCGATACATGATTAGTCGTCTTCGACTGCAGAAGTTCAAAGTGCTATCGCTGACCACTATCGCAACACCACACCGAGGTGAGTATGTTCCGTCGCCCATTCTGCTTTTGATAGCCATTTGACAAACAATAGGCTCCGCTGTTGCCGATTATGTCTTTGATCAAATTGGAGGTTAGTTGACATTTTCTCATTGAGGAACCTTGCAGGAGAAAGCTCATTCAAGTGATTTTAGCCGATCGCCTGCCGCAAATCTACTACACCCTCGACAAACTGAGCGTGGAAACGGGTGCGTTTGCGCAGCTGACTCGGAAGTACATGTCCGAAAAATTCAATCCTCATGTTCCAGACATGGATGATGTTCAGTATGTGGTGACTCACTGTTTGTTACCTTTCTTGCAGATTCTTATCTCGTTAGGTATTTCTCCTACGGTGCCGCAGTCGAGCCCAGTGTCTGGTCAGTTTTCCGCCTGTCCCACCGAATCCTCGCCGAGGCAGAGGGCCCTAATGATGGGCTTGTCAGCGTCGCAAGCAGTCAGTGGGGAGGTGAGGCGGGATACAAGGGGACCCTGGTAGGGGTCAGCCACCTTGACCTGATCAACTGGACCAACCGACTCAAGTGGCTAGCCAGTGAGGTGACAGGCAATCCACGGAAATTTAACGCCATCGCCTTCTATTTGGATATTGCAGGTATGTTTGAAAGAGACAAGTCTCATTTCAGATCTTGGATGATGATACTAATGCTTCCACTTCCCCAGATATGCTAGCCAAGGAGGGCCTTTAAGCATTGGGCAGCAACTGCATCTTGGATACCTGCAATTGTCACGATGAGTCACGATGATCAAAGCTGTATTATTATCTACTTTATACCATCCTTATAATTCATTTGTTATTGCTCTCCGAAATATGCCTCTTAATATACCTTTAAACATTTACGCTGGCCCTCATATTAAACATTCTGACCCTGAGCAGTTAACTAGTACACTTTCTTACAATCCTTGTATAAAGTGAGATTTTAAGATTTCCTTTTTGTATTCTCATTAACATTGTTTCTTCTACATTCATTTTACTCTGCGATCACTTTGTATTCAAGAAGGGGGGTATGCATAGGGAGAAATTTTTTAAACAAGCAAAGGCACAGCTATCTATGCCATTGTATTTGTGCACAAATATCAATGTAAATGAGAATACAAGTAAACACGATAAATTTGAGTGACATTATTGTGGTCTATCCATTATTCTCATTCTCTGTTCTCTATTTCTATTTCAGGTGTGTGTAGAGCAAGGATCGTCACTCCTTGCGGCAACGAGTTCTAATGCACAGACCCAATCTTCTTTACAAATCCAACTACTTTGAGCTCCTTCTAGATTTAGCTGTCGGATGCTTGTAGCTACTTCAATTTCATTCCATGGGACAGTGTATTAATTCTATGCCCAATTCTATGCCCTCTCAAAGGACAAGTGAGGCGCAATTATCCTTGGGAGGCTGAGCGCTTGGTATCCGTAGAACCATACAGTTGAGAAATTCTGGTGCCTGGCCCCCAAGCTTACTTCAAATCTGGATTTCAGAACAGTGGTTTATGATTTGGGGTTCCAACTATTTTTAAAAAGATGCCTGGTGTTTGAGATCATGCGACGATTGGGTCGGAGGGCTAGATACCTCCGGGCACTTGCGACCATATTACTCTAGATGAACCATGGTAACTGCTCAGATCCCTGCAGAATGAACAGGTCATTACCAACCCCAGTGGCTTAGCCTAGCGGCTATAAGGAGGCGCAGCTAGGATTTCCTTGGGAATAGAGTATTGAACATTAGATTACTGAAGTTAAGAGTATCGAAGTCTTAAACACCTTAGATCTATAACTAGGTGTTCAAAGCGTTGGGAATCACAGGTGGAGTGTTTGCAGTCCGATCGGTGGATCGCCCGAACAAACGTCATTCCGGTTCCCCTCGCATTTAATCGTTCTTCCTCCCCCATCTGACTTCCCATCCTGCCTACTCCACTTTGCCTCTCCTCCAAGAGATATTGGAGATCAGATTCCGCTATCCACTCGGTCGCTTGATTCCGATCGATGCACAAACCCCGCTTGATCGACCTCGGGAGCGAACATCTAAGCCCGGCAGGGCCTTCGTCGCCATGTCCGCAAAAATCTTGCTGGATAGTCGGCACACTCACTACACAAATCTAGACTTTCTCTCCGGCACAGTGGTCCTCAATCTCCCGACAGAAACTGCAATTGGAGGTATTCAAGTCAAACTAGAGGGCGTCAGCAAAACCCGGCTTTCCGGTCCCCGATACCCACAGAATGTGAACTCGGAGAAGAAGCGAACCGAGTTGGAGGTGCACAAGGTACGGGAGCCTTTGGGAATAGGAGCTACGGATACTCATGTCCAGCCTCCTTTCTGACTTGAGCAATGGATTGATTGGGGTTCCAGATTTTATACAAAGTCGCGACCGTCTTTCCATCTCTCGCCGTCCTGGAAATGCAATCGGGCACGTCGCCAACCTCCTATACTTTTGCCGCCGGATCCTACGAATACCCTTTCCACTTTAAAGTCAGTTTCCTCGCAATATGGACTATGATACACTTGTGCGAGATTCCGTCTACTAATTTCACCCTAGTTACCATTCAACAATGCCTGCAATACCCACAACAGCATGCGGACCAACCTCGTCACAAACGGATTGAGGGTCGAGATGGCTCGCGATACCAATCGCCATGTGAAGAAAACTCTCCCTCCCTCTTTACACGGCTTCCCCGGCATGGCGGAGATTGAATATTTCGTGAAGGTCACCGTCATCCGGCCGCAATTTTACAAAGAGAACATTCGAGCGGTAGGCATCATCCCTGCAAGACTGCCCCTCGGGGTTATCGTGAAAGCCAGAAACCATCTAATGGCTGTTTTTAGATTGTTCCTTTGAATTTCCTGCCCATTGAGCCCCCAAGGACCGGGAACCCAAGCGAGGAAACGTACGCTCGACGCCAGCACCAGTTCCCAAATGTTCAGAATAATGGACAACGTAAGAAGAATATCTTCTCGCGTGGTACTAACCCATTCCGTGACACTGATTCTGAACCCCCGCGGGTATCGGCGGACGCTCGACTTCCAAGTCCCTCGATTCTCACCTGCAATGAGCCCGTACCTCTACGGCTTGTACTGAAGAGGCTGACAGATTCGCAGGAAACCATATTCCTGCAAATGCTTCAGATCGAACTTCTTTCATACACAAAAATTCTGGCACATGATCTCAACCGGACCGAAAGCAGTTCCTGGGTTCTTCTGAGCCGTAGCAACATGGGCATGGCATTAGGACGACCTGGCGATCCCACTGGTACCCACTGGTACATCGACCCGGCTTTGTGGAATAAAATTCCCCTTCCGAGCTCAGTCGCGCCATCATTTGAAACATGCAACATTGAGAGGTCATACGAGCTTGAAGTGCGCATTGGGCTGACCCACGGTACACCTGGAAATATGAAGGTACGTTTCCACTGTCTTTTCTGTCATTCTGCTTGCTGACTGGCCTTCTCTGTAGCCCCAAATCATCATTCTTCCCCTAAGAATGCCAGTCAAGGTCTACTCTGGAATCGCACCCCCACAGGCCCTTCTCGATGCTATGGCAGCAGCTGCATTAAAGCCTTCTCCTTCGAAGCCAACAGCTCAGCCTCCCTGGGCTCCGACCAGTGATGATAATCGGCCCCCGATGCCTCCAAGGCCTAGTGGAACAGTTCCAGAGTATTCAAATGGTGGATACGACGAGGCGCCACCAAGCTATGAGGACGCTATGGCAGAAAACTTGAGCCCAGTAGATGGACCACGCCGCGAGTATCACCCACCAGATGCCTCTTCTTCCCGGAGTACTCTGGAATCTGGAGCTGATTCCAAATCCTCAGCCGAAGCGGTATGGCTCCGTGAAGCTGGCCCTGTAGGTGAAGGCTCCATGGCTTCCCCAAGTCGTGAGGGTCGGTCTTCCTCCGAGTCTTTCGATATGCTGCCTGCGACCCCACCCGAGTCCAATTCCGGATCTCCACCGGCGTCCCCTGTCAGACGCTCTCAAAGTATGATGAAGGTCCCGCGGGACCCAGCTGCCGAAGAAAGCCCACCGGTCTATCAGCCTGTCGCGGAGAGCCATCTACACGCGTCAAATACCGTACAACGTCAGCCCTCGCGGAACAACCTACGCCCTATGAATCTCGGTGTTCCTACCCGCAAACCAGTTCCGCAAAGCCCCAACAGACAAACCTGAATTTGAGCAGCAGTCATGTTCCCTTGAGCGGGGATAGTTCTATTTCTCAGCCTGTGCTGTGGGACAAATAAGATACCGGGAGTATCACATTCGGAATTCAGAAATTACACTCTTCAATGGTGTTTCTTCGCCGGTTTTTGACTTTATTTCAACACATGGTCGGCACATGTCTCCCACCTCTTCTCTCCCACCTCTTCAATTGGTTGACCCAAATGGACCACAAATAATCTTTAATCTTACTGCGGCTTGCATCCTTGATACCCCTTTCTATGATTATTTCAATCCTCTGCCATACATTTTGGATACTGCATGATCTTTCGCGTTCGGCAGAGCTGGTCATTGTCTTTTTCTGCATACCAGAATTGTTATAGGTAGTCTGTTCTTTCTACTTTCTATACTTTCTAAAGGGCGCGTTCCTTCAATAGATCTCTGTTGAGGTGTCAAATACTTGCGGTAATTATAACTTTCTTTTCTATTCTAGTTTATTTGGTATTTGTCTTTTTGCAAATTACAATGGATGGTATGAATCTTAAAGTATGAAGAAGGGAAGTCTGGCTATGTATGGCCGTACGCTAGTCCAAATCTAGTTAGAGTATTCTCCGCGCTTCGAGCTCTTCGGAGCTGCACGTTTTCCTGCCTCACCGATCAAGACTCCCTCCGCCGTCAGGAATCTACTATGAACTTTTCTTACCTAAAAGCCTCCTAGGATCCGATCGCGTATTCCTCGGTCGAAATTTCTTAATTTTCTTTACCCAACCTGCAGCTTCATCCAGCCCCTGGAAGTCTCGAAGGCAAAAAAAAACAGTACGCGCAAATCGAGACCACAATTTCCACCCACATACCACCTCTCTCTAGCACCCCACCCGCCTCGATGATTTAGTCTGAAAATTCGCGTCAATATGCGCCTACACCTCGTTATCTCGCGCCACGGCCTCCCGGTCACGCGCATTTTGTGGACAACGGGCTTGTCGTCTGCGTTGCCCGAATATGGCACGCCGCGCCCAGCCTCGGCGTCGATGATTGCGTCGTCCCGGACCCCGAATGCTGCCTTTCCGGCCGGCGGTTACACTATCGCGCAGCTACTAGAGGATGTCAATGAAGTTGTTCCGCTGGAGACGGAGCCAACCATGTTCGACCCGGAGTTCAGTGGCCAGTGGGGACTGGAAGACTACGTGGTTGAAGTCGGCGGGTCGGAGTGCCTGCACTTTATGGACGTGGATGGGCTACTGCGGGAAGGAGATGAAGTTGTGTATGTGCTCCTTTTAAATTCGAGTTGTTTGCTGTTGTTTTGGCTTGCGCGAACTTGAACAGAGTGCTAACTCTTAGGCACATTATAGCATTCGAGCTCTGCAGCTGGCGGATCTCCGGGCACGGCGGCTGTGCGGTCGTCACCAAATTACCGCTGATGGTAAACATCTGATCGACGGTGTTCCTTTCGGCCTGCCATTTTTGAAACGCACGACGTCTAGTCGACCTGCGATTACCATTCCTCCGCGGAAGAAACGGCGCACGCTTTTCTCGGGCTGGGAGCAGGGACCGGACCTTGGCCACGAAGATGGTAGGGTCGATGCGGATGAAGAAGGCGATGGAGAATGGCTGCCTCCAGGAGACACCGGCTTTGGCAAGGAACTTTCGATTATGCCCCCAGAGCATGAAGTCTCTGATATAGGCACAGTCATTCGACACCCTGTCAACTATTCTGATGATACGGACAGCGATATTGGAGGGTCTGATATTGAGGAGGATGAGCTTGAAAATGAGCTTCAAGCCCTTAAAGAGGATTTTGAAGAATCTGCATCCCAGTTCATCGACATCCGGAGACAGGGACAGGTGTGCTCTGGGCCTTCATTACGCTCCAGCTCTGTGGCCAAACGACCATCCTCGGCGGACACTCAGCGTAGAAGCTCATTAGCCGGTGCATCTTCTCTTTCTAGCAAACGATCTCGTGGCGAAGACACCTCGCCAAGAACTTCGAAAGCTGTGCGATTTAATAAAGAACAAGGCGTGCCAGCAGCTGTGGAATCGGTGCGATCTGAAGAAATCGTGGGTGCTACATCAGAGTCCGATTCAGATTCAGATTCCGGTTCTGACTCGGACTCGGACTCCGCATCTTCGTCATCTGCCGACTCGAGCGAAGCATCATCAGACAGCGACTCATCAGGCGATGAAGCCGCAGCTCCTTCATCATCCGCTGACTCGGATGATTCCAGCTCAGAAGATTCATCTTCGGAATCAGAGAGAGAACAAGCCCCACCCAAAGTTTCAGAGAAAACACGTATGTCTCTCATCGTCAACCCCCCGGGTGAGGGATCCATACGAACCAAGAAAAGCAATCATCGCTTCAAACTCCGTCGTCGCCTCTCTAAGCTCAAGGAGCTCGGAGTCCTCCCCGAGGAGGCAGACTTCGCAGCGCTTCGCGCGTGGGAAGAAGCTAACGGAGGCTTTCACATTGACGAGTCAAGTATCATATCAGCCGCGCCCATGAGCAAAGCACAGAAGAAAGAACAAGAGCAGCGTGAATTCGAAGCCAAGCGACAGAAGCTGCTTCGAGATCTCGCAAGTGGTGGCGTTGATATTGATGAGGCTTCAGAGAAGGAGAATGTGCCCCCTCAGCCTGAGGCTGCAGCTGCGGTTGAAAAGACTGTCACGGAGGAGCTTGTTGAGGAAAAGAGCCCCGGAGTTGAACGCGCTGATCGACGAACTTTGGACATCGCTAGCTCTCGACGACTTCTCTTTGGGTCTTTAGGTCTTCGTACGCCAAAAACCAAGGAGGACGAAGAAGCTACACGAAGAAAGTTGGCTGCACAGGCTAGCACGGTGCACTCTCGCAGGAAGACTGTGGAGAGGCAGCCGGCGGAGGCAGAAGAGGAAAATGACGAAGATGAAAGCTGGGAAAACAAGCTTGTTATCAAAGCTACGGAGTGTTTGTATGATGATATCCAGATGACCGGGCCACCTTTCCCCTTCGAGCAGCGCTGGGACGAGGAGGCGAACGCAGCGATCGGCCAGTTAAAGGGTTGGGGCAAGAAGCGAAAGCGCAAGCAACGAATTCAGGTCTACCACGAGGATGAGGACCAGGATGAGTATCAAGATGGCACCGGTGCTTACGAAAACAACGCTCCTCTCAACTATGATGATGCAGAGTATGGAGTTTGGAACGACGCCGAGGATGAGGAAAACTATGAAGACCATTTACCCTCGACGGAAGACCTCCCTACCATCCCCAATGATCTGAGTACTGTGGCAGATTTGCTTGAGTGTGAAGCGAAGGTTGGGGCAATCATCGCATTCCGGCAGCTTGATATGTCCAAAGCAACAAACTGGCAGCCCCGGATGTCTGAGTATCGAGTGGCAGAGGTACATGAAGTCCTTGGGAATGGCATAATGAACGTTCGACTTGCGGTACGTGACCGACGACCAAAGGCAGATCTACATGACCCGGAGGACGACGGACCGCGACTATACGACAAGTTTGAGATGCCCGGAATGGACGAGGAGGACGACGATGGCTACCGAGAGCTCGCTTTTGCGGAACTCAACGAACCGAAGCTTCTTCGGCCCGCGCCGTGGGTTATTGATGCCGATACGGAGGACAAGGATAAAGACAGTGCTCAAGAAAATAGCATGTCAGTGAATTGATCTTGAGTTGGTTGTTTCAATACGCTCACATCGTCCAAAGTGTCTCCGTAGTCGAGGACTCCATGCCAAATCCCCAGCCAAGCTCGCCACCGCCTCCTCTTGACATGGACCTCGATGAAACCACGTATGTCACCATCGATGACACGACATTCGTCACTCTCGTTACGGCTGCTAGTCGTCCACAGTCGCCGAATGAGGCTCAGGCTAGAGCCCCTGTTATTCCATCCATACAATTTCCTGCCCGAGAGAATTTTCAACGAACTCAAGGCCAAGATCCCGATGACGAACATAGCGATAGGCCTGCTATTCCTTCTCCATCTTTCTCTGGGTTCCATTCTGCTCGGTCGTCTCCTGGCACACGGCTAGGCTCTCATTACAATCTGGAGGCTGAGGAAGCTAACTTAGATGGCCGAACTCTTATCGAGGAACCATCTATGCTCGTTGAAAATTCCAATCAAGACATGTCGGCACTCTCCTTTTTGTCCGCCAATCAATCCATCTTAGACATGGCCGAAGACAGCCATCAGCATGATCGCCAAGTTGTGGACGAGCTTCCTGCTACGGAGTTCGGAGCCAACGATTCACTCATATCCGTGGTTCACAATCCGCTCGGGTCTGATTCAAACAACCCGTCGCCTTCCAGGAGTATTGTTGAAGAGAGCCCCGGTGCACGAAAGGCAAGCCCACCGAAGCCTCCCGTCTCATGGGGAAGTAGTTTGGGTATGTTGCAAAGTGACCAACAGGAGCTGGACAACACAGACCAAGAAAAAGACGAGGGAGATGATCATCGAAAAGATGACCTCGAAGATCTTGATCCTTTGGTCCATAGCGACCAGAGTCACCATCTCTCTCCACAGCGGTCCCCATCTCACTCTAGCTCCCGCTCCTCGCGCAAGCCATCCAGAAACGCACAACCTCTCCATCCCAAAGCAGAGTCTTTGTTCGACTACGACTCGCCTGGGGCATCAATCCGCTCCAAACTCCGCATCTCCCACTCCCGGCGCAACCAATCCCAAACATCCGAAATCATCGACCTCACTCAAAGTCCACTACCAGATACCAGCGAGCAAAATCTTCCGCCGCAGCCCAGCAACTCTGGCTGGATTGCTGAGCCAGCTGCTGACGGCGACGTCCTGCCCCAGTCCTCGGAGTCGCACACCCGCAAATCAGGCAAAATACAGCGTATGGCAGAGGTCAGTATTGGTCCTCAGACGAGTCAGAAGAAGAAGAAAAGGCGGTCGTCACGGAAGTTCTAGACACCAGGTGAACGCTAGTCGTTTCCTTTAATCTACAGCCAAGAGCACATCGTGCATCTTTTTTTCTTTCTTTTTCTTTCCTTTTTCTATGTATCTATCTATCAGGCAGGCGTTGCTGTCACGGACATCCTACATTCTTTCAATCTTGCTGTCGAATTTCTATATCGCATATCCTCAAGACGATGTAGCTTACGCCATGGTAAATTCTCTAGATTAAGGGAACATCATACTAGTGATGGGGATAATGCAAATAGTCGTAGACAGATCCCTTCGTAAGAAAGCTAATGGACAAACACGAGGCCAAACTCACATACACTCATCAAAACCTTATTGTATTTACTCTTACTTGGAAGAAAACAGTGAACGTACACACAAAGCTTTATGATTTGAACTATGTATCACCAGATGATGGGAAAGGGGGCAAAAGATAGGATAAGATGGCGAATAAAACCCTCCGGACGCCGCGACAGAAGCGCCCAAGCGGACGGCACATTTTTCGAGCAAATCATTAAAATACAAGATAATGGGAATGGAGAAAGGCTTGCAAAATGTACTCTTACCGCACCGAGACGCCGGAACGGTTGGTAAACATCCGAGCGGCAATGTTCATCGAGGCCAGCTCTTGGAACAGAAGCTTGGCGGCGTAGGGGATGTGGACTTGTGAGATGCGATGCTTGTTATTGCACAGGCGGCACTCGAAGAGACCCTTCTTGAGTTTGCTGTACACGCGGGCGTTGTTAGTATTGTGTTGATATCGATACCGAACAGTGAACAGATATTAGAAAAGAAAGGGGGGGGGGGGGGACTCACGCAATCGGGGTCATTAAGCCACAGTCGTCGCAAATATGGACACGGAAAGGGTCAGATACGTCGAACAGACGCTCCTTTAAGAAAGCACTGGCACCGTGGGCGATCATACAATCGCGCTCCATCTCTCCGAATCGCAGACCACCATCACGAGCACGACCTTCCACAGGTTGACGGGTCAGAATCTGAGTTGGTCCACGGGCACGGGCGTGGATCTTGTCGTCGACCATGTGACGCAAACGCTGGTAATACGTTGGGCCCAAGAATACCTGCGCCACCAGCTTGCGGCCGGTGTGGCCATTGTACATGACCTCGAATCCACGAGACTGGTAGCCGTGTTCACGCAGCAGTCGGGAGACTGAGTCAACAGTCACGTCGGTGAAGGGGGTAGCATCACCTTCGAAGCCACGGAGTGCCGACACTTTACTAAGCTGACACTCGATCAAATGGGCAATAGTCATACGAGACGGAATTGCGTGCGGGTTAATGATCAGGTCAGGCACAACACCTTCCCGAGTGAAGGGCATGTCCTCTTGTCGGTAAGTGATACCAATGGTACCCTTCTGTCCGTGACGAGACGCGAATTTATCGCCAATCTGGGGAACCTTGGTGGTACGCATGCGGACCTTGACGAATTTGAGGTCATCACTGCCAGTGGAAATCAACACTTGGTCCACAATACCATTCTCCGTGCTTCGCAGAGGGGTTGAGACATCAACCTTGGTGTGAGCCTTGGTGCGCTGTCCTAGTTCCTCGGCATCGGGTGCCAAAGGAGCGGTCTTGCCGATAATGATGTCTTCTCCGGAGACGCGAACACCCGGAGCCACGATACCATCTGCGTCAATCTTTTCGTAGGTGCCCTTTCGCATACCAATGGTGTCGGACCGCATGGGCTTCTCAAATCGCTCAACGACTGTCAAGCCCACCTTTTTCTCAGAGTCTGTATATGTACGATAGAAAAGACTGCGGAACAAGCCACGATCGATGCTGCTTTGGTTCATAATGACGGAATCTTCTTGGTTGTAACCAGAGTAACAAGCGATTGCGACAATTGCGTTTTGACCAGCAGGGAGTTCACGGAAACGCAAGAACTCCATCGACCGGGTAGTGGCCAGGGGCTTCTGAGGGTAGTAAAGAATGTTTGCCATAGTCTCCATACGCTGTGCGAAGTTGGTCAAGAACACTCCCATAGCCTGTTTACCCATTGCAGACTGATATGTGTTACGAGGTGACTGGTTGTGATCTGGGAAGGGAATGATACTGGCACAAACACCCAGAATCATACTTGGGTGAATTTCGCAGTGCGTCCAGGTGTGTGCCCGTTGGCTCAGAATGGAGCGGACTCGCTTGTTGGGATCATTGGTCTCCTCCTCTGGCAGCGCATAGCCAGCTTGAAGTTGCTTGGAGATTTCCAAGTCTTCGGGTGTCATCACAATCATAATCGTTTCCTCTTCCTCCGCATCCACAATTTCCACAGCTCCTGATCTCACCAGTCCTTCCCATCCGAAATAGCGTTCCCGGCGTTCTTCTGGGTCTAGGTCTGGCGGCAAATCCTTGTCTTGTTCTAGACTGCGAATGTGGTCCTTGTTGAGAACCAATGATCCAGCATTCCGGCTCTTAGGATCATTATCCACCACGAACAAGGGGCGACACACTCGTCCGGCGTCGGTGAAAATCTTGAATTCTCGCTCACGAATATCACGAATCAGACTGACCTCAGGAGAAATCAGGTTTCGTCGACGCAAAGATTGCATGGTGCTGACGAGGTGGGAAGGATCACGGTGGATACCAACCCAGACACCGTTCACAAACACCTTGGTAGCATTCGGTGTGACTTGAGGCTCAAATTCTTCGAGGACTTCCATGTTGCGGTTGATCATGAAATCGATGATGGGCTCACTGGGTGTACCGACAGTAATATAGCACATGAGTGCCAAATTCTTGACGAGACCACAAGCTTGACCTTCAGGAGTTTCAGCAGGACACACCAGGCCCCAGTGAGTATTATGAAGTTGGCGCGGCTTGGCAATCTTGCCATCTCGGCCAATGGGCGTATTGGTACGGCGCAAGTGAGATAAGGTAGAGGCATAGGTATAACGACTGAGCACTTGAGACACACCAGCCTTGGCGCTAGCGGCCTTCTTCTGTTCACCCCAGTTACCCGTTGCCAAGGCATACTTCAGACCACCAGTCAGGGTGATGGACTTGAGGCCAACATTGAGATAAATTTCGTTATTAGACTCAACACGCTGTTGCACGTAGCGCTGCAGGTCACGGGTGACACGAGTGAAAAGAACACGGAAAAGGTTGGCAAGAAGGGGCCCAGCCAAGTCCAAACGCTTCTTTCCGAAGTGATCACGGTCGTCAACATCGCGGCGGCCAAGAGCACATTGCAGCAGTCGGTGCACCATGTAACCCAGGAAAAAGGCTTTTCGAGTTTCACTGCCCTCGGTTTGCGAAATATGCGGTAACAGTTCTTTCTGCATAATTTCGCGTGCATAACGCACACGTCGCTCATGGTTGAGGTTGGCCTGCGAAGAACCACGCTTGGCGATGAAATCGAGAGCAACCTCTCGGTCCTGAATAACAAAGCCCTCCTCAATACACGGCTTCAGCATCTCTAACATGGGGGTATCATTGCGGTCATAGCAAATGTGGTTGAGAATATCCTCATCAGACACAACGCCTAGGGCACGGAAGACAACAACAATCGGAATTTCGGTCTTGACGTATGGGAGGGTGGAACGAATGGTAGGGCCGAATCCGCCCTTGGCACTGTCACCCTTGGCAAAAAGACCGATTGAGAGCTGGGAAAGAAGACGCGATCCTTTCTCTACGGCACTGCGAATTTCCGCAACATAAGGTGTTTTGGTTGGAGCGGCCTTCTTGAAGACCTGCACAATGTTTCCAGCACTTCGCTCTTGCGCAATGAGAACTTTTTCACTGCCGTTGATGATGAAGTAACCGCCAGAATCGTACGGGCATTCATTCCAGGCATAAAGTGATTGCTCATTCAGGTCCTTCAGAATACAGTACTTGGACTTGAGCATGATGGGCATCTTGCCAATGAATACCGTTTCCTCCTTCATCTGCTCTGGCGCAAATTCTTTCTGCTCCCATTGAAGGTATGCTCCACGGTTCTTTCGGTCCTCATCAACCTCACCAGCCTCGTCATCATCTGGATCAGCCACTTGACGTTCCCTGCCTTCCATAATCTTTTTCGTGATACCCAGGTACAGCGGGCTCGCATAGGTAAGGTTTCGCAGACGGGCTTCTTGTGGCAACATGATCGTAGTCGCTCCGTCGCCTTCAGTGACGGAGGGTCGGGAAAGCATGACAGTACCAAATTTGAGCTCGTAACGACGGACGACCACGGGGTCGACTTCATCTTCGGACGGCGGGAGGGTCTGGTCGAGAACCACTTGTCCTTGTTCCTCCACTAATTCCTGCATAGTCGATGAAATGAACTCATCGAAGGAGTCCAGCTGCTGAGACACGAGACCCTTCGTGTCGAAAAAAGAAGAGATCACTGTCCAGCAGTCTTCGGATGTGATTCCCTCATCGCCATCATCGTAGAACTCGTCCTCGTAGGCGTCATCGTAGTCGGCCATGGTTAAAAATCCTGTGAGTTCCCCTCACACGTTCGATAAACGAAAGAAAGAGAGACTGATCCGCGGAGAGCGCAGTGAGGGCGCGTCGACGGCCGAGAAAGGCAGTGACCGAGAGAATCACCCAACGCGCTGCGACACCCACCTGTCAGTGACTGGCGAGAAGACTTTTTTGGCGGTCGTCACAGACAAGGAAGGAAGGGCGACCTGAGGAGCTCGGTGGGATGAAAGCAGATCTCCCAGCGGTGGCAGGATGAAGGGACTGATCTCCAAGGATCTTGATGCTTCGGCGCCGCCGAAATACACTAGTCCCGATAAGGTAATCCATCATCACGTGAAACACGTGATGATGTCTTGGACGAGTCCTCCGAACAATTCATCACTTCAAGTTAATGTTATTTTGTTTATGGGAAAAATTCCAGGCCTGATGGATTCCTGTTCCATTGAATGCTAGGTTAGTTATATTGACACAAGGCTACTTTTGGGTAATGATCTGTAGGCAACTCCTGTCCTCTCATGCCTTCTAATTCTGCATAGGTAATTTTGTAGTTGGGAAGCTTACAAGTTTATCATGGCTACAGAGGTTGATTACTATGATATAGAATCCGCAAACATGAACCACAGTGCTACCTAGAGTCCTGCTGAATTTTATTAGCATAGGGAAATGTTGCGGTCTTGGCGGATATCAATATATATCTCGCAGTATTTACTTCAACTTTCCATTCACGATTAAATTCAAACATGGCTAGTTTTTGATGGTACTATCACAGATTGCAAACTCAAGAAATCAACCACAAATTGATTGTTGCTCTCTACAAATCAATGCGCTATGAATGTTGGTGTTTTGCCCCGCAGAATGTCGGCCCCGAGTGACAAGGCCATCCACCGCTACAAAAGCACAGCCACTTTAAACCCCTGTCTTCTAATTTATAAAGAATTATGGGACTGCAAAAATCGTAGAGAAAGGTTTCCTGGAAGTATTTTCATCCAACATGGAAGACGGCAGGTTCTTACCCTAAGGATCCATTACTTGCATTTGGCATACTTCTCGATTTGTCATGCAATCAGGCCTTGCTAGAATCGTAGAGGAATCTCTTCGAGATTCAATTCGATAGGAAATTTGTTGGGAACGAAGTACGCTCGACTCAATTACAAATTTCAGCGATGAGATACTCTATCATACTCTCATCACAGTGATGTCCGAAGGCAAGTTCTCTTTAATATTAATGGATTTTGGACCGGGTTAGAGGCCCAGCCTTACGGCTTATATAATGTACATGTATGGTGTGATCATATCTTATTGGTAGAATAGCTTCACAGGAACTGGAGTAAGGTGCTAAGCATATCCTTAAAGTCCTTTTGTTTAGCTTCCTCCTCAACAATACCTTCCAGTTGTTCTACAGAAGTCAGAAGTCAGAATAATAAACACTGCTTATATAGAAGATGGCAGAAAACTTACCTTCCAGAGTAGCGCGGACCAAGGATAGGTCTTCATCCCGGTCAGCTAACAGAGAAGTGACCTTTTTCTTTGCCCCGTCATCCTCGGCAACTAACCATGCCAGAATGATATCAATTGTCTGTTCAGTCTGTTTAGTGACAGGCTAGGTCTTAGAAATAGAAACGGGATGCATACCTGCAGGGAGAAGAGCCCGGCATCGAAGCGGCGAGACAGCCATTCGCCAGCCATCAATTCTCGATCCTCCTCTGTAAGACCCCTGCGTTCTTTCTCGATAGCTTGCTCAACAGGAGATAGTCTTGCAGCATATTCCCGTCGCAGTTTGATGAGCTTTTCAATCTTCTCATAGTCTTTCTCCATGAATTTGGCCAATGTCCTGATACGTGGCGCGGAACCGCCAGGAAGAAGCCGAAGGAGCGAAGCAAAAATGCCCAACAGATGCTCGATATTCTGACTTTCTTGCTTCATGATGTAAGTCGTGTGCCTCATGATACGAAAATGTTGATCATACCTTTTTCATGAACATCCCAAAAATGGTCCTGAGGCCGGCCGCTTCAATCAAGTGCTCGCATGCCGGACCACCACCAACCCCTCCAAGGGCATGATCAAGAACTCGAAGAGCTCGTGGCTTGCTGAACTTGCTCTCTTTGAGCATGATCTGTGCCAGCTCAATGCCTTCCGCCTCGATGAACTTCTCCTTACCCAAGTCCTCATCCACGAGGCAAACTAGGGAGTCAAACAAGTTCTCCACAAATTCTTCTTCATCGGAGTCCTTCTCGGGATCTCGTTTACGATATTGACTGAGAATTTGGAGGAGCGTATCGATCCCCTCAAGCCCAACAAACTTCTCTCGGTTTTTCGAAGAGGATTGAAGGAGAATAGCAAGGATTTCTGCAGCATACTGCTTATTTTGAGTCACAGGTGATTCCTTTTTCTGGATACGAGACAAGATCCATGGCAAGATCGAGGCATCCTGCCCAATTTTCTCTGCCAGTGACGTCTGGGAGGATAGATTTTCCAAAACGTCTAGAGTTAAGATTAGTAATTAGTAAATAGCATTATCCGAAATGGACTCACTGAGAACATAGTAGACACCAGCTCTGTCAGTTTCCACATTCTCGTCAAACCGGGAAAGGTTCTGAGTCAACAGTTCGATAAGATCGGCGTCCATCTTGTACTTGTCAGCCCGCTCTCTGTATAGTTTCCGATAAGCACCATTTCAAACATACCAAAGCATTGACCAGGCTGTCCCACTGTTCCTGCTCAGCCTCCACATCCTCATCGGTCAGCTCGCTGATTATTTGGATAACACCAATCGAGATATCCGCATTCTCGTGCGAAAGTAACGACACCAGCGAGCCTACACAGCCCATTTTTGCGAACTCTTCGTAAAGGTCGGAATGCTCCGACAAGATCGATAAGCCCTTGATCTCAGTGTCAAGGTCGGCCTCCGAAACCATGAACCTGCAACCCAGTCAGCATGGACAAACCAGAGCTATCCAGCAATACCAAGGCTTTACACACTTCTTAGGATCATTCTCAAATTTTGCCCGTAATTCTGAGTTCTTGGAAATCTTCTTCTCGAAGTTCAGAGCGAAACGGCGTACCCAAGCGGTGTCGAAATTCTCCGGCTGTTCGAGCGAAGGGCTGTCAGCTTGCGAACCTCAATATTGGACTCCAAATTAGGGTTCATACAGCAGTTTCCTCTCCCTCCTGTTCGTCAATATAAGACATTGCCTGAGCGGTCTTTTGTTCCATTCCCCCGCCAAAGAAGCGACCCTCTTCGTCATCTGGTGCATCTTCGTCGAAATCCGGGGGCAATTCGGGCCCTGCTTCTCCATCTTCGGAAAAATCATCTTCTACCATAGCCTCTTTGCCTTTCGATCTTACATCGCCATTGGAATCTAGCTTAGCAGCTTTGTATAGCTCATCTTCAATCTTGTGTTAGCGCGGTGTTGTGGAGATGCTTGCAGGCGGTAGAAGAGCATACTGGGGTCTTGGACAGGCTCAAACTTGCGCTTAGAGCTGCCAGAGGAGATTGGCTTCTGCTAGAATGTTAAATCTTCTGAAACAATTCCCCTGGGAGCACCAGCAGTACTCACTTTGAAGAGGTCGTCGACGCTTGTCATGGCTGCGGCAAACGCACTGGAGCTGGCGAGCGCTGGTAGAACAAGACCACTGCGTGGACTCAATATTAAACAGATCAATAAGAAGAAGCAAATATTCTGGGAGCACTGCACGCCAGCACTCAAGGAACGGCTTGATTTTAGTTAAGTCGCAGTCGCGTTCACCAGCTGTTGCGCGGCGCAAAAGATATACGGTCGCCGTAGAGCACCAAAGACGCAGTGACGCCAAGTGATTCAAGTGGTTCCGGCGGCCGCAGATTTCTCGACTCTCCGATCACTTCACACTCAACCTCACTATCCATTTCTCCTGTCCCACAGCCACTCCCAACTTCTTTCACAATGGCTCCCAAGCGCGTTGCTGTCTCCTCTGGCCCCCAGAAGGGCTTCCTGACCACCATCTATGATGAGGCCACCAACCCCGAGAACACCACCATTGTTCGAAGCCTCTTGGTCTTCGGTGTATGTTTTCTACGCCACATCTTGAATAATAATGCAATTCATGATCTAATATCGCTTTTTCTTTTAGGCCGGTGTTGCATTCCTCCACAGCAGCCTCGGCGAGCTCCTGCTGCCTCCGTAAGTTGAACAGGTCCGAGTTCCGACACAAGCTGGCCCTCGACTAATCTGATCTGCTTGCAGTATGTAAAACCATTTCCGCCTCCAAAATTCATCCGCTCGACTCGAATCGTTTTCTCCGCACTCCGCGAAAGCATACTGGCGTCGATCAAGGGGATAGGTTGTATGGACATTGCTCGCTCGATACCATTCTGAATCCCTCTGTATAATAGTCTGTTAGAAGGGCATGCATCAAACCATCAATGATGTTTTGCCCCGTTGATTTGTTATGAATACCAAATATTTTGATACTTTCTCTATCGATTTGATTTGGTGCGATTAGCCATACTTCAAACACCGAGGACCACGTAGCAAAGTCGTGGATAGCGAACGCAGTATCAAGCATCTAGGATTGGGTGATCTGCTGAAATGCTCCTCATTTTATTTGAAATATGAAAAAAATCAATTCGAATGGCACCCTTGTAGCTGGCATGGATTGTGAAGTGCAGCTGCACTGCGCGCACCACCCCTACAATAGCCCCTTGGCTGCTGTCAGAGGAACTAATTTGATGTTGAGAGGTGTATCGCGTACTATCCCGTGTGCCCTGTGTTTAATGTTCTGGGCTCTGTCTCCCATTTTGAAAGCAAAAGAAGAACTCGGACAAGAAATGGAACCAAGGCTAGAATCTTGTGAAAAATGAATCTGTTGTGCAATGGGTTGAAGAAAAAAAGAACACTTGGTCCTGACTGTTTCCTGGTCGACAATTCAAGCATTCCTGAGCCAAGCTGTATCATAGGTTTATCGTCCTCTGACTGTCAAGGACATGTATTAAGTTGAGACTAGAGAACCCGTTATCAAGTGTGTAGAAACTTAATTTTGATGAAACGTGAGGAATATTTCGAGAAGAGTGTCTGGAATTGGATTTATTATTTCCTTTCAAGATTGACATAGATTTTTATTAAGATAAAAGATCAACCACCAGCAAGAAAACGGAGGATCTCCTCAAATTCAATTCATGCAGGGAATATTGTAAAATCAAATCGAAGCAGGCTGAAGTGATTAGTACTCAATTAGCTGCTCAAGAAGGCGACAGGGAACAGGAAGTGAAGATTAAGCAATCTAACATTGGACTCTGAGGACTGTGACCTCTTGTCAAGTCCCACCGAACTTGAATGGGACCTTTCGACAAAGCTGCACTACAATTAGCGTAGGATTAACCGTAAATGCTAAATACTTGGACACTCGTGACCGTCAAACCCGCTATCCAATCCCACATCAGCCTCCGCAAAATCACCCCCCACATTTTCCCCCGGTTCCCGATCACCGCCTTTCCCCTGCCAGAGCTAAACGTAGTACAAACTCTCCTCCCGGTCTTCTGCATGCCGATCGTATCAAATCCTCCAGCAACTGGAAACTTTTGCATTACCAAAAGCTGTCAAATACAGATGGCTACTAAATGAGCCTGGCGATGGCTTTATCTCCAAAAAGCAACGCGCTGGCGCTGAAGCGCACGCTGCAGAACGCAGATCATCGCCACGAGCGCTCATCTAAGCGACATTATCTCGGAGGTCACGAGGAGCAGACACCATGGCTCTATGAGACCAAGCCACTCAATGGCTGGCGCTCTCTCGGCGATCCGGCAGTGCAAAACTCGTTACCGCTGGCGAACATGGTGTCTGCTGTTCAGGACTTGATTGACCCGGATTTTGATCCGTTGACTGCTATTTTGGATGACGAGCCTCGTTTCTTGAAACCGTTAGCAGATCGCATCGCGCCAGAGGACTTGGAGTTTTTACGTTTTCGAGGTGCGCTTTCGATTCCCGAGAGTGGTCTGCGAAACGAGCTCTTGCGGTCTTATATCCTATGGGTACACAGTTTCATGCCGGTACTCAACCTCCAGGATTTTTTGCGTTGTGTCGCAGAGAACGACCCGGAAGGAAATGTTAGCGTGCTGCTTTTTCAGGCAGTGATGTTCGTGGGGACGGCATTTATTGATCTCAAGCATCTGCAAGATGCAGGATACTCGACTCGAAAGAGCGCGCGCAATGCCTTTTTTACCCGGCTCAGGGTAGGTTTTTCAAACCATTTGAGCAGGCGGGAAATATTATGCTAATTTTGCAAATTGTGCAGCTACTCTATTCCTTTGATTGCGAAGAAGATCGCATCGTAATTCTCCAAACGCTCCTTTTGATGACCTACTGGTCAGATCCCGAGAACAGTCCACAGCGTGATATCTGGGATTGGATCGGAGTATGCAACACACAGGCACACTCTATCGGACTGAACAAAGATCCTTCAGCTGGCGATATGGATATCAAGACGAGACGGTTGCGCACTCGACTCTGGTGGTGCTTATACTCGCGAGACCGGCTCATCGCCATGGGGATGCGCCGACCACTGCAAGTGAATGAAGGAACAAGCAATGTTCCTATGTTAAGATCAGAAGACTTTGATTTTGAGCCTTTTTCGCCTTCGGCTGTGGCCCTCTTCCGTTGTCGTCAGCTTGAAGACGTGTCGCATCAAAAACGTCTAGCGACCATGTTCATCGAAAAGGTAAAGCTTTGCCAGTGTATTGGCAGAGTTCTATTTGCACAGTATGCTCCTTCACAGCGCCAATTTGGAACAACTGATCGGACCACCGTTACCTTGATTCCACGACAGGCGTCAGAATCGGAGTTTACTCGATGCAGTCAGAAGCTTGACTCGTGGCTTAGTGCACTTCCTAAAGATGCCCAATTTATCCCGGCTTCCAGGAGCAATTTTCGTGATGGTGAAGATGTTCTGCTTCTCCACGGCGCTATGCTTCGCATGCTATACCATGCCACCACCAGTGCCCTACACCGTCCGTGGGCAGCTCATTCCAAGGACCAGTCAAAGTCCCGTACGGAGTGGCGTAAGATTGCTCGCACGAAAATGCATGATGCTGCGGCGGGTATCACGCACATTATCCAAGGCCTTAACCAACTCAATCTCACGCGGTTCCTTCCACAGTCCGGCGTGACTGTGATTCTCCCAGCTGCGGTAGCGCACCTATCAAACTCTATGTCCGATAATCCTGCAGTCCGCGAGAGTAGCATCTATAACTTTCACCGCTGCATTCAAGTGTTGCATTGCCTGAAAGACATGTACCCCGCTGCCAATGTCGAGTTTGCCAACCTTGAAGCTGCCATCAAGATGCAGAGTGGCAATTGCAACTCCAATACGTTCTTCCAAATCATGCAATACGATTTCAACGCCCCCGCCTCACCTTTCAATGCCAACACAGACGTACGAAAACCGAGCAGTGCGGATTCTATCACTGCCGCCCATTCCATTCGCCAACTGGAAGACAAATCCGTGACTCCAGCCGAAACTCCGGGCTCTCGGTCCGGGACATCGTCCACCGCATCAGACACGCAGCGGCAACGCCAGTCCACCTCCGAGACAGCTCAAAATACCTCTTCTACTCCTCTAAATTCAACCAATCCATCTCACCGCCCTTTCCCCAACGACTTCGATGACCACTTCATGGCAACAGACTCCTCCAGCAACGCCGATAACCCCTTCAGTTTCCTCGACATTGACTTTGACACCTTCCCAAATGTCGCTGGATCCGACCCCAAATCCCTCAACATTCCCTCAAATCAAGGCCTTGACAGCATAGACTGGACACAAGCCTTATTTCAAGGAACTTCTCTACCGGATCTGGAAAATTCAAATTCTTTCGAGACCCAGCGACGAACACAAGGCATGTCACATAACTCACAGAGCGGGCAGGACCAAGAGCAGGATCTCTTTGCGTTTGCACTGAAAGATGATATCGAGGGAGAATCTCATTTAAGCAGCCATTCATCTGGGCATGTTAACGGTAATATCACTGGTGATTTGGATCGGGATCTTGGGTTTCAGACTGGCGACGAGGGATTCTAAAGTTATTGCCTGGCGCACTTATGAATGCTTTACCTACCGGTATTTTTCTTTTCGATTTTCATATTTCTAGGCTTTTATGAGGACTGCGTATATATGATGTGACATGATAGGACAATCGGACGACGGTATAGTTTGTATTTATAATTGATTTTCAAAACTTCTCCAAGTATCACTATCAGTGGCGCGTCAAGCTATAGGAATTTCAACGTTAAAAGCATATTTGAGTTGACCCGTCGATATTAAATCTATAAATCATTCAAAATATTTACACCCACAGAGGCTTATTTGTTCAAGATGCAAGCAAATCACGTCAATCATGAACTCATTACATGAAAATACGCCAACCCTGCCCAACTCATCTTGCTGGGCGCATTCCCCACTACTCATTACAGCTTCGCCGCAGGCTGCAAGAGATGCTTCATCTCAGAATTTGGGTATTCTACGTTCTGGGACGAATCTGGACGCTGGCGGTCCCACGCCCACTTCTCTTCCAATTCAGGCTCCAGCTCACCCTCGAGCATTTGCAGGATATACTTCCCTAGCACTGGGAAGAATTTGTAACCGTGGAAGGAGCCGCATGTTGCGATAAAGAGTCCCTTAGCGGCGGAGTGAGGGGAAATTATGAAGTCAGAGGTGGTGGTAAAAGCGTCCCTGTCCAATGTTAATGTCTCAACTCCGTACTTCCGTGTGTTTGTCAAGGATGGAGTGAACTCACCAGCAGATTCGGTGTTTCGTCATCTTCCAGTCCGCGCTTGCGGGGCCATACCAGAGATTTCTGGACTCAATGATGTCCTGTTTAAGAGGCCCAGGAACTTTCCACTGATTATAATCGTGTGTGGGCGGCGGAGAAGAGATGGACCGGCCCGGCGACACCTCTCGAGTATTTGTGAAGATCTTGGAGCCCCACCACTTAAGCTCTCCATCCTTGGTAGGGGGGAGTGTGCCAATGAATGGCTTGCCTGCAAGCATGATCAGTCTCATTCATTCTAATATACGGTACCCGAAAGAAACAGGCCAAAAAAAAGAATGAATAAAGACTTACCCTCCTCAGGTGTGTATCCCTGGAAGCCAACAGGCATGTCTTTGAACTTCTTATATTGTTCATCATCGAGCTGCGCCATTCCAGTAGTAATTCCCGCAGCCAGGATGCGCTCTTCAGCTCGAAGACCCGGATTGCCGCTCTTCGCCGCACTCCACTCTAGCAGCGTGGGCGTGAACGCACCCGCAGCGACGATGACATGCGTGGCGGACAAGATTGCTCCCGATCTCGTCTTCACACCTGTGCAAGAGCCACGACCATCGAATTCCAGAGAAGCAACGTCGGCCGTCACATATTTCACGCCCAGCTCCAGGCACCGCTTCGTGACCCCTCGAAGGGAATCCCCCGCGGCGGCCCATCCACTAGCCCGGTTCACGAGCACCTCCTTGACGCCCGTGTAGTCGGCATTGTCAAAAAGGCCCCCGTATAGCTTGCGCGCCTCAGCGACTGGCAAGGCAATGATGTCGTCATTGCGACCGAGCTCCTTGTGATGGGTGATGACGTTCTGCGCATAGTCGCTGCGGCATGTCCAGTAGACGCCGGTCTGGTGAAAATACGGCTGCCATAACGGATCCGACTTGAAAATGTCCTGCGCTTCTAGAGCCATGCGACAGTAGACTTTGTCGTCGTAGTCAGCGCGAACCACCTTGTTCCAATCCCACGATGCGGCTACCCGGGACTCGGCGTCGTATGCATCGCGGTCCACCAGCGTCACTGAGGCATTGGGGTATTTCTGGATGAGATGGTAGGCAGTTGACACGCCGAAGACGCCCGCGCCAATTATCAGGTAGGATGGAGAGGATTGAGAAGCCATGCTGAAGGAGCTGCTCTGATTATTTTCCACCACGACCGATGCAATTGACTGCTTATCGGTTTGGGGAACTATATATAAGGCATGAGCTGTAGGCGGGTGCGGCCCGGCCGAGCCGATCACGTGGGGATAGCAAATGAGCAGCTTTCGCCGTTTTTCAAGGTGCTCATTTGGAAGGAACGCGGGAAACTCACGTATTCGGTAAAGTGATCCCGACTGATACTGAAAATAATAATCGACCAGGTGATTCCGTTGAAATCTACAGGAAATCTATAAATACACACCTTGAAACACACAGATCCATGTTAAGTTCAGTGGATTCTCATGATTGATCTATCCTGGCTAATAGTCCCAGATTTGACAAAATTTCGAGCTCCATGGTTTCGATTACCACGAGATAATTATACTGTAGGATCGATGTTCATTAACACGGGCAACGGGGATAGCCCCGAGCGCGGGGTGCAACAGGATGTGGGGAAGATCGGGCTGAAGGTCGTTTTCCGTGACCCGGGCCGTTACGGGCCGTGCGCAGAGACGCCGGCTGGACTCTCAGTGGACATAGATAAACCCAGTATATAGGCGCGTAGCTGGGCTAGATTGTAATGAAATTTGTCACTTTCTCTCCCCCCCTTCCTCCCCGAAAGGAATACATTGCAAAAAAATACGAAATAGAGTACAGTAGTTAGGACACCAGGATCGAATCTAGGGAGCGCTTGTCCCTATAGGTAGATTTGACAAAAGCATTCAGAGAGTTGTATCTGAAACAACCACGGCCGCATTCTCTACTCTTCTATTAATGGATATCATAGGCCAGGTTCATCTTTCAGGTCTCTATCAGAGAGCAGGTCTTTCACAACAGCAAGGAAATAAGCAAAAAAAAGAAACTTTGTGCTCGCAATATTTCGTTACCATGCATTAAAGGGCAACCCGATTATGTTCGTTGCATCCAGCGATTGCTCTCGTCGCCTTCTGCCCAGCGCTGCTCAGTGTAGCCCAGCTGCTTCTTCACCTCCTGGACCTTGGCTTCATCGCCGGTGTTCTTGCCTATGTTGTCACTGAGCTTCACCGCCGGGCAGCCATTTGCTGTGGCGATTTTGATGACGATGTTGAGTGGTTTTGATTTCTCGCCATTGGACTTGTTCACGAAGTCATCTACATCGTGATGGGTTAGAATGAGAGAAGAAAGGGTCTCCAGGTTCTCCTTAAAACAATTGAACGTACTAGTAAAGAAAGTCCCCACGCCGAACGACGGGATGAACTGCGCCTCTTCGGAAATGGTCTTGTATTCAAGACAGTGCTCGATATCCAACGAGTCCGAGAACACAACCATCTTCTTGTCCGTGATTCCCTCTCGGTCATAGAAATCGCGTACCATCTTGACAAAGTAGGTCGGGTCACCCGAGTCCTGGCGGACGCCAGTATAGACCTGAGCATAGGTCTTGGCTGGTGAAGAGCCATCTCGGGGGAGAATCGATTCTGGGATTGGTTTAGAGAAAGCTTCCAAGAAAGCCGGAGTGCCAAAAGTATCAGTGAGCGCGATACCAAGAACCTATTTAACGAATGTTAGCCCACAATTATATTGTTAACACAAATAATTGAGAAGCACTCACGCCTTCGCCAAAGCATCCGAGCCAGTACCCGAGGGCCAGCTCATTAGCATTTGTATAATCGTTTGTGATGGCTGCGATGGTCATGTACCATTCATGCGCCACGGTACCCACGGCATTGACGTTGTACTTCATGGCAAAGTGAACATTACTGGTGCCAGTCAACGCTCCCTTCCAGCCTTTCTGCTTTCCTTCTTCGGAAGCGCGGCACAACCCCTTCATCACGAGGTCATGGGTGTGGTAGTCTCGTCGACGGCGAGAGCCAAACTCCGAGAACACGCATCCATTCTCCAGAAGTGTACAACCCTTCCGATATGCTTTTTCTTCTTGGTTGTGATGATCCCAGTCCGTATTGCTGAACATGAAATACGCCTGACTAGTCAGCGCCAGCAGTGGAATTTCATACAGGATCGTGTCGACCCAGAGACCCTTGATGGTATACTCCACGACACCCTCATCCTCATCACTGCCTGTGTCTTGTGTCGGAGTAAATTTGATTTCAATCTGCTCGATTGGCTTGAGCTGGAATGTTTCGAGGAAGGTAAGGTAGGTGTCGTTGAGGTAGGGGCATTTCTTCTTGAGAAATGCACGCTCTTCGGCAGTGACACGGACGTTGGCGAGCTCTGGGAAATCAATATTAGCCCAGATATGCGATGTCTCCAACCATGAAGGTGCAAATTAGAACACTCACTCTCCATCTGTTCCAGAAGCCATTTGTAAGCCCCTCGGCGCAGTTTCATATCCGGGGTTCGATTCGTGAAACCATAAGTGACATCTGTCATATGTCAGGCGAGGATTTCGATATGTATATGTGTTTGAGAGAGAGTACTAACCAACATCAGGGAAATATTTGAGAATCGCGCATTGCATCGTCAGCTTGTAGAGATCTGTATCCAGAAGGGAGAAGATGCCGTCCGGCAATGGAGGGGTAGCTTCCTGGCCCATTTTGATGGTTGACCGGATCCTCCGGTCGAAAAGCTAGAGGATCAATGAGAGACGGGATATTCAAGAAATATGATGCTGAGGCAAACGTAGGAGAAGTCCAACACTCAGCGCGGGCTAGGCATACGATGATTGACGTGACTTTACTCTTTCGCAAGCATATGTTTTAGCGCGGGGAAAATCCCGATATGCCGGGAGTTTGCACTGTTTGTGAGCATTACGTGGATGCAAGACGCGGCCATGTGGACTTTGAAGATGAGATCCATAGTAAACAGAGTTGAATTGATCAGATACTGGTAAAGGCATGAGCAAGTGAGCTTTAAATTGCTTCTTGATGGCTCCTCGTGTCTTGTATATTTAAGACGATCATTGTCTGCACGCTATGGCCCCTCTGTGAAGCCCTAATCAGCCCATGGCTGGCCCGATAGTTATGGAAATATATAGTTTTAAGGTTCTTGAAAGACTTTTTAGTATTCCTAGATAAATGCGAATGATTGAAGCATATTTTGGAAGGGTAAATATTTTGGTTCATTTCGACAAGTAAGCTAAACCCTTATTAGCTGTTCCAAGCTGGTGAGACGTTTGTTGCTCGCAACAGAGTGAGAGTTACATCATTTGAAAGAGCAGTCTTCTTCTGTGTATCATCTCTCTTCATAATCTCCACCTTTGACCTGAAACTTGGCATCTTCAACCCTGCCTCGAGTCGCAACACAAGTTGCCCAAGGATACCCGAGATATCGACCTTGCGAGAACCTCTTGGATCCGCTTCAGGTCCCGGCAGATCGTCATAATGGATCCTGACTCATCCGTAACTGCTGAGTCAGCGGCTGAGACCGGCCCTCGACAAGTCAGCAATGGATTTATCTCCTTGCGGCTAACTCTACGCCCCGACCCCATCAACGACCAAGAAAGTGTTGATTCTGGGAGCCCAACTACAAATTCAAGGCCCCGCGAAAGGCCTAAGAAAGAAAGCTCTCCCAGCCAGCGCAAGCCCAGAACTTCTCGTCACACCGCGACTCGATTTGCCCGCCACAGGCGACCGCCCAAATCCCCTAGGCCGATCATGGCGCACGGTGCGGAGGACTGCGCAACCGTCTTAGAGCAATTTGTTCACGATGTGGCAAATTTACCGCTTGAGATCAATCATCTGATGGAGGAGATCCAAGCGAAAGACAAGACGATGCAGGAATGTCGGACCACCATCAATTCTCGGGACGGAAGTATTCAGAAATTCATCAAGATGAACGGCAGTCTAGCGCCGAACCCGAAAGAGGAGCAATATAGCAAAACAATACTTCAAAATCTCGACCAGTGCCAGCAGTTACAGGATGAGAAGATCCAGCTCAGCGAGAAGGCATGCGTCCTGCTCGACCGACAAATCAAACGACTAGACGTGCGGATTCGGGATCTCGTCAATGAAGGCCTACTCTCGAATGACCCGCCGCTGCCTTCGCTCTTCGATAATCACAATAAATACCGCGACCCGCCCAAGGTCTTCTTTCCTGATTCCACTCCTGCCGACTCTCCCTCCTACGCCACGCCTCTCAACCCACCTTCCGGAACCTCGAACCTCGTCCTAGCAGCAGCCCAACGCCTGAGCCAAGCCGTCCCCCGCGCCCCGGGTCCAATCTCTTTGGCCACACAAACAGGCGCACGAAGCTCTGCACCTGCAACTCCTGCTGGTGCAGCCGCTGTTCAATTCCAACAACGCCAGCGTGAGTCCTCCGCGGGCGCCGTCGACAGCAAGCGCCGTCGCTTAAATACCTCTCTCGGTACGCTTCCCGCTGCCTCATCTAATCTTCGACAATCTTCGCTCGGCCCTGGTACCCCGAAGGCCGGCACACCGGCCGGCAGCCGCGCCGGCAGCGCTGGCCCGCGCGCCAGTACTGGTATCAAAAAGGCTTTGACCAAGAAGGTTGCGCCACACCAGCAGGTGAAGAAAATTAAGACAGCAGCCTCTCACAACAAGCACAACAAGCGCTCTTCCAGTGCTAGCGGGCGCGTCAAGTCCTCGAAGAAGTCGCCCACGGGCGAGGGCGAGGAAGATGACGACTCCATGCTTAGTAGTGCTGACATGTCGGACTCGGATAAGAGCGACGACGCCGGCGGTGATGAGGACGTTGATGAGGAGGATGATGAGGATGAGGGCGCGGAAGATACCCGGGTTTACTGTACCTGCCGCACTGTCAGCCATGGCGATATGGTCGCGTGCGACAACGACAGCTGCCCGTACGAGTGGTTCCACTGGAAGTGTGTCGGGTTGACGCGGGAGCCCGTTGGGACCTGGTACTGTGACGAGTGCCGGAAGACGCTGGGCAAATAGGACTGCTTCCTTGTTGCTAGCATGTTTGTTTCTTGGTGTCTTGTGCGGCCCTTTCAGGATGAGCCCGATTCTTTTTTTTGTTCCCTTCTTGGTTTGCTTTCTCGGTTTGGTTGATATACCCGGGGCGTATGGGATGGAGGAGTCAGGTCATGGGCTTCTCCCATGGTGTAATTTAAATGCATCAGATAAACCTGTTAGCATTGCAAGCTTATTTTCACGTATCTGATGAAACATCTAGATTTGCTCTCTTATCCTTTGGTAGACTAATCCCAGGTTTTTATTCTTTCCAGAGCCTTTTCGAAGCATCATCGAGACATATTGTTGGCAACAGAAGGCTATCAACAACTCTTAAACAATTAGCCTAGAAATACATGTTGTAGTGGTCCTCAGTTGAACCGTTTTCCTGGCAGCGTAGTGGATATCCTAAAGAGGCAATCAATCGGTAGTCTGCCGGACGGAACCTCAATATTGTGACATATGCTGTCAATAAGTGGCGATTATTAAGTGTTTAAAGTTGCAAGACAGATTTTGATGATTTTGATACAGACTACATAATACAAAAATTATACTGAACCCGTGTGAGGGGCGTCTATTGAGATGATCCCTATGGAGAGAGCATTCATAGATTCCCGACTTGCTCAATCACTTGATACACTTCTACAACTTCTTAGGCTGTCTTTCCTTTGGACTTGTCTCTTTATCTCTAGTGACCCTATTCCCAGCATCTTTATCTTGAGTGAGCCGTCTTGCTTCAAAAAGAAGAGATTGCCTCTCCATTCTCCAAGGGATAGATACCACCCAAAAAAGCGCCAGGTCGAGGTAGATGGCTTTGCTGCGAGATAATCTCAACAAGACTCCAAGTTCTTCAAGCGACATCTATATAGCTATTTCCATTCAACTCAATAACAATCCCATTGGGATTTCAACAGCCTGCCGACTCTGATACTTCATAAATGCGAGAAAAAAACCTCCAATGTCATTAAAGATAATTGATTGAATATATAATTCGACACAAAAATTTCATAATATGCTTTCCTTGAAAGTCGGAAAATAGCCACCAGACAATTTCAGAATAAGCTCAGGGAATTGCGAGTCAGGAGCTAGGTGAGGCTCGCAGCAGCCACAATGAGTAGCGTGCAGTATTTTGAGAGGCATCGAAAGATAAATGTATGGTATGGAGCAACAAGTCAATGAATTCTGAAGAGATTCTGTTCATCAATAAGGGGGTTTCCCTTTTTTTTCTGGCCTATGTATATCATGACAAGGGTGGGTTGTAGATAATGTGAAACTCCGTCAAGCAGACTGTTCAGTAGAGCGGTCCAGCAATCCATGATCGGATTGGACCAGAAGCCAAGTGGTATTCGGTATGTATATTCGACTACATGCGTCTCTATGGACTTTCTCGCCTCTTTTCATCAACCTCGCTCTAAAGTCATGCATCGAAAGCCATATAGGTTCGCGAAGCCAGCCATCCACAAGCGACAGCGGCTCCTTCGCCGGAGCGGATACATCAGCGACAGCTTGCCCTACCAAGGGACAGGCAATGCGGAAGAAAATGAACAAAGTATACAACGCCAACGCTATGCACGCGAAATCCCTTTTTTTGGTATCCTCCTATCGTCCATGCAAAACGTATGTGGACACAGTGGGTGCACTGCGCCGGGAGATCAGATAAGCAGCAGGAGGGGGAGATGCTCCCGTTTGCTTTCGGTGGTTGACGAAGTTCGGTTTCGAATCTGTCGTGTCGTACAGCAAGGGTTCTCCCGATTGGAAGGGGGAGGGAGGGGGGGGCCAGCGTACGACTCCTATGTCTGATGGGACTCGAAAACCGATACATTCAAGTATGGTCATGCTTAAAACCCAAGGTTCTTCTCATACCAAGGGTCGAAATATTCACAGGTCTCTGGGCTGATGGCGCCACCGGGAGAGCAAAGGCGGAAGTTGGGGCAAGGCCCGCACGGCGATTCAGTCATGCCGTTACCCCTCTCCATGAGAGGTAGAATGTCCTCGCCTGGCTTCCTGGACTGGGTCGCCTTGATAACGTCCGGGTTCTTCGTAGATTTATAGGAACGCCCATTGTTGAGTGCAACCAGTTTCTTGTCGAAGCAAAGCATCTGAAGCAATTGGACGATGCTCTCTTCTTCCAGGCGTACCGGAGTGATACCACTTTCGTTGACGGCACTGGTGATAAGTTCAACGGTTGGGTAACCGGCGTAATTAGCTGGATATGGAAGATATGTCTTCTCTGCGGACTCCAATTTGATGTCTGCCTTGCCGGTGGCAGTCTTAAGTCGTTTGTTACGGCCACGATCTACGGGCACCTCGTACCAGCTGCGCCGACTGACAGTGTACTCGATATAGCCCGCCACACTGTTGATAAAATTGGCGTCAAGGACTCCATCGGTGAACCAAGCACCGCCGGTCACATCTTCACTGGGGGCCAACCCAGCCAGCATGTACATTTTCCGATTCGGGTACTTGACATTGTGAAGGCTTTTGATGTAATTCCTGCTCTCGAGCGATTTCAAGGAGCGGTCGAGAATCGACTTGTGCAAGTTCGTGCGCGACTGGATGTGGCGCACCCATACGCCTGATCGGCCGGTGGAATGGATGACATTGAACACCAAGCTCTCATCGGGGGTGAGATTCTGGAGTCTAAGCGCCGAGAAGAATTTTAATTAGCACGCGAGTCCTCGAGTCGGTAACATACGCATTTTCTCTTCACAATAAGGGATCTAGGAGTCGCTCTTACTTTTCAGCATCTTCTCGGGAGATAATCTTCCATGCAATACGGTTGTTGCTGCCATGGTGAAGTCGGAACAATTTCTGATCCACCAGCGTCTGTGTGCATTCGAGTAGCAGCTTGACGTCGCCCTTGGGGACGATATCGAGGCCGAGAAGATCCTGTTGATAGAATAACTGATCGGCTTCATATCTCTCCACGCAGGCATCGTAAAGCCGCGAGGCGAGCGCGGACGCAGTGGATCCCGCGGAGGCCATGATTGAAGGTTGGGGCAGGTTCAGCGCGAAGGTGAGGAAAAGCGAAGGAGGGTGGGATCAAGGCGAGAGGAGAGAGGTCATGTTCCACTCGAGCATCTGCAGGAGCAGGAGCAGGCCAGTTAGAGCAGCATGGTCGCCGACAATCGAGGGTCGTTGAGTCAGAAAAAAAAGTGAATCACAAAACGGTGTTTTTTGGCGGTTTTTCGCAGCGGGGATGTCGGCTGGCCCGTTTAGGTTTAGTGCAACCGGAGCTTAAGTGTCACGATTTTGGCTGGATGCCTCAGGCTACAAGGCAGCCACAGGCTTCCGGAAATTTCGAGAAGCTCGCCCGGGTGATGACAAGAAGCTCCTATAACTGCACGTTCCCGGGCTCATATTGACCCTCCTACCTCTCTTTTTACCTCCATCTTATACCCCACACCTCCTACCATGGCTGACGCTTTGAAGGCCGAAGGCAACAAGGCCTTCTCGGCCAAGGATTATCCGACTGCCATGTATGTTGTTGCTACCCCGCCTTGGAACGCTTCGATCGTGTGAAACAACCTTTTGGACATGTGCTGATGAGATGAATCCATAGTGAGAAATTCACCCAGGCCATCGGAATCGAACCTGAGAACCACATCCTCTATTCGAATCGTTCCGCCGTCTTTGCCGCCCAGGCCGAGTACCAAAAAGCGCTCGAGGATGCGGAGAAGGCGACTAGCATTAAGCCCGACTGGTCAAAGGGTCACCTCCGTAAGGGTGCTGCTTACCGCGGTATTGGAGACCTCCGTAAGTGACAACAATATGCGAACAACCTTGAGAAAGCTAGAGTGAAGGGACTGATGGGAGTTGGCAGTGGCTGCTCATGACGCATATGAGGAGGCATTGAACCTCGAGCCTAGCAACGAGCAGGCCAAGGCAGGCCTGAACGCCGTCCAGCGGGCAATCAACGAAGAAGCTACGGCTGACGGTGTCGCGGGCGACCCGACGGGCGGCCTCGGTGGCATGTTCAATGACCCGGCACTGTTCCAGAAGCTGGCCAACAACCCCAAGACCGCGAGCCTGCTGGCCGATGCCGACTTTATGGCAAAGCTGAAGAAGATCCAACAGAACCCCAATAGCGTGGGTGAGGAGATCCGGGATCCGCGCTTCCTGCAGGTGATGAGTGTGCTTCTGGGGATCGATATGAGCTTCGGTGCTCCAGGTGAGGGTGGCCCCTCGGGAGCAGCTCAGGATGAGCCTGTGTTCGAGGCCAAGCCTACCCCTTCCCAGCCAAAGAAGCAGCCCACACCGGAGCCCGAGCCTGAGGATGAGGAGGCAATTGCTAAGCGCAAGGCCAAGGAAGCAGGTGATGCCGAGAAGATTATTGGTAACGACTTCTACAAGAAGAAGCAGCTTGACCAGGCTATTGAGCACTACGAAAAGGCCTGGGAGCTGCACAAGGATATCACCTACCTGAACAACCTTGGCGCAGCCAAGTTCGAGAAGGGCGATTATCAGGGTACCATTGAGACCTGCCAACAGGCCGTGCAGGAGGGCCGCGACTTGCGGGCTGACTTTAAGAGCATTGCCAAGTAAGTATAACAGAGAACACCGGCCCGTTTTAGGGTGACTGCTATGTACATCGTGCTAATTCAATATCGAAAATCACAGGGCTTTCACTCGCATTGGCTCCGCCTACGAGAAATTGGGTGATCTCACCCAGGCTATTGAGTTCTACCACAAGTCCCTCACCGAGCACCGCACACCGGAAGCCTTGACCAAGCTGCGTAATGCCGAGAAGAACAAGGACAAGTCCGAGAAAGATGCCTATATGGACACCGCCGAGGCCGAGAAAGCTCGCGAGCTGGGTAATCAGAAATTCCAGGAGGGTGACTGGCCCGGTGCCGTGGATGCCTTCACTGAGATGACCAAGCGCGCCCCCACTGACCCGCGTGGCTTCTCCAACCGTGCCGCCGCGCTGATCAAGCTGATGGCCTTCCCACAGGCTGTTCAGGACTGTGACGAGGCGATCCGCCGTGACCCGAAGTTTATGAAAGCCTACATGCGCAAGGGCCAGGCCCTTGTTGCCATGAAGGAGTACAACCGTGCTCTGGATACCTTCACCGAGGCTGCGGAGCACGACGATGGCTCTCACGCCCGCGAGATTGAGCAGCAGCAGCAGAAGTGTCTGGAGGCGCAGTTCAGCGCTCGTGCTGGCGAGACCGAGCAGCAGACCATGGAACGCATTCAGAATGACCCTGAGGTATGTTTTCCCCTTGAGTCGTCTTGATCTCTCATCCCATTTGACTCTCATCCATACTGATATCTTTGTCCCTACCTCTAGATCATGTCTATTCTCCAGGATCCTGTTATGCAGAGCATCCTTAACCAGGCCAAGAGCGACCCTGCTGCCTTGCAGGAGCACATGAAGAACCCCCAGGTGCGGATTAAGATCCAGAAGCTGATGGCCGCCGGTGTGATCCGCATGGGTCGGTAAAGTCTCTTCATTTGAAACGGGGCCGCTCCAAACCCCAAAAGCTCCAATATTTATTTCCTGCGACGATTTCAAGACGTGACGAGCTGTTCTCTGCAGATATCACTCCATATTGTTTCTAAAATTCTTCTTGTGTCATGAGGAGTTGCTTAGCATGAATGTATTTCAATTTGATGACAATGATCGCCGTGCCTGTGGTGTATAGGTCAGTGGGTCAGAGTGCAAATGTAACCTTTGTGTCCCGAGACTCCATGTATATGATAATGATTTTTGTCTCTCGCATGTCGAGTAATTCCCTGTCTTCTTTGATAAGGTATCGTCGTTTCCAGCTTCTGCCGCTCCCAGACAGAATCTCCTTCCCCAGGATGTACCGGCGCGGCCTAGCCGTCAGCTCCTGGACTCTCTTCTTCGGCAGCTTGGCGCGAAAATCATTCAGGCGATTGATATAGTCTGGGCAATCTAGTCTCATATTCAATGCGTTAGTCGGCGACCAAATAACAAGAGGCCTGTGCTTTGCCGGGGAGATTTGATTACGATTGATAGCTATCAGGTACCATGGTTCCAACCGTGCGAAAACAAAGTTGGGGGAGTATAGGAGGTTTAAATGCCACCAATAGCTATACAATTGTTATGGTAGCTACTGCAACAATATGTGGCTCGTGCAAGGATGTAGAAATCCAAGGCACCTTGAGATTCTACATGGACCGGGATATGTATATATACCACTATATCCATGCCCAAGATCCACCGAAATACCGGGCATAAAACACATCTTACATATAGTTACTGCTCTTTCAGGCCGGATCTAGTATGATAATGACCAATGTTTCGACCGGAGCGAAGACGGTTACTCACATGAACTCTCAAGTCTCCGACGTTTCTGATTGCACCAATGCGACAATGCAGCCAACCCCACCGAACTACACAATCGAAAGCAAAAACCACATGCACAACGACACCATCGCCACCGTTGGGTGGAGCCAGGTAAGCAGAAGGATGGACAAAGAGGGGCCGCTGGGAGGTCCACCACCACTGCCGTGGCACGGCAGCTTAGAGCCAGGACCCCCCAGAGTGTGCGAGTCTAATGCACCGACTACTGCCCGCAGGTACTCAGCTCGCGCCTTTGCGTGCGCGCCCGCAGCCCAGCCACCCAATGGGCCCTGCACCCCCCGCTGTGGTGCAAGGTGCAATTAGACTTCTCTGGTGGGATAGACTTTGCCGATGGACCCAAGGGGAAGAACGAGGCCGGGCACGTGGGAACGGAGAGGGGGAGATGATAGATCGCATTGTTGTGTGCCCGGATGACGATGGAGGGGTTGCAGGATTGGGGCTGGCGGACAAATCATCCCCTAGGATGGGTGTCGTGGGCTGCAGAGCCACTGCTCCGGAATGCAAGAGGAATACAGGGCCGAGAGGGACTCCATTGGCGACGTCTACGAAGGTCGGAGGTACGGAGTATATATCCAGATTATCCATTTGGGAGACGGAGAACCTCGGAATGGGGAACAGCGGGTGGAGAAGAGTGGTTGGTGGACAACGAGCTTCAGCCCATTTCCTTGCATGTTCGAGGGCCCGAAAGAAGCCCGAGGAAGCTGAGAAGAGGGAAGTGGGATCGTGGAATCTCCACTATTTCCAGGGTGTCGGGTGGGGAAGAGCGAGGGTTGGTGATAGACTGAGTTTTGTTAGTCCGACCCGGAGAGGGTAGAATTCGGGATGGTCGAGGGCACGCTATTGAGGAATGGAAGGAATAGTGTCGAAATCAATTTCTGAGAGGCGATCTTGTCACGGGTGAATGAATGTATACAGAGTGCAGCATACAACGCCCTCGGTATCAATATACGTATGTGTGGACCCGGGAACGCCGCGGATTGAGTCGATTGAGCAAAAAAAAAAAAAAGCGGCTCCAGCTAGCTAGCTATCCATTGTGGTTCATCTCGGTGTTCGTTCAGGTACCATGGGCCGAATATGGACCGATCAGAACAGGGTCATAGGGCAAACCACTGATGGGCAAAGAGGCAATAGGAAATAGATTCAATCTCGCACAGTTGATGATCGAAGCAGGCTCTGATGATAAATCAAAGTAACTCAGGCCCACGTACCTCATTATATCTACATAGCAACACATTTACATATCTATAAGGTTTCTCAGATCTATAAAATCTATATGTATGGATAGTATAGACGGAGGAGCCAAAAAAAAACACAATATCAGAATGTGGATGCCTGGTAGGGCTGGTTAGATCCCTTTCCAGCCACATTCCCCGAATGCTTCCCAGCGGTCCCCAGTGGTTAAAGACGAAGGAAAAGGGGGCGGTCGCGCGCCCGGACGCTATTGTGGCGGTGCCCTCATCTAATAGTTCGCTGCTAGTGGTGGATTAGTGGCTTGGTTCCCCCCCTCCTCCTCCCCCCTTTAACGAACGCAGGCCCTCGTTTGCCTGGAAAAAATAAATTACAGAGCTCACATTTGGCGCCCAGACGTGGTACGTGTACTCCCGTGCTCCTGTTCCTCTATTCCCGACCAATTCAGAGCCCGAAAAATATTCCCTAGCCAGTTGTTTTGATGAATTAATTGCTTTCCCTCCCTCCTCATCAAGCTCAACTCTCATTTTCCGACGATGTTCGTAATTACCCTTAGCTATCTCCTCGCCCAGAGCTCTCCACGGCCCCTCAGGGACGGAACCGAGGAAATACTACTGAGCGATCGCCGGGTGCCCACTTGCTGGGTAAAGCACTAGCGAGGATACGTCACTGATCTCCGATCGTCTGGGGACGATCCTTGTTCTTTGCTTTTTTTTTTTTCTTCGCTGCCTTCTCGTCTGGCAAGATAGTGAATCCAAAGTGTAGTAAAGAAGTAGAAGAAACCAACCATACAAAATCCATGTTGAGACGGATGCAAGTCCAATCTATGACGAGGTCGATGAGTCGGGCGTGTTGTACGTTCCATCGTGAGGGCCGGGAATTGTGAAGTGCTCCGTACCCGTCGTGCTTGACGCAAGCGGCTGGGCGTGCGAGTCGTCCGATCGAGCAATTGGCATTATCGCTCCACTTTGGACCTGCTGTTGCTGCTTCCTTTTTGCCCTCCACCAGACCTCGCAAGCCCTAGACTTTTCGACTGGACTTCCCCAACCTCCTCCCTCCAACCTCCAACTTCTTGTTCAACCTATCCACCCTTCCACCTAACCCACCCTCCTCCCCCTTCCCCCCCCTCTTTCGGTGTGGTACTGCAATTGTAAGCTCCCCGATCCCAATTCTGTCTTCCCCTCTTTCTTCAGCATTCTTCCTCCCCCTCACCGGAACCGGCAATTGGCTGCGATTCCCTCGCGCTCACCACCACCAACACCACCTGTTCGACTGCGACGGCGGCTGCTCCTCCAGCCACCACTGTTTTCACCGGCATCGCCATACCCATCAAGTCTGTGCAGTTCTAATAAGCTTCTTCGTCCTCTCTCTCTAGGCACCAGAGTTCCCAGCTTCACCCATCACCCGCAATTCTTCCCCCATCCACCTTGCGAGACCCTACACAAATCGACGCCGACACCGCCAACATGGCGTCCGTCGCCGCGGAGAAGGTGGAGCTGAAGGAGGAAGGGATCATCGAGGCCGCGACCGAGCTGGCCCAAGACCCTCAGTCCAGGGTCAATCCAGACACAGTAGAAGAGACCCTGGTCGAAGAAACACGGCAAGCTGGCGGCGTCGCCTACCAATTCGACCCCAATGCGTCCCCCGAAGACAAGGCCGCCGCGGCTGAAGCAGTAGGTCTTTCGTCGTCCCCTCTGAAAATATCCAGAACAGGAGAAGGGAAAGCAGAGAGCGCAAAAGAAAACTCCCTGCTCCCCTCTTCTGGGTTGTGAAGCATCTCGATGCTAACTCGATTTTCTTTGCTCGGTTTATAGCGATTACCTCCAGGATTTCACCATGAAAAGAAGCCCAAAGGCATGGCCGTCATTACAGACCAAGTAGGTGGCTTCCGTTCTTGATCGACCGAGGCGCAGATGCCACCGGGACATTCCTTTGGAAGCTCATGCTCACATGGCGCAGGATGATGGCAAAGCCGATTATGATCTCCCGCCCCCGCGCTCAGCCACCGCGCTCCTGGCCGAGGAGGCCAACGCGACAGAAGGCAAAGACGGCAAGAATATTGACGAGGATTTGCGCTGGGCTCGCGACCGCACGGGCTGGGCTCCCAAGTTCCATGTTGAGAAGACTGCCGAGGAAGAAGCGGAAGGTACATTGATGGACCACCAGACCTTTCTCGAGGGCCGACTACCCGACAAGTTTTTTGGAGATTGGTACCACAATGCCGCAATCATCGTATTTGCTTGTCTGAGTTCATGGCTCATTGCCGCGCTTGGCGGAGGTGTGGGCTGGGTGCTCTTGGTCATGGCGGCATGTAGTACTTACTATCGTACCTCCATTCGGCGAGTGCGTCGAAACTTCCGTGATGATATCAATCGTGAAATGTCCAAACAGCGTTTGGAAACCGATACCGAAAGTCTTGAGTGGATCAACAGCTTCCTGGTTAAATTCTGGCCTATTTATGCCCCGGTCCTTTGTGACACGATTATCAACTCGGTCGACCAGGTCCTCAGTACCTCAACCCCCGCTTTTCTAGATAGCTTGCGTCTCAAGACTTTCGTGCTCGGCACAAAGCCACCTCGCTTGGAGCACGTCAAGACCTACCCCAAGACCGAACCAGACACCGTCATTATGGACTGGAAGTTCAGCTTTACACCCAATGATACCATGGATCTGACCGCGCGCCAGCTGAAGGACAAGATCAATCCTAAGGTGGTCTTGGAGGTGCGTGTCGGCAAGGGCATGGTGAGCAAGGGTCTGGACGTGATTGTGGAGGACATGGCTTGCTCGGGCTTGATGCGTGTGAAAGTCAAGCTCCAGCTGGAGTTCCCGCATATTGAGCGTGTGGACGTGTGCTTCTTGGACAAGCCTGAGCTTGATTACGTCTGCAAGCCCCTCGGCGGTGACCACCTTGGATTCGATATCAACTTCATCCCCGGCCTGGAGAATTTCATTAAGGAGCAGATCCATAACAATTTGCAGCCCATGATGTACGACCCTAACGTGTTCCCCATCGAGATCGCCAAGATGCTCGCTGGAAATCCTGTCGACCAAGCCATTGGTGTGGTCGCGGTCACTCTGCACGGTGCTCATCAGCTCAAGAACCCGGACAAGTTCGCAGGCACCCCGGATCCATACGCTGTGGTTTCGCTCAACAACCGTACCGAGCTGGGCCGCACCAAAATTGTTCGGGACAACGACAGCCCTCGATGGAATGAGACCATTTACGTTATTATTACTTCGTTTGCGGATGCCCTGACCATCGTCCCTTATGACTGGAATGAATTTCGCAAGGACAAGGAACTTGGATCGGCTTCATTTGCTCTGAGCAAGCTCGAAGAAGAGCCATCGCATGAGGGTATTTATTTGGAGGTTTTGTCGAGCGGTCGCCACCGTGGTGCAATCCAGGCTGATATTCGCTTCTTCCCCGTCCTCGAGGGACGTAAGCTTGAAACGGGCGAGACTGAACCCCCGCCAGAGATGAACACCGGTATTGCGCAATTCACCGTCGAGCAGGCCAAGGATCTGGATGGAAGCAAGAGCTTCGTTGGCAAGCTGAACCCTTATGGTGTCTTGCTGCTCAACGGAAAGGAAATTCACATCACCAACAAGCTCAAGCGGACCAACAACCCTATTTTCCAGAATGCCTCTAAGGAGTTCCTCGTCACGGATCGCAAGAATGCTCGTTTGGGTCTGATCATCAAGGATGATCGCGATCTGATGGGTGATCCCATCATTGGCCGCTACCAGATCAAGATGAACGATATGCTCAAGATGATGGACCAAGGAAAGGACTGGTTCCATCTGCACGGCGTCAAGGAAGGTCGCGCCAAGCTAAAGCTCCAGTGGAAGCCTGTTGCTTTGACTGGCGTTGCTGGTGGTGCTGGCTATGTCGATCCCATTGGTGTCATGCGCTTCCACTTCAAAAACGCGGCTGACCTGCGAAACTTGGAGGCTATGGGCAAGTCGGACCCCTACGCACGTGTCTTGCTCTCTGGTATCACCCGCGGCCGCACGGTGACCTTCCGTAGTAACCTCAACCCTGACTGGGATGAGGTTGTCTATGTCCCGATTCGCAGTGCCCGTGAGAAGCTTACCGTCGAGGTCATGGATGAGGAGACTATCAATAAGGACCGTTCTCTCGGTTGGGTCGAGCTCAATGCCTCGGAATTCGTGCGTGAGACGGAGACCGGTGAATACGAGATTGATGATGAGAAGCAACTGACTTCGAGCCCTCTGCGCATCGGTAACGGACCTTTCAAGGGCAATATCAACTATACCGTCGCCTTCTTCCCGACTGTTCCAGTGGTCAACCCTGAAGATGAGGTCGAGGAGGAAGAGGAGAGCGAGGAGGCCAACAACTCCGAGACTCCTGCTTCTCGCAAGAGCACCGACTCCAAGCCCAAGTCATTGCACACGAAATCCGCTAGCATGGACTCGAAGGCTTCGAAGGTTTCAAAGGCTCTGTCAAACGGCGCTGCTACGAACGGCACCACTAATGGCGAGCCTGCCACCAATGGCCGCGCTAGCCTTGAGACCAACGGCTCTCGGCCGATGACCCGGGACTCTGACTCTACATCTGTGCGGTCGATCAAGAATGTCCCCTTGACTTATGTTGGTGCGGAAGATCTCAGCAACTACGGTACGTTTTGGCATCCTCTCGTCTCTCTGGCAGTGTGCTATGGGAAAATCCTAACCATACATTACAGAGTCCGGTTTCATTGTGTTCAAATTCCACGAGGGCCAGCTGGCTCACAACAACGTACAACTGGAGGTTTTGATGGACGACTATATGTTCCCTGCCTATATCTCTCCTAAGATTCACCAAAATACCGTGAAATCATCTGACAGTATGTTTTGTTTTGCCTCACTTTTGAATCCCGCGACAAATACTAATTTGGAACTGTTCAGTCGGCGAGGCTTTTGTCCGTGAGCTTGAATTCTCGAAGATTACCCTGCGCCTTGTCAGCAAGGACAACCCCAAGGACTCGAGCGAGGAGAACACCGTTGCCAAGTTGACTGGTGAAACCCTATCTACCTTGCAGCGTATTTTGTATACTCCCACTGAGCTTGTCCTTCGCTCGAATTCCGGCGAAGTCAGCAAGGTCACCGTCAGTGCCCGTTATATCCCTGTCCAGATGAAGCTTGACCCCAAGGAGAGCATCAACAACATGGGCACTCTGCGCGTTGATGTGTTGGATGCTGCGGATCTGCCTTCGGCCGACCGCAATGGCTTCAGTGATCCGTATTGCAAGTTCTTCCTTGGTGACGAAAAGAAGGATATCTTCAAGACCAAGGTGCAGAAGAAGACCTTGCACCCGGCTTGGAACGAGTTCTTTGAAACCCCCATCAAGACTCGTATTGATGCCAAATTCCATGTTGACGTGTACGACTGGGACTTTGGCGACTCTGCCGATTTCCTCGGTGCTGCCCACATCGACCTCGAAGCCCTCGAACCCTTCCAGGCCAAAGAGGTTTCTCTGCCTCTAGACGGCAAGTCCGGTGTCATCCGCCTTAAGCTTCTTTTCAAACCTAGCTACGTGATCCGCTCTCGCCAGGGCTCGTCTACTTTCTCCGGCACCTTTGCCGTGCCCGGCAAGATTGTCGGCGCCCCCGTCAAGGGTGTCGGTTTTGTTGGTGGCAACGTCGTCCGCGGTGCTTCGTTCTTGAAGCACGGCCTCATGTCCCGTATACACAAGGATAAGGGCAACGACGACGCCGCCTCGATCGCCAATAGCACCATCGAGGAGACTCCTGCTGATGCCCGCACCGAGCGTGCCGGTAGCCTTGCCCCCGCGGCTCCCCTCGTTGACGACAGCAGCTCCCCCTCGCCATCCACCCCGCAGAAGGAACACAGCCGCAACCGCAGCACGGCCTCGAACTTCGGCGATCGACTGAGCGTTATTGGCGGCGCGGGCCGTGGTGACACCGGCACCGCCCACATTACCGTCGTCTCGGCCGCCGGCTACCCGGCCTCGGCCAACGTGCGGGTCATTGTCTCCCGCCAGGGTAGCAAGGGCTCCAAGGAAGTGCATAAGACCAAGGCGCACAAGTCCTCTGGCAACACAATCACATACGATGACGCCTTCAAGGTCTCCAACGCCACAGCCGACGCCCAGTACCAGCTTCGCGTCGTTGACCACGCCACTTTCGGCTCGGACAGCACCCTTGGCGAGGGCATCTTCTTCGTCGGCGACCAGGGCTCCGTTGCCGGCCAGGACAAGGCCATTCCCGTCGGCGACGGTACCATCACCATCCGCTCCAGCTTCACACCCAGCGAGGCTGCCTCCCTCCGCCCGACAACTTCCCACTCCACCGCCGGGCCGGACGACGTCGCCGATAGCCCAGACTCGCGAAAGCCGCGCCGCAGCTTCCTCACCAAGCGCAGCGTGAGCGGCGTGTAATTGGAAATTTTCGCTGTAGATAGGCCGGGGTGTACGGACGGCCAAGTATATGACATGAAACAACCAAAAATATCGGAATGGAAAAAAAATAATTATACGTTCTTCCACATGACCCTTGGGGACTTTCTTTTCGCGCGGGATTGGGTGTCTTTTCTTGTTTTGCTCTGTGATATCCTTTTTTTTTTTTCTTCTTCTTCTTCTTCTTTCTGTTCTTTGCCTTGTCTTGATTCTATCTAGCCTGCGACGGAGTCTTACTTCCGCCGCGTCTCTATCTGATTCGGGCTATGCTATCTATCTCCTGTTTTCTTTTTGGTTCCGTGATCCCTGGATTAACGACCTATGTGTGTGGATGATGGATGATTGGGAGCCATTGCAATGAATGTCGATTTACATATATACGTATATAACTCTTCGGTGTTCTATGTTCTCATATCTCTTGTTTCTTTTTCTTTTCCCTTTTCCCTGATTGCCTTCCTCTTTTCTCCGATAGTTGCCCTGGTGGAACTGTCGTTAGATTGCGGTGTATTTGCAGTAATCTAATGAATATCAAGATGAATATGATGAACATGCAAGAAGCTAAAGAAGAAAAATTCACGGTGATTCCTTTTTTTATTTAAAATATATATACGTATATATATTTGTTCTTGGTCCTGTTGGTTGATGGTTGATGGTTGATGGTTGATGGTTGATGGTTGATGGTTGATGGTTGATGGTTGATGGTTGATTGAAGTTAGTGTAGAGCGCATGGTATAAAGTAGTTTCTTTAATTTTTCAACTCAGACGAGCAAAATGTTCTTTCCAATCTCATTTTAATGGGTTGACGGGCATACGAAAGCTAAGCATGGCTAACACGAGTCTGGTGTGGATAGCTCCAAATCGTGTTTAGTTCGGCGCGGAGCACACTGGGCCGACGACCCAGACCCAGATTCCAAACGTAGCCTGCGACTGACTCTGTACAGAGTATGTCCTCTCATTCCTATGCTCACACGAGGTATGACAAGCAGAACGAAAAGCAGAAGAGACATAACCAAAAAAGGAAACTAAGAAAATCACCACCTGGCCATGTTCTTCTAAGACTCCTTTCCTTTTTTTGACCTCGACGTAGTCTCTCCCAACCGTTCCCAACCAGACCCGACGCGGGCCCCTGGATTCGTATCGCCGCCGGGAGATGGAGCTCTCTTTTTCCGGCTTGATTAAATAAATAAAACTAACCAAGGGTCCCAGCTTGTTACCTCTCAAATGTTCTACGTATTGCGACTCCGTTTTCCTGGAGTCTATAGTACAGGGTATATACTGTCGACAATTGACATGTCACCTAATCCCCTTGACCCTTTCTTCTTCCCACATGGTCCGCTCGCGCCCGCCGATTTGCGTGGAGTGCGCGATCTGGCCGAAACTCTGTTGCCTGCACAGCCCCCCTTCACGGTCCTTGGACGATCTGCGGTGCCCGCTGAAGCTTGTGTGCCAGAGTTTTGGTACGTGAGATGAGGCGATGGAGGGGGGCATTGGCATTGGGATGATCGTTAGGATGATCGTTGGGAGGGGTGGACGAGCGTGGTGGTGGCGGGACCGTGGGATATCTATTCCAAACTTCCAATTTGATCAAGTTCCGGAGTCATTTTGAGCAATTAGGCCAATTTGCGTAGATTGAATCATCTGGCCATTGAGGAGATTATGTTTAGAATTTCGTACCAATTGCTCCTTTTTTTTTTTTTTTTTTTTTTTGCTTTCGTCGCGTAGTCCGGACTATGTCTCATAGTTTCATAGTTCCAAAGTCCGTCCCCTAATATGGAGTACGGAGACTCTGTACTCCCTGCTCCCTGCTCTCTTAACGGAGTATAATTGACAGACCAAAATTCGAACTGGCTCTGGGGCGACATTACGTAGGGCGGCTATTTCTGGTCGGCGCGGCGTCCGGTTCGGTGGAGAGGCTAATTTGGAGCCCGTCCCACACCCAGCCCGAAACCCGGGACTGGACTCGGGTCGGGACCGTGATTCGTCCAATGGAGGCGTCGAGGTTGACCACCCAAAAGTGTCTGAGATGTGTCTGGGATTTTGTGATAGCGGGCGGATGAAGTTACGAGGGCTGAGTGGGAAGAGGGAGAATGAGGCGAGTGGGAGGCCGAGTAGGACAGCATGAGGAACGAATCGAACCAATTTCATTTACGAGCTCCTTTCAGCTCGGTCGCCTAAGGATACTCCAGAACGACAGATAATACTTCTGTACTTGTGTATGGAGTAGTACTCTGTATTCTGTACAACGCTCTCTATATAGTTCTGTAGCTGACCGAAGGTGGGTTTCAGTCTGGGAGCACGGAGTACTCTGGAGATGAGCAATTGATTGGCATAGGGTGTTGTGGTACGCACTGTACAAATTTCAAATGTCAACGGTCAGGCGGGTATGGCTGGAACCAAATCCCGGCGAGGATCCTGCATGGATGGCTCCTAAACAGTTGTGTACGAACGGCATTCCACAGGATGGCAGGACTTGGTCCCGATAGGATCAACTTCCACGATGGGCTTACTGTAGCTGCTTGCAGCTCCCGAGTCCCGAGCGTTCAACGCCAAGCAATCCCGAGTCCCAGCAACATGCCAGCCCTTCTTTGGGTGTCTTATCTATTTTTGCTTTTGTCTTTTCGGACAGTGTTGGCAAATCGGCAAGCGCGCGCAAAAAAAGGGTCTCCGGTCTACTCCGTATACGGAGTCCATACCCACGGTCTAGTTGTCTCTGACCTGGCTGGGTCGGGTCTCTGGCCGGCTGTTGTCTTATCGCATCCGTAGAAAGGGGGATCCCACCTGAGCAGAGTCTTGGGAGGCTTTGGAACCTACCCTCAGAAACGACGACACCTGGTGGGGCCGGACGGGGAGGGGGCGTGCCTCCCATCTGCGCCGGGTGGATACACCCGACCACATCGCGCCCTGGTGGATATGCACGAGGAAACGACGAGACCAAGGGAAAAAAAAAGGGGAGGGGGGAGGTATGGCCCGAAGAAAGTCTGGATTGCTACCGTGCTGTCATTCTGGAACCACAATAGAACCAGCATGGAACACGGACGCTGTGAGGAAGTGGGTAGCTGTTGGTTGGACAAATCGTCAGGGTCGTTTAGACTCAGGTGGATTCAGTATTTCTGAATCCCCACGGGAGAGCGTTCTGCCCCTCTTTGGTTCCTTGTTCTGCTGTCCTTCCCCTTTTTTTCTCCAGTGTCCCTATTTTGAGAGAATTAGGCTGTTGATATGCGAGGAAGAGACTGGTGCTAAGAGGCAGGCACGGGAACCTTGGGCATTGGGAGGTGTACACAATGGGTTCCATACGGGGGTCACTTCATTGAGAGAAGCGGTGTCCGTGGGGAAGCTCGTGGGAACTGAACTATAGGCATAGCGACTAGGACCAGGAGCGGTTTCATCTGCGATCGGCCCGGGAGCAATGGCAACAATAGGAGCTGCAGCAGTAGCTCATCCCGAGCGGCTCCAGTGTAGCATGGCCGTTGGGTTCAAGGTCTTGACCCGTGGAGGAAGCTGGGAGTGCCAGTGGCTGGAAGCTGACGACAGCCGGAAGTAAGGAGACGAGAAGGGATATAGGAGGGGGAACCAAAAAAAAGGAGGCATCTTGGAGTTTGACATCGTCATCCGGATCGGACCCAGTCTGCCCTATGGAGCAGAGATGGAGCGACGGAAGAAAAGGAGGAGGGTTCAAGGCAAGAATTCGAATTCTAGATGCGTCGTGAAGCTCCGTTCTAAATAAATATCACGGGACTCCCCCACTCTGTCTCCCTTTCCCCCTTCTCCGGAACTTCACCTCTTCGTTCTCTTCTTAACTCCTTGACTTTCTCCTGATCAATTGATCATTGGAATCTTTGGTCAATTGCTTCATTGATCCTGGTTCTTCGGTAAGCTTCCACCCTCGCCTCTTCCCCGCCCCGCGTGCATCTGCGCCGCCAATCCCCATCCCGCCCCGTTGCCAATGACGGCAGCTTGTCGACATCCTGCAAGCCGCTTTTTTATCCGACTGATCGACGCCTGTGGCAACTCGGGCGACCCCTCCTCGCCTGTTTCGCCTCATAAAAGACCCATGCCCCCCAAATCCTGCGCTCGAGCGCTCCCCTTTTTCCTTTCCTGCTCTGCTACCTCTGCTACGTGTTGATTGCCTTGAAAATTACTGACTTGCTCCTTTTCTCAGTGGCAGCGACCCCCTGCGATTGAATTTCTATCTCCACTTCTCTCCCTAACCATCCTAATCCTCTCTTTTCACAATGGCCTCCAAGGCGCTCCCTGCCCACCTTCGCGCTCCGGCGAACGACGCCTCAAATGCTGGCTCCTTTGAGGGCAAGCACCACGGAAAGTCTCAATCGCACATGGTAAGTGCAAGACCCAGATATGATGCAGGTGCATGAGCAGGCTGCCGAGGAGCCTGGGGAGGGAGGGAAGGGCATGGCATTGCTTGCTCTTCCCTATGTTGGATCTGCCGCATTCGGGTTGTTCCTGCGTTCTGTGCAAGACGATTCATCGGCTTCCATGCGCGACAAGCCAGAAATGCTGTTGCGCTGGTCTTGTTTACCTTCCCGGGCGCGCGGCTCAGCCCTGATTGCTTGGACCTCGTCATCATTTGCCTCCCTATCTTCTGAAATTCCCTCAATCGCAAGGCGTTCACATCTTTGATTACTTCATTTTCTCTTACCCACGTTGTCATCAAATCTTGGGGCCCCCTCTCATTTGACACCCTTTTGACTATTTTAAACTACCCCCTCCCCCTCCCCCTCCCCCTCTTCCCTCTCCAGCTCTCTCATTTGAAACCCCCCTTCCGCTTTCGCTCTATGACCTCCATGGCGTCCAATGGTTCAGGGCTGACTAGACTTGCCTCCCACCAGGCTTTCGAGAATGCCTCGACTAGCGTGGCCGCTTCACAAATGCGTAATGCGCTGAATGCGCTCGCCGACTCCGTCACCGACGGCAGTGAGAAGAAGCGATTTGAGGCGGAGATGGATAACTTCTTCGCTCTGTTCCGCCGTTTCCTCAATGACAAGGCCAAGGGCAACGCTGTCAACTGGGACCGCATTGCGCCTCCGCAGCCCTCGCAGGTGGTGGGCTACGATGAACTCGGTGCGGATGCCTCAGTCGAGTTCCTCAACAAGCTGGCCGTAGTCAAGCTGAACGGTGGTCTGGGTACCTCCATGGGTTGCGTGGGTCCCAAGTCCGTGATTGAGGTTCGCGAGGGCATGTCCTTCCTCGACCTGTCGGTGCGCCAAATTGAGCACCTTAACCGTACTTTCAACGTCAACGTTCCCTTCGTTCTCATGAACTCCTTCAACACCGACCAGGACACCCAGTCCATCATCAAGAAGTACGAGGGCCACAATGTCGATATCATCACCTTCAACCAGTCTCGTTATCCTCGCATCATCAAGGACTCCCTCCTCCCTGCCCCCAAGAGCTTCGACGCCCCCCTCCAGGACTGGTACCCTCCCGGACACGGTGACGTTTTCGAGTCGCTGTACAACTCTGGCACCCTTGACAAGCTGATCGAGCGTGGCATTGAATACATCTTCCTGTCCAACGCCGATAACCTGGGTGCCGTCGTTGACCTCCGCATCCTGCAGCACATGGTCGACTCCAATGCCGAGTACATCATGGAGCTGACTGATAAGACCAAGGCCGATGTCAAGGGCGGTACCATCATCGACTACGATGGCAAGGTTCGCCTGCTGGAGATTGCGCAGGTTCCCAAGGAGCACGTGAACGAGTTCAAGTCCATCAAGAAGTTCAAGTACTTCAACACCAACAACATCTGGATGAATGTCCGCGCTATCAAGCGCGTCGTTGAAGAGAATGAGCTTGAGATGGAGATCATCGCCAATGAGAAGTCCATCCCCGCCGATAAGAAGGGTGAGGCCGACCAGGCCATCTACCAGCTGGAGACCGCCGTCGGTGCTGCCATTCGTCACTTCAAGAACGCCCACGGTATCAACGTGCCCCGCCGTCGTTTCTTGCCCGTCAAGACCTGCTCCGATCTGATGGTCGTCAAGTCCGATTTGTACCGTCTCGAGCACGGCCAGCTGGTGATGGACCCCAACCGTTTTGGTGGTGTGCCCGTCATCAAGCTTGGCTCTGACTTCAAGAAGGTCTCGGACTTCCAGAAGCGCATTGCCAGCATCCCCCGAATCGTCGAGCTGGACCACCTCACCATCACCGGTGCCGTTAACCTTGGCCGTAACGTCACCCTCAAGGGCACTGTCATTATCGTTGCCACCGAGGGTAGCACTATCGATATTCCCCCGGGTTCGGTTCTGGAGAACTGTGTTGTTCAGGGTAGTCTGAGAATCCTGGAGCACTAGATTAATACCTAGTGTGCTTGTCTAATTCTCTCCCGCTTTCCGTCAGCCCAGACACATTACACCTTTTAATTGTTCTGGCACATAGAGGTTCTTCGACGGTGACTGATGCGGGGCGTCGGATTGCTTTCCTTTTGACTCTTTCTGTGTTTTGTTGGGAGGTGCATTCGTGGCTACGGAATCCCATGGAGTATGCAAAAGATGTGCTCGTATTACATTACAATAATCCAGCGTCTGTCCTTTTTTTTCCCCCTTCTTTCTTCTTAATTTTTCTCTCTTTCTATTTCTTTTTCTCACTTGCATCATTTTTACTGGCTGCATCTGCACCCGTGGGTTTCCTCCCTTTTTGGCCGAGTGCTGTATTGGAGTGTCCGAGTCAATGCCATTCTTCTGATGGATTGTTGAAACTGAGAGCTGTCGTAGATCCAAAATACTTGCCACTGTATTGCGTCTAAGTCGATTTCGCGTTGATCCTAGCTAAATTTGTTCCTCGATTCTACTGTAGTATGCTGGATGGCCGACTGGCGAACCGGACAGGGCCCGTCGTTGGACTAGTTTTGCATTAGTTCCCGGAATCAATTCTCCTGGTTCCTTTCCTTTATTTCTTTATGAACTGGTCTGGTTTGTTTGTAAATCCTTACTATTTGCAAAAAAAAGTCCTTCGTGTATGCTACCCCGGCCTCTGCCGCTGCACCCATTCTTCGCCGGCCGATGCCCATGTCTGTTTCGACAGCCATTCTCACCTGATCTTCTCAGGAATCCCATTGCAAGTTTTCAATCTTGTCACAAACCAAGTCTGTCTCCCACTGGTTCAGCATCACACTGGCATCATCACGTGTATTCGGCATTTTGTTCCGACAAACAACGTTGCCGTTTCGCCATCCTGCTATCCTGTTTATCTCAAGACATCGCAGGGCCCCACATCCCCAAAGAGTACAATGGCTTTCTGACTGGCCTGTCAGAGCAAGCCACATCAGGCTGGTCGAATCGGGTGGCCGTCTGCAACACTCTGGGCGTCGCTGACTTCCAAGAAGCAGAGGCTGGCCTGGCCGTCAGTCGGCGGAGTTTTGTTCCTGATGACTTCAGTGCCCGTCATCCAGATATCATGCGGGCTGGGCGACAATGCGGATTTTACAAGGTCGCAGCCGACGATCATTCAGGGAAATATCCTTGAATTTTCATCAACCGGCGAAAATAGGCTCAGAAGATCTGTGCGGAGCGTATGCGTGATAATCACCATGTCTTGCTTCTCTTCCCATCGGGTGGATTACCTGCACAGAGCCCGGAGACTCTTCGACTGTCCCATACCTGGCTGATGTTGCCGCCGCCATCGAGCGGGATCTACTTTCGCCTGCCTGAATTACCATCCATCCAGGCCTCCATTCATGTTGTGGCCATTCGCAATGGCGCCTCTTTGCCCCCGTCGTCATTAAGTGGCCGCAATGCCTCGTATCGCAAGAGACCCCATGCCTCTTTGTCTATATATCTCGCTAGAGCGGCTATGACTGCCGCCTTTCGTGTTATATCCATGCAAGCCCGCCTCTCTATACATACTAATTAGGCCCTGTACATACGCGCACACAATTCAGATATCCACACCATGGCCGAGCAGCGCCTCAGCCTTGCCCCAGGCCCGTCGCCCACCTCCGAGCATGACAGCCCTCCGCGCGAGATCACAAAGCAATTTTCTAGCTCAGGCTCAGGCTCGAGCTCTTGGAAGAAACGGGTATCCACCGCATGCCTCGCATGCAAGAAGTCTAAGCGCAAAGTGGGGAGACCTTTTCCGTCCAATAACTTCCCCTAGCCCCAAGTACTGAAGACTAACGGACACCCGCGCCCGCGCCCGCGCCGTGGACTTATATAGTGCTCTGGCTCCGCACCTTGTGAAAACTGCCGTGCCTTCCAGAGGGTCTGCATCTTTGATGAATCGCTCGATCAGCGCCGCCGGGTGGCCGCGAAGCGCACTGCCGACGAACTTTCTTACCACCGTGACCTGCTGAACGATCTCTTCCAGCTCGTCCGTGACGCCGACGAGCCCAAGGCCCTGCACTTACTGGGTCTGATCCGACAAAACACACCAGCCAGCGATATTCGTGCCTATATCACTGATACCCTGACCGACCTAGCCGTCGCAGGGAACTCCGCTTCCACCAGCAGCGTCAGCGGCAGCAGCCTCGCAACTAGCGAGGCGATATCAAAGATCGAGGATGCACGAAACCTGATCAATGTTGAGGGCACGACGCCCACGTTTCGCCGCAAAGTCATGGATATCCATTTCCTATGCGACGATGCCCCAGTCAAAGTCCCCGCCCACCCATGGACCCGGGTTACTCAGGATGCGGATCTGGTGGCACATCTAGTGTCGTTGTATTTCACATGGAATTATCCCTTCCATGCGTTTCTGGACCAAGGGGTGTTTCTGAGGCATATGGCTCGTGGAGAGCTGAGCTCGGAGTTTTGTAGTCCTTTTTTGGTGAATGCGTTATTGAGTAATGCCTGTGTAAGTTCTATCTTTTTTTGTTTGTTTTTTTTTTTTTTTTTTTTTTTTTGTTTGCATGTCTTACCCTATTACTACCAAGCTCTGTTGAAATCGATTCCACACGGCACAAAAAGTATGCTCATGCATGTATAGTATTTTTCCGAGTTCTCTGAATCATATGTCGTGGAAGGAGATATTTCCTCCAAAGGAACCGACTTCCTCGCCGAGGCTGAGCGTTTGAAAGACGAATTGCCCGTTCAGCCTAGTCTGGCGTCATTGCAAGGCACACTACTCATGTATGAACGGTGCGTGGACTCAAGACCCAACTCCACTAGATCGCTTTGTTTGTTGGAACTGAGAATATCAGGTATGCGATGCTGCGAAATGATGATTTGGGCTATGTTACCCTGCATGAAGCAATTCGCATGGGGGAGTCCTTGGGCCTGGTTGGGAGCAAAGGGCCGAGATTGACTTCGGAGCAATTGTCCCTAGACATGGATATTTCATGTAGGCGGACGGCCTGGGGCTTGTTTAATCTTGACACGTGAGTAACTTGGGCTGATGTTCTATGGATCCTGTGGAATTGGATATTCAGATATAAGTTATGACTGACATAAAAACTTAATACGCTAGTATGGTACATACGGGATTTCTCCGCCCTTGTTTAATTAACTATGTCAATATACCGCGCATAGATCTTACTCTCCCCGAAGATCAGTCGCTCTGGAGACCATACCCGACGCATAGAGAGGCTTGCTTGTCCTACTCAAGTCTTTTTTTTGATGAGGCGTGTAACTTATCCACAATTGCGCGTGATATCTCGCAGAGCATGTTTGCAGACCAGCGTGGCGCGAGTGGTGCATTTGATACCGAGACCGACCGTCGACAAAGCCGAGATAATTTATATGAACAGCTGAGACGTTGGGATGAACTTTTGCCTGAAGCAATTGAGAATGGAGGGCAATTTTCGCCGCATGTTATTCTCCTGAAGTAGGTAACCCGACTATACATTTCTTTTTCGGGATATACGCCTATGTCAAACGTTTTCATGGAAAGAATGAACTCAGACTAAGGCTACTCGACATCGAACATGCTTTTTATCAACTTGAAGCGTTCTATTTTACTTATCTTCTTTTCTAGGATGCGGCATAACACCCTGATTATCAATTTGTTTAGTTGCATTTCCAGAAATCGAGTCCCCAGCACGACTTCCGAAGCTCCTAAGACCCCGGAGAGCCCTCCATCTCAAACACTGGACTCAAAATTTAATGCATGGGAGACCGCACAAGCCGCGGCTCGGCAAATCGCCATGCTCACACGGCTGCACCGTCGTGACTACGGCCTGGGTCGCGCGCATCCGTTTGCCATGTATGCAATCAACCTCGCCCTTTTCACAATGCTGGAGCAGAAGTCATTTGATGTACTCGACTCGGACTTCCTCTCTCTCGCCAGCGCTTTCTCCATTGTCGCCAGCCGGTCGGCGCTGGGGCGAAACCTGTTCCATATCTTCCGCCAATCGGTGCGAGCCAAGGCGCAAGGAGATCGACTCCGAGATTCAACAATGATCACGGATGATGTCAAGGGATTGTTCGACGAATCGCCTTCGACGAAAGGTCACTCTCGCTTCGATGAATATGCGGAGGGGCTCGAGAAACTAAACCGGGATCGAAAGTATCATGGCATTGGCAGTGAATGGGGCCAAAATCTCCAAGACTACCCCGGACTGGGATTGTCAGAGATGCTTGACCGTTATGAGAGCTTAAGCCTGGGCAAAGACGATGTTTTGACTGAGCGGTATCGCCCCTTTGAATGCTGAATTTTCGGATCAACTAGAAAATTTGACGGGGACACGAGGTGTTTGAAGTTGTTATTGAATCCGTGTTCACACGGAACCCCGTCTGTCTGAACACATCCCGGCCTATGTGACCGGTCTATAAGTTGTTGTGGTCATATGCTGCCCGCATCCAAGATAGCTTGGATAGCGTGTCGATCTAATCATCTGGACTTGTGAGGACGGGAGGAATTTGTTTGTCTGCTTTTATTACGGTGGTTCGGACCTCCACCTTTTGACGTCACTCTTTTGCGCCTCGGCCCATCATACGTTTGATGTCGACCCACCGTCAGCACCGAAGCATGATTATTGGTTCCATCACTCCTCGAAGTCACATCACTGTGCCCACTTGAGATGGGTCTGCTACTGATGTAAAGCGACGCAGAAGCGCAAGAGGGGCAAGGCAAAACGGGTGAGCGACTATCCAAACCACGAAATCCTGTTTGGAACCCATTCGCCATGATGAACCAAAAATTTGTGCTGCAAATCGATTCTCATCTACCATTCTTCATACTCTGATCAGGCCCGTGAAAGCTTGCCTTACGACTTCATTCTTTCGATCTCAGCATATCGACCCTCGTTATTGAGATGGCTGTGCCTTTTACCTGATGTATGGCCCGCATAATCCCTTGGGGCACCAGAGTCCCGCGTCCCATTCCGCGGGGGTCGGAGTCTACTGGCCAGCATCTATCAGCCCCGGCTCCCCTGCGCCACCTGAGTCGCATGTATATGCGAGCGGAAATTCATATTTCCCGCCTATCTCACAATCGATAACCCCAAACACACTGGAGTCATACTCTTCCTCGTCAGTATCTGCTCCAGGTCCCGCCAATCATGCCGTTCCCCCGAAAAATCCCAAAGTCGCCATACCTCGACTCTCCGCCCCTCACGCACCCACTGACCGACGTCGTTCCACACGCGCATGCGAGCCTTGCCGGCAACGCAAAATCAAATGCGATGCTACCAGACCGACATGCGGGCAATGTGTTTACCACAAAAGCCAATGTGTCTTCGAGGATGTCAAGCGGGTTCGAGACCAGAGAATGCTCAGAAACCTGACTCGTCAAGTTGATTACTATGGATCTCTGCTCCGTAGCCTTGAAGGGCAGGTTGATGCACCTACAGCGCGCAGGATTAAAAAGGCGCTGAAGGTAAGTATAAACAACAATAACACCCCGGATGCGTCCCGGGCTTTTCGATAGCCTGTCATACATTGTCGTGTACAGTCCTTAATAACCTTTTGGATCTGTTGATGTAGATGAAATTCGATGGTTCTTCGTCTCAATCCGGAAACAAGGACCGCAAAGCAGATGATTCGGATTCTGCGGCATCTGTGGGATCGCTTGAAGCTATCGACGTAGTCGATGAAGATCTGAATCGCAACGAGGATACCCGCGCTGCTGGGTTCTTTGGCAAAAGCTCGGAAGTTTCATGGATGCAGCGTTTGGAGGGCGAAGTGGAAAATACTCGCATTGACCATGGGCTTGTAGGAATTGAGACGCCCGACTTGACCTCTCAGCCTGAGTTGCAAGACCCACGCCCAAAGGGCTCTGCGCCGCCACGTGAGCGGCAAGATATTGAAATCCCTCTTGCCAGCATGAACTATCATCTGGATGATCTGGAAATTCCTGTCATAAACGACTCCAACCCATTCGTGATCCCGCCGCGTGAGACCGCGGATGAATATTTTAATGCGTATATGACTTATGTACATCCTACATTTAGTGTCATTCGGAAAACGGCCTTCACCGCTCAATATCTGCAATTCTTTGAAAGATGGGCGAAGCCGCCCCAGAAGTGGCTAGGCATTCTGAACATGATATTCGCTCTTGGCTCTCACTATTACAACTTAGCTAACCCCCTGAGCAGCCGGAGTCGCGAAGACGGGCTGGTCTTTTTGACGCGGGCTCGCCAACTTTGTCTTACCGACAATGTCCTTTTCGAACACGCCGATTTACAACAGATTCAATTGGAGTTTCTGGTGGCACTTTATCTGCTTTGTTTGGGACAGGTCAATAGGTAAGGCCATAGTGAGATAGCTGGATGGCCTGGACTTTCCATGCTAACCCGGACCAGGGCAACTAAACTGTCAAGCATGGCTCTTCAGTCTGCTCTCTCATTGGGAATCAATCTCCGTCTTACCGATGATCGAACGCATGATATATCTAAGGAGGCTCGTGCTCGTCTTTGGTGGTCTATCTATTCCTTCGAGCACCTTCTCGCATCAATGCATGGTCGAGCATCGTGCATCGGGGAACATCTATGCGCCTTGCCAGCTCCGCTGCCCGTTGAAGAAGAGACATTCGATCAGCCTGAAATCGTGAGCCTTTTACAAGATCGTACATTGCGGGAGGCCAAACTCTGTCCGACGCTATTTGAGACTACTCCCCAATCTCAGACTGGATCGAGCTGGGTGACTGAGTGCAAGCCTTGCCCGTCACTGTTTTTCTACTGCCTCGTCGACCTGTCCCTTATATCCCAAGCTGCCTTGAATAAAGTCTACAGCATGGAGGGTATTCGCCAGGGACCCAGCCTGACAGAATATCGCCTCCAACAATATTCATTACTCCTTGATCGGTGGCTCACGAAAGTCCCAGCCAATTATAAATTCATCGTCCCAGATGCAGGACCTTGGCATGTCAATCACGCCCATCTAGATGATCTCAATACCCCATTTGCGCGTGAACGTGTTTGTCTTGCGTTGAGCTACTATTCAGCCCGCATAACTCTCTGTCGGCCCTGTTTTACCCATTCACGTACCCCTCTAAGTCCAGACGCGAGCCCACGTGCTAAAATGAAAACCGAAATGGCCACTCAAGGTCTTCAAGCCGCCTGTTCGCTGATCTCGATCCTCCCTGAGGAAGTAGATGTCACCTGGTTGGCACGCGTCACCCCAGGGTGGAGCTTTCTACACTTCCTAATGCAAGCCACAACAATCCATCTCCTTTCCTTGTTATATTGCACTCCCGCTGTCGCGCTCAAAACCTGGAACGAACAGCCAGGTCAGCCTACCTCTGGCGAAACGTCAACCTATATTTACCCGCCTCTCAGGGCGGCCGATATCAACGCAGTAATTATGCAGACCAGAAAGGCATTAACCTGGATTCACGCTATGGCTTCTGTCGATCCTGCGGCTCGGCGTGCGTTCCTGATGAGCGACGGCGCCATTAGGAGGATCGCCCCTGTGTTGCAGATCGATCTGCGCGATTGGCCGAGCTCAGAAACATTGGCTGGTGAGATTGTGAATGATGGTGTAACTGATGGCGGGGATACAGGGCTCCGCATGGATACGTTGGAGGACCTGGTTGATTTTGAAGGCCATGGGTCTTTGTCTTTTGAGTGAAGTTTGATTTTGAGGGAAAATCGGTCATGATATTGTCAATCTCCCTTTCTCTTTCTTTTTCCATAGTGACCAAAGTCTGAGACCCATGCTTCCAACATTTCGACGATTAAACCTGAACCAAAGGTGGTCGTCAAATTTGCCTTCTCCCCCCCTCGCAGTGCTTTCTGATTAAGCGAGGGGAAAGGAGCAAGTAAAGTTTGGCCATGTTCAGCTGAGAAGGATTTTCGTTGACGAGTTGCAAGAGAAATTTAATTTGACGAGGGATATTAAAAATCAATACCCGTTTATTCACACTACTATAATGAACTTTCACTGAGGAACAATAAAGCCATAGATAATCACCCGGAGAATTAATGTTATCCAAGTAGGTTCAATGCTCATTTGATCTCCATTGACTACTCCCCGCACTGGCCCTTTCAGAAAGAGAGAGCAGAAAGCCATGTAGAACCTTTCCTTGGCGGACTAGATCATCTTCCTTATTATCTCCCTGCACTTGTCGCCTGTCCTCCCTGGCCACCAGTAGTTTCAGAGGTGCTAGAAGTCGTAGCTGACCAAGCACAGTACCCGGAAGAGGATGGCATTGTTTGTTGATTCACTTTCTATCCAGAGAGTTAGATACCCGTGAATAGCTTGCATCGTAATAGATTTCGCTTATCTCAGAAAGGTTACGGGGGCAGAGTACCGTTTGTAGTTTTCAATATTCGATTTTTGAGGTTTATGTATTGTAGAGTTAATGGCTGGGGAGTTTTGAAGCAGGAAATGATTTAATCAACCTCTTATAGGCCCCATTCAGCCTCTTATCTCATAGCTTAGGTGATCCTACATACCTTGTGGCTTTTTCTGCAGTTGATACCTTACCAGAAGACCTGCAGCTGATACGTGTTGAACGACGCCATGTATGAAATAAGCCATATATATATTTCCAAAGCCGTTTCGATTTCCTAGGCTTGCTTTTGATTGGAAGTCCATATAGCAAACATGGATTTCGAGTCCATGCATGTAAAAAGCCACTCTGACGTGGCGTCGATAAAAACAAAACTAGGCAGTCAGCAAGGTAATGTTTTGCTGACGTTCTTAGCGGAATCACAAGTCAATACACTTTCCTGCAGACTGCTGGCTACAGTAGACTACCCAGTGCAAGTACCTATATTATTCACAGTTACCATATGAAAGTGGCGTCTCTGCTTCTTTCCCAATGTGCGCTTACCAAGAATGACATAGCTACATTGAATAGGACAAAATGCCAAGAGGAGGATGATTTTAGTAATTTGGCTCTCTAGAATGCGGATTTCCAGAATATTGTCATATACCTGTAGTCTTTCTTGAGGCTTATGAATCTTGATTGCGTGGCTTAATTAACCTGGTGGGTGTTACATGAATTAATCTAGGTTTTCTCTAGATTTGTTGTGTCTTGCTGCCATTGTTGATAGTTCCGATTACCTCGCTCACCAAGCCTGTCCATCACTTTTGGATGATTCCTTAGCACTTGGAAGGTTATTTGGAAATTTACTTGAAGCCAAGTGTTATTGACGGAGGCCTTCCTACACATGGCTGTAGTCAAGAAAAACCAGGCACACCCACGGCAGATGACCTATTCGGCCTTGCCTACAAATCCTGCCAGGTTGGCAAAGCCAGCTTTTGTATTACTTTCTGGACCTCTTTTTCTTGTGTTGACATGGGATCAAAAGCTAGAGGAAATGGCGAATGCGGAGACAGTCTATGGGGCAAGTGGTATTGCAAAGGACGGGATAATAGTGAACTTGTCATAAGAAGGGCTAGTTCTACAAGCTAGATTTGGAGAATGAGGGGTATCTTCAAATAATGAACCTATATGAATTAGAAATATGTACTACAACATTAGATATATATCTCAAACATCACAAGCCACAAACCAGCCTGGCTAAAACAAACGTAAAGCAGAATGCCAATCATGCCGAGGTGTCGAAGCAGAACAAGACGTAACGGAAAAAGAGAATAGAAACAAAGGGCAAAGACCAAGAAAAGGAGGCCAAAAAGATATGGAGAAGAAAGTAAGTAAGAAGCAAATACGTGTAACGCCACTGGTTGGAGGGAATAACCATGACCACCAAGTCAATTTCATGGGAGGGTAACATGCCGTATGATATCAAATTACTCAGACTTGCAGGAAGGATGGACGGGTGGAAAAAACAATGGTGCTCGGGGAATCAATGCTGGGGCTCATGGATAAATACGATTCGCTTCCGCACTCTGGGAACCATCGCGAAGGGTATAAAGAAGATTCAGGGGGGATGTGTAACAACGTATCAAGTAAATATCGGAGGCATGGAGTAAGCCAGCAAGCACGGCGGAATGGCAGTCACGGAGACAGATCAGGTGCTAACAGCGGCGACAAATTAGGTCGTCTGCGGCTGGAGCTGGACTTGGAAGGTATGTTGATGTTGATGCTGAGGTGCAGGAGGAGGCGGTGCACGGGCCTGCTGCTGGGCAGGTTGCCTACTTTGTCCTTGAAGTTGTGGAGTTTGCGACTGATGATGTTGCTGATGCTGCTGCTGCTGCTGCGACTGGGACTGAGGATGTCCATGCATTGGCTGCGGAAGATGCATTGATTGTTGCATCGATGGCATCTGAGACTGCATAAACGGATGAGGAGGGGTTTGGCGAGAAGGGTGCACAGGAGACTGTTGGTGCATCTGCATATGCGATGTCATTGACAGAGGATGCCCAGGCTGCGGTGGAAGCTGTGGATTGGGCTGGTGATGCTGAGCGTGGTGTGGATGTGACAGATGCTGACCAGACTGGGCGATATGCTGAGCCGACGGAATATGCTGGGTTGACGGGATGTGCTGGGTTGAGGGGATGTGTTGAGCCGACGGAATATGCTGAGTCGGCGGCATACCGTGATGATGTATCTGAGGGGGTAAAGTCTGGCTCGGTTGGGAGTGCGGTTGGCTGTGAGGGGGAAGAGTCTGGCCCTGTTGCTGTTGCATACCATGGCCTTGTTGTTGCTGTGGATATGGAGGCGTTGGGCAGGGCCGTTTCCGTGGATCATCATCATTCGCAGACAGTGCACGTTTCTGAACCGCATTCGTATCAGTGATGTCCCCCATCTGAGGTGTGTTCTCTCCTTGCGCCTGATCCCCGTCAGCGGCGGCGGCAGCAGCAGCAGCCGCAGCCGCCGCGGCGACGTCTGCTTTTCGAGGCCTGCCACGGGGTCGACCGGTTTTGTTAGATTTTGCGGTTGAAGGCTTCTTCGGCTTAGGCGGCGGTAATGGTTGGCCCATGGCAGTGCACCAAGCAATCTGATCAGCCTTGCTGGGACGACCACGCTTGCGCTTGAATGGCAACGGGGTTCCATCGGGGCCGATGATCGGCGTTCTCGTGGTTCCTGAGGCCGTAGAGCCGGGTACAGTTGGGGTCATATTAGGATTGAAAGATGCCTGTCCAGGCTGAGGTGGGGGATATGGAAGACCTGCAGCGGCAGCGGCAGCGGCAGCAGCAGCTTGTCTGGCAGCGACTTCCTCTTTCCGCGGCCGCCCACGTTTGCGCTTTGTCGGCGTCGGCGTTATTGGCGTTTCACCGGTCGCCCCCATTGCAGTTCCCAAGACCTGCGCTTGTCCGTTGGTCTGAAGTCCTGAAGTACTAGTCGGCACATTCATATTTTGTGCTTGGGCTGGTGATGGAATGGGAGCATTGGCGACAGTTGGAGGCTGAGGAGTAGCTTGAGATTGGGCAGCCATAGAGGGGCGAGGCTTAGACTTCTTTTTCGGAGCTGGGCTGGGCTGTTCTTTCTTGATCTTGACATTACCAGGCGCCGGCACAGATGGTCCAACGGATTGCTGGGACGCTTGACTGGCTGCGGACTGCGTGGGTGGTTGATAATGCTGGAACTGGGTAGCTTGTGGGGATTGAGTATATTGAGGCTGGGACTGGGAAAATTGAGGTTGCTGTTGACCAAACTGAGCCTGGGCTTGCGGCTGATATTGATGGAATGGATGCGAGGTGTGCTGCTGGAACGGAGATTGTTGCTGCTGGTATTGATTTTGGACCTGAGTCTGCTGTTGCAGCTTTTGCAACCTCTGTTGTTCAAGCTGCTGCTTTTGCTGCTCAAGTCGTTGCTGTTCCAACCGTTGCTGATGTTGCTTTTGTTGTTCCAGACGCTGTTGCTCGAGTTTTTGCTGCTGCTCCAGCTTCTGCTGCTGCTCCTTTTGCTGCTGTTCCAGTTGCTTCTGCTTTTCAATCCGCTGCTGCTCGAGCTTTTGTTGCTCCAGACGTTGTTGCTCCAGACGTTGCTGCTCCAGGCGTTGCTGCTCGAGGCGTTGCTGCTCCAGGCGTTGCTGCTCTATGCGTTGTTGCTCCATGCGTTGCTGCTCGATACGTTGCTGCTCAAGCCGCTGCTGCTCTAAACGCTGTTGTTCAAGCCGTTGCTGCTCGAGGCGTTGTTGCTGTTGCTGCTCTTCCAGCCGTTGCTGCTGAAGCTGCTTTTGCTGCTCGAGACGCTGCTGTTCCAGCCTTTGCTGCTCCATTCGTTGTTGCTGCTGAAGCCGTTCTTGATGATGTTGTTGATATTGCTGTTGTTGTTGCTGCCTCTGCTGCTGGAGTTGTTGCAATTGCTGCTGAGTTTGCTGCGGCGACCCCGGCTGAGACTGAGGCTGACGCTGCTGGTTGAGCGCGAACATGGACGGGCTGGCCATGGAAGGACTGGCGGAGGTGTGGCTATCGCGCTGATGCATACCGGAGTGGGGTAGTCGGTTCAGCGACTGCTGAGGGGACGGCATGCTGAGGCCGTGGCCCTGAGACATTGCATTTGGCGGACTCATTACCGGCTGGGGGCGGACGTGGGCCATGGGATTCTGGAAGCCTCTTTGAAGATTCTGGAGGGCTAACGAATCGGAGTTGCGCGACATCATATCCGGGCGTGCCATCAGATCGGGAGAGGTCTGGGGCGCAAAGTGGCTCGAAAATTGCCCGTAGCTGGAGGTGGTCGGATATCCAGCTAGCGGACTGGATTTGCGCAAGTCAGGCGACTGGCCGGCGCTGAAGGCCTGGGGTTGCGGTGGCCCCGCCCGGAACAGGGGCTTATTGCTGGGAAACGAACTAGTGCCATGCTGGGGTATATTCAGCGCCGAGCCCAGCGACGGAGAGGCGATATGCTGCCGCTGCGGACCAAGAGGGTGGCCCTGAGGTGGTTGGTGCGATTGGTGCGACTGGTGCTGCTGCTGTTGCGGTGGTTGTTGTTGCTGCGACTGCTGGTGGTGGAAGGGCTGACCGCCGTATCCCATCATCTTCAAAGAGGTTGGTGTCTTCGACTTTCGGAAGTGGACACCAGATTCGGCTCTTTTCCTCCTCCTGCGACCACCGTCCCGAGGTCAGGGCGTCACGGCGACTCGCAAATAAACGATCCCGTCGACGAGTCTGGGGAAGAGCAGTGGTCGCGTGGCCGACAAGCAGATACGGGGTTCTTCGATAACGAGCCAGCTGAAGTCGCGCCGCGTGTTTTGTTGTTCCGGCGGGCCTGAGTCACCAAGGCCGCAAGGCACCAGGGCAGCAAGGCCTCAAGGCAGTAGGAATTGCCTGAAGAGGTTTAGCGGCTACGGCGGCCGAGTCTCGCCGGTCAGCGCAACAAGAAAATTCCAGCACCCACGAACGAGCGATTCAGGGGGGAAGAAGGAAGCAAGAGGGCTGGCCTGGAGGAGAAAGGGAGAGCCGCGTCGCTCTACTCCAAGAATACCGCACGGGCTGGGCCTTGGGAGACAGGAACCGGGCACTGACAAGGGACGATCGGAGGGAACCAAGTGGATGGCGGGCTCGATCTTTCGATGGGCGAGGAATAAATAAAATAATAAAAAATAAAATAAAAATCGAAAAATTCAAGTTCTCCACATCACGTGATTCTGGGGTGACCCTGGAAGTATAAGCATGACCCATTCTGAGGTCCATGTTATGGTTAAGTAGTTTATTGTCTAGCGCCCACAAAGTAGATTGAAGGTAAAAAGTTCCCAGTAATTACAGAATGATGGTCCTTGAAAAAAGAAACGTTTTTATTATCATACATCGACTTTTTCCCATCGGCCATGGTCATGTCCCCCAAAAGCCATACGATTCTCATGCGGCCTTCCCGACATCCTTGTCTTCCTCTGGCACCCGCAGATCCGCCAAACAAGGGGCCACAAACAATTTTCCAGAGATGACACCACGCAAAGTTCCAATACTGACAATGACCCAAAGCACCACGACACACACGGATAGGATCTAGCAGACCGATTAGCGATACCAAAAGAAAAAAAAAAAGGTCGAGGGAGAGATAAAAGCCAAAGGGAAATTTCCTGGCACGGACCGTTCCAAGGACATTGAAGAACCGAGATGGTAGCTCCGTACCCATCTGCACCGTACTAGCTGCAAATACTCCTAAGGGGAACGTAAAGCCCCACCAGCCAATATTGAACGGAAAATTCTTGCAGTGAGCAATCGATGCCGAAGCAAAAAACAGCCAGACCAACCCAAATGACCAGAGAATGAGAGCGATTAGAAACCCGAGCGTGTAAAACGTCGATCCCGACCCTTGCTCGAGTGTCTGCGTCTGCGGGAAGATGTCCCGAGCACACTGGCCGAGCTTCATCGCCCTGGTATATTCTCAGCGTTTGAAGAGGAAAAAATATGTGCAGGCCAAACTATAGGGCACTAGGAAAACGTACCCATATCCGCCTTGACCGAGTGGGCCTAGTGGCAAGAAAACGCTGACAATCACCGCTTTCGGCGGTAGCTTATGCAGGGTTAGGCGCTGCAGGTAGATCACCATGACCATGAGCGCGAGCGGGAGGCCGATGCCCCAGAGCACATAACTTGCGAGAACTGTCCACAAGGCGTACTGTGGGTTGGGGAGAATATCGGCCACAATAGCCCCGGAAGATGCAGCGACAATGCAGCTGACGATAGGGAGAAGCCAGACCGCAGTCATCGAGGACAGATGTGTCTCGCTACCCTTAGCCATGCTACCATCGTATTACAATCAGCTCATAAAATCATCCCAGCTTGAGATATCCCGAGAAATATGGAGACTTCTTACAGCAAGAATGGCAGCGAAAGTGCCGTCATCACGGATATTACTGCATCAATGATCCACAAAGCCCACGCGAAGTACCGTACCCACACACCCCAAACCGGTACGCAGACAAAGACAAACATGTTGATTATGGTGGTCAGGCCCATCGGGAATGTCCCGATGAACATCGACTGCACGGAGTGGGTGATCATCACCCGGAAGATCTCCGGGTATAACACGTACCGCAACAGACTGAGCATGCACCCTGTTGTAAAGAGGAGCACGTTCAGGCAGAATATGGCGACAGAGATCCAGTACAGCCATATTCCATTGTACGGAAGATTGTGAAGGAGGATGGACACGATGCCCGTCCCCATAGTGATTGAGAACCATCTAAGGGTGAGGTTAGCAGCAGGTGCGAACAGGAGTGGCAAAAATTAGGACTGACGAGGGCGTGAAGTTACGGACGACGCGGCGCCAGCCTCGATCATGCTTTGTAGGCAATTGAGGTTGCTTCTGAGCCGCTGTGTCTGTCTCGGAAAGCTTGCTGGAGTATTGAGGTGAGTTGGACCCGCATGGTAATGGTACAATGTTGGACGACATCGGCATCTGGAGCAACCTACTCCGTGGAGGACAAGACTATCAGCGGTAGGAAACAGATTGGATATATTAGAGTATAGTGATACACAATGATCAAGCCCCTCAATCTTAATTTGAATATCGATGTTCTGTTGTTTAATCGGGGTTTGAAGTATGACTCGACGGAGTATCGGCCGAGATCACTCGGCTTTGTCGGCACGCCACTATTCAAAATGACATGCTTGAGAGTTTGGGTTCCCGGATGCCCCCACATTCCAGCCAGCCGGGCTCCATTGCCATTCAAATGCTAATGTGATTGGGCATGTCAAATAATTTCGTTAAGAATAATGTCAACGTGGATAACAAGTCCAGGCCTCTGCTCGCTTCGGGCGTCACGGGTTGGTCTCATAGCCGCGCTAGGACTGGTCAATAAACCAAATACCGGATGCACTGATTTTGTGTTACATTTATGGGGTTCATTGGTACCTTTGTCCTATGTATGGCTTTCGCAATGAAGCTAGCGATCGTAGGTATACGTCCTACCCGACTCTTTGACGACAGAGTGCAAGCTGTCTTTACCATGAGACCCGTTCTCAATATCAGTCTAAGTTTGATGAGCTTCTTTAGAGTGATTTTAGGAGTTCTTGTAATTAAAGACAGAAACATACTGAAGATATATAAAGAGTGCTACTCTTCAAGAAGGGGATTCGGAAGCGTCGGGGAGCTTTTGCAATACACTAGGGATGAGGATGGCCTGTCGTCTGAGAATTCTAGCTTCCCATAGCATTGTGACGCCACCAGGTCATCCTGAGCTAAGATTGAACGAGCTTAGAATAGTTGAACCCTACTTTTAATTGGTGTACATTGTCGGTTTATTAATTAGGGTATACCTGCAATGCATAGGCGACTGCATAGATCAAGGTCGCCACCACAAAGGGACTTCCCCGTAATGAAGCCCTACGCGCTTAATAGACGACAATAAACTCAATAACTTATGAACAGTGGTGGATTGAGTAAGTTGAAAGAAAAAATCACCAAAAAATTACAGTTCGTCAGATCGAAAATCATACAAGGCGTCATACATCCTTTTCCACCACCCTCCTAGATACACAGTATACACAATATTAAGCCACGGCAGGACTAGCGGCTCAAGCCTAGCGGGTTGTCCGCGGTCTGGTTCTGTCCACCGATGCTCTGGAAGCCTCCTTGAATGCCCTGCCCAGCGCTCTTGGTTGTATTTCCCAGGCCCTCGGTTGCGCCCGAGACTGTCTGACCCAAGCCGGATGTGACGCCGCCGACTGTCTGTCCGAGGCCGCCAACCGTGTCGCCGAGAGTGTTGGTAACACCGCCAACTGTTTTACCGAGGGTGTCGCCTAGGCCACCAAGGAGACCGCCATCTGTTAGAAACCATTAGGTTGGCGGCGGAGTTTGAATATTTGCATGTGCATGGACTAACTGTTTTGCTGAGACATCTTTGGTGGCGTCGCTCTAGATTGGTGGAATATGAATGTGGATTTATAGGATAGAGAGCTAAGCGTAGAGGATATCGGATGACTTTTCTCTGACTTGAAAAAAGCTGTTCTTGATACATTCTCGCCCACATGTCTTTATTTATATCAAGAATCTCGATTGCCGACGAGTCAAAAACAGGTTCCGGATATGATACAATTAGTGCAACCGGGCCACAAGCCACGGTGTCATATGGGAAGGACGCGCCAACAACCGGCGCAAATCCAATGATATTCTCCGATCCAGTCCATCTATCGGTCTTGATGACCTTCCCAGACCCAGTCATCACAAACCTGACGTAGTGGCACCCCGGGTATCCACAGGACCGTTGATCTCATTGCTCGTGGGACAGCGCGGCGATTGGTCGAAATGCCCCCGGGGCGACGATGACCCCAGACGACATCCGTGAAGGGGTGGAGAGCAGGGGTGCTCTTGCTGAACTTTCTTATATTGATCCTTTGTAATGGCCGGGCATTGCTGATGGGGACTTTGTAATGTGATTGTCAACTTCGGATTTCGCTGGCGGGGATGATGTCATGCCGAGTTGATATCATTTTAAGTGGATCGAGAGACAGGGATCTATGAAAGTGTTTTATATTAATCGCGGTGGGGCGCGGTGGCCACTGCACGATGGCGGTGTCATGCGTTTTCCTCAATCAATATCGGGGCCTTAGTGATCATGGTGGGACGATGTCTATTTCAACATAATGTATTGTCTATAGCTCTAGATCAACACCATCACGGTCACCAGAAAATCTTTATCGGAGACGGTGAGCCCAAAACCTCCCGAAACCCTGTACCGTGTCATATCTATTCAAAGACTCGCCTTGCCTCTAGATTCGTACGGCATGAGGATTACCAGCAGCCCAGCCACAATAATCAGGACTCCGCTCACATAAACCGGCACCGCAGAGTTCAGATTAGCATACATTGCAACAATCGGGGCCATGATACCGAAGATACGATTGGCCGATGCGGTTAACGCATTGCCCGTGCCGCGGTCCTTGGTCAGGAAGATCTCCGGCGTGTAAGCGTACAGCACGGCGTACATCAGACTGCTCATGAAGCTGTAGGCACAATTCCAACCAAGCAGTGCATTTGATGTCCTCGCCGTGGTAGATGCGAGAAGGAAGGCCCCGGTCAATGCAGTCGAAGAGGATAGAGCGCCCTTACGCCCAAAACTGCGCAGTTCGACCAGGATCCCGCCGAGAAGACAGCCTGGAATACCCAGCGTTGCGATGATGAGGGAGTTGCGATATGTGATGTACGTTGACCCGTCACCGAACTCGGCGCCCCGGGATTGTTGGATGTAGGGTAGAAACGCGTTATACAGGGGGAATCCCAACCCGATTAAAGCCCATACGAGAATGATCAGCGTCGTTGAAAACGCTCGTTTGGGAGTATCGAAGAGCGCGCGAATGTGTTCAAAGCGGAGTTTCTCCAGTCGTTGACGGAGGATATTGGTGGCTGTGGAGCCTGGGGATTCCTCGTTGTCAAAATGATCCAGCATCTCTCGAGTCAGCCAGGAGGATTTGCCATTCCGGAGCGCGACTTCATGCACAACGTCAACGGCCTGCTGGTTCCGCCCTTTGCCCATCAGATACTTGGGCGACTCATAGATAGTGAAGAAGAGAAACCGAATCGCAGACATGGCCATCGCCAGACCTCCCATCGCAATCAGAAAGTACCGCCATCCCATATTCTCAGCCTTGGTACAACCCTCCGCCGCGCCGCAGGTCATATTGCCCAGCAACGGCCATGCTACCAGATTCGCGAGCAACTGCGCAAACGCCCAGTCTACCGACAACACGGCCAACAGATACTGATGTGAGCCTGGAAGGAACTCCAAGAAAATTGCTGAATCGACCGGCAAGTTACCGCCCACACCGACAGACCACAGCGCCGCGAACGCGCACGCCGCCCCAAAGCTGGGCGACCCGGCCGCAACCAGGCCAAACACGGCCGTGATCCCGATGGTCAAATTGAACGCCCACCGACGCCCGAACACATCGCAGCCAAACCCCCAGAAAACCGCGCCGACCAGCAGCCCGATGTTCTGCGCCAGTGTAAGCAGCGGTGGCTTTGCGACGTGGAACTCATACGACAGCGGCGTCAGCACCAGCGAAGTCACGATCGGCCAGAGGTTGTCGCTCGCCCAACCAAAGCCGATTACTACAAACAGCTGCCACTGGTACCGGCCCATACCGATATCCTGTAGGGCTCTGTTCAGCACGTCGGCCTTGGCTTTGTAGGCTGCGTCGCGGGATTCATCTTGCGGAGTCACGGCACTGGGCCCTGAAGGTGGGCTCTCGATCGCTGTTGGCTCCAAGCCGGGCGATTTGAGGGAGAGCGACATTCTCACCTGCCGTCGTTCGTGTTGGTCGATCGCGAGTGAAAATCGCAGACAAGCGTAGAACAAAGAAAAAAAAAGTCCAAGTTTGAGCTCATAGAGGACGAGAGCCGCTTTTATTGTATCGTTCTTGCACACCTTAGCTCGAGGACTAGCTCCGGTGCAACGTCGACCCTTGCGCGAGCAGGGTTGAAATCTGCATCAATGTCTCTGTGGTCGAATCAGGGCCCGCAGAACACCCGGAGTGAACTCTATCGCCTGGCATTCCGGCGTGTTTGAGCCGCGGCAATGGCGTGATCCCCTGCGGTGGTCCCGTCAGAATCCAGAAGGTTTGCGTCGGTGGAGTTTCATAAGCCGCAGGGTTTTGCTTTCCTATAACGGAATATGATGTTGTGGTGATCTTGACTTGGAGCTGGAAGAAGATCGGAAGTGGTTCATCATGACGAAGTGGGCGGTGCAGTAATCAAACGGGAGAAGCGGTGACATGGTTTGCCCTTCACCTGAGAGTGGACTAGTCATGAACCCGAATGGGATGGTGGGTCTACTGAAACTATAGATATCGTTTGGTGAGTTGTTCACCCTGTCATGTTTCTATTTCCAATGGAAAGCAATCGAGATTTAAATCCAATACAGAAGATTAAAAAAATTGAGAATGATAATACTGACTACTCTCCCTAGCCTCAAGACGTCAGATATGGCGCGGGCTTAGAGACAGAACCATTAGAAGTATAGAGCTCCAGTAGCCGATCAGACACACTAAGTGCCAAGAGTACAGTCAGAGAGTAACAAATAGTAAATGAAGGTTTAATATAACAGACCTGTCTTTTCAAGCACACCGGAGAAACAACAATGCCCACCATCCGGCACTGAGCCTACTATCCGACCGTACTCAACAGGCACACTGCGTAACCGTGCTGTTTTGAGACACTACACACCATGCCACTTATTTTGAAACTATCAATGACTCCTGCAAAACTTGTGGGCTGAACCATGATGCCCCTTGTATCCAAAAGACTCAGCAACTCCTTGGGGATGCAGGTCAGTCGGTTCCACACTGTTAGGCGATGATGTAGCCGTTTCCAAAGCACTCGAAGTAGATGTAGACGTCACCTCTGTCAAGGAACTAGAGGCAGACGTAGACACCACCGTCTCCAGAGGAGTAGACGTAGACGCCTTACTCTCCAGAGGAGTAGACGTGGATGTCGTCTTTGCCAGAACACTAGACGAAGACTGAGACGCTACCTTCACCGCGGCACTTCCGCTAGACGAAGACGCGGCTCCCGCCAGAGCACTGTATGGTGTCGCTCCGGGGTAGAACGACGTTGGGATCGCCGGGATCGGGATGGGCGAGTCCGTGCCAAACGCGGTCGCGAGATCTGACGCCATTGTGGCCGCCGAGTAGCCTGTTGGGGTCGCCGTGACGGTGACAGTGGTCGAATATGAAACGTAGTCGTCACCGTCGCGCAAGCACGCACCAGAGCCGTACGCGCTATTGCACCAGTACCACTGATAGTCACCTGACTCAGTCCACATCGCGAAATCCTCGATCGTGACATCTGTGCAAGGCGCGCCGTCAGCACAGTTTACCTTGATGGGTCCGCGCTGTGCGCCATCGGCTTCGGTGCCCTTCCAGTTCTTGATCGTAATGTTGTTGAGCTGGACGCCGTCACCGTCAACAGTGCTCATGCTACTCCATTGCTGGTCGACATCGAGGGAATAGGCGTTGCCATGACCTGAAGAGACAAGAGAAGTTAGGCTACAAGCTGGCGCTGCTGTATTTAGGGAAAAGATTTGCGGTACCGATGAAGTTCTCGAGAAGGAGATTGGACACCGTGCCGCTGCCACCGTTGCTCTTGATCATGTACATCTGGTTCGAGGACCAGGTGTAGACGTTGCGATAGGTCACGTCCGTGATGTTGACATCGGTGGAGAGGGAGCCCATGGCACAGCCACCACTCCAGTTACAGTAGATGTTTTCGACCAGAATGTTGGACGCGGGACTCTGCGGTGATAGTAGATAGAATGAGACTTTGTGGTCGACCTGATGCGGTGGGAGTGGCTTGTTCGTACCTTGACAGTGACACATTCATCCTTGTTGGTGACCTCCACCTATTTCTCCAATAGTCAGCGAGGGAAACATTGGAAAGTTAAAAGAGGGGGTTATATTTGTCGGCGTACGTCGTGAATCCACATATTGGTCGACCAAACATCGATACCATCCAAACCGCCCGAATTGCCACCTCGAATGGCCATATTGTAGATCTCTCCATTGGAGCACGTATCCATGGAAAAGTGGAATGCCGGGGCATCCACCAGAGCGAGATCATGGACTGAAAAGTCCGAGACCTCATACAGACGAAGGATGCGAGGCCCGCTCAGCGATCCCTCCGCGTGAAACTCATACCCGAAGCCCTGGACCGCACCCTCAGAGGTTGAGCTAAACAGCTCAAAATCGGAGGTGTGCTCGATAAAGATCATGTTTCCTCCGTCAGTACCAGTCCTATAGAGGATACCATCCATGCGGATAGCACAGCTACTGCCCCCGGTCAGTGTGACCCAAGAATCCAGCGCATAGGCGCCAGATGGGACGTAGACGACACCACCGTCCTTGCATTCGTCCCAGGCCGAGCTGATGGCCGGGCCGACGTCAGTCGAGTTGTCGGCGACACCGCCATAGTCGAGGACACTGCAAATCTTGTTGCTGGCCTTGGAGGAATAGGACGTGGTTGGGCCCACGGAGCCAGACAGTTGAGCGGCTGCAAGCAATGGCGCCAGGCCAATTGCGAGGAAAGATGCCATGCCGACCATTTTGAGGCCTTCTTGAGGAATTTTATAGATTAGCTTTTTTGGTTTATATTTCTTAACAGAACACACAAAAAAAAGACCTGAACACAGCGAGAAAAGAGTGTCAAAAGCGTCAAAAAGGAATGTCGATTGAAGAACAGGGCACAAAACAAAAAGGAAACAGAGCCGCCGAGAATAAAGGAACTCAGACCTGAGTGAGAGGCTTATATTTCAAACCACTGGCGACACAGATTAACTGCATGCCTTGGCTTGATTCTTCCACTGGCCCCAGCGCGATCTGTCCTGGATTGCGTGGGCAAACCCCACCAAAAACCCCGAATGTCAGTAGACACAAACTGTCGAACGCCTCGCCCCCTTTTCCCACATGTTTTCCACAAATGGAATGGATTCAATGAGGATCTAGGAAGGGATCTACATGGTGACCCTCGATTTGAGGCTGTTGAAGGTGAAATCAAGCGTGAGATTGGAGGGATGAAGGGGAACCGAAGCCCGTTTGACATTGATTGCATCTTGACGGGATCAGCATGCCGGTCGGCTGACAGGGGCCGCTTGAGGGCTTCGGCAATCGATTTTCGTTAAGCACTAGGCTCCACTCTGAACGGCCCCCCGCCCGTTCTTAGTTAGCTCGATGTTTAGAATGAGTTAGCTGGTTTCAACGTCCACGCGGTTCATTTCTCACTCCTTGAAGTTCGGCTGCTTGAACTCTCGCAGAATTTGGATGTAGTCGATTTGTTCCCTCGGCTAAATCCTTTGGATCCTTAGTAGCAATATATCCGTGTGATACACCCGGGGTGGGGGACGGGATTGTACAAGTTGAGTTGCTGATTAACTAGCGTAAGTCGTAGATAAAGTATAGCTACAATAATCAAGAACGTCAAGTTTTTCTACCTTACCTAATCTGAGATCTGAGAAACTCTAGGCAAACAAGTCATAACAATGGATTTACTCGTTGAATCTGCACAGTTTATTGTAAAGCTACCTATTATTAACCTGGCGGAGTATCGGAATGTGACCTCAGTACTAGATATCGAAAAGTGGAAGTTAACAGAATTTTTCTTGGAGTTCGTCTTGAATAATAATGCAGATATATTATGAATATGACCCACACACAAAAGTGGATCTACGCTCCTCATGGGGCAGTTAAGCAGAACTTGATACATCCACGGACTACGCTATTCAGGCACAAGTCAAGTCCCACAGGGGGTGCAATTTAAGGGGCGTAAATAGTTAAGCGCCAAGATTATAGAGTTCCCCAAGACCTAGTCTTGTTTCAACCTGACATGAATTCTTTCATTCTATTAATCTCTTACATATTCAACAGGCTTGCTATCTATACTCTAGCTTACTATGAAGGTACTGGTTGACATGGAAGTGGCCTGTTGATCAGGCATGGAAATAAGTGGATAACGAACTAGAAGCTTTACTAAATAGGAAAGAAGGGTATGTATTTAAAAAGAAACCAATAAGTGTGCCCCGAGTGGGTTCAATTCACAGTCCAGAGATAAAATAACTCCTTGTTTCCTAACGATTACCTAGAGAAACAGAGGGAGATGATGAAAAATCACCGCTCAAAGGAGGGATCTTCTTCGAAATTCTTTGTCATATAATAATGCGTTTCGGATTTGAGTCAATCTTTTGCATCTGATTTCGACCTTTAGTACTTCGTCAAACCTATCCATTGGCTTGTGTTTGTCCGAAAGCAGACAGGTCCTAGGAAATAGCCTTATCGGGGATAATATCTTTTTTCCTCGTTTTCGCCTCGAAAGATTGCTCTATTAGGAACGTAGACTCTCGGAGTATAAACCGAGCTACCAGCCGAGATAAGGCTATTAATTGCAGACCTCATTTCCTCGATCTGCCTATGTATTTGCCCGAGGGAGTTGATGATCTTTCGCATACCCGATCCACGCAGAACCTCTCGACCTAGAAGCAGGCTAGAGTCTTCGAGAAGTTCAACCGCTGGGGTAGACAAATATTGGATAATGTGGTCAGGAGGAACGCAACTATTGCACAGAAAAAGACTAAAAGATTAACAGGCTCCGGGAAATATAAATTTTTCGAAGTTGGGACTGTAATGCGTTTAGATACTTAAATATATATACATCGTGAGAAGCTGCAAGACCTGTATCCATCCACTCCAGTCCCAACGAGAAGACTAAAAAGAACAACAATTGTGTGGACCACTCCCATGAAGGCTTGACGGATCACGACATACTTTCTTATACACATAATGGAACGCGGTTTCAATGAGACAGGCTTCAATTACCAAGGTATGTACGGGTACTGCTTGTTTCAGCCCCCACAAAGCTGAGATTTAGGATCAGGGACAGGCTTGGACTCCTGCAAATTTGACAAGGAAGATTTAAGTTGTTATGTAAAATGCGAGCAACATATTTCTAAAACTAGTCAAAAGGACTGGTATTTTACGGACAGAGCCCTCAAGCCCCTATTATCTCGATGGACCTGGCAAACTACAACGGAACGGGAAAATCTCTCGAAAGAAGTTTTTTTCTGAATTTTATCTCCAGCTGGAAAACAAGATCTAGCTAAAGACTTCACCAGCAAAGAGCGGAGTCGGAAGCGGCCGTAATCCAAGTCTTCGCAGGTACGCAAGACATTACATTGACAGCTATCCCAAACACTCAAAGGTGCACACTCCGCCATATTTTAACTCAAACCTCCTCCCAGACCTGCAAGCTCAAATGAGCTTCTTAGATCATCAGACGCTCAACCTGGGTCTTGATGGTGCGGATCTGGTTGTTCAGCTCGCTGGCCTCGTTGGTGGTGATCGAGCAAGCAATAACGGGGCGGGAAACACCGGTAGCACGGCCCAGAGCCATCTTGCTGGGGACGTAGACGTAGGCGACGTTCTTGTCCTCGCACAGCAGAGGAATGGGGAGAACGAGAGGGAGCGGGGTAGTGTCGGCCGCAAGGATCACGATCTCGGAGATACCACGGTTAAGAGTCTTGATGGCTGGTGAAAGAGATGAAAGTTAGTTTGACCTGCAGCGGGGGGTGGGAATATATATGGTATGGTAGCATGGACGTACTCTCGTTGGCACCCTCTAGAGAATACAAGTTAGCATCAGCTGGATAAGAGCGTTAAAGGGAAGGGAAAGACGCACTCTTCAATTGTCTCATGTGGCTGGCCTGCTGGACAAGGTCCAAGAGGCTCTGGCTCAGGGTCTCATCGGCGATGGGCCAGGCAGCGCTTGCGTCTTCAGCCATGGCGATAGAAGTAGTTGAGACTGGGTGGTGGAGAGAGAGTTCAGAAACCAAATCTTAAGAGAAATGGCTCACGCAGAGGATCACTGCCTGGAAGGCTCACGCAAAGGATCACTGCCGTGTGAACACAGCAGATACAATTGAGAGGTGGTTGGTGGATACAGGGAAATGAAGCCAAAGCGAAGGAAAATTTAGAGAGAAGCCGAAGGGCGGTGTATTTCTGCCCACATGTTGAATTTTGAGAGTGTATATCATGTGATTCAATGGCCGCCCTTTTCGAGCGGAGAGCCGCTGACTCTTATCTGATTGGATGTTCCACGAGATCGTGACCGGCAAGGAGAGGTGATCATGTGATTTTACGGTGTTGATTTCCCTACTCTGCGCTCCTCTTCAGTCGTCCATTTTCTCTAGATTTTCTTCGCTACTACTCTCCTCTAACTGATACTTGAGATAAGATATATGGTGTCCTTGAAATAAGCTGATTTTTTTATTTGCTTCAAAATGCATCAATTTTATTTCATAATGGATATGCTATGGTAGTGGAAATGCCTCCAGGGCACCCCGAATCATTTTGTTGCAAAGTGCCTGTCTGCAACCACGGAAAATTCTCGAAGGCGGATCATCCATTCAAAAAATGGCGAAGAGTCTATTTTCCTGCGCTGCCATTGACAGTGCTGTTCGCCAGCTTGGAACGCGCCCGAAGATCCGGACCAAACTTGAATAAGATGAATGGAATGAAGGTCAGCAGAGTGGCAATCAGGGCCAACAGAAGACCGGCATACTGGCTGCCAAGGTTATGGAAAAACTGAGATGCAAACAGCGGCGACACTGCACCAAGGGTGTTACGCATGAATCCCTGGCCTGCGATGGCGGATGACGAGTTTTCACCATAGCAGTCAGCAGTGTAGCTGTAGCAGGACTCGAAAATGAAGAAGATGCCAATGCTGATGAGCACAAGTCCCACAATAGGTCCAAACCAGAATAGATCCTTATACTGTGTAAAGCTGTAGATGAAGAGGCCGATGGGCAACCAGACAGCGCCGCACAGGGCGCCGTAGAGGCGCGCTTCAGGACGGGTTTCTTGGTTAGGGTCGGCGGCGATAGATTCGTATTTCCGGATCTGGAGGAAGTTTAGACCGAAGCCAGCAGTTGTACCAAGACAGAGAGCAATATATGGCAGCCCGGAAACACCCTCGTTCCAGCCGCGCTTTTCTTCGAAGGTAATAGGAATCACAGAGAGGAAGAGGAAGGTCAAAAACCAAGCAAAACTGATCCAAAGACCAAAGGCAAACACAACAGGTTCTGTGAAAAGCATGCGGATAGCTTTAACCGAGGAGTTATGTAGCATATGCTTGATGCCAGGCGCCTCGAGCTCGTTGAGAGTGACAAACCGCTCGTCTCCGGTAGACTGGCGGAGCAATTTAGCCCGTTTGGTCAAAGTAACACTCCCACGAGTCTCGCAGAGACAAAGCGCAATGACAATGACAAGAGGAATATTAGCGAGACCCTGGATACCCTCAACCCATCTCCAGCCCAGAGCCTGGTCAATGAAGCCGGCATAGATAGGCGCCCCAACCGTGCCGAAGATAGCAACAAAAGAGAAAGAAGCCATAGGAATCGCACGGTGAGCTGGTGTATACATATCACCAAATGTTCCGCCAACTAGGATAGTGCCGACGCACCCGAATAGACCGAGCAAGGCACGGCAGACAAGGATAGTCGCTATATTTTTGCCCAGGGACAGTCCAATGAACATTAGAGCGAAGCAGACATAGGCGCCAACATAGACGACCCGTCGCCCTGCCAGCTCACAGAAAGGAGCCAGAAAAAGTGGTGCAAGAGCGCAGGTGAAGTTGAATGTAAACAGGCCTAGCTGTCCCAGCTCGGACGAGACACCCAAGTCCTCCGTCATTTTTGTGATTCCTGAACTATATGCCGTCGTAGCAAGCCCAATGAACAGGGTCATTAAGCATAGTAGAGCACTGATGAAGGCCTTTCTCTTGCCACTCCAATTAAACGGATTCTCCTTGTCTCCTTCAGCAAACTCAAGGACAATGTAATTCTGGCCATTGTGCTCCGTCGGCTGTGTCTGGGTAAGAGGGAGGTCGACGTCAACTTCTTGCAGTAGCCGATTCTCGAAGCCTTGTGACTGTTCTTCGAATACCTCCTCGCGGTACTTTCCTCCCACAATCCAGCCTTTCTGATAACTCTCCTCGTGGGTAACTGTTGTGCTTTCAAGTTCTGGCACTGTCTCTGTGTGAGAGGCCGAAATTGGAGGTTGTTGCTGTTTTGACTTCATGGTTGATGGTTGGAGAAAAGGGTGCGTGAAGAGCAACTGAATCAATTGAGAAGAAAAGAATTCTAAAATCGGGAAAAATGTCGATACCATATAAGTTACCCTGGGGCTGTGCTTGTCGTCATCCGCAAAACTCCGGGTTGACCAGTATGGGGGGTCTCGAGATTCGGCGCCAAAGCATGGGGGTTAGCCTCGTAACGCTCCACATTGCTCCGGCCCGTTCCTGGGCAAGAATCATGCGATAGGATAAACTTTTCATTACTGTACGGTATAAAAAGCATAATGAATATCCTGTGGGCACTGCACAATGTGACTCTACCTTTACTTTACTCTGCATCTTCACCAAGCACAGGCCTTTGAATTCGATATCCTGGGGTTGAAGGCATCGATGAGTATGTATCCTCCTGGACCCATCCTTTGTGCTCTAGACTCTTGATTCAGCGTTATTTACCTCATACTGCTCTGGCCGAATGAAGCTGGTAATAGCCCAATACAAGCTAGTCTGTCTCGCATGAGAGACGTGGACCACGAAAATGCTGCACGAATCGTATCTAACAGCGCGAACGCCACCTGGTAAGAACAACCTTTCTTGGAAATTCATCGGGGGAACGATTGATGATCGGAGTGGGTTTGATAACACCGAAGAGAGTCCGACGACGTACCGACCCTGCTCTCTCCGAACCAACTCGGCATGCCTTGTCTCGGCCCCACCGAGTTGAAGAGACCGGCAAGCCGTGTGTCGAGTCGGGGTGGTTCGGTCTGGCTAGAATGTAAAGTTTTGGTAGGTCTAATGGTTAAAATAGCAAAAGGAATTATAACAGATTCCTTAAATTAATTTAAAACAAGCTGTGTGTTTGCTTTGCTGCACTTGAATGAAGATACTGCTGGGAAGGTGATATTTCCCCGTTCGGTGACCGAGAAAGATCGACCGGTCGGTAGATCCTCGGAGTACCCACCGTCAGAATTCGTTGAATGACCACCCATCCATTTGAGGCTTTTATGTATGCCTGCCCAGCGCCGTGCTGAAATCAAGGCCACCCGAGTCACGTATAAATGCATTCAGGGACGTCACTTGCCTGGTAAGGGTTTTATGCCTTACATCTCTACTTGTCATCTCCTCCATTCATTGGCACCAAGTCTCGCGGTCTCGATCTCGCTGCGTGATAATGGAATACTAAATATTTAGATCGACGAAGAAATATTTTGTCTTGTTATGAATTTTACGTAGTAACCAGTGTCTCGCTTCTTCCCACGTCATAAGAGTTCTACAATTTCTTTACCTTGGGGATTTTGTTTTGAGGAGAAATATGCATGCTCTTATTTTGAAGTGCGAATGGTAGTATTCAATTAAAATAAACTGACGAAAACAATCAATGAGAACCAGAAATTTTCAAGGAAAATGCAACCAAATCATGCTGAAGAAAAATGAACGTATTCGTTTTGAAGGAATGGACTGTATAAGGAGTAGCTTGATGGTCCACTTGGAGCAAGCTCTGTAGGAACAAGTTCGATATCAAAGCGCATGTTAACAAAGCCAAATAGTGTCGTGTAGGTGACAACTCTTGCAATTCGATGAGTCCCATAGGGAAACGATCCCATAACAAAGTACCCGACCAAGCGACCAACACGAGTGCCTAGCAATCCTAGGTATTCAGAAGTGCCATATTCCCACACACGAGAAATGTAATCGGGCACAGACAGTCCACGTTCTTCCGTGTAGAGATATTGAACGATGAAATTACGCACCTCCTTGTTGGTAACGCGGAGAAAGAAGATGTGCTTGAGGCTTTCAATGGGGTGGCGATGCATATAAGCAGCCCGCATGAGATCTGACATGTATGGAGTAGCAGAAGCCGACCGTTCCATCTTGAGAACAAACAAGACACGCTTGGCGACCCGGCCAGCGAATTCGTGAATCTCGTCGGGCGCTCCTCTCTTGCGAAGCGTGGCTACGATCTGCTTATAGCTGCTGTCGTGGCTATCATCCTTAGCCTTAGGGTTATAAGGCAGCCCGAGATCGAGGGCCTCGCGCACACAATCGCTTGGTAAGCCTTTAGACTCTATTTTGACGGTCCAGTCTTTGTTTCTCAAGAAACCACGAAGCGTATAATGTTCCTGACTGACCCACATGGGAACCCGTGGTTGGGCCTCCATCCAGGCCTTCATCTCGAGACCTCGCCTTAAAAAGGCCTCCAGGGTGCAAGTTTCGGGCACGAGACACATTATTTGGTCAGTTTGTGCCATAATTTTGAAAGAAAATGTAGTAGGGCAAACCTAAAATCACTTACAAAGATGGTGTTCGACGTAGAAGACGTCGCATGTAGATGACGACGATGGGAGGATGAGTAGCAATCGAAACCTCTGTTCTCGAGGAATATATACTCGAGTCAAGTCAAATAATAAGTAAGATATCTGGGTCAAGTGGAGAGGAATAAAGAAGAGTAAAGAAATAGACGTGTGAATGCACAAGAAATCGCCATTTCCTTGTATCAAAGAAAAGCATCTATAATAAACAAAGGGAACTTGCAATGGATTGTAAGACAAATTCCCATGCAAAAAAGCGGGTGCAAATGAGTTCAAGGTAGCCGACAGCGTAAGATGAACACAACACAGATCGAAACGTAGCCAATATTAGAGAAGGAAAAGGGTCATCTCGTCTTTACCAAAAGGAATTAGCATTCAAAATGTTGATTATGGCACTATGTTGTTGTAATAAGAAGCGAGACCTCAACTTAAGTCCGTGTGAAAGAGCGACTTAGAGGTGAAGGATGACGAGGAAAATTAAGGCCGGGAGAAGATACAGAAAATTAAACCAAACGTCTTTCTCTCCAGAAGGCAGTAGGGAATTATTCGTCAGTAACTGTTAGCAAGTAGGAAATTTCGGCTTCAGGTTTGCTGCCTGGGGTGGTCAAGCAGCCTTTGGGGGTGGGGTGTAAACAGGAGTCTGTGAAAGACTTCGCGTATGGCTTCATCAACTCTCACCTTATCCCACATAAACTTGAGCTTGAATTTCAGTGCCGCCACGGCATGCCCCACAAAATTATTCCATATTTTTGTTTCCACTCCCATCTTTATCTAAACTTCTCGACTCTTGCTCAAAAGAAACCCAGCTCAAGAGATGAAACCGGAACCGGAGGAAGAGTCGTTTAATTCTCACGGGATATTGCCCGCTTCAAGCCCGGGGCGAACTCGGGTATGTCTCATTTGGATATTCGGGGAAGACGGTCCAATACCACTGCGGTAAATTTCACAGAGAGCTAAGTTCTGTTGCATGATCACAGTTTTACAAATGCGATGCGCTGAGCGACCAGACCGATATTCTCGACTATGAGTGTACCGCCACCGATGTTGCCAGTGTCTGGAATAGCATCCTCGCGTACTGGTTCCCACCTGATGAAGGGTACCAGCTTCGCTTGGAACATCGACTGGAGTGGGTGGAGGTATATGTCATCCGCGTCGCAGTGCGTCCTCACGAGCAGGACATCACCTTCAATCCTGTGTTCCTTGTCCGATGCTATGGCGCCCGCGCTGATGTGCCCCACATGGGAACCTGGGAGCAGACGATGGTGCAAGTCCCCATCAGTGTCACCGAAGTCTGTCGCAGCATCAGTGCAAATGGCCGTCCTGCGTTTGGAGCGATCGCATGTGCAGATATCGTGCGTCTATGCGAGTTTCACCTCCTTGATGGAACCATGAGAGCTTGTGATACATGGCCGGGGGTGTATTTCCTCAGTCTATTCAAGGAGGACATCCAGGAGTATCTTGACTATGTGAAGGCGGAATTTGCGAAGGAATGGGGCCATCCTTATTCTAGTTACTGGGATAGTGACGAAGGACCGAAGAGACCAGCAGGGGCCTGGGACCGAGACAATAAGCCCACACGAACTCTGAATACCTCGGTTGCAACCGACGATGGGAATGCTTCCATGGTGACTTCAAGTGCCGGAAGCAGTGACCTGGACACCGATAGCGATTGTGATATCAAAATGGAGAATGATGCTGACAGTCACCTAAAATACACAAGTGTCAGCACTGATGGAACGATCAGAATGGAAGATGAGGAGGAGGATGTCAAGCTCAGAACTGAGAGTGAAGACGGAAAGGATGAGGATCAACGGGAGAGTGGAGACGACGGAGAGGAGGATCTTCGGAATTCAAGCCGGGGTAGCAGCAATTTCCGAATGGATAGCTCTGACAACGGTGGCGCGACTATCATCTTGACTGATGTCCAAGTGGAGATTGTTGTCAGGACTGGATCAACTCGCTTCGATTGAACAGCAAACAAAAAGCTGTTGAACAGACCGTTAGCCAGGCTTGATCCATGGACTATTGAGAGCTGAATCCTGGACTGGCAGAAAGGGATTCATGGTGGTCAGATGATGATCAGCCCACAAGTTGCATGGATGATGAAAAAGGCTAGTTACACCCTTAAAACTCGAATTGAGGCACGCAAATGGAAGCAAATAATATGCATGTCTTACGATTGAACAGGGCAATAAAGGAAGGAAGTAGCTGGGAGAGGTTCACCACCACCTAAACATAGAAGCTAAGCCTCGCCCGATTTGAAGTAAAATGCCCAATCAAAAAATGCGTAATGATATAATTTGCAATGAATTTGCTTGATTGATCAGCCCATGCAACGTGTCTCCTGATTCCTACAAGCCCCCACAAGGCAAGGCAACGGTCGAGATGGTGGAGGTATGACATCACTCACCGGGTACTCGGATAAGCTTCAAGATCCAACATTGCAGGTTCAGAGGTTTCAGGAAACGCACTGCCGGGCTTCTAGAAAGAGAAAGGAGGGAAAATGGACCCATTTTTAGCCCAAAACAGCCGATACTTGGGGTCGAAGTACCTGAAACCGTCATTATGATGCAATCCAATACAGATTGTTGGTCTATATAGAACCCCATTGCCAAGAGAACTGTGGCAGTTCAAGCTTTCTCTTAGTTCCACCACTTGAACCTTGTTCAAATCATCTCAGACATTCATTCGAAACCCCTGTTTTGGAATCAAAGCTTGCGTCAAATCGCCGTTGCAAAATGACTACCAAGAATGCCTCACCCCATCACCTCCATAAGTATAACTCCTTTATTTCCACTATACATCTTCAAACCGTCTTACGATTTTATAAACAGACTTGGTCATTGGATGCCAGCGGACCATGCAGCGCATCGTGAATGGTTGGGCAACGTGATTGAACAAGTTGACAAGAAGCAGTCAGACCTGCATCCGGTTCTTCAAGAGTTCAAAAATCTTATCGAGACCGATACACGGGTTTACATGCTTCTAGAAGGGATGTTCCGGGAAGTACCCCACAAGAAACCATACAGACAGGATCCGACTGGCGGCCCTCAGATCCGTGACTATCATCATTTCCTCCAAGTCCTAAACCATCTGCTCACATGCGCCCCATCATGGACGGACAAAGCTCACCGTGTAGGACTAGTCGGCTTACCGATTAATGCAGTCCTGGACTGGCCTATGGGTACTCCGAGCGGGTATGCTGCTTTCCTAGACCCGAAGATTAACGTCATGTTGAAGAAAATTCTCAATGCATGGGGTGAGTATCTACGCTCGCCGGATTCAGCACGCGTCTTGAACACTACCTATCATGGATGGTTCGGAGAGACCGGCTGCCGCGACCTCACGGCGGCAGCAAAGGTCGGTCCAACAGCGGCTGAGAACCTGGAATTTCATCAAATGTTCGAATGTGATCCATCGGCACCTAATTATGGGTTCAAGTCTTGGGACGACTTCTTTACCCGACCATTCCGTATTGGAATGCGACCGGTCGCAGAGCCAGAAAATAATAGAGTCATCGCCAACGCATGCGAATCCAAACCGTACCGGGTCGCTCATAATGTTCAAGGTCGTGATCGGTTCTGGATCAAGAGCCAGCCTTACTCGGTCCTGGATATGCTAGGTCACGATTCGCTTGCATCTCAATTTGTGGGCGGCACTATTTACCAGGCATTTCTCAGTGCACTGAGCTATCATCGATGGCACGCTCCTGTTTCGGGGAGAGTGGCGAAGGCTTATGTGGTGGACGGAACCTACTATTCCGAGCCTCTGTTCGAGGGCGTTGGGAACCCACAGGCTACTACTAAAGATATCGATCTCGCAGGAGAGGTCATTTCACAGTCGTATATCACGTCAACGGCTACACGAGCACTTATATTTATTGAAGCGGATGAACCTGCCATTGGTCTCATGGCTTTTATTGGTGTCGGCATGGCAGAGGTTTCCACGTGTGATATCACTGTGAAGGAAGGTGATCACGTCAAGAAGGGAGACCAGATTGGCATGTTCCACTTTGGAGGGTCTACACACTGCCTGCTTTTCAGGAAGGGAGTGGATATCTCGGGCTTCCCACAACCAGGAATGGAAGAGAACATGCCTGTGCGGAGCCATCTGGCAGTGGTTTCGTGAAGATGTCGAGAACTTCGGGTCACGGTGTAAATAACAGGATATTACTGCATATTATAGGAAGTTCTTGCAGGATTTTTATATATGAAATGAAAATTGAACAAGCAACATATTCTAGGGCCGGTGCCATGACAGGAGAATCAAGATTGTCATTGTAGAACAAGAGTGAAGGGTGTTGCTAAATCCAGATGAAAAAAAAGAAAAGAAAGAAGCTTCAGAAGGAATTTTGGATTAAAATTGAGGTTTCAACTTCTAGAGATGCTAATATCTAAAGTCTTGTCTATGATGCATATTCCCAAGATATTTGCCCACTATTCCTGTAATAGCTCCAATACAATCTAGGGTCGACGTTTGTATTGATCATTACCTGGTAGAGATAAACCCATATCCTGGCCCTGAAATAAAAATGGTCAATGGCATCTTACAACAGTTGTTTGTTGAGCTTCAATTCAATAAGATTGGGCAAGAGAAGCGCTACTGAGGAAATCATGAGGTAAGATCCCTGTAATATCATGACATTATAGAAGATATACCTATCGAATGTGATTATAGACATGTAGGAGGAAGATGCAAACTCAAAAAATTGATTCAACTCAAAGCTGCGCATACTAACAGCGATTCTGGGGGCAATGAGTGACAATGTAACATCTACCTCAGGTCTTCCCTCGCCGTCAATGTAGTATCTAGGCAGAGGAAGAGATTGGCACAGGGCCCTGGGGGCCGATACTGCCACTGATGTTCGCTTGATGCATAGTTCGGGGACCCATTTCAATTGGGTAATCGATCGCTGAATGGAAAACCCCGTAGTTGTCCCAAATAACCATGTCGCCCTCCTCGACGGGGGCCAATAATATATATTCTGGCTTAAGAATACGATTTTGGATGCCTAGGATGAACTGGCGTATTTCGGAAACATTTTCCATAACTTGAGGATCTTCTTCTCGAGACCTGCGAATGTATAATTTACGTGCGCAGATCCCATGCACTTGAAATGCCTTCTCACCGGTCAGTGGATTTACCCAGACCATTGGATACTGTTTCAAAATCAGCACAGGAATGGCTGACAAAAGAGTATGTCATTGAAACTTACCTTTTTGACCGCAGCTCGGTCAAAATCTCCCAGTTCTTCGATCGTCAGTCTCTCACCACCCTCTGCGAGACCCAAGCCAGTTGAATTCCCCTTGCAACGTTCAATCCATTTATACGGATATGGCGCATATTCAACCCAGCTATGATCAACCATTTCCTGTTCAGCGGTAGTCAACATGGAATACAGTTGAGAAGTGCTGAAGAACGCGGTCTGCCCTGGTGCAGACTCGATGCTTTGACCAGATCCATCAGCCCACTGAACAGTGAGATTTGGCCCTCGAGGAAGCTTCAAGCAGCGTAAGGTTGTGAACCATGCAGGGTCCTTTCCGTACAAAGGGGCATCGATATGCCAGCGCTGGAAGCGAGTTACGCCCTTTTGGAACTCCTCCAGGGATGGCGGAATCGCATGAAAGTCATTGCTGAGGCCTCTGTCAATGGTGTGGTTTTTGATACCGTAGTGGTCTAGTCCCTGGAAGCCTTTGCCAATTAGCCGTACATTCTCAGCGCCGGGTATGCCGACCACTTCTCTCCCTTGCTAAAGACTTCGTATTAACCTCTATGCTTGTGGATTCATCAAGGTTTACAAAGCATAACATACTGCAAGCAGTCCACCTTTGGCGCGAAATGTAGTCAGGTTTCCGTGACTGTGACCGTCCGTTGCCTTTGGATCTAGCCGAGTCACTAGTTCCCATTGCTTCCTTGGATCCAAGTCAGGCTGACTCTTGACAACAACGACTTTATGACGCCAGACTGCCGCCTTGAGGCGATTGACGTCCTCATCTGTAAATGAGGAGTTAGTAAGCTTATCGAGAAATACCAGCAAGGCTGTGGGGTTGACCAAGACCCACCTGAAATGTCATTCAAATCAATTCCAGTCACTCGAGCCCCAAACTGTGGAACCATCAGCCCCTGAGGCCACACCCAAAATTTGGTTCATAAGTTACCTACATTGAATTTCTGTTCAGCACTCCGTTCAACGGTCGTCGCAGTAAAAGATGAATGTTCTTTCATTTTGAGACCTTGAGTATGAGATCTTCCGTCTAAATCTTGTGAGACTCCAGCTTATTCAAGAGCCATCTCTCTCTCCAGTGGCCTGAATCCAAGATAATTGTGGTCTTTTATCGACCTGATTGACACATATCAATCTGGTGCTCAAGTCCTTATCTTCCCCGGCCGCAACTCCGGCCGTGACCCCGGCCGAACGCGGGTGGCATCCCCGCATGATAAATGTTGGGCGTGAGCTAGAGACAGGTACTCCACACACGTAAAGGGACTTATCAGAATCGATATTCTTCTTTGTAGGTTCATGAATGTCATTATTCACTCACAGATACCTTTTACTGCCCCGGGAGCTTTAGGTGATTTATGGCCGTCTGTCGCGGCCGACGCTTGGTAGTCGACGAAGACCTCTCTTGTTTTCATGGAGATCTTTTGTTCCTGCAAATTAACTATGCTCAACTAGAAACCTTGTTTGACTTTCCAAGAATAACTGTGCATGACCTAGATGAATATAAAATTAATATTTGAGTATCTTAAAGAAGCGTCGGATAACGATCCTATAAATCAGGCGTTCATTGGTTGTCGAGGAAGGAACCCGAATCCAGTTAGACTAAGACTATATGAAGACCGATGACGCCGTCCAGATATGACAGTAAGAAATATGAAGGCGAGGAGGACGAAGGGATGAAGCCCAGGGTGATTCGGGATAATATCAACAGGGTGTTGGTGAAGGTGGCCATCCGTGAAGGGAGGCGACTTGCTCCAAGATACTCTTAGCCATCCAGATTTTGAAATGGGAGTAAATTAGAAATGAACTCTCAAATTACTATTTATCGATTTTCTCTAAAAGCACATTGATGGCCTTGGTGGTTAGGGCCGGCTCTTGTATAATTATTTGATGTCCAACTCCCCCAAGAACTTCTACCCACGCATTGTCTCCAATAACTTCCTGAAGACCAACAGACCTTTCTGGGGGTGATATAACATCATTTCCTCCGGATAAAAGCAGAGTGGGGGCACATATGGATCCATAATCTGGATCCAAATGATCAAGGCCTGCAATAGCCTCACACGCCCGAGCGTAGGACTCGGCATCGCAGCTCAAAACAGCGTCTCGTACGATTTGTCGCATTTTGAGTGCGACGACAACGTCCGAGGGAAAGTTGGAGGTCACTGCAATTTCTGCCGCAGCTTCGATGCCCTTTTCTCGAGTTGTGGCTGCTAGCCTTAACATTCGCTCTCGTGCGGCTGGGATGTGGGAGAACGAACGGCCCGCCCCCAGGAGAGCGAGTCCACGAATTTTATCAGGGTACCGAGCGGCGTAGTGCAACGAGATGATAGCGCCGAGGCTGTGGCCGATGAATAGTATTTGTCCTTTGGAGAGCTCTTCTGAAGTACCCTGGAGAGATGCCACGAGATGTTCCAGGTCGTCGACATATCGAGGAATGGAGAGAATGGGATCTGCAGACGACAGAAGTGACTTGCCAAATCCCTCCAGGTCAACACTAACTAGACAATTTTTTTCAGGTAAAAGCGCAGGCAAAATTGTTCGAAATGTTTCTGTGGATCCACCGAGGCCATGAAGAAGAATAATCAGATCCCCCGATCGATTTCCGCTCTTCGTGAAATGTAAACGAGCTCCCTTGAGGGTTTCGTGGTAGCACGATATTTCGGAAAGAGAATTCATAGTGTGTTGATTCTTGTTGCAAAGATCAAAATTTTTACCCAGGCATTATACACTTTCCTCACATAACGAAGTATATGATAGCGAGCCAAAATTATTTGGCCAATCTGTACTTCGTACTGCAGGGAATGTTATCACCGGATCCGATCACGGCCGAGCTAAAAGTATCGAAGCCTCCCATAAACGGCTTGAGACTCGGCCGCTCTCGACTTGCCAAGAAAATAAAATAATGAGGCAGATTTGAAATAAAAGAGGAATATAGTATTCTGTTCATGGATTTTGACCAAGATCAATCTCCAGCCACCAATATGGTATTCGCAGTTTCCACAACTGCGACGCAAGCAGAATCTACCAAAACTCTTACGGTTCGCGAGGTTTACGAGCCTCCCGCTGCAGATAAAAGTAGCGGGCACGTGGTACCTATTCAACATGACAATGAAGTTGATTTTGGAGCTGAGGTGTATGGCATCGACTTGAATAATTTCACATCGGCTGATTTCGCTTTGATCTCCGATGCTCTCCACCGCCATAAGCTGCTTGTTTTCAAAGAACAGCCTGAGATGCTTACTCCACAACAGCAATATAGACTCACATCATGGTGCGTACAAAATTATTATCAGCGTTTTTTGAATTGGTAGCGCTGATCGCTTTTCGCCAATACAGCTTCGATCCCAATGAGAAGACAGGAGGATTTGCCCACGGTGCAGACCCAGTCCTCCTCTCACAAAATGGCGTCACCATATATGGTCTACCAAATAGACCAGCAATCAATGTACAGCCTCAAGTCCATATCCTAGGTCGTGGCGAAGTGCCTCCTGGTCATTATGACTTCCCGCCTGGATTTAAAGTGAAAGGGATTGATCATGTGGATTTTCATATTCCACCCCACCTTCCACAGGACAAGCGTGATGCTGGAGCTAGTCGCTTCTACCAGTGGCATTGGGATGGATCGCTGTACAAAATTCCTCCTCCACGGGTGGGTTGTCTACTAGCTGTCCGTACCCCCAAGGGGCCCGATGTGACTGTCCACTGGGGAGATGGCACAGGAAGAACCATGAAGATAGCACCAGGTGCGACCGCTATGGTTGCTGGATCTCGAGCTTTGGAGCTCCTTGATCCAGAACTTCGGGCGATCGTGTTGAACAGTCGTATCGAATATGCCCCCCATGCTTTCCAGTGGATGTCGACAGCACGCAGTACTCAGCTTGGACATATACTTGAAACTGAGGGGCGAGAGATGCCATTGGATAAGCTTTCACCCTGGTCTGACGAGAATACTTGCGTTTACCCTATGGTGTGGACTAATCCGGTAACTGGGGAGAAGTCTCTACAAGTTCATGGCCAGGGGGCCTTCAAACTCTATTTGAAGAGCGGGCCCGATGCGAAGGAAACCGTGGTGACGGACTTAAAAGAAGTTCGTAATTTTATGGATAGGTAAGTTATGTTTTTACTTGAAGCTGCCGTTTCTTGACCAAAGAGGAAGCTTACAAGCCCCGAAAGAATTATGAGTCCTGTGCTCTCCCCGGAAAATATATATGCGCACCCTCACCAGGAGCAAGATGTTATTCTCTGGTACAATCGGGCATTATGGCACAGCATTGTAAGTTACTGATTATAGCAATCTTTGAGGTACTTTAAATTGCTGACCTACCATAGACTGAATTTCCCGAAGCGTATGGTCCGCGGATTATGCACCAGTGTAATATTGCAGCTTCGGACCATCCTTTAAACTAGAATGATTATCCAGTACTCTTAGGATTTAGTATTTCAATTTATTTGAAAATTTCGAGTTTTTAAGATCATGCAACCTTCCTTTTTAATCTCCAAATCCTTTGATCAATCCTCTTTCATTACCTTTCAATGTCCTGACCCTTTAGGCTAGATGAAGTTAGTAAGCTGAAAAGATGGAAGAAACTACATTAGGGAATAATAGTTGACATTTGTGCGATGAAGTTCTTACCTGAAATTTGTGTCAATTTAAAGGATTATAAATTCTGAATTGGCTAGCCGTCTTATTTCAAGGCAGATGGATTGTCTGGCGAGAGCGCCTCAGAAAATTTATTTGGAGAATCCATTCATATTAACTCAGATGAACAGAAGTAAAACAGTCATCAGTAACCCGAGCTTATATGCTAGTATTCTTTTGACTTTTCTACAAAATGCGCTACCCTTCCTTGCAGCCTTGTATCGGCCTCCAAGTCAGAGTCGACAGCCTCAATCGGTCGCACAACACCGGGAACCGCACAGGGAATTAGCGTATCTCGGTCGGGCCAAAAGTAATGCAGACAGAAATAGAGAGTCAGGGAGACACAGAATCCATATAGATAATTGATGGCGTATAGATGCTGCAATCCCACGTTGATATCGACACTATTAGGAGTCACCGCATGTGCCAAACCTGGCAAAAGAGGTATAATGACCACTAAGTTGCACACAAGGGCGCGCCAATTTGTACCAAGCTTTTATAGATTAGCTTCCATCGGTTCAATCAAGCGTTAGAAGTTACGCACCCGATAATAATAGATCCCTCGTGGATCATATAAGGCCGGAACGTCGTACTTCCGTCGCTTGATGAGCCAGTAATCGCAGCATAAAATACCCGCTATGGGGGCCATGAAAATTGCATAGGCTCCCATAAAACTCAGGAAAGTGGCGCCGTTTTCAATAATTATCCACGGACACAGTGCCCATCCACCGAGAAGCATACATAAAATCATGCCGCGCTTGATATTGATCCACTTCGGGCACATAGTCGTCATGTCTATATCGCCATTAAAATCATTTTCATTGCCATCTTGGTGGGGTGCATACCATTAGCAAATGGAAGAGAGTTGGCAGATATATTGTTGCAAATCTGGGCCAGTAACCAAAGCGACGCGCAAAAAAAGGCCGCTGCTCGTCCCCCAGCAGATCCTTGCCACTGGTCAATAATCTCAAGCGGACTCCATAAGATACTTCCATAGACACGCTTAGACGCCCCGGCTGCAATTATTCCAAACAGGCCAGTGATGACTTTGAATAAAGGAATCATTGGAAGTTGCCAAATAGTGCTGCGAGGCTTCTTGCTGAAACGCGAAAAATCGGAGATATTGACCGCAAGGGTGGAAAATCCGCCTGTATTTCCGATGAGTAAAACAAAATTGAATTTTTAAAACCCTAAAGTCCATACCAGTTATTGAAGTCATGTTCATCAGCCACAGCCATGCTCTTTCTGAACCATGGACCGTGGGAGGCTGGTGAAACATAGCACTGCCCCCTCCCGCTTTGACAGAAATCCAAATAACCATACCGAGCGCCATTGGGGGGACCAATATTGACTTGAATATGAACATATACTGCAACTTATGCGTAGGAATGAAGAGGAAGGGTGCTTGTATTATATGATAGATTAGGTATGAAACCATTCCCTGGGTTGTTATAGCAGCCGACTCTGGCAAATGATTGGGGAGATTGGCATAACTGGGCCAGATAGCAGTTATGATCTATGGTAAAGTTCCAGTTAGGAAAAAATTTCCAAGGAAATTGAGCAACTACTCACAGGGGTCACGCATTGGCCTCCATAAGAGCTTTGGATACCAAACCAAAACAAGGCCAGGACGGCACGAGAGGCAACGCAGAAATAACCAAAATACGTCCCGTAACTCGCACGAATTGCCACGGGAAAGGGAATGTGAAGGTCCGCGCCCACAACTCCATTAAGGACAGTTGGAATCGCATTGCATAGCGCTGCAACCAGGGTCAACAATACGGTGTCTGTGGCAGACAAGCCAGAAGCATACGCTGAACTTGCTGCTGACCAGGTCGAAACGGTCACCAAGTCTGACAGCCAATACTGTGTAAACGTCCAGCCTGTCCAGGTCCACTTCTCCGGGGGAACTGGGTCTTGGTCCGCATTGCTCCAGACATTTTGTGGAGCGATACTACTTTCCTGCTTCGGCAGGGCCCAATGCTGGCGATGGAGCATCCGCATTGCAACGGTTGATAGTCGGCCATTTGCCATTTTGTGGGCTGGCACGAGTGTTTTGAAGGACGTGTCTCCCTACATTCCGGTTACACAACCAAGGCTATCTCTGCAATGCCTGAATGGTCAAAGTCTCGCCCAGCCAAGCTTGTACTACAGTCTATCGGATCATTCCTATTTGTTATCGTAGCCGCTATCATCAAACTTTAGCCGTAGCGTCGGCCGAGCTGATAATGAAAAGATAGTTCTCTTTCTGCGGGGTAAACACCACCCGTGTTTCATCCGGTTCTCATGCGGATTGTTATTGATCGCTTCACGATTGAGTCAATTACAGGTTCAAAAGTGAGAATATGATGTATCCCTCTACGCGGAGAAAACGGTTGACTTGTGTCGAGTGCACACGTCGAAAGATCAAGTGTGACAAAGTATTGCCATGTCGAAACTGCCGCCAAAGGTGAGATATTAAGAGTCCGATAGGCAACAAGAAGAATTTTAACATGATTTCAAAAACACAGGGGCAATACTTGTTACCGCTCAGATGTTACTTATCCGTCCCCGACAGCTATAGCAACTCCGCGGAGTCTTCAAAGGGAACCTCGACAGGCAGTACTCACGGGTATTCTTGCTTCTTGCCTCAACGAGCTGCAAACAACACTACAATCAGCGAATGCAAGAGAAAATGGACTGCACGCTGCCGATGTCAGGGAGAGCGCTTTTTGCGCAACTGAAAATACGTCCTTCGTTCGAGCATCGTCGGACAAAGAAGATTCTGCTGAGAGTCGCGAAGCAGCAGAAATTGAGGATGCCGCGACTATTCTGGAGTTTTTGGCCTGGGGTCGACGAAAAGCTCCCGATTTTGAAGATATGGTCACAGATCCATATTCAACTGCTTCGCAGTCACCTGGGGACGTGTCCTTGAATGATGATTCGATGAGTACTCATCCATTACGATTCACAGATCACCCATCATCCCTTCCGCTTCTCCAGCTTCTTCTTCCAAATGAAGCTATTATTTGTCAAATGGTCGATTATCATTGTGAATGTCTTCTTTGGTATCACGCATCATTCCACGGGCGGATATTTCAGGGCCAAGTTGAACGGTTTCTCAAAGAAAACCAAAGTCGCCTTGATCACCACCACGTTGATCTTCAATGGTCTGCTCTTCTATTCGCGGTATTGGCAGGGAGCATTACGTGTGCTCCAAGAAAGATTGCGGCGACATGGGGGTTTGAGGACCGAGAACGAACAGTACTTGCTCAACAATTCTTCAAAGCCGCTCTAGTCTGTCTAAACCTGGCGGATTTTACAGCGCGACATTCACTTTATGGTGTTCAGTGCATCACCACGATGACGATAAGCGCCCACTTGCTTGGATTCTCTAATAGCCACTCTGTTAAACTAGCTTCTGCTGTCAGAATTGCACAGAGTCTGGGGATGCACCGACTTGGCGCAGGGAGTGATGATCGAGCATCTAACCGAGTCAGAAGGGAGATTGGTCGCCAGTTGTGGACAGAATTGTGTATTCAAGATTGGTTCTCAATCCCATTTTCTGAAAGCTACCTCATACACCGAAGGGATTTTAATACTCAGAAACCCTCAAATTGCATGAATGACGAATCTATGACACCTATGCCTGAGAATGTGCCGACTTCTCTAACTTACCATCGAGTGCTACACGATATTGCAACTCTGATGCCCAAACTCCACGATGACCTTTCTGTATCTCAGACACTTTTCACAAAATACGATTATGTCATTCGATATGACACTCAGATGCGCACCTTGGTCAGCAAAAATGTTCCAGATTGTCTGCGCAATATACCGTTGGAGCCCTCATGGCCAAAATATATTCCTTGGGCCCGACATTGTTTAGCGATTAGCTCAGCTCATAAGATTATCATGATTCATCGTAAATTTCTCTGGGCCAGTTTTACCAACTCAGCCTTTACTTTCACACGAAAGACTTGCCTTGCAGCAGCCAAGACAATCGTTCGGGAGCAAAAGCAGGTTGCTACCGAAGACGGACCTATTCTTTGGATTTACCATGCATTTACCGTCGCAGCTAGTGTAAGATCGTAATATTGTGAATTTGAATCATCCGAACTGACAACGTCTAGATCATACTCTGCTTAGACTTGTTCTTTCCACCGCTTCCTGATTCAAATCAAGGCACCAACCGCGCTTTGGTAAATGAAATGATTAGTATTCTGTCTCAAAGCGAGACCAGCATGATTGCCACTCGCGGTATCGGCATATTGCGTCTATTGTTGAAACTAGAGAGCGATCGAAGAGGTATCTCATCGGTGTGGGATATTCGGTCTTTTGTTCAATCGTTCTGCGAGAAAGAAAGGTCAGGAAACGATGAAGGGGATGATCATATCACTGCAAATCATCCTTTATTAGCGAAGGATAACTCACAATCACCCTTCTCGGAGTTCCCTCATTTCGATCAATTGATTCAAGATAACTATTCAGACGACCTTTATGGTCACCCACTTCTTCCCAACTCCAAATTTTCAACACATGATACTTTGGAGGATATATTACTGCTTGCACAGAATGGAGGGTCATGAATTGAAATTAAATGCTCTATCCTGAAGACACCAATTCTATTTGTAATTTCGCAAAGGGTCCAGTTCTCAAGCTTACTGATATGAAAAGCTAACAACAGAAGATGAATATTTAGCATCATTGAGAGACACAGCTTGCGCCATCAGTAGACCGCGCACAACCACGAGGACAGGGATATGACGGATTATACTGCCACAAGAATAAAGGATCCGTTTCATTGGTGAGAACGTTTCCAATCAAACGCGATTGGCTTGGAAGATCATACGAGGCCCTAAAAATATCCAGTGAAGCGACCCGAATTTGACCCCAACCTTGCTCAATGAGGGTTTCAATAGAGGTCCCATACACATATTCACGGAATCCTGACCATCGAATTGCCGACGCGCACTTGTTATCTTATTAAACCAATTTTTAGGCCATGATTTTGAGCTGAATAACTTACCATCGGGCAACTTTCTGCATTTGTGTATAGTGTGAGATCGTAGAATGCATCTTGGGCTTCGGATGGCGTCAAGCGGAAATCTCCCTTGGGATCAGTCAGGATTGCGGTACAATTCTTGATTGCTGCGATTTCTCCTGCGGATTATCATAAAAATAAGCGAGATTTAGATGGAAAGGAGAGGGGTAATTCCTGACCGTGGAGAGAGGGGTTTCCTGTTTTCGAGTTCTCGTTCACACCCATGCAAATGAGCTTCCCAGCATCGGAGCTCGTATGATTGACAATCACTGTTCCGAAAGCCGCGAATGGACAAGGAGATCCGCTGATTTCCAAGGCTGAATTGGCCAAACGCATCCAATGTGCGCGTGTTTCGAAGGATACCCCATTAATCGTCAATTTAGGGTCGGCAAGTGTGGTTGCAAAGGCGGGTGTTAGAAAAGCAATGAAAAGAGTCGTAAGTTGGAAGAACCCTTTCATTTTGAAAAGATTTGAAGGGCTGAGAGATGGTACACTGATAATTCCACGTGTACTAAAATTCAAAGATGGGTATCTCGTTCCCATATACTTGTCAAATCTCAAGACGGAAGAGGTTCGGAGTCCGTGACGGCCGCGACCGGCCGAGGTGATCTATGGCTATAGCTTCCCAACTGATAAGAACAGAAGAGACTTTTTCAAAAGTTGAGAAGATAGGATTTATGATACAGTCATCTGAGAATGGTAGGAAACTTTGGGGGTGGGGGAGGGGAAGGGGAAGACTTCTGAGAGCCTATTTAGAATGACGTGCATGAAAATAATCACGATCGGGTTCATTTGACGTATTTGTAATAGATGATAACTAACTATCGTGCTGTGACCAAGTTCTCTTTAACAACAATATAGTGACACTCTGGCAGCCACAACAACTTCGCCTCCCTTATCAGTAGGGATTCAGATAGACGTATACTTATCTTGACTCTCATGTTCTTTATCCCTTTACTCTTACTATTATGATACTAGATCGTAGTACTGATTATGTAAAAAGAGGAGTCTTTGACTAATATAATATTAACGTGTTTCACTAGTGAGTCGCCACCACTAGTGAGTCGCCACCCTCACCACCTACTACTTTTTGAAAACACTATTTTTCCACCAAAACGCCATATATTTAATTCAACTATTTACTAGGGCACCGAGTAATCTTATGCCCTATATTCCCACATCCAGAACATTGAAATACACGCTTAGTAGTAGGCCTAGAGACCTTAGTAGGCTGCTGAGGAAGCTCTGCATCATCGTTTTGAATAGCTTCAACGCTTGCTGGCAACGTTGAATCTAGAGATATAGATTCGCCGACCGTAGGATCTTGCTGCCTAGATATCTGGCGATTAGACCGTGTGCGTTTTTGACGCTTCTTCTCGTTGAATCTATATAGTTGCCGAATCTCCTCCGCTTGTAAAACAGTGTTGTGAAACGCTAGTTCAGCACCTTTGATTAATTGATCTAGCGCTCTCTCTGTAGGGCTTCCTGGCGACTGTGAGCGCCTATATAGTAGAGCTTTGATAGATGAAGCTTGCTTGCTAAGCTGCTTAATCGTATGTGGCGTAGTAGGCACGAAAGCGCTACTCCTACTACTAGGCCTACTAGTAGTAGGTGTAGGTGTTCGAAGCGATATATTAAGCTTCGATAGGACTCGGTCGGCATCTAGCGGAACTAGGCCGGCGCTGGCGAAGCTTGATTGTATAGTGCTAGGTAGGAAGGCTTCCTGGCGTGCTAGGGTATAGGCTTCTAGGAAGTCGAGCTTGTCGATATGGTTATATCCTAGGCGAGCTTGGGCCTCGATTAAGCGACCGTATGAGCGCTTTAGGATAGCAAAACATCCTATATCTAGCGGCTGTAGAAGATGTGACGAATGCGGCGGTATACAGAGTGGTATAACGTTATTTTGCTAGCAGATTTGGTCGAATTGTGGTGTTAGATGGCTTCCATGACCGTCTAATATTAACAACCGATATTTGCCTTGCGTACGACTAGTAGTCGCTGGAATAAAGAGCTTTTCTAGCCAGCGTAGGCCTATATCGTCGGTAGTCCAACCGTTCGGTGATACTTCGATTCGCCAGTCTTTCGGTAGGTTATCAAACCAGCTAGCAATATAAACCTTCCCTTTGAATACTATACACGGCGGAAGCGAGTAGCCGGTTGCTGATATAGATTCAATTGCTGTTACCCACTCCCGATTTCCAGGTTGTAGTAGAGGCTTCCGACCGTATAGATCCTTCCGTGTAACGATTCTAGTAGTAGATATCAAGCCCATTGCAAAGCCTGTTTCATCAAAGTTATAGATATCGTTAGGAAGGATCCCGTTTTCATCAATTGTACGCTCTACTAGTCTAAACCACGCGCGTAGACTAGTAGGATCTTCGTTTTGCGCACGTTGATAGTCGTAGCGTCTAGAGAAGCGTGTGCAAAGCTCTAGTCGACGTTTAATATAGCGTGTTACCCAGTTAACACCTATATTAGGAGGTAGGAGAGAGGAGGGAAGATATTACCACGCGCTACTAGTAGAAGATTTGCCATATCTTTAATATGCGAAGGCCTAGGGGAAGCACCACGCGTATCAAGCGATAGGATCCACTGGCAAAGCGAATCCTCTTCTTCTTGTGTCAGTTTAAGACGTGGTGATCGTGTATCCTGGCGATAAAGCTTGCCAGCAAGCCTATCGCGTAGTGTTGACCGAGGCACGCTATATAGCGCTGCGGCTTGCGCAGTTGAGCTTACTGAGCCATTTTGAATAGCTTTGATAGCGAGTAGTATCCTACCCTCCCTATCTGGCGATTTAGAGCGCTTTTGGGAACGTTTTGGTGGCATGGTAGGTGGTGGAAGGTGGTAGGTAGAAGATAGGGACGCGTTTTTTGATGGGGTGGCGACTCACTAGTGGTGGCGACTCACTAGTGAAACACGTTATATAACATTTAGGTGAGTAATAGGTATCTTCTATAAACCCTTGCTGTCTGGACCTAACTGGCTTATTCTTACTGACCGCTACTTGTCATAGCTCATAGCAAAGCCAAGGGCTGAATGAAAAATGCATGGTCCATCATGTATAATAGAGGCTCAAGTCAGGCTGTTTGAAGCTTTGATATGCAAGGTCGTACAAGGTGCCCGATGGTTAGGCTCTGTTTCTTGTCGAATCTCAAGGCGAAAAAAGTTCGGAGTCCGACATCTTGCTAGATATATTTATACTACGCCCAGGTTCATTTGTTCTAGGACTAATTTTCCGCTAACAAATTTCCATACATGAACCCTTCAGATCGAATGATATGTTCATTACCAATTCCATAAATTGGTACAGTTATGACTTTATGGGGAGTGGCCACAGCACGCTTGCTCAACTGGCATTTGACATAACGAAAGCTGTGTTTGTAGTCAATTACATTCTTCTGTTCTCATGAGTATACTTACACTCCTTGAGAATTTTCTATCAGAGCGGCTTTAATTTCATCATAGAAGAGAGCTAACTCGTGTTTATTTTCTCGAGAAGAAATCTAAGGTCCGATATGCTAATTTAGATCTAGTTGTAACCTTTAAGCTAGAGGACGTTAAGTGCGAACGATAAGATTCCTCCTAAATCCCTTATATCTCCTTCGAGCTTCTTTAAGGTGCTTTCTCGAAACAGATAGGTAGCACGGCGCCTAGCAGCTTGAATCCGAGCCTTATAATCGGTAGCTAAGACTGTCTGAAATTTCTAGCTCTCTTTATCTAGCTCTTTGATAATCTCCTAGTATACCTGTGTGACCTTGTCAATTTCTCGAAGCAGCTCAAAAAAGCGTCTTCCAAAACAACATGGAATAGAACTCTCAGATCTCAGCCCCTCCGAGCAAAATCTCCCATCGGCAGTCATTTCCGTGCGCGATGTGAGCTTTGCATGGAGCTATAATGCAGGCTTCTTGATCCACAATATTAGTTTGAATATCGACAAAGGTCAATTTTGTTTCATTATTGGGCCAACAGGCTGCGGCAAGAGCACCCTTATCAAGGGAATTTTGGGTGAAACTCCATCGACAAAGGGGTTTTTGTATACGAGACATCGGGAGACAGCCTTCGTGGATCAGACACCCTGGATCCGTCACACATCATTTAGGGAAAATATTTTGGGAATGTCAGATTATTCCAAGACATGGTATCATGAGGTTTTTAGTGCCTGTAGATTGGATATAGAGATGGAAAATCTTCCGAGTGGTCACTGTGAGCTTCTATTCCTATGCGGAAGGCTCTTTTACAAATTCTAATTCTAGTAACAAAAGTTGGTTCCTCGGGGATTTCTCTGTCTGGTGGAAAAAAGCAGCGACTGGCTCTAGCTCGTGCTATTTATTCTCGCAAGAGCGTCGTTTTCCTGGATGATATATTTTGAGGTCTTGATGCTGATACTGAAGAGCATATTTTAAAAACCCTTTTTGCGAAGAACGGCTTATTTCGTCAACGAGGTACAACTGTACTGCTGGCTACATATGCTATACATAGACTTTCATATTCGGACCATATTGTCGCTATGAAAAGCGATGGTACCATTATGGAGCAAGGAACTCTGGAGGAACTCAAAGCCGTAGCGGCTACATAAATCTGCTGAAAGCACAGTATAAAGATAAGACAGATGATGGGCCAGCTGTTCAACAACAGAAGACAAAAAAGGCATGTTCACTGACCTTGACCATAATCAAGACAGTCAAATGAACACAATGAAAGAAGATTTAAACAGGCAAAGTGGAGACCTTTCTCTTTACTTCTACTATTTTGGGTCTGTTCAATGGGCATCAACTGCTCTTTGGATGACTCTCTTTGTGAGTGAAGGTGTTTCGCCTAAGTTGAGGAAACCAATTGTGATTGACTACAGCAGAAGCTTTGAGTGCCTCGTGAAATGTCAAATACCGCTAGGAATTCAATAGGTGGATATGCAGGTTCATATATCATAGCATACTTTGTAAATGGCCTTGGAATGGCTCGACTGAGGTTAATTGCTCGAACCCGATGGGTGCTTGTTGTATGATAAATAACAACTTTCTCGTCCTCACCGCTGGGAATTCGAGATAGAAAACATACTCATCTTCACTCATATAATCTCGGTCCCTTTATTACTCCTATTATACCAGATCTTAGTAACGATTTTATAAAATGAGGAGTTTTTGACTGACAAACTCTTATATACTGAACCAGGGCGCTCTACGGCAAGCTTGCGAATACAGGCAGGATGAGATAGGTCGGCGAACAGACCAACAAAACACCACGCACCACGATAGAGGAAGCCTCCCAAAAGGGAAAGCAGAAGCAGATGATGTGAGAGAGTGTAAAAGTTGGTTCTCTCCCTATCGGAGATGCGAAGCTATATCCTGTAGAGACTGTGTACTAGGAAAGATATCCTCCAATCAGAGACCACCCTTCGTCAGCTATTTCCCCACTGCAGTAGGTTACGATAGGTGCTTACTACAGTATTAAGCTTTGCTGTTGTTACTAAATATGACTAGATGGTTATCGCCTAGTTACAGTATAAAATCAGGAGACTAATTCCAACTTTATGTACTCTGGTGATGAAGTCTTTGGACGAGAGCTGTCTAGAATCAACTAGCTAGTTTGTACTAACCACTACTTTTCCCAAGTACCCAATAGTTATGCTCCGTACTACCAGCGCATTTTGTCAATTGGTATGGTGAGAAAAGGAATAATGCCGGCGATCTCGAGGTCAGAAATCGTTGGGGTCTTGGCCGCTTCATAAAGTACCGGCCCCATCCCGACCGGCCCCCACGTTGCCTATGGAAATCGAAATAAATTATGAGCCCCGCTATTTTGGGGGCTCTGCACCTGCACTTTGTCACACGGGGCTTGACAGTTGTTTTCCCTAACCGCTTTCCTATCGATATTCTTCCATAGCATATAGTTGACAACAACTGTCGTGCACTGGCTTAGAGTTCAGAAAAATAAGATACCAGACTCGTAATGAAGTTGCTTGGTAAATGAGCTACAGGAAAGGAAAACGGCAAGCTTTTGATCTTTTAGTCTAATTATTAGTTGCGGGTTAACACGCCCCGCTGTTTTTGGACACACCAGAGGTTCTTTAGCAGTCTCCACTACAAGACGAACTTCTCATCCGGGCCCACACTAGTACTTACAGTAGCTCGCCCACCACGGGATCATGTGTTGGCCTTCGCTTGGCTCCTGCTTAACAAAGAATAGTAAGAGGCTAGGAAAAGGGGACAAGACAGTCAAAGCGGCAACACTTAATCTCACGACAGCCAGTCAATTAAGCCACACTCTTAGCCTGGCCAATTTCTGAGCAAGGCCGAGTAGATCTCTTTTGGGCGCCTGGGGTTTTGCAGGGAATTGTAAACGTACTAATGCAAAGCTAAGACAAATAGATACAGTATTCCGAGCTGGAGCAGTATCCCTGTTCATTTTCAGACACCCACAGGAGAGAGGACATCCCTTCTTTGCCAAACATGATTTGATTATTGATGGTTCTCGGATGTTCGCCTGTCGCTACCACGTCTTTTTTGCCGCAGAAGGAAAGTCGCTTCTGCACTATTTTCATAATGAAATTCACCGAGAAGAAATTTCGGTTCTTCAATTTGCGATCCAAGAAAGAGGGAGAAACGAGATCCTCTCTGGATACTGCGTCATCTTGCATTTCGACAGCGGGCTCTCTGCGAGAAACTTCAAATTGGCTGCGAGGTTCCGGGAAGAACGTTCAACTAGCTTCTGTGAATGAGCAGACCGCAGAGCTCCTCAAGACTACAAACCACATTATTCATCAACTCCATGAAACTCAGCGCCTGCGTGGTATCAAAGACAGATTTTTGAGCTCCAGAGATAAGACGTGGATTGATACCACGGTTCAAGATGTTGAAGATGCAGTCCACGATGTTTCGATTTTACTCGAACCCACCCGTGTTGAGCTGGAAACGGGAGATGGAAGACTGAGCCTCACAAGGCAGCTCCGGTGGGTGTACCGCGATAGCCAACGGGCCAGAGATAAGAGCCATCGGTTATTGGCCTGCCATTCGAGCTTGATTGCAGTTTTGACTCATCTTCAGCGATTGGATGCTCCGGAGCGAGCCGCTGTACAAGAGGTACATGAGCTTGGAGCAGAAGTTCCATCAAAAAGTACCATCTACTCTTGCTCCAGTGTGCAGGAATCCGTCTCTGTTCTCAGCGAGTCCGGGGGTAAATGGAATAAAAGTGTCGTGGCACTGTCTTCCAATAATGAGATGCACGACCTACTCGCCTGGCGTCAATCGAGAGGAACTGCTTCATGAATAGCGTCAAATAGTCAATTTGTGGATGAATTACACGTAAAATAAACAAAACATCGAGTATTTAAGGTTCCCGGCTTCTACAAAGGACTGAGTTTAGTGATAGAATTGGTTTGGATGGAGTCAAAATTCAGCTTTCAAGATAAATGTCAGGAAAGAGAAGCTCATGCCTGGGAAACACTCTCTTCTACAATCACTTGAGGAACGATCAATGGTTTTCCCTGCTCGTTCAGAGTTTTCAAGACAGCTGGAAGCACTACTATCTGACTTTGAGGAAGACCGGGATTCTGCCAACGAAATTCGAAGGAGCAGGGTTGCGAAAAGAGCCAGGTGCCCAATTCAGCTGCAGTTCGAACCACAGTCTTCAAATGAGACATGCGCTCATCCTCAGAAAACTGAGGGTCGCTGTAAGGTTCGAAAGCGTGGACGAAGTGCTCTGCAATTCTTGTGATCGCATCATCTGGAACAGGTGGAGATTCTTGCCGGAAACCGTGACTTTGAGAATTGAAATAAGATGTCAACATGCGCCAAGCGAACAACGCACGAGGATGATTTTGATCTTGCATGTTGGTCAGATATTTTAATACTGTGTTAGAGGTCTGAAAAATGCAACAAACTCACCTAGCTTTTGGTTCTGGTTCACTGTTATCCTATAATTCTCAGGAAGAAGAGACCACGTTTGATTTTCCGGTTGGAAAGTCTGCACAAGTTTATGAACAAGTAGATGCGTGATGATGGCTCTTTGAGATCGCGTATTTTCGAGCAACGTAATGATTGGGGCACCCAACAGTGATGATTCAAATTCATTGATACTGGCGACGTCATATTGTGCTACTGAAACTTGTGATCGTGGTCGGGAGTAATAGTTATCAACATGAAGACTGGCTTGGTCGAAGAATGACTGGATTCGGAGATAAATAGCACCATCATCGGCAGAATTGGGGATGAACGGTGAGAGATCAAGTAACGAAGTTTCACTCCCGGGCGAAAAGGAGGACAATCGATTTTGAGATTGTACCGCAATGACAGGTTCTGGACTTTTCCTAATCACGCTTTGTGTTGGTCCTTTCTGAATGTTTGAAGTATCAAGTGCTGAAGCCGGTGGCCCCTCTGAATGGTCAGATCTTCTCCGTCGAGGGCGAAAAAAGAAAAGCGCTATTGCCGCCAAAATAAAGCCGCCCACAAAGGCACCCACTATCGAACCTGCGAGGGTTCCAGTATTGAATTTCCCTGACCCATGACTACTCGATGAGGTTTTGAGGCTCGCGGAAGGAGTACTTGACGCTGCATTTGCTGAACCGCTGGCCTTATATAGAGCGTTGGATGTGGCAAAGAGTCCGGAAGATGTAGAAGTGGCACTGGATTCCTGCACTGGGCTTGTAGTGGAAATTGGGCTTGTAGTTGTAGCGGAATCGGTCGATATTGGTGTAGAACCCCCAACTGAATTAGGATTTGTTGAGGTGTCTGTATAACCTTCAGCTGAAGTAGAGTATGTTGGGGTTGGTGTTAGACCAGTACTTGTAAGCCCAAGTTCGTCACCCATTATGACAGAATTTGTCTCAATTGAAGCAAAAGGGTCAACACTCGCGTCCTTTGGAAATCTCACCTGGGTACCTACAACATTTAAACATCTGTGTTCAAAATAAATCGGCGTTTTGACCGGATCAGGGTAGTCAAATGGTAAGAGAGCTAAGAGTGGGTCACGTATGGTTAGCCAGTCGAAAAAGTAGCCCCCAAAATCGGAGACCCAACGTGCATGATAGCGCGAAAAGCCATGCCAGGGGGGTACGAAAATATCCTTGCAGGTGCATCAAATATCGGGGGCGAAAAGTTGAAAACGCAGCCACTCTGTTTGGTAGTAATAAGTGCCCAAAGCTCGCGTCCCCCAGGATGATCAAGTATTTTCGCCAAATCCTTTGTCTTTGTTTTATCAACAAATGCTTTTTTCATAAAGGCTTCTTCCAATATTTACATGAGTGAGAAAGAAGTTGTCGTCCTCCAAACCCATGGGTTGGGGGATAATTGGGATGGATGGACTCCAGACATAGTCGTTGGCATCGACTTCGGAATGACATATACAGGTAATGGGGGCTCTCAATATGGCGAACTCCACCTCGAAGGCGTTCAAGGTGAAGACTGACTCAGAGTTCAAACAGGAGTTGCATACTCATCTGCACCTGAATGGCTTCCTCCCAAAACAATACAGCGGTGGCCCGGCAAATTGCCTGGAGAGCTGGTGAATAAGGTGCCGACCTGCATTGAATATGACGATGAAAAAGTAGTAGTGAAAAACTGGGGATATATGTGTGATCAGGAAGATAAATCCGCTAGCACAAAGGAATTTTTCAAGCTACACCTTGCTCCGCAGTATCATGACGATTATCCCGGCTGTCCGAGTCGCCGAGAGGCTCAGCGCTGGTTTCAAGACTACATTCAATGTGTGTACAAGCATGTCATCTCACATTTCAATAACACAATCCCGCAATTTGACTCCCGTCGGGTTGAATTTCTTTTTAGCGTACCAACAACCTGGAAAGATGTGCGCATGGTAGAGGAAACACGCGGTCTCCTTGAAAAAGCAATCAGCTCCAAAACTCCCCTGCACCGAGTTTCTATAGGCCTTACTGAGGCAGAGGCTGCAGCAGTTTATGCAGGGAACGAGCACTATGATGTGAGATATGCACTGAATTGTCTCACTTCTTTCATTATATGAATTAATCCACCATTCCCTTCTCTAGGTGGATGACACGATACTTGTCTGTGACGCTGGAGGAGGAACAACTGTAAGATGATCCTCAAGGTCAAAAGTTGTGAGCTTAATTTGATTTTTTTTAGGACGTGAACGTTCTGAAACTCATCTCCTTGCGTGGCGAGCCAACCAGACTAGAGCAACTAGGAAATGTTGAAGGTGAGCGAAAGTTGATCTCAATGCCATTGGTGACACGATAAGAAACTTGTCAAAAAGCTCACAAAAAGCAGGACAACCAATTGGCTCTGTTTTCATTGATCGGAAAATGTACCAGTTCTTCTGCGGCAAATTAGAGAAGGTCCAAGATAGACTATCACTTCCCGCCCACGAGCTCGCCTGGAAAATGATATCAGGTCGTTTTCAAAGACTTAAGTGCGCATATGGCACAGAAATGACCTTGACTCCATCACTCAAACTGGATGTACCATCCCTGGACGCCGATGTCGACATTCCGGAGGCAGATATATATTCTGGGCAGATGGTAATATCGTGGTGAGTCCTTTAACCGATATACGCCCAGCGGGGTCATTGCTCAGTTACATCGAAGGGACCACCTCAAGGAGGCTTTTGACGTGAAAATCGACGAGATCATTCATCTGATGGATGGGCATTTGCATCAGATGCACTCCAAATACCCCGAGGATCAAATTGTATAGCTCTTTTCCTGTTAAAACTAAATCTGAATTTACTGACGTAGAACAGAGCTACTTAGTCCTTTCAGGAGGATTCGGCAGTTCCCCATACGTCAAGAAACGACTCGACGAAAGATATGGCCATGCCAGTATGGAGAGACACCCAAACACAGAGGAAATGCAGATTCTCGTCGCAGATGAGCCGTGAGTCATAAGCTAAACTATAATCAGGTCAATAATCAAAACCATTTTTACTAAAGATCTTTCAATATGCTACAGGCAGCTTGTTGTGGTCCATGGATTAGTCCTCGATCGTATACAACAGATCAAGCGCGGAGTCGTTACTTTTGGATCCCGATGTTCCCCTGTTAGCTATGGAATTATTTGCGACAAACTCTATAATCCCGAAAGGCATATGGGACAACGAGTACGGTTGGATCCCCGCGACAAGTTAACATACGCCATAGACCAAATCGACTGGCTTGTGGTTCGGGTATGAAACCTTGAATGTCGAAATGCGCTTACTGGATCTTTGATATACTGATGCAAAAATCGATTCCCATTCATAGGGCTCTCCTATCCCCATCACAGGGCTCAAGAAGCAATTTCAGCTAAAGATGGACCCAGGCAAAGAGAACGAGCCATGGAAAGTGAGCATCGTGATGTCCGCTCTCGCGGCTGACAAGCTTCCTCAGAACATGAATCACATAGGAGTTCAACGAGTATGCGACCTTGATATTGTAACAGAGGGCGTGGACAGAAAGTTGAAGAATCGCCACTGGTATAATACGAGGCCAAGCTTTTGGAGGACAAAGTTCGACGTGAAAGTGGTGGTTGGACCTGCCGACCTCTCGTTTCAATTGTGGTCAAAGGACCAGAGAATCCGAAGCACAAAGCATGAGCCTATTTCGGTGAAATGGATGCCGGCCGGGGAATTTGAAGACTGAATCTCCACTTTGAGGTGTTTGAAATTTTTGCACTCTTATCAATCAACATTCTATTAATTCATTGCAGCGTAAATAGTCTCTGTTCTGGGGAATTCGGTGGTTATCCCCGTGCCTCGAGCTGTTCATAAAACTGATTGTGGTCGGAAAATCTTGTTTGAAGCCACATAATTCTCCCAAACCTTACCGATGTCATTTTTGTAAATGAAATCCTTATCTCCATAAAGAAAATGGTCAATTTTGCGAACCAAGAATTCGTCAAAACCTTTGCTCTCTGTTTTCAAAATCTCCAGGTTTTCACGGATTCCGTCTAGATGCTGATACCTACATCATATTATTTACAGTTCACATAGATTGAATGGACAATGCAAACTGGAGGGAACTGCTTACATCTTCTCATAATAAGGGGAACGGATGAAGCTGAAAATATCGAGTGCATCGCTCACCGGCTGCAACGACCCTTGGGTGTGTTCAAGCGCGCGGGCCAGAATCCAGCCATCTTCCATGGCAAATGTCGCACCAGAGCCAAATGCTCCTATGCTATCAATCAGAAAGGTCTTCAAGTAAATGGTGTAGATGATCGACATTACCCGAAAGAGGATGACTAGCGTCTCCAATAAGAGCAACTTTATTCCATCCTGTGATATGGTTCAGGCGAGGCCCGGCGAAAGTAGCGAATTCTCTCCATTCTGTCTCTTCAACCACCCCCACTGCATCTTGAACTCGCTTATCAAAGGTCTAACGTCATGATTAAGATTTGCGTTTCACCGAACCCTTTCTTGATCGAGAACTTACCTTTACGCGCGATTGCACTTTCTTGTTAGTGGCAGGAATACCCCAGCAGACCGTTTCACCAGGAACATCGGGCTCATTATATGATCGTACAGTGATTTCAAACAATGGGTCTTCATATGTGTCATCATCAACATCCGAAAAATACACATGTCCTGTCTCACCCCACCACCAGGCCGTCGTGGAAGTTATGTCGGGAAGATGAATCAAGCGCGACTTTGGAACCAACACACGCCATGCCGTATTCCCAGTAAACCGGAGCCCATGATCTGGGAACAAAGCTCTCCGCACCACCTATAATGCTAGTCAGCGACATTCGTTAGACAAGATAGGGATTGGAATACGAACAGAATGGATTCCATCGGCGCCAACGATGATATCGGCCACTGTCTCTGTCTGATCTTGAAATCTCAATCGTACTCCGCCTTCCTCTATATTTTCCAATGCGAGTAGCTTTTTATTGAATTTAATCATTCCGGGATGAACTCTCGCCAAGAGTGCCGATTGAAGACGGGTTCGGCGAGCGCGAATAGATCCCCGATGATCCGCAGCAGAATTTTCAGGGTGCTGCATGACATTCAAGATTTTTCCTGTGTAGGCATTCCTACGATGCATTCAAAAATCCAGATGAATCAGATTACAGCGTTACACCATACCAGGGGAGTCTAACCTTTGGTGCGTATTCGACTTGGATCCTCCGGTGACTGCGCTGCTGGCCCCTAACAAATCAAGCACCTTCCATGCATTTGTGCTTAGGCTAATCCCCGCACCTGCTTCTCGAGGCTCTGGATTCTTTTCGTAAACGGTGACCTCGAGGAATGGCAATGCAGAGAGTGCAATGGCGGCTCCAAGGCCTCCAGGGCCACTGCCCACAATTGCAACTGATATCGACTCCGGCCGGACCATTGTCTTTCTGCGTCCTCGAGGTAATGAGAATTTTGGAGAGCCCCGGGGACGAAGACGGAAATTGACAGTCTTTGTATCTTTGTCATGCGCTGCCTGCAACGAGCGAAGGCTTACCGGATGATCCCATATCACGCCATCCTGAGACCTGAATGTGCCATGCCACCATACATGCCCACGAGTACGCATCGGAATAGATAACACGATTTGTCATGCATGGAATTATTCCGATGAACATGCCAGTCACGATTCACGATATCCCGTCTCTTTATTCTCGACGTAGTCTATCGCGGATTCAATCAATACTTTCCGTATACGGGACTCGGCTACTAAACCTGAAAAGAACAGTTGGAGGAGGGCTTGATTCCCCGGGAGTTCCAAGATTTGCTTCTCAAAGGAAGATGGGCCACGAAGAGTGTAAGCCTGCTCCAAGTCCCAGCATATAGCTAGGTAAGTTTTACCCAAAGGAGCCGGAGAGGAAAGGAAAGAAACAAAAGGCGTCGAGGGAGGCGAGGTGTATTGATTCTGCGATTCCCGTGATGGCCCAGTGGGTGACTGCTTCCTTGAGTGGTTATAGCATGACGCATGGCGCATGGCCACAAGAGCATACGAGCACAAGAGCAACAGCCTGACAGCAATCGTCCCAAACCGGAAGGGGCGTTCGGTCGATCTCCCGCCCTAGATTTGCGGTACTAGTATGGAAACACCACCGGGAAATCGGATGAGCGTAGAGGGATGGACCAGGCTGGAGGCACAGGCAGGGAGTACAATCCATCATGAAGCCCTTCTTAATTCAAGTACATGTGATAAAAATTAACTCGTATCCTTATATCACACGCATTATGTGCGGTGAATGAGATCGTACACTGTCTCAGTTCAACCGGATATCCTCATGTATTACGCGCTGGCTAACTGGTGAGCAAGAGCGCTTTACGGCAAGCCTGGGATACAGGCAGGATGAGATGGATCAACGAACAAGCCGACAAACCATACCACACCGCGATGGAGGAATGAGGAATGCCTCCAAAAAAAGAAACAGAGGATGCAAAGCGACATATCAGTAAAGACTATGTACCATGAAATATATCCTCCAATCATGAATTCACTCACCGTAGTGGGTGCTCCGATGGTTTGTAACTCGTAATTGTACCATTGCCGAATCTCTAAACCATTCTACGCACTCGAATCTATAGAGTGGACTGAGGATATTATTTAGTTAAGTGTCATTACTTAGATAAAAAGTAGTGACTAGTATAACTACCCAGGTTTTCCTGCTAGTTATATTACATATCTTTTAGAGAAGAAGAAGCCATTGAAAACCGCAAGGACTCACATATTGCTCTGCGGGTCCATTATAGGAATCCTCGATTCCTCTCTTTTGTGTGGTAATCCCAGGTAGACTCGGAACTCAGCGCCGAAACACGCTAGTCAGCAAGGCAGGAGATGTTCAACACTCCCTGCCAGTGTTCACGCAATCAGACATCATCATATTGAGCATGGAATATTATTTGATCCCACTTTTACAAGTGCCATACTGCATTAGTATAGCTGTTACAGACCAGCCTGTAGGATTCCAAAAATGGACTCGACAGGGCTAATCGACTGATGTCGAGAGCGGTCAAGGGATTCTACCGAAATAGTAGAGCAGAGGACGATACAAAGACGTTTATTCCCTACATATATTTAGTTCTTCACATTCATTTATAGTCTGAGTGGTTTCGAGTATTTTAATAAAAGGAATCTATTACGCGTTAGCTGAGAGCCCGGTCGGCCACGTCGAGCACAAAGGTCTCACAGCCATGATGCTTTGGGCTTAGGTCTATCAGGATCGTCTTGAACTTGACCAGATTATCATACTCGGTGTTCAGCAATGCTCAATAACAAATTTCGCCTAAATTCACTCTGCTGCTTCCTTAGGCGTATCGCCGCAGGATTGCTCTATCCACACAAACAACGTAACAGCTCACGCAAATAGACATAACAAACCTCATCGCACTTTCTTCCCGCTTCTGCCCCAAGTGTATCGCCACAGGATCCCTCTACCCACACAAACAACGTAACCGCTCATGCGAATAGACATAACAAACCTCATCGCACTTTCTTCCCGCTTCTGCCCCAAGTGTATCGCCGCAGGATTCCTCTATCCGCACAAACAACGTAACCGCTCATGCGAATAGACATAACAAACCTCATCGCACTTTCTTCCCGCTTCTGCCCCAAGTATATCGCCGCAGGATTCCTCTACCCGCACAAACAACGTAACCGCTCATGCGAATAGACATAACAAACCTCATCGCACTTTCTTCCCGCTTCTGCCCCAAGTGTATCGCCGCAGGATTCCTCTACCCGCACAAACAACGTAAACACTCACGCAAATAGACATAACAAACCTCATCGCACTTTCTTCCCGCTTCTGCCCCAAGTATATCGCCGCAGGATCCCTCTACCCACACAAACAACGTAACCGCTCATGCGAATAGACATAACAAACCTCAACTTCTGGGATATATTCTTTCTTTGATATAGGTGATTCTAAAAAAAACATCATTATCGAGGAGATTCAGCAATATATATATTCGATACATATCTCCTTGGTAAGAATCATCATTCTATCAAACCTCAACCATCGTTCAATATCTCGAACATCCGATCTATTAAGATATTTTCCTCTATCCTTTCTCTTAAGACTTCAACTCGTCAAGATGAGCGTTGATTATCAATCCAACCAGCACCAGCAGGAAATTAAGAACAGGGGTAAATTTGCCCACCTGAAGCCCAACCAGCTGCGAGACAGGTATACCGAACTGGAGGAAAAGCTAGAAGCAAACGCAACATATAGGAATTATAAAAGAGCTGAGGTCGATTTGGAAAAGGCTGGGGGTGCCTTAGACGACTGTAGCGCGAAAAAACCCAATGAACGGGTCCCGGGAGAAATAATGAACCTTACTAGAATGAGGAACGAAGCAGCGACACGATGCAATAACGCTACATCACAATGGAATCAAGTCAAGAAAGATTTAGAGCAGGTAGAGGACGAGTACCGTGCAATTGAAAACGCCTGCAGGAAACGAAAGATCACACTTTCCCGCCGGGGAGCTTAACGAAAGACAGCGGGAGAGCGGGACTCAGAAGTGAGAAGTGAGAAGCTGGTGATTGCATAGAGACGGAAGAGGTAGAATGTTTGACACGATTCTGCTGGCCATATCATCTCATCAATTTCTCCAATACAGCCCAGGCTTGATTGATGTCTACTCCTTGCAAAAAACCAGGTTTTGGAAGCCGAGGCTATAGGAGTGTATGACGCGTTGTGGGTGAGGCGGTTCAAGACGAGGACTGCCGTGGGGACTTGGTGGCCATGGTGATGGCGAATCCCTTGCATTCTTTTAGTCAGACTATTTGAATTCTCATTTTTTGCTGCTCTTTCAATTTCATTTCATTCTGCTCTTGAACTATCCTCTTGATACCGATTAGTTACCATCAACTGGTTCATTGTAGGCAATCCTTCATATGCGAATGCAGCTAGAAACCCGAAGGTAGACTGATATGAGAGTCCTCAAAGTGATCCAGATGTTGAACGTCTTTGAACCATCCCAAAGGATAGAATATTGTATACTTGGCTTTGATCCAAACTTTGTAGCCACCACCCTACAAGGCCCTTCCGGTATTCGTCAATTTCACTACTAGGCTCAGAGGAACAGAGAAAACAGTACTGCTGAAGACGGGGACCAAAATCAGGAAGCGAGATAGGGGCAGTCAGAAGTAAAACTTGTGACAAAGATTTTAATGGAGCCTGGCTGCCAATCAGATCGAGTTATCATCTGAAAGAGGTAGGTCGGGATTCAGACCTAGATCTGAATCATCTGGACATGATTCAAAATGGATATTCTGAGTTTCACACGAATAGCAAACACCCTAATACGCTATCTTGAAGCGTAAATGAAACTGAAGATTTATAGTTTAGCAACAGGGCTGTCCCAACATAAACTGATGTTTCATACTACGTATGGTCCTGCTAAACCTGACAGTTTTAATCGAGGGCCACTGGCTCATGACCGGCGGCCCCTACGCCTAAATTTCATACCCTCCTCTGAAGTCAACTCCCTGAAAAAGACCCACATTCTGACCGAGACAAGAATTTTTCAATCGCAGATTAAGACTAGGCTGTCGGTAGTGCTCTCAAAGCGGGCTAGCTTGAGGCCACGAGCTCCAGAGTTGGGGGACAATCAAATCAAAGGAGTAATTAGCTAACAATCACTTGAGAGCCAAGTCTTGAGCACCACCAGCTCTTATATTAGGTCTTTCTTGAATCTATGATATTAGATTTATGATATCCAGAGTAGACTGTGCTCCAATCTCTTTAATTTATCAGCTCTATTCATCCTCGATCGCGTTTGCGCGATCTCTGTCAGCGAGGAATACTTTGTAGCTCACTTTGACAAGCTTGCACAACGAAAACCCAAGAAATCAACCGCGTCTAGTAAATAAATCTAAAGAACAAGTCAGATCCATCTTTGAATCAAGAAAATGGGAAAATGGGAATGTGATTCAATTTACGCATGGCCAGTAGTAGTTCAAAATGAATGTCTTTCTCTTCATATCCATGCGATAAACAGACCCAATCAACAACTTCTTCAGCTCACCTCGAGGATAAGCAAAATATTTTTTATCCACACCGATCTAGCCTCTCATGATTCACACGCGATGCGTGCAGCATTTATGATTTGCAGGTAGATTGATATCAAGATAATGATTCAAGAAATGACGCAAGCCTTGACGAAAGAGGAATAATCGATGCGGTAAGTGCCCATTAGAGCGTGGCGGTTCCACAGAGGTTTCACAGAAGTTCCAGAAGTAGGTGTTCTGCATAAGTACTTTCCTCAAGATATTGTAAGATCTACGAACGAGCACAACTGGAGAAGCTAGATCGACAGTCAATCGGTGATTTGAATTTAGATGATATCATGAACCCTTCAGGCCTTGGGCAGTTCGCTGATATTAAAGTGCTCTTGTTCTTCGGCTGATGTGCATCGTCATTTCAAGGAGAAAAATATTGTGTCGTAGTAAGCATGACTATGAGGACTACCACAATCGACATTTCTGGGTTCCTCTGGAGAGATGGGATCGCGGGACGGATAGAAAAGCCGGTATTGATGCAACTGATCCTCTTCGCGAGTGCATTCGCATGCATTTTTCTTTATCACACTCGACACCAAGTCCCTATCTACCATCGAAAATTTCACAAAAATAAGATATATCTCTATGTTCACGTTATCATAGGGATACTCGAAGCATTCCGATATAGACTCTATGTTGTCTTTCAAGGACATAATGAAGTCTTGCCTCAGGCCGGAGACATTTTAGCCTGCTTCGTCTGGTCCTGGACAAGTTTTCAACTTGTCAAGACTCTCCGACGAGGAGACCCACGCACGACACGGCCACCTTACCAGGCGGGTGCATGTCTTCGCCCTTTGGCATCGCTCATCTCTTACCTGTTCAGCATACCCTGCCTCCATCGGGTATCGATCGGAGCTCTAGACAGTTTTATCTACGCTCGCTTGGCGATTTTCTTTTTCTACTATACACCATATATCCGCTCATTTTCAAGTTCGACTATATATGCAATTTCTATTCCACTGGCTGCAACTCTGAGCATCCATCAGAGCAGGGTACCTGGCGCCAGTTTGGTTTATATACTTATGGTCACATACATTACAAGATTGAATGAATGGGTCACCGAGAAATCGCGTACCTTACGCAGGTATGCCATCTTATTTTTACTGTGTATATGCCGAAGAGTTACTAACCAGCTTCGATAGTCCAGGGATATCCGCAACCGTCTCGGAGAAGGAGAAATTGCTCATTTCAACACTTATCAGAATAGGGTTTGTGGAGTTAGATGAACTACGGATAGTGGAGCAGAGGAAAGAGTTAAAGCGACCTGTCTCTGATGAATATGTTAAATGGAGCCAGACTAAGCTGGAGGATGAAACACCAAGTAATGAGTGAACGCCGAAAATGTTCTCCATTGGGTGGCTGTCATGACTTGATCAAGTTTCAATTATTAAGATGCCAAATTGTCGATGGACTGGGAGGATCAGCGAGTGAGTGAGTACAAGATTACAGAGTGCCCATGTTTTCATTCGTGTTTGGACTATCGGATCAATTCAAATGACACGATATGAAGGAGGCCACTAAGTAATAGACCCCACTCCTCGCTGGAAGCTTGAACGGGTTAGAAGCACTATATATTGAAGTGAGGAAAACAGCCTACAACAGTCTGGACCTGATTGGATGACAATTCCAGCACACTGTCGCTACCAATATAGGCTCACATTTCAGATAGAGAGAAATATGATTTCTACAAACTCATTAAACCGGACAGAATCTGTCCCCTTTTTTGGAAGCCGTCCTCCAACGTGCTGTGTGGTGGTTTGGTTGTTGGCTCGTTGATCCTTCTCATCCGGTCTTGCCAGACCTGCCTACGTGCGCCCGGGTTCAACATCTATGCCGTATTTTCACGGAGATTGCTTCCGATAAACCCACAGGTACGAATGAGCATAGGATGTGAGATAGACATAAGAGACGAAGAATGCCAGGGGAAATTAAGTTTGCTGAAGGCTTTGCTTAGCCTCGACAAGCTTTTTCAGCCCGAACCCCCTTACGCCGACTCATGGGGCAATTGTTGCCTGGACAAGGAGAACGAGGCTTGGATCTGCGCCCGCGCCCGCGTGGAGCCCGGAAATCGCACATCTGAGACCTTGATCATCCGGGAGACTCCGAGGCCAAGAACTGCTCGTATCTCGTATCTAACGGAGATTGACGAGCAGATGATTAACTAATAATACGATCACTGATCTCCAATGCGATCAGCCAACAATATGATGTTGCATTGAAGGTATTTCCGCTGCTTATGACACTGAATCTTCCGCCGTGAGGGAAGCCACAAAAGAGGTCGGTGCGCCACCATTCAGGGGGTCAGACAATGCGCTATAATAAGACCGAGTGTCTCGAAAGAGGTGGCACTTATCCATGCGGCTAGCCTGGATATAGTAAACTATTATTCTTTGCCCGCGACTAATTTGGTGACCTCGAGCGAAAGAGAATGCGACCGGGGTCGGGTTAAGACCCGGAGGAACGGAATGCAGAGGCGAGAACAAAACACACCGCACATGGCATCAGTTAAATGCTGTTATCATTCTTTATCGGATCTTCTCTTCAATTTCTCTACTTTCCTTGCTATGCGCTCTTGGCCTGGTTGGATTGTTGGTTGGGAAGAACTGGCCAGGGGACTGGCAAATAGTCGGCATATATACTAGGTACTATAGCCATGGCATGCCATATCTCCGGCCACTCCCTCCGCTCTACTCTGAAATACTCGCTCAGACCAGCGAGCTCAAAGAGCTCGTCACTCTGAAACTTCAACGCCCATCCTCCTCCTTTCTTCCACATGGGGGGGGACTGACGCAGCCTCTGACCCCCGGGCCCCGCGACGCCGATTCGCCAGCCGCAGGGACCAACTTCCCCACAGTTGAAAACAAGCCCTTTCGAGACTCCACTTTGAGGGTTCACCGACTGGCTACTGGGTAGTTGGGAGGGCGCTAATTATCGGCTAGGACAGTGAATCCGTGTGATTGATGGTCGGGAATTCTGGCCCCAAAACGAGCAAAGCGTCGCTAGTCCCGATTCTCCCGGAGGCAGTCGGCTCAGCGCCTGAAATACCCCCGTTCCAGCCTCGCCCCCTGGTTCCTCTTTGTTCTGCTTTTGTTGGACGTCCTCTTCATCTGTTTTTTTCTTTTCAGACCACACCACATTCGTTTCTTTCCTACCGTCGTTACCATGCATTTCTCCACGTTGGCGGGCTTGGCCCTGCTATCAGGCGCCGCCATGGCCAGCGTGCCCAACATCGAGATCAAGGCAAGTTTGGTCTGACGAAGAACTGATGGCCAACATCCTAACCGTCCAATGCTGCGATAGGGATCCAAGTTTTTCTATGCGAACAACGGCAGCGAGTTGTAAGTCGATATAGTCCACCCCTCTGACGATCCTTTCCGCGTACTGATTGATCGTCAAAAGCTACATTCGCGGTATCGCCTACCAGGGTATGTCTTATCTCCTGGCCCTCTTCCCTCGAGGCCTCAACGCGTTCCAACCGATCAACACTGACCTCTATTTGCAGAGGATTACACTGGTGGCGGTGCTAGTGGTACGGGCGAGAGCAGCGAGAGTGACTACACCGATCCGTTGGCCAATGCCACGGCTTGCGCCCGGGACATTCCTTACCTCTCCAAGCTGCGCACCAACGTCATCCGCACGTACACCGTCGACCCCACCAAGGACCACGATGAGTGCATGTCCCAGCTCGCCGATGCCGGCATCTATGTCATCACCGATATGTCCTCGCCCAGCATCTCCATCCAAGCGAATGACCCGGTCTGGACTGTAGATGAGTACGAACGATATACCTCCGTGATTGATGCCTTCCACAAGTACGACAATGTCATTGGTTTCTTCGCCGGTAACGAGGTTGTCAACCAGCCCAATCAGACTAACGCGGCTGCCTTCGTCAAGGCCGCAGCCAGAGATATGAAGTCCTACATCAAGGACAAGGGTTATCGCTCCTCGCTCAGCATTGGTTATGCCACCACTGACCAGGAGGACATTCGCCTGAATCTGTCGGACTTCCTGAACTGCGGTGACGAGGACAGCGCCATTGACTTCTTCGGTTACAACATCTACGAGTGGTGTGGCCAGTCTACCTACGCGGATTCCGGTTACAAGGCCCGCACCGAGGAGTACGAGAACTACTCGATCCCCATCTTTTTCTCCGAGTACGGCTGCATCACCAAGACTCGCACCTTCTCCGATGTCCCCGTCCTCTATGGCGACCAGATGAGCCAGGTCTGGAGCGGTGGTATCGTCTACATGTACTTCGAAACCGCCAACGACTACGGTCTCGTCTCTGTCGACGGTAACTCCGTTAAGACTCTGGATGGTTTCAGCTATCTGTCCAAGGAAATCCAGAGCGCCACCCCTACTGGTGTGAACAGCGCCAGCTACACTCCGACCAACTCTGCCCAGTCCTGCCCCACTGTGGACAGCGAGTGGCTGGCTAAGTCGAGCCCGCTGCCCCCGACCCCCAATGCTGACCTTTGCTCTTGCATGGTCTCCAGCCTGTCCTGTGTTGTCAGCGATGACACCGACTCTGACAAGTACAGCGAGCTCTTCGGCGAGGTCTGCGGTTATGGTACTAACATCTGTGCTGGCATCAAGCACAATGCGACCACCGGTACCTACGGTGCCTACAGTGTCTGCAACAGCAAGGACCAGCTCTCCCAGGCTTTCAACCGTTACTATATCAGCCAGGGCAAGGCCAGCACTGCTTGTGACTTCAACGGTGCCGCCAAGGTCCAGTCTGCCGCTTCCGCCTCCGGAACCTGCAAGACTCTGCTCAATGAGGCCGGTGGCACTGCTGGCACCGGCACTGTCACCTCAAACCCCACTGGTTCCGCTGCCACCTCCACCTCCAAGGGCGCCGCTGCTGGTGGTAACGCTCCCGCCGCTGTCCTTGTCAACGGCTGGGTCAGCGTCGCCTCTCTTATCGCTGCCGTTTCCGCGGGATCTCTCATGCTTGTTCTGTAGATGAATTAGCAAGAAAACCAGTTCGGATGTAGTTTCATGGGTTTTGTGTTCTTGGGTTCAGTATTTATGTTTTTGACTTCCAAATAGAAGACACTTTTTCGTTGTATGGGTCTCTTTTCCGTGTACTTTGAGCGTAATACATCATGGGCCGATTTCTTTGGCTGCGGCCCTTATAACTCACAAAATATTACTTTTTTTCTATTTCAACCTGGTTATTGGCCTCATTAATTGGTGATCTTGACTCTCAAGAAGTTGATGTTCGACGTCGTGCGTATACACGTACGCATTGTGGGTGCGCCCCACTTAGATCACCGATTCCCGCAAGGGTCCCGGGAACCACCGGTATAACGACCCTCAAGACCCTGAAAACCCTGAAAACCCTGAAGACCCTGAAGACCCTGAAGACCCTGAGAACTCTGAGAACCCTGAGAACCCTGGAAGACCCTGGAAGACCCTTAGGATCCTCTGAGAAACCGATGATGCCATTCCGACCCCCCAGTGCGGCAGGTCCCATGAACATGATGCCAGCCTGATGCTACGGAATCACGGCCACAAAGGTCGCTGTCAGCCTTCTGCGATGACTATATTGCCGATATTCCGACCATCTTTTACTCGAAACTTGTTCAAGTAGCTTATCTTCGAAGAGATTCCGAGGTATGATCATCTTCACATAAACCTGCGCCGCCTTGCGGTTCTATACTCCACTCCGAATTACTGTTGTTCTGGCCAAGACGGCGATGAGACGTGCTTCGCCTGTCCATTGATGAGTGCTTGACGCTATCAGATGATCTATCATGTTTTTATTTGTGATTATTCCTTGGAGGTCATAGGTGTATCATGTTCAATAAAGAGGACACTGTCAGGCAAACGGCCCATAGTAGCGAAAATGACCCACTATCAAACCCGGATGCCCCCGAGGTTTGTAGTTCTCTACGCAACACAGCTGTATATTGATCTTGACCATAAGTTTGATTCAATGTAACTGGCGCAGAAATCGTCCCATCCTCCAGACGAACCCAGGTGCGGACTTCGTTTTGGATAGTGCTCTGGTTGAAAAGAATCTGGCGACCGCCACGGGCGGCGTCGCCATAACCTCCGTAGCCAGTGTGGCGGCCATAGCACATAGAAATGCCATCACCGGATAGATTTCTGTCGACGACACTGTTCCATTTGAAACACCTATCATTTCTCTTATTAGTTCCGATCCCCCTGTTGCCGGGCAATGCTTACCAGTCATTGTCATGATCGTGGCCACTAAACGTGGCAATCATACCGGTTGTGTTGAGGAGGGCCTTCATAAATGCACGGTCTTGTCCAGTATAGTCGGTATCCCCTGATCCCTGCGATACCACATCCTCGCCGTTCAATCCAGGTGTCGTGTTTGAATCCACTCCTTCTTCCTGGTATTCACGCATTGCATGGGCCGGAATATGGTAAAATGATATCGAGGGAATCATTGTGTGATATTGAGCTGTTAGGTTGGCATTTGTCTCTTGGAACCACTCAATAACCTTCAAAGGAACCAGTTAATATACAGTGAATATGACGCATGGAGGGAGGAGGTACGTGCACTTGAATCAACCCAATCACTTCTTGTGCCACTAGCGCTTCCTTCCGTACTGTTTATCGGATAGCTTCCGCCCTTCGAATCGAAGAACCAGAGAATGAGCGCCGGGGTGCTTTCGGAGGTATCGTGTGGATAAACAGGCAAATAATAATTCGTGATGCCGGCATCCTGCGAGGAGATCATGCTATGCGTCAAAGAGTTGTTATATCGTCTCTCCTTGTCATAGATGTCCTTCATTGGATTCAAATTGACATTGCTATCGTGGTTTCCATATGTGGATGCCCACAATTGGCCAGCATTCACCAGCGGAGATACCACTTCGTCGAGATAGTCTCCGGCATTGGAGCTGTTGGTGGCTTCTCCGGAGATCAAATCGCCGTTCAACACGACCAAGTCGATATTTTCTTCTTCAATAACATATGCCACCACTTCTTTTGTCATGTCGTCGAGTGTAGCATCTTGACAGGTGTGAGTGAGTGTATTGAACGAGGACCGCCAGCTGGAAAGGGTAAATGCGTACTTTCGGCAAAGTGCAAATCACTGAACACGGATATTTGAAATGTGCCATCTTGATTGAATCTCAGTTTATGCTCACTCTCTCGTGAGCGTATGGCTGGGCTCATGCTGGGTGGAAAGAGCCTTTTGAAGAGCAAGCTCGAATATTCGACCTAGTTTTGCAGGCATCGTGGGTGTTTATGGTCGGATCAGTAGTAGCTGAGGGTTTCATTTTTAATCTGCAGGTATTCCTAAGCAAGTCAGTCACGTCACCATAATTATGGTGCCTGTTCTTTCCCAAGACTCTTGAGAGAATACATTTTGCGTGGCTACGGTCCGGAAATGGACAGGCCGAGAACGCCAAGGCCTGGCCAAGGTCCGGCATGCCGTCATCGAGTTGGAGATACCGGTGATAAGACTAAAATGCTCGGCTTTACATCGGAATTCTTATTTCAACTGGATTGTCAGCAATGGCTGTGCAGTCATCAACTCTTGGCCTTGGGCCATTTTGTTGACTGGTCCCACATTGAACAAACAAAAACCCTTCCCTTGCAGGAAAATCACCTTCTCTAAGATTGGTGCCTACGATTGCTACTGGCGAATTTTACAGTGGGCACCTATTATGGTGAAGAGAAAAGGTGTTGAGCAAGTTGACTAGCATTTAATTCGAAAAAAAAAGAACTATGAAAAAAGAAAAGTCGATCACGGATGCCCGCTGGGCCAATATGAAGAAATGCTTGCCCAAGTACTCCGGCGGTCGGTCTCCTTATCACTGCCGACAATTACATTCAGACACAGCGATTTTGAGAGTTCCCCTCGGATCGGCATGGCTATCCCTTTCTTCCCTTAATGATCCCATCCTGTGTTCTCCACCACCGCCGACAATTATATTCAGACGCAGTGATTTCAAGACATAGGTTCGCAAACCCTATTTCTTGCTCTTTCTTCGTAGGCCCTCCGCTCGGCCTCTTGAACACTGCCGACATTTACATTCAGGCGCAATGAAGTCAAGACGTTCCCAAATTTCATACAGTCCTTTCAGCCTCTTCTCCATGGCAGCGCTAGGATCAGGGGTCTTGTTGTCCCATTCATCGTTGAATTCTTCGACCACTCGATCCCAGCTCTCTGAATATAGGTCGGAACCTTCCTGCCTACTGAGTGTCAACCTTCCAATATGTGTTGCTACCATAGTTAGAATTTCTGCTGTCTCGCTGACGGAGAATGGTTCTCCTGCTATTAGTAGGTCATGGGCATCTTGGATGGTGTGTCGGATTATCTGGCACTTAAGAAGGAAACAATAGCTTACCAACCCGTCAAACTCACCAAGTCCTCTCAGGATGTCAAATTTTTCCTCGAAGGCCTCCAAAAGCTGTGCGATTGCCCCAGCGCGCTGGGGATGCTTTGAAAGCCGATGGCTCCACTCTGTGAGTTTGTTAACTAGCTCTCCTCGTCTGGAGGCGAAGAGCTCGAACCCTTTAAAAGCCATAATACCCCCTGGCTCCATCCCTTCGGTCAGCCTCTCTGGCTATAAAGCTGGTGGTGTGTTGTGTATTATATGCATTCCTTTTCCATCCGGGTTATCTCATGGGTAAATGCGAAATTTTATATCTATATTTTGCCTTCACATGTTCATTATTGACCGGCTTTGATGGAATTTTGAGACCTGGATGATAGGCTTTCATTGAATGCAGGTACAATGAGTCTTTGTAGCTCGCTCACAACGCTTAGTTCTTAGTTCAATTTCTGGATACTGAGCACCCCCTTGTCACTTTCTCTTTATCATGTCGGCTTTGATTCTTTCGACGGGAAGGTGAGTCCGGGAAATTTCGGACTCTCCAAAGACTAACGGGATTGATAAAAAAGCCAATATCCTGCGCAAAGGAATTGCCCAACAGGTAGTATCGATATTCCACCAAATCCTTTGTTCTACTTTACTGAATCACTTTCAACTCAAGCTCACCTATTGCAATACGTAATTTCTCTGCCCTCGCATTTGTGAACCCGCGTGCGTGCGACACAGGCCGCCCGGGGGTCACTCATTGAATAGGCTCCGAATAGCTGTTGTTCACTCCGTCTAGATAACAGTCACAGATACAAATTTGAGATCTCGCGGGTGCAATAGCACCGATCGCATTTTTGAGATTATGATCAAATACAACATCTCGCGCAGTCGTAACATATTATAATTTTGCATGAATCGGACGAAACGCTAGATAGACATAATGTATCCATTTTGTATATTCCTATTGTTAACAGCGATTCTCTGGACCGTATCTCCACTTCGAGCTGTTTCGTCTTTCTCGCCAAAAGTATTCAACCTCGGTCGGAGACCTATCATCAACGCCCTTGCGGCCTACTATGGAAGTCTCATCCCTGGATGAATACCAATTCCATGCCGACTCTTGCTTATGAAACTAATGGCTGGCGGTTTTATTTTTGTTGAGGTCAAAGCACAAAGGTCAGGCATTCATATCCCAGTTGAAGTACTCGGGGCTATTCAATGGGCCTGAATTGCCCCAAGGCGACTGATCCAGGTACCATAACAGCAGGCTTTCCATCATAAGTTATTATTTCCTAACTCGCATTCTGGGTTGTATACCAGTGGACTTACGAACTGATTCCGAGTCGATGGTTTTAATATTACTTGTCATGAATTACGTTCGCTTTCTACCCGGGCGGTCGCTCCAGTTTACAGTTGGTGCTTCAGCTCCTCGTACTTCGCACCCCGCATCACCAATGTGGCCATGGCCTCCTCTTAGATACCCATCTGCTCCGTGAACCCCCCGCATCCTCCCCACTCCACTGAAGTGGGAAATTTAATACTAGTCAGAACGTTGATGTTGACAAAATTCCCAGAATTGCTTCCCGATGGGACGAAAGATGAAATGGACTTCTACGAATCTTCGTTTTTCCAGGAGCCAAACAAGTGCCTCCCCACTCCGGAGCAAGTGAAGGCATTATCAAAAGATATTGGTACCACCCCTCAACCGCAGCCAGTGAAATTCAAAAATTCCGGAGTCTTTGTCAAATTTGGTCCTTATGTCACAATTGCGGAAGCCCAGTGTCTTTGGATGATCAAAAAAGCCTTCAGCAACCAAATCCCCGTCCCCGAAATTTTTGGTTGGCGAGTTGATGAACAAAAGAACGTCTTTCTTTACATGGAGCTTATTCAAGGGCGCACATTGCTCGAGTCATGGGATACCCTTGACAAGTTAGACAAGAGCTCTCTTGTCGATCAACTACGCCAGATAGTACAAGATCTACGCTCTCTTGAACAGAATCCATTGTTGGACCCTTATATCGGTGGGTGCTTTATGAAGTAAAATTGAGATGATCCCAAGCTAATTCGACGCAGGATCAATAAGTGGTCAGAGAGTTCAAGATTATGTCTTTGAGTCCTTCCCAAACGCCGGTCCTTTCGCTTCCATCAAGGATTTCAATGACTGGTTTGCTTCTTTACCCCAGACACAGGCTCCGAACAAATTCGAGGATCCTTACAGACATCTTTTGCCCGATAGTGGGACAATTAAATTCACCCATGCCGATCTACACCGTGGCAATATTATGGTATCTTCCAGCAAACCTGTTCGTATCCTTGCTGTGGTAGACTGGGGACTATCTGGATGGTACCCAGATTATTGGGAATTTTGTAAAGCATGTTACACTAGTTATGAAGGAGAAGAATGGCGACAAGAATGGATTAATGAATTCTTATGCCCATCTACCCAGGCACAGTTGGCGTTTTCAGAATATATCATGATACTGGGCGCTTTCTGAGTTAGACGCAGTTAGTCCATATTGCCATTTAAATACACAGTTTCAAAAGCGTTTTGACGCTCTAAAAGAAAGAACTCCTTCACCTGAGGTGGCTATTGATAATATGAAGCACAGAACAACGATAATTAGTGGGTAAACGCGCGATTTTTGCGCGATAACTACATCAACTGTCGTGTTCGCTCCAGCATTTTAAATCGCGACACCTCAGAGGTCCGTCATTCTTTTGGCTGAAGGCACCCAGAGGCAGCACCAGGAAGTTCTCAATAATGATTTACTCCGTCTCACCTTGTCCTTGGTGAAAAGGATACGAGCGATGTGATGCCCTCATTCGATAGCTTGCTGGCCTCCTGAGCGCCTCTGTGCTTATTGTCAGACGGCTGAATGACAGATCATGCGATCTGATCATTATCACTATAGATCCAGCACTCAGCAAAGGCAGAGACCACTCCGACTTGAGCTCGATCATATCAGTAATGATTGGCGAAGTTTATACGGGTGGACCTCGAGGCAATTTCGACAACGTCGCGAAACACTGAAACTAAAGAGGTCTTGCGCAATACCCATAAGACAGGCAAACAAACTCTGCTCGAAAATTAGGTTTCCAACATTTGCTAGGTTTGCAACTGCTTAAATTTCCTCAAATACATGCTTCACGGGGCCATCAAAGATGCATAGCCACGATAACCAATTCAAAATTTTCAGTCCCGAACCCAATTAAGGCTTGATGGCCATACAGTAATTATGTTATGGAGGATTTAGGATATATATAGCCCAGTGGTATACTAATTGGACTAATCCGCTGTGTATCTGCGAGATAAATGAAGGAATAAGGATGGTTTTTCTAGAAATCCCGAAATACACATTGCAGGAGTCAAGACAACGCAGTTTTTTAGCAAGACAGATAGGTCCAAGTACCGAGAAATTCATTGGACGTGTCTTAGGATACACAGAATATATAGCAGTTGGGTAGGGGTCCCTCGTGGCCCGATATTCTGGAAGCCCCATAACCCCGGGGAATCATGACCAGGGACAAGGCGGGCCATGCCGGCTCCAATAGACTCAAAGGGACCTGATCTGCATAGAAGAGAAACAATGGTAGAATATTATGACGGAGAGGATGATAGCAAAAATAGAAACCGGGGGCCAGGTATAGGAATCAGTGCCCCACGGTGAGCCTCTTCTTGCAACTATCGGGCAGGGGTAGTTATAGCCCAATCAAATCCCGTTCACGACACATGGGGTTTGACCTGGGGGGCTGTGGCAGGTCTTCGATCCAGTTGCGACCATGACCCAAGGGTGTTGGCAAGCTGGGTTCGTGTGGAGAGCTTTGGTGGCTTGAGACCGAGGGACTTTGCGCGCCGGCCTTTGACAGCGAAAAGGGGTCCCAAGCCCCGCGACCCGAACCAAACCCGCAGGGCCAACAAAGCCAACGACGCCCGTGAATCGTGTTGAGCCCGCGAGGCCAGTGACAATCGGCAGAACCGCCACGTGCCCGAGCCACACGTGCACTTTATCCCGAGACGGCGTGACTCCTCATTTGGCCTCATCTTCTTTTCCCCTCCAGTCGAGTCATGGTCTAAAGACACACGGATCGAATCACCCTGCTTGAAGCTGATTCCCACCAATCTGGACTTCTCGGTACGCAGCCAACTTTATTGGTCCGAGGACACTGCACTTGCTTGGCCCGTAGACTGCACATCATGGTCTCACAGCCACATTCAGGATGCTCTCGTCGCCTACAGGTGCTTTGCGATCCAATCTAGCTCTGTCCCAGAAAATGTGACTAGAGCCCCATCTGCAGCTTGATCTCCTCGTGGCCACCTTTCCAACCCAGATCAGAGTGTCTTGCGATGCGGCCCTCCAGTGCAAATGTCGCCGACTTCCAGGTCTTCGTACCAGGCGTCGATGCGGGGACTGCCTTATTGTTTCTTGAGGTACCCACTACTAATGCCCGTGCTTATCCTGCTCTTCGGGTCGCTGACTGCTCACGACTCAGTCCGCAAGCTCCATCAACGAGGCCGTGGATCAGTACTATGAAAACCCGGGGAGATACTCACGGTGTTCATCTTCCATAGTATCGACGATTCACAGTCCAATCGACCCAGCCAGTTCGCGACTTTATCCCAGCTCTATCAGTACCTCACCTGAAGCTACCATGCAAGCCAACTCACCCCCATCATACCCGTCTCCGCCTCCATCAAGGGCCAGTGTGAGCGGGAGTGGATCTTCACGGTCAGGCCATACAAATGCATTGATTAAGGCAGCCACGCTCCGCGCAAAGGATGAGCAGGAGATGCAGAACATGCTCCAGACTGTCCAGCAGACCTTCCACGTCTTCAACCCAGAAATCGAACCTGAACATGAATGCCAGTACCCTTGCAATTGTCTGATCCACAAGTACCTCCAGCGAAAGGTTGATCGTCTGGACATTCAAGAGATGTGGTCGAAGGCTGTGATGTACCCCGGTGAAAAGGCCTACCATGACTGCGCCCAGGTCCGCCTCTTCAACAACAATCCCTATCAATCTGCAGTCGTTTCACCATACGGTTTCAGTGGTTCAACGTTCTATGGGATGCAAAGGCCCGATCCACATTCTCACGCCAAGGCTGTACAACAGACCATCGAGCTGAACAACTCCCTCAATTCCAAATCACAGACACTCGTCGATGCGCAAGAGCCAGCATTTAATATATGGGAGGTTGATCAGTTACAATCCTCTATGTTCAACATCGGTATTGGTACATCCTCTGCTCATAGAGATAACCTTGGCAGCAAATCTAAACGTGCAAGCTTAAAGAAGGCCCTCTCCATCAAGTCATCGGCAGATAAAGTGGCTTCGAAGACTTCAAAGTTATTCTCTGAGGCTCGGGAGCTTCAAGATGCGATTCTGCAAGAGGAGGATGGCAGGTGGCCTGAGCAACTGGATCGAGACATTGTTTCTTCTTATCAAACAAAGGTTGGCATGGCTGAGAAGATCGCCGAGTGCCGGGCCAAGCGTCCTCTGCAATACCTACATCTCCTCAGGGCCGGATACTTCGAGCCTATCCCGGTAGCATGGGCAGGGCAAGCCTCAAATCCGCTCAAATTCACCATTGACGGGGCTGCGGGGTGGCGAGGAATCACGCCAGCGTGGCGAGGTTATGAGGACACTGCGGAGGAACGCCTCTACTGGGTGTTGAATCATCGACTGGAGGATCCAGACTCTCGACTGAAGCCTGACTTGATCTCGGCGTTGAATATGGCTCGTGCAAGGATGGCACGAGCTGTGAAACCACCTCCTACCTACTACTCTATCAGTGACATCTGTCGGCAAAATTCCTCCCAAGGGTATTCTGACCAAGTTATGCCGCGTTCCTTTCACCCGTTTGACCCCTCAAATCAACAACCAGATAACACTATGATTCTTCTGGATGTTTCAGGGTCTATGGATTTCCAACCACGTCGGCCCGAATATAACGAATATCTTATCACGAGCTATACACGATCAGCACAGCCGAAAAATAAGGGTAATTACTTCATTTTGCATCTAAACTTCAGAACTCTCAACTCACAAACCTTCGCAGATCTGGCAAAAGCTATCATCGGCCGTTTCATCGATGCAATGGGCAACCACGATCATAATTGGTCTGGGTATGAACTCACTACTTTCGCTAGCCAAGCTGAATATATCGGGGTCATAAATCACTGGAATCTTGACGAAATGTGGCAAACCGTCCGTTTTGGTGGTCGCACGAGGGTTATGGCTGGCTGGCAACGGGTGAAAGAGTTACACTTCCAGAAACATAGCGACACTGCCACATACCATCCTGTTTACGGCTGGCAAGCCGGCCCTCAAACACCTATGCTTCGGCTGCTACTCATTCTTGACGGTGAAGCACGGGACATGGATGAGTTCGAGCTTGACCTCTTGAGCCTTTCATGGGCCCATGTGACCATTTTCCTTATCGGCGTTGACCGCTGCCTGCATCATCACCGTCACGCGAACGAGCTACAGCGTATCGGTGAGGTTAACCCTCATGTGTCTTTTATAGATGCCCAGGGCAATGCACCCGAACGTTTTATAACTCATGAGCTCCTGAAACGTCACCTGGGCTACGAGCTTTCTTTGGACGAGTTTGAAGACCTCGAGCATGCGCCTGGTGATTCTCGTCGTGCAGAACTACCTGCGCTTGAGCCACCGCCGCCGAACTTACCTGAACTCGAACAACCACCGCCCCCTTCTCCTGTTGAACTTCCAGCCTTGGAGACGTTGCCATCGCAGTATTTGATGGAACAACCGCCTCCTTATTCTGCGTCTGCGTAAGACCCTTTCAGGGTCGCTATGGGTTCGTTTAGCCATGGTATATAATCTTTCTCCTTTTGAGCCTTCACGTGTTATTTTATTTGGTTATGATGACTGAAAGTCAGGTGTTCGTAAGCATTGAAGGTTTGGTGCCATAGTCATTTTGATGTTCGCGGACGCAACATAGCATGTTTGCTCCAATTTATTCCAAATCATTCGGCCTAACTTGAGTTTGTTTATTTCCGAAGTTGCATATTATCGGGCACTACTACTTCCGGAAAGCAGTGTCCCCACCTATACTCTTCGACTCTTTCTCGAACCCTAACACCAAGATGTGGTATTTCAAAAATACACTAGTAGTGTTATAGCAAAGTTTCCATACCTAATCGATACAGGTCCGCAGGGAACAACATTACATCGTCCTTGTAAAAGACTGTATACCGAGCTTCGGGGTGGATCTATTCCTGGCTTCAATTCAAATGCAAACCGTTCAAACAGCGAAGGGTGCATCGCGATCGAACAAAGCTGTTTCGTACGACACTGCCCCTGCATTCTTCCTCAAGAACATTATCGATTGTACAGATAGGCTCTCTCTTCTCATTTGATATTAAATTATTTCTAAATATACCTTTTAGGCTGATTTCGAATTATGGTCAATAGGAGATGGCATGTTAGCGCCAGTTGATGTACTGTAGTCACCTGACAATCAAAGCTGCAGGGATGCCCCTCACTCAGCTGAATGACTGGGAACTCCTATGGGCGCAATTCTCATGGTGACAACTACTCTATCCTGTATAGCTATAGCTTACCATCATGAATTCGACTGATTTTCATAGCGAAAACAGTGGAATTCAAATTGGACACAGCCACGCCCCGATCACAGCGGAGTTCTACCAGTGTAAGTTTGATGGCATATTCACGAGGCTGGGCTCAAACTAACGCTATTCATCCAAAAAGCATATACCAGCGACGATATTGATCGAATTTGTCTCCAGCACCTTCATTGCCCAGACTCCCTAGCTGTGAAAAACCGCTTAAAGGAGGCCAAGGATAAATTACTCCGTCAATCGTTCGAGTGGGTTCTCCAGGACCCGCAGTATCGCAGTTGGCGGGATGGGAACGATGTATGTCTACTTTGGATTAAGGGCGGTGCAGGGAAAGGAAAGACGATGATGTCGATTGGCCTGATTGAAGAGCTCTCACGAGAAAGAGATCCCTCTACATTGATCACTTATTTCTTCTGCCAAAACGCTGATAATGATCTGAACAACCTTGAATCGCTTATCAAAGGTTTAATTCTCAGACTGGTCAACCAGCGAGTTGAGCTAAAAGAGTCTTTGCGACGTCGATGGGATCCTAAGAACGATCGTTTTAGTGAGGATGTTACCTTATGGCGAGCTTTGTGGAATATGCTATTAGAGATGTTGGACCTATGTCACGCCTTTAGGATTTATATTATCGTGGATGCTCTTGATGAATGTCAAGATAGCGGTATGGGCGACTTCTTGAAGCTTCTCGTCCGGACTGGACTTGATAGCCCTTTCCGAATAAAGTGGCTCTTAACAAGTCGACCTTTGGAAGCTGCTGAACGGGCATTACTAGCTGGGCATGATCAGCTACAAGTGAGTTTGGAGCTGAACTCACAATACGTCTCTCAATCTGTGCAGAGCTACATCTCATACAAAGTGGATGAGCTTAGTCGTCAAAATAGATATAAAGAGGTGCTTGCAAGACAAGTGAAAGACAACCTCTTTGTGAAGGCCGAGGGTACATTTTTATGGGTGAGCCTAGTATGCAAAACACTTGAGGGTGTCCACCCAGACAGTGTCTTAGTCATGATCCAAGGTCTGCCGCCAGGACTGCATCCTTTCTACGATCGAATATTACATCAACTGAATAACAGCGAGCCACATATTGCACGACAGCATATGCGACTTCTGAAAGCAATGACTCTGGCGTATCGACCTTTGAAAGTGCAAGAAGTTCCGAGCGTGACTGGTCTTACTAGTGAGGACGACATAATTGAGGTATTAGTCGATCGCTGTGCATCTTTCATTAAGATGCAGGGAAATACTATCCAGTTTGTCCACCAGTCAGCCCGAGATTACTTAGCGAGCGATCAAGCGTTATCCATACTTGATTTATATGAGAGCTTTGGGCACTATGATGTTGTCCTAGGTTGTCTAACTCATTTGTCTAAACAACTAAGGGTCAACCTTATAGAGCTGCCGCGGCCTGACTCGACAAGAGAATCCTGGGAATCACAGAAAGATAAAAATCTAAGTGATGAGCTGTCATCCTTAGCTTATGCGGCTATCTTTTGGGTGCAACATCTTCAAAATGTCCAAGCAGGTGATATAGCACGGGGCACACTTATCAGAGAAGGCCCGGTCGGAATGTTTCTTCAGACTAAAATGTTAGAATGGCTAGAATGCCTTAGTCTATTAGATAGACTATCCGGGGCGATTCAATCATTTCAAGAATTACTCAAAGTTTGCCAGGTTAGTATTCAATATTTATAGATTACTTAGTAATTTGTTAACTTGTGAAATTAAAAGGAAATCCCGTCAACCTCAGCACTGTTACAGGACGCTTCCCGTTTTTTGCAGCGACACTACTATACTGTGTCTCATTGGCCGTTACAGCTTTATAGCTCCGCTCTCATCTTCAGTCCTGAGTCAAGCGTTATAAAAGCAGGAAACCGGGACAAAATCCCAGAATTTATACAAAAGGCTCCTATCATAGAGAATGCATGGGCATCTCTTTTACAGACACTAGTAGGCCACTCAGCTTCGGTTCATACTGTGGCCTTTTCACCTGATGGCAAGCAGATTGCATCAGGCTCTGATGATAGGACCATCAAGCTATGGGATACTGCCACAGGTGGTCTTTGCAAGACACTAGAAGGCCACTCAGGCCGGGTTGGTGCTATGGCCATTTCACCTAGTGGCAAGCAGATCGCATCAGGCTCTGCAGATAGGACTATCAAGCTATGGGACACTACCACAGGTGATCTTCAGAAGATACTAGAAGGCCACTCAGGCCCGGTTAGTGCTGTGGCCTTTTCACCTAGTGGCAATCAGATCGCATCAGGCTCTGATGATAGGACTATCAAGCTATGGGATACTATCACAGGTGATCTTCAGAAGACACTAGAAGGCCACTCAGGCCCGGTTAGTGCTGTGGCCTTTTCACCTAGTGGCAAGCAGATCGCATCGGGCTCTGATGATAGGACTATCAAGCTATGGGATACTACCACAGGTGATCTTCAGAAGACACTAGTAGGCCACTCATCTTGGGTTAATACTGTGGCCTTTTCACCTGATAGCAAGCAGATCGTATCAGGCTCTTGGGATAAGACTATCAAGCTATGGGATACTACTACAGGTGCTCTTCAGAAGACACTAGAAGGCCACTCAGGCCCGGTTAGTGCTGTGGCCTTTTCACCTAGTGGCAAGCAGATCGCATCAGGCTCTGCAGATAGCACTATCAAGCTATGGGATACTACCACAGGTGATCTTCAGAAGACACTAGAAGGCCACTCACGCCCGGTTAGTGCTGTGGCCTTTTCACCTAGTGGCAAGCAGATCGCATCAGGCTCTTGGGATAGCACTATCAAGCTATGGGATACTACTACAGGTGATCTTCAGAAGACACTAGAAGGCCACTCAGGCCCGGTTAGTGCTGTGGCCTTTTCACCTAGTGGCAAGCAGATCGCATCAGGCTCTGCAGATAGCACTATCAAGCTATGGGATACTACCACAGGTGATCTTCAGAAGACACTAGAAGGCCACTCAGGCCGGGTTAGTGCTGTAGCCTTTTCACCTGATAGCAAGCAGATCGTATCAGGCTCTTGGGATAAGACTATCAAGCTATGGGATACTACTACAGGTGCTCTTCAGAAGACACTAGAAGGCCACTCAGGCCCGGTTAGTGCTGTGGCCTTTTCACCTGATAGCAAGCAGATCTCATCCGGCCCTCAGAATAAATTTAGTAGGATGTCGGAAGTCGCAAAATTCTTCAAAGACTCAAAATCCCTTGGCCCGCGTTTTGCTACGCGTGTCAAACCGGGATCACATAAAGAAACACAGATGTTAGGACCGGTAGGAGGTTTAACACTCTCGGCAAATGCTCAGTCTTGTATAGTGGATGCACAGGAGTTAAGCGTGCAAGGTCGATGGATATATTATGGAACGGTTGCCTTCCTTCGACTGTCACTAGATACACAACCACGCTGCTACGCTGTACGCGGTGACTGGGTGGCTATTGGATTGTCAGACGGTCAAGTCTGGCGATTTGCCATTGATCGACGAGCTTTACACTCAATGTTGGAACCCTCTCAATTTTGAATCTCAATACCTGAGACTTTCATTCAACCCATTCTTTTCAATGTCAATTTTTTATCTAAATATCGGAAATACTGATTTAGAAAGCGCATAGTTGAATTTAATATATAGTTATCGTCAAGTTTATTTTCTTTTAAAAGGTTCTTCTCTGAAGGGCTTCATTGGTAGTGGTTAGACTAGCCCTGTGCTGACAAAATACAAAAATCGCTTGAAGGTGAGGCCCTAATGAATACATCTCTCTTAATGTATAGCCTCCCAGATTTTCTAGAATCTTTCCTTGTCTCGCTTGGTCCCCTGAAATTCACCTTTCTCGACCACATGATATACATATAACAGCCCCTTTGATGAATAAGTTAGCTGCCTATACTTGATAAAACGAATTATTTACGCGAAGTATTGCCATCAAATATAAAGTTCGCTTGCGAACATGCTCTAGTAATTTGACTATTAGCCGCTACGGTAAATGTACATAAGCCTTTCTTGGTATTAGGGTTCGAGAAACAATCGAAGAGTGGAACTGATGACACCGGTTCCCGGAAGTACTGTATCAATCAACTTTATTATTATTATTCTTCTTCTTCTTGCTTGCCATATGATCTTTCGTAAGTTTATTTCTGGTAGCAGATACTTGCCCGGGCTTTTAGGGATTGAAATGAATGTTTCACATCCTTTGAAAAGCAGCCCCTCCCTAAATTAGGCTTCTCAGCTGCATGACCCCGTGTGCCAAAAAAAAACCTTGTTCATTTCCAGTTTCTATCTCCGAGACTGGGACTGATCATAGTCTATTTCCTTGAAAAGGTAAATATCTGCGACCGAGTGGGGAAAACACAACCATGATGAATCAGATTCGTAAGCTTTTTTGTTAATTCAACAATACGCCGATCATTCTTCCCCGCCATCTGGACAGTAAAGTAAGCTTTAGGCAGCTGGATTATTTTTGGCAGGAATCGTGCTACTAATTTAAATTTATTTCTGATAGTTTGAGGACTTCGGCGTACGGCGACATACGTTTCATGATGACATATCGCAAACAAGATGCATTTAATTGAGTGACATTCGCGAACCACTATTATGGTATTTCAAACGCAATTTTTCGTATGGTTTCCACAAGTAGTCGGAGTACCGCCACGAAGCTTCGCGGTTGTACAATACGTCTCTTGAGCTCACTCAAGATATTCATTGGGCATGTACAGTGGCATTGAATCTTCCCAGATAGTATCCGTGACCAGCTGCTTATTCGTCCCGTCGTAGTTCATCACCATAATCTGGCCGTAAGGCTGGAACGTGTTGTCGAAGAGCGCGCTCTCGTCCTTGAAGCCGTACATGCCGGTGCTCCACATGATGCGCCCGTCCTGCGACCAGACCGCACTAAAGAAAAATAGAGTTAGCACAACCATGGCTGTTTCTTTTCATTCCTTTTTTGTCTCCAGCAGGATTCTGGGTTTGAATCATAAAATAAACAATTCGGAGGTCCACTTACTGCGCGTCGTTGGCGAGACTGTCCGTCACCCGGGTCAGCTCGGACCCATCGGGGCGGATGGTATAAATGTCGAAGCGATCCGCATACCAGCGTGTACCATAGGATGTAGTCCAGTTATTATTACGGGTGAATACAATGCGCTCGCCGTTAGGTGCCCAGCCCGGCGTGTTATCCCAGCCCAAGGTGAGCTGGGTGGTCACGCCAGTAGTAAAATTGAGGATATGCAGACCCTCGGGGGCACCAGTATCCAGGCTCCATTTACGGTATACAATCGCCGATCCGTCAGGGGACCAAGACGGGAATCCAGTGTTCTGGAGGCCGTCGGTCAGGTTGGTGTGGTAAGTCCCGTTAGCAAAGGCGCGGTAGATGGTGGCAGGTGTGCCAGAACGGGTCTCGAACCAGGCACCAAAGCCCACAACGAGTTCAGTCCCATCTGGATTCCAGGACGGTTGGAAAGCACCGGCTCCGCCCTCAGCAAGCAATTCGGCTTCGGTAGCGTTGTCAACCGAGTAGATATCGTACGAGTCGAGTGCAAGGGTCAGGTCTGTGTATAAAGGCGACGAAGTCACCATGGATCCGTTGGCGCTGCCCAGGACCTTCTGTGTCGAACCAATTCGGTTCACAACAGTGTTATGCACCGGAAAAACATCCATGTAACGATACTCCCAGTCGTCATCGTAACTCCAGAGCTTCAGCTCGCCCGCTTGCTGGGCCCAATTGGGGATCTCGTACACGATCTTGGAGCCGTCCGGTGACCACCAGGGATCACGCAGATTGGTGTGGTTGAAAGCCTTATGTGTTGAATCAGGTGCGGTATACTTGATACCTTCGAAGGGCCCAGCCTTCACGAGATAGCCGATGTTACTCGACTTGCCAATGTAGTGTTGGCCAACTTTGGGGTAACTGCCAGAGGTGTGGGCAATCAGGTTCTTGCCTGTCGCGAAATCCACACTGTAGATCTGTGCCGTGACAGCCTGCTGTTGGGAGGACACACCATGGCACCCGTAGGTATTTTCGGTCGTCATGTTGTTGTAGATGATGCGCTTTCCATCCGGCGACCATTGAGGAGTACCCAAAGCGAAGCCGGATTGGCGACTCAGGGTGCGGAAATCGCTGCCATCCGCGCGAATCACATATAGACCCAGAGATTGTGTATGTTCCCATCCCACACCCTCGCTATGTCCAGTCCAGTCGGTCTCGCGATCCGAGCTGAAAACTAGCCACTGGCCGTCGGGGGACCAGGCGGGCCGGAAATGGCCCGTCGGCCAGATGTTGTTGGCGCGTGTAGTTGCGGTGTCGGTGAGGTTATGAGCAAGGCCGGTCTTGAGGTCTTTAACCCAGATATTCGTTGTATAATTGCCCTGTGTCGAAACGTATGCCAGCTTCTTTCCATCCGGTGACAGAACACCGATGTCCTCGACGGAATCGGTGGCAACCAGGGTCTCCAGCCCTGTGCCATCCGGATGAATGCGGTAGAGGTCCGACTGACCAGGTCCTCGTCGTTCACTCGTGAATACAATCCATTGTCCATCGGGCGACCATGAGGCGTGATAGTCGAACGCATTGCTCTGATTTCCCATCAACTTCTGTGCGTTGCTTCCGTCTGCGTTGGCGATCCATAACTGTGAACCCGACGGTCCAATACGGTTCACTGGGTCTGTGTTAGCACTAAGGTCCTAGTTGAGAAGAATACACAATGTTGCTCACTGTAGAAAATGCCCTTCTTTCCCTCAACTGGGCCCCGACGCGACAAGGCCGGTGCATCCTCTGCAGGGGCTACCGCAGGAGCGCGCTTCGAGTAGGGGCACCCCGCTACAGGGTTCTTAGCGCGACCTGCATAAGGACAGCCGACAGCGGCAGAGCCAACTACCAGAGTAGCAATGCCAATAGCTGCAGAAATGCGCATTGTGCTCGCGGGTTGGAGTCACCAGGGACCAAGCTTGTCTGTCAAGAGGACTTCACGATGGGCGTCGCTGCTGTTACAAATCCTCGGCAAGCGGTGGAGGATCAGCCGATATCTTTACGCTCGGGGAAAGGGGATTTTCAAGCGTATTTCAGGGCGAATAACGTATGCAGGGGGATCCGATCTGGAAATCTTCATCTCGGTTGCTGCTTCTCAGTCTCCACCAATACTGTTGTGCCGTGGCAGGCGTGAAACAGCGAACAGGAAAGATCTGCAGCATAAGCAAAAGGCGTTCGCTAATACCTGAACCTGCTCCATCGTCTGCATATTCTGACCGAGCGGAGCCCATCAGATAAACCTAATTCGAATTCCACCGTTGTCGAGTGGGTTGCGCCAAGAAATGCAATCAATCACCAGCAAGGCCAAGGATGAGCCACCGGAGTAATCCTCTTCCTGCAAGACGCTGAGGAAGTCTTTCCAAGCGAGAACAGTAGAAACCGGCACGTCGCATGAAGAAAGTCCACACGTCTCGGTCTTGATTACCTTCTTTTCGCAATTGAGATTGACGATCTCTTTTTATCTCCGGCTTGGCAGGCCCTCGGCGCCCGATGAAGCCTCCGGGCGGAACCTGCCGCGTCTTGGCAGAGCCCGGTTCAACTTGGCTGCCCCTCGATTGCAACGAGAGACTGGGCTTTTGGCAAATGGATTTCTGTTGGGTTTGATTCGATGCGAGAAGGAACATGTGGTCTCGATATGCACCGATCCCGCTGTTCCTGCAGAGTTGTCATGCTGATCCAATCCCCCCATCGCCGGACTTGGGCAGGTAAATATACACCCAAAACACCAAAGGGAGAATTATTTTATGCCACCGGTTCTTAACACATCCTAAGCGTGAAGACGACATTTGTTATGGCCTCGATTAAAGAAAATCTATTTGTCGGTTAATACTGCCCATTGAAATGGAAGTGAATTTTTGCAGATATAAGATATCTATCTATCAGGATTGCATCTGACACCCTAAGCGAGAAGGTGACATTTGCTATGACGCCACTCAATCATCTTCCCTACTTCGCTTAATTATGCCGATAGAGCGGAGATGACTATCTTCAGATATATGCTTATTTATCGGAGTCCGTTAATTAAGATAATGTCTGGAAGACGCAATAGAGAACACTTCGATGACGTGAGCATATTGAACTGGGTCTCATCATTCCTTACAACCTATTATACAAGTAGCAAATGAGAGCTTCCAGCAAATTCTACAACTGTTCAGCTCACGTGTGTTTAAATCGGCGTCACAAAGTTCAGGGTTAGGAAAAGCGGATTTTTCCAAATCTTCTCACCTCCCGCAGCGACGAACTTACTGTTCAGCCTGCCGATAATACTATCGGGAATCTTTACCAAAGATAGGATGTCCCTTGTCATTAAGTTAGTGTCAAACTCGAGGGCTGCCTGGGATTCTTGGTGATTTTACCACCTCATCGGTACCCAAAAAAAATGCGAGCAATCTAATAGCAGGGTTGCTGGTGGGTCCAGCATCACCCTGCATTGGACCTTTCGGCCAGTCCGTCGGAGGATCCATAGTGGAAAGCCACCTCCTTCTTTGATCACATTGTTCAATTGTTGATCCTACTGACCATCCGCCGAAACCGAAACTGAGTTCGATTTTCTAATACCTCAAATTAAGAGGTGAGCTCTTCGAAAGAGAGGGCTTTGCGGAAAGCCTACATTATATTTACAAACCCAACCTCTACAGAGGGGTGACTATGTTTATTCTGTAGGGTAATTGGCTCGAGGGGGAGTTAGTCAAAATTCAAACAGATGATACTGTTCACGTACGTATTGGACTCCTTCGAGGGAATGTTCAGTTGCGCGATTTATGGAACGCTATTGAAAGCCCAGAGACTAGTCTCTTTGGATCCTCACGATGCGAAATCTTGCGTTATACAAAATTACCATAACTGTGATGGCAACTGGACAGCTATCTCGATTTTAAGGTTGAAGCTATTTCGGTTATACGGTCGAAGCCATCTCGGTTATACGCTCGCAGCCGTCTCGGGTTTTAGATTGAAATATGTTGACTCAATGAAGATATTTTCCAAATACGGTAGCCCGAGAACCGTGGCATTTTAGGAAGCGGCACAAATCTTACGGCCAAGCAATATTCCTTTAGGCCAAAAAGGTCCATCGAGATTTCTGTCTAGCAGAGAGTTGAACCCATTTGGTTCACCGCACCATACTTTTGGCTGAACTGTAATGATATGGCTGTCATATATTATGATCAATCATGTGGATCGAGGCGGCCCAGGAAAACGTGCCAACCGGGGTGAACATTGTGATCTAGGGGTAAAGAACCAGCAAACGCCATCAGATGATGATTTCTACACTTTTCTTGCCTCAGAATCTTTCCCGTCTGAGTGGGTGAAGTATCGGCATACCGTTAGTGAATACTCTTTCTGGAGCTAGGTCCCTGGGGCAGCCGATCGCGATCAGTACATTGGGATGACAGTGGACGAATTTAATACAGCAATCCGACTTTATCCTCAGCAAACAAATAGCGTCTTTCATCTTGAACAGAACTGGAACAATTTTAATCTCCTAGGATTAGCTCACAAGTTGGATATCATCCCCCAGCTCAACAGATACATCACTAACTTTACCATTCTCCACAGTTCTGACCTCCAGGTCTTTTGCCACAGCTTTATAAATGAGAAATTCCAGTCGAACATCCGGAGGGGAGAAGCCACAGCGGACCTTGCAATATCTCAAAAGCGAAAGCAGGATATTGGCGGAGCCCTGAAAGCGGGGGAGATAATTGATGTTCTGAGGAAGTGAATGGAGAAGGTCCAAGAGGAGATGAAGCAAAAGAAGTCTCTGAAATCTGGCAAAATTGTAGTTGAACGTTAGCCAATTGGCAATTGCCAGTTGGAAGAGCATCTAAGTCGTTCTCAAGATTTCCAAACATTCCCAATAATACACGACTGGCTCATGGCACCGGATGTTTCGGTGAATCACGAGGCCGCATGTGCCAAGCGTCATGCAGAGACAGGATCATGGTTTGTCAATAATGACCACTTCACTATTTGGATGGAAGCTCCTTGCTCATTCTTGTGGGTCAATGGCTTCGCAGGTTGTGGCAAGTCTGTTCTTTGTTCAACCGCTATTGACCATACAGCCCATCAAAATCAATCCAAAGACCGCGTTGGAATCGCGTATTTCTATTTTGACTTTAATGACGCAGCGAAACAGAATGAGTCCGGCATGCTACGTGCGCTTTTGTTACAAGTGGCTAGTCAGCTTGAAGATAACGCAAAGGATATCCGAAATATGTACGATTTGCATAAAATGGGCACTCCCTCCGTTACGACGCTTCTAAAGTATCTGAAGCGCTCTCTCCGACGGTTTCATTACTGCTATATCTTCTTGGATGCTCTGGATGAATGTCCACGATACCAGGAAAGAGCGGGGACACTGGCGGTCATCAGAGATATGAGAGATTGGCATATTTCCGGCGTCCATCTTTTGGTAACGAGTCGCGACGAATTCGATATACGTGAATCTCTTCACCCCAAGATAAATGAAATAATCACCATGAAAAATAAAGATATTGAGAACGACATATCATGCTTCGTTCGAAGTCAACTAAGAAATAATCAGAGCTTCAGGAGATGGGAAGCGTATCATGACGAAATACAAGATAGATTGACGGAGCGCGCACAGGGGGTGTAAGGCGTTTCAGTCATACAGGGCAGTTGAACGCTTGCTAATGACAACAATATAGCTTTAGGGTTTTTGAACTTCAGCTTAAAGATCTCCAAAAAGCCCGAACTGCAAGGCATTTGAAACACTGTCTAGTGTCTTTGCCTCGTGATCTTGATCAGACATACGAGAGAATATTATGCAGCGTCGACGATATGTATATCGATGATGTGCGGCAAATCATGACTCTACTTTGCTCTTCGAAGCGCCCATTGACACTTTCAGAAACAACTCACGCACATGCGGTTGGCCTTGGTCAGTGGAAGCCCACTGATGCCGGGAACCGAGTCTTGAATATGGATGATCTTTGCGAAATATGTGTGGGATTAATCGAAATCAAATTGAATGAGGATGACCCCGCGATGCATGACCCAACTGTTTACATTTGTCATTCCTCAGTACAGGAATATCTCCAGTCAGATCGTATCTGCCAACAGAAAGCCGCAAGGTTTGCGTTGTGCTCGGAATCTGCACATATGGAGCTCGCACGAATCTGTCTCACTTGCCTGGTCTATGACATGGGCCCTATGGCAGAGTCACAAGATATGACCCAAATGAATTCAAAGCATTTTCCGTTGGATCGATTTGCTGCAGAATACTGGTTCTATCATTACACGAATTCTGGAAGCGAAAACGTACACAACGACGAGCTGGTGCAAAAGCTCTTCAATGACAGTGAGGCTTTCAGCAAATGGGTCAGAACCTACGATTTTGATCATCCCTGGAGAACTTCAACTCACAGCGAGGGTGAAACTGCATCACCCCTGTATTATGCGTCCTTGTTGGGCTTGGTCCAAGTCATTGAGAAGATTCTGAACGTCGGGTATGATGTCAAAGTCCAAGGTGGAGAGCTTGGAAATCCACTACAGGCTGCCTCTTTCAATGGCCATCACGAAGCTGTACAACTATTGATAGAACGAGGTGCCGATGTAAACGCTTCAGGAGGAAGATTTGGGACTGCGCTGCAAGCTGCAGCAGTGAAAGGCCATGATCAAATTGTACGACTTTTGTTGGATCGAGAAGCAGAAACAAACGCACTCAATGGGAGATACGGCAATGCCTTACAAGCTGCATCATGGGCTGGCCACGGTCAGGTGGTACAATTACTGATAGATCGAGGCGCTCAAGTGAATGCTCAAGGTGGAAGGTTCGGAAATTCACTACGAGCAGCATCTCGGGAAGGCCACATGCAGGTGGTACACATACTTTTGAATGAACAAGCGGACGTGAATGCTCAAGGTGACGGATATGGCACTGCACTCTACGTCGCTCTCCAGGAAGGTCATATGAAAGTGGCACGACTGCTTCTCGATCGAGGAGCGTGTGTCGACGTTCAATGCGGCGAATATGGCAACGCCCTACGTGCGGCATCCTGGCAGGGTAAAGCGGATGCGGTACTGTTGCTGCTCGATGGAGGTGCCGATGTTAATCTTGAAGGGGGATACTTCGGCAACGCACTTCAAGCTGCTTCGTGGAGAGGTCATGATAAGATTGTACAAATCTTGTTAGACAGAGGCGCTAACGTCAACGCACAATGCGGAAATTTTGGAAATGCATTGAGAGCTGCGTTATCAGGAGGACACAAATCTGTGGTGGATTTACTCAAAGCTAGAGGCGCTATAATGTCCGATCAGGCTGGAGAAGACACCAGTGAGTTGGCAAACATGTCGGGTGAAAGCCCAATAGGTGTAGCACAACATGAGGACCTCATCAGCGCACTGATAGCAGCATCCTTGGAAGGTCATGAAAAGGTAGTTCAAATGTTGCTGAGCCGTGGAGTTGATGTTAACGCGCAAAGCGGAGAATTGGGGACTGCTCTCCAGGCTTCATCTGTTCAAGGCCATGTCAGGGTGGTGTATTTATTGCTCAATTGTGGTGCTGAGGTGAATACTCAATGTGGAAAATTTGGAAGCGCATTGCAGGCTGCCTTATCAGAGGGACATGAAGAGGTGGTGCAGATACTACTGGATCGAGGAGCCTATCTTATTGACTAAAATCAGGGAATGTTCGATAGATTGTTCTACTCACAGAGGAGCAAGAACAGAACGACCGTGAACATAGTGTAAGAACAATATTTTAATTAGTTTCTCTGTGTCTCTCTACAAACTCAATCATGTCAATGGAAACGACCAATACCGCCTCTCTCTCAGGGTACCATTCCTTTCTGAAGTCGATCAACGCCAGCAATTTTAAAATCCCTCTCCATAACCTGAGAGAGTTGTTTCTCCATATTCAGCGCTTCTCTGCTATGGCCATCATCTTTGCCTACCATCCGGATAGCCAAACCGAGCTTAGAGTCTTGCTGATCAAACGAAACGGCAAAGATAGCTCATGGGGCAGCCCATGAGAGCCGGCAGGAGGTGGTCCAGACGATAAGGGCCGGTCCATACTGGATTCTGCGGCACGTGAAAGCAGAGAGACACAAATCTGGCCGTCAAGATTCGCCGGGATGGCTCACATGTGTGATTTCTACCACACGAACAGAAAGACTGGCAATCTGGTAGCCATGAGATCGGTCGGATTCATCATCAATCACGACGAAGACCCTCTGCTTTTAAGCGTCAGGGGCTCACCCGCTGCAGGTAACCCTCAGGCTGTGCTGAGGTCTAGCCAAGATCTACTCAATGAGCCTGAGCCGGAGCGCCCTTATAAAAATAGCGGTAGCGGAGATAGAAAAGCCCTACCCGCCAGACACAATCCTGTCTATATAGACGCATATTGCTTCTTCAGCTGTACATAGGTCGATCGGGCAATCGCGGCTTGTAGTACAGCCACGGCATGCTCCAGCTCCTTAAGGCGTCGATTCTGGATCATGGTTTTATTGTATACCCAAAATCAAGGTTAAGCGTACTTGTCACGGGGTGAGCTTATTCGTACTCTGGAATCATCAATGTATTGAAGATTAATTTATCACTAGAAGATCATCCAGTTCGAATTCCATTGATAATAGGACTGTACTGCTCCTTTGTGTTTTTAGTGATTTTTTCTATTTATTCCCAAGCACTCTAAGAAAGTCGGAGGAGGGGAAAATGGAAGTAAAATTAGAAAAGACAACAAAATTGGGGGTGTTGCTATACGGACCTCGCGGAACTCCTGGCTGGCAGTGGCCCATCTCTCGATCAGGGCTCGTCGGTGACGCAGCCCACCTGTGGGGGTTGATATGGGCTGGGATTCTTCCTGTAGAAATCAAGATCAATCGTCAATACCAACCTCATCATCGAACAAGGGTGCAGACTTATAGACTACCATACTCGTACGAACAGCAACCACCCCTTGGCCTCATTCGCAAGCTCTTCCGAGTCCAAATCGGTCGGATGCAGGCGGATCTCGGGAATGCCCGTTGGCCATGACGCCTGTTATGGCAGTTCGGACATTCCTTTTTTATATTACTATCTTTGATTTGTAGCTCTTGTGGGATTCGATTGCAAGACTGTAAACGGGAAAGCAGAGCGAGCGAAAACGAGTGAGGCGGGGGAAGAACCCCGCGAGTTCACTGAAAATATCCAAACGAAAGAAATATCGTGGAAAAGTAGAGAGATTTATTACAGTGACATAGGATTGTCCATATATTCAACCCATTTCTCTTATGTGTTTGTGTGTAATATGCTGCAACACTTCGCCATTGGTATTATCACTTGAAAACTCTGTTACACTGCCGAGGGACAATGTCGATATAATAGGATCGGTATCAGCTTGGAAAGCTGGAGTCTAATTAGAACGAGATACTTATTAATACTGTCTAAAACTATCAAGTGGGTGGAGGCGGGGAAATATTAAATATCCCCGATCTCGCTGTCTAGTGTGTTACAGCGCTAGATTCCGAGTACATTTAGGATACTATATAAAATACGTAACAAATTAAGTATCCCTATAATAATCAAATATAGAAAGAGATCTATAGGTCTCGTCTGTATTATCTGGCCTTCCTTCTCGACATTTAATACAAAGCTTGGCCTAGCCAAGCTTCCCGGACATTCGCCGGAGAGACCGACCGGTATCCCTAACCGAACCCTCCGGTCCTAGTTTTTTAAGCGAACTAACCCCATTCAAAGGGGTCTCTTGCCAGAGCCGCACGCCTCGATCCCTTTCCAAGCCCAATCCAGTTAGCTTACTCCGAGCCACGCCCGACCCTAACATTTTTTTCACCAATCAATCCTAAATCCATTCCTGACTAGAGGCCGATTCGGATACAGCGGGCGCAGCGTCAGACTAACCGAGCCAATCAGGATCTGATTACCACTAAGTATAGGGAGCCCATGGGGTTTAGACCGTGGGTAAAATCGATAGTTAAGACCCTTTCAGACTAGCTTTCGGATGTTGTTGCATCCCATAGACTGGACCATTACCACAGTCACTCGTGTGGCGTCGATTTAATTTTGGCCCCTGGCGAAAGGGTCACGGGGAAATAGATAGAATTACTCGTTTGACCGACGATGACCTTCCTACTTTTCCATGAGATTTGGTCGGGAAGAAACCGAAAACTCTCGATCTACGATCTAAGGTATACTAAAGAGTACATCCTGTGTGCTTGGCAGTGGGGCTCTCTTCAAGATGAGACTGGGTGCTTCACACTGGACTATTTCTGTGCTCGTTTCCTCAGTCGCCTACGCAAAGGCTGATTCAACGGTTTACAATGCTTCACTTCCTTTCCGCCCGGCAAATGTAACCGGACTTTATGGTCTTTATGACTGGGTTGGGTCGTATGTCATGATCCACAACTCCTCGTGCGCTCTTCCACATGCTGAACAAGCCACAGTTATTATAACGCCACAGCGAAAGTTGAACTCACCCCCCAGTACGGGTACAACATCAGCACACCCGTCTGCGAAAACTTGCGTGGCACGACCTGGTCATTGGAGTATGACGCTTTACTTGCGGTCGCTGAGCGAGGACCGTTCAATGAGGGTAATAACTCAGTGAATACATACTTGACTCTCTGGCACGCGGGCACGAATTTGTCCTCGGAGACCTGGACCGAAGTACATGATATCTGGGACTCGCCAACGTTGGAATGGTTTTTAGAGTCGTCGCCGTATGTCATTCGGTTTCCGATGCCCCTTCGTTTCTAATGCTGACTCTATAGATGGACCTACCAATCTGACAATGTTACCATGAATGATCTACATGAGGATGCTCCCTACCAAGATGTCTTCAACTGGACCTTGGCGCCGACCAAGCAAGCACCATACAGCTTGACTGGAATTCTTCCCAACACCACTCTGGCGGATACGGACATGGTTGTCAGCATGGATTCGTGTAATTCTTCAATCGAAACCAAGGACTGGCTCGCTTGGATCATCGTAATGCCGTGGGACGAAACAGCCGGATGGAACTGGACCCAGCCCACCGTTGGCTTGCAGTTCGATAGCCGCACTGCAAATTTCACACTCGACGGATATTTTCTGGCCCAGCCATTCATTAAAGAAAACTCCACCTATCAGTACCTTGACGAAGGTAATATCCGCCTGGCATCGGCGAAGGGGCCCGATGTCACCATGGGAAAGATTAGCATCAAATTCGAAGGTGTCATTGATTCCTATCATTCCGATGTCCTGGTTAATAACAGTGCAACTCCCACTTGGTTGAAGTCAGTCGGGTTCGGCAATAACTCGATGAATATTGGGAACGGAAGTACATTGAGCGCTGGGCCCCGTCAGAGCTGGGTCGTTGCGGTCTTTGTGGTGCTTTTCGCATCCATGTTAATGTATATTTAATTACTCCTGTATACGATGATTCATATTTATGCCGTGGATTTCTTATTCATGTTTACAATCGGGCCTAAAATGCAGAGCGCACGCCAAAGACTAAATGGTATAAATGGTATATATAACAATGTTGAGTATTTTGAACCCATGAATCAATATCTAGAATAGCAGAGGAAGTCAGTGACTAGGAAATAAAAGGAGTAGGCGGAAAAATCTATACTTACGAGAAATTCTCGCTATGCAGCCACAATTCTCGGGCACCGCCCTGTGACTTGGAAATTATTTTACTTTGGGCGATGGACGCTGCTTCGCGGACATCATGGGTCATCGAAGAAGGGCCGCAGACAACAACTCCGACTGACACTCCGGCTTCATTCGTTGTCTCTTGAACGGCAGCGGGGAGATCTGCCCTACCAGTGAAGCACTGGATGTTAAACAGCCCCGTCACCGACGTACTGCATTCTTTCGAGCGAATGCTCTCTGCTTTGCCCTCGATATTAATTCTTTCGGCATCAGATTCTTGCTCGCCCCTTTCAGCGCAAGTTTCATGGATGTGAACTGATAGTCCTGAGATGGGCTTTTCTTGACTTTGTCTTACCGCCATCGCCTCCAGTGCTTGGACGTACCATGCACGCATGCCCGGGTCGCGGGTGGAAACGATGACCCTCAATTTTTGCATCTGGCTGCTGCCAGTGTGACGGATGTAATCTTCGATGAAGGACAAGGTCAGACCCGCACCAGCGCCACCCCCGATGATGAGACCTTTGTCAAACTGCCCCATACGTCCATCGGGGGTACCACCATATGGGCCATCCATCAAGACCGGGACTTGGACATCGGGGTTCTTTTTCGCCAAGTTCATGAGACGGCCTGTGAGGCCGCCTCGCGGCTTGACGTAGAAGACCAGCTGGCTGTTGTGTCCATTCTGTGGAACCGAGCAGATCGTAAACGGATGCGCGGTGAGCGAGTGCATGCCACCGGTCAAGAATCGAAGGAAGATGTGTTGGCCTGGTGCCCACTTCATCTGCGTGTCGATGGTAATCCGAAGGGTTTGGTCCGACTCGGGCACTAAACGGGCCTTGTGCCGGACACCATGTTCAAAGTATGTCTTGCATTGCGAATAGAGCCAGCAGAGGGTGTAGATGACTGCGGTGGCGATGAAGTAATCCCAGGATGACATGCGGAAGTCGCAGTGGAAGAAAAAGAAGATGACAAAGACCATCGCCATGAAGAAGTGAGTGGCTTTGAAAAACTCATAATACCGGTTTCTAGAAAAGTCACGAAGACAATGTCAACAAATGGATACACTGTATAAACATAGAATGCCCAAGGGAGGATGTCATACCGAATCCATGGTACGGACATGAAAGTGAGCCATGCCTGGGCGATAAGCGCGACTACTCCAGTGACCCAAACACCACCAGAGCTCCATTGCTCGACAATATCGCCCTTCCAGATATGGAAGACGATGAAGGGGAAGGTATGGATCAAAGCCAAGACGAACATGGCCCAGGCTACCCAGTTGTGCCAGACATTAAGCTTCTCATGGGAGATTCCCGTCACTGCCGTGATCGGGTTTGCTTTAGCACCGAGGATACTGTAGTCATGTAAGAATGCCTGTCAGTGCGGTGGGAGAGCAAAGAATGTATGGTACCTACATCAGGAATGGCAGACACGCCAGCGCCATGAACCCTGTGCGGGTGGCAATGGGAGGTGAGTTCCCGTAGCTGATTTCCTTGGTATTAGGCCAATAATATGGATGGGGACCAAGGGTCATAGCTGGTGCAAAAGTGTATCTGTCAGCGAACATCTCGCCTTTTTCATCTCCGAGCTTCCGTTCTGAAAGCTTGGGTCTTGATCGACCGATTTCACGTACCCAAAAAGAAGACCAGTCCAGCAGCCCCCAGCAAGAAGATACCGAGCGACTGCGTGTTCCAACCCGCGATTCGCCATTCTTTGTAAGATAGAAAGCGGAATCCAGCCACAATCCGCGACGAGATGGGACTTTTCTTGACTGTTCGAGGGAAAAGCCCGCCCAGAACATGGGGAATAGCGAAGAGGATAATGGCTACCATAAAGAAGGCCACCGTGGGCAGTGCATAGCGGTGGTCTGCCTCATACCAGTACACCCAATACCGACTCTTAAAGGCACACTGCTCGGGGGTCATCGTACACTCCCCCGGGTCGCGATTCGAGTGCAGCATGACCGGCTGGTCCAGCCACGGAAGCATACTCATCATGCCCTCCATGGTTGCGGGTTTCAAGTGCTGTCAACCTCGCTGCGATTGCTCACAGAAGAATATCTGAGTCGGAGAAGCGTTGACCACCGAGATGGGTAGCATTATTAATACCAAGGCGCTTCGGCTGTCCCTTTCTCGCCGACCATCTGTCACGCCTGGACTTGACGGATCCGCCGGGTCCACTTTTTTGTTTTAACGCTGGGCCAACGCATGAGTCAAAACTGCATCAAATCTGCTCAATCTGCTCATACGAGCGCGACCGGGGTTCCTGCAGAAACGCTCGAGCCCAAGAAGGCGCACTGGACTATGCGAAATGGAAATTGGGGGACGGAAAGAATAGCGCGGCGTCATATCGCGGGTTCGAGGTTTCCTGGCGGGTTCGGCTGTTGCGCTTGCGCTTTTCTTGGTCCATTTCTTGAATTTGGTGGTTTTCGATGCCGGAAAACATTGAACCCATTGAAGTTATTGAAAGTATTGAAACCATTGCAACATGGACAATGATATCATGTGATTCGCAGCATCTCTACATCCCGACTCGCAACTGTCGTCGCCCACGTTCAACAGTCTACGAACTTGACGCACCGTCCACGACCCAATCTACAGCCGCCAAGAGATCTCAACATTAGATATGAGCACATTTGCGGGTGTTTCGCCTGGTTGCAACCATTTCGGGTTAATTCAGGTGGAGTGTTCCGTGTGGGTTTGCTGGCGAACGCCAATCAGCAGCCGGAGCGGGCTGGTTTGATCCCACGCGACGCGGAAAAGGTGGAAAAAGATGGAAACCCCCCACGAGCCCAACACGCGGTCGGGGCCGCTTTTTATGCGCTCATTGAAGGATCCACAGCGCGTCCAGCAAAAACGGCGAATGGGTCGATGTTGGTGATGCCAGGCTATGCCTCCCCTTTGGAGGAGGAGCTGTGGGGTTCGTCGGGGCTCGGGAATAAAATCACCAAATCGCCCATGCTGTCGACTTTTCGCGTCGTGATCGACTTGATATAACTATCACTCGGACATCAACCCAGCCACGCGCGCTCCTCAGATCATTTCTTTTTGCTTCGGGTCTTGTGCAGCCACCAAACTGCCACCGTTGTTGCTTCTTCCGATCTATCCGAGTCTCTCACAGGAACTGACGCCCAAAATGATGGACATGTCGGATATGACGACGTCCACGGCCTCGGCGACCATGTCCATGGCCTCATCAACGTCTACCAGCTCGTCAATGGATATGAGCTCGTCCTCGATGTCAATGTCGATGGCCGACATGTCAATGACCTTTTTCACCTCTTTCAAGACGTCTCTCTTCGCAGCGGACTGGACACCGTCATCCAAAGGTCAATACGCCGGCACCTGTATCTTTCTCATCGTCTTGGCTGTCATCCTGCGCGTTCTTTTGGCGCTGCGGCCCATCCTTGAAGGCCGCTTATGGACCGACAGTGTGCGGCATGGTATGCTTGACGACCATCTACCGGACGAAAGCCATCAGACCAAGTATATGTCCGGATTCCAACTGAGTATGCAAGAGTTGGGGAGCCGCTGGTCCAGATGGCGTGTCAACCCGGCTGCGGGTCGTGCGACCTTTGAACTCGTCGTTGCAGGCATCGCATATTTGCTGTAAGTTTTCATCCGTCTCTCAAGTTGCGAGTGTTTTTCTCGCCGACGAGTTCTCATGCTCACGATCTGTACAGCATGCTCGCGGTGATGACCATGAATGTTGGATATTTCATGTCTGTGCTCGGGGGGATTTGGCTCGGAACGTTCATCATGGGCGGCGTTGCGTCGGAGAGCTCGATGTTGCATTGTTAAAAAGCATTTGTTTTCCCACCCTCGCTGAATAGCGGCTGCATAATAAGATAGCGACGATACCAATGGTTAAATCATACGAGACAAACATCATATCCATGCTCCCCTTCCAAACTGAATCAAACAGGTGCAAAGTCGTATTGTCCAATCTGGGGTCTTTATTTAGGGTGTGCAAACACGCCACGAGCCCATTATCTGTGCGTGCCGTCGCTGTGAGTTGGGGGCCGGCGTGTCAATTGGTCGAGTCTCGCCTGTTGCGCTCCTTTCAAACAATCTAAACACTCCAAACAGCCCTCATCGGAGATAACAAGTGACAGCCTTATGAACATACTGCAAACATTGCTGCCTCTCTATTTGCCCGTGTAATAGTGTGTGATTGTTCATACGAGAGTATAAAACCAAAGACAAGACCCCCAGCTCTCTCGACTCAATACAATCCATTCAACCTGCAAAATACCAACCCTACTTCAGTCACCAGAATAACGCAATATTTATATATCTATAGACCTCAACCATGACATTCAATCGCATCGCTGTATATGCCCATCGGGGCTGGGCCAGCTCGGCCATTGCGGGCGCCCTCGCTCAGTCAGGCGCACCCGTCAAGATTCTTTATCGTCCTGGCTCAAATACCAATGGTCTTCCTGGTACTTTTACAGCGGTGGAAGTCAACTTGGAAGATCAACAGACTCTCATAGCTGCGCTGATTGATATCGATATCGTTATGTACGTCCGTTTGAGGGATTAATAGCACTTGGGTAGGTTTCTAAAGACTAGGCAACTAATATATATCTTATCTCGCTTCAGCTCTCTCGTCGGTCGAGAGGACATCGAAAAACAACATGCCCTAATCAAGGCCATTCCTCACACCAATGTCAAGCTATTTGTTCCCTCCGATCTTGCATTCCGCTGCGACGAGATGAGCTCTTTAGTACACGTCAATCGTGTGAAAGATGAAGTGGAACGCGCAGCTCGAGAAGCCGGCATTCCGACCACGGTGATCTTGCCAGGCTGTTTTGCCGAATCGGGCTTGAATACTGGGTAGGTTTTTGATTTATCATAGCACGAGACTATCAACTAAATCTGGCTATTCTAGTCTGCTCGGGGTGGATGTTGCTGGCAATAGGATCATCTTCAGTGGAAACAGCGAGAATCAGAAATCGACGTTTTGGTGAGTTGTTTGACCCCGGAATCGGCATGGAATAGCAATTTCCTTTCATCAAGGTGCTCCTTTTTGTCTTCCATACTTACTGGGCTGGCTCAGCACACGAGAATATGTTGCCGCTGGATACGCATCGATTTTTGCGACAACTCCCATAGCAGCGCTCCAGGACAAGCCGGCGATCGGACTCGCCGAAGTCCAGGCCACAGGTGCCGAGGTCGCTAGTGCCCTCGAAAAGAAACACGGCTCCCCTCCTCAAATCTATCGACATAGCTTAGAGGAAGTCGAGGGCCAGGTGAAACGGTCCTTTGAGGAAGGTCTCCCGCTTGGCCTAGCTTGGTACTGTCGCCGGGCTTGGGGAATTGGTCAGTTGGCCACTGGCCTAGGAGAAGTATATGAAATTCCAGGATATCAGAAAAAGACTTTAAATGATCTTATTGTGAAGGGCTTACTCGCGCCTTACCGTGACTTTGGGCCTGAAGTGCGTGCGATAGTGAATAAAACCTTCTATTGAGGGGCTTCCGTTATTTGTACATATTTTACAGCATAGGAATAGTAGATTCATATTGAGCAGACCATAAAACCGAAATATTGAGTAATGCCATACTCAAGATCTCCTTCGTACGCACATGTCTTAAACAAATTCCCTAGTCAATCTTAATCCGCCGTGCTCATTCATTCTGATATGCACTCATGACAAAGGATATACCAAGACCAATCTCTAGCATCAATGCTTGCCTTATACTCGCTATCCATTGAGCCAAACTCTGGAAATAATTGGCCCCTCTACCTTGAGATCCCAACGCAACCCTAATTGTCTAATAGATACACACGGCCTTCATACGGCTGTAGTACATCTAGCGGCTCATCGTCGCAGCTTTTCAAAAGAGCCTGGAGCGGCGCATTCCCAAGCTGCCTCTCCAAATGAACGGACTGGTTCTCTGCCGTGAAATTGAGCGCAACCACAAGTTTCTGAGCCTCCGAGGTTTTTACAAAGACAAATACCTCGTCATTCGAGAGATCTGTGTCGCTGAATACACCCTGCGCAAAAACGCTCGGATTCGCACTGCGCACTCGCAACAGGTCCCGCCAGAAAGACAGCACTGATTTCGGGTCCAGGTTCTGCCGTTCCACATTTACGACAGGATAGTTGTCGTGCACTCGCATCCAGGGCTTCGCTGTGCTACTGGTGAACCCTGCATTGTGCGTGCCATCCCACTGCATCGGGAGCCGGCTGTGGTCGCGGGCTAGATGTTGCAGAGACCGTACAGCTGCCGCCAGCGCAGTCGGGTCATTTCCGGACCGTTCCTTCACAAACGTGTAATAGTTGATGCTGTCGACGTCCTTGTATTCGCTGATGTCCCAGTCAATGGGGGCATTGACCATGCCGATTTCTTGGCCCTCATAGAGGTACAGAGTTCCAGATAGACTGGCGACGAGCATGGCGAGCATCTTGGCACTGCGGGCCCATAGTTCCGGGCTTGCCTCGCTGCCCCAGCGTGAGATACTCCGCGCCTGATCGTGATTCTCGAGAAAGGCCGTGCTCCACCCGTCTGTTGTCCCATCCATGAGCAGCTGCGTGCGCTGGACCCGTGCGCGGAGGTCGGAGACGGCCCAGCTGCGCGGAACGGTATCGAATCGCAAGTTGGATCCAAAGCCGAGGTCGACGATGTCAAACTGGAAGACCATGCTCAGCAGCTGCTCTTGCGCAGACACGTACTTGAGCACGTCAGTGATGTCAGGGGTCCCTGGGAGTTCGCCGACGGTGACCGCATTGTACTTCTGCAGGATCTGGCCCATCTCGCGGAGGAACTCATGGATGCGCGGGCCGTTGCAAAACAGCGAGGCTGCAGGCTGCCACTCACTGCTTGGGTCGACCACGACTGCATCGCGAAAGGACTGGTGCTTGCTATACATGTTGACGGTATCAACACGGAACCCATCAATGCCTTTGCGCAGCCAGAACTCCATGGCGGACTCATATAGCGCTGCGCGGGTGTCCGGGTTCTCCCAGTTCACATCGGGCTGTTGCACGGCAAACAGATGCAAATAATACTCCTGAGTCGCTTCGTCCCATTCCCACGCACTGCCACCAAATATGCTGCGCCAGTTGTTCGGCGGGCATCGAGTCCCATCTGCATCGTACCGTGCCGGACGCCAGATGTACCAATCGCGTTTGGGGCTGTTCTTGGACTCCCGCGACTCTTGGAACCAGGGATGCTGATGGGATGTGTGGTTGATGACCAAGTCGAGCAAGATCTTCATTCCTCGCTCATGACAGCCTGCAATCAGGGTCTCGACATCAGCGACAGTCCCGTAGGGCGCATATACTTCTTCATAGTTGGCCACGTCATATCCCATATCGTATTGGGGACTGTCGTACATGGGGCATATCCAAATAGCATCGACTCCCAGGGACTGGATGTAGTCCAGCTGGCTAATGATTCCGGGGATATCGCCGATACCATCCCCATTGGAGTCTTTGAAGCTGGCGGGGTAGATCTGGTAGATGGTGGCGTTCTTCCACCAGGGGGCGGCGGCGCCATTCTCTATAGCTCGGGTCTCAAGCTAAACAGGACAGTCCTCGTATAGAAACAGAACAAATAACGAATCCCCTATTAGCATTTTCTCTTCCTTTTTATCTTGCACACCCTCTCCACCACCCATATGTCAATTGGCTTTTCGTCGGTCCGACACTTGTTTACCCCGCCGGCCCCCACCCGATCTGTGCTACATCAACTTGCAAGAGTTGATTGGCATAAGACTGGGTCGCGATACGACTGAATTCTCCGATCTGGCGACATTGACTTAACGACAACACGGTTTACCACTCGCTGGGGAGTTCCCATTGGCCAGGGACTTAGGCCAGCCTAATGGAAAATCGGACAAGAGTTTATTGAGAAGACTAGTCGTCTCGAGGTGGATTATATGTGGAGAAGAAGCCTTTTTTAATATGATCAGGGTTCACATCAGGAGTAGGGCGATAATTTAATATTTATAGACATCTAGAATCATTACAGATCCACGTGTCTGTTCAATACGTATTTCCAGCTACATAACCTCCAACAGAACTAGCATATTCTACTTTACGGTTTCTTCTTAGGGAAAGAATTTATATTGCATACTGCATTCCAAATCTGAAAGAATGGAGGATGTAGGTGCGTATTGTTGGAGAAGGGAAAGGGAAAGCGGAGGTGGTACACGAGGATACCCCAGTGGGCAGAACCCGAGGTTAAAAGAAAGTGCAAAGCATGATAAGAAACAGAAATGAACCAAAAAACTCGGTCAGGCTTCAAAACCAGCGCCAAAGGAAAGCGTCTTATAGGATAGATCGTAAGTCATGACTGTCAATTGATGGAAGACAGCAGTAGATGAGAAGAGATATGTATGGGGAGAGGGGAGGATGAATCACAAGCCAGAAGCGGATAGGAAAAACACGTGAGGGAATCAGTCATAATGGTAGCTCGTTAGTCATATAAAGGTGCTCGCCGCGCTGGCGAGGGCATGTCATATATATCCTCGTTTAGCGTGGTAGGAATGTATCGTTTCGGAACAGGGCCCCTTACGGGGCTTGTCCACCGTGCACCTCGTGGGTGGAGACCTGCACTGCTAAAGGAACGAGGTCGTTCAGAGCTGTTTTCACTTTCTGGGCGGCTGCCAGCTGGACTTCCCCCGCTGAAGCTGCCCCTACGGATATCGTCGCCGGCATAGCGGTCCATATGAAGCCAATGCCGGTGCGCTGAACGAGGCGGCGGAACAGATGTGTACTGCGGAGGGTCGGGGGCTGGTGCAGGAACTGGGCCATCGAAGATGAACTCACGGAATTGAACGTCATCATGTCGAGACCGAGAGCGACCCTCCCCTTCACGTCGGGAATTGGTTGCCTTGGACGATCGAGGCTCGTGGCTGTTACTAACGTGAGCTCTTCTGGGAGCTGCTGGGGACAGATCTCGTGCTGGTTTGCGAGTGTATGCGTCGTGAGAATGACGACGCGCACGAGAGTTGGGTGGTGGTGACAGGTTGTGGGCGCGTGTCCGATATTTCGATTTCGATTCATGGTGACCATCCCGAGGCGAGTGGTCGGATGCCTCCAAGTCTGGCATATCTTCCAAGTCTGGGTTCAGCGGGCGGCTGAACCCACCTGCCCGATCTCGACCTCTCGAGCGGGGTGGCAGATCGGGTCGCGGGGACTGTGTTCGCGGAGATGTCACTCCTGATCGGCCACCATCTGGTCGTGCGAAGTATGCCGACTCGGGTCTTCGTCTACTGGACATGTGATTTTCTGTGCTCGGGCGGCGGCGATGACTGCGATGTCGACTCGGCCGATCTGAATCATAGTTTTCATGGCGCCTTGATCCAGCATGACGCGAGGGATTCGAGAAATAGTCTTCCTCGTCAGGCAGCGGATCTTTTCCACTGAAGTGATAGTGGTAACTGCCGGCACTGGGTGGAGACGAGCGCTGTACATTCCTCTTGACGTAGTCATGTTCAAGCCGCCGACTCACTCCTTCATGCCACTGCAACATCTCCGGATCTGGCTCAGAGGGAAAGGCATCGCGGGGAATATCTTTGGGGAAAATATCGCCCTTTGCATCAACGATATCCCACTGACTGACGGCATTCTGGAGGTAGCGCCAGTGCTCGTCCGGGTCCATCAACAACTGAATGGTCTGCCATCGTACAAACCCATTCGGACACAGCGAGGGGATCGAAGGAGGCTCGTAGGGGTTCTTCGACGGCTGTAGACTGTGAAAACATCCGAGCGATTGGTAGATGAACGAGAGCGACTGGCATTTCGTGTCTAGAAAAAGTGGGTCATAGTTCCCGCCGACTTTCTTGTAGAAGGCCGCGAGCCGGTCCGGGGTGAGATCTGTCGTCGGATTGGAGTCAAACGACGGCTAAGACACAGGGTTAGAGCTCCGATCATCACTCAGTGTTTGCCCTTGGGCTCACATCTCAGACTCACCATCAGCTGCGCCGCAATCCCGAGACAGAGCTGCTCCAAAAGCGGCGCTGGGCTCTTGTCCGGGTTGATGAGTGACCCCCAGTGGGATGCCGTGGAAGGCATGGCAGGGCTGGGGCTGGCACGATCGGCTTCAGAGCATGTAGATGTAGAATCGAGGTTTGGATCATCGCCAGGACCAGAATAAAGGCACAGCGCTCGAGGATCATCCCCAGGCAGCGAGGGGCGGTCAGGCACACACATGGACCCACTGCGGGGAGGGCGCGAACAATCCACGGTACCCGGATGGAGCAAGAGGGGAACAGTATAAAATGACTCAAGAAACTGACAGATGCCAGCTGCCAGAATCAGCAGAGGGCACTGGTTGGATCAGTTCTCCCTTTACAGCAGCGTGGATCAGGTTGAAGCAGTGACGACGGAGATGATGTTCAGGTGAGACCCACAGGTGGCCAAAGACGCCAGTTGGCGCGGTCATCGCCAGCCCAAAGGGGCCTGACGGCTCACCTGCTGTCATCATACGAGGGACCGGCAGGGCCTACACTTAACTGTCCGCTTCTGGACACTATGGTCGATCTGCAATACGACCGTGGCAGGAAAGGCTGACGACTCTGCTGACTATGACTATTCGTGGACGAGGGGACCTCTCCGAGCACCGGATGGCCACTCGCTTGAGGTTGAGTCACTTCTCAACTGCGCTTAAAATATTTGCTGTGGCACAGTCGGGTCTGATAGGATCTTATGCCATTATATAGGGCCCGCCCTTAATATCATGCTCCTCGCTATCGACATGCATCATGCACTCTGATCGATGCCTGCAACCTGCCTCGAGCCAGTAGTTTCCTTTGATTTGTTGCTCAGGTTCCATTTTCAACCGACTCATGCCGTCCACAGCGAGAAGCTCGGCCAAGAATACACCGCGTCAGCCACATTGATCGGTATCCCCGAAGGATCCAGCGGCCCAAAGTCCAGGTCGGGCTGCGCAAGAAATTCTTCCATGCTTTCATCCAAGAAGATCATCTCGTTATTTATATTGCTGGGCAGGCTAGTTTCCGGAAGACCGGTACCGGTTGGGAGACCCAGGTCGCTGAGGCCCCTCTCGGGCTGATCGGGAAGCAAACCTAGATTCGGCGTGGGATGAGGCTGTTCGGAGGTGCGACTGGGCACCGCTGGCAATGATTGATGGGTAGCCAAGCCTTGTTTCTGGTGTATACATTGTCGCACACATTCAAGATTGTCGTAGAACTCGGCTGCCGCCAAGTTTCCGTGGTCGCTCATAGCGTGGAGGATTTCGAGGGACGTCTCAAACAGCTCGTAGTCGCTATAGTTATCGGGATGGATTTGGCTAGAGATTACCATGACCAGGGCCGTAGAGAACAGATAGTGGGCATAGAAGTACCCAAAGATCGGTAAGGATCCATTGATCCATTCGTCCACAGTCAGTGAGTGGTTGTGCCTTGCAGCATGAATGCATGCATCACTGAGCGTCTTAAGTGTCTGCGCATGGCTCTGCGAGGTATGATCCTCACCGGCTGCCGAGGAATCGCGCGATTGAATGAGGCTATACAAAAGAATCGGTCGCGTCGCCAAAATGATACACTGCAGCGAAAAAGCCCCCCACCTTCGTCAGTCGTGTCCCACGTGGCTAATGTTTGCTTGTTCACTATGAACTCGAGGGCTTACCTGGTTAAATTGAAGATGCAGCGAAATCACATTCTTGGGAATCGGCCCGTCGCGATTCAGCCTAAGGTGCAGAGGTAATGCCTGCGCCCATTGCTTGAGCGACATCAGCAGCTTCTGTTCTCTTTGTAGAAATGAATCAGGCTGTTTCTTACGGCTGTAAACCTTCTCAATCACTTGACCAGTGATCTGCGCTAATTGGATACTGGCAGTTAGGAACTTTGTATCGGAAAACTGCTCGTCATGTATGTCGCCGGGGACATCGGACGGCATCTCCACGTTAATATCGTCATCGGCGATCTGGATAGGCCAACCTGCTTTAGACCCATACATGCGATCGAAGACATAAATCGCCCACCATAAGCGGATCCGATGCTGACGATCGACGGGGTTGGGGCACTGGCATTCGGGGATATCGTAGTTCAACCCCAGGGTCAATCCCAGTCGCATGGCGCTTCCCACCAGTAGAAATGCGGAGTGTCGACGATTTAGGAAATACGAGTAAAGAGACTAGAGGTGTAAGCCTAGCCCTGGTTAAATGCCCCCGATTTTGGAGTGAAAATAGACACATACCAATAAAAGGATGGATTCGATGTGGGTCAGACTCGGGCGCTCGGGCAAGATGGGAATCAGCGTCATCGCGTTCACATAGTACGCCGCGCCAGGAACACCGCAATCAAGAGTCGAATTCGATCGAGCGGAGTAGACCTCCCCAAGAGCAAACAGAGAAAAGAACTTGCACGTCATAACTGGATCGTCGAAGCCCTCTGTACGATATGCCTCATCCAGCTCCTCAAGGGTAGACTTGCGGAGGACCAGGTGATAGACTCGACTGACCTGGTTGAAGACAATTTGGGTTAATAGTCGGGCCTGTGCATGAGTTGGCCATTCAATTGCGGGATTGCGAATTTTCATCAGAGTCGCCTCGGATGTATATTGGGTACGAGCCATATGCGAGGTTGTTTTGTCCTTAGTCAAAACCTGGCGCAGTCGTGTGGCAAAGGCCGTGCACGCTGCTTCAGCAACATAAATCGGTGGAGCAGATGGATCATATGGTTGGAACCATGCCCGTTCTCCAAGCATTGGATTTTGAACCTGCGTCGTTGCATCAGGGAGGTGCGCTGTGTGTGTTTGACCTAATTAGAAGTTGAGTAAGTCACGGATTACCTTGAGTTGCGGACAATAGACTAACCTTGGACATTTATAGTATCACTGGGGGTGACAGACACTGGAGAATGCGATATCTGTTCCCGCAAGCGCTCATTCTCCGCAGCCAATTGGTCAATATAGCTGATTCGGATTAGCAGCGGTCTCAAGCATGACCTGACCACTGGGCCCTCTTACCTTTCATGCACCTTGATTTGTCGATCCCGATTGACATAAGTGCACTCGGTAGCACACCCTGCAGTCCGGCATTTAGTACAAGGCTGTCCTCCGGAGCACTTGATCTTGTGGGTATGACATCGACGGCATCTGAGGATTTGGCATGAGTGAGAAGACTAAGTGTGGGCCCAGCTGGGGTGCTTACGCAATGGACTTCTTCTTCTGCCGTTTAATTACCACATCTGTCTTTGCTTTCGAGGAGGATCTCATGTTGCCGAAACGAGTTTAAAACACTTGAGATACCGGGATTGGGAGAAATTCTCGGAAAAGCTGGCGTTGCTACCGCGCGATGATGAAAACCGGCAGGCCAGCTCGGCGAAGTTTAATCTTGCCGAGTGGCAAACCGTCCGGATTCGGCTATATGAAATTCTGAACCGGAGCCAAAAAAATAATAATATCAGGTGTCTACCCCATACTTTATCATTTAAATTCTAGTTGGTGATGATTTCATTCAATTGAGCGACTAATATACTTCTCGCTTTGTCCCTTCATCCCAGACATCCCCCAGGCATTCCCAGAAACCCCGACGAAAGGAACGAAAACGATAGTATACCTCCTCCCTCATACCTGGAAAGCGCCACAAAAAATCACCGGTCAGTAGAGAAAAGAGAATACATCTCGCAGTTATATGCAGCACGCGACGACATCCTAAATAGAATGGTCAAATGATTCCTTCGACCTGATTCTTGGCTCAGGGAAGACCCCTCAGTCCAGACTTGTTGTTCGAGATCATCATTCGCCCCATTGGATTAGTGGCGGTATAGTATTTTAAGCGTAAAGCTGGACCAGAGCAACGATATTGCCCAGAGTAAGTCGCTAGTGGGAGGACAGCCCAGGCGTCGAACCAATAGTCTCCGAAGACACCAAAAAGTGAAAAATCTCCTCGTAGAACCGATATCCTTACTTGGAAGGTATGATACCAAGTAATCCCATTTGCGGTTAATGCCATTACAGGAGCCCCAAAGTACGGGTACGTGTTGAAATCAAGCATCAAAGCAGCGGCGTCATCTAGGAACAACTCAAGGTAGTTGGATCCGGTGTCATCAAGAACATTGGTAATGTTGATTTCAGGATCTCCAACATTCCACCCTTTGAGCTTAACTCTGAGATTGTACTGGAAAATATCAGTTGCCCAGATCATGAAAGGTGGGAGACTAAAGAGTTACATACTGAATGATGATGAAGAGGCCCAATGGGTCCTAGGCTTGTGACTTGAGACATTTGAGGCTCCGGAATTACCTTTTCTAAGTCAGCATACCAAGAGCTAGATGTTCATCTACCGAAGATACACACATCCTCTACCCATGGCAGCCCCGGCCCATACTTCTCTCGCCACTCTGGCATGTCGCTTGGAAGGCTATCTCTATTCCAGTCTTTGCGCTTCATCGGACCCTTCACCAGATTCCCAGCCCACCACACTGATATCATGTCCTTTGAAACCTCCAAGCCCCCATTGCGATATGCAGCTAGAACTGCATCGATGTTCACCTTGACCGACTCGTGTATTTCATCTTGGCCATACAGCCCGAGGTTGTTACGACCGCCCTTGAACTGATACTTCAGAGCCATGATTCTCCAAAGAACATCGGGAGAGAGGCTTGGATCCTCGTCGGGGTCGAATCTATCTTGATAGTCAACCAACGTTCTGTAGGATTGTTGATGCTGCGGGTGACTTACGGACGTCCCGGGGGTGTGATTCTTTCGAAAGTCTCGAGAAACTTGGTAACCAGTTCTATATTATCCCCTTTTTCGAGCTGAGATTGGAACTTTGCAGCGGTTCTATTCCTGTGCCTATTCCCCGAATTAGTTGAGAGACGTCAAGCTGAGCAATGACAGCCTTACTGCTCAAAATCGAGGATGAATAAGACTTGCTCCACTTGGCCTTTGCCGTATCTCTCCAACATTTGGTCGACTGTCATCCGCTGGCTGGAAGTTCCTGCCATTATGACTCAGTCAAGGATGATGTTTTTTTCTCAGTTGTTAAGATAGTTTAATTGAAGGGTTGAAGATTGAAGCGTCAAGGAGAAAGTGGCGAAACCAATCCAAAGGAAGAGAATTGTACAGAACTCAATCTTATATGAGCAAGGGGCGACAGAAAGACAGAGGGACTAGACAAAGAAAATCGATGGCAATACTAGCGAAAACGGGTTCTCAACATGGTTTCTTTGTAGTGATAACTATTTATTGCCCTAACTGGACCATAGGAAAGATTAATTACCCCTGTCTGAAAGACTTCTAAATATTATGATACCTTTGTTATCCACCCGCACAAACAGCCGAGGCAAACTAGAGCACCACATTACCTATCATTCACAAAAGTTGAATTATCAAAAACAGCGTGGAAATTACGACGAGGATGTCTAAAAACTAAAAGCTACTGATAAGTCAGCTCATGCTGGTGGGGCTGTTCTGTGTGATTTAGTAGTCAATGGGAGAACGAGGGGCCGGGAACATGTCTTTCGCCGGCAACGCCTGACCCAACCATTATTCAAATCAAAGGATACAACATACTATGAGAATATAAACAAAAATAAAAAAGATATATATATATATACATAACACAAAAGGTGGCAGTGTGAGGTTTTCTGATCGATCACTTGGAAGGTTGATCTGCTATTTCCATTACATGTGATGTGATCGAGGTCATATCCAGTACAAACCACCACGACCAATCAGAACCGACAAGATCAGCATTACCTTCCAAGGTAAGAATAATTTAATACTGAACTGAATTAAGTGATAGGGACACGGTGGGATTCTAAAGCCTTTTACTATATTCTTCTCGAAGTACGTATTTCGAGCCCCAAGAGTCCAAGATCGCCGTCTTCTCGATGAATCATGTTTTTATATATTCTTTGTGAAGCTAAGCCACCTTTTGAGAGAAGTTTGGAGTAAGTGTTCAAATCTTAGTTCTTATACAAGATCTGGCATGAGTTTAATTCCGATGTGCTTGATCGCATATGTACGCGAATCCCTAATTGCCAGCCAATCCCCAGCATGGATCGCTAGATAGATCAAACGACATGATCGTGGCGCTCCACGATAATTCAACAACCAACCACCCATCCCACATTAAAATTGATCACGGCAATCTACATTCCAGAACATAGCGAGATGGTATTTTATTGGTTCGGCTCCAGCCACCGCCAATCCCACCCCCAATTGACCTCCAGAGATCATCCCTTCATTCCGGATCGACATGCCATATCCACCAGCGGCATTTTCCAGCCAGTATCCTGGACTTTGATTGGACTAATGGTAGCCATGGCAGTTGATCCACTATTTAACGGCTCTGTTGATTGTTGATTCCATTGCAGTTCCAGGAAGTTGTCGCATATCCTAGCCCGGCAACACAAGACCAGGCACCCCGAGTTATGGGCTGCCTCGCTTCTTCCAGCCTCAATGAGACGGGCTGCAAATTCCACACACGGCATCTGATCGTAAAGCCCCTCTTGCCGGAGGAGTTAAGTGCAGCTCGCCTCCCAATCTAATCTTCCCATCTCTGATCCTATCTTACACCCTTGCTAGACACTCACTTTCCTGGCCTGTTTACATTGAGCTTTTGCGCATCTACATCCATACCTTGAGCATCTCCGTGCAAGTCTTGCAGAATCAACGGCAGCTTTTGCGTCCCTTGAATCACAAATTGGTTCGATCAAGAGGTATCACCACCCTACCCACCAGTGGACGCCCAAGCCCGCTTGAAGTCATAGTCCACCAAGCCTTGTGATCGGAGACATCAGTCACCAAGCCCCCTAGGTGACTAGAGCTATTTGTTTGGAATAAATCTATTTGGTTTTCGATCTTTGCACACCAGGATCCCTACCAATCACCGTGATGGCCCTGGTCCGGGATCCATACTTCTGGAAGCGCTTCTCGACAGCAGTCCATCTCGAAGAAAAAGCCAAGGGAGAAAATCAAGATGTCGAATACTCGACACCTGTGAAGTAAGCAAATTGTGGTCCATTACCATGATCTTCCAAGCATTGAGGCTAACATCTTCACCAGGGAACCAGATTCCTGGCTCGAGCGTGAGCGCCGTAAGCGCAAGCGATCACTGATCTGGGGCTTCGTTATTTTCTTTTTCATTATCTTACTGGTGACCGGGGGAGTGATCGTGTGGTGGCTCGCCAAACACAACTGGCTGCAAGCAGTCGAGCCCTAGCTTCCCAGACCGCCATTCAATCTCGAATGAGGAGCATCTCGGGCGATGTATGCATGGTTTGCGGGTGTACTTTTCGGGGGCCAACCTCATCGGCTTCCATCGGCGTTTTATTTCTTTTGAGGGGATTCGTTTATGCAAAGGGAAAATTTTGTATTACTGGAGATATACCCACCGCACCTCCAGGGCGGCTTTGGCATTTGGGCGTGATTGATTTTACTAGAGTTTATTATATAGCTTTTATGAATATGAAAATAATATTACACCACTCGAGCATGCATTGCAGTTGTAATCGTGCTTATCTTGCGGCGGCTAGACCTGCTGGAACTGGAATAGTCATACATGGGCTTATCAGGATATTGTATCAGGCATCTCGACCCCCCCTGCTCGGATCGGTAGTTGGCATCGCAATATTCGATTTGCGGCCTGTTGAGAAGTCGATCGGAGTATGAAGATTTCGGGATGGAGGGGATTACAAACCCGTCTATAGAATTACCAGGATCTCCCCGAACTCTCAAGTTCCTGGCACAAGCCGGTACCCGTACGTCCCAGCGGACTTAACACCGCCGTCTCCAGCCGGACCCGCGTTATCGGGGCTTATCGCCTTCTCCACACTTTCCCCCCCGCAGCCCATTGCAGTCGGGACTTTTGGAGGCCATCGGATAAAAGGCGCGCGCACCGCCGCTCTTCTCTCCTCTCTCTCTCTTCATTGCAACGCCATCATGATTCCCCCTTTCGATTACTTCACGTACCGCCGAGTACGGTAAGCTGGTCTTCATGCGTTCCCTGTAGATTTGCTCTGGCTAACAACCTTTGCCAGCAACCAAAAGCGGGCCGAACGAGAGGCCCGGTTTGCCTCTTTGCCCTTTGAATATCAGCTTGGCATCACCCCGAGCGAGAGGAAAATTCTCGATCAGCCCATTGAGGAACTAGTCCAGGATATCCAGAACTCGACAACTTCTCCTCTCAGTGTTCTCCGGGCCTACGGGAAAGTCGCCAGGAGGGCTCACAACCGCACAAATTGTATCACCGAACTTCTACTCCCGGAGGCGGAATCTTGGCTTGAATCCGATGTCAACCTCAAGGGACCGTTGGCGGGCATCCCCATCTCACTAAAAGACTCGGTCCAAGTTAAGGGCTTCGATACCACTCTTGGCTACTCGGCATTGGCCGGCAAGCCCTTCGAAGAAGATGGCCCCATGACCAGGCTTCTGAAAGATGCCGGTAGGTGCCATAGATTGGCACAAAACAGTGGTTAATGTTGCTGATAGCTGGCTGTAGGAGCTGTGCCGTACGCGAAGACGGCCCTGCCCATCACTCTTCTCTCTTTTGAGTCCGCCAATGGCCTCTGGGGCCACTGCCTGAACCCCCATCACCCTGGCTACTCCCCCGGTGGCTCAACTGGCGGCGAAGGTGCGCTGCTGGCACAAGGTGGTCGCATTGGTATCGGATCTGATGTTGCTGGCTCGGTCCGGGTTCCGGCTGCCTGGAGTGGTATTTACTCCTTGCGATGCAGTACTGGTCGGTGGCCCAAGGTGGGAGTGAGCACTAGCATGGCGGGCCAGGAGGGCATTCCCAGTGTCTTCAGCCCAATGGCGCGTACCCTGAACGATCTCACCTATTTCACCAAGGTCATTATCGGCATGCAGCCCTGGAAATATGACTACACTGTCCACCCTATTTCCTGGCGTGGTGAGCTGGAGACCGAGGCTCAGAGCAAGCCTCTTCGTATTGGGCTAATGAGCAGTGATGGTATGTGCCTCTCCTGTTTCTTGCAACTCGCTCCATTCCATCGGGTTTTCCTCTTCTTTTTCTTCTTCTCTTCCTCTTCCTCTTCTGCCTCCTCCTGACGCTTCCCCACTCCCAGGTGTCGTCCCTCCCACTCCCGCTATCGAACGCGCCATCTCCACCACTGTCACTGCATTGACCCAGGCCGGCCACACCGTGACCGAGATCACACCCCCGGCAACTGCAGACCCCTTCACGGGTCTCGATCTTGCTTCGCAGCTCCTCAACTCGGATGGCTGCCACCACTTCAATGCCAACCTTCGCAGCTTCGAGCCCTCTGACCCCGGCGCCAACCAACTCAGCCGAATCGCCCACCTGCCCCGGCCGCTGCGCTACCTGTACTACCTCTACGTGCGATACATCAAGCGCGACACCGTCCTCGCTACCCTGATTAAGAACTTCGGCCCTAAGTCCTCCGCCGCTCTATGGCCGCTCGTGGCCCGCCGTGAAAGCTTCCGCGCCACCTGGCATGCGTGGTGGGACGCCGAACCCCAGCAGTTTGACTTCATCCTCTGCCCTGCCAACGCCACCCCGGCCTTACCGCACAATGCCATGCATGACGCCGTCTCTTCCTGTGGCTACACCTTCCTCTGGAATCTGCTGGACTACTCCGCCGGTGTCCTGCCTGTCGGCCACGTCGACGCCGTCCGCGACGCCCTCGTCGCCCCCTACAAGACCGCCCTGAAGCGCGCTGGCGCCGACAACGCTATCTCCCGCGGTGCCTGGAAACACTACGATGCCACGAAGATGGCCGGCCTCCCTACCGCCGTGCAGGTCGTCGGCCGCCGCTGGCAGGAGGAGCAAGTCCTCGGCTACATGGCGGTCGTCCAAAAGGCGCTCGAGGCGTACCGCGATCCGGAGACCGGCGAAAGTGGCAAGTATGAGCTGTTGCCGATTGGTTGAGTTTTGGAATTTTGAATAGTCGTTGATTTCTCTCTCGTCCTTTATTTGCGGCTGTGATATCCTCTTGTCTTTTGCAACATACGTTTGACACCCCCTGCCCTGCGCCTCCCCCCTCCCTCCCTCTCCCCCTCTTCCCCGATCGATCTCCCATGATCCTGGGATTGGACGAGTCGCAAGGCCAGGCTTGAAATTGAAATGCAGCTTCTGTACCTATCGATTTCGATATCATAAGTCACTTCGTATAATAGTTCTATCTTCTATCTTCCATGGACTGTGGAGTACATACAGCGTCGCTCTTCGTCTTTCATCCCTTGCCTTGATGGTGGGGCAGCGTCCACTGTATTCGCCGTAGATCATGTACTTTCCCACCGAGGCAATCTATAGAACCCCCCTGTTCCCCTGTCCCTTATCCTGCCCCGCATCCCCCCCCCCCCACTTCTTTTGTACTTCTGTACCTACGTACGATGTTACTGTGCCAGACCGCCGTCTACTTCGAATGTACCCATCCAAAGCAATTCACCCTGTGCCAGTACAGACCCTCTCTCGCGTCCGATATCACGTGGTAAATGCAGTGCAACACTACGAGCATGGGCACCCTCTCCTCTCTGCTCCACCGCTCCCTTGACCAGAACAGGATTTCCGAGATGATGGACATCCACGAACGTAGCTCCGAGGGAGGACAGACGGGTGCAGAGGGGACGCGTTGGGGGGGGGGGGGGGTTCGAACAGCACGGGCAGTTGGAACGCTGACGAGGAGGGACGTCGTTTAAGATTATTAGAGATCCGCTCGGGCCCATCGCCCTGTGTCTGGGAGGGGGGGGGGGGGGGGCTTAGAATGCGCGCCGGAAGGGTTTAGCTGTGACAGGGACGAAGAGACCTGTTCATTTGGGACTAGGTGGTAATTTGGGGAAATGATGATGTTGCCAATTTATGATTCTTTTGTTTTTTATTTTTATTTTTTTCCTTTTCTATTCTTTTCTTTTTTTTTTGTCTGGCGAGGGTGGGGGAAGAGGGTGGTCTGGCACGTCCCCAGTCTAGATCGACCGGGTGAAGGGGTTTTGAGCTTTTGAGTTAGTTGGGAGGGGTCCGGTGATGTATCGCGTCCGGGGTACCGGGCGTCGCTTCTCGAATGAGAGTGCAGCGAGCGAGCAGAATAATAAGAAATTATCCCGAGCTCTGGACGCCGAACCATGGATACTCCAAACCAAAAGCTCCCTTGTGCGCACGGTTGCTTGCTCGTGTTTCACAATATCGGGGAATAGGGAACAAGAGAGAAAAAAAGAAAAAAGAAAAGAAAAGAAAAGGGACTTGGAAATCGGGAGAATCTGGCATTTGGAATCTGGAGACTAGGGAGAAGAGACCTGTCGCGATATTTTCCTTTCGAACACACCTGCAGGAGCGATCCCCGTGCCTACGATGACCCGGATTTGTGGGTCGATGAAGTAGCGCACCTTTGGCCGGGCTCGGCTGGGCTGGGGGGACAACACTAAGGCTTGCAGCTCAGTGAGCCTGATGCGTCGATTCGATTTGATCAGGGAAGATTTGATTCCGGGAGGGGGGAATGATAATACGCGATCACTTTGTCTCGGGGAGCGAGGGGGAAGAGCAATGACTAGAGAGCAGCACACTAAAAGCCGACGCCAGCCCTGGACAAACGCCCCCGACCCCTTGAGGCATCCCCAGCCCGGGTTAGCAGTGCCATTTCGGCCGGAATGGGGGAATTTTCCCCTTTGCTGAGTGGCGGAGAGAGCTTGCAAACCTTGGGACAGGGGAGGAGGCCCAAGCGACGCTTGGGGGGAGCAGCATGAAAGAGACGGGCTCAAAGAAAGTGCTTGGGTCGACTGTAGTGCTCAGCCAGGGGGGGGGGGCTCCACCGGGATGAACCTCTGCAAGTCATTGGCGATGGACGTCGGGGGACCTCTCTCGTCATGGACCCGATCACTCTGGCGGTTTCCCGCCTGCTCCACCCTTGACTCTCTCCCGGGGCGCGGAGGGTTGTGAAAGGTGCGAGGAAGGCCGAATTTGGAATTTGAGTTCCAGGATTAGGGTCCAGGCGTCGATAGATAAAGAACTTGAGGGAGATGGATCAGTGAGAGCGAAGATGAAGGAAAAATCCATTGTAGGGGAGACGGTGTAGATGTGGAGACGAAGCATTTTGATTTGGCGAGCGATCAGCGGTCGCAGGGGGACTAGCCGATCGGGGGATGCGATTCCAGGAAGGCAGTCGGGGATATTTCCACCCCCACGAATACGAGAAGCCGAGAAAGCCTCCGGTGGTTCGTGGTTCGTGGTTCGTGGAGGTGAAGGTGCAGGAATGCAGGATTGAGGTGGTGAGCCTGAGAAAACCTCTGATCAGATCCTTCTGGGTATCAATCTTCCACAGATTGAGGGGAGGAGGGATGATATAGGGGGAGGGGGCCACTTGTCGCGAGCCCCGATAAGTTGGGCCCCTGGTTTGTGAGCTGTCACGCCCGACCCTGTCTCCACTGGGGCGGTTTGGCGCGAACAGGGATGAGGGGGATCACTAAGTCAAGTATACCGATCTAGACAGGTCGCGCGATGGCAGATGGGGTGGAGGGCGGAGGGGAGGAGGGAGGAGGAGGAGGAGGAAGAGGAAGAGGAGGAGGAAGAGGAAGAGAGAAGGCAAAGTGAGAAGTGAGAAAGGAAAGGAGAGGAGAGAAGGAGAGAGCAGGATAACCAAACATATCACGGAGAGAAGAGAGAGGCCTGCGTTGATCGAGCGTGTTTCGATGTTTGATGTTTCTGCAGTGACTGTCACCCACAAAGTCTATTTAACTCTACCTCGAGATTGCCGAATGGTGGCCGCGCGCGGTGATACTATCATACTATCATGCTATACATACTATACATACTATACATACTATACATACTACAATACTATCATACTATCATACTATCATACTGTAATACTCCGCCACTCGTCGCCTCGTCCACTCTCTCCACTCGCTGCTCGACCGGCCTGAACTATGGACTCCGTGGACGCCATCGACTCCATAGGCTCCTGATTCTTCTTCGATCCGTGGCCCCGGGACGAACCCCATCCACTCGACTTCTAAATTACTACTGGACGGCGTAGACGCGTTCTGGCCCCTCGACTGGTGAACCATACTCGGCCCTCCAATCCATCGGCCCATCAACCTATCGACCGACCGATTGAAACCTATTGACCGACCTTGGAACGCAGAGTCGAATTACCTTCCACGGAGTATTCAGGGTATTCAGGTGCTTTCGTATTATTAACCGCCAACCGCTAACCGCCAAACCCGCCAGCCGTACCGAGTCCGTGCCCACCCCCCATTTCGCGCGCCCTTTTACGTCGCTTGTCTCCTTCTCTTCCCCCCCCCTCCCTCTTCCCACTCCATCTTCAACTACACCACACCACCACCACCTCCTCCTCCTCCTTCTCTCCGATACACGGCCACAACCCCTTTACGCCCGTCGAATCCTGCAACCCAGGATGCCGACCACGGTTCCTTCGCCCTCTCACCTTCGCGTCCTGCGCCGATGATCAGGGAGGCTCTAGAGGCTTAAAAGAGTTGGAGATGGCGTCCCGCAAGAAACCCTCCAACGCCGCGCGCAAACGAGACGGCATCCATTTCGTGAACGCCCGACCGGCCTCGGAAACAGAACGTCTCAAGGCGCAACGATTGGTGCGAGCTCATGTTGGTCGATGGATCTCCGACCAGACCAAGGACCGCGCAAACCCAGGGTCCGCATCCGCATCCGCATCCTCCTCCTCCTCCTCCTCATCCTCCTCACGACCCCCGCCTGGAGCGGCCCGTCGCACCATTCGCGATTCCGTCTCCCCCTTGTCCAGTGCCAGCACCTCCAGTTCTTCCAGTAGCGACCATGTCAGCCCATCTTCCTATCCTCTGGTGTCCCGTCCCGCGCCATATGCCTCCCGGCGGGCGATTGCCGCCGTCCCCGGGCTCCCTCGTCCCCCGCGGGAATGGCAGCGTTCCCCGTTCCCGCCGTCACATGCGAGCGACTCCAGCGACTCCAGCAGCGATGATTCCAGCAGCGTCACCGATTTCTCCAAGGAGCCAACCGCTGTCGTCCCATGGAAGAAACCCGCTTGCATCGAACCCCAGATCTCCGGCTTCTTGGATCCATTCGACACTTTACCCTCGAAGTTCTCGCCCGAAGTTGTGAATTTGAGTGAAACCTACTGTGCGTACCGTCCCCTTTTCCTGTGCCGATTTTCTCAGGGCTCCCCCCCCCCCCCCTCCCGGGGTCCAATCAGAGTACCGCTGACTCGTTCTCCTGACTCTTTCTTTTCGGCTTCGCAGGCATATCAGTGATTTGGCCAGGACTGATCCCGAAACCGGGCAAACTCAAAAAGACCGGCGAGACCTGGTTTCCACTCTCTTTATCCGACCCCGCCCTATTTACCGCGTTCATGTATGGCTCCTTGTGCCATCAACGAGTCCAATGGTTGAAGCATTGGGTACCCGACTCCACCTTTGGGCCTCAGCAGCAGCGCGTGCTGCAGCTTTGCGAGATGGAATCCATCAAGTTGATTAACCAAGCCGTCCGGGATCCGACCCGCGCGATCAGTGATGCAGTGCTGTTGAGTGTGATTTGCATGGCCCACCATCAAGCCCTGGAGGCGAGTCCGGCGCAGAATCGAAATACCCCATTCAAAGCCCCCTTCCAACGCTTGCAATGGTTGGACGTCTACGGTCATCTCCCACCCAATATGATCCACATTCGAGGGTTGGTGCAACTGGTGAAGCTTCGAGGCGGATTACAAAACATCAAACTCGATGGGTTACGCGCAACAATCACTTTGTAAGTTTGACTCCGTTTCGTTGGAGACCTATCATCATCGGCTTGCGCCATTGTGGCTTGCTAACCAAAGCAAATCCACTATATAGTTCGGCTATCATGACTGCCAGTTGTCTTTGTATGCCTCCCGGCTTTGAGTTCTGTGCACTGGACGAGAGTCGCACCAGCATGTCGATACAAGAGCTTCTTGGCTTTGGCCCATCTGACATCGAGCATGGGTTCGGCCGATTACAAGGCATCGGTATCACTTCCCAAATGGCCGAGGCAATGCAAGCGATTCGCGCCTATATCAACATCGTGGGAGCCTGTCTGGTGAGCCCATACGACACTTCGTTGCTCGCCGACCAGCGCAACCTCACTCAATACACCCTTCTCTCTGTCCCCCCTGCCGCGGACATTTCCACCACCTTCTCCCACCCCAGCCACGAAGCCATCTACGAGGCTTGTCGCATCGCCATGCTGATTTTCTCCGTCGGCGTTGTCTTCCCGATTCCCGCAAATAACACTCCCCTCCCCAGGCTAGCGCAGCAACTCCAATCTGTCCTTTGCCAACCGAACGCTTCCGTGCTCTGGTCATCTTCAAGCACCCGTGTCGTACTCATCTGGATCCTGAGCCTCGGTGGCATCGCAGCTTTCGAAAATGCAACTGAGCGGACCTTCTTTGTGACGGCTCTTCGTGATACAACACGTCGTAGTGGCTTATCTTCCTGGGAAGATGTGAAACGGGCCTTGAGCATGATGCTCTGGTTTGATCTCGCTTGTGACGAGGCTGGTGAGAACATGTTCTATGAAGCCACCGAATCTTGCCTTATTGAGTGATCTTTCGAGTTCGCACGTTTCCCACGATACGAGTCTATGAATGGGCCTCCTTTAACCCCCTTGTACCGCTTAATACTGTCGGATACACCCGTATATCGTCGAGCAATCCCTCCCAAAAGGAAAGAAAGAAAAGAAAAAAAAAATCAAGGGAACGGAAACAAATGCAAAGCGCAAAGCTCAACAACACAGCTCTTTATATTCTTGACTTAGGTCGCCGACTCTTTCCTGTGAACTTCTTATATTCGCAGCTACTCTGTTCAACATGTTTTCAAATGATCTCTGCCTTCTAGTTCGTATGTTAATGATGAACCTCTCCTTCGGGGGCGACGCGGAGGGTCGTGGAGCATATACCCAATAGCAATGCGTCTGGATGCTACGCAGTCCTTCGTCATTCCTCACCCAATTGCCTCTCTACCCATACCTGACAGCGTCGACGAACCAAAAACTCTCTCTCTTTCTCTCGCCTTCTCTCTCTTCCTCTCTCTCTTCTCTCTCTTTTTGTCACATACTCTCTTCCTGGGTTCCTCCCAACCTGGGCTTACAAGGCTCCCCTTTCTCTTGGTTTCCCCGGTACATAATATCGCGCTTACGTGGAATGGAACATCTCGCATGCTCGCCTTGGTACCGAACTTCTATCCCCGGGTGGGAGCTCCGTGCGGCTGGCCGTTCTATATATAAGAGATAATGCATTCATGAATATATCCTGACATTCAAGTTTCCCAAACAAAAAAGGGGGGTTAAAAAAAGTTCCAGTTATTCCTACGCAATCGAACGCTTGGTGCATCATTGTACTTGCAGTCATGTGTGTCATTGGCGGTATTACCGCTATAGATCGGAGATGCCCGGATGGAAAGACAAAAGAACAGAACAGACATGTACAGATATGTACAGCGTAACCGAGGTAATACATACGTACTATCCGCTAAACACCCCTCAGCCAGCTCCGGTTCTCAATCATCATTTTCATGTCCGATACGCTCGGTGCACTTGGTTCTCCCCCGTGGCCTCCAGCAACGGCTGCCGCTCCCAATCCCGCGCCGCAACCCCATGCAACAGTGCATTCTCCCGACTGAGTCCCGTCTCAACCGTATCCTGCCCTTCGCCATCACAACCCCCTCCGCCGCAGCAAGTACTCCCGTCTGCCAACTCACATACGCCACCAGTGCGGCCCCCGCAATCCCCGTTGACAGCGTCAGTCCAATATTCACAGGCACAGGGTCGCCGCTGAACGAGCGCAGCGTCAGCGCATCCAGCCCCGTCTGCGCGAAACTGCCCATCCCAGCCAGGCAGATGACCAGCCCGTACACCTTGCCGAAGGTCTGGAAGCCGAACACTTTGGCCGCGTAGTCTGACACGGCGGTGTAGTAGAACGGTCGGTACAGAGCGAACAAGACGACGTTAGCGTACGCCGCGCCAGTGCTGTCGGGGATGCAGCCCAGCACTCCGATCAGGGTGGCGATTAGCGCGAGAATGCCCAGCACGGTGCGTGTGCGGAGCGTGTCGAGGAAGAGACCGGTGAAGGGGACTGAAACGAGGCCGCCGACTGGTAGGAGGATGTCGAAGAGCCCGTTGATGCGGGCCGCCGCGGGGGCGGAGTGGAGGAGAAAGGTGTATTGCTGCCGAAGGGTGGCGACGAAATAGTTGATGCGGAGCATCATGAGCACGGTGAAGGCGGTGATGAGAATGAACCATGGGCTGCGGAGCTGGGCGAATGCACTGTAGCCGTGCATGACACCCCAGACGCCGCTGGTGTGGGTGCTGGGTGTGTTTGGAGGCACGGGCTGCGGTTTCGAGGTGCTTGCAGATTGAGGAAGGTGGTCGTTGGACGCTGGACTGTTTGGGTCTGTGTGGAAGACAGAGTCATTGAAGCCGACAGTGGAGGTGATGGAGGCCGTGCCGTCGTCGAGGAGGTCTTGGATCTGGGTGACGATGCTGTGACGGTGGACGCGCCGATCGTTTCGCTGGCGTTCGCCTTCGTTGCGGTCGGGGATCTGGTCGTCGACGCGGTCATTGATCTCTTCGACGACCTGTATTTCAGCTTGCTGAACTAGCTCGCCAGCGGTTTTGTAGGATGTTGCTGGCATGACTGTGAGTTGGAGGATGATAATCAACACCGGGACTATCAGATACGCCAGGAAGAATTTCTGGATTGAGACATCGCCTGCGGTGTGCTCGTTCCAGAGGCGGAATACCAAGAAGAGGGCGCTGGAGGCATCGAAGGCACCGGTCAACATGGATAGAATGAGACCTGACCGAGTAGGAAATGTGTTCGATAGTTGAAACGATGGGATGAAGACGAACGGCCCGCCAAGTGACAAGAGTAGGTAACCCGGTATATATCCATCGAAGGGGAGTTGGCTAGCACAGGCGAATACAATTGTCCCAATGGCCAAGCAGACACACCCGATAATACTGCTCACTCGAGGTCCGTAGGTGTCTAGGATAGCTCCGACAGGTAGGGCCGACACATTGGTGACAACGGCGGCAATAGTGAACATCAGATTCAACCTGACATGAATCAGTTTCTATACTTGACCCTCATCGTGTTGTCAATGGATCTCTGGGATCTTGTGGTCCATACCGAATCTGCTGCCCATAACACACCCCCACATTTTTCTCCAATTCCTGCGGTGAGCATAAGTTGCGATAGACCTTCTCACGGATGAGAACTGGCTTCAAGGCTGCAAAGCCGAACACAATGCCTGCAGAGAGGAAACAATATATAACCGCCAAACAAACCTGCGCTGGTTCGCATTAGCAACGTGTTGACGCTACACAGAAATACACAATGGCACGGTCTGTGCTAAAATTGAGAGACTAAAGTGAAACGGTGATACGAAATAGTGTCTCGGCATACCGATTCGTCTTGCGGGGCTCACTTCAAAAGCACCCCTGGTCTCCGGCAGCCAAGCTGGAAGCTGGGGTGGCCGATGCTCCTTGTGTGGCACAGACCCAGGCACAGCCTCTGCCGCCGCAGATGCCGGTGACCGAGGCCCCCGCTCCAGGTCCGCTCGACCTTCACGGGTCGTCGTGGGGGACAGTCCCAGGGACCCCAGGAGCGAGGGGCGATCGTCCCGATCGTCGACAGCACTCTCGTTCCAGCCGGGCCCCGCATACGGATTGAAATTGAGTCTGCTATACGTGGAGGGGAATGAAGATGCGAGAGATGAATCTTCGGGCAGCTCTTGATAGGTGTCCGACTCGGTATCGGATGGGGACACGTCTTCCCCTCTTCCCCGCAGAAAGGCAGCAGCTGGATTGCGTTCCCATCCTTCGAGGAAGGAGATGCGGTTTAGAGACATGATTGAGTCAAACGGGGTATCATATTATCATTGTAGAGGTATCTTGTAGAGGTAGGTCAAACGGGGTCTGTGCAGAAAGCATGTACAGAGGACAAGGGCAGAAGAGGGGGAAAGAGGGGAGACCCAGGATGACGACGTCGTTAGCGATATGAAGCGGTTGGTTTCCCTGCTTTCGACGCGGAAGGGGTCAGGTGACCCCGTCCAGTATCGGTGGTTATCTTGTGTCTTTGTTTATCTTCGAGAGTCGGTTGATCTTTTGTTCGCAACCAACAACATTCGTCAGTACTCGGACTCGGCGGTGAGTGGTTACAGGATGATGGAAAGGGCAGGGATGGAGCTCCTGCGTCTTTATCGCTGCCGTTGCATTGACGGTGAGCCATGATTCTGTTCGAGACGCCCAAGTCCTCCTGCTTTGAGCTGGAAACCCGCTCCAACTTCTCGAAAAGGCAGCTGGAAGGCTCGGCATCTGGATCCCCACATCGGTCACGGACGAACCTACATTGTCCTGGATATAGCTCCGGGGAGGGGGGCTGCCATCTTATTTAACTTTCGGCGCAGACGCGTCCTCGGGGAGGATGGCTCCAATGCTCGAATCACAGCGTCGGCTTCAGATGCACTCGTGCTCGGGGTCCTTCTCTCAATCTCCAAGATCGACAGGGTTCGACGGGTCCGGAGTACGCCATCCATGGGTCCATAATTGTTGAAATGAAGCCCGAGGCAAATCGCGGACGGTGCCGAAATTTCTCTCTGTGGCATGCCCCCACCATCTGCGGGATTTGTCAGGCACCGCAGTCGATCCCGGCGTCGCCGACCCAATGATACGGGCTTGAAGTCAGGCTTTGCTGGGTCTTAGGTGGTGCTTCTCCGGGCTGTCGTGCCAGTCCCCTGGGATCCCCTGGCCTTGCCCCCTTGGTGCGCTTGAGTTTGCCATGTTACGGCATCCTTACCGTCGAAACCGCCACATGGTTACCAGGAGAAGGTTTCGAGAAGCAGTGGCCGTTCCGCGGGAACTGCCCTGATCCAGGAACGTCGGTGAAGAGTGCGAAACAGGGAAAGTGGAGGGCCAGTCGTGCTACTAGTGTTTCCACCACTGAAGCTTGATGTCCGCGGTGGTGACATGCTCTGACTGGGTCTCGAAGAGGCATCTCGCACTGTGCCTCAGTAGCGGATTTAAAACGCAAATCTCCGGCATAACAATGGAGTCCCCTGCCGTCCCGCTCCAGTATGATTGGCTGGTCGATGTCATACATTACCGACAGTGGCTTTGCAACTGGGGAAGGCGTTGCCCACCTAAATTTCGAAGCGGCTAGCACCAACTACGGAGTAGCTAGAGGAGAGACGCCCCCCAAAAAAATACGAAAACGGGGAGAGCATGAGGGTCTTGGCCAAATCATCAAGCATACCAACCCCCCAATCCCCAACCACCCCCTTCTCTGCTTGAAACATATCGGGATCCATGCCAACTCGCTTGTTTTTGCCCCCCTCAGTGCCCGGTTTCCCGAGGCCAACCCGCTCAAACCGCGCTTTTCGGCCAGACCATCCTGTTCCAAGATCATGCTCGTTCGGGCAACGATCGGTCTTGATCCGAGGGGGGAAGCAAACTTTGTTCTGGACGCGTGGGGGGGGCATGCGCCGTCCAACCAAATACAGCCGGGAACTGTCAAAACGCTGGGCCAGTGGGGAGCGTTGCACCTGGCGTGATGATGCCGGGCCACGTTTGCCTGTCGGGGTATCAGTAACAGCCAATTCGAGTAGAGCGCCAGATCCAGCCCATACCCGCTTGCCCAGTGCGCTGCTCCTCTCTGCTCCTCTTCGGTCGAGCTAATCTCCAACAACCTAGTGCGATGTCTGGTTGTACCCCAAAAAATCCGCGCAGTGTCATGATGATCTACCAATGCCGAGCACCTTTTTTCAGTTTTTAGTCTTTTTTTCCTCTCTTCCAGAAGACTCCACCCTTTCGCGCCTCCGTTGTTGATTTAGCATCAGTCTCCATCGAACATCTCCATGGTAGATACTTTGATTCATTCTTGTTCAGGAGGAGGCTCTTGAGTTATATTTATCTAGAATCCTCGGACCTGGGATACCGAGTATGTTCTCCTTCTGGAAACCTTCCGAGTTCGTGTCTACAATCTCTCCCGTCGCTGCGTAATGAGGGGATGGTGAGTATTCCCCTGTTCAATGGATCTATTCGGTGGAATATCTTGATCGCTCTCTTATTCATGAAAATAGCTAACTGAAATTCTAGCCTCACATGTCGTCTGCGCCATTTGAAATGTATGTCGACTCACTCAAAAAAGATCGATTTCGATCAATCCTCCACTCCCTATCAGAGGCGATCAAATTCTAACGTTTTTGCCTCCTTGAAGGTGACAAATCGGGAGCGAAATGTCTGCGCTGTCAGCGATCTGGTCGTGAATGCGTGCCGGCGCCAGGAAAGTCCGAAGAGGTTTCCTTTCGTCATGGCCAGAATCCATCCTTGCGAGGAAAGGGCCCCCCGAGGTATGGGGAGAGCGACCTGACCTTCCCCGACGACCAAATCTGGGTGGAATCTTCCTCTGAGTGTGCGTCCTTTAGCCACTCACACATTAAAATCATACATTCCTTCTTTCTGGCAGCAATACAGAACTACCGAACGTTGTCTAACTTTTCTTTGTCAGATTCCTTCAAAGATGAAACTGATCAGACGGCAGCTGAGTATCATGTTGTACCAGTGACAGGACAACAGCCGCCATCTAGATCGCCATCGGAAGCTCGATCTACATCGTCATCCACCATGGACCCTTCTCTACCGGGTCCCAGCAATATTGTCCCTTACTACATCTCTGACACTCACCATCCAGTCACGATGGCGAACACACCCCGGCGGGCGTCAGGCACACCGCTCAGTGTTCCAAGGCTAGCTAACGTAAACGAAGCCTACCTGCTTCGACATTTCCAGCGACACCTCGCACCATGGGTGAGTTAATCTGTCCCATCAAAGATCTATCCAACAAGCTCTGATTGCGGCAATCTAGCTTGATGCCGGTGATCCCGAGCACCGCTTCTCGTCGGATGTGGCCGGGAGGGCAAGCCAGTCTCCATTGCTTCTCTATGCCTGTCTGGCAGTATCGGCATGCCATCTATCCCGCACAACGAATTCGATCTCGCCCGAAGTGGCAGATAGTTATCATGAACGCTGTGTCTCGATTATGCTGCCGTCGCTGGACAATCCGGAATTCGACATCGGCATTGATACCCTCCTTCCTTGTACAGTTATCCTTCGCTTCTTCGAGCAAATGTCATGTAAGTCTACCGTATCGGTTTTTCGCTCGAACGCACGATCCAATCGTGGAGAGAATCATGCTGACATCCCATGTAGCCCATACCCCTTCAAATGACCCTCAGCGCCATCTCCTAGCCGGCTCTGTTTATATCAGTTCACATGTGGACTGTGCGATATCTGGCGGACTCGTGTCCGCGTCTTTCTGGGTCTTTGTTATCCAGGATATCCAATTCGCACTTACGTACCAGAAAGGCCTTCGGTTAACATACTCCCCATTCGAGAGCCGCCTTCAGCTCTGGTGGAACACCAGGCCGGTGCTAACCGACGGTGATTGGGTTAACCGGGCGATCTGGTTGCTTGCCGAGACCATCGACTTTTGCTACAATACCTCGGGTCAGAACTTTGGGGGCCACATGGGGACTGTGGGGGAAAGTAGCCTGAAAATGAAACTCAACGACTGGGAGACTATGCGACCAGAGACATTTACGCCGATGCATGTGTCACCGGCAGACCCTGCCAATGGAAAGCCATTCCCTGTTGTTTGGTACACGAGTTTATGGCATTGTGAGTGTTAGGATTTTAGGGGCTTGGATTGTTGTGCGCTTTTTGTGGGGCAGTATGCTAATCTATGGCTTCTTGGCAGCAACCGCGTTGCAACATGTGTGCCTTGCCAAGGTACTGATGCTAATGCGCAAAACAAAGGCATATAATCTCACGGTGGAGGAGCATGCGAAGGTGAAGGTATATTTTTGCCCTGTCCCGCCGGGTTCGTCGTCACTTTCTCACGGTTTTTCCAATAGCAACTCATCTCGGAGAACTTGAGTTATCTCTTTGGCATAGCTTTGTCTGCCGATGACGAACCGTCTTTGCGAATCATGGCTTGCCATGCTCTTAGTGCTTGTGTGTTCTTTTCCTTCCGTCCCTGTAGTTTTTCATAACTGACACAAGCCCCTTTTGAATTTTAGGCAGCGAATGGATCGGAGATATCAATGCGCAGAATTTATTGTTTGATTTGCTGCGCCGCACAGAACGAGACAACGGATGGCCTTGGGCCTATGTGGAACAACGCATCCTTGACACTTGGCAACGAAACGGAGGTTAGCATGAATAGACTTCAGTATCCATACTCCCTTAGATTGAGATGATGCTAGACCACAATGAAACTTCATTAATCAGACTACCCTTTCATTGCGACTCTCAAATCCCTCACTTTCAAAATGGTAGTTGTCCAATTAATTCTTCGTATGTCTGCTGGATTCTCAATGGTAAACGTCATGTTTCTTCTCCGCCCTGTCAACTTAGAAGTACGTTTCACAAATGTACGAACCACTTCGTTTCCGTAGCCAATAACCGACCAAATTAGTTCTCCCTAACTCCCCAACCCTCTTTTTCTGTTGTCAATCTCTTTTTTGAAAAACGATGCCTCATCTGCCTTCCCACAAAGCGTCATCATCCACTCCAAGTCACTCAAGCTTTCGATAGTTTTCGCGTGGTTTTTTCCATACAGGAACTCCTTCTTGCTGATCAGGTCGTCCATAAGTCGATGTACGTCTTCGTAGTTCCTTTGATAGGCATGTGTTAAGGCAAGCCGGTATATAGCACCAAACGTCCTCTCGTGATAGGGACCATCTTCGGCGTCTATTATCTGTAGAGTCGATTCCATTACTTCTTGGGCTTCATAGTATCTTTCAAGTGAGTGCAATGCGATCCCGAGGACTATTTGGACATTCGGATCTCTTGCGCCCCGTGCGGCATATCCATCCGCAGCTTCTTGTAGGTAGCGAGCAGCTTTCGTGTTACTCCATTTGATTTGATGATCCCTCTCACGGCTGGGTTGCTGTTCTCCAAGATCCCTTGCTTGTGAGTTGTAGCCATTGCCTATCCAGAACAGGCAACTCAACCTTTCTTCGTCAAATTCATCCAAAGACGTGTTAAAGATCTCTAAGACATCTTTCAATATGTCAAAACCTTTATCGTAATCTTTCATACTCAAATGAATTCTGCCAACCCAAAATAACACTTCAAGGGTCTTGGGGTCTCTAGAACCAAGGAGTTGGCCGCGTCCATCGGCAGCCTTTTGCAAGTTAGCTAGGGCTTTGCTGTGTTCGCCTTTGTCAGCGAAATATTTCCCACTCTCAAAAAGTGCGTGCAAATCAGCTAATACGCTTTCTTTTTCTTGAGTCACTCCTGCTACTAGTTGTTCGTTAGGACGGAAAATATTCTTTTGAGACCTTCGCGGATGAGATATTTTAGAGAAGAAGTTTTCCCGCCGCCCCCTCGGTGATATCGAGGAAGAAGATTTGTGTTGGACAGACTCTTTTGGCATGACTTGTTCTTTCTCCTTTAGTGTGGATAGTGCTGTTGCTGGATTCCCTTGCCAGTGTTTGTCCAATGAAGGCAAAGTAGATGTTTCCATTGAGAGCTGTGTTGATTGCTCCGTCGAGTTCCAGCTTTTAAAATCCCCTTCTGAAAGGAGCAGGGATCTTCCAGAATCCCCCTTGAAACTCATCTTAGATATATCAGAGGCCAGGCGAGACGAACGATTCCGAAGCCAGGTGTGTTGCAGAGCTTCAATAGCAGATATCCGTTTGGCCGGGTCTGACGAGAGAACATCCATTATAAAACGATCAAAGTCTGTGCTCCCCAAAACGGCTTGGTTCGGGAAGATGTTAGACCTTGGGCCTTCGGCATATGCCGATAATTCATCAAGCGAGTTGAAAGGATAGGAATGAAACTTCATGTAAAAGGCCGTTATTCCAAGTGCCCATATATCAACCTTCTCGGTATATCTCCTCTGAGTTCTTGGTTGCTTGCCATTATTTAGACCTCGTATCTCCGGGGCGAGAAATAGCATAGTGCCAACCAAAGACTGGAGACCGAGGTTTCCATCATAGCGTTTGCTGAACCCGAAATCTCCAATCTTGATCCACCAGTCAGGGCCCTTCTGGACCACAAATATATTCTAGAATGCCCAGGTATGCATGAGTTCTATTTTCTCCATCGGGGTAACACGATGTCTTACTGCTGGTTTGAGGTCCCGATGGACAAATCCATTACTATGTAGCGCTTCAAGACCTTCGCAGACCTGCACAGTGATTTCTTGCACTTGTCCCTCGGGCAGGGGAGCTTTCAGGTGAGAATCGAGATCGCCATATTGAATATGTTCCATTGCAATAAAGACAGCCGCGTCACTCTCATACCATCCAATAAATCTCACAAATAGTCCGTCGTACTATCGATGGATATCCACCACGTTAGCAGGGGTATTACAACGATGACATACGACCGACCTTCTTCTGTGAAAATTTCGCAATCGCTTCTAGCTCTTCATGGTAATTTATGCCGTCTCGAACGATCATGGCCTTCGCGATTGTTTTAACAGCCTGGAGCTCTGCCGCATCAGGGCTAGTCAAACACCGTTCCAACCAAACACTTCCATAGGACCCAGTTCCCAGTATGTTTTCCTGTCTCCAAATATCTTCTCTGTGCTGGCGTCGAACATACTTGCCCGGCGCATTCTCCGACCGGATCGAGAAGCGGTGCGTGTAGCCCGAACGAAGCTCGACGTGGATCTTGGTATCCAGCACTAGATCAGACGTCGCAGACGCCATGGTGAACACCTAATGGATCCCTCCCCTCAGCGACACTCAATATTGGTTGTGAGCGAGGTTGAGTACAGATGAATGATAATAGATTGGTGCAGGTTCAGGCGACGAGTGGGCAAACCTCGCCCCCACTCCATCACGGTCGTGCCAATTCACAAAATATGCGGCTTACAGGCAGGGACACCCAATCAAATCGCTGCAGACACCTCCTATTTCGTAGCAGGATTTGATAGGATGCCAATCCACACAGTCCTGTCTGCCAAGTCAGAGTCACTTGCCATTCTAAGACATATGAAACATACATCAGGTGGGATGGCAGAGGTGAGTTGGATTTCAAAAGAAGGCGCAACCTAGCACACTCGAATGTATTACCCAGGGTATTAAGAGGAAAAGACTAGAATACAATGCCAGTTCAAGTCTATATAAACTATATACAGGACGAATATTTCATTCACGCTCTACATCTGGAAACTCATATCGAACCCCATCGGAAAGGTAAATAGCCCTTCATCTAGCATCGTTCCCAACTCGAACAAATTGTTTGGGTCGAATGTAGGCTGCATTTCCAGTTCGGGCATAATGCCCATTGGCTGGGACATCGTCAATCCCATGCTAGACATATCGGGATACCTCCCGGGGCCGGATTCAGTAGCACCGGTAGAAGACGACATGCCAGAGTATCCAGGCGACGGACCGGGGGTTGTGAAGGACGAGTAGAATCCAGGGCCAGAGTTCCCTGCCATTGACGGCGAGAATGAAGGTGTCGAGGACCATCCTGCGCTTGCTGCTGCCGCTTCCGGTTTTGAAGATGCCATACGGCTGAGTGGGTTGGGTGTTTCCGAAGCACCGAAGGTGGATGGCCCGGGATTGGGAGTAGTACTTCCGACCTCGCGATTGAGATGCGATGGAGAATATGTTATCTCTTGACCCCCAACAGAATGAGATCTGTGTGAGAGGTGAGCCGTTGATGAGGATCGGCCGTCCGGATTTCCCATAGCAACTTCACTAAGCAGATGGAGTGGGGTTGTGCCTGACTTGACTTGGTCTGCCCGTACTTCGGTACCAAATATTTCTCGAAGTTCAGGGCCGTTTTCTTTCTTCCTAATGAACCAGTTGCGAAGCATCGCGAGAATGTTTCCGAATTTGGAGGCTACACGGCCGCCGTCCAAGGCTGCTGCTTTCCGGTAGTGGGTAATGACTTTATCCAAATAGATCTCAGTTTTGAGATCCTGGACGTCAATGACCTGGCTAATGCGAGTACCAGATGTTGTTAAAAGTGAGTATATCTTAATCAGGCTGACGATGGGATAAGTAGTCCGGGCCAAGGCCACAGTTGGCAGACAATTAAGGCGTTCAACATCAATCATGGTAATGATATCAAGAACTTGGTGAATGGAGTAAGTGCAAGTATTCAACGCGTCGATGAGGGGTGCCATGGTGGAATTTAATAACTCCGCGTTGGAAGGTGAGTTGGAGAGGCAACTTTCGCGACAATCTATACCCATAGCACTTTCATGTATAAAAAGGTTGATAGTATGATGAGTGTGGGCCAAAGGCGCTATTTTTTAACAATTAATATTTAGGCACTGAAAAATCTTCGAAGGTATTGGGTTACCTGTGTAGAACTCGTCGGGAATGTCTTTCCTCCACTGGGCAAGCTGATTTGAAAATGCTTTAATGGAGTAGCGCACCTTGCTGTCAGCAAAGGAGATTACCGACTCGGGGTCATCGCTTAGGAGCTGCACTCCAGCTTCCTCCATGATGTATGCCAGTTTTGCCCACCATACCACAGATTTATCAGAAGGCAAGGCATCTGGGTGGGTCTCCAATGTCTGCATGCATTCATTCATGTACGGTTGCCATCTGACAAGGTACATTCTCCGGAGTGCAGTAGCCGATCTACTACGATTAGCGGGCTGTACATTCAGCCGAGCGGAAGATAAACATACTGAATAGCCATGAAATAGCACCCCACCCAAGTACGTTTGGCCTCAGGTCCATTGAGGTCAGTTTTCATCCCGGGCGGCTTTCGGATCAGAATTTCACGAAGGCGCGCAAAGGGTTTATCATCACCCCGAGAACGCCGATTCAGACCAATATCCATGGCCACAATCACAGCCAAATGGATTAATTGATAAAATTTCAGCTCTTCAAGATTATCTGGCGGCATGTACCAGAACGAGCAAACTAGCAGAACCTGAACGAGCTCGAGAGACTTTTCACCTTTGACAACCACACGCTGACCAATCAAGGTATAAAGCTCATTGAGCAGTGCGAGTTGAACACTCTTGTTGAATGGCCCAATTGCAATGGCCATGATCGCAAGAAATAATGCCGGCTTTTCGCGACGCACATCACACATTGTGGTACCAGGATTGAACACCACCATGGGCATCTCAGGTGCCATTTTGTTGACATAGCGCTCGAATGTCGCCATGGCTGTCTCCGCATCTATCAAGCCTCTGTCAATCACGTCGACAAATTCATTCGTAGGTTTTGGTGGCGCCGCATCACCAGTGAAAGAACCTCGCCAGACTGCAGAAGCACTTTGCGGATTCGAAAGTTGCTCTGCGGATGGACTATCCTGGCGAGGATACTGTGATGCCAAATATTCATCATGAGTTCGTTTAGTGCTTGGTCCATGGGCATCGTCTCGCATCCACCGGCGGCCGGGGAGATGGGGCGGATTCGATGCTTGCTGCGGGGGCTGATCCACCCCCAAGTTACCGCGGTGGGATGCCTGCAGAGTGGCTGTCAATGCATCAATCTTGCGTTCTAACTCTGTGACACGGCTGTCTGTCTTTTTCTGGCGCTTCCGCGTCGGCGCCGTGACGATGCAGGTGCGACGCGCCTTGGCGCATCGCTTACAGGAACCATCAGGATTCCCTGGATCGAAATCGCATCGAACCTTAAGCTGACGACAAGGCTCGCACGCTCGTGGCCGCTTGAGCTCTATGTGGGGATCCTCGGAATCAGCGGAGGTGCGAGCTGGGTATGGCAAAAGCCTGTGTTCCCCCCCCATTTCCGAGGGATGCATTATCGGCACCGGGCAAGCCCCCGGGAAGATGCGGCGGGAGTTCCGGGTATTTGGATTCCATGGGAATTATTGGTTAAAACGGCAGGTCTAGTGACCGGACGCTGTTGCCCTTCGTCTGCTAAAGTAGGACTATCCCAGTGGCGGATATATCCACCAGCGGCGGGTGCTTTCGGAGCCGAATTGATCGGCCAGTGGACCACTTTCTCTGCTAAATATCAGTAACTTAAAGGGTCCTTTTACTTTATTTTGACGTCGGTTGGGGTTTGCCTCCAAACATTCACTTTTACTTACTGTGGCCCCCACAGGGGTGGATGCTCTGTGACCTCGTGGGAAAATAGGACGGAGAACGGTGAATGCAAGCACCGACCGCCGACCTGAGGACCGACTGGCAGAAGTAGCACGACGCTGTGGCTGGCTGCAACAGATATTGATCCTGGCTAGACAAATGCCAGTGGAGAGAGCGATTCAAAATTGACGTCACCAGAACCAAGTAGACTCTGCTTCACAGAAGAAATGACCAAGATCTCGGAACACGCAACACTGTTTGGGGTCGGAAGTTGCTCAACCCCCTCAGTTTTGTCACGTGATTCAAAACGTCGTGTGTGCGCCAACAGCCCCAAAAGGCAGGTTGGCGCCAGTTAAAGGCGTTTCGATGAGCCTTCGACCCTTCTGACTCGAAATCTACGTTGAGAAAGAGTCATATGGACTCTATATAATGGAATTTTGTATGGAAAGGTCATGTTCTCATTTCATGGTGGGGGTATCAACAAAAGAAAACTAATCAAAAATCCCCCAGGTATCTAGTATCTCAGTAGATGAAAAAAAAAACACAAAGGAATGAAGGAATACCAGAGCAGATATTTCACTGCTCTCTTCTTCTTCTTCTTCTTCTTCTGCTGCTGCTGCTGCTGCTGCTGCTGCTGCTGCTGCTCCTGCTTCCCCTCTTCTCCTCTTTTCCAAGACTGGATGACCCAAGTCGAGGGAAGATGGCGCTCCAGGAGCCTAAGACGGCTTGTGCACAGGACACTCCATCTTCCGCTCGAACCAGCCAACAATGCACCGCTTGTGGAATTTGCAGAGGCACTCCAGACGGGCCAGCTTGTCGCCGACCTTGTACTCCTCCATGCAAATCATGCATTCCGTGGCACTGTCGTCCCCGAGGCAGTCTTTCTCGGTGGCGGCGAACTCTAGCATGCGGGCGGCTGCCGGTGGCGGTGGTGGCAGTTGGGTGCCCGCATGCTGGGTATCGCGGCGGGCGAGGCAGTCTCGAACATGAGCTTCGCGTGATGACTGTGGGTAATGCTCGCTTAGTGGCATGAATATCCGCCCGCAGATAGGGCAGATATCTCGCTCAGAGATTGAGAGTGAAGGTATTGGCATTGACGGTTCAAACTGTGTCCACGGCTGACTAGATGGGCCGGCTTCAGGCGGTGGACGAGCCCATATCACATAGCCGTCTCGGCGGTGGGTGCGACGCTCCGCCTCCTCGGCGAGCTCCTCTTCTGAAGATGGGATTTGAGTGAAGCTAGACCGGCGAGTTGATTGCCGAATGTCTCGGAGGAATGATGGGCGGTCATTGTCTCCCACAGTGCGTCGTTCCAGGCGAGAAATTCCGCGCTGCAAATATCGCCAGACAGATTAGTATCGTAATTCACCGTACCGCCGAGGATTCGAACCACTTACAGAGGGAGCAGACCAGTTTTGACCCATCGTTGCGGAGAGAGAGTGAGTGGAACGATGGCCAAGTGCTCGGGGAGAACCGTAGCCAAGTGGATTCGGATTTGGGTCAGGTACACAAGGATTGCACAGACGAACTTCTTCTCCACCACCCAGAGCAGGGTTGATGGTAGATGTAAATAAATCAGGATCGTCTCCAGTCAAGTCAATAACAGAGCTTCTTGAAGGTGGAGTCGACGAGGATCCAGGCAAGACCGGGGTTGGTGAGTCAAGCGGGCGAACGATGAATTGTCGGGGAATGGTGATTCGGTGAGGTGAGCAAGAAGCACACACCACTCGTCCACACTTCCGACAATGGTGCTTTCGATACCAGAAACTAAAGATCGTCCCGCATATAGGACAGCTCGTTACTTCGGAATCAGGCTGCCATCTCGGTAAATCAAGATCCTGATATGCCTCTGCGGTTTGATCAGTTCTCCACTGGGACCCCTGGTTTGACGAGCCAGACGGCCTTCGCCTATTGAATCTTTCCCTGTTCATGCCATCTCCACCGCCGCCACTCCATCGAGATGTTCCTTCAAGAATGACTCCATCATCTCTTCCTGAATGATGCGAGTTTGATCCCGTTCGGAGATTTCCCCGCCAATTATCATGTCGAACTCGAGCAGCTCCGTTTGGTGACAAAAAGCAGCTGTCATTCCGGATACTCGTCTCCTCGATGGATCCGTGCTCGGAGTCCAGGCTCGCTTGATTTTCGAAAGCTGATTCCTGGTTCTCTAGAAATTGCTGGCCCCTGCCCTGATGTCTTGATACTGAGGATACACTTGGATATGGCAAGCGTGACGCATCATCAGCAGTACTTTGTTGCCAGTTGGCACAATTTCTCTCGGAATTTCGGATCACGTCACTGCCGCTTCGACTTTGGAGAAGACGATATCTATCCGGCTGGTCATCCAAATATATAGCGTCGGAGTTTCTTCTTGGCCCGCGGGACACCATTTGAGACGGCAGATTCGAGAAACTCGAGGTGACAGGGTTACTTGATACAGCCCTGGCTGGGCCGCCCAGGTCATTGTTGGATGGCCATCTAGGTAGCGGCTTTTGTGAATATCTTCTGCCTTGATATTCTTGGGGCCCACTCGGCCCAGTTCGAGAAGGTAATTGTCTGTCCAAACGCCCCGAGACATCAGATCTCCTTGGGGAGTGTTGCCCATTGGTATCAGGTGGAGACGATGTGATGTCTAACGCATTCTCATAAGAAGATCCAGGAACGTTCGAGGAGGCACCTCTCGATGATGGAGCAACCATTGAGACAGATCGGTGGGGCAATGAGTTCCTTGTTAAGTCAATGTTTTGAGAAGAGGCTCCACCAGAGCGTGTTCTTTGAAGCCGGTTTCCATCGCCATTACCAGTCAACCGTCGTTTGCGATCTCCTTTTGATGAACTCGGTGGCAAGGTTCGTTGCGACGATGTAGAAAAGATATTTTCGGTCGATTGAGCCTGTACAGGATCGAGCAGTAATGAGTTTGGGCTTGTCAAAAAGCCTTCGACATCTTCAATTTCGGAAGATTTCAATCGATCGGCATTCCCCATCGTTGTTGCATCATCGCCGGTGTTGTAGTTCAACCGACCGGGAAGCAGATTAGGTTGATCATTTTGCACATCGACCATACCATCGTCGGTACCATCAGTGCTATCATGGGCAGATTTACCATGCATGGATTCATGATTCATCATGAATCTTTCGGAAGATGATGCCATGCTTGAGCCTGACAAACTATGGTATTGCCTGTGTTCAGCCCAGAGTTCCAGGGGCGTTTATCGTTTCAACATGGATAATAGACCCGGCTCGGTCATGGAGACACAGATTGTCATAAAATTGAGGGATGTCGCAGGCCGTTGCAGGTGATGGAAGCACGGTCGACAAAAGCCACCTTTGATAAGACCGTGCTAGTTGTTGGAGAGTGTCTACCCAGAAGATTGTCCCGCCAAGTGCGATGTTGAAGCAATGTATTTACACGCCAGATATGTGGTTCTTGTTGTCAGCAACGATATGAATCGGAGGATAATCTGACCGCTATTTGAACTGATAACGATGACGATTTCACTGAGCGAGCGATCACCCGCGAAAGGATAGTGTTTGTCTTAATGGGCAGCAATGGTATATATGAGCCCCTTGGATGACGTCGAAAGCCTGCCAGATGAGGGAATCCTATGGCAGTTCAGCTGATCTTTTGCAATAGAAAAATGACAACCCGCGCTTAGACTATGGCCACGCCAGAGAGACGGATAGCCGGAAGTCTCGTGACACACAAACTGACCCCACAAAGGCTCTCAGCAAGCTAACGACGGGGTTCAAGAGCATATATAAAGAAATATAACATGCAGCAGTATTGCTGAGAAGCAGATAGGCCCCTGTGGTCTATATGCCAGAGTGGAGGGCTGCTCTGTTGATGTGATGGGAGAAGGGGGTGAAGTTTGGCTGGATCGTCCTTATCGTTAGTGGGGCCGCAGTGGCGAAGCCGGTCGGGATCGGCAAAATCGGCACAATCGGTCCCAGTCTCGCCACCGCCTTGGCTTACACCGCCTTTAAATGGTTGTTGTAGGCCAACATGTTTGTCTGTATAAACATGAGCAATTCCTGATGCACTTCTCGGTATCATATTTGGGATTAGCATTGAAAGCACTTTGTCTAATTCAGCTCAAAAACTTCACTATATATATATATATACCTCCGAATTCCTGTTACTATTTATATAGCAAAGTGCGAGTCATTAGCATATGGCACCATCCTGTTTTGTGATTTGTGATTATCTGTTTCTTAGCCTACGGACGGGCACAATCATGAAGAGGTTCAGTTGATATATCGGTGAGAAGAAGGTACCATTGAGAAATAGAGCAGAAAGATAAAGGTATTTCGTGTCCTTTGTATCAAATTCAAAACCAGACTCCTACTTAACATCTCTCTCACGACTTATAACAAAGAATATACAGTCAATTTTTTAGTAAAACGGCAACTAACCACAGATGCATTATTTTGTTTCAGAGAGAGTTCTACTGAGACGAGGTGCTGCTCTCTAGCGTAAGGATTTTCCCAGCACTACGTTTTCCGCCTCGGAAAGCTCACGGCGCTCCGCATGTACTTTCCTATCTGGGATAAATTCATGCTGCGCAAGAGCATTTAACCTATACTCGACCCCGTAGTAAGGTAACTCTTCAAAATATCATTGTCTCGCTGCACCTCCGCTACATGCAAATATGACAACTCCTCATTCATTGCTCTCCGCCGAGCAAATAGACCAGTACTTCGAGCGTATCCAACTTCCCGCGCAGTATCGGAACAACCGTCCCGCATTGACCCCTCAATTCCTCTTCGCACTGCAAGCACACCACATCACAGCAATCCCTTACGAAAATCTATCACTGCACTATGCGTTCGATGTACAGGTTGACCTCAATGTCTCTTGCATCCATACAAAGCTTGTTCAGAGGCGTCGCGGTGGGTATTGTATGGAGAATAACATCCTGGCCTACCATGTCTTGTTGTTCTTGGGGTTCGAGGTCTATCTCACGGGTGCGCGGCTGTTCCGAAAAATGGAGAGCCCACTTGGAGGCTGGTCTGGCTGGTAGGTTGTCAATCAAAAAAAAAATGGAAATCTGTATGCTTAGGGCTATTTACTAACCTGATATAGGGAGCACTCGGTGAATCTGATCACGTTGCCGGATCAGAGTCGATATCTGTTCGATGTCGGTTATGGAGGAAACGGACCTCGATGTCCACTGACTCTTTCTAATGGCAATGTTACACCTAATCTTGGGTCACAATGTGTCCGACTCGTGCGTGACAGTCTGCCAGGCTCGAGGCAACAAATGTGGATGTATCAGTTCCGCAATGCCGACGACCAAGACTGGATTTCTGGCTACGCATTCTCTGAGATAGAATTTTTTTTGCGAGACTTCGAGGTCATGAATTTTTTCACGAGCCGGAGTCCTGGTTGTTTTTTGACTAGTAAGCTGCTAGTAGTCATGTTTCTCCGGGACGAGGAAAGAATTTATGGGAAGATTGTATTGGACCACGATCAAGTAAAGCGGAATTTGGGCGGGAAATCTGAAGTTATTCAGATATGCTATACAGAAGATGAAAGGGTTGAGGCACTTGAGAAATATTTTGGCCTTCATATATTAGTGGAGGAGAAGGCTGCCATCAAGGGGAAATCGTCATCGCTACCTATAGAATAGATGTACATGATATTTTGATTGAGGTGTACAGATTATCATTGAACACGCATAAAATTAGTATATGGATTTTCATTAAGTCTTCCCAGGTTATTAGGGCAATCATCAGTGAGTGGTTTATAAGTGCTGGGTGTAATTTCTTACGTGCATACACAAGGAAAACACACATGAAGTCCATCACAAATATTTCTCTATATATTATCTGTGAACATTAAGTGCTGATTTTCGCGCAATAGAAAAACAAAGACCATCGAACAACCTCCATGCAAAACAAGCCAACCAGGATAATATCCACGGCCTCACTAAACCATTAACATCCACATTCAGAATGTACTTTAGTCCTGAAACAGCTCTGTCAAGCTATATCCGCCTTGGGTAGACCAGAACGGAGGACCCAGGAACAAAAGATGAAAGAGCAGCACGGCAAGTACAAAGCTCATAAACCCCAACAATTCCCCAAAAGCAACTAAGATGCATCACCACAACAGCAAAAGGCAAATGTTCAGACCTGAAATTAGCTATGAGCGAAGAGACGTACGCTAGAAACGGCACAAGATGGAATAGAATTAAACAAGAACAGCTGTGGTGCTGCTAGGGATTCATTAAGTGCCAAGTATGCCACCACGCCAAGACCAAACCAGATTAGCAAAATTTTGCAAATCAAAAAGAAAAAGAAAAGAATAAACGGCTTCAGGCAGCGGTGGCACACGCCTTGCAACAATTTTGGAGGGTTCAAAGCGGGGACAGTCAGAGGTTTGAAGGCAGTTCACAATAGCTAAGCAGCAAAAGGAGGAGCCAAAAAAGGAAATTCGTATCTGGGCATCAATCGAGTCCAAGCCGCCTGAATTTGGAATACAATAGGGTGGGGGTGAAGAGGTAGTTATTCTTCGCTTGAGGGATTTGAGAAGATGGGAGAGGCGAAGATGGGGTTGGTCTGAAACGGATGAGGAAGAAAGATAGGTACCAGAAGTACACACTAGATATAACTTTTGAGAGAGGAGGAACGGAATTGGTTTAGTGCTCATCGTGTAGTTGCTCGACAACCAATTCAGCTGCACTGCCTGCGAAAGACGGCTCATCGGGACTGGCTTCGTGGATGTTATCGTGCGCGCGATGCTGAGCGACGTAACCCATGCTTGAGGGTCTTTCGCTGCGGCTGCCTTCGCGGCCAGTTTTATGACTGGAAGTTAGCGAGCCGCCGGAAGTGGATGCTACTGAAAGACCACGTTCCCTAGACGGCGAGCTGCTACCACTGAACGGGAGGCGTGCTGTGGCAGGAGATGACTCTGGCTGCAAGTATTCGGAATGAGGTTGGTCTGTGAGAGTTGCTGGTTGAGGTGAGCTCTCGGTCACTGCCGGTAAAATGGACTCTCCACCTTCGGCTGCCTCAATGCCAGGCTCTGCTGCTTGTGTGCGCCGAGATCCAACTCGACTAGGGAGCTCAATACTGCCGATGGAGTTGAGCTGCGGGAGGACCGGGGCCATGCCATCGCTGGATTGTTTAGGTTCATGCTCTCCACCTTCCGAGTCTCGGTATGGAGCTTCGGCGGCAGACAAAGACACATTACGCGAGTGATTACCAGTCGCAGGATCTTCTAGATCATCGTGATATGGTTCATTGTAGTCACCTTCAGGGAAGAGTCCCGGAGGAGGGGCCCTGGCGCTTCGAACAACCTCGAAACCTTTGCCCTTGTCCTTGGTCTTGCCTTGGAACAAGTTGCGGAACCAACCGGTCGCGGAGGAGACTGGTCCTGTAGGATCAGCAGGACCCGTCTTCAGCTTGCGAGTGCCGGTATGAGAGAGAGGTGGACCGCGAACTCGGTAATAAAAGTCAACCTCGCGAACTGCATAATCCTTTCTCTGTTGAGTGTCGTCCATCTCCATGTCATCTTTCGGCGCTGGAATGTACGCCGGCACGGGAGTATTGCGGCCGGACATTGGAGGTCCATCGCCAAGGTCCTCTTCCTCGGCAGCAATTCGATTGCCTTTTAGAAAGGTGCGAGAGTTTCTCTTGCCCCGATCTATGGAAGAACCTTGCGGAGTCCGTCGACCTCCAGGCCGAGGCGGTCGGTAGTAAGGATCACGAGGATGCGCACCAATAAATGTGCTACTACTGGGCGAGCCACTCGAGTATCCCCCGGCGCCGGTGTAGGCTGTCGGAGATTGCGCATATAATCCGGCACTCGGGGCACGGCTGTGCGTCCCGCCACCCTGCGAACTGGCGTAATCAAGTATCGCACTGGCGCGGCCTTCGCTAGCCGTCGCACGATTTAAGAGGAGAGCCGAGCTGCCTGACAAACTGCGCGGACGAGACCCATCGAACTGAGATGACATACGATCGTCGTGGTGAGCGAGCATGGCAGCTTCGGAACCCATGCTCTGCCGCGCAATATCCTGTCGGGGCACTCGTCGTGAGAGCTGCCGCATTCCAAAGACCTTCACCAGGCCTCCACGAGTCGTACCACCGGCACCCGCAAGTCGAGCCAAGACCTCAATCAGCGTTTGTAGTGCACTGAGGAAGAATCCAAAAATAAGAACCAAGGCATGCAAGACAAGAATCACGTAACCAATCCAACCACGCGCCGCAGACGAAACAGTCAGCGAGGGAACAAAGACCACACTCATAATGATAGTGAGAAATCGGATGAACGAGAAGAGACAGTGGTAGAGGTTCATATGTGTAGGTCCTGGGAATGGGCGGAAGGCTACCAGTGTCAACACAGAGACCACTTCACAGATAGCCAACAGGACCACCTGAGCAATCCCGGAAGGTTGCAGGGCTCCAATAGCGATTCCGCGGGCGAAATTCAGGAAAATCGGAACCATGGCAAATGCAGCCGCATCATCGCAGTATGTATTGTAAAGGGGTCCGTACAAGAGTACAGTCCGGAGGTCGTCGAAAAGATGCGACTTGGGTCGGGTGGAGATAATAACGCGAACCAGCCAGACGGAGAAGCAGATCACCACGAGGATCACTACCGCAGCTAGGGCAACACTATATACCGGAGAACCCCGGGCGACGACGAGCTGGAAAAAGGAGAGGGAGACGATAGGGAGGAAAAGGTAGTTGAAAACGATGCGAATGATGTTTCCCACGGTGAATGGCATGTTTTTGGCACGAAGATCCTGTTCCGTGCTATGGGCGAGCTCTCGGTGAAGCCAGCGCAATCCGAAGCCAATCTGGGTGATAATTGTGATGATGGCCAAGATAACCAGAAGCCACACCATCGCGCCAGGCCAAATATCTTGCGTGGTGGCCATTCCAACCAACTGGGTCATCCGGTCGAGTCCGTATGTTCCATTGACTGCGTATACACCGTCCACTATGGGGTCATAGCCGCCATCCGGGTGGACGAAGCTCTGGTTAAACATCAGGACCGACCAAGAGCCATGGCTTACAGCCGGCTGGAAGAATCCAGGATATTCCAACGACAAGGAGCCCGTCAGCACCACGAATTGCAAGTACTGCAGACAGTCTGCGAAGCCCGGAGTCACCAGTCGCAGCACATCCTCATCGCGACCATAGTTACTGGTCCATCGGAAGATATCGGTGGTTCCCCAAGGGCTGTATATCGCAGCCAGGATGGTGGTCAATCCAACCAGTAGCAAAATGATCAGTGGAACATAGGCCAGGGCATTTTTAAGCGGGGAGCCAAAGTCGGGTGTGATCGGGACACTGATACAGGCCAACTCGGCCGCGGAGGCATCGCCAGATCGAATGAGCAGAGTCGGCGTGATGGTCGAGAATCGATAGGTGGAGACCATGTCATGTTGAACGGAAAAGGCATCCAGGGTCGTCACATCGCTCCTATAGACAGGCGAGAAGGGAATGGAATTAGTAAATACACATTTTATAAGGGATGCCCGCAGACCGCGGAGATGATGGCTCACAGATTGTAATTGAAGACGGGGCCCAGCGGGCAATCGCCATGGGTGAGGGACTCGCAGAATCGCGAGGCATTGTGCCAGGGCGTGAAGCTCAGCACATTGAATGAGGTCAGCAAGGTCGTCCATTTGTTGTTGGAGCTGCTGAGGTCGACAATCTTGCCCACAGTGTCGTTGGAATTCGTCCACGAGGAGCTATTCCACGCTGGCGCAGTGGACCCATCCGCCGTACCGGACACATTTCCATAGACCGTGACATTCAGCGGATGTAGTGGGTCGCTCAGGTTAAACGTGACGCCGACGTCAAGGGGGATGAATTGCAGCTGCAGCGGGTCTGATTCGAGGATTGTTTTGCTCAAGCAGTTGTCGAAATTCAGCAACGCGGCGGCGGCCGGGGATGCGCCCCAAATTAGACATCCCAGCGCTATCCACCAGGTTGACAATCTCCATCCAGAGGGTCTTCGCCGTTTGGAGGTATCTCGCCATCGGCGGCCCTGAATCAACGCGAGCGCACTGCTTCGTGAGCCCGACCGGGCAGGCTTGCGTGTATCATGCTGAGAGCGCCCCGCGTGCTCATACATCTCGTCCGTCTCGGGCATCCGGGATGACCTCCTGGGGGAGGTCAGCCCCCGGTGTGGGTGATCGAATCCACGTTGGATTGACGATGGGTGTGCCAGGGTCTTCGCGGTCCCGGAATCGAGGGGAGAGCTGGACGCGGACCAGGAACAGCGAGAACGGGGCCTGGCACGGGAACTGGAGCTGAGAGGAAGGGGAGCTGGCTCAAACGGTGTGACTGGGGGAAAATCGAAGGGGCTGTGGAGAGAGGAAGAAGGGAGTTGTGTCTGACCGAGCCAGGATGGTTGGTTTGGCGGGTTTGGCAGGCCGAGAGGGGGTTTCGGGAGATGCCAACGCGAACGCTGGGTACGTAAGTCAACAGCCACTGCGCCCTCCACTAGGCCGAGAGGCTCCTAGTATTTTAGAGCCTAGGCCAACTGCAGTAGAGCGGGAGGTTCCGGAGAAGCAAGATTCGAAAAAAAAAAAACAACTGGCATCCGAGAAAAAAAAAAGAAAAACTAAGTCGTGGTCGTTGCTGCGCCTTGCCGGGTCTGGCCCGGTGGAGATCCCGACTCTGGCCCCATATATACACGACTGGCGCGTTGGATAAAAGGATGGACGCCGGAGGCTGATATTCAGTGGCTGACGGTAAAATAGTAGTGGTATTTGCCCTTTGCAAGCTCCAGCATGCCCTGCGATTTCGCGCATCAAAAAGCGAAAGGGCTGTTCATTCACTCTCCCAGCATAACCCTCCTCTCTGGTCACCTTTGTACATCGCGGGATCAGCCAACGCGTTGATTGCATCGCCCCGATGAACTGCCTCAGCAAAGGATACGATATGTCATGCATCCAGGCCCTTGGTCCTCGTATTATCATTGTTCTTATAACCTGACTCTAGCTGTTAGTATGTGGTTATTATTATTATAATGAGTATTATAAATATTATCATTGGCAGGTTTTAGGGAACACGAGGATCAGTCAATAAATTAGTAAGAACAGCATGCTAGTTACAGTGGAGCCATAAAGTAACAGAGTACTAATATTTCATATTAGCTCGCCTACATCAATTTGGAGTCCAACTTAAGAACTTCGATATGAAATCTGTCATCTTGATTTCGAGATTTACGGTTCCATATCGATGACGTCCTCTTCCCTGCAATGCCCTCGATCCCGATCTATATACTCTGAGCAAACCACGTTGGCAACAGCAACTCCACCACGGCATTCTAAGAGCGGAATCAATCGTCCAGACAGAGACACTTCTAGTGGGTTGGGGTCTCCTCGATGCCCACTCCTCGCTGCTTTGTTTGGATTATCCCCCTCGCGTCCTTCGGCCCGGCCAAACCCTAAGTCCTCCGTTCAGTACAGGGTGCATCCATCCACAGAAGTCGCTTTTTGCGCATTTGAATCATTCATTCCCGTCATAAAGCCTGGCCTCCTTAAATTTACCTTGATTCTACGAGGTTCTATACTTCTTTCTATGGCTGTTTGGGCCTCCACCGGACCTGTTTCAGTTGATCCCTTCAGCTGCCGCGTGTGCTCCAACATTGTCTCACCCACTTGCTGATCCTCTCTCACGGCGCGCAGACTATCATCTCTCAACACCAATACTATATTATTTCTCCCAAGCTTGTAGAAACGCGGAGATAATGAAAAATGTGAGAATCTAGATAGTGGCTCTGGGTTATCCAATTGCATGAGCTCCCCCAGGTTCGATTCCATGCAATCTAGTTCGAGTTTCCTCGTGGACTAGACCCTGATGCCGATCGATCAAAATCCGGCATCGGTGATCGGCCACAGCTGAGCATCATGAGCGCCGGCGTCGGGCCGGCTTGAAGAAAAAAAGAAAAAAGAAAACTGTTATCGTGCTGCACAACCCTGACACGGCGTTTTTCTTGCGTGGTCACTGGCGGGGTCTCAGGCCGTCTGGTGGGGGGTTTCGTGCCAGCGGGGGGCAGCGTCGCCCTGGTGGCTGGTCAACCATGATCTCTTGTGTGTTCAGGCCAATGATCAGGCCATGTGGAGAAAATTCAGGTTTGACCTGGTCATCGTGGCTGGCTAGATGGTAATAGTTGTCCTGCTTATTCTAGTAGGCCTGATCATCGCCGGGGATGGGTTGCCAGCCCCTCCCGAAGCTAACAGAGAAGAACTATCTTCTTTCACCAGACCTTGAAGTGGAAGAATGTTAAGCGTAACATCTCACTTTGTACGAGACGTGGAGGAACAAGGTCGCAGAGCTGCTAGCCGAGGACCCGAGACACGTCTTACGGGTTGTAGCATTTGATATCATCTGCGGAGATCGAGCGAAGCCCTTGTCTCTAGTCCAGCTACTTCGCCTATGCCGTCTCTGTCACCATAAACGCCCTGGTATGACTAGTGAGTTGCTGCTGAATAGGTAGAAGGGGTTCATCTAGGGTAAGTCATGAGCCAGCAAATCACTCCATGTTGGAACTGCATCTGAACATATTTATAAATTCAAGATAAATCACTATGCACGGCACGAAATCATCTATGACGGCTGGAAAGGACTCAAAGCGATTACAGTATAGACATGTGGGTTTATTTGATTCCAAAATTCCCCGCCTCGCCGGCACAATCCGGCAAATGTCTCTCGCAGAGATATACGTAAGTAGCCAAGGCTCGGTTATATTGAATATTCTTCCGGAAGACCGAATTGTATGCTTGTTCATTATGGGTCTTCAAAACCTAGGGCAGAAAATAAAGGGCCCGGCCATGCAGCAGTTCTTTGACCAAATGTGTGCCAGGAACGATCACCTGGACAGTCGATGCGAGTCATAATCACACCCACGCTCCTAGCTTGCTTGGCCCATCAGTTATATCGAATTGAATATGAATACCTTTGTATCTATGCACATGCGTAATTATAAAGTCAATAATCTACTCGGACATGCAAACAGCCCTTCGAAGCTCAATTCACGAACGACCCAACATAACCTCAGTTGGATGCCAGTGAAAACGAAGTGCGAATTAAAATGCTCTCACATTCAGAAAAATCTGGATAAGAACCCGAATTATTCACCTCAGAAGTCTTTTGAAACATTGTAAAGTGATTTTCAACTTAGCTTTCTGCCTACTACTTATATATTTTCTATTAGTCAAAGACTACATTGAATATTTCAACCTCCTTGGGCAAGGAAGATTAGATTCATGATTTACCGACTGTATTAAATCGCATTCACACTAATGACGATTGTAGGATCAAGAGGATCTATTGTTCGTCTATTACGCAAAGGACAGATTTCGATATTCATGATTGCGATCCGATCGGGAAAAAGGCAATAATGCAAAGAGAAGATCAGAAAGCGATTGATTCAAGGCGCCCATTCATACATTTTCTTTTCTTTACTCTTCTTCTCTTTTCTCTCTCCCGTTGCATCTTGATGGCGTAGCTGTGTACAGGGGCAGGCAGACGTGGCTGTGGATGGGCCCTGGAGGATGTGTGGATCGTAGCTGAATTGAGACATTTGGAATTTATAAATACGATGTAGTATGCGTTCTCAATCAAAGCCTAGACCAACCATTCAAACCCCCTTTGCATGAGTCAGAATCGACAAGAGATCGAGTTGTCTAGCCTGCAACAGATACGTACGTTGCAGACCTGGAATGGATATATCTTGTTGTCCGCGGCTTTGGTGATGTGGATGCTTGAGCTGACGACAGGGTTCGCGTTATGTATTCATGGATAGGGAATGTCTCTGTTTCTTTTCTTTTTTTAAAAGTGGCTCGAATTACCCGCCAGTAACGAAGGCCAATCATCATACCGGACGTGTCGATCCCTAGAAGCCTGCGAAGTTGTTATACAGGCCATTCTAGAACCGCCCCTCCCGTGTAAAAGTAAACAAGCTTCTGTATCGTCTGTGCTGGTGTCAGTTCGTCGGAAGGTTCTTGAAGGAAAGGTATTCGTTGATGTTGCGGTGACGCCGAGAATAATAGCAGTTCTATTTGTCTCAAGCGCTCCGCTGGGGATAATCCTATCTGACAGCGGGCGAATAGGAGGGGTCGGGCGGAGCCAGGGATTTGCATACCAACCGGTAAGTTGAGCATGATAGCATTATGTATGGCACTTCCAAGGGCCCCTGCATGAAGGGCGGGAGGACGAAAGGGGCAATCCGCGGAAGAAAGGGACATTCGATCAACTGCCACAACGGAAATGGGCGCCAGCCAAGCCAAGCGGTGGCGGGTTTTAGCGTTTATTGCGAGGCCCCTTCTGCGGAGGGACCCTGGGACGTCCCAGCGTACTAGTGTACAGAGCGTCTCGAGCACTATGGACGACGTCCTCCGGATGAGTACGAAGTATAGGCAGCCAAGAGGTGATCACTCAAGTCGGTACCAGATACTAGATCACTATGGAGTGGTCTCCATCGACGCAATTGTACCCGACATCATGTTATAATTGTTCAACCCCGTTCAAAGTGTTGAGATCGATCCACAACCAGACACAGTCCGTCCCAAGGCTGGAACCGAAGACGTATACGGTCGGCAGGGTTGGAATGGTGTCGAGGCATTTATATTTAGGACCCCGGTTTCAGGGTATGTCTTAGAACCTGAGTGATTTGAGTATGGAGATTATGGGGACCAAGCCCTAAACCCCTTCGGCAGTACCGCGACTTGACAGCCGGGCGCCCTATCCAGTCGCCGCTATGGCTGAGACTTTTTGTGAATCGATCTCGTCGCATTCATTTCTGGGTTTTAGGGGAAGAGTCAGGTTCATGGTATCGTCTAGAAAGGCCTCGTGGAGGGGACCCATGGCGGTCTATTAATGGAACCAGTACACGTGTAAAGTCGAAACGGAGGGCGCTTAAAGGGAGTTAGTGGGATGAGACATTAACCGCATCGGATCGGGGTAGATGGACAGTGTCCATGCATGCTCCGACCGAGTGCGATATACTGTAATTGCGACATGGCAGCATCCCGGTGGTGATTACTGGAGTCCATGCTACGGAGGTAGATCAGGCCTTTTTTTTTTTTTACTTTCATTCTTGCGTATCCGTGCTGGCCTATGGGATCGACAAAAATCGCGATACCGCCATGGTAGCCGGGGATCCAGGGATCCGCCGGTGCCAACACTCGTCAGCGGGCCCCGCTGGGCCCTCTCGCGCCGCTAAAATCGGTTTAGTCGAGTTTCACGATGAGACCCGTCGGCGGCCCTCATCGTGATTGGGTGGCGTGGCCTCTGGTCCTGCAGCGGGGGCCCCGGGGGGGGGGGGGGGGGCAGTCAACAGGCAGCGGGAAATGAGCAGAAGGAGCCAGGAAATGAAGATAAATGATACAAGACCATGACGACGGCATTCGCCTCGAGTTTCGCAAGGCTACGCGGCTGCAATGGTGGGACCAGCACCCTGGGACCCTTCGCTATGGGAAGTTCGGAGTAGAAGTGTTTAGTAGAAGCATGATAGAAGCCGGAGCCGTAGGTTGACAATATTTGGCCGCGGGGACAGACCTACGACCTGTGTTGATAGATCTCCGGAGCCTCGTAGATGACGTTGATGTGTTTTCACAGTAGTTTTGTATGATAATTCGCCCCGGACCGGCCATCCAGAATCTATTGTTGTCTGGCTCTCCGGCTCTCTGGCTTTCTGATCCCGTTGACGGCACGCCTCAGCATTGAGGGAAGGACCACGACGAGAGCTCGGGGGGTTCCACTGCGGGCAATTGTCTGCGGAGTCGCCTACCACCACCTCAAACTGCCCCTGGGCCAAGCAGAACAGCCCACATGAAATCGCAGTGGCTTGGTAAAGCCGCAATTCCAATTTCGTTTTCTATACTCGGTCCTCGGGACTTTGCACTCGGGACTCTGCAGCTCTGTAGCCCAGGCCCTGGTTGCTGGTGTCTAACGGAGTATAGAAATTCCAGAATCTATACCCTCTTCAATGGCTTATCCTTATCCCCTCGACCCCATGTTCCCACATTTGACCTCCGTCTTACTACATACTCCATCCGCAACATTGGATGGGTTGGCTTCCGCTCTGCTTGCTCCCGATGGGCCTAGTTCTGTTGTCAAATCGACTAGCTTGGAGGCCAAGGACCCAGGGTTCGTTGCGTCTTATTCTGCGTTATCATGACCAAGTGATCGGTCTGAAGATCGCCCCATCTTCCCGGTCACCATCACTATATACCGTCCAGTGGGATGGATATTGTAGGACATTCAGGAGGAGTTAGCATCACCGCCAGCACCACTCCTCCTCCTCTTCCTACTCTTTCTACTCCGTCCTTCCTACTCCTTACGAGCGTGAGAGCCTGATACTCGGTTGCCCAGCGTGGCATAGCGGCCAATCTTCGGGCATGGGGAAAAAGCTACTCGATCCCAGTGCTCCACCATTCATCTGTCGTCCTCATCGGCCTAGCGACTACATAACTTCCCCCTTAAAATAAACCAAGTTCGTAGCGATTGCATGACGATCCCTCGGCTCCACTAAGAGTCCCCCAAACCCTCCTTTTTATTTTTATTATTTTTTGTGCTCGACGTTCCCCCCAGTTCCCAGGTTGAATCCAGTTGGGGCACTTGCACTCAGTCACTAAGTCCCTAGTCACGTAACTAACTGAGTAGCCCGTTCGCACGGGCGCTTACTACTCGGCCAACGCCCCTCCTTGTGTCCGCTCCGTCCTTTCACTTTCTTCCTCTCTTCTTTTCTCCTTCCTCCTGGGCTTGCTTTCCTTCCGGGTTTACAATCGGGTCGGTCTTTTGTGTTTGCTTGCAACCTCCTCCCCCGTTCCAAAGCGTCGTTCCCGTTCTTCCCCGCTATTGCGACGGCGCCACACGCTCCAACACCTCCCAACCCACACTTACCCCCCCCCAACTCCTCCAACATTCAGCGCGAGGGCTATCGAGGGGAGGAACAACAAGCGACGGCTTACTCGGTTGTTGGATCTTCAATTTTTTTTCTCCCATCCAGAAGTGCTCGGACACCAGTGGACGTGACGGTTGTTGATTGTATTGATCTGAGGAAACCGCCAGCACCACCACTATCCAGCCGCAGTGACTGTGGGCTTTTTGACGAGGACTGGTTTCCTTGTCAGTTCGACGAATTGTATTTGTCGCCCTGTCATGTTCATGGTGACAGTAGCGTCTTTGCTTGTGCGCCCCGTTCTCTGTCGACATGCCCGCCGATGACTCCTTTGCCTTCCTGGCTGCCGAGCAGCCCAAACCCGTCAAGAAGCCTCACTGGCGAGATAAGCTCCTGAAGTCGCGAGATAAGAGCAATCGCTCAACCGCCGACCAGCAGATCCAAGACTTCCTAGCCTCGAATCGTCCCGTGCCAGTCCCTGTCGCAACCAACCAAACCCCCGCCAAATCTGAATCTAGAGATGGTACACCCACCACCGTCTCAACGCATCAGATTCCCTCTGCGCACGATGTCTCCCCCGTTCCCCCGCCGCCGATCCCTCCCTCCATGCCCGAGCAGTATGTCGCGTTCAACCCCAAGGAGGCGCCACCGGAGCCTCGCGAGCTTCCCGACCCCCCTCGGTCCCGCCCGCACCGCATGCGCAAGGGTCTCCATGTAGGATTCTCCGATCGCGTGCCCGAAATTATCGGCGAAGGTGGCGATGAGACCGAGACCCCCACGATCGAGATATCTCGGGACCGGCAACACGCGCGCGACAAACAGCAAGCCGTCTACCCTCAGAGGACGCCTTCCCGGTCCCCCAACCCGTCGCGTTCTCATCTGCCGGCACTGACCGTCAATACCTCGCTGGGCGATGGTGATGGTCGATCTCGACGAGGAGGTTACCCGCAGGGCCAGCAGCGCGGAGCCAGCCCAAGCGCGAGCCCGAACACGAGCTGGAAGCCGCCCCTCATGTCCGACCCGCGAGACACGGATATGCTGAGTACCGTACACCTCGAGACGTCTGGCTCGCGTCTGTCATTTCGGGGGTCGCCGGACTCGCATTCGTTTGCGGAGCGTGTTCGCAACCAGATGCAGGCAGAAGAAGGCCGGGCCTTACAACAACATCGGTATGATGAGGACACTGCATCCCCGGCGGATGACGACGAAGACGATCTTTCCAGCCTCAACTCCCCACCATCTCACAGCCCCAGAAGTCCCGACGAGTCAGTCTACGACACACCTGCTTCTCAAGCCGGGCCTAGCCTCAAATCTATCGTTCAATCCATCCGCCATCCTTCCCGCCCAGCTGTCCATCGTGACCATGCCAATCTGAGTCCCGTTGATCCTCGGATACCCCCGAACTTGACGCCAGGAAGCCCGGCCAAATCTTCGCCAGGGCCGCCTAGAGTCCCAACCCACGAGCCGCAGCCGCCTCCTATGAACCAGGCGGTTTCTCTGACAGGTCGAGATGGCCGGGAATCGGTTCGCACTCCGCAATCTGCTGTCATGAACCAGGTGGGCACTCCGGTATCCAGCCACAGTGCACACGAGTCATCTCGAGGCCCACAACCGCCCAAGATGTCTTTACGCTCAGTTGCCAACCAGATTGGCGACACTTCTTTTTCGGACTTCAAGGATTATGTTGCCAAGTTCGACAGTCTCTTCCAAATGGCCGCCGAGAATGTAAAACCCCTCGTGGAAACCGCACTGGCTGAATGGATTCGTGCTGCAGTCTGGTGGTTCTTGCGGGGCAAGACGCGCCTGGAGGCTTTCGCTCGTGCTCGGGCAACCGCTCCCCCCAGTTATGCCAAGCAAGCTGTTGTGGATCTCGGGAAGTCATTATGGATTAATGAAAATATTGTCCCTGGACATTATGAACTTAGCCGATACGGTTCAATGAACATAGAGGCCCTCCTCGCTGTGGTGAACACGACGGGTGACAAGGAGATGATGGATCTTCTCACCTTACATCAGACCCTGCTGAACCATCTTCGGTCGTTGTCTATGTCTATCAAACGGAATAACATTCTGTCCGTGATTGCTTCTGATGATCATTCCCCCAGCCACCTGGACACCAGCGTGTGGCTACGATACCCTTTCTTTGCCCCCGATGTATCGACTGTTTTGTCCGGCAATGCTTCGAGATCGATGCTGGCAGATAAGCCCGGCAAGAGCCCGAGTATGATTTACATGATGCCTCTTGGAGATACCAGCCGATACTTTAGCTATGGTACCATGTTTGTACAAGCATGTGTGAGCTCCAGCGATGATGATGGACAGCAGTATGCCATGCCTTGTGCTTTGACGATTGTTCGAGAACGCTCCGATTGGTACGTTTTCGCCGCCATCACCAGCCAGAGCCAACTTGTCAACGTCATGATTCAATCCGACCGTAAGCAGGGACCGACCTGGGATGACGTGGACTGGCAAGTCCGATCTCATTCCATGCGTGTGAAGCTCCCCCGCGGGTTCGAGTTGGACGTCATGTTCAAGGAGGATGACTTCAAGACTCTCTGGAACATTGTCAAGTACACACAGAAATCGGAGGCCAGCCTGTCCCCGGAGCCTGGTGAGAATGTGGTCTTCGAAAGCACAGTTAAGGTCTTCCAATACATGGATTCGGGTTCGCCCAAAGCCTTTCCCTCTGAGCCATTGGAACGCTGCCGAATCCGCTTATTTGAGCGATCTGTTACGGTGACGGAAGGTACTGGAAAGCGAAATGCGCACCGAGGGTTCCGTCTCACTGTTTTGACGAGCCCAAAGGTGAAGACCCTCAGTCATGTTAAGCATCTCCTCGGCTACGGATCACCCGTTGTATTTGGCTTGCTGAGAGGAGAAGATGGCGCTCCCGCTCTTTTGCTCAAAGTCACGGAAGACGGTCGTACCCGGTCTATGCTCATGACTTTCCATGAAGTGGAAGAGCGAACGAAGATCCATTCCGTGCTGCTTGGCATGGTGCCTCGTAACGGCGAGACCAAGACCCCAGATATCCCGCTCCGCTCTTATACCATTGAACAGCCCGGTGATTCGGCCAGCGGTCGCCCTCCAACCACCTGTCTCTCCTTCCCAGCCGGCAATGCCTGCGTTATTGATCAAGAACACGATTACGTGGACCATGGATACGGTCCCACCATTCTCTCGGAACACCTGAGGGCGTTTATTGCTACTGAGTGGGGATCTGTTACGGATCGAATTAATTTAGGTATACATCTCCTGAAGCCCTATGTGTTTTTAATATTCTCCATGATCATTGCTTACCTTGTCTGTTCTTCTTGTAGGACCTGGTGAACTTAAGATTGGCCTGGATGTCAACCGTGTCACTGGCATGAGCCTGTTCCGCCCAGCACAGCAGGATTTGACCGTTTCGCTAGCGGACAACCTCATCAAGCCTGAGATGCCTGATCAGGTATCAGACTTCCTTCGGAAGATCACTGCCAGTCCCATGGTCCGCCGGTTGGACTTTGGCACTATGCAGGGTATGCCACTTTTTCCCCACCCGGAATCTGATTTCATCTCTACTTAGCCTCGTTCCTTCCTCTTGCTGACCTCTTTTTAGATCTCCACGCCTTTGAACAAGCCGTGACTGGTTTCCAAGTCATCTATGATGGGTGAGTCCTTTTCCCTTGGTCTCTACGTTTGGGCACAAGAGATTGCCCGCCCGTTTCGATATTCATTTCTCATTAATTTTATTAGAATTGCATCCTCTTTCACCATCTCGCGTCGCCGCATGGTGGTTCCTATCTACAAGAAATGGGAGGCTAGCCTGGCTCGTATCCAGATTGTGCGACAAGAAAAGGTGACCCAGCTGCTTGCATTCTTCGCCGACTTCCACCACGGTACCTGCATGAACTTTGTGCTCAAAGGCACGGATCACATTGAGACCTTTGGCCGATCTGGCAAATTCGGTATCCGCATTGTTGATGCCAAATTCGCGCTTCCTAAGAAGGATGATGACCCGGCGTCGAACTTCGTCTGTCTGGATATGCCGGAGTATCCTATTGAACACGACGATATTGCTATTGCGTTCGATACAGAGGCTGGTGAGTCTCTCCCGCGCCCCCTTTTTCGGTTACTTTTCTTGTTCCCTATGGCTTCATGAAAAGGCCTGTTTTGACCTAGTATACTAACCCCTGTTATAGATCGATCTGCGCTCCGGGTTGCTCTACCGGGATCAGTGCGAGAGCCCTCTCGAATGGGGTCATTGCGTCGATAATAGCCCTCTCTATGCTACTTCTCCCCCATCATCCCCTCGTTCATCCATATATCCCTTTGTCGTTCTCCCTGCTATCCCTTACGCATACTTCAATGCCTCCAATTCATTACCGAAACCGAAGCCGAAGCCGAACTTGCCCGCCACTTCTTCCCCGCACCACGTGACCTGTCTTCCCCTCTTCCACTCGTCTCGACCGTTTTTCCCTCTTCTCCACCTTCTGGCTTGATTGTATTATATCTTGACCGCCGATTTTTTTTCCCTGTGCATACATTTCCAAGAACATAGCATAACCATGTCGCATAGCGTGGGCACTTCCACGCGTTCTCTGCACGCGGACGACGCGCTCAATGTGGTCGCCGACGTTGCCCCTCCAATGCACTTGTCCACCACCTTCCGATACTCTGATGATCCTGCCGCTCTAATTCCTGCGGCCGATGCGGCCGATGTTAGCAGTGTATGCCAATGACCCTGTGTTTTGCGTTGCTCCTGTCGCCCTTCCTCCTCCGCCCCCTTCTAGCGAATATCTTGTGTCAAATCGGATCGTTTATTGTGTTCTAAACTTACCTCTCTTTCTCTTTCTCTTGACTGCCCCGTAGTCCGACGTCGACCCTACTTCGCACATCTACTCCCGTCTCTCCGCGCCCAATCCCACGCGTTTCGAAACCATTCTATCATCCCTGCTCCATGGCGACGCCATCAGCTACTCCTCCGGTCTCTCCGCCCTCCATGCGGCCCTCACCCTCCTCAACCCGCGCCGCATCGCCATTGGCAACGGCTACCACGGCTGCCACGGCGTCATCGCCCTCTTCACCCGCCTCACTGGTCTCCAAAAGCTCGACCTCGACTGCCCTGCCGAAGAACTGCACTCCGGCGACGTCATTCTCCTCGAAACCCCCGTGAACCCGTATGGCACGGCCTTTGATATCGCCGCCTACGCCCAGAAAGCCCACTCCCGCGGTGCCGTCCTCATTGTCGACAGCACCTTTGCCCCGCCCGGCCTGCAAGACCCCTTCCTCTTCGGCGCCGACCTCGTCATGCACTCCGGCTCCAAATACTTTGGCGGTCACTCGGACTTGCTGTGCGGCGTGCTCGCCACCCAGCGCAAGGACTGGGCCACCCAGCTCTTCACCGATCGTGTCTTCCTTGGCTCCGTCATGGGCAACATGGAGTCCTGGCTCGGCGTTCGCTCCCTGCGCACCCTCGATGTGCGTGTTCAGCGCCAGAGCGCCTCTGCGACCACCCTCATCGCCTGGCTGCACGCCGCCTTGGTCGATCCCGCGCCCGCTCCCACCTCCGACGCTGCCGCTGTCCGCGCCGTCCTGGCTTCCGTCTCTCACGCCAGTGTCCAGCAACCCACCGGTAACTGGCTACAGAAGCAGATGCCGAACGGCTTCGGGCCTGTGTTCGCAATCACCATGCGCGAGGAGCGCTTCGCGCGTACACTGCCTACTAAACTACACCTATTCCAGCATGCGACAAGTCTAGGTGGCGTCGAGTCGCTGATTGAATGGCGGACGCTGTCGGATGCGACGGTGGACCGGTGCTTGTTGCGGGTCAGTGTGGGACTGGAGAACTGGGAGGATTTGAAGGCGGATCTGGTGAAGGCGTTCCGGGAATTGGGCGAGGAGTAGACAAATTCATAGATGTGGGATGCTGTGGTGATTTATTTGTGGGATTTGCCCTTTTTTTTTTTTTTTCCTGCGTCTTTCTTTCCTTTCTCCCTTTCCTTTTTCTAAGGATTGGAGGTCATTTTTATGTAGTTCTGTCGACTGCATTGGGCGTTTGGAGCGGCTGTTATGGGCACTTTCTCGCGAGGTCGAGTATAGAGCTTAATGTCAACATTGTTGTATCTGGGCCATTTCTAGTGAAAACAAAACAAAAGAAAAGAAACAAAATCTTAAAAATAGTTCTTCCATGAAACAATTATAGAAGTCTGGAATCAGACATGCAGGGTTGAACCGTATCAATTCCATTTCTCGAACTAGACACTGTGTATACACTTTCGTAATATCGCAATCACCGGACAGCGGGCGACCGCGTCGGAGCTCCCCGCATTCTGGTCTTCACCATCTCCGCTCCTCATCCTCATCCTCCTCATTTTCTCTCTGCCTCTCATCTTGCTTCCCCGAGGACAATCAGTCAACCTCGTTCACAGAATGGCCTCGGCCTTGCCAGAATTCTCCTCTACAGGAACGTTCACTATCCACTATTTTGCCTCGGCCTCCCAGTTCACCTCCAAAAACACCGAGCGCCTGCCCGCTCCGCTCCCACTCGCCCAGCTGCTGGAGGTGCTGGAGACTCGATATCCGGGCATTCGAGAGAAAGTCCTATGCAGCTGTAGTTTCAGCCTGGATGATGAGTACGTCGACGTTGAGGAGGATGCACAGCGTGTGATTCAACCGGGCGAAGAGGTCGCTGTCATTCCGCCAGTCAGCTCTGGTTAATTGGTTAACCCGGCGTCCCTGGGCTCCGATACCAGCTCCCCATATATACATACATATATTTGATACGATGTTGCCGGGCTGGCAGATAGGATTGAATTTGGGCAACGTATCATTCTTTTTTTGTTTCCTTTGCTCGTCTTGCTATGAACTGTCACATATATCTTTCATGATCGCTCTGTTCACGGAACAGACCACCCGACGCGAATTTGTCTAGTACTGATTGATGCCTTTTCCCTCGATGACACCGGACTCAAACACCATTATAAATTTATGCATAGGACCCCAAGAGATGATCGAGATGAGAAAAGAAACAAAACTCCCCCAAGCGAAAAAAAGATGACAGAGAAGAAAATAAAGAGAGAGGGAGAGGGAAAAAAAAAACTCCAAATGTAAATACGAAAGAGTAGGGCTTGTGTGTCCTTGTTTCTGTTCCTACTAGTCGTCCCGACGAACGGTTGCCACGAACGGTTGCCTTCGAATCTATCAAGAGAACCCACCCATGTCGTCCATTCCACCACCTTGCTCCATAACTGGTTCGCCCGCGTTGGGGTCGTCCTTCTTCTGTCGGTTCAGGGACATGCTGAGCATGATGCCAAAGAAGATTGCGCATCTGCAAAATGTTTAGTCAGGGGCTCTTCGATTGTTCGGACGTGAGACGAGATGGGAAAAGAAAAAAAAAAAAAACAAAAAAACTTACGCGAGCAACACGTAAAAGATCCAGATGACCCGGGTTGCCCAGCAGGTGAGCTCACTGTGTTCCATGAAATCTGTTGTGCTGAGGACTTGCCGCTTGCTGAAGAAATGGCCAGACCGTCGGACATGGAGATCACCGCCGGACTTGGGGTTCTTGCACGAGAACCACCAGATCTTCTGGCCAAATAGGGCACACAGAATCGCCAGAGGGGTCAAGAAGGATAGATCAATCAAGATCATGTGCACGAAGGTCAGTTGGTTATCGAAGTACCGTACCACGCAGAAGAAGCACCATAATACATTCACAATACACTGAACTCGCATTAGATCGGTGATTTGGTCCAGGAGCAACCGGAGAAAGGGCAAGGACAGAGCAAGAACTAGAAAGGAGAATGCAGGGGTCACTTACCACGACGATCAGACCGATCATATACCCGGTCGAACAGTTGAGGATCGCGAAGAAGGTCGCGATAGTGGCGATTGCCGCTAGAAGCAGGGCAATCTCCAGGTAGCGGGCCTTGATGAAGATCTCACCCGAGAAGTGGTATGGGGGGAGCCTCTTCGGCTTCCGGATCGGCGGCATGGTGTCTGATTAAACGAAGAACCGACCTAGAAACAGCAGAAAAGAGAAGAAACTCGTCAAGCCGGTTGACGCTCAGAGGAACCCAAAAAGAGAGAGTGTGTGTGCAGCAGTCGATATCACCGTACCCCCAGGGCTCGTCGATTAATAGAGGAAACGTAGTGGCCGGCTACTTGCCTGCGCAAACCACCGGCAGCGGATGCGCTTGAGGAGAGAGTGGATGTCGGGTGAAATAGTAAAAGAGTGCAAGAGTTCAACAGCGTCGCCTCGACTCGGACCTTATATAACGGAGGAGGAATGAGGTCGGCCGCCCAACACACAATGCCTTAAAACGCCAACGGACGTTCTAGATCGGAGATCAAATTAGTAGCACGCCAGAACATCTCTGGGTCGAGCATCCACCTAACAGACGCATTGCAGCCTCTCATGACTCCTGTGCTTGTGTTGGATGTCAGACAAGCGCCATGCGCAACGGAGAGTGTGAGGTACGGAGCAATAAGCTGCGGCGTTGGCCAGGCAAGCCACAGGCCTGGCAGACTATTTCGAAGATAGATTTCAAATTGAACTCTGAAAGGCTAAGTGTCGTGCACGTCTCCATCGGGTTCTCCATCCTCGGGTTGGTTCCACCCCCGGCGCTTCCTGAAGAAACCCTCAAGAGTCGGCCAGCACGACCATTCAGGGCCTAGGGCGGCTAATCTAATGGCATCCTAGTCGACAAATGAGCTAAAGCTGTGGGTCGATCATGTTTCATCCGCGTCTCGTCGTTATTTTTGTGTCTCTGCCGCCTCTCTCCACCGTTGGAATGTATATATAGTCTCCGGCGCGTGGCTCGTATCATCTAGCAGATATCTCTAACTCACCAGGAGACTTAACAGGGGCACATATTCCCTCTCCGACAACTCACCCTCCACCAGTCAAACTCTACACCCTTCTGTGACTATTGACAAGTACACTACCAACCCTGTTGGGGGAAATAATCAAACCTTTCCACGTTTTGCGAAATTAAGATCAAGCTCATTATTTCTTTCGCCAGACTCAACCTCTTCCCGTGGCCATGCTGGTAGCCCCAGTCTTCTGACTCGCTCGTTTCTGAGAAGCGAATATGATACCAAAAAGTCCCAACAGGTCTAGGCCCCGAACAATCAGCTTGTTTCATGCCCATCCACGCAAAAAGAAAAGAACCAAGAAATTATCTCGAACCAACACTTCACACATTCCTTCACTTGATAAGCATTTGTCTGGACCTATTCGATAACCGAGGCAACAATATCTTCGATCGTTACCCAAAGAGAATTCATATTTCTAGCAACTTCTGACAGGTAAGGTCGAAAAACAGAGCATCGGTCGCACCCACTCAAAGAACGATGAAAAGATCTTCCTGAGGGCTCCCTAGAAGTCCTTCAAAAATTCTTTCCAGGCATAGGAATGGCGGCTGCCGGGAGGGTTAGAAGTTGAGCTGGGTTCCTCAGTTTGGGATGACTCCTCTCCTAACTCCTTTTCCAATCCTTGTTGTCAATCAACTCATACTAAATTGACGATTATCATTCTGAGCAGCTAAATAACTAATTACAGAAATGGGTCAGTGATGAGTCGACAATGTAAATCCACACAGGGACACCGGCGCATCTCTATTGGAGGGGAGTTCTTTCGACTGCTCGCCGCGATTGACTATCTAGTAGATTGTATGAAGCATGGAATAACCGGAAGGAGAAGGTCATTTATTATTCGAACTTATTCTCCTTCCATTTTTTTCCCCTCCGAAGATCTCAACAGCCTCAAACTAATCTTTTATCCCTCCACTTTAGTTGGCGCGGGGGCAGGTGAAGATGTCCCCGGGCATCGTCTTGGCGAGATCTCGTCTTGCGCATTCGCACCCCTGCTTCAAACCTACTATCTACACTTGGTCTCTGGATTATGCTATAAAGAACACTGGGATATTCCCGAGGCTCAATGCGAGTCGATGTGGATATGGACAAGAATGCTCATTATCTACCGGTGGTGCTAAAAATATCCCGTCCACCCACACTTTACTCCAACCGCCAGCCGCCGCTGGTCCGCTTTTGAAAGAAGCCGTCGGGATCGTATCGCAGCCTCGTCTGGAGTGCCTGCTCTTTAGATGCGGGGGCAATCCGGCCCCAGTAGTCCTGGCGGTAGTACAAGTCGTTCATGAAGAGCGGTCGGTATACATCGGGCAGGAGACCCTCGTCGATGTTCTTCTGCACCAGGTTCCCCAGTCCCTGATACAGGTTTTGGTTGGCTTGGTCGATCTTTTCGTCATCTATCGCGAACGAGTACGAGAAATCCAACTCGATAAAGATGTAGTTGGTGTCCGTTGGAACGGAAAGAAGGTCCTGTGCCTGTTAGCTCGTTTGCCCTAGAAAAGAACCATAAAAATAGTTCGTCAGGGATTAGGGTCTGCCTTACTCCACCACGATCTTTGGCCTTTTGGGAGAAGCTCTTGGGCACAGGCTGGAATGCGATGGATCCAAGGACGCCAGTAACACCCAAGACAGTGTTTGTCACATTGAACCAGTGATCATAGTACTCTTGCAACACGGAAGACCCGACCGCCTTGCTTGGAACAGGGGTTGTCTCAGTGGCGATGGTGTATCGTTGTCCGCTATAAACGCTATTAGTGCCATCTTCAAACTGGCTTCCTTGGGCTCACTAACTGGAGGATGAAAAAGTCATTGTTTTTCAGCAGGTCATAGTAGGTATCCCACGTCTTGGTCGTCGACGTATGCTCGATCGCGGTGAACTCATCGAACACGCCAGCTGGTGGCTCAGGGCCATCGTAGAATAGGAACATGATCCACAGATCGAGCACCAGGCCATGCTCCGCGGTTAAGATAATAGCAGCCTTGTCATCGGGATATTCATCCACAAAGTTGCGCAGCGCAGCCAGCAGTTGCGGTGTCTTGTCCGCAGTGAAGACATAGTTCCCACCCCAGACCTTGCCCGAGGGGTGCGTCTGCATGGTATAGGCCGTCACAACACCAAAGTTGTTTCCGCCACCTTTGAGAGAAGCAAAAGATCTGCGAATAACACTTAGTTTGACCCTGAAGTAGACGGGGTGGCTTGTAATTGGATCTTCACCGGTATTTTCCTTTGCATTGGCGTTAACAATTGTGCCATTGGCCAGCACAACTTCATAATTCGCGACATTGTTGGCCGCCCAACCATATTGGGTGCTCAGAAAACTCATGCCACCTGGAGAACATCAATATTAGGACCTAAAATGAAAATGCTACCCCTCGAAGCAGCTCTCATACCTCCGAGCATATACCCTCCGATTCCCACTCCTCCGAGCCGACCTCCCACCACAGCCCGGCCTGTCCCAGCTAGTCCATCCTGTGCTTCCTCCCACGAGAGACCGGGTCCAATGACTGCAGTCTGGTCATCTTCGTTATAGAAGACCGAGTCGAGGTTTTTGGTCGAGATCAACAGGCCGTCCTGGATGCTAGCGAACCCGTTATTGGGCATATGACCTCCCGATTTCACCGCGAAGAGAGTCTCGACATCGTGCAGCTCTGTGATGATTTGTGACATCTCAGCCGCGCTCGATGGCGCGGCAATGCAAGTGGGCTTGAGATCACCGCACGCGGCAGACCAATAATTCGTCAAATCGGTCGTATAGTCCAATGTCAAGGGGTATTCGACATCAATTCCATTTGCCTCGAGTGTCGAACAGATATCGGCATGCGCTAGGGGAGCTAGGACAGCGAGGGACAGCGCTAGAGAGCGCCAGCCTCGATTAGACACCATGGCGTCAATGATGGCTTCTAACAATATTAAATAGGATCAAATAAGATATATGGGGGGTATAGATCAACCACAACAGCAATTAAAAGAAGGATGCTAGATGCGAGGGGGAGGGCCGGCGAATAAGGGGAAATGTGCTAATCCAGACACACACGACACGAGAGAGCAAGATAGAAGCGGGCCTAGTTGGATTATTATATACAACATGTCATTGAATGAATTGTTAACTAATCAGAGGTCCTGACCCCGAAGAGGCATCTAAATTCGGAGGGTATCCATCAGGCGATGGGCCACAAGCCCGTCCTGGCGTTCCTGATATCCTGGCGTCCCGACTAGGGTGGAGTCCGCGACATGGAGCTGATCCGCTACGGGCAACAGAAGAAAAAGCAAAGCCCCCGCAGGAAGTGGATATACTACAGAATACTAGTCCCTGGCCCGGCGATCTAAAGCACCTTTCATCCCATGTCACGCAATTGCCGGTTCGGGAAGGGAGCGTCCGGTGCTTTTGATTTCCGGAGATATATCACAAATGGGAGGTTCGGAGAGCTTGAAGATCTCTATTTCAATTGCTGGCATATCTATGTTCCGTACTCCATCCGTGACGGACAGCGCACATGGCAACGATGCGAGCTTTGCCCAACCCGAAACCTCGGAATTGCTGATCGCAAAAGAAGTCTCCAACGGCTATGATGTTGATCAAGTCACCTTTCTCTTCTTATAACCGAGAAGTCAATCTGATGCCGATCGCAAGGGTAAGACAAGGTATATCTCTAATTTTAATACATGTGCAGAATATAGTTTCTCAAACCGGTGTGCTCATACTCTTCCCACAAAATTACAAGAATGACCAGTGATATCATAATAACGGGACTCCATTTCCATTTTCACTCGAGCGTCGACTGCAAATAATACCGCGCAGCTTCTGTGACAGATTACGGAATCAACTGACCACCATTCTACTATGGGAAAGCTGGGTCTTGTGGTGTTGGGATCCACTAACCATGCATAGCAAGGACTAGAGATGCAAAAGGTAAGACAGGGCATCCCGCTAGTCACAACTAAAATTTTTTGGCCATAGGATCTGAGCCTGATCAGCCTGATATCAGTCCTTCCACCCCTGAATCTCTAGTAATTTAGTCACAATAAGTGGTGATCTGTGATGGCTACCAAAGATTCACTATCATGGGATACTAAGCCATGGATACTGAATATGTATATACAATACAAATCCCTGCGTGGGAAGAGGGCGCGCTCTTTGAAGAGTCATGGGGGCCATCCATATAGCCCCTCAACCGGGATCGTCGGCAAAGTAAAGACCCTTTAGCGAGAGTTCTCGAACCACAAGAGCCCGAAAGCTTTCGGCGTTGCCCACTCTCGAACCCGGAACGCGTGCGGGGGATTGTCGCCCCTGAACGGTTCCTGGAAAGGCCGGGCGCGACGCCCCATGCAAACAAAGTACCCTCGGGCCCCAGTTCGCTTAGACGAGTCTAGTAATGATGATCGTGGTCTGGCAGGTTTTTGAGCAGACTTGTCCGACCTGGCAAGGTCGATGTGGCTATTCACGTCTTCTCCAACCTTGACCACCTTGACAGACCAAGAAACAGCGGTCGATCCTCATGTGGCTTGAATGTCAACATCACATGAAGCTCGGGTTCCCGAACTTGCCGAGGAAGACAGCCGACGATCTGGAGAAACTTGAACGGAGTTGACAGCCAGCCTTGTTTGGACTTTTTGTTGTACGATAGCGAATACGCTGGTTACGATTTGGATATATATCACTCAAGAAATGATCCAGCGCGAAAGGGCCCGAAACGCCAGTGGGATAATCCGACCTGAAATACGATCGAGGGGTCAATCAAATTCTGCTGTCGTTGCTACGAAGTGCATATAGAGACGATACACATCATTACTGTAAGGTGACGTAAAACACTCCGTACAGAGTCTTCAAGGTGGCTGATTTTGGGAGATGTGGGAGATGCAGGCCAAGTAGGCTGTGCATACTTCGTGCAGGTGCCATCTTGCCCTACAGAAGCCAGTGGCATAGCCGAGCCGCTTAGAATCCCTGCAAGCATCAGCTCGGACGAACTACAGCATTCAGGTCCAAGGATCCAAGAGCAGTGCAGGGATTGAGATTGGACTCGCAGATTAAAGAGCCAGCCCCGACAAGGCCTCGGAAACTATTGATTCTTAGCGCATGCAATCTCGAGGCGAAGGATTCGGCCCGTCAAAGACCTCGATCACACCGATGATTGACAGGCTCGTTGTGCTCGTGTTCATTTGTTAATAAGATAAACCACAAATCAAATGAGGTTCAGGTGCGCACTTGATCTTTATGTGAAGTATTTTAGGGTCAGGGATTGATCTAGACTCCCAGTGGCCACGGAGACCCAAATGTGGAGCGAGATAGAGTGTCCCCCACCGCCCTGGGGCGGTCTTCCTTTATTGCCGGAGTATTTATGCCTGTTTTGGATAATGCGACGTTGTTTTTTGCGACCAACGACCGACAACCATAACATAGCCATGGTGCGCTCGCAAATAGGGGCCCTGCAGCGGCTTTCGAGGTCGCGGCTTCTCTATGCTCTCTGCGTTGGCCGGTCAAGGCCAACGCTATGCTTGCGATCGCAGCCTGCAACTCCCGCGCCACTGACTGGCGCCGAGCGCTCGTTCTCAAACGCGCGAGCATTACGATCGGTGGCAGGGAATCAAGTCAAGACCGAGGTATATTTTAAAAACTCAAAACCCCCGGTGTTTTTGATCTAGAAGATTGAACTGATACGTTGGCTTGCCAGGACTCTGCAATTACGCAGAACCCACCGACGGACGCTGCCGCCGCGGAAGAGGCCCGTCTACAAGCCGAAGTCGAGACCTATCGTAATATTCGACAATACCTTCGCAAATGGCAGGAAACAAACCCCAATGTTCTCGATCCGGTTCGCGAAGCGGGCGACGCTATGGCATCAGAGAACACAGGCCAGTGGGTGGGAAATATGCTGAATGGACGTGAGGCTTTCGAAAGCCTCTGGTCCAGCTCGCGGCTTTCTGTGCAGGACGACTTCGACACATCACAAGAGTTTGAGGGCGACCATTTGGAACCAGGTGATCTTATTGCGCGACTCTCGTCTGATGGGATCTTCAATTTTGCGATCTACGTTCAATCAGTCCACAAACAAAAGCAGTTCTATACTAACCGTGGGAATTGGCGGATCGGCTCAAGTCGCGAAATCGACTATGTCGTAAAGGGCTTTGCAGACCCCCAGTTTCTCGAGCCCCTTAAGCCTTATTTCCCAGACACGGTGACGCAGACTAAATCGGAGCTCCAGATTGTTCCCGAAGGTGGCCTCCCCCGTCCCCTCGGGCGGCCACTTATCGAAATGATGGCCGGGTTCGAAGAACATATCTTGGACTTTTATCGTGATCATTCAAAAGTTCTTGATGATCTTCATGAACTAGTGGCTGATGAGTCGGAGTTTCTTCGGATGACATTGGACGAATTGACTACGAAAGTTCTGGGCATCAGTGAGTCGGAATTGGACATCGTTAATATGTTTGCCGTGCATCAAGCTGTGCGACGCCATCCGTTCATAATCGAAAGGGATTCAAGCTCCCCATTCAACCTCATGTACTTGGTGCAGCCGAAAAGAATTGCTCAGGTTGTCAGTCAAGTCACGACCTGGGTTCATGAACACCAGGACTTCTTAATTCGCTCTGCTATGGGCAAGGAGACTACAGGATTCAAGGATCATCCAGTACAAAAATTTGTTCAGAAGGCACAACGCTTAATCCGCCTAAGTCGAAAGGTCCGATCGCCCACGATCATGTCCAGCGTGGGCCCGTCCTCTCAAAAGTTCCAACCAGGACAGGACGGCAAGCCTATGGTGTTTCGGGAGGTTTTGACGGAGAGATTTAGTAATACCGATCAAGCCATTATCGAATTCTTGCAGCTCTACGCGATTCCATCCGTCGTCATGCCATCTGGTACCCTTCAGTCAACTGCCTCCCATGTTATGCGGGCAACGGGGATGTATAACACTCTGGGATTGAGTGACTCCTCAACCCGTCTTTTCTTACAGGAACTTGGCGTCGTTGCGCCCTGGGAGAATCTCAGTATTTTAGATCAGAACGTGCTGCTTCCGGGACACGGAATGTCCCTGATGGAAGATATGAAATGGGATGAGATCCAAGAGGCTTGTCGTAATATCTCTGGATCATCACCGGATTCCATGCAGCGCCTAAGAAAGGATTGGGGAAATCTACCGATCTACTGTATCGACGATGCTAATGCTGAAGAAATCGATGATGGTGTCTCCATAGAGCGAATTTCCGGCTCCGAGGATACATTCTGGGTGCATATTCACGTTGCCAATCCAACGGCTTTCATGAACCATGACGACCCGATTATGCAGTATGCAAAATCGCGGCTTCTCACAACATATGTACCTGAGCGTACATACCCTATTTTCCCGAAAGGCCTCACCCAAGGTCATTTCAGTCTGACCACCGGCCGGCCCACGTTGACTTTCAGCGCAAAGATGAATCTCCAAGGAGAGATCTTGGATACAGCAATCACCAATGGCACGGCTCAAAATGTCATCAGCATTACACACAGCACCCTCCGCGAGTTCCTCGATCCTGGTGCAAGCAAACCGGATGAGACTCTTACCGTTGGAGGCGAATTCACCCAGTCACCTCTCGTAGGTGGCAAAGTCTTCCGCGAGATACTGTCGACGGAAGATAAAGAAAACTTCACGATCCTACGCAAACTTATGCTGAGATTCCGTGCCCAGCGCCAGAAAAATGGCGCCATGGATCTCCCAAACATGCGCCCCAACACACGCCTCTCGGTCCAGATGGGAACAGAACCCGCTCGGCCCTATGAAATTCAAATCACTGATGGCCGCTACTTCGTCGGCGATCCAATAATCCAGCTCCGCACAGAAGATTTTGACCCGCACGAAGTTCGCGATCAATCCAAGAATTATCTCGTCTCGCTTCTGATGAATCTTGCTGGTCATATCGCCGGCCAATTCTGCGCCGCTCGGAATATCCCTGTCGTCTACGATGGGACCTGGTACGATCCCGAGTATGGCCATGTTACGCGCGAGAATCTTGCCGAATTCGGCGGCCAGTCATTCTATCAATTCGCTCTCCCCAAATCCATCTCGTCGTCCAGCCCTGTGCACCATCATGTTCTTGGTCTCGATGCCTATGTCAAGTGCACCAGTCCACTGCGGCGATTTACCGATGTGATTGCACACTATCAGATCGAAGCTGCGCTTCTCTTCGAACATGAGAACGGCCGCCAGTTTAATGCCGTTGTTGACTCACCCGAACCAGCTGCTGAGGTCTTGCAAGACTCCGTGTCTGAGCAGGACTTACATGCCGCCGACACACAAGCACCTCCCCTCCCCCTTCCCTACTCAAATACCGATATCAATGCTCACATCACCTTCTCGCAACCTCTTCTCACTCGCCTCCGCGAGATCTCTAAATTCTCCACCCAGCACTGGGCATGCATGCTTCTCTTCCGAGCTTTCTACTTCGCCGAGTGCCCTCTCCCTTCCTCATTCCCCGTCATACTGCGCGCGCCGCGCGTGGGCTCTCCCCGTGATGAAGGTACCCTCTACTCAGGCATCATCACCAATCTCGGTATAGACTGCGTGGTGAACATTCCCGACGGCTGTCCTGACAAAGAGAAGATGGATATCTCCGGCGTGGTCGATGCGCAGATTATCGCCGTGGATATGGCTACGCTTGAAGTGCAGATGGAGGCCACCGGGCTGGTCAAGGCGTTTGAGAGAACAGGTGAATGGGCTTGAATCCCCACCTCCATGGTCAAAATAAAGGGCAGGGCCCAGTGTGCTGATTCTGATGTATTATAATGTATACTATCCTCCATTCATACTATCCTCCATTCATACTATCCTCCATTCATACTATCCTCCATTCATACTATCCTCCATTCATACTATCCTCCATTCATACTATCCTCCATTCATACTATCCTCCATTCATACTATCCTCCATTAATACTATCCTCCATTCATACTATCCTCCATTCATACTATCCTCCATTCAACCCTCTAACTCAAGACACAATCGCAATACATCTATCTTCCATCTAGATGTAGGACAGCATTACTACAATGGTTGACTAGTTATATGTACCAAAATGCCGTTTCAATCAACCTAGTTCCCGAAGCGTGGTCTTCTATACAGATGGTTCGTGTTCAACATTTTATAATACATGTTTTTCTATAGTACACATCTTCATCTTCGTCGAGCGACAGATAAAATACATCAAGGAGCCCTTAATCACCTATTATGCTCTATAGCGGTCAATTCTAGAAGCCCAGTCTAGACATCGAACACCTGTTTGACCAGCGCCTTTTTATTCACTGCAAAAAAGTATCAGTAAGCACCACGAGCCATAGACATCATCAGAGGAACGACTCTTGCGACTCACCTTTGCCCATCGCATTCCGTGGAATAGTATCCAGCACCTTCATCTCCTGCGGGATCTTATATGCTGCCAGCCGATCCTTTAATGCGCGCCGCATGTCCATCGGTCCCCACGGCCGGCCATTGCGCCCGCTTGTCTGCGCGTCCGCGTGCAGGACAATTACAGCGGCAACCTTGTGGCCCCATTGATCGGAAGGGAGCCCAACGACGGCTGCTTCAGCGACTTGGGGCCTAGTCGAGCATTAGTATACGGGATCTGATGATGCGAAGGCTCGAAAACCGGCTAGGGTTCGGGGGAAAAGAGCAAAGAAAACTTACAAAGACAATAGCTCCCGCTCCACTTCCAGCGCACTCACTTTCTCGCCGCCCGTCTTGATGATATCCACGCTCTTCCTTCCTTGGATGAAATACATCGGGCCGGTCGCCCACGCCCCGCTGCGCCCCTGCCCGGCGCCCTTGACCTCCCGCCGCGTCGCGATATCGCCCGTGCAGAACCAGTCCGCTCCTCCGTCGGCGCCGGCCACGAAGCTCTCGCGCGTGGCGCTCGCATTGCCCCAGTACTCTTGGAAGATGGTTGGTCCGCGAAGCTGGATCTCGCCCTCACGCTCGCGGCCACGCGCGTCCATTTCCCCGCCAGCCGGAATGACCTCGTTAGTCTCGGTGTCCACGAGTCGCGCTTCTACGTTGGGCAGTGGCCAGCCGACGCTGCCATCGACGCGATCGGCGAAGTCCAGGCCGCAGCTCAGTGCCATGCCGACTTCGGTCATGCCGAACCGCTCCAGAAGCACATTGCCGTTGCTAATCGTTTGCCAGGCAGCTTTGGTAGGCGTCGGTAGTGCGGCGGAGCCAGAGATGTTCAGGCGCAGGTTAGCGGGAGCAATGGCTTCTTGAGCCGCGGGTTGGATGTCTCCTGGAAGCGAGGGGAAGGATGATCGGAGGCGGTTGTATACTGTTGGTACGGCTGTAAGGAAGGTGACCTTAGAAGGGACGGGGGTCGATTCCTTGGGCGGGAGGAAAGACGCAGCAAGGCGTCGCCAGACTTGCTCGGGGTTGAAGGGATAGAGGAACTCAATCGAAGAGCCCGCGAACAGCGGCGTGATGATAGCATTCACCACGCCATGAATATGGTGGAGGGGAAGAAGATGAAGCAGCCGGTCCTGCGGCGAATACTTCCATGCTTCGATGAGAGATTTTGCTTGTGCAGTTAGAGTGTGTTTGGGGATAAGAACGCCTTTCTACAGAGATTTATTCTTAGCGTACTGCTCTTTGATGGGCCGATCATATTGTCTGAATTAGTCAACTTACCGGTCTGTTCGTAGTACCCGAAGTATAGAGCATCATCCCGCCATGCAGGTAGTTCGTATCCTCCAGCTCGATAACATCATTACTCATCGCACCAGCCGAGAGCTTTGGTCGAATGTCGAACAGCGGATCATACTGTAGACCAGCCTGAAGTATCTGGTTCGCCTTATCGGCATACTTCTCTGTAGCGAGAAGGACTTTGGCGGATGAATTGTCCATGATATATTGAAGCTCACTTGTCGGAAATGACGGTGACAAGGGCAGAGCGATAGCATCACAGGCAAAAGTCGCCAGGAGGGTCACTGCCATTCGATTAGCACAACCTTTTGGACAAAATGCCACCAGCTGCTTCGTCTTAGGGTCTCCCTACCTACGTAGTCATAGCTGTTCTCCGCCAGGAAAGCAACCCGCTCTCCGGCCAGCTTCCCCGTCACTCGGGCGGCTTTGTGTTCAAGGTCCTCCTTTGCGCGGAGCACGTCCGTCGTGAGGTCACCATAGGTGAAAGAGCGTCCGGAAGCGCTATGCACGACTGCCAAGCTAGCTGGGTCATGGTTCTTGAGAGCTCGGAAAATGGGGATGTTCGGCAGCGCGAGCAATTGGTTGCTTGTTGACAACAGCCTCCTCGAAGCGACCAATGTAAGGCGCGCCTGGGCCGCACGCATGCGCGGTCGCAGAGACTGTGTAACAAGGCTGCGACTGAACATGGTAGAATTGATATTATGTCTGTGTCAGACGGGCATTTGCATGGCAAATGACACAATTGAGGGAACAACGAGGGCGTGGAGTTGAGGTTGATGTCATGCGGATGCAGTTCCGCGGAAACCAAAAAAATCCCCGGCATTTTGGAGCCTCCGCTTTCTTCGTTTGTACGTTTCTTCCCCGCTGCATCTCAGTCCCTTCCTCTCGCTCCTGCTCTTCTTCCACTGCGATCTTACACACTTCCAATGCTCCCTCGCATGCTACCAGGCCTGTTGCCGCGCCGCCTGTTCTCCGTATCCGCCAAAATGGCCTCCGCAACCCCCATGGAAGATCTGATGCGCAATAAGGTCTCTCGGGCCCTCCACACCCTCTTGCCTCCAATCCGACCAGTCTAGCTAATCAAACATCTCATCTCTCTATCCTTTAGTTTGTCGAAGCGTTCAACCCGAAGACCTTGATCATCCGCAATGATTCCCACCTCCACGCGCACCACGTCGCCATGGAAGGCTCCACTTCCAAAGAGACACACTTCCAGTTCGTCTTTCCTCCCCTTTGGAAACCTCCAACCCCTCTATATATTGCCAGCCGTCTCCCAAATTCGAGAGTCTAACAGATCTACTACCCTATTCAGCGTCACGATTACCTCCGATGCCTTCGAGAAAAAGATGCAGCCCGCCCGCCACCGGATGGTCTACGCGCTCGTGAAGGAGGAAATGACAGCAGAGGGTGGCATCCATGCCCTGCAACTGAAGACCAAAACGCCGGCTGAGGAGCAGCGAGAGTTGGAGAAGACCGTGAGTTGAGTGATGCAGGCCGGAGCATGGACGCAGCGCAAGAGTAACCCGCAGATCAAACGAACGGTTTCCCGATATATACCCCCCCCCCCTCCCCCAGCAAAGCAAATGCAATTGAGTGTTGTAATTAAGACATGACAAGTTACGGAATTTCCCTTGTTCTGGTTGTTCTTGACTTTTATTGAAGGTTACAGAAGGAATGGATTATTAGACGGTATTACATAGATTCTAGTGCCGCGCGAAAACGGAGGTAGCGGGCACTGACAAAGAAAAAACCAACACGATCTAGTATATACATCCCAGGGACTGGCAATGCACCCTCCGCTAGACATGAGGCATTGCACGCGCCCTGGGAGCAGTAATCAACAGAAACACAATCATCATAGAGCAGTCGGGTGGATAGGAGTCCACTCAGCAGCTGTACACGCAATACCTGCAGCAATTCGAGACACAAGAGGAAAGAAACGGGCCGGATTGAGGTCATTGCTTTTACACAAGAGATAAGAGAGATAAGAGAAAGCAAAAAATGACATGCGAGAAGGTGGTATAGAAACGAGGGGGCGGTAACGTGTGGGAGCAGGGGGACAAGGGGACTGGAGAATCTGCGGGCTCGAGTCGTGGCTCCCGTGCGGGAGGTGTGGGAGCAGGATAGGGAAGTCGTAGAAGAAGAGGATAGCAGAGGGAGGAAAGGGGGCAGGATAGAAAATGCAACCGCTTATTTGGAGCTCTTGTTGGCCTCGGTAACACCAACAGCAACACCGACCACGATGGCGATGATGATAACTAAGAAAGAGGGGAGGTTAATCGACATCCTTGCCGGTGGGATTGCAGAACGCATAGGGGGAGCGAATAGACTACTTACTGACGATAATCAATGCATACCACTTCCAGCGACGAGCGTTGCGGGCGCTGGTGATAGCACTGTCCAGCTTGGTATTGGCCTGCTGGACATTGCGGTGGGTCTCCTCAGCACCCTGGCTGATCTGAGTGACCGCGGGCTCTTGCTGGGTAATCAACTCGTTGACATCACGGAACATGTTGGCAAGCTCGGTCATGTCCTGCTCGATCTTGCGGATGGCGGCGGAACGCGCCATGGTAGCCTGGCGGGCATCGTTGGCCTGGCGTGAACGGGTACCGGGAGTCTAGAAATTCGGAATCAGTGGGCTGTCGCGCATACAGATAGTGGCCGATGGGCAGATGTAACTAGAATGAACAAGGGCATTAGGGCATGATACATACCATGAAAGCCTGCTCTTGGCCTTGAATGACCAGCTCAACCCCACGCTCCACCTCATCCGGGGTGGCCTCGGGGTTCGCAATCTGGTAACGCCGGCGCACCTGCTCGGCCAGGCGCTTCTGGAAATCGGACTGGGTCGCCTGATAGAGTCGGATCTCTTCCTTCAGGTCCTGGCCAACCTTGGTGACCTGTCCCTGGCAGCGGCTGTCGCCGGAGCCCGGAGTCTCCTTGATGCGCTTGTACTGGTCGCGCAGGTAGCGGAGCGCAGTGTTCATCTCGTCCTCAACATAGTCCAAGTTCTGACGCGAGATCGCGTCTTCCTTGCCGGTGTTCGATTCAATCAGGGTGTTCTGCGCGGCCTTGAGTTGGGTCTCCCGCTTCTGAGCGAGCTCGCTGATGCCCTCCTTCAATTCGCGACACTTCTGGAGAATTGCGGTTGGGCCGCCGGACTGGCCCATGTTGGACATTTCTATAGTGATTGTGGTGTCAGTTGTCGATGGCTTTTTCGCGTCCCGGAAGCAAGCGCCGTCGAGATAGTTGGGGCTCCCCCCCGAGACCCGGGTTGGTTCTTGAAACTTACCATAACCACCATTGCCTTGCTCCATGGCACCGGCCTGGCCATAGCCACCTCCGTATCCATAGCTAGGCGGCGTGTTGGACGGCTGCTGCTGTGCCGCATAGGGGTTCTGCTGGCTGCCATACGGGTTGTATTGGCCGTAGCCCCCTTGGTTATCATCCCCCAAGTTCTGGTACTGGGAAAGGGGCGGGTCAGTCGGTCACGTTGGGAAGACGAGGGTTACGGTATTCCAGCTAGGGGCGACTCACACTCATGATGGCGAATGGGTTATGGAGAATCGAGTTAGGAGGAGCAAGGTGAGAGTGAGGGAGAAGGGGAGATGAAGGAGGGAAGGGTGAGACGGGACAAGTGGAGAGTTGTGGCGGCAGAAGCACTGGCGGTGGACGTGCACGTTACCGTTCGACAGTGGCTGGGTTTGATTGGACTTGGACGTGCAGCACCAACGGCGGCGACCAGTGATAGTCAGGGGGAATGTCACTTTCTGCATTTCGGAACGATGCACGAATGGTTTATAATTGCGATTTTTCCAACGTCTACATGAAATTGAGACAGAGCAGTGCCTGAATCTCTATACAGTATAGTGATCTTGGTGAGAAGCCTGGGAGCTTTCTAAGCGCCGTTCCTACACAGCCTTCGCTGTTGCTGGGTTTGAGACTAGCTAGTGGGGCCCGGTCTGGAATTGACCATTCACCGGTGCGTGTGGTCGATAGGAGGGACTCATGTTGCTATTTCTGAGACGCCGATCAGCCTTCTTCTTTTTCCTGCTTGGTTTTCTCTCGGTGGATCGGATTCTTCTTGCGGCAGGGGAAAGGGTTTCCACACACATCGGGTACTGGGTACTTGGAACGGTCGCCATGACAGCTGGTGCTTCCCACCGGTGCAGTTGACCCACTAGGTATCGAGTACTTTGGTTCGCCGGTCACTCACGCCGGAAAAGTGGCAATGTTCAAGTCTGTACGTCATGATTGCCGTGGATGGGAGTAAGCTGAAAGGACCAGAAAGTGTTGCCAAATAATTGAATAGATCCAAAAACTTGAGACGAATACGATAGTCGCAGAAAACACAGTATTTCTGAAATTCACGAGATTATGAGCCATGACTATGATGGTACCTTGGTTCTAGACTAACTGATTATGCTTCTGCCAGTCAAATAATCGCTCTTCTATTTACTCCTTCTGTTACAGTTACTCTCTTTTATCACTACCTATGCCCAATTCAACCACACCTGTTTGAAGGCAAGGTGCGGTGAGGGAGGAAGTAAAACATTCCTGCACCGAACTGTACTGATCGCAGAGATCGACCCCAAACTATGTTGCATAACAATTACATACAATAAAGACCTAGTCTCCAAGGGTCTTCGAGGTCACTGCAGGGACCAGCCTATAATAATACGCGGATTCCCAATGCAGCATCCTCCTTCATACTTGGTGGCATCTAAGTAGTTGATCCGAACAGAGCCCACCCGAAGGTTCCTCTCTTTTGCAAAGAAGTTTGTACACATTCCACGTCACTAGGGCTTGATATATCCTTTGAAATCTTGGTGGAGATATAGTGCTGCGCACACTACACGTAGATTAGATATCTGTAAGTGATTTCCATATTTTCACCGTTTTCTTTAGACGCGTTGTGTTTATTCGCGGCTAAATATTCATATCAACTTTGTAGCTCTCTCCCTCTCTTGGATCTGTAAGGAAATTAATTTGCCCTCTCTATTTGAAGGGCAGGATTCAAAGTTTCCTTTTATTTTGCTTATAAATTTGATCCGAACCAGCGATTTGGAAGGATGATTCTGTGACGTGATGAGGAATCATGAAATAAGAGTCCTTCTTTCATCCGTCATTATTCATCATTCACCAGAAAGAGAATAATTCTATATTTTCATTCAGGATCTTTCATGGTTTCTTAGATTCAGCTATTGGTTAGTCTGTAGTTCAAACTCTGTCTTTCGACTTGGTTACGGTTCTAATTCGTCTTTAAATTGAATCCTGGCCTAATCATCAGCACACCATTCCTCTGTCCTCTGTCGAGTAATTGCCTGATAAGCTTCCACTACATCAAAACATGCCCTAATTTTGAATCTAATGGAAGTCTTATATACTCATTTTCCTAGTTCTCTCATTCTTCAGCAGTCTCCCACGTCTGTAAGTCCAGCCTCCTATGGTGCATGCCAGGCAGAATTTGCAATTGTAGGTATGGCCTGCTATTCAGCAGCAAGTTTGACCGGGAAGTTACCATGGGGGCGAGAATAACAGCTTCCATAATCACTTGCAACGAAAGCTTTCGGCACTTGCCAAGCAATCTATTCTAGGTTGTTACTCACATCAACAACATAGGAGCTAAGGCAACCAGGAGAATACCATTGCAACAAGACTCAAAGTCATAATGGGAAAATATCAGGGGTTAATGTTCTAGGACATAGACACTTTCTAGGAATCGCGTCGGTACAGTACTGCTGCAGTTTTCCGGTTGATTTCTTTGACTCATAATTAGTACAATATCTCTCCAATTATTTAACGATATAATCATCATAACCAAGCTTTGGGTCACTTTCTCGAGGACCAGGGTGCATTTGTTCGACGCGAACGAGGCCGATCCTTAGAGACTATCCAGGTGGGCTAGCAGAGGAATGGTATGAGTGTTTGAATTACGTGGCTGATCGATGGGAATGGAGGCGAAAGAAAAGGGGCAGCGATGAGTGTAAGATTGAGAGAACGAGACAATAATGGAGGGGAGGAGAGGTCAAAAACGTGAGATCTGGTCTTTTACGTCAAGGTGGCGCAAGTGAGAGGGTAAAAACCCCGAGGGTGAGAAGGTGCCGGCTAGATGTAGGAAATCACAATTCTTTTTCTTTATAATACAGAAGCCGGAAAGTAATCAGACAAATGCGCATAAAATGCTCTATTCGCACATGGATATTGGAGATAAACACTATATAAAATTGTATACATATATACGGGAGATTATGCAACCAGCAGTCATACGTCTCACATCAAAACATATCTGCTCAGCAGTTCAATACAGACAACCGGAAGATCCTGCTCCCATGCACGCCATAATGCAATGATGCAAGACCGGGCAAAACGCGTGAGAACGTGGAGAGTCGTCGAAAGTGGAAACTAAGAAAGAAAAATAAAACTGCAGGGCCGACAGCTCTACTGCTGGGCCTTGGAGAGGCGGCGCTCCTCTTCGCGGGGGGCCTCGGGCATGTAATCGTCTGCGTCCAGAGCGTTCATGTCGTCTTCCTGGGCGTTGAGGTGGTGGAAGATGAACCAGAAGATGATGCCGCACAGGAAAGAGGCACAGGCCAGACCAACGAACATCCACATGATGGCCGGGTCATAGGCAGCCGGGGTCAGGGCCTCGGCGAGGGCGGAGCCGAAGGCGTTGGTAAGCAGGTACATCGACTGCACGAACGACTTCATCGAGGGCGGAGCCTTGGTGTAGGCGTACTCGAGACCGGACACGGAGGCGAAAATCTCAGACAGACCAATGAACACGTATGCCGGGGTCTGGATGGCAATGTGCACGCGGTTTCCGGTGGTAGTGCCATCAACAATTGAGGCGTCACACAGGGGGTGCTCGTAGCAGGGTCCGGCAGAATAGATTAGGTGCTGCACGATGGCAGCGTACATCATGGCTAGAGAGGCGACGACGAAACCCAGGGAGATACGGGTGATGGGGCGGAAAGGAATCTTCAGGCGACGCATGGCCGGGTAAATCAGGGTCTCAAGCACGGGGATGAACACGATAATCGAGATCGGATCGAAGTTCTGCATCAGGTCATTGGGGATGCCGTGACCCTGCATCTGGCCGGCCTGGGTGACGAAGTTGCTGGAGAACTGGCCGTACACAACCCAGTAAATGGGGTAGAAAGCGAACACACGGCAGGCAACCAGGGCACGCTTGAGCTCATCAATGAAGTGGTCGTCCCAGGGCAAGGCGACCTCGTTGCCGTGCTCACGTTGGTAGCTGGGCTTAGCGGCATCCATGTTGCGGTTGCGAATCATCATGAAGATCGCCTTGAACGCGTCGGTGATAATGGAGCCCTGAGGAGGACGGACAACATAGAACTTGCGACCCACCACCAGCACCAGGGTACCAACAAAGAACATGCAGAGACAGAGCAGGTAGGCCGACCAGTAACCGATGTACTTCTCCATGTACGGAGTCGCGAGACCGGAGAGCGAACCGACGTTGATACAGCCGTAGAAGATCATGTAGATGCGCTGAATGGTCAGCGCGGGGTCGATGATCACCCGCTCACCCTTCTTGGTGGTGTTAACGGCCATCTTCTTGCGCTTGTACTGGTCGGCAATCAGAGGGGCGACGTTCGACTTAATACCACCGGTGCCGAGACCGACGACCAAGACAGCGACAATGAAGCCACCCAGACCGGCTCCGTGGGACAGAGCGGTCGGGATCGAAGTGCAAACCAGAATCAAGAGACCAACGAGATAGACAGCACAGAAGAGCACGATCGTCTTGTACTTGCCGAGGTACTGATCGGCGACGATGGCACCAATGATAGGAGTAACTGTAGACGTAGCAAGTCAGCCATTGCCCTCTTTATTTTCATCTTCTGTCATATTCTAACGAGAGAATTTGGATAGGATGAAAGTCATGGAGTGGTGAAAACGTACCATAGCACCAGAACTGGAAGAAGGTGGTCAGACCGGTAGCACCCTGGTGACCCATGCCCAGAGCACCACGGCCCTGGCTACCATCCAAAGGACGCTGGACGTAGTTCTGGAAGATACCAGACATGCCGTAGTAGGTGAAACGCTCGCACAACTCGACCATGGCAACCAACCAGGCCGAAACGGGCAGGTTCTCAGCGACATGGCGCAAAGAGCGCTTCTCATCATCGCTAGGCTCCTCGCCGTCGGGAGTGACAGGGTTCTCCTTGTCCATATCCAGGGCACCCTTTTCGTCCACAACGATCTGCTGGACGGGAGCTTCGTTTTCGTTATAGGAAGGAGGCCTGCGGAATTATGAGTCAGTCGCGTTGTCCCCACCAGTGAAAAGTGAATAGAAGAGCGGGGAGGGGGGAGAAGTAGAATGGATTAAACATACTGAGCAACCTCAACCTCCATCTCACGATCCGCAGTCGACATGGCTGAGACGAGTTCTGGAGATAACTTTCTCTTCCGGGAGGGTACAAAGACGAAGGAAAAGAAAGGAGAGGAAAATGCGACGGCAGCTGGTATACTATATAGTCAATTTTTATTACCCAACACCCGAGGTCGCGGTGGGGAATTTTCTCGGTCAGTTCTTATCGGCGCGTGAACCGAAAGGCGAAAAAAAAAATAGTCCCAGACGACCCAGACGCCTTCTTCGGACAGAGACTGGGGATGGGTGGAGGAAACGTGCTCCGGTCCCACTTAGAAGGCGATATGGCAGCGCGAACAACCATTGTTCGCAGCACAAGGCCAACCGTGGATGCGATCGGCGTTATCTAGCAGCTAAGAGCGAATGAGCATGCTGCGATGGCCGGGGCGCGCAGATGTAACCCCAGAGCGGCACCCGGACGGAAGCGAAAATGTTGCGCGATGCGCTGTAGCAGAAATTGGCATGGTTGACAAGCACCAGGGGCCAAGACCCGCGCCAGGAAGTGGACGCGATCTCCGATCAATCAGGGAGCAGCATCAGGCATTTTGGGTGGTCCGGGGATTCTGGAAAACAAAAGCATCGGCTCGGTTGCCTCCACTCCTTATCTCGCGGGCGAATCACATTGGCGGTGGCAGTCGGAGAATGCCGGTCCATGTTGAAATTTTCCATTCTCGGTCAACTTCTGCCGCCGCGCATGCCGGACTGCTGAGACCGGCCTTGCCACGAGGAAAACGGAGCTTCTGGATCTTGGGATCATGGATCATGGATCATGAGATTTGTGCGGTCTCTGAGGGTCTCGCTGGCGCCCGCCCGGAGTCCCCTCTCCGGACTCCGCTGGAGGGGGCGGGAGCTGCGCGGCGACGACTCGGGATTTGATTTTTACGCCGTTGGGAGGCGCACCCAGCGTGCGCGGTAGGATCAATTGATGGAGAAGCGAGAGGGAAGGGAGGAGGGGGCCAAGGCGTGTCGCTGAGCCCGGGTGGGTATCATCTGTGTCGCGTGCTGTATACATGATTTCGCATCATACAGTTGTACATCGAGTCCAATCAGTACTTCCCCATTATGCTGCGCGCTGGCTGGTTGACGGTTGGTCCCAGCAAAGCCCAACCGTGTCAGAATCGACGTCCGCGGGCCGCGACCGAGGTCCAAGTCAACTCAATTCGACTCGGACTAGAGACCCATTCCCAGTCCATTCAATTTCCGCCGTGAGATAGCACCCGCTTGGGCCGTTCGGGCGAGGCGAAAGAGGGGGCCGGTTTTTCTCCGGGGAACAACCGCATTCGGAATTCCACGAATAATAAACAGCATCAGACAGTGGCTGTTCGAGACACTGGCTGCAGTCATGATCCTTTGTGCTCCCATGATTTCCAATTCCTTCGTGCCTATTCGCATCCTCCAGAGCACCGGGAGGTCTCGCATCTCGTCCTCCGTCCTCCATGACTTCGTAATCCATTGGTCTTCTGCGTAGATTGCGGCTGATCGACCACAGGGTTAATCCCGGTTTGGTTGCGTGACCCGCCACCTGTACTGCAACGTTGGAGCCATCTGTTTCCCCGCGTCCAGGGCTTATCAAGGGAAGGTCCCAAACGACGAATCAACGATGAATGGTTTGAGTTTGGGACGATATGTCTCACTCTTGGGTGCGCATTAACTGAATGTTACCCCGGAGTCCGCTAGATTGTCTCATGTGGTCTCCGGGGAAGGGAAAACAGAGGGAAAGTAGAGCAGTCCAGTCGCAGGCGTTCCACTGAGCCGCGCGGCGCATCAGGGAAAGATAGCCCCGAAAATCTCCTACACAAGCCGGTAATAGCCAGCCGATATCATGGAGGATGGTTCATGTTGATGGATGCTGGAGCGTCGCCAGCCTCGCGACCTGGCGACCTAGCGACCTGGCGAGCGGGTGGTTCGCTTTGATTGGGGAAGCAAGGACGAGATGCCAAACTGACCCATTCAGTGCATGATTCCGGGGTAATTTCTCTCTCGTAAAAGCGTGGCCGGGAGGTGGTGGGCGGCGATGGGACGGTGGAGTCTGGCGCTGGCTCGCCCGATGCCAAGACGCTGGCAGCGATAAGGAGGTTTCTGGCTGTCGAGAATATTGGTCATCGCGTGGAGTCTGTGTATAAGGCCGTTGAAGCGAGCAGAACGAGAATCATACAAAAATCAAAAGGGGTGGCCCTTTCAAGGTGGTTGCAACAGGGAAGAAGGAAGATCTAAGAACCAGATCGCGCCCGATGGGGGCCCGCGTGGAATAAATGCAGCTCCCAAGAGACCAAGAATCCCCCAGAGCCCCGAGAAAGGCATGGCACACGCCTTATCGCTCCGACTTCGCTCGCCACGCCTGGTCCACCAACGAGAAAGACGCTTCTCGTGCGGCCATCACGGACGGTCCCCGTTGGGGCGTAGTCTCTCGCGAAGGGCGCGCGCCTCCTCCCCCAACCTTCACCAATCCCGGGTCGTCCAAGTCCTTGGCTTGCATGGCGCGGGCTGGCTCGAGGGAGTTATCTCCTCCTCGTCAGCAAGCAAGCGAAGCCCCATTCGAGTTGTGAAAGACGCACGGAGGATGGGAAATGGCGTACTCGTGTGCTTCGTGTGCTACGGAAGATTCGGAGTCCACATCTGAGAAACAAATAGCCGGCACACGCGGCCATATTGGGACATCGGATAAGCATGGAATTAAGCTTGCATCTCGTTTGAGGCTTGGCAGGGATGATCAAAGCTGATTTAGACGAAGGAGCAATCCAACTGGGCGATGCAAGAAGCAAGCTTGGTATCAGACCTTTCCGGTGCAATTCACTTGACCATGTTTTGCGAAAGAAACGAGCATCTACTTGCGGTGTCTCTACTTAGGAGTACTAACTGAATAGTCACCGAGATAACGAAGCAGGGTGTCTTTCTGTCCCCCTACGAATGTGCTCCGAGTCGGATATAAATGCCCGAATGATACAAGCTTGCTCCGTTGAGGCCGGCGGAACTCCCCGATGGAAAGCTGGAAACGCTTGAAGAGAAGAAGGAATAGGCCGCCACTGGTGTTATTTCGACCAGCAGAAGTTGCCTGTCCTATAGTGATGATTCCGAAGTCGCTGGCGCAGATTCTTGACATCCGGTGAAATATGATATTGCGACATCTTCGTCCAGTCAGGAACCGGACGGTGGATCTTCGGATAGGTTTCGGCGCGCATTTGTTCGTTCCTGAACCAGTCAAACGCCCGAGATTACGCTTCATGGACACGGACCATCAATCAACAGGCGCTTTGCAAGGCATGCCAAGGCATACTGAACTCTCATTTCAACATGGTGAACAATAAGAATGATTCATCGTCTAGACTTGTTTGTACTGCAGCTCTTTGAAGGGATGTATAGCGAGAAGCAGGTTGAGAGACAGATCAAGCTCGTTCGAGTTGATTGATCTCCGGAACCCGTGGTTAAGTACTAATCCGGTCCTCTTGTTCTCGGGACTTGCTGCAGAGTACGGAATATGAGACCAGCAGGAGATACAAGAAGGACGAAGCACCCTGGTCACGCCTTCTATTATTACACTCCATACCGAAGGCCTACTAATCATTCTCGAATCTGTTTCCTCCAGAGAATTCTCGATTGATCCCTCCGATATTCCCAGCTGCCTTTGTGCATGCGCTTCCCCTCCAAAAAAAAAAACGACTCGTCTGGGCTAGATTGGGATTCTTACATGGATTGTACTCATAATATACGCAATCGGTCACCGAGGGTTCTATTGCCTTATGATTGATGTATGTATGAAGTATTATCCTGTCAATCCAATGCCACTTGAAACCGTGGCGGCCATGCTCCATCTTCCGGCTCCTTCCATCCATATTCCATGACCCGCGAGATAAATGACGCCGTCTCTGCCGTCGTCAACCGACACACGATGTAGAAAGTTGCGTCCAGCCCCGAACTGATGCCTCCCGACGTAATCACCTGTACCTTGGTTCCTGCCACACAACCTCCGTCCACAAACCGCCGGCGCACAATCCGGGGCGGAGAATCCCCGCGCGTATGATTGACTCCGGCACAGATGTCCCGAAGAGTGTCAAGGGCATGATGATGCGTGGTCACGGTCAGCCCCGAGAGTACCCCGGCGGCACCTAGCAGGATGGCCCCCGTGCAGACAGAAAAGAGGATTCTCGGCCGTTCGGCCGGGGCCTGAATGGCCGCGAATGCCCGAATCAGGTCGAGTTCGGGGGCGCCGCTCTCGAGCAGAGGCTGGAGGATCGGAAGAGCAGCGCCGGGGACAACAAGCATATCGAATTCAGTGATCCGAGGCCGGATCTCCTCCAGCAGGAAATCAACCTCGACCTGGAGTGAGCTGGCCGCCACTACGGACGCACCGGAAGCCACAGTCTTAATCTCGAAGGTTTGACTCGATAGCGCTGGGCTCTGGCTGTGCGAGACATGAGAAAGGACCTCGACCGGGCCGGTGACGTCGAGCATGTCGACTCCCTGGAAGAGCAGAAGTGCTACTTGGTAGGACTTTGTCGTTGCCGTGTCGGACATCGTACATACTTCTCGGCCTGATCCACGTCTAGCTTCCGGGAGTAAAGGGTGCGAATGATCTATCGTTCTGGCATCAGCGGGACTTCGGCATCCGAGACTCAGTAGATGCCAGAAGGCTTTATAGTTAGGGTAGGAAAACCAACTCTATCTGCTTGGGACGTCATCGTAGGGCTCTGTGTTACCGTTTTCTTGGCCATATTCACCGACCAAGGAAGTCAAAGTAGTGGCAATCGAACCAGGGGCTACCGGTGTGCTTTTGAGTTGAGTGATTGGAAGCCAATGAGGCAAGCAAGCAAGGCGATAAGGTGATTTGCATTTGAATCTATCAACATGCAAGGTATTCAAGTCCCCAAACCCTCCGGCGCCGTGACATCGCACCGGTCACGGGATCCCCCGAAACCCCAACATGCGTACTTCCCAATCAGCTCTTCTGCAGGAAAGTAACCATCCAAGAGAGATCAAGACAAACCCTATACTTCTCCTCTCAAGACACCACCCCCATCCCCCCCAATTGATAAGCTCACAGCTCAAGCCTTGCAATTTTTCTCCACCACCTCCTCATGCCTCGGCTGTACAATGGCGCGAAGACCCAAGGGAGCCATAATCCCGCCCTGTCCCAAACAAATAAGAAAAGATATTAGCCGATCAGCTTTGCTAAGAATCGCAGACACCACCACGCCACCTCTGGCTTCAGTCAGGACACACTCACGGAAGTCAATTTCAGCTGATACGCCGGGTCCACCGCCCACTCGATGCGACGCAGCATTTCGAAAAGCAAGATCTTCATCTGAAGCATTGCAAACCCCTGCCCCAGGCACTTGCGCGAATGCGCATTGAACGCAATGAAATGGCACTGCGTCGTCTTGCTTCGCACCGCACTCTGAATGCTTTTCACGTCGCAGCCCCAGCGCTCTGGGATAAGCTCGCGTGCGTCTGCGCCCCAGACGGCCGTGTCAGTGTGCACGCCGAACGCGTTCCAGCCCACCCACGTGCGGTTGGGAATTTGCACCTCGCCGCCAAGTACAACTGGCTTTGTCGTGACGCGGTTGATAAGCTGCGACACGGGTGGATAGAGGCGGAGTATCTCAAGAATCACAGCTTGCAGGTACGGCATGGAATTGACCAGGTCAGTCGTTGGGTCTTCAATCCCCGTCGCCAGGATCTCGGCCCGCAGCTTCTCTCGGACAGTGTCGTTCTCGCTGAGCACCCAGAAAATCGAATTGAGAAGCTGCTGTGCGTTCTCGTGTGCCGTGAGAAAGGTGACTTTGAGGTTCGCGCGGTACTGTTCCTCCGTGATCCGGCCCTCTTTCAAAGCACGGTCTAGGTAGTCGACGACTTGCTCGCCATCGGAGCTGCTTTGTTCCTGGGATCTCCTGCGCACGGTTGCCACGAGGAGGTCACCAAACTCTTGCATGATATTGAATGCCACTGTCCGCGAGCGGAAAATGTACGGATATCGGTCCAGGTCTGGGAAATTGAAGAAGAGCGGTTTGAATAGCGTTTGCTTGATGATCGTCTGGAGCTGCTCAAGCCGCTGTCCCGGTCGTTCTAAGGCCTGGGCCGGCATTGTCTTGTCAGTATATCATTTGCCGGGAAAGAATTGGAGGAGCGGAAGAGCAAGCTTCAAATACCTCAAGATCGACGTTCATAAAGCTGATCCCCATGCAGCTGAGCGCCCATCGTTGGATAATTGGATTCACCAGGATGCCCCGATCAATCCCAAGTCTCGTCTGCTCTTCCAGCAGAATATCCACGAACTTGCGTGATTTCTCCAGCAGGGGTTTCGAATCTGTTATGCGCCGCTGCAGGCCCGGCTTCATGATAGACGTATACAATCGCCACTGCTCGCCGTGTGAATTGATAATATTGTCCCCTACCAACGCCGCGATCACACTCCAGGGAATCTTTTTCTGGCTCCCGGCCTTGGCGTATACATCTTCGTGACGAAACATATCCACCAAGAACTGCGGTCTGGTGGCCAGCACATTCCATCGCCCGGCAAACCAGATCCTCACTGCCCCGTATTTCTCCAGTGGCTCGCGAAGCCAACGGTCGTAGATATCGTCTTGGCCCATATCACTCCAGAGCCCCAATAATGATATGTAGATTGGCACTGTTGGAATGTTCTGTGGCATATCTCCCGGGACACGTATATACCTATAAAGGAGTAGAATACCAATGCAAAGGACAGCTAAGACGCCGCGCGCCCAGATGAGTAGAGGCCAATCAATCATTCTCGGCAGCTCCGTCACTTATTGCCCTAGACTCAGAAGAGAAGAGGTAGCCCGTTGGATTTTCTTCCTTGAAGCTCCAGAATTTCTTTCTCTGAGGACTTGGAGAAAACAGATGTCGAGTACAACCTTCAAGATACTCTGGCGAGCTCGCAGTTTTGGGGATTTTCCTGCAGCTTTGGCCTTTTCCGGGCCGTCTCCGGCTGAGAGAAGCTGATCATCTTGCTGACTACAACGGCTCGCTCTTGATGAATCGAAATCCTCGGCTGCCCAGAGGTCGGGAGCACAGGCGTCGGATCTTATGGGTGATGCTGACAGGGCCTGGGATATAGTCTCTGTACGACCCGGGGCAGAAGTCCGTCCTTGACAAATTACGTCTCTACGACAGTGCTACACGGACCAAAGATGGGTGTGTCTTAGGCCGTGGTCGAATTGGATTCCACGATAGGCTGCCTGCGCTGACAGCCGTCTAGCGGGATTATATGCTTGGTAAGACAAGTCTTTCTGTCCTTTTGCTGCTTATCTAGGAGAGGTTTTGAAATGGACTTAGGGTTCTGTCTGAAGAATCATTTTTATCATGTTCTCTCTGGAGATGACCATATGAAAATATGAATGGTGAAGAGCAGCTTACGAGGAATACTTCCTTGGGCGGGTGGTCTCTAGCACTCATAGACCTGTTCTTATCATTCTATTAGAAGTACTTAACCTAGCAACGGCAGCTGTAGGTTCTTAATTTGATCTACTCTACGGATTCTTATTGTAAGGCGCATGGGTCCGGATCATTCAGATTGTTATCTCTAATGTTCAAGTTGAGCGGACTAGTATGAATATAGCGTCGATCCGGGCCGAAATATATCGTTGCTCTCCACCACTCAGGATCCCCTCTGATCTGACCTGAATTTCAATAGCCCTCATGATGAAACTATTCTAGAATCGATCGAATCGTCGAACGATATTGATATTGGATTTTATGTGTTCAAGGGAAAAAAAAGAAAATAAACCAGACATAAAACCGAAAAACGACAATGAGCATACGCGGCCATGACACTATGTCTTTATAAAATGCGTTTATGCGTTTGATAGGGTTAAGATACATGTCGCAAGCAATCAGGTCGTTACTGCAGATGTAAAAGCAGCAGGGCTAAGAGAGACTGGGAATCATCAACTTTTTCTGGGTTTCGTTCTTGATCATCCCTGCTGCAAAACACTCCGTCCTCTCCTCGTCCCCTTTTAAAAAATCCATAATCTCTTTGGGGTGTCTCTCTGGTCTCCATCATCATGGATAAGATCTCTCTCCTTTCTGGGCCTCCCACACGCCGAGCCATCCGGGGGTATAGGCGAAAGAGAATTGAAACATAAACAATCGACGAGTTCTCGTTCCTTAGACGGTGTACTTGGCCTTTGCGCGGGTGCTGCCGCTGTGTGCACTGTCGGTGTGGCCGGAGAACTCGACAACATCCGCCTCCTTAAGGCGGAGCACCTCCTTGAACCGCCGACCGATGGCCTCCAGCACATCCTTGCCCTGCGCCGGTGTACGGGCGTTCTTGTCGCCGGGGATGCTCTTGCCCACGGTGCGAGTCCACAGGCCAACTCGGTAGAATCCTTTGCGCACATTCACGACCACGCCCATGACCTCGTTATCAGCGTCGGCCTCGAGCGTCTCGCCGATGGCGGCCAGCTGTGCGTGCAGCCACAGGTCGTCGATCGGGACGGAGCGCTTGTCCTTGAATTGGTATGACCACTTGCCACCGTGCTTGTTCTGGGGATCCTCCCACTCGGGTCGTACGCCCTTCTTGAAGAGGTGATAGTCGGCCTTAAGACCGAGTTCGGAAGTCGGAGTGATATTGTTCTAAAAAGCCAAGAGGCAAAAGAAAAGCTGCGTCAGTATCGAGGACTTTTGCGGGATTAAGAAAGCCACGAAAAAGCCATGGACAAGACTTGGAATGGAGAGTTCATACGTAGATGCCCCAGAATTCTTCGACGGAGCTGAATGTGACGACTTCCTTCAGCAGATCATTCCAGTTGTCGCCCTATAGGGTAAAGCGGTTAGCATCGTCGGCATCGGCATCCTTTCAGACAGCACTTCAGCTCACCTTGCCGCTGGGAGGCTTGGTGAACCACAGCGTCCACTCGTGCATAAGAGGGTGCTTGACGTTGAAGTTCTCGGGATTGTGGAAGACAGTGACGATCTCATCGGTGGAAGCAGCGACCGCGGGGGCGGCATTCTCATCGGTCACGGCGTGACCATTCTCTGCGACGGTCGCCATAGTGGGTGATGTAGTGAAGGTGGAAGTGGGAAGTGGAAGGGAGGCGGAGGTTGAAGGCGGCGCGAAAGCGGCTCGGAGGGGAAGATTTTCGGGCCCTCGAACTTTTGCTTCCTCCAATAATCTACCAACCACAAAGTGACTGCGTGGCCACCGGATCAACCAACCCACGTCGACGAGTCTTCTACAAGATAAATTTTTCCTTTGCAGGGGCGAACTAAGATGGATCACAAAGCAGAGTGTACAGCATAATTTGCACTCATTGTTCTATATTAGACGATGAGTTGGGCATGAAAAAAGAGCTAATAGGCCTTGACCCCGTCCACAATCTGTGGGCGAAGCACATTATTCTCGCGCCTGACACCCCAAGGCTACGCAACAAACACTATGGTATTGGCACTTGATAAATACCAAGGCTGTTAAAACAGTATTTAATTTTGTAGGTAATCATACCATGCAGCTGGTACTATCATAGTATTAAAAGTATGTACTCTTTTGCACTGGGGCGCCAGGGCTAGACGCTGTCTGATTACATAAGAAACCAAGTCCGGCCCGCCAATGTTCGGCGCGATATTTCAAGTTGTTGTTCGGGATTGACAGAGCAACCAATTGAGTCGATGAGTGATGGCAATAGGATTTTATAGTGTTGCTCGAGGGCTCTGTTAGACTTTAGCTATCTCTCTTAGATTAGTAGCTAGGAAGTCAAAAATATGATCTATGGCTTTGACTCGATTCCTAGGTAGAGACTGTCTATATATTTCATCCAAGGTCCACAGCATAGTGAATCATAGAAACCATTCGCAAATTGAAAAGCCCCGAACATGCCAAATTCATTCGAATTACTCCTTACTCTTCACCACTGTTCAATAAACTGAGGAAGCAGTTCCAGCCTTTCCGACATTAGCATTATTAACTCTGTCAGCGCTAACTCCAGGAGATTTACCGCAAGGAGAAAGACAAGAAAGGAAAAATCAAAAAATTAGAAAAAATAAAAAAACTCACCTAAGCTGACCACATTGACCACCAACACTCGGAGTTCCAAAGGCACAAAAGTGAAATTGACCCCTTGGACAAACGGCCAAACCATCAGATTGGCCCTGTAGCTAGGGATCCAAGCATTCTGCAACTTCTCTAGTGGATCGGTTCCCTCCAGAATGGCCATGGACGAAAGGAAACAAGTGAGCTGGATGGGGGCAAACACAACCTGGTCGGCAGCGACTCGGGCGACGGTGGTGGCCTTGGTGCCTCTCAGGACGACGTGACGCTGGAGGATACCGTACCAGGTTGTGGCGGCGGGACCGAAGATCGCTGGAGCGAACGGACACATTGACATTAGCGACGGCACCAGGACAATAGATGCAATGACCAGACGAGTCCAATTCAGTTCTTACCTCCGCCATAGAGTGCCATGCGCCCGGTGCGAGCAAAGTCGTGCTTCTCTAGACCTTTCCGGTCGACGGCCTGCTGAGCGAGGACATCCCCACTGCCGAACAACACCTGCTCACGATTTATTAGAACGGGTAAAAAGGGACGAGGGGAGGGGGCTGAATTGGATCGAGTGTGGGGACGGGAGCTCGAGGTTTCGTACCGCGCTGGTGATGCTGGCTGTGAGGATGGGGTTCTTGGCCAATTTGCTCTGGTACCTGAATTTCGACCTGGTCAGTGATTGTTATTGTTTTTTTTTTGTTTCCCCGGGAAAAGGGGACAGGAATATTAAGCTCGTAAGTCCCGGACGGAGCCATTCCAACTCACCAGCGCAACATAGTGTGATGTGAGCTGGGTGAAAGTCAACAGGTCAGGGACGCGATCCGCATCTTTAAATTGCGGAGTCGGGGTTGCCCTGTCAGGAAGTGCATCCGCCTGGGGCGGCAAAGTCCAAACAGGATTTGGGATCGGACCTGTTTATGTCATTGGCGCTAGTCCTCGTCGCGTTAGCGCCAAGCCAAAACCGATCCTCCCCAAGGTGTGGATCGGTCAGCTGACCAGGCCTCTTCAGCTTGCAGGGCACGTGCCAAGAGATATACTAATCGGGATGTTAGGGCTCAGGGCTGGCGCTAGGGCTGCCCGCCTCGCTTAGCCCACCCGAAATTTCGGTCCAAACACGTCCATACTGATCGAACCTCCGACGACCCCATCGACCCTTTTCGACAACTTCATACCCGTCGCTCATACATCCAACATGGCTGACGCTGCTCCCCGTGGACGTGGAGGTTTCGGTTCGCGCGGCGACCGTGGTGGTGACCGTGGCCGTGGCCGTGGCCGCCGTGGCCGCCGTGGTGGTGGTAAGCAGGAGGAGAAGGAGTGGCAGCCCGTCACCAAGCTCGGCCGTCTCGTCAAGGCCGGCAAGATCACCAGCATGGAGCAGATCTACCTGCACTCCCTGCCCGTCAAGGAGTACCAGATTGTCGACTTCTTCCTTCCCAAGCTCAAGGATGAGGTTATGAAGGTACGGATTTTCTTTCGCACACACACCACGACCTTCGCAATCGTTTCGCAACCCCAATTCGATGGAAAAGAAAGGGCAAAAGGCCAAAGCTGCAGACAATACGCCACAATTGCGGAACACATCTTGCGCCAAAGAAGGAGGAGGAACAGATGCTGTATATTGCGCACTCCATGAATTGACAGGGCAAATTGGGAAAACGATTGCGATGAGCGAAAAGACTATACAGAATTGATTGACTGACTGGCTCGTTTTTCCCCGACTACAGATCAAGCCCGTCCAGAAGCAGACCCGTGCCGGTCAGCGTACCCGCTTCAAGGCCATCGTCCTCATCGGTGACTCCGAGGGCCACATCGGTCTCGGTATCAAGACCTCCAAGGAAGTCGCCACTGCCATCCGTGCCGCCATCACCATTGCCAAGCTCGCTGTTCTGCCCGTCCGCCGCGGTTACTGGGGTACCAACCTCGGTGAGCCTCACTCTTTGCCCGTCAAGCAGAGCGGCAAGTGTGGTTCCGTTTCCGTCCGTGTATGTGACTTCTCTCTTCCCCTACTGTGCAATTCCCCAGGAATATCCCACGTGTGATGTTTCTGGGGCGTTGTATTTCATGGTTAGAATGCCAGGAAAACTAATTTGAGTTCGTTTGAATTTAGCTCATTCCCGCTCCCCGCGGTACTGGCCTTGTTGCCTCCCCCGCTGTCAAGCGTCTGCTCCAGCTCGCCGGTGTCCAGGACGCCTACACCTCCTCTTCCGGTTCCACCAAGACCCTCGAGAACACCCTCAAGGCCACCTTCGTTGCCGTCGTCAACACCTACGGTTTCCTCACTCCCAACCTCTGGAAGGAGACCAAGCTCATCCGGAGCCCTCTGGAGGAGTTCGGTGATGTCCTCCGCCAGGGCAAGAAGTACTAGGTTGTTGAGCACGATGCATGATTTAGTTCCGAGTTTCTTTTGACCGCCCATTATTATTGTTATGGGGGCTGGAAGACGAAAAAGTGGCTTGCGGGTTGATTCCCCCTCGGGCTTCGGGTGTCCAATGGATGTATTTAAACACGGGATGGGATAACAAAAATAGCAAAGTCAGCCATCTACCAGCCATGGTGTTTACCCTTATGTTCTTGTGTATCTGGCGTCTGCAGTATTTACTTTCCGTAGGTGGGGCTGGAGTCTCTCTAGCTGCCGGCAATATATCGGCTTCTCACTCCATGATCGTCTGTTCTTGGGTCATATTTGAGGTGTCTATGCTGGTTTGATGTCGATGCCTGTCATGTCTTCCCCGCGGAGGCGAGGCTCTCCGGTCCCCGCACTGTTGTGTGCCATGCAGCGGAGACTTCTTGTGCACCCGTTTGCCCGGTGCGCAGGACTCTTGTACTCTTGTAATCTGTTGCTCTAGTGCTCTCATAATGATGCTCTGGCTGCGGACAAGCAAAGTGCAATGCAAGCCACCTCCCCGCGGGGATCCGTGATCAGGCAGGTGGTCCAGACAGGCTATCTCTCACAATATGCACATCTCAGCCCTGGAAACACCACCCACCACCCAACATGGCCATATCAACACATGAGCTTCTCTCCGGTTGAACAAACAACCTCGCCTTCTCTCATTCCTCATCTTCTCTCTTCTTTTTCTCTTTCTCTTCCATCTCACTTCCAAGATCCTGACTCGCAACAACCTATAGACCTCGGTCCTGCACCAGCACCCAAACAGGCAGGCAGGCCCTCCAGCTGAACCAGCTGCTCTCACACACTGGACCTGACAACTTCATCTTCTTGTTTCTGGTATTCTCTTCGCTTGTTTCTTTATCCCCGGATTCATCGCAACAGGACCATCCATCATGGAGAAGCATCCTGATTCTCACTGGAAGGCATCCTTGATGGGATGGGACTTTTGGAAGGATGCGACACAGTATGAAGAAGACCTCAGTAAAGAGACGGACAGTGGTAGGATGGCTTCCCTCAAATTCCCTGCATCAAGCGCCTTTGCTCTGATACAGTCACTTTCCTTTGGAACATCTCATCCCTACACACACAAGAGACATTGGTACCTGATTAACACTCACCTTGCCCAGCCCTTGATCTCAACCTCCACAAGCGATTTCCCTTCAATCTCGGCGTGGAAGAAACACCTACCAAAAGACGTCGTCGCCTGAGCATGCCCGATACCAAAGAACCAGCAGACATCCGGCGCAACGCTTCCCTCACCACTGGTGCCTCGCGGTTCCGCGACCTCAGCCGTCATGCACGCTCGCCTTCACCCTTAAAGATGGTTGCATCAGTCTTCCCAGTATCTGCGCAAACCTCAGCTCCAGTCACCCCCCAAACCACACGGTTTGGAATGCGCTCGCCCTCGAAACATCCCGAAATCCCGAGGAGTACCACCGTGGAGGCAGCTGAGATCTCTGCATCTCCATCTCCCTCTTCACGCCATGTCCGAATTCCCTCGTTCGATATCGCTACGCTAGCGAAGCCTCTCATAAACTTTCGTGGCGGCTCTGCGTGGGCAGATCTCCCGCGGAACAAGACCGCCTTGGGGCTGGATCTGTTCTGGCCTAGCCCTCCTGATCAGGATCGAGATCGAAATCGAGATCGGGACCAGACTAGACTGCCGTGTCTCGACATTCAGGAAATGAAGCCGCTTTGTCAATTTCGCTGCCTGCGCGCGTTGAAAATAGTCGGTATGCTCCAGTCCTACCAGACGTATATCTGGCAGACCGCATGGGTGAACCTGAACCTCGATGAATTGGAACTCGGTATGACGCTGGAACCCGAGATCACAAGCGCCGAGCACACCTCCAAGTGGCAGTTCATTCAAGAAGGCTGGGAAATGGATCAGAAGCACTCTGCCGAGCCTGTCTATCAGTAAGTTATCTCGTCTTCCTCATCCCACCACTATAAACACATGAGTCCAGGCGCTACGCCACACCCAGACGAGAAATGGACCTGCCTCCGCTAACCGGAGACATCGTAGCGGCCACCGTGGTGACGGAGAACTGCACCCGGCCATTGGCTGTGGCGAATACCTGGACAAACACTGTATCGAGAAGGCCAAAATTCGGGCCATGGCGACCGGGCGCGCCAGCAAGCGCCTCAGTATCCGGCAGCTCAGTCTGTCCGGTTTCGTGGTCGACGCCGACCCGTTTCTGCATTGGTTTGACGCCCAGAAACTCCGTAGCATCCAGTTCAAGGGCACCTGCGTGGATGCGGGCTTTTGGCTGCCCCAGGCCATGGGCCGCGTGGCGGTGCGGTCGCCGAGGGAGATCGAGGTTGAGGCTGTCCCCGTGGGTATGGTCTCACTGGACATGCAGAAGGATCTGAAGGTGATGCATATCCGGGATGGGATGGCTGTGGATGAGAGTTCATTTACGAATGCGTCCGGATCGAACGACATAGTCTAAATCTGGGAGTTGTCAAAGACGAAGATACGAGGGCAATGGAGACCAAATGGGAAATGCTTTGCCGGAAACTTTTTTCTTTTGATTGCTTGTGTACATTGATATCAGGCTTATGGATGAGCAGGGCCACCGCACGACGTTTTGAGTTTTGACACTTTCATAATGTTTAATAGAATTAATGACAAGGTATGATTAATGAGAGGCATGGAATTGACCTAAATTACAGAAGGAAAAGTAAAAGCAATGTAGACGAGAACCACAACCCCTCCACTCCAGAACTTTTAGTGACATTAGGAGGTAGGGGAGGGCACCGTCTGGCAGATTCGAACCCTAGATAGAAAGAAGATAGAGATCGTAGATTATGCATGACCCAAGCACACGAGGTTTTGGAACTGTCCCGTGTTGCGCAGTTTCAACAATCAAAGATCAGAAATTTTTTCAAGGCACAGGGTCAGGGACAGCAGCTTCGTTTCAAGCATGGTATCCAAAAGTGCGACAAATGTTTGGCCTACTCATGCTAGGACCAGAAGTAGCGCGGAGTCTGCACTTACGCACCTTCTTCGTCCTCGATGCGAATGGCGCCTTCATTGCCGACGCCCTGGGACCAGAAGCCGTCCAGGTAAAGGGTTCCACTGGGCTCAAGGTTAGCGGGTCACGGACTTGCAAATGAAAGTATCATGCAGAATGTCCGGATTTTCTAGCCGGAGGCTCTTGAACAGAGGGGAGAGGGTCGGGAGAGGATGCTAATATCTTACATGCCCGGGGTGCTATCATGCGACAGCAGAAGCCAGTAACCCAGAAGGCCTTGGGTGAAAATATCGACGATGGCCAAAATGACGGTCTCGGCATCAACGCTCGCTTTCAGAGCAAGCGCGCCTGCGGCCAGGGAACTGGCAGCCCAAAAAATTAGCATCGAAACCTTGACGTCTTTAAGCTAGAATAGACGTTTCCCACGTACATCGGGAACAGCGCGAATACAGCGAAGAACGAGCCTGACAGAGAAGTAAAGAACCGGCGTGTGGGGTCATCCTTATTCTGCACCGCACGCTGCGCATGGAAGCCACCGTGATGCAGCATCACCAAGTATGAGATACAGCTGAGCGTCAGCCATACCCAGCGCTGCGGCGTGTGGCCAGCGAACGAGCCCAGTAGGCCTGCGGCCAGCATGGCCAGGTTGGCGGCGATCGCGACAAGCATGTTGGCTCCCGGCAGGCCAGAGACGAGAGCGAAGTTAATCAGGATCAGCGGGGTGGTCAGGGCCCAGTTAACATAGCGCAGCCACAGCACCTGGCGGAAGAATTCATCGGTGGTGTTAGGGACATGCTTGTGGTGGTTGATGACGTAAATATGTTTCCAGGTAATGCCCTGGCCAGTGGCGAGGGCGAGGTAAACGAAGAAGGAAATGGTGGTGATGAGCGAGGTCAAGGTATGGAACACCCGTTTGGACTAGAGAATGGACTGATGAGCGCTGGGAATAATGATTCTCGAAGAGAAGGTCTTATAGTGGGAAGAGAAGTTTCATCTCCACATACAAGCGGGGCACGAGCACTAAGAGTGTAGAAGACCAGCGACGAGAGACCCATCAGAGCCGTGACAACCCTGGATTTCAGAAAAGTGCGATTAGAGACCTTTTCCCGAGCTCAGCGGTGTTAATGCACATACCATAGCGTGCGCTTGCCGGTGTCATGGAGCTCCTGGAATACGGGCGCGCCCGGGATGACCGTGGGAATGGGTGCCACCGAGGTGGTCGAGGGATTAGACATGGTGAAAGCGGCAAGGTGAGAGGAGTCCGGTACAATCATAAGGGATATTCAGCGAGAAGGATGAGGAATAAAGAAAGCAAAGTGGCAGAGTAGCGGAGAGCAAATCGATGCTGCTGAAGTTCAAAAAGGTAGCAAAGCAGGATTTGGGCGGGAGCTTCATTCCGGGGTTCAACGCTGTCGTCATCGCCACTGGTGACGAAGATCCAGCGAAACAACGGGTCCGGGGATGTTTCGAGGATGCCTGTAGGCAACACAACAGATTGGCGGGCCTGGAACCACGAATGGAGCCGCCGGAAATCATGCAGATGATCGGCAGGAGTGGGTACAGCTAGTAAATGTGGAGGTGGGTTGGGTCTATAGTACATGCACGCCGAACTGCAGCGTGGTAGATATCGTACAAGAAGAAGCAAACATGAAAACATTTTGACAGGGAGAGAGACAAGGCCAATTCTTCATGGCTATGAAGAGTTCACCGTGGAATCCAGCTCGCGCACTACGGAATCACACCGTTCGCAGATCTCCTCGGTCGCCTCGGGTGTGGGGACCGCGTATCGCCAGCATCGAGCACATTTAGAGGCATGTGGGGAGTAAATATACACGCGGCCCTTGGAGCCATCTGGCAATTCACACTCATCCTCATACTGCCAGGTAGCTTCGGCGATCTCCGCCGGAACCGGGACGGTGGGGTCAGCTAGAGTGACAGACGATACTACGAACAGGTCGGGCAGCTCGGATAGGTACTGGTGAAAGACCGTCTGGGTGGTGCGGTCAGGCAAAACCAGATGCACAAATGATTGCAGGGACGAGCCAAGTTGCTTCTTCCCACGAGCCTGCTCCTGCAGGTTCTTGATGACCGAATGGACAGCTACCACCTCTTGGTAGCTCGTGTCCAAGGCGGGATCCTGCCATTCCGGAGCAGGAGTGGATGTGATACGCTGCAAGGGGTGCTCACTCTGCGATCGAATGGGCGCCGGGGTATGCTCCCACGTTTCCTCCACCAAGAGGGGAGTAATCGGTCCGAGCACTTCCTGGAGGTGATGATAGATGTGGAACAAGGTGGTCTGGGCGGCCCGTCGGCTGGTACTATTCTCGCCCAGTGTGTAAAGCCGGTCCTTGATGGCCTCCATATAAAACGCGGAGAACTCCAAATTGGCCCATCGATTCATAGTGTTGACAGCCTTGTAGAACTCAAAGTGATCGCAGGCCTTCCGTGAGGAGAGCACCATATCGGAGAGGTGCTTCAGGGCAATTCGATCGACCTGCTGCAGCTGCGCGTACGGCACAATGCATTCGGGGTGGAAATCAGCCAAGGCACCGAGGAGAAGTTTGAAGGTAACCCGGAACTTATGCAGGCTGGTGTGAACGGTTTGAAGGACTTGCTTGCCAATAACCACGTCCCGGGTGTAGTCGCTGCTGGCCGCCCACAACCGGAGGGCATCGGGTCCCAGGGCATCGTAAGTGGGCTCCGAGTTCTCCGCCTGTTTCTTTCCCTTGCCCTTCCGCGGTTTCAGCGGGGGCAGTAGGGTGCCGTCCATGATGGTCTGCGGGGGAATGGTGTTGCCAATAGACTTGCTCATTTTACGTCCATCTTCGTCCAGTGTAAATCCATGAGTGATAAGATTCCGGAAGGGTGCACGAGGTGTCTCGTTGGACCCTGAGGAAAGCTGATGGGCAATATAGGTCAGGAGCCCGGATTGAAACCAACCCCGATGCTGGTCAGTCCCTTCTAGATATACATCCGCGGGATGATTGCGTCCGCCGAGAGGGACGTCAATCTCGGCCCAGCTGGTGCCGCTGTCGAACCAAACATCCATCGTGTCAGTGCCACGGCGATAGCCCACAGGGTCATCTCGAAGAGATGGGGGAACCCAGGCCAGGTCATCAACACTATCAGTCCACCAGGCATCAATACCACGCTCTTTGATAGTGTCCATGATATGTGACACACTGTCCTTGGTCAGAACAGCTTCTCCAGTGGTCCGGTGATAAATCGCAGGAATAGGGACACCCCAAGCGCGCTGGCGGGAAATACACCATTCACTGCGGTTCTTCACAAAGTTTTCTAATCGGTGTTTTCCAGTTTCCGGGACAAATTGAACATCTTCCAAAGCCTTGAGAGCGTGGCTGCGAATATCAGCAACATCTGCAAACCACTGCTCAGTGGCTCGAATGATTATGGGAAGCTTAGAACGCCAATCGTAAGGATACTTGTGCTCATATTGGTGCTGGGCAAGTAAATGGCCGCGAGATTTGATGTAGTCCAAGACCGCAATGTTGCCTTCGCCCAGAACAGGCTTTCCAGCAAGACGTGTAGGGTCGAGGGGCATTGCTTTCGCAGTAAATCGGCCCTCGTCGTCAACAGGTGCAAAAACCGGAATGCCACGAGACAAACAAGCCTCGTAGTCATCCATACCATGACCGGGTGCACAGTGAACCAAACCAGATCCCGAGTCCGCTGTAACAAAGTCGGCTGAAATAATGGGCTGCGACTCAGCCTCGGCGCCCTTGAAAAGAGGACGATAGGTGGTCTTCTCAGCAAGCTCGGACCCAAGAATCGATGGAACGATGATTGAAAGGTCCTCTTTCAACACGCTTTCGAGGTATTCAAATCGAGATTGCGCCACCAGTAGATAACCATGTTGCTCGGACTGGACAATGGCATACTCCAATGATTCACTGACCGCAATGGCAGCATTGGCCGGGAGTGTCCAAGGCGTCGTGGTCCAGATTACCGCGCTCACGCCATTTGAGTTGAGAAGGGGGTCTTCAGTCAGATGTGATGGAATCTTGACGAGAGGAAATTTGACCAAAGCCGCAGTGGAAATGTGGTCGTCCTTGTATTCCAGCTCCGCCTCTGCAAGTGCAGTGCCGGTTGACGGCGACCAATAGACTGGTTTGAACTTGCGGTAGATGAGACCATGATCGACCATCTCACGGAAGATTCCCAGTTGCCGGTTCTCAAACTCTCGGTCCATCGTTTTCCAATGGTTATCCCAATCCGCCATGACCCCGAAGCCGCGGAAGCCTTTCATCTGCTCCTTCACTGTCTGTCTGGCGAGCTGCCGAGCCGACTTGCGGATCACTGCCGGGCTGACCGAGTCGTGCGCAACTCCAAGCTCCCGCAGGCCTTGGAGCGCCTTGAGCTCGATTGGCAAGCCATGACAATCCCACCCAGGCACATAGCGCACCTGTTTACCCCGACCCAATTGTACCCGATTGATAATGTCTTTTAAGATTTTGTTAAGGGCATGTCCGATATGCAATTCGCCGTTCGCGTAGGGCGGGCCATCATGGAGGACAAAGGGTTTCTCGGCGGGTCGTTCGCGACGCTGCCAGGCGTAGAGCTCATCGGTGCATCGCTTTAGGTATTTTTTCAGGTCGGCCGGCGCCACTCGCGGAGGGAACGTCGACTTGGGAAGCTTGAGGGTCGACGTCCAGGATCGAGGAAGCGACCGTGGCGGTTTCTGCATCCTCCCAGCATCTCCTCTTGAAAGGGTTGAAGGTGTGGAGATGCGGATCGCGAAGTTCGATCGAAAAGGCCCGAAGACAGAGAAATTACCGAATGGAACGAAAGTTACACCCACAACACGCATATTTGATGTGAAATAATGGTATTCTAAAAACAAAAAGTGATACATGCACCAATATTTATTCTGTGCCCGTTGCATTCAGATGAAGAAAAAAGTGAAACAATGAAAAAGGAGAACCTCCAGGATTAATGTTCATGTCTCATGGACGATATGAAAAGGATGCCCAGTTCAAATAGTCAAAAAATTATCCAGTTCCCAGACGCCCATAGGATCAATACACCGTCAAACAACTAACCGCGCCATTCTTCAGCACCTCAAAGAGAAGCCCTGGGAATCCAAAGAGCTCTGTATTACCCAGGCCTCCGTCATGCCCTTCTGGTCCTGTTCGAAGTCCCCGAGAGGTACTTTCTTCCCAGCCGCCGAGGAATTCGACACTGCTCTCCGGGCTGTCGCCCCAGCCGCGATTCAGGACCATTGGCCGTTGCAGGGCACGTTCCTCGCCGGGGTTGGCATATGACCCTTTCCACACATCTCGCAGTCGCTCCGAGATTTCATCGAATGAAGATTCAGAGGTCAGACCACCATTGGACTGGTCAGGATGAATCATCCATCGACTCCGTCGGTGACGGTTGAATGGGTATGAGCCTGGTACATTACCATGCAAGATGACCTTAGTGACGGTCAGTTGCGACGGTGAGGACTGATGAGAGGAATCTTGTGTGTCTGATGCTGGAAATCCAGGACCGGGAGGTGTTGCATGCGATATGAATGCATCAAAGCCGTGATGAAAATAGTTGAAGAAACACTCAGAGGGCAAGGAAATTGGATCACTGATGCTATTTAGAGAGATCTCCTCATCAGAATCATCTGACACGCTGTTATTCGATGAGTGATCAGTATCCGGGATATCGATCCCTCGGCCAGGCGAGGGACTGAATTGTAGCAGGTCTCCACCACCACCGGTGCCGCCACCGCCGGTCCCCGCTGCGCGATGGATCGATATTCGCCGGTCATTTTTACGGTATATGGCATCTGGGGGGCCGAACTCGGCAATGAGGTCCTGAGGAGTGGTCTCTCCAAGGCAAATTTGCAGCGTGGGGCTAATTCGTCGGATTACTTCTAGTCTGCCGGCGCCGAGGATGTGAAATTCTTCGATCTCATCGGCGAACGCATCACGGGTCTTGCCGACCACCGCTGAAGAACGTGGATATTGAGGCTGTTGGGCGAAAAGTTTCGCCCGAACCTCGGGCCAAGAGGGTCCTTGAAAGATGGCCATGGACGTCGCTGGCATCGCCACAGAGGATGACAGAAGGGCTACATAGTCGCACGAGTCAGACCATGCCGAGTGCTGGAGAGGGAAAGTGAATGCGACGCCGGGGTACGAGAGCACATAAGTGCCATACGGCGACTGATCCGGTGGGGGAACATATTCTCCGGGGTGGGTTGGACCAAAGAGGCGGTTGTAGACCTGTCGGAAATTGGGACCCTGAGACGAAGTCGGTTGCTCGGATGATTTTCCACTCTTCATTACATCCTGAGTCTTGTAAACCAAATTTATCCTCGAAAAATCCAGCACCTCGATCAGGCGCAACCTCTGATCAGGTCCGTCAAACCGTAGACGTAGCCCGTTGGCGGGTAGCCTCAACACAACGGGTTTTCGCAGGGGCTCCGTCGAGGAGTACGCGAGGTCGATCTCTGGATACGTTTGGGGGTGTGATTTGACCCGAGTTAGGACATTGTGTAGGGAGGCACCAAGCGCTAAAGTGAAGAACCATTAGCTATACTATCCCCGCACCTGTAGATCATCGGAGACATGCTGATAAAGCCCAAGCCCTTGCCCGGGAAAATCTGTACTGGTGCCGATTTGGCGGTCATTATAGTCGGGTTGATTTCTGGGTCATCGAGCAGGAAAAACTCCGCTGAAAAGGAGGTTGATGATGTTGAGAGATAGGCGTCATGTTGGAACCACCGCGGGGAACAATGACGCTAATCATGTGAGAGGGGAGCATGACAAGGGTTAGGTCACGTGGGGGTTGTTTATGTTTTGCCCAAATGGATCCGCCCACATCCTCGTCTCCCGCTGGACTGCTCCGACAACCCCATTTGTCGACCAGGTTTCATGCACTGATCTGCTTCCTCATTTACAACTGAACCTGATCTGCTTTGGGGGATTTTTGATACATTGCGACCATCCTTTCATCATGGTCGGCCCTGCACGGCCTTCCTCTGCAATTCCCGCCGCCGCGAGGAGGTCGGGTTTGCGCCAGCCGACTCGCAGAGCTGGATCGGCCGTACCGGACAGGCAAGCGTCTCCAGCAGTAACAATGCGGCCGAATACATCCTCCCTAGCGCGCGCGCCGAAGCAGAGCCCCGATCAGTCGAACCCAAGCTCTATCGTGAAAAGGAAGGAACGGGACTATGAACGGGAAATCAATGAGGATACAAGCATCCACGTGGTGGTGCGCTGCCGTGGTCGCAATGAGCGGGAAATCAAGGAAAATAGCGGTGTTGTCTTGTCGACTGAAGGAGTCAGCGGAAAGAACTTGGATTTGTCGATGGGTCCAAATGCGCTCTCAAATAAGACTTACGCTTTCGACAAAGTTTTCTCTCCTGCTGCGGACCAAATCCTTGTGTTCGAAGAAGTGGTTCTACCAGTTTTGAATGAAGTGGGTCAAAGAAATTAGAGTCTCGAGTAAAGCGCATCGTGCTAATTATGACCACAGATGCTGGCGGGCTTCAATTGTACAGTCTTCGCATACGGCCAAACAGGAACTGGAAAAACATATACCATGTCCGGAGACATGACTGATACTCTCGGAATTCTATCAGATGATGCAGGGATCATTCCAAGGACTCTTTACTCGTTGTTTCACAAGCTTGAAGAGACAGATAGCACGGTGAAGTGCTCTTTTATCGAACTTTACAATGAGGAGCTGCGCGATTTGCTATCCGCGGATGACAACACAAAACTGAAAATTTTTGAAAGTGAAAAAAAAGGCCACGCATCTACTCTCGTGCAAGGCATGGAGGAAAGTTATATTGACTCGGCGTCGACCGGTATCAAGTTACTACAGATGGGCAGTCACAAACGTCAGGTGGCCGCTACCAAATGTAACGACCTCAGCTCCCGCAGCCACACTATTTTCACCATCACAGTAATGACGAAACGCACAACCGACTCTGGTGAAGAATATGTCAGCTCTGGAAAGCTTAATCTAGTGGATCTGGCCGGTAGCGAGAACATTGGACGAAGTGGCGCGGAGAATAAACGTGCGACCGAGGCAGGTCTGATCAATAAGAGTTTGCTGACTCTGGGACGGGTCATCAATGCTTTGGTTGATAAAAGCTCCCATATCCCTTATCGTGAGTCAAAGTTGACAAGACTGCTACAAGATTCACTGGGTGGTCGGACAAAGACATGCATCATTGCTACAGTATCACCCGCGAAGAGCAACTTGGAGGAGACTATTTCAACACTTGACTATGCCTTCCGAGCCAAAAATATTCGCAATAAACCCCAGATCAACCCATTAATGTCCAAAAACAAGCTGCTTCGGGATATTGGCATGGAGATCGAGAAGCTTAGGAGCGAGCTCATCGCGACCCGGCACCGTAATGGTGTCTATATGACACCAGATGCGTTTGAGGAAATGACTACGGAGAGCGAATCACGGCGAATCGTTAACGAGGAACAACGAGCCAAAATTGAGTCTATGGAATCAAGTTTGAGGCATAAGGTACAGGAGCTGTTCGCTTTGACGAGTAATTTCAACACTCTCAAACAAGATAATGAGAATACCCAGTCGAAGCTCAGCAACACGCGGGAAATTTTGGAGCAAAGGGAAATGGACTTGAAAGATACGTCAGAGAAATTGGACGAAGAGAAGATTGTGCGCCAAGCTCATCAAGATACCGAGAACAGACTTCGCAAACTTGGGTCTGATCTCCTTTCCACCTTGGACGACACCGTTGAGGATGTTCATGGATTGCATGCAAAAATTGGTCGCCAGGACAAGTTAGAATCTGATAACCGCCAGACATGGCAAAGCTCAACCGGGGAAGTTATCAACGTCACCCAGCAAATTGACGCCCGCGTGGAAAACTTCCAGACTAAGCACACCGAGCTATTGGAAAACATGTCGAGCAGGATCCACGATTTTGTCGACACTGAGCTCAACACCATTCGATCGACTCGGTCACAGCTTCAGCAGTTCTCTTCCGCTTTCGATAAGATCGAGGCCGAGGCAAAGAAGAAGACTTCTAGTGCCCATGATGAGATGAATGAGGTCTTAGAGGAGATTAAGGTTCTCCGCGAGGACGTGAAGACTAAAGTGGGCGAGGGTCTAAATGGGCTATCAGCTGCTGCCGCCCGGATCTCGAAAGAAGTTATTGGTGAATTCTCCGAATTCCATTCCCAGCTTCATTCATCTTATAGTGTTCTCGGCAAGGACTTTAAGTCCATGTTCGAGAACATGGTTTCCCATCTCGATCAACAAAAGTCTGAAATCAACAAACTCCGACTTGAACTCCAGGAAGCAAACCGCCAGTCTGTGGAAGCCAGCCGCAAAGCCTCATCGAACCTCGCCCAAACTCTCGAAGAAGAGCATGCGAGTGCCCAAGCTGAGCGTGATAACCTCATGTCCCAAATCCGGAACTTGCTCGATGAATCCAATCAACGGCAGTCCACTCGTCTCAAGACCAAGTTTGAGACCATCCGGGCTGATATTTCAGCATCTGGGGACGCCCTGGAACAATCCACTGCCCAGTATGATCGACACATTGACGAATGGATCTTTAAGGAGGAGCAATTTGCAAAGGATGTCACAGCATCCAGGGATGAGATGAAAATTAAGATGCAAAATGACTGGGAGGTGAGATTTGTCGAAGCCTTCATATATTTACATCCATAGCTAACTGTGATAGGCATTCGACCAACGCAATGCTTCGATTCAACGCGCGACCGAGTCGGTACATCAAGAGACCGTACGTATCGTGGATGCCCAGATGAACGACATGAGCAAACAGATGGGAGCCCTCGATGACTTCGTGGCTAAAGCTCGGTCTCACAATGGTCTTTTCCATGAAGAACAGCTATCAAGCCTGGACGCCCTTGCTGATAATGTTCGAGAGTCTCGTGGAGTCATCCATATCCAACTGGACAGTCTGGATGGACGTGTGGGCCAGCTCCAGGAAGATGTCACAAGGCATACTGGAGACTTGGAACAATCCACTGCTCCTCTGCAGGATGAAGTGCGCCAGCCGCTCAATAAGCTTCGGGCAACAGTTCAAAGCCACCCCATGAAGGATTATGTTCCTACAGGCGCCACACCTCAAAAGCGGAAGTATGAGTACCCAACAGACCTACCTCGAACAGAATCCCACGATGGCCTTCGCTCTAGGCATCGCACTTCTCGTCAGTTCACAGCTCTCCCTTTCAATGAAGAGGCCCAGGCGGCGCCGTCCCCTAGCTCTCCCGTCTCTTCGCCATCCAAAGGCTTTGTATACAGCGATGCTGCGGACGAGGTAGGGATTCATCATATTCCGTCATCAACCACCACTTCTTCCAACAATGGCCTTAGGGAAGTCGATTTAAACGTCGCCAAACAACTCGCGTGTGATGCCGACGAAGACAGCTGCAAGCCTGAAACTCCCGCGGCAAACCTATCCCTGGACCTGGACGAAACCCCCGAAAGAATCGAGCCAGAGCAACCCTCTCTCAAGCGGCGCCGCTCGGGGTCAAGCAACACCGTCGAAGCGAAGCTACCGCATAAAATTCTCTCAAAGAAGATGGCAGGTATGATGGAGGGCCGGGAGAACATGCCCCCTTCCGCCATTTCCGGCAGCCGCAGATACAGGAACCGTGCTGTCGAATAATACAACTGCCCTTTGTCTCGCTTTCTTTAACTTTGTTTTTCTTTTCACTGTCGAGTATGACATCTTGATACCCAATATTGTTGGCCTTTGCCCCCTGGGCTGGAGTTTGTGGCTGAGAAAACTATGTGGGATTGTCATTCCTTTTCTTCTATTTTGTCTTGATCCGTGCGGGAAACCTATAGAAAGGGACGCTTGTTACTTTGTCTTCATTGGAGTTACCCAGTCTTGGATACTATTTCATCTTGCATTCTTATTCGGATCGAGTTCTGGTATAATCAAATACCGCAATCACCCAATCTCGTACTGTCAATTATTGTCATAGATTCAGAGACTGCCAATAAGCCATCGTTGTATGCTTCAAAAGATGTCCATCCATCAATGAACAAGTCACCCAAAACGCCTATGCATCAACGCCAAAAAGTGAAAGCTAGCGCCGGCTCTCATTATCGTAATCAAAATTCATCATCAAGCAAAGAAGAAAGAAAGGTTTACTACAGGCATCGTTCACTCGTCGGTCTCCTTCTGCAAAGCTTCTTCACCAGGGGAATCTTCTGTTGGAAGTTTCGTGTCAGGAGCGCCCTGGCCCTCAGCCAATTGACTCTCCTCGAGAAGAGGCATTTCTGCAGCGTCAATTATCATCTGCAACTCACGCATCCTCACTGCGAATCGCTCCATCATATCCTCCAGTTTCTGCGTGCCTTGGCCGTCTCGGCCTTTCCCGGCGTCCGCAGGAATCCCTCCGGTCCCGTGGATCTTGAGCATTAAACCGTTCCCTAGGACATCGCCCGCATCATGATTCTCGAATGTCGGTGCAGGTACCATCTCGCTGTTCAGCACCTGCCACGTCGGCGAAAAGCTCTTTGCGGACGTTACACGGAACTGAGTTGGTGTTGCGGTCTGCCCTGGGGATGTGTGTCCCGCTAGCGTCGATGGGTTTGCCGGTGGCGATGGCACAGATTTAGTGGCTGGATGGTCAGTTGCGGGGTTCCCTTCGGTGTATTCAAGGATGGGCTCAACATCTAGCACAATGTAGTTCTCCTGAACTCCCGGAACCACCGGAGGGAGAAGGGTGGGCTTTCCGTCCTCTGCGTGATCTTCCGGGCCCTGCTGAGCTGTGTGGGTGCGATCTTGTGCTGTGCCAGATGTAATCTCCTGCTGCGCAGCCAAGCTGCGCATAGCAGCTTCCGTCACAATATCGGTGTCATCATCGGAGAAAATGTAATGAACAGTCGGGTGGTGATAGTCCGATGCATGCGCATCTTCGATCAGTGTGAAGAACGGCTGGAATTTCAGAGGCGGAGATTGTTGCTTCGCCTCATTCTCGTGCTTCTCGCCTGGAGATTCGTCAGGTGTACTGTCATAGGGTGGAGCTGCGGTTGGCTGCGCGGCCTGTAGAGCCCGGTCTATCGACAGCTCATCTGGACCATGAGCGATCTGATCGCTCGGCAGCGAGGATGGGACAGGGCGGGTTGGAGGATCGTCAAGGAGGGTCTGGGAGGGAGGAGATGCAGGATTGGACGGGGTATTCAGTGACATCGCCAGCGCTTCATAGTTGGGAAAAGTCAACGGTCAGGTCGACTTGGATGATGTCGTTTCCTCTTATCGATAACAGCACGTGATACCAAACCAAAGGTGCGTCACACGATATGCGCACATATTTTACTGTTATGATGGTTAGCTTACGCATGCATTATAAATTTGGGATATATCTTAAAAAAGAAAAAGCATTTATCTTGTTCCACACTTTCAGAAATCAAAAATAAACATTTGAAAATGACGTGATTTGGGATGGAAGTGATTCTACCTGGCTTTATATATATCAGCGGATCCCTCCCGGGTATTCGGCCCAATACAATAATATAGCTACAAATCGTGTATCCACGAAGTATCCACACGACTACGTTCGTTAAAGAACTCGCAATATCGAATGCTTATGACGTTTGGAAACTCTTATTGCCATGTTATTGAGTCAATACTGAGGTTAGGATAAACGTAAACATGATAGATTCGGATGGTGCCCCGGGGCTCTCAATCCGATGTTCTATCGGCTCATCCATATTCGAACCAGCTTCAGTGAGAAAAACATGCAATCCATTATACTATGTGTTCTTCCAGTAGAAGAAAATAACATGATGAGGGCAAAATATGGAAAAACAGGGGTATCTTTATTTCGACCCAGTAAACGCCGGTGGAGGGAAGCTGCGGACATGCCATCATTCATCCTCGTTTTGTTTCCATTCGAATTCTAGAGGCCATAAGCAACATATTAATCCATAATGGGGGGTATTCATACTCTGTCGACACATGGGACATAGTCCTTTGGCAGTTTCTTGCTGGATCCAGGTCAAAAGACAATGCTACTCTCCCGCATCAGTCAGTCGACCAGCCCAATCCAATCCCGGCCAAAATATCGCATCAGGGAATCTTACCATATGGAATGAATGGCCACATTTGCCAAGAACTGTGATCCAGGTCAGCGTCATTGCCCAAGAGGCCCCAATCGGTGAAGGATTCGGATGCGCGTAGCGACTCACGAAGCGAGCAGTCATCACCAGGGAATTTGCAGGTGGGACAGGTCCCGTCAAACTGGACGCGACAAATACCACAGACCTCATCCTCCGGCATATCCCAATGCCAGGTTGCGACGGCATTCCATTCCTTCAATGTGACCTTCATGGTTGTTTGGCGGGCGCAGGTTCCCAAGGTGGAAAACGGCGAGGTTCCGCTTCCGATAAGTCGTTGTTTATCGTTTATCGCGCCATCACATGAGTCGCTTCTCCGCACCTCCACATCTCCCCTCTGAGATATGTAAATTGGCGACTCCGCCAACCCTGTCGACCATGGCTTTTGCGGCCGTTCGTTCTGGTTTTTCTCCTACCCGTCTTCTCCATACAACTATGGCTTCTCCACGGTTCGCTGTGCAACAGGCTCGCCATGCGTCGTTCTCCTCGTATCTCGTCACCCCTAAACAGCTCAATGAAGCTCTTAAAAAGAACCCCCCAACAAAGATCTCGACTTCTCCGAGGGTCATACCCCTCTGTGCCGCATGGTTTATGCCCAATGATCCCGAGGGCCGTAAGGGAATTGACTCTTTCCGCCAATCGCGCATTCCCCAAGCACGCTTCTTTGATATCGACGGCGTCAAGGACCATGATTCACCTTATCCTCACATGCTCCCAACTTGTGAGACCTTTGCAGAGGCTATGAGTGAACTGGGAATTCGCCGTGATGACGAGATTGTGGTTTATGATACCGCTGAGTTGGGAATTTTCAGCGCCCCGCGTGTAGGCTGGACCCTGCGTGTGTTTGGTCACCCGAATGTTCATCTTCTCAATAACTATCGCCTCTGGATTCGCGAGGGCCTTCCAACTGAGAGTGGTGAACCCGTACCTGTTGAGAAGTCGAACTATCCCGTGCCGACCTATGACTCCAAAATCGTGATACCTTTCCGTGAAATGAAAGAGCTGGCCTTTGACTACGGCAAGGAAGGCGCCGAAGAAATCGAGATCTTGGATGCTCGGTCTTACGGTCGCTGGGCTGGAACCGACCCGGAGCCGCGCCCTGGACTCTCATCCGGTCATGTTCCTGGGTCTAAGAGTATGCCTTTCCAGGAACTGCTGGACCCCGAGACTAAGACCTATCTGCCCGCCGAGGAGCTGAAGAAGATCTTTGAAGACCGCAAGGTGGACCCCTCAAGGTCGATTATCAGTACCTGCGGCACGGGAGTGACCGCTACGATTATTGAAACTGCCCTTGGAGAGGCAGATTTTGGAAATCCCAATCTCCGCCGAGTATATGATGGCAGCTGGACGTGAGTCGACCCCCCGGCGAAAGCTCACCTCAGCCCTACTAGTCTACTAACGGATAATCCAGAGAGTGGGCTCAACGAGTGAAAGAATCGGATGGATTAATCAAGAAGGTTAAGCCCTAAGCGTTGGATTGTTGGAGTGAGCAGCGCACACTAGATCGAGTCGGCAGTGGGCGAGAATGGAGGTCTTTTTCTATTTAGTTGGCCTGTTTTTAGCTCTTAGATGATACTCTACTCCGCTATAGACCTATCCCTTCTTTACCTCTGATAGCCCTTCTCCCTTCCATTCCCCATTTATCTTTCTAGGCCGCTTCGCTTCTTTGATGACTACTACTTCATCCTGCTTCCAAACTCTACACTTTACACTTTACACTTCCCGTTGATCCACTCACTGACTGTCCATTCAACTTGAAAGGCTGAACCAAGGTAAATGCTTAGTCAGCACAATCGCTCGTCTCGTCGCGGTGAAAGGCTTCATCTTTGACGTGGACACCCAAGCCCTTTATCTCCTTTCCCGGTGTTGCATGCTGTTAAAGATGCTGCATATGATCTCTGATCCTTTGGCTTTTTATCGTGAGTGCACCTCCCCCCCAATCCGCGTCATACCTACTTCCGCTTTGCCCCCACATTCCCACGTCCCTCCGTCGTCAAACCTCCTTCGTGGGCTCCCGCTGACTCCGACTCTCCTCCCAGTCGCGGTTGTCAACACCATTTTCCCGGTCTAGGGCAGACTTGCCCTCTTCCGACTTTCCAAAAGACATTCGTTCCCTGTCTCGCTATGGCGGCCGGACGCAAGGTCTTTCACTGCGCCGTGGATGAGACGGCTTTGACTACCAACATCAGCGAGATCAAGAAATGGACTACCAACGGAGCCATCGATCTCATTGTCCCTCTTTACAGTAGGTATTCCGGTCTGTGAGAGAGGGAGGGGATTTACTCTCCATATCGCACTTTGCTGAACTGACTTTCCCTTTCCCCTTCACCTGTAGCCCTCGAGCGGCTCCATGCCCTGAAGCGGGCGGGATCGCAAATCGCCATCAATGCCCGCGAGGCTGTCCGCTTCCTCGACCGGGTCACGTCTGGTAAAGACCAAATAACCGCCGAACGCATCACCCTCCAGGGCCCGATGGAACAATATGAGCGCTGGGAGGATGCGGAGAAATTCTTCTTGCCGGAATTTGTGGAGGAACCTGAGGCGATTGACGACGCGGAACCTTTCGAGTCAGCGCCGGAGGAACCCTCTAAGAACAAGACCACTTCTGGTCCCGAGGATTTGTCACAGATGCTTCTCAGCAGGCTGAATTTCAAGAAAGACGCCGAGGTCGCCTCGATCACCTCTGCAGGCTCGCCCAGCGGACCCGGATCTCGCACTTCCTCCCGCAGCTCGCGCACTAGCCCCGAATGCGCCCAGCACGAGAACGGCGGAACTAGCAAAAATGATAAAACTCAGTCCGGACACCAACGCACTGTCTCTGGTACAACCATCCCCGTCGCTCCAGTTGCGTTGCGCCCGTTGCTCAGCGCTCTCCTGTGGCGACTGCACAGTGGCCCGGACGCTGAAAACTCAACCAAGAGCTGCATCCTCATCACCAACGACCGTGCGACACAGATCTGGGCCCAAAAGTTTGGAATCGGAGTGAAGAACATTCTCCAGCTGCGGACTGCGATCCAGTACGAGGAGCGCGAATACAAGAACCGATGCAAGTATGTTGAGAAGACTCAGATCCAAACCGTGGAACAGCCCAAGACCCTGCTGTCCTACGAAGATGATAGTGACGAGGATGAACTGGTGTTTGTTCCGCGCGGGGGTCGTGGCAAGGGTGCCTCTCGTGGTGCGCGAGGGGCCGCCTCTCGCAAAGCTGCCGCGAAGACTGCTCCGTCTGCCGTGGAGACTACTATCGAGGTTCCTACACAGCCTATCGATCCAAACTCGTTTAGCCGCTCCCTCGGTGGTTCGAAAAAGCCCGCGAAACCCACTGTGGATTTGAGCACCCAAGAGGGCGCTGCCCGCGGCATCGGAGGCGCATCGCGTCGGTCCTCGAGCGGACGCCGTGGAGGATCCACCCGTGGCTCCTCGCGAGGCAGTGGTCGTGGACGAGGCAAGCTCTGGGTTCCTTGAAGACTGGAGCAGGTCTGCTGCAGTATATCGACTGCCCTGGTCGAATTTTTTGCAGGCAGACTATGTGGTTTCTCTTTGTGAACCTAGGCATCCAGGACCGGAACGGGTTTGTCTTGTCATCTTTCCTTTGCAGGACGGGCAGAATCGCGCGAAGGGGAACTCCGTGCTGTGAATGCCTGCAGGACGTGTTTACTCTCTTCCCTCCCTTTCTCACCTCATTCCCCGACCCCGGCAATGAAATCCAGACCGCTGTGGCAGTGCCGGATACACCGGACACGACGAGTCGAACCATCCGATGGAGGATTCGATTCGCGGCTAGAGCGCTGCATGGATTTGGTCCTCGGAAAAGCCCTTTTGTGTGCCTTTGTACCTTGGAATTTCCTTGGGAGGATATGGGTCGCCCCTCTGGCTCGCGCTCTCTCTCTTCGCTTTCCTGACATCTACCTCGAGACGTTGCTGATTTTGGTGCGATCTCCTGCGTCATGTATGATAGTGGATTTGCATTTACTTCAGATCTACTCACGGGGCTTTTTCAAATTTGCGTCATCTGTTCATTTGTTTCCTGAAATTTCAACCCGCTGCTTGTAGTAGTAGGCTTTTGTTTGCGCATGTAGTTTGAAAGATGGGCAGCATAGGAGGTCGACCCAATACTAGTGGACTCTACAACACATTAAAGTAGTACTCAGTACCCCCATTAGAGCCCAGGTTGACTGGGCCGGCCCCTGAGGTCGAACCAGTGAGGAGGTAGCAGTACATGGAGCTCTGGACTTACTGGGTTTCCCCGCGTGACGGTCCCGTGGGACTTGCATCACTTGACGTCCTCACTTGCCTTCTCTTCTTCTCTTCTCGCACCTCGAGATTTCTCGACTCGCTCTCCTTCAACCTTCACTTGGATTCCTTCACTATCATCATGTCAGCGATTGACGACACTCCCCTTGCCGCCTCGCCGCACGAGCGCCGCAATTCCCTGGAGAAGCACCTACAGATGCGACCGGACATGCAGGACCTCAAGAACCGCCATATTCTGCTGGACACCAATGTCGCCCCGTATAGCTCATCCCTTTGTTGAAAGCTATGAAACTTTGTCTACTAACACTCTCTGCAGGGCTCTGCAAGCTGCTCAACAGGACCTCGATCGCCAGCGCGCTTCGGACAGCCTGAAGAAGAATCTGGAGAAGAGACCTGGACGGGATCAGCTGGTGGAGCGTAATTCTCCCTTTCCCTCTCTGTCTTGCCTACAAGTCTACCCAGTTTCCGAGCCCCATACTCTAGACCCTCCAGGAATCTTATCACACCCGAGCCGTTGCTATCTTGCTATCCTTACAGCCCCGTACTAACTAGCAAAGGTAATATCCTTCCCGCCTCGACTGCTGCCCCGGCGCTGCAGGCCAATGCCAAAGAACTTGAGCGACACATGCTGGCCGACAACCTGGAACACAAGATTCAGAACCGACCGGAGCCAGAGGAGCTCATTACACAGGGTATCCTCTCCGAAGACGAAGACCCGCGCTCCGCTTGAACGAGCTCGTACCTGGTTCTTTTGGATTTATTTTGCGGGGTTAGTTTCAGGTTCTTTGACTGGCTGGGGGGTGGAGCTCTTCCGTGACCTCTCTTGTCTCTACCCTGATGAGTTTCATGGATAATATGACAAGCTTATGAGGATGGCGGCGTTGTTTGTATTTTTTGTTCTTTTCCTTTCACGACGCGCTCTTTTCTTTCCATTTGGGTCTACCACGGGCTGTATCGGGACACTTGCTGTTACAGGTGGTGATGTCACCGTGACGCTTGATCGACAGCAGATTCCTCCACATTCTTAGTTAACGTTGTTTAACCTCCTTCGATTTATGATACGTAGTGTAAAATTGATGTTGTAGAGCTCATTTTATCCCATATTTAGAGTTATCATACATGGCGACGGATTGGAGTGGTTAAATGGTGAATTGAACCAGAGCAACAGCTGGTGGATCTTCACTGCGGGGTCCCGGATTCCTGAAATAAGTCTAAGCCAAATAAACTACGTCTGCGGTAGCATCTATAATATTTTCTACATAAAACCAAGCTAAAATATAGAAGAAAGCGTGTACTTCACAGGGTGGAGATGGTCACTAGAATATCCCTGTGAATGTTCCATCTTTACAAGGCCAGGTCACCTGGAGTTCGTCGATCGCTTCTCGGTGGTACAGGTAGTGTCAATATGTTAGATAACACTCATAGGGAGAATTTCTACACTTATCAAAGGTTCTCCCTACTCTATTCCAAGTGAATTTAGAATACTTGCACTACTTACAAAAGAAAATCAACAAATAGACATTCATGGCAAGTATTCTGTACAACCATATGACGCTCTCTTCAGGAGTGGTGAAGATGTAACTTGGCCAAATAGGATTTGGGAAATAACTCAGATCTGTATCGTGAAGCCTCTATTATAGCTCCGAATTACATCTTTTGAAGCCAAAGGTGTCTAATTAGCTCCCCCGTCCATAGAAAAGTCGAACTGAGCTTTGAAAGCCACCCTTTTCCCAATGCAAATGGCCTAAGAGATCTTATGTAGAGATAACTTAAAAGGTACTTAATAGAGGCTTACTCCTCCTTTATTTTATTTAGTACAATATCGGGTCATTTCAATCATATTGTAAAAGAGAGATTGCTATTCTAGATTATTATCGTAGTGTAGAGTAATCCCAAAGCAGCTAATAAAACTTAATACGCCGCACACCCGAGAGGCGACTGCGATTTCATTATGCACGCTGTAGGGCCTTCTCTATATGCATACACCGATGCTCCTAAACTACAAGACTGACAGCATATTTGTCAATCATAGTTTGGAGGATGGTATATTTCGAAGCACGGGATATCTAGAATCAAGGACGTGACATCTAAGTGAACTTGAATCTATTGTCCGGAAAGCGAATAAAGAAAGTGAATCTTAACGTAATCATCAATATTTTCATTCATGTCCGTCAACGTGTCTACTGTTGCTGAGGGATTTTCACCACTGCTCTCCCCAAGATGGCATCATTCGTAATACGTTGGATAAGATTCGAAGTCTCCGAGAATTCAAACACTTCAATTGCCGGTGTAATGACTCCATCGAGGGCAAGTTGTAACAGTTCCTCCATTTGTTTTTCACTTCCCACGGAAGAACCCTTGATGGTGAGACCTATGTTGCATTAGTATCAAGCACATGTCCAGAGATGTATCGCGTCAAAAAAGACGTACCGCGAGCAGCACATAATGTTGCGGAAATGGGCAGCTCAATGTCATTTCGTGGAAGACCGACACAGATAATATGTCCCATGTTTCTGACCAATCTTGGTGCCATTTGAAATGCCTCTTTGGTTCCTGGAACCACAATGGTGGCGTGAGCTCCTTCAGCCGTGATGTCCAGAACTCGCTGGGCGACATCTTCTGTCCGGAAGTCGACAAACGCCTCCGCCCCGGACGAGAGACTGAGCGCTCTCTTGTCTTCGCCGGTATCTACAGCAATAACCCGTAGCCTTTTGACCCGGGCGGCAATCTGGACGCCGATATGCCCGAGTCCACCGCCAGACCCGGAGATCACCAGAAAGTCCCCCGGCTGAAGCTCCTTGTCCAGATGAGCGAGCGCGCCGGCCATAGTGAGGCCGGCACACAGCAACGGGGCAGCTACTTCATCGGGAACACCGTCAGGGATCCGAGTGATAAATCTTGCATCAGCGATTGCATACTGCTGCAGGGTTCCCGGCACATGGCGGCTGGTATTGAGCTGGTTGGGACAATTCTGGAAAAAACCTCGCCGGCAGACGGAGCATTCCGTGCATGCCTTGTAGAGCCACTTGAACCCTACTCGCTGACCCATCAAAGAGGAAGGCACGTTGGTGCCGGCCTGGACCACAGTTCCCACGCCTTCATGGCCGATGATGGAGTTGTAAGCGCCCCAGCCAAGCACCGCTCGGGTTTCCGAGTGACTTGTTCCCCAGACGATGGATTAGATCGGGAACGGATCAGACAGAATAGGGTTGGTGTGCTCACCAGATGCCCGTGCAATTTAATTTAATCAGGATCTCATCTATCCCTGGGGTTGCGACGGGGATATCTTCGCGTAAAACCACTGTGAAATCATCTCCCGGGTTTTGCACCACAGCCGCTTGTTGGAGTGGAGGAATGGAGACTGTCATTTTGTTTCTATGTTTCTGGGATGTAATTTGTTGTGTGTTTTATGAGATGACCGAGCTGGATCAACTTGGGCTCACAGTAACGCTCAAGCGAAATTGTTTTCATCTGAGCATTGAATCTCGTGATATGCGAGTACTAAAAACCTCCCCGCGACTTGGGGAAGCCGCTTCGCCACTGCCGAAAACACCTACCGACCCTCGGGAATGGAGAATGCAAGCCATAACAGGCAGAATGATGCCCGAGAACAGTTCATTGGACATTCTATTTAAGATAGATGCTGTAGAATTTATACAGGACCGAAAATATTGCAAGAAAGGACTCATAATGTCATTTTTGATCAGTCGTTACCGTGAGCCATCTACCCCCAGAAGTGGAGAGTTCAGGTTGAGCGTGGTTGAAAAATCGATGATCAAGCTGCCGATCTTCTCAAATCAGGCTTACTCCAGAAATCCACAAGATTCCTGACCCAGATAGCGGTATTTCAGCGACCGACTACCCAGTCCGCTAATTACAACCACCTGTTCATCCCCAGGGACAATGTCTATGGCATTGTCCGCCAGCTTCACACCTTCTTGCTCTTCGATGACAAGGCATTTCACGGGCTTGCGGGCGTTAATCACTAGTCGCGCCTGATCTGATGAATCGCGCTGGAGTTGAACGTCAAGGCCGCGATTCGAGAGGTCGAGGTACTTGAAGGGCTGTGGCCAATCGACGTCGCGTGCCACGACCTTGTTGTCAACCCACAAGCGAGCAGCAAGAACATGGGGCTCTGGCTCAGCAATATGGTCGAGCAGACCATCAGTGATGATGTTGGTTGTGCCGTTCGCTGTGATGAGCACGTCCTCGCGTACGATAGGCGGCCGGATGTCCTGGCCGGTGTTGATGGATAAGAACCGGAGCTCCACGCAGCCGTGAACGGATTGTGGCCGGTTGCTGGACACCCAGAGCTCGTATTTGCTGGTTTGAGGAGGTTGGGCGTGCGCGACACTCCAATCATGATGCTCCCGGCGCACTCCAACCGCGATCGGGTTGAGTACTCGCTTGACGGCGTAGTACGCAGGCTTTGGATTCAGGAAATAATCGACGATCGCCCATGAGATTGTCGGCCAACAGTCGTTCAGTTGCCACAGTAGTGCTCCACCACAGTGTCGCTCATCGCCCCATTGCTTCCTCCATCCACGGTAGCCGAACATCATCGTCTCGGCTTGCACGACTTGCGTCAGGTAGATATATGTCTGGAGAGTTGGTGAGTGTGACTTCGCTGGAGGAGAGGGGGGAAAGGAATACCTCCAAATCAGTGGCAGTGCGCAGATTTTCTACCAAATAGGTGGCCAATCGCCTTTCATGTCCATCTGCCTTATTATGAAAGTCGATAACATGCGACTGTGGGAAGAGATCCTTCGGATCTTCGACAAAGTATTCAATCGTAGACACATGCGGGAAAGCCTCCATGCCGAACTCGCTGTTGAATCGGCCACCCAGGGTATCGAAGATTTGATATTTTTCCTGCGTACCATGCCATACTATGGGAAATTTATGTAAGTATATGCAATCTAACAACATAATGGTTTCTCAATACGCCTTACCATTCCACTGGTGCATATCCCCAACGGTGGGGTCCGACGAAATCTTCCCGTCTCCCCACGGGCTGCCTGGATGGTAGAATGTGCTGGGCGAGTGTTCGGAGACAACTTCAGGGAGCAATTTTTCGTAGATATACCGTGCGGGGAAATCAGTCTTAAGCCAACTCTCTGGGTCCTTGTCCTCAAAGTTGTAGGTCAAGCCCTCTGATTCCTGAACTTGATAGTCTTCATTGTTGCCGGCATAGATAACAATCGAAGGGTGGTGTCGCAAGCGCTGCACATTGTAAATGGTCTCCGCACGTATCGAGTCGAGGATCTTTGGCCACGTTGGATAGTTGCCGCATCCGAACATAAAGTCCTGCCACACTAGGACACCGAGTTCATCGCAAGCTTCGTAGAAGGCATCGTCTTCGTAGATCCCACCGCCCCACACCCTAGGGTTGTCAGTCTTGCCTTTGAATAATAGACGTCTACACGTACCTGATCATGATTTGTCGACCGGCAACCATCAGTTCAATCCATTTGCGATATCTTTCTGCAGTGACGTTCGACAGCAGGCTGTCAGCTGGAATCCAGCATGAACCGCCACAGAATATATCCATCCCATTGATGCGGAAGAAAAAGGATTTGCCATGTTTGTCAGGCTGTTGAACCACCTCAGCCGTCCGAATACCAAATTTCTTGGAAGTCTGGTCCACAATATCTCCGCTGCGAAGGAGAGATACGGATACTTCGTACAGATTCTGCTCGCCATAGCCGTGCGGCCACCAGAGCTCGGGACGGTTCACTCGGAACGAAACCTCGGCTTTATGTTCTGAAGATACGGGGATGTCCTGGCTTGCAATTTCATTGCCATTTCGCGTCAACTGGAAACGAGCAGTGTAATTTCCATTATCCCCCGCTTCCACCGCAGCAGTAGCAGTCACTCCAGCAGTCTCATGGTCCCCACTCAGTTGCACCTGGGGCCACAAATTGACGACCCGGGCAGTATAGACTTCAAGATGGATTGGGCGCCAGATACCTGCCGTCATCAAGAAAGGGCCCCAATCCCAGCCCCAATGATACTGTGCCTTGCGCACTGCTAGACGTGATGGGTCTCCGTTAAAGCCTACCCACCTGTGAGTTGTATCAGAATTCCGAAGCTCGCGCGCCTTGAGAAATGCACAGTCGAATTCAATCTCGAGAGTGTGCTCGCCCTCTGCCTCCAATGCCTTGGTCACATTGATCCGATGACCTAGGAACATATTGTCACTCTGTAGAATGACATTTCCGTCTAGCTTGACTGTGGCAAATGTGTCCAATCCGTCGAATACTAAGTCAATGGTAGCGCCCTCGGGTGCGTCTGGTTTCTGGAATACGTTGCGATAGACCCATGATCTCTCGTTAACCCAACGGGCCTTGAGCTCGTTGAATCCGATGAAAGGATCCTCTAGCCTGAGAGTTCGCATGAGTGTCAATGCGTGTTCTTCAATCATGGCCAAGCCCGGTCTTACTTTTTGTTGGCAATGAGATCCTGCTGCACCACGGACGGCACAGCTGGCACAGGCATCCAATCTTCAGCATCGCGGTCCCGGAAGGTCCATCCCGTGGAGATTGATTGACGATAGAATCCCATAATGACGAGAAGTTGAGTTTTACCACTGTTATGGTCGGGGTAACGGAGCTATTTAGGTGGAACTGCGCTGTTTGTATAGAAGCTCCCCCACATGCCTGCCTGTTTGGGCGCGGAGTCCCCGCACACCTGAGTTTGGGATTTGTGCCTTAGTTGCCTGATATATGAGGTGTCAAGGCACCCATGGAATCATGTGCCGAGCTGCTCACAAGCACCACTCAAGAGTACTTTTCTCCGCATCCTCCTCCTCTTCCCTTTGAGCCTTGAGGCCTTTTTGGGGACAGTGGAGTCTCTAAATCCCAATCTAGAAAAGGATTGGGCGCAATGGCTCAATCGGGGACCCCCGCGTCTTCCCCAACCAGAAACTTACGGCCTGCAGGTCGCTTCCTTGGTCACGGAACCACCTCCGTTGAGCTGCTGGCCTCAACTCAACTGGTTCAACAGCGGACAAGAGCGCTACCCTCCCCCTTCTACCACCCTTCACACTCACCGGGCCGACTTCCCTCAACCACTCTGCCTTTGACTTTTCTTATTTTGAACCATCATCGAGGACCAGGCCATTCGCATCGACGCAAATCAGCCCAACGGGCCTTGAATCGCTGAAACCACTAGCCTTGGAACCGATTTCACGCTAACCCACACGTCAGGACTAGGCCCCTCTAACCGAACCAATGACCACCCTGGTCCCCAGAGTTTGGGAGGCAACAGTCCTACAGACTTCGGCTCCCCAGGGCACATGCGATCCAACTCTTGGCGTTCCATGCATGTCCAGTGCACCATTCCTGCCAGGGGTTTCCCATCAGAGGGGGAATCGTTTAATCCATGTCGCGCGGGGCATTCGGATGGAGGTCTGCTGCACTCTTCCCAATGCTCGTCGCCTCGGATTCAACCTCCAGACTTGCCGTGCAGGACCGGCATTTAGATGAATAGGGCAGCAGTGATATCCGCTGAGGGATGTGCCCATGCTTCTTCGGGCCCTTGACTTGAACAAGACATCGCGCCCGGCGAGAGAGTCTCGGCATCGGGGGCTGGCCCACCCTCCGTGGCGATTGGACGACCCGGGAGGCCCGTCCCTGTCCCGCCTGATCAGAACGAATGGCACCACTGAGATGACTTGTCCCATACGAGTAGAGGGGGTTCCTACACCGTTTAATTTCCCTTGGGCGGACAGACCCCTTCCAAAGGACTCTCGTACCAGCCCACGATTCTCAATCGTGGGGACATGGGAAGTCGACGCAACGCATCCTTGGGTGTCACAGTTGGGGATGGGGAAGGAGAAGTTTGTGACAATTGCCTATTCTCTCGGACTAAAGGGAAAGGAGTCTCTAGTCAGATGGACTCGGACTGATTAGGGGATTCCCGTAATCCGACATGTTCTTTCCCCCAGACGATCGCCCTCGCCCTTCTGCAGGGTTCGTTTCTCCACCTGCACCCAAATATGTTCTGCGGCGAGCCGAGCCTGCGACGGGGGAAATTGACCCCTCCCTTCAACCGGGGAGACAGTCATGTTAGCGGCTTCCGATGCATGGCGAAAAGGCCTGTGGCGTGTGCAGAACATGCGGCCTCCGTAATTTGCCTCTGGCATTTCTCATTTCATTCCCGGACCCTAGTCAGCTGGCGCGTGGCACCGCCGGGTCAGCCGTATCCAGCCAGTCCATTGGGAATATCCCTCCGGGTGCTCCTCTGCATCCTGGTTACCAATTATGCCGGCACTCGGACGATGACGCGGACTCGGGAAAGCCTGGGTCGTCCTCGCTTTTTTGGAGCCGGGCAGAGGTCTCCATTCTCAACCAGATTTTCATTCTCTCCACAGTAGATGCACGTTAGCGCTGTAAATCCCGCGCATATCATGGCCTTGAGCAGGGTCCCGGCACCTCCAATAAGCGAACCCGGTCTCCGGGGTCCCCGGAGTCAAGTTCGACCAAGGGTTTAAACGACAAAGGGCTCGTTCCTTGGAAATGCGGGGAGAATCAGGCAGATCAGGCTATTCTCCACGCCCTCCACGTCCTATTGCCGTTCGGTCTTAGTTACCGAGTTCTCTTAGTCTTAGCCTCTTCTTCTTAGGCTCGCGCTGGCCACTTCGGATTCTTTCTTTCCTCTTTCCTGCATCTGCACACCACGAGAGGACGTCCTTCCCTTTATTTCCCTTTCCTCTTTGCCTTCCTTCAATTATGACATAATCGAACTATCCATCTGGATCGTTAGGCTATCCATTCAAGAAAGACTCTTTTCAAGCCTGAAACTGGATGCGTCGGACCGCCATCCTACAATATCAATCCACCCGACTTGTATATCGTCAATATCGTACGACCCGCCTGCTGTTCTCCCAGCCTGGCAGCATCTCCAAATATCAAGAATCCGTCAAACTATGTGATTCGGGATCGCAGTTTGCGTGACTTCGTGCAGTAATCATGTTCCATACCTTTGAAGGATTTGAAAACCCAACGGCCGCAACCCCGGCCCGCAACCGACCCAATATTGAGCGCCGGGAGTCGCTGAGCCGCCGTGTCACCACGCTGCGCGCCTGCACCTCCTGCCGACACCGCAAGATCAAATGTGATGGCGAGAAGCCGTGCGAGGCCTGTCGATGGTACAAGAAGACAGACCAGTGCCATTATTCGGATCCGCGACCATCGAGGCGGTAAGTCTCACCCTCGGACCAGTATTGAAGCATGCCGCCAGCGAGAACTAATCAATGTGAAATAGCCACGTAGAGAAATTATCCACCACTCTGGATGAATATCGGAGTGTGCTTGGGAAACTTTTCCCCAATATCGCCCCAGAATCCCTCGTCAATCTGCCTCGAGAGAAGCTACTCGAGTTGACGGGGGTTCGGCCACTGTGCCGCCAGTGCAGGGCGCGGCACCACACCCTGCTTCACCCGCGACCTCTGTCTCGGTGGAGGCACATGTGTCTCCGTTATCCAATGCAGATGATAATCTCGAGTCTCTCCAGACGATGCCCGAGGAGCTCGACGATAGTCGGCCGAGCTCAACCGACCTGGTTGAGGGGGTGTCAGACGATGTGAATGCATTATCGCTTTCCGCAAGACAGCCGTCATCTTACCTCGGTGTATCATCCATCCAAGCTGTGATTAAGGTCATCGTCTGGTTGGATCCGGGATGCGCAGCGCACTTCTCCAGAACTCCTCCCACGCATCCCCGCGATCAATCGGGGCTGGATTACGATGGTTCTTCCGGGTGGCCTCACCAGCAACCAGCGACTCCTCCGCAGCCATCAATCCCACCAACCGAGATGCAAATGCTAGATGCATACTTTCTGTATTTCCAAGCATTCGCGCCCTTGATCGATGAACGAATGTTTCGTGATACATACATCTCAGGACACCGGAAGGATGACCACTGGCTTGCACTGCTGAATATCGTCCTGGCTCTCGGAAGTGTCGCGGCCTCCAATCCTGACGACCGAACACACCAAACATACTTCCTGCGTTGCAAGAGCCACCTCAGCTTAAGCTCTCTGGGCAGCTCTCATCTAGAAACCATTCAGGCTCTGGGCCTCATCGGCGGATGGTACTGCCACTACATCAGCCAGCCAAACCTCGCGTACTCCTTAATGGGCGCTGCAATCCGTATGGCCGCTGGGCTGGGTTTACACAAAGAATTTGCAGATAGCCATCAAATCCCCAGCCCATCTAAGTTAGCATCCATGGACCTGAAACGCAGAGTATGGTGGTCTCTTTTCTGTATGGATACCTGGGGCGGCATGACTCTCGGCCGGCCTAGCATGGGCCGTTTTGGTCCAAATATCACCGTCAAACCCCCAAATTGCCGGGACAAGGTACGTCACGTCATAAGGTTCTTCCTTTCCCGAGATATTAAAGCACGACCTGACCAAGTTCCAAATAGGAAAATGTCCTTGAGATGCTTCCTCTCGTGGAAAATATCCGCTTTGCCAAGATCGCAACTCAAGTTCAAGAATCACTGGCAGCCGCTCCGCTGGTGAAGCACCAGGAAATGTCACATGCGGATGCCCAGCTCCTCGAATGGTGGGAGAACTTACCCCCTGTTCTAAAAGATCATGAGCTATGTTCAGAATCCATCAGCACCGTTCGCACAGTCATGCGATGGAGATATTATAACCAACGGATGCTCCTATATCGACCCACTCTGCTGAGCTATGCCATGCGACGTGTCCCCTATATCGCCCTTCGTGTTGAGGAACGCACCGCCATCGAAAAGTGTCGTGAGGTAGCCGAGCTATCCATCCAGAATATCGCAGCCACGGCGCAGCTCAACCAGCTCTGTGGCTGGAATGCTGTTTGGTGGACTTTCCAAGCCTCATTGGTCCCCCTCGTCGGCCTGTTCCTGAATGATCCCACGGCCGATGACCCCCGTGCCTCGATCGAGTCCTGTCAAAGACAAGTCGAGACTGCAATGACAACCCTCGCCCGGATGCAGTCCTACGGACACACCGCGAAACGATCCCTAGATGCCATTTCGCGGATCTACGAAGCAAGTAAACGTGGCGAGGACATGCCCACCACCAGCAGTGCGGATTCCTTACCGAACAACCTCTTCCCCGCTGGTCGGGATACAATCACGCTGTTCTCCCCGCCCGAACCGGGACGCATGGGCATGTCGCTGGGGGAGAACGGGATTCCTGAAAACCTGTCTACCCCCTTCGTCGATGATTCTGGCCAATATCTATGGGAGTATCTGAGCTGGAGCGATAATAATTTATGGCCGGGTCTGACAGACATTGATACGCGAAGCGAAGCCATGGCACTGTTGACGCCAGATCATGAAAAGGGACCGAAGTTTGGGACGGCACCCTATTTTGAGCCGATGCCTGATTCTTATTTCGTCAACCCGGCTTTATACTACTAGGCTGTCGACCTTCTTGAGACTTTTGCTAAGTCTATTATCCTGCTCTATGCACATGAGATGAGACCGGGCACTTCTGTACGTGTTGGCGTTTCGTTGGATTGGTGATTTTTCGACTGTTCTTTTAGCGGTAACGAGTTCACGCTTTTGTTTCCCTTGTGACATTTAAACTTAAAAACATAGTACAACTGTTTACAAATTCCCACAATCATCATTATACAAAATAACTATCTTCTGAATGTCGAGCACAGCGTGTCTGGTCAATCTTTCATTTTAGAGTTGTCAATTTTTGAGCTAGTAATTTGTTACTCGTAGTAACTAACTAATTAGTTAACTAGTAGTCTTATTCTACTGTTAGTTAACTAGACGATCAAACTCCAAATTGGGTAACTAATCTGCGAGAATATGCTGAGTCATCACGACGGTCGACCGTGGCATTTGCCTCAGACAGAATCCCGAAGCTGTGAACACGACTTATACACCCGGGCTCGCGTTAGAACTCGGACTAGTGGGGGTGCGCGCAATACCTAAAGTCTATCTTGAAAACCCCGGCGCTTTGATCGCGAGGCTGCCCGCTTCAATTGGTGTGAAAGAGATCGCGGTGATCAATCCCACGGGAGAGATCTTCACCAGGGGAGCTTCCGCATCAAACCCAACCTTGAGCTCCTATTATCAGCTACTGATTATCTGAAGTACTAAAATGGCTATGTTTGACTCCGCGTCACGGGTCTTTCTGGCCGCCACAGCATTGCGCCTGATCCTGCTTGTCTACGGCGGCTGGCAGGATGCTCACTCGGCTGTAAAATACACCGACATTGACTACATGGTCTTCACGGACGCATCGCGCTTCGTGGCTAAGGGTCAATCCCCATATACCCGGGACACCTATCGGTATACGCCACTTCTATCGTGGATACTTCTCCCGACCGCCTGGGAAGGCATGGCATCACTGGCTTCCGTTGCCTTTGCGTTCGGCAAGATCCTCTTCGCCCTGGCAGATGTACTGGCTGGCTGGCTGGTTGTCCAACTTTTGTGTCGGTGCTATCAATTCCCACCTGAGCGAGCTCTTCGATACGTTGCTACTGTGTGGCTCTGGAACCCCATGGTTGCTAACATCAGTACCCGTGGGAGCTCCGAAGGTCTACTCGGCGTGCTTGTTGCCGCGCTGCTGTGGGCGACATTAACCAGAAGGGCGGCCTTGGCTGGAGTCATCCTAGGGCTCTCAGTCCACTTCAAGATCTACCCATTTATCTACGGGGTCTCCATTCTATGGTGGTGGGATGCCCAGCGCGATGGTGCGAGCCCTGCTCAGAAATCTGATCTGGTCTCGCGCATTCTGGGATTCGTGACTCCGTCGCGGGTGATCCTCACCTTCTCGGCAGTGGCCACTTTTTTTGCCCTGAATATTGCCATGTATATGCAATATGGCATGCCTTTTTTGCATCAAACCTTCTTCCACCATCTCACCCGCATCGATCACAGACACAACTTCTCCCCTTACAGCACCCTGATGTATCTCGCCTCCGCTGGCGATGCCAGCTATCGCTTCGAGGCCCTCGCTTTTCTACCGCAATTGCTGCTTGTTGTCATTGCTATTCCATTGGTTCTGGCCAAGAAAAGCCTGGCAACTACTATGCTTGCACAGACGTTTGCCTTTGTCACATTCAATAAAGTCTGCACTAGCCAGGTATGCCCGTATTCTACGTCCTGTTTGCTGGGAATTCTCTAACGCCAAAGGAAGTACTTCATATGGTATCTGATATTGCTTCCATTTTACCTGCCATCTTCATCGCTCATCAAAAAGCCGACGCTGGGTATCACAGCTGCCATCCTCTGGGTCCTTGGACAGGTACGTGTCTCCGGTGAAGAAATGTCGACAAAAGCCGTCCCTTTCTTACGCGTAACAACAGGCTCTGTGGCTCTCGCAAGGCTATAATCTTGAATTTCTTGGCCTCTCTGCCTTCGTCCCTGGGCTCTTCCTTGCGTCCCTCTTCTTCTTCGCGGTAAATATCTGGATTCTGGGAATTATCATCCACGACGTAGGCGAGGATGAAAACATAAACCCTGTAACAAAAGTCGTCCAGTGAGACTCTGTATTATATCTATTGTAACGAAGGGTGGTCTGCCAGTGAACAGAATTTTCTATTTGAAACGCGAACCTCCAACACGATTATAGAACGATATATTAACTTGATATAATGGGCTGTGGAATGACGTAGTATTTCGGAGAAATTTAGAAACCAAGAAAACGCCCCATGGAAAGTCGATGGACGCTGGACACCCTTGTATAAGTGAGGAGACGAAAACTTACCAAATAGAGTGACAATCAAGACCTCTGATGCATTGTGATAATTAAAAGGGTATCGATGCGTTATTAATACAGAACGAGGCTGAAAAGAACAACTAATTGATAACAACTATGTAATAAAAAGTATAGTTCGACACTAGCGCTTGCGCCTGAATCGAAACCGAAGCTCTTCATCACTATCCGAGTCCCGCGCCTCTCGCAGGCGCTTTTGGCTGTGGGCCCGAGATGGCGCCGAGATTGAATCTGGAATAAGATCGGGCGTCTCAGACAGAGTCAGTGAAACTTGTGATCGAGCTACAGCTGGCTCCGCTTGGCTGGGGGTCTTTTGTATATCATGGCGCTGTTTCTGATTCGTTTCAGCAGCTTTGCCTGCGCTGACCCAATGGTGCTCGCCAATGCCAAAATCCTTGCGTATTACCTGCTCGAGAGGAACAATAACACTTTCCACACGCTGGCGAGCGTGCCGTGATTCGCCTTTACGCCGGAATCTCTTGAAATTCTTACGACCATTCCATCGATCGTCCCAACGATCAGAGCTCTCGCCCTCTTGCACAACAGGATCTCGAATAGGCATGTCCATTTCTTCGATGATGGCGAGATTTCGCAACTTTTCAATGTCCACATCCTGTGAGGAAATTGGATTTTCTTCAGCCTGTCGCTGCTGCTCTTCTTCTTCACGATGTTTGCGCGCTGCCTCCAAGACATCTAATTTGGGTCGCTTGGCTTTGGGAAGGCTTTCGGATTTCGCTTGTGGGGTACTGGATGCGTGTCGGTCTTCACTTATCTCAATTCGGCGGCGTTTCATGGCTTGAGCCCCAGGAAGTAGATCTGCGACCGAATCTTCTTCTTCCACAGTATCCAGAGGCTTGTTCGGCTCGCTAGTCTGGGAGGATTGAATGGCTTCTAGATTCACGGCCTGAGATGTCTCGTCATCATGCGGAGTGTATACTGGAATAGATTCCATATCAAATCCGTCGTCAAAGGCCTGCATCTTGCTCACAAAAGTGCGAACTCGAGGGGCTTTCTTTTTGGGTGCAATTGGCTGGCTTTCATCAGACGGTAGAGATACGGATGCAATAGGCTGAGACTGATTGACTTGTGGTTGGAGCTCGGTAGCAGCCTCTTGAAGGGGGGTTTGGCTCGATCCTTCCTCTCGTGGCAGCGGCCGACACAGTGGAGAGGCATCATTTCCCAGAATCGCGTCGAGAAACTCCCGTTGTTCAATCACGCGTTGATCTGTCATCAGCGCAACCTCGTTCCCGACCTCGATCGACCACGATTCGTACTGACCCTTAGATCGAAATCGCACAAGTACAACACCACCTAATCCGTCTCGGTCGCCGCCTACCCCTTTACGACCACCGGCTTCCCTCATATATTGTACAATTTCTGTCGCAGTAGTATTACCATCTTTGACCTCACAAAATAAGGCCTTGCCTTGACCATTGTTAATTGCCACCTGAAGGTTCTCAAACTGGGAGCGGTCCCCGAATACAAATGTATAGCCCTCAAAGACGTTAATGCGGGATGGATTTGGTGCAAAAGCAACAGCAGGGCGGTTCGCCGGCTCGTTTCCAGCGGGTGGAAGGTGCTCTGAGGGATCGGGCCAAAATGAGACAAAGTCAGTTTCTAGTGGCGACATGGATTCATCATTCTCCAGATCACTCGGGGTGGTTGCATAAACCAGAGCATCAATATATGAATCCTTAACAATAAATTTGCCGTTGATTAGGGCCTGAAGACCCTTAGCCGTATTCCGTTTGCTTTGCACGACGTGAGTAGTTTGGTCCACCAAGTACGGAATGACGGTCTTGATATCGAGGCTCTCTAGTCGTTCCCGGACTTTGGCAAGGGGATCTTCCGCTCTCATTTCTTTCGAAGAAAATGAGAAGCTGAGAACGACTGGTTCCCATTTGATACTAATTTCGAATCATTAACCTTGATATCCCCCAAAAAAATGCGGAGGAGACGGACCGTAGAGCATGCTGGTAGTGACCGAGCAAAATACTGTGTTCGTCGCCTTTGACTATGTGTGTTCCTTCGATTCTTTCGCCATTCACAACTGTTCCTCGACTGGATTTCAAATCCGTAATGGATAACTCCGTGCGGGCGTGTGTTCGGGTCTGGGGTTGCCATTAGCATTATGCCCTCCGCCGTCGGACTGGGAATCGTACCCCATCGCGAGGTTTGACCGAGGATACTTCAATGGTAATGTGTTGACGAGAAATGGACTTGTTAGGGATCCCAAAATGAACTGTAAAATGAAGTTTCCTGTCAGATTAACGAGTTCAGATCTGGTGATTAACGGGGAGCTGAACGAACTGCCGGTTTGCGGGGGTCGACCAACGAGATACCTCTTTCCGGGGCGCAACCATAGGCGCTTTCCTAATTAACAATCAGCTGTATGCTCTGATTTGTGTCTATACATGCCAATCACCGTTCAGGAAGTCCCCCGTCGTGTCAAGAATCCACATCGAGAATCGTTGCTGAGAGACAGGCGGATTAGCAGCACACGTGAAGCCGCAACGCGTCACCACGTGATCAGGCGTTCCTCTTTAACCCGAGTTGGGACGCAATCCATCCAAAAGCACAACGTGGGAAAAATTTTGCTTGGGTTATTGATTGATAGTCATTCTCTAGGCTATTCATAAATTTATGCTAATTATGAAATTTCAAAAATTCTTCACAGAAAAAGGGTTGCGCAAAGTATAAGGATTTATGTATGTGGTAGGGTACTGTTGCCTGATGTTGGATTATCTCATCTCCCCGTGACCCAAAGTCAGGCCTGAGGCCGCGATAACCTCTGGTGCGATAGTTGCCTATCGGGAAATCTGAGAACTACAAGGATTGCCTCACCCGATGGCACATCTGGTATAATGGCATCCCCGGTCAAACCGGCTGACGAGAATTCAGATTCGGCACCAAACGTAGAGGGCTTTGAGACACTGAAGTACCAGCTCCTTGGACCCTCCCTCACCAAAGCGGGACAGGATGCGGTTGATCAGCAGAAGGTACGCGTTTTCAAGAAGATACTTCGAGATAAAAATGGAAATAGATGACTGAGACAAGTGGAAAGGTATCCGAAATAATTTACAATGCCTCCAAAGGCTCTAAATTCTTTAACCATGAACAAGAGCGCGATCGCAATCTCACCGTCAAGATCGAGCGCATTCTCAGAGAGAAAGCCCGCCTGGAAAAGCTAGATTTAAGCCATGATCTTCGGCGCGCAGATGAGTATCTAGCGGAACTCGAACTTGGTCGAGACCTATCGCAATATGTGATCCACGTTGATTGCGACGCATTCTTTGCCGCTGTCGAAGAATTGGACCGACCCGAATTAAAGTCGGTGCCTATGGCTGTCGGTAAAGGCGTGCTTACCACATGCAACTACCTGGCCAGGAAGTTTGGTGTCCGCAGTGGCATGGCCTCCTTCGTGGCCAAGAAGCTTTGCCCACAGCTGGTACTGTTGCCGCAGAACTACGAGAAGTATACTGCCAAAGCCAAAGAAATCCGCGCTATCATGGCCCAGTACGACCCCCTCTTTGAGAGTGCAAGTATTGATGAGGCCTATTTGAACATCACGGCATACTGTTCAGAAAACCAATTGCCTCCCGAGGAAGCCGTCCAGCGAATGCGAGCCGAAATCCTGGAAACCACCAAGGTCTCAGTCTCCGCTGGCATCGCGGCGAATGCGAAGATAGCCAAAATTTGCTCGAACAAGAACAAACCGAACGGGCAGTTCCGCATACAGAATGATCGCGAGGCGATCATGGAGTTTATGCGAGACCTGCCCGTTCGCAAAGTGAATGGGGTTGGCCGTGTTTTCGAACGGGAACTCGACTCAATCGGCATCAAGACATGTGGAGATATCTATCCGCAGCGTGCACTGCTGACCAACCTTTTTGGTGAGAAGGCCTTCCAGTTCTTGGCCCAGTGCTATCTGGGCCTCGGCCGCACCAAAATAGAGCCTGTTGAAACTTACGAGCGAAAAAGTGTGGGCACTGAAACCACCTTCCATGAAATAGGGGACAAAGACGAGCTTCGTAAAAAGCTACAATGGGCTGCGAATGAGTTGGAACAAGACTTAGCACGGACCCAATTCAAGGGCCGTACCCTTTGTCTGAAGGTGAAACTTCATACTTTCGAAGTTCTGACTCGCCAAACGGCTCCTCCACATGCAGTATCCAGAGCTAAGGATCTTTACTCATTTTCGCTTCCCATGCTTGCCAAATTGGAAAAAGAGATTCCGGGCATGAAGCTTCGATTGCTGGGCCTGCGAGTCACGAATCTAGTCAGTACCAAGAAAGTAGGTACTAACTTTTTCGGAGTCGCCGTCCAAGCCAAGCCCAGTACTACACCAGCTCCCGACCAGAAAGCTGACCTCGACATTGGGGCCGAGGAGGCCTTTGAGACTGCCGCTCGTCAAGAAATCCAAGATGAGATGAATGACTTAGAGCAACTTACCCAAGAGGCTGCTAATCTACCTGATACACCTGATCCCGAGATAGCTGAGACGGTCGTGGCAGGCCCCGTTGACCCTCATCCTGTCCTACATTGGGAATGTCCTATCTGTGGCCGACCACAGGTTGCCGATGACCGAACTTTCAACGATCACATGGATTTCTGCTTATCCCGGCAAACCATCCGTGAAGTTATCCAAGATACCTCCCACGAAGAGAGTTGCGTACCTGTCGATCGCAAAAGAAAAGCCCCTTCTCAGCAACCCACTACTGAGATTGATCCACGCCAAAAACGGCTTTTCTTTAGTTAAGAAGATCACTCATATTCCCTAAAACCAGCCAAAATCGCATAAAGGTTGAAGGATGAAGGTTTTACGGGCAAGCTATACTAGACGTTAAATTCCTAATTCCACGATAGAACAATGTACAATTATAAAATTAGTGTACCTCTGCAGCCTCTGCAGCCTCTGCAGCCTCATATTATCCCCTGACATCCTCGATTACGCGACCTTTGCAGGTGCCGTCTTCCCCGGCCGTGATCGGCCAACAATTGGATACAGAGTGGAGCATCGGGATGTCCTTGCCAGGGCCAATGCGTTGTCCTCACATCTTGCATCCTGTCGATATTCAGAGAAAGAGAGAAGAATTATAGACCAATAGAGCATACTCTATAGCGTCAAACGATCTATATTTGTATACTTATCCTTATTCCCCAATTGCCCAGCATATTACTCATATTGTCTTTCCATGTAGGGCGGAATGCCTCGTTGCGGTGAACGCCGCCCTAAACCCGATTGGGCCTGAATGTTTTCGAGTTGCTCGAGATCCTCCCACCTTCGCCCTTCGTCCTCTCTCCCGTTCATCAGGCCACTCAGATCTTCTTTTATACCGGTTCAGATCCTGATTTTGGTGGCAGGTGCCATCATGCTCTGCTGTCCGCAGTGTATTGCGACGCCCGCATCTGTGCCCGCGCTGCAACTATGACCTCCGATAAACAAAACAATGGCCATCTTGCCAAACCATTCACACCCACCCTGTCCGCAGCGTTCCACCGCTCTAACAAGACACCGTTGACACCAAAACTCGCCAGTCCAAGTCCTGGACACCCGATTTCTCGCCGCCTCGCACATCCCGATCACCCCTATTCCACTCCGAGCAAGGACGACATCCCCGCCGTCCCGTCGAGTTTCCTCAGTGCCAACATTACCCCTCGATCGGGCTCGCGAAATGCTCGTCGCGATGCTGCTTTCTCTTCGCCGACAAATACTCCCCCTGCTCCCTCCCCGCAGACTCCGTACTCGCAGTCCGTGGTCGGTCTCGGGGTCAATGGAGTCCGCCGAACGGAACGGAGCCCTGCCCGTGGGGTGAAGACGGAACAATCGAGGAGTCTGAGAGCAAAGACGCTGACAGCTGAAGGTCAGCAAGCATCGCGTCCAAATTCGTTCACAGATCTAGCGTCTGGCTCGGCAATGTTCTTCCATGCGTCTGATGCCCGGTCAACTACTTCGTCCGAAGCAGAGCCCTCTCGTCCCAAACAGGGGAAGCTGTCCCCCGCTTCCAGTTTTGTCTACGCGAACGGGGACCAAGAACGGTCTTCTTTGGGTGAAGAGACCAGTTTCACCACATCTACTGCCAAGCGTCGCTCAGGTGGTCTTCCCCGCCCTGTCTCTTCTTCTCACAGACCAGCGGCTTCTCCTTCACCGCGCCTAAAATCGCCGCGAGTTTCGGATGCTACCGTGCCCCTCCCCGATGACAGCCATTTCCAACCTATCCTCAACCCGGGCCTGGGCCTTGCCGAAAATGTAATACAGCGATTTGGCTCGCCGCCTAACCCTCCTCTTGATCGACCACAACTCCCCTCTATTCGACCCCACAGAAAATCGTCTAGTATGGACTCGAGCAGCCATACACACCCACCAGAAGGCCTTCGAGCAAGCCCCCTCATCATCCCGAACAACCTTGGTGCGGATGGCGTGACTCCCGTCATGTCAGATCAGATTCCAACTCTACGTCCTCGTGTGTTTAGCAACGGCTCCTCCGCATCTAACGATGCTCAACTTTCGATGCCCTTGAGCCCCGGAAAATCAGATGGCCCTAGTGATATGGCTTTGAATGCTCGCACCGAACGAAAAATTTTAGATTTGGAAATCAGCAATTCCTCCTTGCTAGCTATCAATCGAACCTTGGAACGAGAGATGCGCAAACAACATGCTGAATTACGTAGATACCGACGTCTCAGCCGCTCAGGGCGCATTTCAATGGCCCCTTCGACTCGATCATTCTCCGGCATCGCCCTTTCGACAACAAGCGAATTGGATGAGGGCACGAGTGAACTTTCTTCTATCCGCTCTCATGACGAAATGTCCGACTATAGTGACGAGGATTCCATTGCAGACGAAGGAATAATGAGTCCCGATTCGCTCGCTGAACACGATGCAAAGCACAGAGCACATGATGAGAAACGATTCATGCTTGATCTTGCTCGACACCAAGAGCTTTTGATAGACAGCCAGAAAATGAACCAGAGCCTGAAACGATGTCTGGGATGGACTGAAGAACTGATTAAAGAAGGCCAGAAGGCACTGGAATACAGTGTCCATGTCCAAGATGTTGAGTTAGGCGGACGTGTGTTGTCTCCCGAGGAATTAGGAGAGATCGGTCAGGGCGGCCGAGGGCTACTGAGTCCCTCAGCCGAGTTTGACAGCGTCTTTCCGTCCAGTATTTCATCCCTATTTGACGATTCCTTCCCTGACCCAGCCACATTCCCTTTGCCCTCGTCCCCAGGTGGGACAGATTAATCTTCTAATATCGTTTGCCTTCTCCTATATCTTTTTTTTGTCTGCAAAATACCCCTATTTGCCATCCCTCCTTTCCAAATCTGTTTTATCTTTGTCTTCATAACCTAGCCCGTGCATTCGTTTCGACCTTTTCTCTCATTTTTCGGATCTTTCATTATGCGCCAGACCTCTCTTGACCCTTGATGGCTTTTCTTTCCTAGGGCTTGAATCTTTTGACCTGCAGAGATGTGTAATGAATCCTCGATTTCCAGGTGCTCCATCCTCCATTCAGCTCTCCAATATTTTTGACATTTGTGATTAGATACCCGATGTACAAGACCTGTCTGCTTATCTGTTCGCTCCTATCTACTCGTCCTGGAGGTTGCCTCGCTTGAGGCCTACAATGTGAACAATTGAGAACTACTCTGTACTTGCATTGCCACCAAGTTTATTACATGTATGGACTACTGTTCGAGGGGGTATCTCCGCGTGGGATCTGCTAGAGCTTATCTTCTGAACACAAATCCTGAAATCATCAATTCCAACATCGTAATCTTCATATTCATCATCGTCATAATCATCATCATAGATTCGCCATTACACACATTCATATTCAGCATATCCCTCTGCCTGTTCAAAAATCATGGAAACGGACACTGACCCAATCGCTGTTGCCGAAGAGCTGCCTTAATCACCTCCAGTTCCTTGCGACCTTTGCCTTCGAAATACTTAGGCCCTACGTCAGGAGTGTAGTAGCCTTGCGGGTAATACTTGTCCCCATCGTCCCCCGGCAATGGAAGTCCCAGCGCCCGCTGGAACCAAGCAACCGGACCCCAGCGGTTCCAGAGCGTGGGCTGCACATAGAACGGAGCCCCTTCGTATAACAGGAAATAATTCCGGCCATACTCGTTGGGCTTGTCGGTGAAGACATCCAGACGCAAGAAATTCGGACGGGGGAGGGCAAGGTAGCGTAGGCCGAGGCGGCGCAAGTGCAAAGCGGTGCCGACGATCATGCTGACAATCGCCGGAGGAGGATCGATCCTAAATCATAATCATTAACCAGTGCTCCTCTTCTTTATGTGATACAAGCTCGCGCAGTCAGGCATACATCATGGCATTGCGAAGACGCTCATCCATCAAGAATGACACGACGTACAAGCCAAGCGGCTTCATGAATCCAGGCAAGTTGTACACCAACACGTCAATCGTCTTCTCGGCAATCTCTTTGTTTCGGGGATGTGGCTTCATATGTTGCATTTCGTACCGCTGGCTCCACGCGCTGATCTCTTCTAGCCAGTGAAGCCCGTCCCGGAACCCGGTTTTGCCGGAAGGCAGAGTGTCATAGCTGATATCCAATGCATCGCCCAGACTTTTCCAATATGTGCCAACGGCGCAGCGTTCCATTTCAGTCATCTCACGCCACTCGTAGAGTTTGACGAATCGGATTGGCTCTGTCGCGAACAGGCCGAGCGTGTAGAGCATGTCGTCTTCGAGGATCTTCCCGCTGGCTCGGTATCCTTGATGTAAGAACTTGGTCCGGGCGATGGCTGTTTGTGCTCGATCGGAAGACGGGTTGAACGCCATGAATTCTCCAATGAGCGCGCCTGTATCTGCATATCGTTTGAAGGAAGTGGCGGAGTCGGAGAACTGGGAGGTTTTCAATAGGAGGGTGGAAATGGTCGGAATGCCGTATGTCTTCGGTTTTGAGAATGAAGCATTTGTTAAATCAAGTAAGTCTATCATATAGTGTTTTCGGACCTAGCTTACCCGGAATAGTGCAAATTGAAGTGATTTGACCACCATAAAAGGAAATTCAGTCTGCATGATGGTCTTCTGGATAGCGAACGCATCCTGGTCAGTCATCTTGCTCATCGATTCGCTCGTATTATATGCATATTTGTTCTGAACTGCTCGACGTCGCTGATATCTCAAAGAGGACGCCAGTGCCATATATCCCGCGAGAGCAAGCAAACCATATAGTAAGAAATGTTGCCACGATGTCTGCGACAAATAATCGATCCCAAGTCTTTGCGACAAGGAGAACGGTATATGAGACCAGGGCATCGTCTGGTGGTATAAATTAAGAAGGCTGATACTGTATACTTCTTTAATTATTGCAATAGGGATGAGGACAATAGCTGCAGTATTCAAAGCGCACGGGTCCTGATATACATCCTGCCTGGTCCAATCTTATATACATCACTTGTTCCGTACTTAGGTCACACTATTTGCCAAAATCGCCATTCGCCATTATGATCGACGATGGGTGTTCTCCTACCCGAATCTCATTGTGAGGCCCTGCATATCTAGGGCATCTAAAAGAACCCAGCGGACCGAGGAATCAGACTGTCCGGGCGCGGGGCAGCCGGGCTGTCTGGTGATTACACAAAAATGCTTATGTACGATGAATAACAAAAGCGACCAATCCCAGCATGTCCTTGTGGCCATTTATTAAGCAATCTGGGTATGCTGTACACACCCGCTCAGCTCCCCGGAAGTGCACCCTTGGGATATCGAGTGGCATGAGGACCCTCATCATCATGCCAGGCTGAAGCCGAGGCTTGGCACCCTTCCAGCCCTGCGGTTCTGAAGTGTTCTAATTTGTGCCTCGACGAGATTTATCCGTCGAACCGCGCATAAAAGCCCAACATACTCGGCATTGCTACCGGAGTCGCCTTCACCGATATCGTACGACCGACTTGAGGGCTTGAAGCTCGGAATAAGCACTACCTGGGGGAGAGATCGACATTCGGATCGCGAAGAAGCCGGTAAATGCTGACTGGATTAGATTTGTCTTGTTTGTTGTTGGCCCGTTGCGGGGTTCAGTCCCACTTCACATGAAAATATACTGGAATCACCTTACAGCACATGCTGAACAATGCCATAATACGGGGACTCTTGTGTTGGCTATTCAACTTGATGGGTCAACCTGGGGTGAAAGTATGAGGAAAAAACCTAAGCAACGAGTCAACACAATAATGCTCATATTTTGAGACGACATGTTGATCAAACTACTCTTATATCATCATAAAAATGGCAACTATATAGGCCTTGCGATAAGATTATTTCGTCCGTCGCATCGACTTTACAATCAAGATTGACAGCAATAAATTTGGATCTTTTTTTGGTTTTGTGACGTGCTTTTCGCAAACTGATTGGTTCTGGGCAGATACTACAGACTTTCTTCGCTTGTTTCCCTCTCAAGCACGCTCAGACGATGGAAGCGAGTGCTAGGACGAGGCTCGGGATTATACATGGAGAGCTATGCCAACTCAAGCCGCCACAATAGACTGCTTCATACTGACAGATGGGTCCTTGATGTACGGGATACCCGTCAACTTGAACGCGCGTTCACTGAGTACAGCCTCGCCGACGGGACCCTGCCGGTTGTGAGGGTCCTCCTTGCCATCGCGCTGGGCAACATTCGAGCCGGTATGTCTCGCGTTAGGCCAGTGGGTAGTCCCCACACGGCGCTCGAAGGCATCCTTCTTGCGCACCAGGTCCTCCTGGGTGGCATCTGCTACGGGCATGAAACAAGTGTAAATCGCAAATCGGGGCTGGCTGGCCTTCGGGCTTAGGTTGTAGTGGGGAGTGCGAGAATCCCAGAGCAAAAGGTCGCCGGGCTCGGCGCAGACCTTCTCCCACTTGCAGCCGTGGTCTTCGAGCCACTTCATACCGCGGTCGGTGAAGCCGTACCATTCGGGCGTCCAGGCCGGGATACGCTCCTCGTCGGCCATCTCCTTGTGGAATTGCTCGGATACGAGGTGCCCTCCTTTGCAGACGATCAGACCGCCATCCTCAGGGCCATTGGGCAACAGGTTCACCAGTCCCTGCATGCATCGAAATCCAGGCTTCTCCGGATCCTGATCCTGGTGTGGCCAGGGCTTGTTGGGAGCAAGGTCGGTGCGGCTTCATCGTGGCAAAGGGACAGTTAGAGTCCAGTTGATTTGACGAGGAGCGGAACGGGTCGGGTCACTTACTTTGGGAATTGGAAGTTGGTGGCATCAAACGAGACAATCAAGTCCTCGTCATCGTAGATCTTCTCGAAGGCGGCGACCACGCCGGGTTCACTGCGCACGCCCCAGACAAAGGATTCATGAGCCAGCCCATAGTGCAAGCACATACCCTTCTCGTTGATGACTGGGAGGTTGTCCTTGTGCACAGTGGAAGGATCATTGCGATCAAATCCCAAATTGCTGTTGGAGGCAAGTGATGATGAGCCTTGTGCAATTTGCCTGTGACAAAGGAGCAAGGGGGAGCTACTTACAAGTTCTCCAGCCAGGAGTACATCTCATCTGCATACTTTGTAGCCTTCTCGCGGGGAATTGCGCCCTTGACGACTGCAAAGCCGTTGCGGGTCAACTCATCACGGAAATCACCATACTGCTGGTCGGTGCCATCCACCCGCATCCGGCCGAAGCCGTGTAGACTGGGGTTGACGCGAGCTTGCTCCGTGATGGTCGTGGTAGTGGACATGTTTCTTCTCTTTCTTTCTTGACAACAAGACTCGTTGATGTCTGGGAAGGGGAGAGTAAATGATCTAGATATCACGTTGGTGGTGTGTTTATAACCGGTACTCTGTGTAGACGTGCCGGGGCATGTCTTCGGAGATCAGTGGACTGGGAAGCGCTTGTCCACCACGAATGCGACTAAGCCAACCATCTTGCAAAACTTGTTTCGATTGGTGTGTTGTTCCTTGCGAATGTCTCGGGCTCCATGGCTCGGAAAGTGGGCGAAGTGGGCGAAGTGGGCAAAGTGGGGGAGGAGTATACGCTCCCAAGTGGCGCCGAAGTGGAAGAAACAGGCGAAGCGGGCGTTGAAGGTAAGGTGGGAAGATGTCTGTGCTTTCTAAAAGGCGGGGAGAGCTGCCTCGTTCAGAGAACATTCTGTGGATGAGAATTCCGTGTTTTCTTTCAGCAAGTCCAACATGTCCAGTGTATCGCCCTTTCGGATTGTGATTGTCGGGGGCGGCATCGCGGGGATGACCGCCGCCATCGCGTTGCGCGGGCCCAACAGACACATCACCGTCTTGGAACAGTCACGATTGAACAAGGAGATCGGAGCTCTGATCTCGCTCCAGCCGAATGCATCCAAGATTGTTAGCTCGACTTGGGGCCTGCACCACGAGTTGAAGGAGGCGCGGGCCATGGTGGATGAAGGGTTTCGCATCTACAACACCGATGGCCAGTTAGTCAACACCGTCCCGCTCTTGACCAAGACGCAATATGGAGCCGACCGTCTCTGCTTTCACCGGCGAGACCTGCATGACCAACTAAAAAGCGCGGCCATCTCGCCTGACCGGGCAGGGGAGCCTGTCATCATCCGTGTGGCCACTCGAGTTGTCGATTGCGACCCGCTGGAAGGGACCGTGACTCTCGATGGCGGAGAGATCGTTGCTGGAGATTTGATTGTGGGCGCCGATGGAATGTGAGTGATGTTCTATATCCGTCCATTTGCCAAAGGCGACGTCGTTCTAACATGAAATGAATCCGATTAAATGTAGACATAGCATGCTTCGCAAACACGTATTGCAGGAAGAACCCTCGCCCACTCTTACCGGGCACTCAGGTGAGTGCAGGAATATGTTTTTGCTTCGATGGAAAGCATCACGTAAATTGACCATAGTCCCAGCTTATCGTCTTATGGTTTGTAGAGATGGCAAGATCCGATCTGGCAGGATGGGGAGGGAGAAACTAACACAGGCTTAGATACCCACCGAAGTTCTGGAGAAGGAAGTACCCGAGTTCTGCGCCAAGATCAATCCTCGCGATCCCTTCACGTCAATGATTGTCGCACAGAATTGTCGCCTGGTGATGGGCCCGGGGAGACAAGGCGAGGTCTTTGGCATTGTAGCCCTTGTCCCCGATGGTGAGGCAGCCATTCATCGCCCCATCAGGGATCGGACCGCGCCAACTAACAGGCTTCATTAGAACAAATGAATGAGGACCCTGCGTCCAAGCAGTCATGGGTATCCGAGGGCAATTTGAGCCAGATGCTCGCTACTTTTGCGGAGTTTCCGGCTTGGGTCACCAACATCTTCAAGTAAAAAGCTTTGCCCTCGACTCCATGCTCGGTCTTCGCACTGATTCATTGAATAGGCATTCCGCGGATCTGGGACTCTGGCAGCTGCGTGATCTGGTAAGGTTCCTTGTAGCCCGGTCTTCCTCAATATTTGTTGCTCCTTTGCTTGTTTGTTCACATGCATTAGAATCCACTTGAAACCTGGCATCGTGGCCGAGTGATCCTCATTGGAGATGCGGCCCACGCCATGCTCCCTACTCAAGGCCAAGGGGCCAGTCAAGCAATCGAGGATTCCGAGGCCCTGGGTGCTTTCTTTGATGACATGACTCAGGTACCGTCCCTGGAGGCCCTGGAAAAGGCTCTAGAGGTAAGTACTGGCCGAACTCTCTTGGGAAATTTGGTTTGGGAGGAGGAACCCGGCTTATCTCTCAACATAGGATATCTTCCAAGCTCGATACTCGCGAGTCAGCCTGATTCAAACATATAGCAGAGAAGCCGCCAAACCCGCGGCAGTCAAGAAGACCGTCACCTTGTAAGTCAAATTGGCGTACTAATCTATTAACTTTGGTGGGTTGCCCAGCGGGTTGATTGACCGTGGATTTTTAGAAAACCGGATGAATTCATGGATTTCAATTGTTTGTATCCTGGGGCTAAGGCATGGAAGAATCAGCAAGTCGCTGCATTGGCTTGAATGGAGGGTTTGGGGAACTGCAATATTGGAATATTTGAACGAGAGAAGACCCTTCTCGTTCGTCTGCAGGGAGTTGTAGGCGCTGTCTATACAGGCGCTGTAATATTGCACAATGTAGAAAATCGAGCCAACATGGCTATACTCCCGTTGCATCGTAAAGGTTATTTATCCCGGGCTCTCAGCGAACTTTTCTGGATACACATGGACTATGACAAGTCGTGAGTACCTAATGAAGACAACCGTACTATATGCTATATGCTATCGCAGGTAGATACCGTGTGTAGCTTACGAGTCAACTGCCGGCGAACGCAACGACCAGCCTTTACCCCGCAAAACTTAGAAAAGTTAAAGCCCGTAAACGCTCGAGCCAGTTTTGGGCCCTGCAATGGACCGGCTCGTCATTCATGATCGCGGGCGGATCCCAGTCTCCCCAGTCTCCCCAGTCTCCCCAACTTCTCCAAGTTCTCCAGTCTTGTCGGCCCCGGGATTGGCGGTGGCCCGCAAAACAGACGCCTCCCGAGGTCAACCGACCCTCTCAAGGCGCCTTAAAGCCGGCGCGTCCCCCTCCAGCCTCCCCAGCTCCCGAGATCGCCATGTCTGGCAGTCCGGAGACCCCGCGACGTTCTCCACGCAAGACCGCCAATCACCATTGTCCACACTGCGACAAGACCTACGAGCGACCGGATCATCTGGCCCGCCATCTGGATTCCCGTGCGCTTGATTCAAATCCTCTTCAATTGGGCTGGGCTGACCAAGGACCAGATCGCAACGAACGCGTTTATCAATGTCCCACCTGCCAACGGGGGTTTAATCGCCGGTAAGGTCGAACCCGAGGCATAACGCATGAAAAGAGAATGGGTGGTTGTGGGACGACCCCGCTGACCATGACCAGAGACGTTCTGCAGCGGCACCAGGCGGTTCATGAAAGAGACATCACCGAAGGGAAATCGTCCGCTCGTCGCACCCGAGAGCGCGCGATCGAAGCCTGCGAGGCATGTGCGGCTGCCAAATTGAGCTGCGACAATGAAAGACCGTGTAAAGTATGCGTGATCGAGCGTTATAATGGCCGGCGAGCCTCAAGAAACTAACCTTTCCATCAGCGATGCCATACCAAACAAATGGAGTGCGTTCCAAAGCCGTCGAGAGACCCTCGCAGGCTGAACGACCGGGTTTCATATCCAATTTCTCTCCCAGCATACTCTCCTCAGATAAACGGCCAGGTTACCGGTCAATCATCGGATCTTCCGGTCTTGACGGACACACCAGGCTCGGGGCCATCCGAATTCAGCGGACCCCCGGCGCCGACTTCATACTCCGGCAGTACCCAGGGCATTTATGAGCCCAACCTTGCCCCAGCGGATGAAATGGCTCTGAGTCCCTTCATTTCGCAGAGAAACTTGCAGACATATTCCGCACTCAGCGGTTTCCCAGCCTTCTTTGAGCAGGTCATGCTGCCCGGCTTGGATACGGAAGAGGCAACCCAAGGAACACAGCAACCGCGCGCGTTCGACTTTATGCAGGATACTGATTTCACTTTGTCAGAAAATGACATTTTTGGTACGGATTTCATTCCGGACTTGGATAAGATACTCGATACCGTGGGACCCTTTACTGGATTTGAAGACCACCAGCATCCTTCACCCGACGACCAAGAGTCTGTTAGTCGGCGCGCAGCGGCTTTTAAACGCTCTCTTTGGTAAGCGCATTCTACTTCCATGACCCCCTCCGTTATATATATTTCTTTAAATTCTGATAAATATCCAGGTTGTGGGTGCCAGAAAAAAACCAGCATGCCTTTAGTGAGGAGGGAAGAATTCCTATGCGTGACAGTGACAGCATCCCCTCAACACATCAGCTGCGACTAGATGCCCTTCAGATTCCCGGAAACCTTTCTGCACAGGCAAGAGATGACATTTTCAAGTTGGTTATCCGGACTGCAGGATCCCGACTATCGATTTCTGCATTCCCATCGGCCGACTACCTCGACACCCTCATCAAGATTGGGATTGGCAAACGAGTTGAGACTGATGCATGGATCCATCTGTATACATTCTACGATCTACAATATCAGCAATTGCGCCCGGAGCTTCTGACAGCTCTTGTTGCTGCGGGGTGTGTCTGTTGCGGGATGCCGTCAATAAACAAGACGGGCATTATCTTACAAGAAATTACGAGAGTTGGCCTTGCACAATTGGTATCTTTCTTTCACATTACCTCTCTCTTATTGAAAACCGCTGACCGACTACTGGGGTCAGGTTGAGGATGATAACAGCGTCCTCCGAGATCTCCAGTACCTGCAAGCTTCAATGCTGTGGCTCGATATCGGAATCTTTTGTGGGTTCACTCGTAAAATGCAAATTGCAGAAAGCTACCTACAGCCTCTCTGCACGGTAAGGGCTTCTCTTTTGCTGTGTAAGTTATTAATCGGACTGACAGAGATAGGCTGTCCGACGAGCCGCAGCATTTGACCGATCAACTTATACCATCACCACTCCGCATTCGTTTAGCGACGATGACGAATCGTTGAACAAAGCCTGGCATGTTTGGGTCAAACAAGAGTCCCTCAAAAGGTAATTCAAAATATCTCTATTCGTTCAGTACGGGGGGTATATTGATCAAGACAGGCTCGTATATCACCTCTTCGGCCACGATGTGGAGGTAGCCGCTGCCATGAACCGACCTGCCATTATTTCATATACAGAGTTAACCTTACCTTTCCCCGCCGCTCGGGATTTATGGCTGGCTCCTACGGCTCGAGCCTGGAAAGACATCTGGACGCGACGATATCGGACAATAGGCCTATCCGAACTAAACCTCCGCGACTTGCTCTCGGACCCATCCTTGATAGGTAATTTTCCACCAGAGCTCGATCTGGAGATTGCTAGGTCGGCTCTTCTACAGGGCCTCGCCCTCCAGGTCTGGGAGTTCCGGCAGCAGATGCTGTTATCTCAAGGATCTTCTCGTGCTACAACTAGACTATGGCTACAGAGTCGGCAAGAAGATCTGTAAGCTTTCTTCCTCATGACTCCTTTTCCTCAATTTTTTGCCTTGAAATATTTCATCGCTGATGGCGCCAAGGTATACGATACTTAGAGCGGTTCAGAACGACTCTCCCAACCCGCCACCGGTTACAAGACTAATGAATGAATTCGTCATGATGTATCTCCACATCGACATTGATGCAATCCAACGCTTCGTCGGAAAGATGGGGGAGCTTGATGCGCGCCGCGCCTATCCTGGGCTACGCGACTGGAGCCGGACAAAAGAAGCTCGAACAGCGATCTGGCACGCCGGTCAAGTATTTCGAGCGGCGCGAGACGTGAGTGCCCACCAATTCCGTGGCTTTGACTCCCTCTCAATCTACCATGCTGCGCTCGTTCTGTGGGTCTATGGGCTCCTTCAATGTGGAGAATCCCGGCACCTGGAGGTCACCACTCCGATGAGCGAAGCCGATAAGACGCCTCCGGTTCCACTTGACGGGCCCGAAGACCAGGGGACGCGGGCATTCTTAGGTCATGGGATCGGGCATCCGGGACTCACCATGCTCCAATTGCGTGGGGGACATTCGGGCGATGTCAAGGTCTTCTGTGAACTGATTAAACCCCGCTCGGTGATGGCAGTGGCGCGACAAGTCTTCGAGGGCAATTGTCCCCTCCCATTACCGGATGATGTTCTCCCACCGATGATCCAGAATTTGTGTGCTTTGATCCAGGACCTGGGCAGCCTTCCATGATACCATGACTCCTGATGACTCTGAACGACTCTGTGAATGACTACGATCTCTGTGTACCATATAGGACCCAGCCGAATGTATAGAATATGTTCTCTCTCAAGCCACTCAGCCTTTCAAATTTTCCGAGCACTAAACCAATAGCCGATGACAGGATGTGTGGATTGGTATGTTGTAGCCAACGATTGGTCCGACTTGTCTTCTCGGCAAGTGGAGGATCCACCCCCACGGGGAACCCTTGTATCATCCCCTCTCGGCTTCAACGGGGGGGTTCCCTCCCAATGTTCCCCATTCCCCGGGTTCTATCTCTTATTCGCTCTTGACAAGGGCCTCCCTCTCCGGATGCAGCACAGTCCATACCCGCAATGTCTATACATCGTCTGGCCTAGCCCCAGCCCCCGCACAATGCATCTGGAGCGAGTGGAGGAAACTCGCGACCTACTCTAGCGCGGAAAGTAAAAGGCGAATAAACGCCAGCGCATCGGGCTCTTCTCTCTTCTTTTTCTTCTTTTCTCTCTCTGGAGCCGCTGCGCGTCCAGACAGACATAGATTATCCTCTCTCTAGCGTCATGGCTGCTATCGACCAGAAAATCAAGATCGAATTCGTCGAGGATGTGGAGCCGCAGGACGTCAGGACCGACGAGGTGCTCGTCAATGCCTCCGGACATATCCAGCGGCTGCCCGTTCCCAGCGCCGATCCCAATGACCCGCTGAACTTCTCTGTTTGGGAGAAGACCGGTGTCATCGTGAGCTGCTGCTGGTTCTCCATCATGTCACTCTCCGTTGTCGGCGGATTGGGGTCGATCTTGTCCATCTTCTTTGAGCTATATATCCCGCAGGGTCATAGTACAACGGAGGTGGTTTGGCTGGGAACGTTTCCGTCTCTGTTTGTGGGTATTGGTAAGTCCTATTGTTCATATCTGACGACTTGAGTTGGTCGTTCTGTTCTTGTCGAGAGGATGGAGAGCTCATGTGTTGCTAGGAAATTATCTGATTCTTCCGATGGGGTTGGTGTATGGCCGCCGACCCGTGGCAATCGTGTCTATACTGGTGCTGTTGCTTTCAACCATTGGCTGTGCGCTGTCACAAACGTGGGAACAGCATCTCGGGCTGCGGTGTCTGCAGGGTCTCGCAACGGGGGCTACGGAGTCGGTTCGTTTCGCACCCTATCTTCCTTGGGGTACCTGTTCCCCGCGCTAGTACTTCTTTTTATTTCTCATGCCTTCTTAGCTTCTTCCTTTGATGCTCTCCGAAGTCACATTCGTCCATCAGCGCGGCCTTGTCTACGGCGTCTACTGGGCAACCCAGAATGTGGTCACCAGCTGTCTGAACTTGGCTTCCTCCTACGAGGCGGCAGCGCTGGGATGGCGCTGGTTTTACTGGGTTTATGTGATTGCCGTTGGCGTGGGCTTCTTGATTGTCATTTTCACTGGCTTCGAGACTCGGTACCAGCGCCGTGCACAAATGGTCAACGGACGGGTGGTTGTAACAGATCAGTTTGGCGTCACTCAGGTCCTCTCCGGCTCCCAGGCCCAGGACTATATGTTGGCGCTGGAACAGACTGACGATTCGATCCCGGATGAGGCGCGCCCGAAAAAGACATATCTGCAGATGTTGGTGCCGTACGACAAGCAGGCTAAGAATCCGGTGAAGATCATCCTCATGGCATGGTTCCACATGATCGAAGCCTTCAGCTCACCCGGCATCCTCTACGCTACTCTTCTTTCATCTGTTGTGCTGGGGTGCAGCGTCGGGATGTCCTTGACCTACGACAGTGTGTTGGAGAGCTACGGCTGGCCCGCCAAGAACGTCGGTCTGATCAACTTGGGCGGCGTGTTTGGCGGCATGGGCGGTATGCTCTATGCGGGCTTCTTTGGCGATTGGTTCATCCTGCGCTGCGCCAAGCGCTCTGGTGGCCTGCATACCCCCGAGCACCGTTTAATTCTTCTCATCCTCCCTGGTATCCTGATGGTTGTGTCGCTGCTGCTGTACGGCTTCACCGCTGGTGGTGGTTCCACCTGGGGCGGACCGTATATGGGCTGGACACTGCTACAGGTCGCATTCGTCTCGGTGCTGATTCTGTCAACTTCCTTCGCCGCCGAGGCGTGGGAGAAAAACCCGGGCCCAGCACTGGTAGCAGTGGTTGGTACGAAGAATATCATTGCGTTTGGGGTCAGTTATGGCCTCAGCCCAATGGTATCTAAATACAGCTACGCAGTCGCGATGGGAATTCTCACGGCTGTCACTGGTGCTATCTTTCTGTTGGGTATTCCTGTGTATTTCTTCAACCCTGCGGTAAGTCATTCTTCTGTCGCAGAGCGACTTTTCCACGGAATGTTTGTTTTCCAAGCTGACTCGAGAACGTATATAGTGGCGTCGTTATATGCAACGGAGGGAAGAGAAGAAATCGCAAACCTGACAACATCTTCGATAACTGATACGCACCAGCCTTGTACTAGCCTTTTTTGTATGCATGCCTTTAGTGATATAGCCTCTCTCGTGTAGGACAAGTGCCCAAGGAATGAAGAAGATTTACTATTAACCTCTACTTTCTTTTTCTTTTCAAATCGCTCGGCTAACACATGTACTTGTTCAGAAGAATGATAGTTTGAGAATGTGTTTACGACACATGACCAACCATTGGAGTCACGTAGAGTATGAAAAACGGCTCATAATATTAATTCTAAGACTGGATCGGCTGGCCATTGGCCACTTGGGTTGTAATATTGTAATTGCCAAAGCATGCTTCCTGGTACATGGCCTCCTTATTTAGGTTGGGCACCTGGCTGAGGAACTCCTCAACGGGACAAAACCCATTCACAGCGCTGCCACACAGGCCATCGGCGGGCACTGGCGCATTGTTTAGTACAAAACGCAGATAGTCAATTGTACTGGACTGGCCCGAGAGGTCTGGGTTCGTGTATAGCTGCTCCTGGAGCTGGTTGAAAGATGAGCCCCTCGGGCAGGTCCAAATTTCTGTGAACAAGCGTGCGCCGAAGGGTGTGATCTGGTTCATATTAAACCGGTTGCTCGAAGGTGCATGTGAGACAGACGTAGGCAATCCATGAGGCCCGGCCTTGAAGTAATCGAGTCCCAGTGCCGTCAGTACGGACACAATGATATCATCATGAGACATATCCATGTACAACGGCTGGTCCAGCGGGAAGTCCTTAGAGTTATCGTCGTAGGTGTAGTTGATGCTGCTATCACTGCTTTTGATAAGTCGGGATTGCAACCGGGCAGCCAACTCCTGGACGTAGCCAATACCCTGGGCGCGGCCACTAGGCGCCCCGAAACCATAATTTCCATAGAAACTCAGGTCGATGGCATACTGGAAGTCCCGCCATTCCTGCTCCGTGAACAAGGTGCAAAAGGACGATCGACCCAGGGTGGCATATTCGTAAGGGCATAGATTGAACATGGCATAGACGTCCATCTCATCTAGATCGAAGTCGTCGGACATGAACTTCACAAAACGGTTGAGTACACTCTTGACCAGTGCCGGGGCGAAGGCTTCAACGGCGTTATCTCTGCTCGAGCTGTCAGATCGAAATCTTCCAATGTACTGGGACAAGCACTGGGGCACTGCTCTCTTACCCGACATCACTCCCATTGGTACAAGAGGAGGTAGAGGACAAAGTATTATTGAAGCCATCTTGCTCCGGAATAATGGTCAGGTCATATAGTGAATAAGAGCTGTTGGCCCCGGTGTTCCCAAAGAACCCGCCTAGGAAAAGAAACTGTTAGCTTTAAATACAATTTACGAGATGTAGAGTTTCAGCGGCGGTGACCTACTCAGCCACCAGCGGGCACTCTCGAGGATGCGAGGGTATGAAGTGGTGCGAAACGTCGGTTTCGGGCGAGCCGTGCCATTGGGATATACGTTCAAGGACGAGTCATAGGCCGCATCCCCCGGGCCAGCATGATATAGTAGGCGACCATACATGCTCCAGAACAGCGCACCTGAGGTAACTTCTGTGGCTGCGCCGGTGGGCAGCAGAGTGTTCAGGCCGAGCAGGTATTCCCATTTATTGAGGAACTCCAGCGGACCAGTGCCAATCTTTTTATCCGGGTTCTTCTTGGAATAATTGCCCACTTTCCACGCAAATGACTCCATGTCTCCGCCATCAAGCGGCCATTGGGTCGGATATCGCTGCGCATGGCGATGCAAGACATGCACCTGAGACAACTCGCATTCCGTGGGGTATCCCTTGGGAACCTCGAAGCCGGGGGCGTCGGCATAGGGGCTAAGATTGCCCCAGCTGGATTTCATGTCGAACCCCGAGGGGTAGGAAGTTCCGGTTGGCGCTGCTGCGGAAGTTGAGCCCACAGGAGAGCTTGAAATCGTCATGGCGGAGGCTACGTTGCTGCCAGCCAGAGCCAGCCAGCCTAACATGGTCGAGTGCATGCCTGCCATGAGGGATTGTAGTCGATGTCGAGTTCAATGCGTCGGGTTTCGCTTAAATGTTGCTGTCAAGACCTTTGAGCGTCTCCTAGATCAAAGAAATGCACGGCTATATTACATCGGGCTTCAGCCGGTGTCGACCATGCCAGCCCTATATACCGGGACTCTCGCGCGCGGTGAGGGGGTGGATCGACCCGCTGCATTCCTGGATGGGAACCCTGGAGCCTCTGGTCACCTTTTCTCCGCATCTGCTTTGCTTGTTCGCCTTCCGTGCCCGGCTAGATCCTGATCTGCTTGTCTTGCTGTGCGATCACTCACACCACGTCGGGTAACTGGACACACGACAGTGTGCACGTTGACCCACTGAGGGGTCCCAGGATGGCCCAGGGGATTCGGGGCATCTGAGTGGTTGGATCAAGGCCATGAGATCATGGTACCGGGCCTAGTTCGACTTCGATGCGAATTCTATCTGGTAATTGGGTGCGCGGGGAATGCCTATCGCAGGATCGGTAGAATTGCAATACAGCGTTGCTTGAAGCCTGTTTGTACGGGGGGCGGGGAAATGCTTGTATCCTGATAAGGTGGGGGGGACGATACCGCCCGTAGAAGGTCTCTAGACTTGCTGCCTCGCTATAGATATGAAAAATAAAGAAGCGGGGGAGTGGGCAATCTCCATTTTTCCTTCCCTCCTCTCTCTCTGCCTTAATATCTCTAGAGATTTTGTCAGAGCGCGTGCGAGTTGCTTGATGTCGCGGAGGGGTTTCGGCCTCCGTGAGTCCGATCGGAGCGAAGAAATCCATCTCATTGTCCACACGCGAGGCGACTAAGGTTCAACATCGGCAAGTAGAGGTTGGATTCTCCATGGAACGGGGATGGAAGAGGAAGGAAAAGTATATACTTGGTATATGCAAGAGAGATTGGTCAGGGGGCAAGCCACGAGCGAATATTTATTTACTGCAGGTGTCTAGACAGATGGTACTGGGATATATACATGGCTGAAGTCACTCGATGATTTCTCCACGAACAATCCAGGGCTGAATGGAATTGGAATGGGAGCTAGGCCAATTCAAAATTCAAAGATTTGAGTAATCACAATGTTTGAAAATGAGCAAAAGGTAGCAGCTGTAATCTGGCCCTCTGACTGATGGAGGATGAGGGAGTATAGACTCATATGATAAACAAAAGACTCATACTTCCCGAGGACCTAGACATCAATACCCACCTCCAAACATTTGCAGGTCTAAGATTGCGATGTCGCTCAATTGTTCATCTTGCCATTTGTATCCGAGTTGCAGCTTGGTTAGGCATGCACAGCCTGTTCATGCCCCAGCGAGTAATTCGGCGCGCCGATCGGAACTTAACCCCGAACCGACTACGAGAGCGAAGCTCTTTCAGCAGAGCAACCGAAGCAACGGACGCGGAGGGTTATGCACTCTATATACATCTCTGTCTCTTCAAGTGACATAGTTTTGGAACCCTTGGGAATTTTTTTTTCTTCTTTTTTTTCTTCCTTTTTTTATTCAGAATTTTTGAATTCCGAAAATCTATAGAGTCTAGTAGCCCAATCGAGACGGTGCTGACTGGTCATATTCAGGAACCAGGAACCAGGCACTACTACATATCCGCCCTTCAACAGCATGGATGTGTGATCATTGACGCATAAATTATGCTCGTATGTATAGAATCCTATGTCGTCTGCACTATGCTGCCAAATGACAATGTGGTATATTCCTCCCAGAATCCAACGGGGGATCACGGGACATCACCCTAAGTGAACCCTGCACATATCGTCTTTCCTCGGATTTCATTTTTTAACCTTCGAACGGCCCCCAAACCGCACACGAACCGTCAACATCCCCTCTCTAACCGCCGCAATCGGGAGATAGAAAGAAGATGTGGTTCTTCACCGTCTCCCACGAAGCACCAATGAACCAATGAGGCTCGTGAGGGTCGCCGACAATGAACCGGCTCGAAACACCACACTCGCTTTTTTGTACCGCATTGGGTTCAGGGCGAGCGCCATCGCGGCGTGGTGGTTCGTATCGGACACGAGCGATTGGATACGAACCTTCGTGGTGGCGCCGCCGGCCGGACCGGACTGGCTTGTGATGGGCTCTTGGCCGAGCTTAGCTTGGAGGTGCAGCTGCGCAGGTCCCCATTTAGGGCTGATCAGGGTTCAGCTTGCCGTTGCTGATGGCAGATGGGGATCTTTTCCGCCCAAATCGTCCAACGAACCCCTACAGTCCTGGCAAGAAGCCGAAATGACACAGTACGACCAGCGAATATTTGAAGCAAATACAAACGCCACCCGGTCCAGGACCCGACATTTTCTGATGCATCGTCGACTTCCCCGGAGCCGCACGTGGAGCCCACCAAAACCCATAAAGAGCGCAAGGGGTCCCTTGAGCTATCACATCCAGCCACTCTTTGCACTCAGACTCGATCCGAACCGGGCTGTGTCACCGTTCCTGTCCCTTTTCACCATCTGCACCCCCCTTTTTGTTTTCTTTTTGTGAAATCCATTCCTCTACCCTCTGCTCTGGTAGTCGTGATTCTGGAGTGAGCAACCATGCTGGCGCTTCATATCGTTCTGCTCGTTCTCCTGAGCGTCTCCCTGGCCTTTGCCATTGTCGAGCTCGGACTCTCTGCCTACGTCGCCACCTTCTGGGGTAGAAGCTACAAGGAGTACTACTGGGACCCTTATGAGGGCTATGTCTACAAGACTGTCCATGAGAGTACCCCTGGTATCCTGATCTTCATAATCTTCAGCGCCTGTTGGACCATCCTGGCCGTCGTCGCGGCCCTCGTCCTGCCCTGGTTCTATGCCCGAAAGGGTTTCGTCAGCACGACCCTCAATACTATCCTCGGCATCGGCTTCACCGTTGTTTACTTTGTGACCTCCGTCTTCTGGCTGGCCTGCTTCGCTGATATCGAGTCCTTGTTGGGCGGCGCGACCAGCTCCAATGACTACCTTAATGCCGTGATTGCTTTCGCCATCTTGCTTTGGTACGCTTCTCGACCTCCCTCCATGTGCTCTTCCCTGAAAGATCCCACTTTCGAAGCTAACCCTCGCCCTTCCTTTCCTTCTATCTAGGCTCATTTTCCTCGCTCTCTTCATTCTTGCCATCCTGGCGCTCTGCGGTGTGTTGGCTGCGGAATGGGTGGGATACCAGCCGATGCGCAAGCGTGGTGTCCCCGTGGCGCCACAGACCACGGAAGCCCCCGTGGTTCAGGCCCATGATGGGCCGATGAGTACGACCCCTGTTGCTCCCTCGGAGCTGTCTACTCGTGATGCTGAGGCTTTGCATAACCAGCAACCCACCACACAGGCGCATAATGCCTCGTCGCCAACCGCCCACGCCAGCGCTGAGCTCAGCGGCGATAGTAGTGTCCACCATGGCCACCAGCAGACGGTGGATCATTGATCAACGTCCAAAATCCACATGGTCCATTGCCTTTATCTTTGAATACCTACGACTATACGATTTCGGGACGACTATTTGTTCAACTTGCATTGGCGTGGGAATGGTGTCAATCATCCGTAGAGTTGGTGGAAGAGCGGGTGGTTGAAGACACGAAATGAATACCCCAGTTGAAGCGATTACTTTGAATATGTCATCTAATCATAATTGCCCTCTTTGTTGATAATCGTTACTTGAATACTGCATCTATGTTCTTTCTCCAGTCGGATATTACCAATGCACGGAATATGATCTTTTGATCCAAAACAGGGCCATTTTTTGCGATTGATCGATGGGCGTGGGCGCCCCAGGTATATCAGGAGGCAATCTATGAATCGAACGATGGTTCATGCTATCCTATCCCCGATATTCCACAGGTGGACTGAGGCCAAGGTTTCGCACAAAAAAGGCGCGAACGAAAGGGCCCGGAACGGGAAGCGGAATCAAACAAGCATATACTGTATGTTCAGACGGGAAAAAAAACAACGACACCGGCTAGGGAAGAAGATTAAGGCAAGGCATAGCGACCATGGGAAGACAACGAAGAAAGAAACAAAAAGTCTAGGCAGTTGGCTTTTCCTCAGCGTGCTCATGCTCGGATGCCTCGTGGCCATGCTTGGACTTCTTCTCCTTCTTCTTCTTCTCGTCCTTGCCCTTCTTCTGCATCGCCTCGGCCATCAACTGCTCGAAGGCCATGTAGTCGCCCTCCTCCTCGGGATCACGTTCAGCCTGGTAGGAAAATGAGCGTTAGTGGGCAAATTCAATATCGGAATCACGGATCGAAGTCTCTTCATACCTTGGCGTATATGTTACCAGCCAACACCAGAGCGTGGGCACGCTCCACCCGTTTCTCCAGACGGATGCGCTTGTCACCTAGGATCTGGTCGCAAACCTCGCGCAAAACACTCTGGATCTCAAACTTGCTGCCGCGCCAGGCTGCCGCCAGGATCTTGCCGGTGACCTTCTTTTCATATTCGGCCTTCTTCTCGTCGGTCCAGTCCTCACCACCACGCTCCTCCAGCTTGGCCATTTCCTCCATGGTCATTTGGGCATCGATGGCCGTGGAGATGGTCGTCCAAGTCTCCTTGGCGAGGGTGCCCTTGTCCTTGAGTCGGGAGAAGAAGCCAGAAATGCCGAGGAACTTCTGGGACTTGAGGAAGGAAGTTCCCTTCTGAACGTAGGTAGCACCAACGGCGTGCAGGATCTCCAGACCGAATGACTCCATCTTCAGGTTCTCAACCTCCAGGCGGATCTTCTCCTGGAAGGCACGAGTAACATCGGGACCCTTGTCAGTCTCGGTCCATACGCTGAGACGGTCGACAAGCTTGTTAGCCAAAGTGTTGACACGCTCCTCGCGGGCCTTCCTTCGCTCCTCTTCGAACGCGGCAAGGCGCTCTTGTTGCTCCTTGGACAGACCCTTCTTCTTCTCCTTCTTGCGCAACTCCTTCTCTTCTTGCGACAGACCAGCTGCCTCCATCCGCGCCTCTTCCTCAGACTTGTCCATCAGGGCTTGCTGGCCCAGATAACGCCGGGGAGTACTGGACCCAGAACTGTGGCCAGGCGCCTCGGTGTAAGCAGGGGCGGCGCTGCCTCCGAAGAGCCAGACGCCTCGGCGGCCGCTTCCGCCGCCTTGGCTTCAGCAGCAGGAGAACTGCCGCTGGCTTCAGCAGCCTTGACTTCCTCATCGTGAATGTTGAGCTTTTGCTCTGCGGACTCGGCCAGTTCTTCCTCTTCCATCTGTTGCATCGTGATGTCCATTGTCGCGGTCAGGTCTTTCATGAGGGAAATCTCTCCGATGAGGTCAACGAAGGCCTCACCACCGAAGATCATGCTGAAAAATTCCGAGGGGTCCTCTGTTGAAGGTCTTAAGGTCAGTCAAACTGTTCGAAGGAGCGGGCCAGCCACATATGCAGGATCAAGACGAACCAAAACCACCTCCGGGGACAGCATCCTCCTTTCCAAATTTGTCGTATCGTTTGCGGAGCTCTTCATTGCTCAGAACCTGGTATGCTTCACCGATCTGAAAGTAGACGTGAGAATTAGTGCTGGGCCATGGAGGGATTGAAGTTGATGCCTGTCGCGCATACCGCCTGGAACCGCTCGTGCGCGGTCTCGTCGCCGGGGTTCTTGTCTGTTCTCTCAAGTTAGCAGATATCAAAATATACTGGACCCATGTCTCCTACCAGGGTGAGTGACGATCGCAAGTTTGCGGTAAGCCTTCTTGATCTCCAGCTCAGTCGCGGTAGGCGGCACGCCTAGAGCGTCATAGTATGTGGTATCAGCGACCATGATGGACGCAGCAGGGCAGAACACGCTGCGTAGAAGTTAGATCAAAGTCAACCAGCCGCTAAAACCTGGATTTTACTAAAGAAAATACCAGGGTTGGGGGATTCTCCTGGGGCAGGTATATTTTTTTGTGAGCAACAAGCTGATCGCCGCTCCCCGCCATCGAACACTCCGGAGCGCACGGGCTGGTAGGGTCACGTGGCAGCAATCTCTTCCCGTGAGCTTGACCCGCACCCCTTTTCCCTCCTCCTCTTCTTCTCCTCTCCATTCTCTTCTTCCCCTCTTCTCTGTCATTGGCCTTTGTATTTGCTCTTTTTCTTTCTTGTTTTCCCCCAGGACCACTTTGTGTGTCCTTTCTTATCCCATAATGGGCTTCCTTGGCAATGCCATCTATTTCGCTTTCCACCCGAACCAATTGAGGTCGGTGATTCAATGGTAGGTGTTCTGCTGGAGCTCAAAATAGTCACTGGTCATGCGCTAATTATTCCTCTCGCATAGGAAAGTTTGGCACAATCCCCCTCATGAGCGGAATGTGAAGGATGAGACTGAGACTCAGAAAATTTGTTTCAAATTTTTGGACCAGACTAGCCGCAGCTTCAGTGCTGTCATCAAAGAGCTACACCCGGAGCTTCTCCTCCCTGTCTGCGTCTTCTATCTTGTCCTTCGTGGTCTGGATACCGTCGAGGATGACACTTCTATTCCTTTGAAGACTAAGGAGCCCATTCTGCGGGACTTCAAGAATTATCTGACCCAGGATGGTTGGAACTTCACTGGAAACCGCCCGGAGGAAAAGGATCGGGAACTGCTGGTTCAGTTCCAGAACGTCATCGCCGAGTTCAAGAACATGAAGCCTGCCTACCAGGCCATCATTAAGGATATCACTGATAAGATGGGCAACGGCATGGCTGACTACTGTGTCAAGGCCGAGAGCGATGACGCTAGCGTGAAGACGATTGAAGAATATGATCTCTACTGCCATTACGTGGCCGGTTTGGTTGGCGAGGGTCTGACTCGCTTGTTTGTGGAGGCTGAGTTTGGTAACCCTGCCCTGCTGAAGCGTCCTCGGCTCCACAAGTCGATGGGCCTCTTCCTCCAAAAGACCAACATTATCCGAGACATCCGAGAAGACTTTGATGATAACCGCCGGTTCTGGCCGAAAGAAATCTGGTCCAAGCATGTGGAAAACTTTGAGGACCTCTTCAAGCCGGAGCACCGTGAGGCCGCTCTCAACTGTAACTCTGAGATGGTCCTAAATGCCCTGGAACATGCCGAGGAGTGTCTCTTCTACCTGGCTGGTCTTCGAGAGCAGAGTGTGTTCAACTTCTGCGCCATCCCTCAGTCTATGGCCATTGCTACTCTGGAGCTGTGCTTCCGCAATTATGCCATCTTTGAGCGCAATATTAAGATCACGAAGGGTGATGCTTGTGAGCTCATGGTTCAGTCAACCCAGAATCTTCGTGTCTTGTGCGATACCTTCCGTCGCTTGACACGTGCTATCCACAAGAAGAACACCCCCAAAGACCCCAACTTCCTGAAGATCAGCATCGTCTGCGGCAAGGTAAGAAGAAACTCTGTGCTGAGATGCGTATTTTTTGAATGATGCTAACAGTTTTGAACAGATCGAGAAGTTCATTGAGACCATCTTCCCATCCCAGAATGCTGAGGAGGCCCAGCGCCGTATCACTGGCGCGCTCACCAGAGAAGACATCGAGCGCCGAAAGGATGAAGCAGAGAACAAGGCTGACATCTATTTCATGATGGCTCTGATGGGTGTGATCGTTGTTCTTATTGCTGGGACGATGGTAAGTTTTGTGAGGATTATTCTATTAATTTCGGCATCCTGACCCCTTTTTAGATGCTTGCAGCCTGGTTAATGGGTGCTCGCTTCGACCTGGCCTGGCAAGAGATCCGGACTGGCAACTTCAGACCTCCCGTTCCCTCCCAATCTATCACCCACGGAGAGCTTTGATTCGATTCTTGACATTACTACCACGGCGTTACGACCTTTATTGCCTAATCTTCGATTCCGATTCCCCCCACACCGGTGGCCCCTGTTTTATTATATCCCCGATTCCATCCTCCTGCGCTACCGGTGCCTCGATGTGTATTGATATTTAATCAACTGTTTATTATTCCTCTTCCGTTTTCAGCTAAGCCCACTAACCCTCATTGGTTCCCTCTGTGGTATCAATTCCCTTTCTAGCACGGATGTCAAATTGCGATCTAGCCCTTCCATGGCTGTGGTTGTGCCGAAGAAGTGCTTATATCGACCGGGATTCGTTCTCTTTAACCAGTGAAGTACTAGATTTGTGTCCAACGGCTTTTGCCGAGATGGCATACGTCCATTGAAGATCTGGAACATCATCTTGACGTAGAACTAACTATAGTTGAATATGACCTCGCTTCCTTTTATTCTGTGTATTCCATCCGTAACAATACTGTTAGCACGGATGTCAAATTGCGATCCAGCCCTTTCATGGTTGTGGTTGTGCCGAAGAAGTGCTTATATCGACCGGGATTCGTTCTCTTTAACCAGTGAAGTACTAGATTTGTGTCCAACGGCTTTTGCCGAGATGGCATACGTCCATTGAAGATCTGGCACATTCTCGTGATGTAGAACTAACTACACCTGAATATAATGTTTTCTAACCAAAATTTCTTCCTTGCTTTCGAAATTTCTTAGCACGGATGTCAAATTGCGATCCAACCTTTCCATGGTTGTGGTTGTGCCGAAGAAGTGCTTATATTGACCGAGATTCGATCTTATTAACCAGTGAAGTACTAGATTTATGTCCTGCTGCCTTTGGTGGAGATGGCATACGTCCATTGATGATCTGGCACATTCAACTTCGTACGACTAGCTAGAGCCTGGGACTGAATATAAAGTTCTCTTATTATTGTTATAATCATCTAATAGTAATATATCTAAGTAGCATGCTAAGCATGGATCTAGTTTAGTTTGAGAGCCATCATACTGTGTGTAAGATGTATGAGTAGGTGTGTCACCGACCATTTCTCTGGAAACCAACAGGTGAGACTGGCATTTTATAGTCAATAATCGGGTTTCAATACGCATGCCACTTGTCCCCTCCCTCTACTTCAACAAGAGTCGATGCTCCGTGCTTCCAGTCCCATTCCTACAATTAAAAATCTTCCAGGCATCATGTTTGTGGGGTTCAGACCAATAGTTCCACCAGATTTCTTGGAATCGAGCAGCAGTGTCGAAGCCCTTGCTCTCTATGAAGGTGAAAACGTTTTGAGCCCACAAGAATCGTTCCCTGTTCCGAGTATGAGAGTATAGCCGGGAGACTTGTATTGCACAAATAATTCCATACAAGGCACCCCATGATTTCATTTCCTCTTGTGCGCAGTATGGAAGGCAACGGGCAGCCTTGCTGACGTAGATGGAAGAAAGGCGATATGTCTCGTGTTTAGTGGGATGGCCCTTATTTCGCACAGAACCAGGCGTGCTAGTCGTGGCAAGACTTTGACATTTGTGAAGAAGAGGATAGAGCAAAGATAATGATAGCCAGATCATGATGTGGAAAATGGCATCATTCAGAGAGGAAAAATGATAGGCGGGGCCAAATAAATCGTCCGTGGGAGGTATTCCTGTTTTAAGCACCCCGCGGGCGTACGTAAATGGCTCCCCATATCTGTTGTGCTCGAATTGAGAATAAAAGTCCAGATGGCTCTGTTCAAGTGCTAGGCAATCATAAAGTAGAGTTTGACAGCCCTCCTGATCAGAGGCACTAATTTTTTCGATGGCAGAAGCAATGCGTGATACTTCGGAGAACAGCCTGATCACTTCAAACAATGCACCCCCCTCATTGGGTTCTCTAAGCCACTCTTGTGTCTCGTCTGATAGATACGTAATGTCGATGAGCACCTGTGACAATAAGTACATGATCATCTTTTTGTAAAGGAGAATATTCTACCTTCCTAAGTTTCTGATGTGGGCCAAAGATCGCGCCCAGCAACGGAGTTGTAAACGTTTTTGGACGATAGTATTTCATGATTGCAGCAAGTCCATCTATATGAGCAATCCATTCATTCACATGATGTGGACAATAATGAATCTAGATCAATGTGAGCTGCAAATTCCATAGCCTCGGAGACCGGCAAAGGCTGCTTACTTGTATTTGTTGAAAAATGACAGATGTATAAACAATATCATCAGTATATCGACCGCGACTGATCGCCCTTGACATGTACTGTAGGGCATGGTTGTACAGTTGCAGCCCGTGCTGCATGATCTGTTCGTCATGATGTATCTTGCCTAGGAAGACGGATGATAATGCGGAACAGGCCTTCTCGAGCATGAAGCTCTTTTGGGCTAGAGTCCAAATGCTCGAAATGATATATTGTAGTTTATCCATAGTCTGGCAGTTTTGAGGAAAGAAATCAGCAAGATAGGATGAAAAGAGCTGGTTTCGTATTATTGGATTAGTGGTGGGAGTCCATGATATGGCCGACGGCGGTGGCTCATTGGAACTATCGCGCTCGATTAAAGAGTTGTCCTCTGTTCCATCGATTGAGCTAAGGTCCAAAGTGAATGCAGGAAAAGTTAAATGTTCTTGTGTGGGCTCAGGCCAGGAAATGATTGGCATTGCCTTCGAACTTGCAGCAAAGGAGGTGGACTGAGACGGTTCTTGGGTCACAGCAACTCGGGCCTGGGCTTTCTTCATCACAGCTTTCGTCTGATCAAAGAATCGAAAGGCATTCGGATCTTGATACCCGGGGCATGTACTTCTTATTCTTAAACATTGTGAACAAGACGGGTGCTGGCGGTCGCACTAGATAGATACTTTATCAATATGATTTTCGTTCGATGGGAGAGAGTATTTTCATACCTTGAGCCGCCGCGCGCGACACGAGGCACACGCTGAACTAGGTTTGCCTCTGTAAACCATGAGGGTTGAATACCAAGACTCCTGACACGAATCTCAAAAGAAAAGCAGATCATTGAGCGCAGTCCATTACTAGGATCTGTCCTGCTTTTGAATGGGGAGAGCTCAACAGCTTCCCGAGGGGGGGGGGGGCTGTAGCGGCTGTACCTAAGGTTGGTGAACTCTGATTGGCGCAAGCAGCTCGCACTTCGATTGCATCTATTGGATGGCGCGTGGAAGGTGGAAAGTGCCGAATGTCCAGCTGAAATTTGGCCCCCACACCTCCTCAACACTAATCGGAGTCTCTCATAGAAGCTGGAAATATTTTCACGCTGTGCATTTCATGCAGATACAGCCAGAATTCAATACGGTCCGTCTTCTGTCTTTATCCTAGTACGCGTCTCGGCCAGCTGCCTTCTGTGAGGGAAGTTACAACTCGAATCCTACAAATGATCTAGTTGACCCAACGGAACGTTTGATCGACATAGCCGCTGTGAGTAGCACCTTCGGTTACATCTCGCCGGGAATCATTTGCAGACTCTCCATTTCCGCCCCCAAGCCCCAATGTATGGGTTCTGTCTGCGTTCCATTTAGTCTTTCAGACCCACTTACATATGAATTACCCATTTTGGAAGGATCTGCGAAACCGCCGGCCCCTTTCTCAGGCTCCGTAGGGCTTCGGAGTCAAGTGCTGAGTAGGGCGTATGGAGTAAACACTGGGGATGACGATCCCCACGAAAGGACAGAAATTGTGTTCTCACTGTCTTAGTTGCTGAAGATTACTCCGAACCCACCCCATAGCTGGAGCATTGAATCATACCGTCGATCACGGTCAGATCTGTTTTTCTTTTGATCGGCTGGGCGGAGCGTGTTCTACTCACCTCCTCTACTCTCGATTTAAAGGCGGTTGAGATATTCACAATTCCCAAGATCCGGATAGACTGTGACTGCAAGATGTTCATTTCAGGGATGCGTCTAGCAGCAGAGCAAACAGCTAAGTATAGGAGCGTATGTATTACGTCGGCGGCTCAATGAATATATCCCAATATTAGGATAGGTTGCGATACTATCTTGCTTCTAATTCTAGAGACTTAGCGTGTGTTTTGAATTACGATGAAGCGTATTAGTAGGCGACTAGAATACACGTCCCGATACTATCGTAGGGGAGTTGTATACGGATAGAAACACGAATCGACTTCGAACGCGATGGGAGTCTCAGCTTTGCAACGACCAATTGAAGGCTGGCAGGCCTTGGCGATCTCGATTCCCATCGTGTCAAACGATTAAGAGATGGATGTAGATATCCGGTGGTCCAGCCGGGACGTATAGGGCGATTATGACGTTGAGCCGATGAGCACCGAGGCTTTGGCTAGTCATAGAGACCTGAATAACTTTCTAAGAAGAACACCCCTGGGTGTGTTAATGTATCTTCTAGTGTCAAAATCATTGGATGGTAGCCTGTTCTCCCTTTAATCTTTCCGGAGGTTGCGGGATAGTCCAGGCCTTGCTAATGCTTTGAAATCGCTCCACTTTGAGAGCAAACGGACGCTAGTCATCCCACCGAATCAGAAATCTCTGTTTTCTCAGCATCCCCGGCTGCTTCTTTCTTATCCAAAAGTTCCTGTCGCGTCGCTACAGTTGAACTGCTGATAGCGTATCGGAGATTGACTCGGCAGGTGGCATCTTCCTAATTGCCGTCCCATGCGTGGGCTGAGAAGACTCGTTACCCCGCCACTGGTTCGGCCGTCCCCCTGTGCTCGTCTGTATTCAACGTTTTCACCCCGCCCAATTCCCATGGCGAGTAACAGCCAGAGCCCCCGGACACCAAGCCCGGAAAAGGCCGGGGAGGCACTGCCTCCGCTATCTCCCAGCGAATTTCGAACATATAATCGCTTGTCGGAGCAGATGGACGCCTTTGTAAGTCCTCAATGGGACATAAGCCCCGCCAGGAATTGAGTATTGATGATTTTCTAGCACAATCATTTTCGCCTGACATGGAACGAGCTCTTGGGGGCTTGTTCCAGCGAAGGGAAACGCTCTAAAGGAATGTCTGCTCGCCAGATGATCATGATGGGTCTCCAGTTCTGCTCCCAGCTCGATTTCCATCACTCTATAGAGGAGCAACACATCTTCCCTGTTCTGGCAAAGAAAATGCCTGAGTTCCGCAAGGAGCTCGAACTTTTGAAGCAACATAAAAAGATTCATGCGGGCCTCGAGAAACTCGAGTCGTATCTTGAGAGCTGCCGATCTGGCGAGGAAGACCTGCGCCGTGAAGAAGTCAAGCGGCTGATGGAAGCATTTGGGGGGTGTTATGGCAGCATCTTGACGAAGAAGTTAAGACTCTCGGGGCGGAAAATATGCGAGGATACTGGTCCCCAGAAGAGATGCGTCGTCTCCCAATGTGAAATTTTCCTGCTTTTCCTTGATACGATACATATCTATACCCACCATCTTTCCCGTGTCGGATCTTTTTTTTTTCTGTGCTACCTGAGAAGAATACATGATTGTTAGAATACTTAGAATCACTGCATAAAATGGCGCAAGGCTTAGCAAATCGAAATGCTTGTTGAATCCGGATAACGCTTCCCAGAGCGGCATATTTCGATGGCAACACCACCAGTGACACGGCAGACAGCGTTTTGGAACAAGAATCCGCGGAGTGACATTTGAAGTTCAATGTACTAGCTATCGAAATACCGGATATGTCGGCGTGACTCTCCATATGCCTTGAAGTCCTTGACGTGTTGAATGGAAATGACCTACCTCTTAACATAAAGTTCTAGTTCTAGGCGCTCGTTAGTTATCAGGTTTTAATGCCCAGGTCTTAGGTTTATTAAATGTTAACTTGGCTAAACGACCCAAAAAAGGTCCTCCTGAGATCTTGTCCTGACGCATGCAGTTATCGATCTTCATGCGAGATTGACTTGCCGCGCCACGACGACCTCTCCGAACCCGTTGTGAAAATCGCATCCAGCTTTAGCTAGCTCGACAGGGGAGCTGGCGAAAAAGGACACTTCAGAATCTAAGAGGCGATCGACGAAGTATTTCTGTTTTCGGAATGCCTGGTGAACATGTGGGTGGCCAACCCTAGCAGGCAAGCAGGTGCGCGGAATGTGAAAATACCGGAACCTGCTGCACTGGCATGCGCCCCATACGCCCCTGGAGTTCTTGTTCCTCGCCAATAGCTTTTCAAGCTGTTTCAAAAAAGAAAAAAAAAAAGAAAAAAAAAACTCGCTCAAATGTTTCTATATACGTTTCGTTATGATATCATCGTTAAATGCGGTCCCGAGCACAACATGGGAACTAGGGTGCTTGTGTCGATTTATGGGACAATGGGGTTGTGGGAAACCTTCCCTTTACTTATGGAAAGAATTAAAGAAATAAATAATAAGAAGTTACGAGGCTAATGAGATCAGACTCACTGGAATCAGTCTGTTCGGATCTCGTTATCCTGGTGATTTCCTCATTCATTAGCGGATCTTGCTACCTTGAGAAAATCGGGATTAGACGCCGATCATCTTCCCATCCGTCGCGATGTCGCTGTCAAATTGCCAGATGTTCTTCACCCGGGGAATGTTCCATATCATGGAGACACGCAAGCTGATCTCGACCCCGTCTTCCTTCTTCGGGGCTGATTTGGTCTGATGATGATCACGGAGCCTCGTTCTAGACCCACCGATGGGTCTCGAGGACGAAATGTGCGCACCCGTACAGCATGATCAGCACCGTCGCAAGACCAAAACAGCGGCTTGTGGTCCCAAATAAGCCTTTGTGCTTCACGTAAAGCCTCACAAAACCTGACCCCCCCCCCAAACTCTCTCAGTGGGTCCAAGGCCCTGTCCTCTCCCCTAGTGACAGTCACAACCCCACGAGCTATACTTCCACATGCGGACATGCTGCATGCAACGTTGGTAGTATGATAGTATAAAATCCCCTTAGCTTGCCCTATGCTCTGAAAGGGCCACCTTCTATACGTCACATACTCGTTCCTTATTGCCTGCTCCTCTTGACTCACCGTCACTACCAGGTTTTGGCCAGCAATTTCCAACATGAAGCTTTCAACAGCTGTACTTACTACCACCATCGCGGCAACTGGTGCTCTGGCAGCACCTCGCTCTGGCCTAACGGAGCGCTTAGAGGCCCGTGGTGTCTTGCAACGCCAGTCTTTACCGGCCCACAAATTCGAGAATCTCGACGAGGAAAACGGTGTCCTACTCAAAGAGGGATCTAGCTCATCCAATGTTCAGTACAGTAAGAACTGGGCTGGCGTCGTGCGCGAGCAGCCCCCTGCTAGTGCAATTTATACCGCCGTTTCCGCGACATTCACCGTGCCCAATCCCGTTGCGACTGATAACTCGGGTAACACGCAAGCCGCCTCTGCATGGGTTGGCATCGATGGCGATACTTACACCCAGGCTATTCTCCAGACTGGTATTGACTTCTACGTCCAAGGTGGGCAAAGGAGTTATGATGCGTGGTACGAGTGGTACCCTAACGCGGCTGAGAACTTCGACATCGACCTGGCAGCAGGAGACGTAATTGTCGCTCGAGTTGAATCCTTCTCGCCTAGCAAGGGTGTTGCTATCATTGAGAATCAGTCGTCTGGGCAGAGCGTCACCAAGAGTCTGTCAGCGCCTTCCACTTCTGCTACCCTTGGTGGTCAAAATGCGGAATGGATTGTCGAGGATTTCAACTCTGGCGATTCAATGGTGCCTCTGGCTGACTTTGGCCAAGTCACTTTCTATGGTGCCCAAGCCCAGGGTTCTGATGGTGGTGAATATGGTGTCAGTGATGCTGCTATCTTGGACATTCAGCAAAACGGCCAGCTCCTTGCGGATACCTCCATTGAGAGTGATACTCAGTTCACGGTGACTTACCAGTAGACTGAGAAATGCTGTATATAATATAGGGATCTTGCTTGACGGGGCTGGCACGTTTGAATTTTCTTTAGAAGGTAAATTCGGGTCTATCTTACTTTGGTGTTTAAGAAGCAGGGAATGGGCTTATGTGATTGCGATAAAACGACTTCCTAATGCTTTGATTTCGCTCAATCAATTTTGTTTGAATTTCAACGGTGAAAGTTAGTCATTTCGATGCCCGCATATCCAGCAGACCTTATCAAAACTGGACTAGCGAATGTTTAAAGACATTCTGTGGATCATATCGCCCCTTGATCATTTTTAAAGTCTCATATCGACTTCCATAGATTGCGTTTTTGTCGACTCTCTCAGAAGGTGTCAGGGATATGTAAGTTGAAGCCAGAATATTTGCCGAGTCCGTGCTCATCAGAGCATGATAGAACCTTTGCCCCCATTCAATTGCAGCGCCTGCTGTGTTTTGAGACGAACTCATGGGAATAATTTCAATAAGGAAATGTGGAATCCGAGTGTCAAAGGTAGTGTTAGTATTGGCAGTTCCAGAACTTGGAGTATCAGCACGGAGTTCATGAGCTCCAAATAAGACTTCACGGTTGGGCTGTAGCGGTGCATGAGTACCGATAACATCAAGTACTTCCGGAGTCAACTCATGGATATCTGCGGTGTACATCGACCCATAGGTGGTTTGGGGGACAAGGCCAGCTGTGACTTCGTTGAATGCCGCCACTGTTGTCGGCGCGACGGTATTCATTGCGACAGGGGCCCATGATGAAACCTTCGAGAGCCATTTTTGTCCTTCGTCCATATCAGATGAAGCCCAGATCATCAATATCACGAGAGCCTGCCCAGTCGGTCCATTTGAGATACACTGATATAAATTCAGATATTGTGGGATACTCTCGGTATCTTTCAGTTGGAGATAATTGGTATTGTACCGGCGGATAGTCTCCGGTAGGTCATCCGATTGATAAAAAATGGCCCCTGCCAAAATCTTCGGCAATCAATGTGAGTTTTCGAAATATATGATTCCTGCGGAAAGCACTTACCTGATTTGAAGGATATATCTTGATAGTTACTTCCACAATCACGCCGACAAATCCTCCTGCTCCTCGGATGCCTAACATCATCGTCTCATCTGCCTCACGAAGAATCCCCTCCGCATCCACGACTTTGGCACTTAAGATTTGATCTACTCCAAGCCCATATGTGGCACTGAGTAAACCATACCCTCCGTAGGTTGCCCACCCAACATAGCCAACTGTTGGGGTGACCGCGTGAGGCGTGGTCATGTGATATTGTTGTAGTTCTCTGAGCATGTCCATGGTGATAACGCCACCCCCGAGACGAGCAGTCTGTGTTTTAGTATCGACTTCAATCCAGGAGAGCGCACGGAGGTCAATTGTCACGCCGTCTTGAATCTGAGATCGACCAAACATGTCGTGGCCGCCCACTCGTACGGTGAAGGGCAAGCCATTGCGTGTCACGACAGAGACAAGGGCGGCAACATCCTCGGCGGAGGGAGGCTGAATGATTATCGCTGGCGATGTTTTTTCATCAATAATGAATGCGGAGCGTAGTTCAGCGAAGTCGGGCGACTCCCGTGTCGCATGGCGGATATGGGGATTGTCAGCTAAGAATTTCGTGAGTTGATCCATCGTTGCGATATGGGCCCTTAATAGAAAGTTGGCACGCAGACCATGGACAAAGACGCCTTCTTATGCATAATCTATCTACTGGAATGTCCCCTTCTGACGGTAGAGCCATCGTCATCGAATGGCTTGCCTTGGCCGCTTTTGGTGCATTCCGGGGGGCGTTACTTTGGGGTCCTCCTAACTTTAGCCCGAAGAACCTCACACTGAGCATAGCATAAGGAGAAACGAGTGGCAGCACCAGTATCTCGAAATAGACCCTTTGACTGGAAAATGGCATTTGCTTTTTCTTCTCATCGAATCCCTCGAGCAGTAACGCTCACTCAACTCCGGGCACGCTCGCTTAGGAAGAACTATTTGTCGCACCCCCACCGCGCAGATGAAGGTGCATACCGTCTGACCGCAGAATTGGCTGTAAAAATCTTGGCAATCTGACATTTGGCTTTGAACATTGTCTGCCCTGCGGTTCGCCCATGGTTGTTTCGGGCTTTCGGGTGAAATAGTTGGGCGGTTGATGTCCTTCTCCGGTCGCAAATCAAACTTTTGAACTGAAGAGGGAGATAGTAAACACCCCGATGCTATGCGAGCTATGCGAGCCACACTAGGCGATTTGGAGCTCGACTAACCAAGTGTGTCTTTGATCGTTGATTGCAGATCGGCATCGGGACTTTGTCCAGGGGCATGTGGGGTATGCACAGCTCGGTTTCTGAATTCTGAGTCATTATCAAAGTTCGTCGGCTTGTTTGGATGGTTTCCAGCGTAAATTCTTACCTTCAGTCCCGTTTGATATCCTGCCACCACCGCCACCTCATTCATGGCAGTCTATATTGAGCCGGCAAGGTTCCCAGCTGATACTGCCGCCATCCATTCTCTGTTCTCCGGGTACGCGGCATCGCTCGGAATCGATCTCACGTTCCAGTCCTTTCAACAAGAGCTCGACTCGCTACCAGGAACATATGCCGAATCTCAAGGTGGCACTCTTCTAATTGCACGAGCGCAAAGGGCTGGTCATCCGCACAGAAAGGCAAACTCTGGCTCAACCCCAGATCATGCGTCCCTGGCCGCGGTAGAAGATTCCTCGGCTGTGGGCTGCGTAGCCCTCCGACGCAGCTCAGACAATTGGTGCGAAATGAAAAGACTTTACGTAGTCCCGGAAACCCGCGGCTTGCATCTTGGTGAGAAGCTCGTCCAAAGTATTCTTGCGCAGGCAAAGGCTCTAGGATACCGTGGTGTCCGGCTGGATACACTTCCAGACATGGCCGCGGCACAACGGCTCTATCGCCGACATGGGTTTGTGCAGATCGAGCCCTACTACGATACTCCCATCAAAGGGACTATATTTATGGGGTGCGAATTCACTCAATCATGACCGGCATTGAATGCTCTGCACATGCGACATGTAATACCTGCCGACCTACGAACACGAACACGAACACCGACCCGAAAAACCTTTCATTGTACAACCCATCAGTCAAATAACATATGCCTCAAGATTTGACACCATACCTAGCCTGAACTCTACAATCGAATTCATAGTGCTCAACCTGAAGAATTACGGACAGTTCTCCATGATTCCATCGAGATGGGGTTGACTCCACGACAGGAGAAGAACATGAGTCGTGAGCGATCATTACTTGACAGGAGATTCTGAGTAAATACAGATTAAAATCCATCCTTTGCATATTGGAACTCATTGTTTATTGGCCCATTTTGTTGTCTTACGAGATCTGGTTTTGTTGCCGAACTTCCGACGGAGAGTTGCGAATCCTCAGCATCCGTCATCTCTTCAAGTATCGCCGTGGAGAATACTACAAAGGTTATGGAGCCTTTTTTCGGCCTATTTCAGTTTTCAAACTTCCTGAGTCCGAGCTAATGGCAAATGAAAAGTCTCTGACTTCCTATGATCGTATCCACCCACCTCGGACATATCTCTCGGAGATGTCGTTTTGGTATATCCGAGACAGAGAGGGAAGATCCTCTATGTAATTAGTTAGTGCAAGATACTGAACAGACATATAAGTAGATGTGAACCACCAAAGCTATCACAGGCTAGACAGCGATGATTGAGAATAATCGGCCTCTGGATGTTCTTGTAATCGGAGCAGGAATTGCGGGCCTTTCAGCGGCAATTGCTCTCGGAAAACAAGGGCATCATGTAGTGGTATGTCTTCAAAGATGGCGATTTGGATGCCCATGCGTCGGACACTACTAATAGTATCACTGTGCCCAGATTCTAGAAAGATCATCTTTTCTGAGGGAAACTGGAGCTGCAATTCACCTTCCTCCAAATTGTACAGCTCTGCTGAAATGGATGGGAGTGGATCCGGAAGAATTTGGGGGCACAATTATGAATGAGGTGAGTAGTGCGGCATATCCAATTTAAGAAGCCGTTGCAACTGACAGCATCATTCAGATCCATCGATATAGTCATGCCGGTGAGCTCAAGTATAAGAAGGATTTCGCTGGGGTTCGAGAGACGTGGCAGGCAGTAGGTGACATGGAGTTTGTGTGGCGAAATAGTACTCTAACTAGATGATAGGAATGGTATCTTGTTCACAGAGTGGACCTGCACAATAATCTCAAGCTGCATGCGCTCAAGACCGCCACTCTGCATACAGGATGCAAGATTACCGATGTGGATATCAATACCTCTCGCCCATCAGTCACTCTAGAAGATGGTCGCATTTTTGATGCCGACCTTTTGCTTGGTGCGGATGGACTCCATGTAAAATCCAGGACCCCATTACAGCAACTGTTTTATCATATGCTAATCTTCAGATAGTCCCAAATACGAAGGTCAGTTGCTCCAGGGGCGCCTGGCCCCTATGCCGTGGGGAAGTCATGCTATCGGTGGCTCCTCCCTACTGATAAATTGAGGAAGCACGAAACATCACGCGGTTTCGTTGAAGACCCTGGTATCTTTATGGAGTGGGCTACGGAAGGTGCTCGCTTAGTCGCTTATCCTTGTTCCGATAACAAGGTCTTTAACCTGTGCGCATTTCTGCCTTCGAAAGAGGCCGAGTCGAGCGCCTCGCAAGTTGATGGTAGGCTCAGCAATAACTATCTATTGGGGATGTTCGAGCTGAAAGAGACTTACTAGGTTGGCAAACGGTCGGGGATCAAAACGCGGTTGTCCAAGGCTTTGCCGATTTCCATCCCGGAGTTCAACAGATCGTCCAAGATGCCGATCAGAACCTCAGAGTGTGGGATTTGTATGACATGGAGATGCTCCCGACCTGGACTGTAGGCCAAACTGCTCTAATTGGCGATGCTGCACATCCGTTTCAGCCATGTAAGGAAATTTCTACTTGTTAGAGACGGTTGCTTGTCTACAAGCTCCGCTGTCCTTTATATATTAACCATTTCATAGACATGGGACAAGGGGGTGCCATGGCAATCGAAGATGCTGTTGGCATCGCTACTTTACTGCCCTATGGTAGCAAAGCCAGCGATATTCCTTCGCGCCTCGAGTTGTACCAGTCGTCTCGTCGGCCACGAGTGGAAATGATCCTCAATTTTACTCGATTGAACGGTCGCGATGACAGCGATGCTGCTGGGGCCCGAATCACGCGTAAGTTTCTCTGCTTCAAGAAGCGTGAGCAAAATAGCTGATCAAAAACAAGCCGGCGATATGGTCAAATTCATGGGTATCTGCATTTCATACAATGAAATTGAACAGTGTAAGCGACTCTTAGCAGACCAGCTAGAGGTCTCGGAAAGGCCACCTGAGTGTTAAACCCTAGGGACCCCATCGACTTGGTCGCAAAAGATGACCTGGCATTCTAGGGGTTCATTTCGTATCAAGAGAGAGGAAATCTTTATATTGGTCCCCAACTATGCTTTTTTTTCGATGCGAAAACGAGCGGAGCCGGCATGTCGGGTCGTTTTATTTGCTGGCGTGCAGGGTCCCTTTAGACATTTAGACACAATTAAAATAGAATACATATGCGACCTAAAATTGTTCTTGCCAGGGTCAGAGACTTTTGATCCGGGCTTGCACCAATATGCATTGCACGGGGCCGTTGACGTGGTTGAAGCTCACTCGTTACCAATAACATAGACCTTCTCAGACCCGACGGAATCATCTCCATCGTGGACTTTGCATCTTGGAATCCCGCGACCTCTCCATAGATCGTGTAATTTACCCACTCGGGAGCCCCCGCCACGCTGGGAGTTGACTCCGGCTCCGTTGGTTTTCATCTGCATCAGTACAAGCGCATGATTCAGGTTTGAGCCAGAACCCCCTCCTGGATTCCTGCCGTCCGGCGATGGATCGGAGCATCTTAGCGGCTCGCTCCAACGGCTCTGGCCTCGTCTTCCGCGCCCACTGCAGTCCATTCCAGAATGCCCCACCACCGCCCACTGTCTTGGTACGGCATTGGTTACCAACTCTTTGGGGCAGGAGGGGGGTTGGTCCAACGCTGATCTGGCATGGGTCTGGTCAAAGCGGGCTCACAAATCGGCGCGACCGGGGGCCAAAAAGGAGGGGTCGGCGAACCTGAACAAGAGCACGGAGTACAGTATACGGATTTGCTGCGGATCTATCAGGTCTCCAATTTCACCGTTAGGGCCAGTGCAAGAGACCTCGTCATGCATGACTGGACTGACTTGACCGGATTCTCTCTGCCACCGACTGCTCGCATCCCAGGGGTTATCCCGGTCAACGCCCCCGTCCTTCTGCATCAGCGGAGACCGAGTTCTTCGCGCGATGCATCCTGGCCATCCTGGCCATCCTGGTTGTTCCCGTCCCCACCTGCCCCGGTATTCTGGGTCCGTGGCAGAGTCGCTGTGTTGGGAATTGGATTGCCCCCGTGGCTCTCCACGGAACCTGACCGCCGATTTTCCCTGCAAAGGGATCCCCTTTGCCAGCTCAGGCGACTGTGAATGATGCACTCGCAAGTAATAGTACCTTGACCAGACCTTGACCAGATTTCGGGGATTGGGCACTCTGGAATGCGCGGGTTAGGTTGAAGGGATGGTGGTGGGTTGTAGACTCCATGCAGAAACGAAGTTGGAACCAGGAACAAGGGCGGTAGAATGATTACCTGGCTGCATGATCTTCTGTCCACGCCGCCTGACAAGACAGCTAAGAGCTGCCATGTTGGATGGGGGGGGGGAACCAGTTACATCGTCCATTTGGGATCGTTCCATGGAGTATATGCTCTGTTCGAAGTGCCGAGATGTATACATTGCAGAACGAAGACCGTGGGCCTGTAATAATCCTCGTCATTTCGTCCGGCGCCGTATTTTCCTTTTATTTCTCCTTGGGCTTGCAAGCCTGGTACTCTGGAAATTCCGGAGTACCGAGGGACTGGTTGATCCTGGTGGAAATGAGTTTGGTGGATGATCGGGCCATGTAACTTTCCGACATGCAGTTCTAGTCTGCGTCGGGCCCGACTGTTCGGTTCAGCATTGCACGCTGGCTGTAGTGCGCCGTGGCCATCCACTTACTTGGTGCACACAACCCGCGTTGGGCTGAACCGGCCTTTTTCGTCTTTCTCGCCTCGGAAGTTTCGATTCTCACTCTTGCACTCGCGTCCGCTTACTCTTCAGAGCTTCGAAGGAGCTGCCGAACCCCTTCTCCACCGCCATATGCGTGGTATCCTCGTGCTCTATCACCATGTCATCCCCTGGGAGGCTCGTAGATTCAGATGGAATTGAGGTAGATGCCGATGTCAGCGTAAGACGGCACAAGAAGCCGATCCCCATGAACCTCGTGAGATATCAAGTCGGGTTAACCATCTTCAATCCAGTCCTCCAGTGACTTCGACAGCATTCAAAGTGATCTGACTTCCTTAACCGAATCTATTTACTCTCATGTATACGAGAACGGCCGTACCTACCATGCATATCGGTCTGGAACTTATGTGTGTATTGATTCGATATCCTGGCCTATGTGGCCCGCACAGCTCGTTACGGCAGCTCACTGTTTTAGGTCCTTCCTAATGATGAGCAAGAGCAAGGTAATTGTCTTGTGCTCTTCTTCCCCAGTTTGCCGCGCTAGACGGTAAGACCGTTGAGTAACATTTGCTTTACAGAAAGATTAGACGTGCTACATCATGTCTTTCGACTCCATCTCAATGGAGACTTGTGTGACACAAAACTTGAGCACCCCCAGAGAATTCTGGACCTGGGCACAGGAACAGGAATCTGGGCCATTGAAAGTGTGTAGCTTGGGCAATATCGACAGAAATGACATGAGCTTAAAACAACTAACACTTATAGTTGCTGATTTATACCCTTCAGCCGAGGTGGTGGGCGTTGATCTTTCCCCTATTCAACCTCGCTGGTAATGTCCCTCAGTCGCTGGTCTATCATCTGTGGGGAAGAGGATGGGATGCTGACAGATAGCAGGGTGCCTCCTAATCTACGCTTTATCATTGACGACGTGAATCAGGATTGGAGCTTTCCCCCAGAATCATTTGATTTCATTCATGCTCGCTGTCTAGGAGGCGGTATTGACGATTGGTCTGTCTTTATGCGTCGATGCTTTGAGTACCTCCCCCCCCCCCCTCCCACAAACCACAAACGACAGACAGCTCTTCAGTGATCTAACGACATTTTTTAGCCTCCTCAAACCTGGTGGCCGCATTGAGATAACGGAATGCCGCCCGAAAGGGAGAAGTGATGATGGTTCATATCCAGAAGATAGCTATTTACGCAAATGGGAGGTGAGCGCGGCCTTGTCTGATGACAACCTCGAAGATAACATACTCACTAGTAGAAGAATGAGTTCGCCCGCACGACCCAGATTCAGGGACGAGTTTGGGATATTGCTCCAGAGCTACCCGGCCTTTTGGAGGGAGCGGCTTTTAAAGATATCAATGTTGCTGAATACCCGTGTCCAATTGGAACATGGCCAAAGGATCCCAAGTTGAAAGAGATCGGTCGATATTTCCGCGCGCAGATGGTTCAAAGTGCGGTAGAAGGCTACTCCCTCGCCTTATTTACACGATTTGGTGGGTGGAAACCCATTGAAGTCCAGGTTTTATTGGCCCATCTCCGAGGAGAACTCAAGACAAACAAGATGCACGTCTATACAAAAGCGTGAGTGTGATAGAGCCCCTGAGTTGAGTAATGATCAAAAGAACTAACTCTCGTCAGGGTCTTTGCTACTGCTCAGAAACCATTTTGATGCCAGTATACCTGGTTTGCTTGCAGGCATGCATCCCTTTTCCTTCAACTATTTGAAGCAGTGGTAACCGCGATGTCCAATGATACCCCATTTATGCATTTCATGTACAGGATACCCGAGAACATGATCATTTATCTGAACCTTTCCTCTCTCTCTGCTTGGGGAACGACAACTTGTTCGTAATATTAAATTAAATAGTCACGAGTGATTTCTCGTATGGGCCAGTATGGCCTTCAACACGTGATGCGCCCCAAAGCCGCAGGAATAGACGCTTTCGCCTTATGGGCTTCTAGGCTTACGAAAATCTCCACCTACCTGAACACTTTGCTTCATGATGACCCAACAACAACAATAACAACAACAACAAGCCAATGTCCAAATCTTGAACCTGAAGCCAAGTCAATCTCACTATGTATATATGTTGCCTGAGGCAATAAAGATGACTAAGCCTATTCACCCAATCGCGTCCGCCGGCAGCTCATCGATGACGATCTCGAAGAGAATCATACTCTTTTTTTGAATCTTGCTTGAATGCAATGTAAATCATGGAGTCTGCAAATTTGAGGCCAGAGCCACCGCCGGATCCGTTTCGGATCAAACGAAAGCCTCTCTCAAACCCGAATCTCAGGGGGGCTGCAAATGCCGGACCCTCCGGTAGACTCGCCCACGCTACAAGCTCGCCAGCTCTAGTGCCGCCTCCATTATCTCAGCCTCCTTCTTATAATGACCTCTATGGTCAAGAAGTACCGAATTCAAAACTTGCATCGCATCAAAGACCACGAACTGCGGGTGGCGCAACAACACCCGCAGTATCCCCCCTGAACCTAGTCCATCTCCGACGCCAGTTCAGAAAGCCTATGGAGAGGCCCGTCACTTTCTCGGGGGACTGATCAATCATCCTACTGAGTCTAACAAACATGTCACAATTCTGCGTCATTCACATGGCTTGGTATTCTATCGAGGAGAGGCCACCTCCGTTGCCGTCTCGATCTTCTCGGATGCTCCCTTGCCCCAAGATCGTACTCTATGGTTGCAAAACAAAGGCTGGTCTGGCAAGGCCGGGATGCGCGCAAAAGCCCTTTTTCGGCTCAATAATAACTGGGTTGACGTCACCCCAGGCATGCCGCTTAGAGCCGACCAGGTAAACCCGGATGACGAGCGAGCGTGGCAACGCGATATTAAAAAGTTTCTCAAAAAGGCTCCCGCTCGGCTGCGCGACACGCACTCCTTGCGTGAAACAGCTGTTGTTCGGGTTCCGGCAGAGGCTGGTGATGGCTATTGGCAACTAGTCCTCTGTCAAGGGCCGAAGAAAAAAGTCATTGGGAACAGCCCGGTATTCCGGGTCCTCTCAACCTCCACTAACCCTCATTCCATCCGGGGTGCCAGCCTCAGTACATTGCCCCTGGAGGTAGGAGCCATGGTGGCTAGCTTGTACGCCCAGACTGCTGCCAAAGCAGTCGTGAGTCCAGCGACTGCTGCTATTCAGAGTAAAGTGGATCCTTATCGGCCATCTTAGTTGACGCAGACAGCAGCACAGACGGCCTATTCCACCAGTGGGGCTCAAGATAAAGTGGGCAGTTTAATCAAGGGGTCATCTGGTTCGACCCAGAAGGACCAGCAAGGTCTGATGCCACATGAAGGCCTCGATCGCCAGATATCTCCTATCGATGATGGCCCTCAAACGCCGTTCCCTATGAACTTCAAAGCCCGTGCACAATTACCGCACACGACGGCCCCCGGCAACCCCGGCGAAATGCCAAAGCTCATTCTGACCAAATTTCCGGGCTGGATACCGGAGCAATTTCGAGGCTACTTCTTTGGCTGGGCACGTTTCGATACCAGCACCGCCAAGAGTACCTCCTTGAGTCCCTGGTACCCGGCTGTGCTATCTATTCGAACATTGGACCCTTTGCAAGCCGCTGGCGTGAATATGTCCCAACTTGCCAAAAGGTCTGTGGCTATTCGCTTGTTGGACGAGGTCCCGCTCCAGACAACTGAGTTAGAAATCAATGTCATGGGATTTCTCAGAGCAGAAATCCCACCACCAACTGGAACTACCCATCAGGAACTCGCGGACGCACAAGCCGCTGCGGCCGAGGCTGCTATGCTTGCGGATTCCTATGATGTGACCATTGTCCAGAACACCCTCTCCCAGCCAGTCTGGGCTCCAAGAGGGCCAGATCCTGCCGAGATTCATCGGCAGAATACCGGTTGGATGGATCGGACGAAGGAAGGCTATGCAAATGTACGAGCGAAAGGGCAGAAGTGGGTAGAGCAGGTCCCTTTGCACAAGCTCGGAGTTCGATCTACTACAGACGAGTCGAGGGAGAAGCAAGTCGCTGTCAATGGGTTTTATATTGTGCGGTGACAGGTTTGTCGTTTTACACGCGCAGTTTGATCATTAAACCTTGGTAATGTGAGTCTGGAGCAGTGTATTAATGTTGATATATTGATGTAATATGTATATTAATTCTTCCATGTGGATGATCCATAATACAGTCTTGGAGATTGAAATACCGACACATAAATAATGTTTTGATCGCCTCCAATATTGAGTGTGTGGAACATAAGCCATGATTGATGTGACTGGAATAAACGCTATCCAAAAAACCCCCTGTTCGATATTGAGGGAAAACAAACCACCCAAACTGCCCAAATAATGCCAAATAAATTCCCGATCTTCATTACAGTTGCAAAACAACGAACCGCAGCCCTCAAGGCCCCATAGGCGGCTCCGAAGCAGCTAGATTGCACTGACGGAAAAGCCGGACCTCTTCAGGCTTGAAGGCACCCACAACCGAGTGTAGTACGCCACGGTTATGGAACAAGACCAGATCGCCTTCTTCCCAGTCATGCGGATACACGAATTGGGGGCTGATTCCAGGTCGCTGCAACTTGTACACAATCTCTCGGACACGCGCCAAATCATCGATCACGGTTCCGTCGCGGAGGTGAATGCGGCGGATCGCGGAGGGATGGACTTGCAGAGCCAGTTTACCCGTCACCGGGTTCTTCCACACCATGGGGAATATCATGATCTTCTCCGCGTCGATCGGGGGTAGGTTTGACTCGGATAGCTCTAGGCCTTCGGAGTGCAGGCCCAGCCCGGTGGAGCGAGAGTGAGCAGAACTCATCCAGATGTACCTAAGAAGAGTTCCGGTCAGCAAAATGGTTTGATATCTGCGATGGCAGCTTGGTGGATATCTTACGGGTGAGGCGCATATTCGATCTTGCTTGTGCGGACAAACTCCTGGTCCTCGGGCGAGAGCCGCTCGTACATCTGCTCGCCGCTCACAAACGCAGTTGTGCCAAGCGGGACATCCAACGTTTCATCAGACCCATCGTCATATAACAGTGTCTGGCGGCGGCCCTTTGGTACATTTACAGCCAACAGGGTCGTGACCTGCGGCGGGTACAGGTCATATAGAGCGGCATCGATGTGCCAGCGGTAGAAACGGGTGAAATCATAGTCTTTCTCGTCGGGGATATGGTCTTTATGGAAAGTCCGGTGGTGAGGGTGCTTGAGCTGCACATTCTCCAGTCCCTCATATGAAGGTACGAAGCCATTTCCAATCACTTGCACCTGAGGCTGATGGGGTACTGTTTTTAGGTCGGGATGAAGGATGCTGCGCTTGGCATCGAGGGTCTTGCCATGGCCATAGTTGTCCGAGGCGGGATCGAATCGTTTGGTCAGCTCATATTGCGCCTTGGGCGATAACTTCTGTTGGTTCTTGAAAATCACGACCTGGTGGCTGTAGAGTGCTCTGCGAATGGTGGCGAATTGATCATCTGATAGTTCAGTAGTTTAGCATCCTTTCCCCAGCCTTATTGGCACTATAACAAACGGACCAGTCAAGTTCTCCAGATCGACACCTTCAATATGCGCCCCGAAATTGATCTGAGACTCGGCTGGAGGCTGCAGCGGGCGAACGGTCGGGGGAAGGACGGCCATATTTGCGCTCGGAGGTGATTCAGACTCCGTGCCGTCGGTTAAGGTTTCGCGGGGTTTAAGCCGGCGAAGTTAGCACGGCCCGTTGCTCTTTAAATGCCGGGTGCCGAAGTTATAGATGCGAGGGAAAGCCGATCGCTAAATCAAAAGAAACACGGTTTACGGCGCCTACCGAAGGGATGGTAGGAAGTTATAAGAGATTCTTCCCCGGTTTCGCCCCATCTATTCAACCAAATCAGGTGCGGGCGAGTGCGGAGATGCGATAAGCCAAAGCGGATCAACTGCCGGAGGGGCAAATCGGCATTCAACCAACTAAGCACACATTCATGGGGGTAATTAGATGTGCGCACGAGATATGCTGACGCAATGGCAACAGTCATCGCAGCAATCACAAGTGGAGATTCAATCCTGGAGGTATCAAATTAGAAACTATTGAATTATATCGCCCAATCCAAATACAAAGACGTCATTCCCTTCAGAAGCAAAACAACACACAAACGCCGAGACGAATTCTCTGTCTTCGGCAGTGGGATTCTCCACTCAATACTGAAAAAATGGCATCAACATTTATTTACCAGAAATTCCACCATGGGCCACGCGGTCTTTCGGGGAGCTCCGCGTCGACGATCTCCTGCAAACCGGTGTGCATGTCCACCTCCTCCGGGCGCCAGGCCCAGGGATCGCTCCAGTACAGAGCACGATGACCAAAGTAAAGAATGAGGAAGGCCGGGATGCCGATATAAGCGGTGAAGAAGTTGCTGACGGACCACTCCGACGGGAAGAAGACAGTAAAGCCGTTAATTAACATCATCAGGGTGGATCCGGCCAGGCCGAAGATCGCTCCGTACGGCTGCAGTCGAGATTTATAAGGTTGCTCGATGCCTTGGGCTTGAACAGCCTTGCGAAATCGAAAGAATACCACGCAGCAACAGATCCAGGAGATGAAGCCCGACGTGTTGGTGAAATTGACAAACCAGTTGAAGACGATCGAGCTGGAATTGCCAACGGACAGGTACGCCAAAGCCGAGAAACAGGCCGACACCGCCACGGCGTAGTATGGCACACCCCAGCGATTGCAAGCTTTGAAGATACTCGGCGCATTGCCGGACATGGCGAGGGAGTACAGTGACCGCGATGACATGTAGAGAAACGAATTGCCAGCCGACCAGGCCGAGGTCAACACTGCCGCATTAACAATGTGGTCTAAAACGGGGATGCCTGCATTCTGAATGCCAACGACGAACGGGGACGATTTCACAGTGCCATCGCCTTGAGTGAGCCGCGCAGCATCTGAGGGGCAAATGACACCAATGGCCAAAACACCGAAGATGTAGAAAAATACCAGCCGATAGATATATCTGCGCGCCGCACGAGGGACATTCCGACGCGGCGACTCCATCTCTCCACCACTGATAATGATCAGCTCAGGCGCAAAGATGAAGGCGATAGCGCTAGACACGGTGCACTTCAACAGGCCCACAAAACGACCCGTGTCGCCTGTCACGATGTACTCGTTAAATGAACCTGGATGTTTCCAGTAATGGAATCCCAGTAACTGACGATTCGGACCGCCACCCCAGAAGAGAATAAATGCCACCATGAGCAGACCTATTAGGGTGATGATCTTGATACCAGAGAACCAGAACTCTGACTCGCCATAGAACCGCACGGGTAGGAAGTTGAGCGCGATGATGACCACCATCATGATGGAGATCCACACCGCAATATTGATGGATCCGCTCTGATCCCAGTACCCGATGACCAGGCCGGCGGCGGTGATCTCGTAGGGGACCAGAATGCCCAGTGAATACCAGTAGAGATATCCCATCGCAAAACCCATGCTCCGCGACACGTATCGGAACCCATGGTAGCTCATAGTGCCACCGTGGACGGGGAGGTATGCTCCGATCTCCGCTATCGCCGTGACCAAAGCATAAACCATGGCGGAAATGAAGAGATATCCTATCAGCAGCGAGGCTGGGCCACCGATAGCCAGCGATTGACCTGAAGAGACGAAGAGACCTGGATGGAATCGTTATTAGCAAAGGGAACGGTGCGCTCCGTGGGTTCACCACAAGCTCCAAGCCTCTCTCACCTGTTCCAATCGTGCCGCCCAATGCCATCAGTTGAACATGGCGGTTCTTCAAGCCACGCTGCGTGGTCTCATAACGATCATCTAGTAAATTGGTCTCCACCAACGTCCGGACCGCACGACCCTTCTCTGAGATTGGGGCCTGATTCCCCGTATATCCCGCAGACGGGGCCGCAGGTTCAATTATCGCCATGTTCCACAGGATGCGACCATGCAACTGCGAGAAGCAAAGTGGTGGTGTTGATGATGCTTATATTTTGCGATCGTTTGCAAGGATCGGCGGGGGGTGCAGGAATACTTAAAGGTCCGAGCTGGTTACGAGCTGCCGAGGGCCACCAGGCCCCCGAGCTTCTCATTTTGCACCCAAGACCCTTGTCAGACCCTAGCTCTTCGGACGAAACACAGAGAGAAAAAGAAAAAAGGGCTCTCCGCGACCATGCAACGTTGAGGCGCGGGATCTCTGGCTTGTGACTGGGCGCCACTCCATCCGAGATAAGCCAACCGAGCACGCTAATTCCTAGCACGCGCACTGGAAATGTTCGCTAGTCTGGGGTAGACACGAGGGGGTCGATGATAGCTGGGGAAATCAGTTTCTAGACTCTATTCAGTCATCGGTCACAACGTGGGATATCGATGAAAAGAGCCGCGTTGCTCTGTACGCATCATTTGTGCTGGTATATCAATACATTGGAGTGGCTGTTCGGTGCCGAGTTCCCCTTGAGCCCGTAAAGACGTCGCTCGATTTTCAAAAAGCCATCATATCTTGGACCATCCATTGCCCCTATCACTCTTAGTTGATAGACCAACAATTATCTCTGGTCGCTAAGAAATTCTACGTCTCGTGGCGAATGATCTTCTCGATGCTGATATCGCCAGCCACACCGGCATCTGTCCGGTAGACCGGGATCACGTTCAGGCGACGGAGCCCGGCATATTTGATTGAAGGAATCACTATGCGACGGCCGCAGGTACCGGACCGGTAGCCGGACCGGGTCAACGTACGATGCCCAGGCTCAAATAGCAGGGTTCTTACTAGCCAACGAGGCAAAAGCGCCATCCTTGTGCCTTATCAGCGCGGGAGAAAGAGACAGGGATCCCGTGCGAACGGATGGAAGGGAGTATAGGGCGGGGGACAGGGGATAATTGGGCCTAACGCTGGAATCAGGATAGAGGCTGGGCAAAGGCATAGTCGAAGGCCAATGGTGAAGCACCAGCAGCAATCGGACCAGCCCCGGTTAGGAAATGCTTGCTATCAGAAACGCCCGTTCTAAACTGGAACCGGTATAGATGAGCGGGTCCGGGGAATGGAGAATCAACGGAACCCTATCATGGATCCTATCTTAGCGGGTCAATAATTAAAACGTCAAATAAGATTCGATCATGAGAATGGCCTCGGTAAGAGACGAGAGCTAGATCATATTGCAGACTCAAAAGAGAGAGAGAGAAATAACATGTCACGACTGACTGGGCATGCATTTCTCTCACACGCCGAAATGACACACCAAAATACCGCCGGGAACTCCAGTCATTCAGAAACGCCAGATTAGATGTACCCGCCTTTAATTCCTCGAAATGATCGTATAGGGTCCTGGCACGCCTCAACAGCTTGAGTGCTGGCTTGACTCAGGCGATTCGCCTCGGTAACATCCACAGCAGCTGCATGCCTTGCCGCAGTGCATGTACCAAGCTCGTCCCGAATGATCGCGAATCGTTCGCAGTGATCGCTCGCAGCAGCCGCAGTCCCGAGCACAGCAGCCCCCTCGAAGCTGACAATAGACCCGCTCGGCCTTCCACAGGGTTTGAGCCTTCTGGTGTTGATGCTTTTGTTGATTCTTGCAGTATTCCTGGACTAGTCGACCTGGCGGCTTGGCACCCTCAAGCCTAGCCAAGCATTCTCGGTGCTTCCAGTGTTCCTGGTTCATTTTTTTCAGTTCAGTATCGCAGTGGGCTAGCAGCTCAAAGTCGACCGGCTCGAGCTTGTTAAGTTCCTCGGCAAGATTCTGGTAGTACGTGAGCTGGGCACTGATGTGCATTTCGCGCTGCACAATCTGGCTGCCCCGGCGTATCTCGTGACGATGCTGATGAATCCACTTGGATTGAGCCTCTGCTCGATCCTTATCCTCAAACTCCTTCATCCACTGTTCAAACTCATCGCCATTGCTTCGAGGTAGATATTTTGCCTTCAGCTGGTTAGTTGTGGCCAGAAGGGACTTGAGGAGTGATTTGATCGTCATGGACTGCACGTGTCGTAGGAAAACTATGGGAGCAACACGATGAGAGCAGACCGAGGGTCGATTTCTGGAAATGACCACATGTGGTGAATCATGAAGAGTGAGGCAGAAGCAAGAAGTTTGTCCCGTGAGGAGAAGCAGCTTCACCGTTTCAAATTCCCAGGCTGCGCATGCCCGATTAGGCGCCGGTCGTCCAACACGGTTTAGTCACCAACACCAACTTGAAGGTCACCTCGCATTCATCCACGGTTCCTCAGATGTTTATAACTCGCTCTTCATTCAACCAGTGAGGAGCAAGAGTGCGGTGGGACTCGATTGTTACAAGTGGTCCATTTCCAATTTTAGAAGCGGCTGCTCACTAGGAATTAAGGCCCGACATTTGAAGTATATACCCCTCTACGCCCAAACAGAGGCTATATTTGGAGCACCTTAAGCACAGGTGTTTATTCTTGCACCCATGACCATTCTCTTCTTCGACCAGAGGCAGATATCCCTCTGCCTGGATGAATAATTATGGCCCCTTTCTGTGAAGAAACTTCTCGCCTTCCACAAGTTGTTGTTGGCGGCTGTTTCCGACAACTTTGAATGGATGTAAAGTAGGCCGAAGTAGCTCTCTTTGGTAAGTCTTTTTTAAAAGCTCTATCGTTGCTGATTATTCCATGCCTTAGGGCCATTTGAGTGCCCTCCCATCGACACTCGATGACCACAGAAAGTCTTTCATTTCCATACTTGGAATTAAGGGCCGCCGAAGTAGTCTTGCCAGGTCCGACCCTAATATTCTTCTCTGTATCCTACAAAAAGAAAATGGAGTTCATTCCCTTACTCTAATCTCCTTGTAATCCAATCTTTACTACGAGATTGCTCCACTAGAGGTAAAAGAGGTGAGATAAATTTGGATCTTGGGCTATCTCTGCTAGAGATGTCATCTCATCAACCGATTTATCCCTCATTAGAATGACACCTACTTGGACGGGATAAATAAGCATTTCCATGAGGCTACTCCCTTCTAGTGTAGTAGCACATATAGATGCCTGTCAGTCTCACGAGAAAGAGTCAGTGTAGATCCCTGGACAGACTGATAATACATATGCAGCGCCCTGGCTACCACAGGCCGCAGTAGCAACTAGCAGCGCTGTTGATGATATCGAACTGGTGGAATCACATCAGCTAGCAAGGACTTCGATGGCTTTCTCGCCATCAAGCTCTACTTTTATGAATGGGGACGACTCATTGTATATTTCCTTCCTGCTTGTGCAACCAACCTTAGTGTTTTCAACCAGCTCTCACTGTCCCAAGGCGGCATCAGCGATTCAGCGGTGGCCGGAGAGAAATCTCGGGATAGACAGGGCTGAGAGAATGCCAAATCCGAGAGACGGTATTAATTATTCCATTTATTCCTGCGCCCGATACCATTCCATTGGCAGAACTCACGCCAGGTTGACATTGCCAGCCGTGATTTGGAGAGATGTCTCTCTCTTGGGCTCCCAAGCTTGGCTGTTGGAGACACCTTGCAATGCTTAGGTACTTCGGCCTGTTCGGACTCCGATTTGGGCAAACTGTCTCAAGCCGGGGTAGATATCGGTTGTGAGCCAATGATCTTCCCCAACCAAGCCTAGAACAGCGTTTGTTGGCAGACTCGATCTTAAGAATCTTCCTCCTCCGCTCGGGGAATGACCTCGATGCGGGGGAGGGCCTGATAGTTCTGCGAGTGGCGAGGGGGAGCTGCGCATCTCGGTCGTCTGCAAGTTGACAGGCTTCGACCGGCCGTCAATCGACACGGATTACCCTTGTTCACCTTGTCAGCCGTCTACGGGGATAAACATATCGGGGGGTGGGACAGGTGTCATTGATGTGGCAAACGGGCGTCGCCTGCCAACTTCCTTCGCTGTCTCTTAACCATTTCATATCACAACTACGACCACAACCCTGTCTATCCATGACAACTATCACTCGGTCTTGTTGCTTCTCTACTTCACCTCGTTCTGGCGACAGCTGACCTCATCTCGATATATCAAGTTGCCCCACGTCCCCCGCACGCGTACCGCAGCCACGATCAGCGCAATGGCCTATCGGACCATCGCCGATGAGCCACAACTTCCAGACATCCCAGAATAAATATGCAGTCCCCGAATCGCTGTTGTCTCCGGCTGCAGTAGTCGGTCTAGATGTTTGCCCTGGCAAACCAGCATAAAAAGCACTGGATGGCATTTTGCCCTACACGGATCTTGATCCAAGATTCTCTCCGTTTTCCAGTAGACTGCAACCAATCTCGGTTCTTTTTAAGTCCTCTCTAGAACGGCGACATCCTTCCTCCGGTTCAGACCATGAAAGCTCTCGTCTACACGGGTCCTGGCACGGTCGAGGTCCAGGATCGCCCCAAACCCACCATCCAAACGCCGACAGATGCTGTGGTCCGTCTCCTACACGCCTCTATCTGCGGCACCGATCTCCACATCCTCAAAGGCGACGTTCCGGGGGTCAAACCTGGCCTCGTCCTGGGTCATGAGGGCGTCGGAGTCGTCGATGCCGTCGGCGCGGCCGTGACGACCCACCACGTCGGCGACCGCGTGCTGATCTCTTGTATGACCTCGTGTGGCGCCTGCCGCTTCTGCCGCCGCGGCCTCCTTCCCACTGCACAACCGGCGGTTGGCTGTTGGGCAACTCACTCGACGGCACACAGGCCGAGTTCGTACGCGTGCCTCATGCGACGCTCTCACTACACTCATTGTCGCTGGCCATCGACCCACACCACGCTGTCGCCTTGTCCGACGCCTTGCCGACCGGCCTGGAGTGCGGCGTACTGAGCGCCAACATCCAGCCCGGCTGCTCCGTACTAATTGTCGGCGCAGGGCCCGTCGGTCTCGCGACCCTCCTGGCCGCGCGTCTATATACGCCCGCGCTCATCGTCGTCATCGATCTCGACGAGACACGCCTACTGACGGCCCGCAGGCTCGGCGCCCATGCCACTATATTGTCGACCGTCCCGGACGCGCGGCAGCGGCTCCTGGACTTGACGCGGGGTGACGGTTTTGACGCCGTCGTCGAGGCCGTGGGCGTTCCTGAAACCTTTGGGTTGTGCCAGGAGGTGGTGGCCGTGGGAGGACGCATTGCCAATGTCGGCGTCCACGGAACCAAGGTCGACCTGCACCTAGAGAAACTCTGGGATCGGAATATCAGTAAGTTTGATTGCTTGCTCGATTTTTTGTGATTATCCTTGCCCTCCTCCTCGTCCTCCCCCTTCTGCCGCTGTCTTCGGGGAACTTCCCCTGTCCTTCTTTCTCACGCGGGAAAGAGAAGAGAGTACGCGGAATAGAGTGGGGGAAGGGGGGAAGAGAAGGGAGAAGGGAACACATCGGACCCTCCAACGGCGTGTATACTGACCCGGTAGGTATCCACATGTCGCTGGTCAACGCGACGACTACTTCGCGACTGCTGCGGCTGGTGGAGTCCGGGCAGTTGGACATTGGCTCACTGGTGACCCATCGTATGTGTTGTTTTCCCCTCTTCCCCCCCCCCCTTTTCCCCTTTTACTCTTTCCCCCATGTCTCGTCTACGATTATGTTAGGCACCGTTGCACGAGGATGGAGCCTTAGCGGCTTTGGTCGTGATTGATATAGTTTAGGCCGAGTGAATCAGGTCTAATCCGCTCGCCAGACTTTCCTAGTGTGGAGGGGGCCACGGCCTACACGACCTTCCAAGCCGCCGCACAGCATCAGGCCTTAAAGGTAGCCATTGACTTTTGAACCTGTGTGGACACAAGACCAAAACGATAAAGGAGGTGGGAACGATAGGAACTCTGCCGGCCGGGACTAGTGAAGTCTGTTGATAATGAGGACTTGGGCCCTGATACTGCGCGATGGCCACAAATAAGGTAAAAGGATCCCGGATCTAATTTGGCCTCGCTGGGCGCGTATCAACGCGCACTTCGATCCCCTCCCCCTTATCGTGGGCGCCTGGTTCGAGAGGAAATTCGGTACTTTCTTAGAACTATCAATACATCATTCATCCATCAAATCCTGTTCTTCCCCTTCGGGGTCCACCCATTATCTCATACTCCGTACAGTAGTTTTATCGGTGAAAAAAAAAGCCTTGCGGCCCCACATCTTGTTTGGTATTTACTGTTGGGAGCCAGGAGACACGAGAGAGCGGAGATGAAGGGAGAAGAGGCACCGAGATCCATCATCCAACATTGTTGAACATGTTATCCGTATCGACGTTTGTCGCGGAGCGAGCTGGGCAGACCTTCAACCGGATGCCGACGAGAGTCCGTCGGAGAGCCATGGATTTCGGACCAGAGTACGAGGTACAGCGTCCGGAGTACGCGGTTCTAGAATTCGGGCTTGGTTTCATGTTTGATTCCGGGGCTTTCGTCAGTGCGGCATGGACGGAGCGACTGAGTGGCCCGTCTGCCTGTTCAAGGACCATTTTTCCGCTAGGCATTGACTGGACCCCCAGCGGAGACGATCCGACGGTACGCCAAATGGGAGGCGCACGCCTCGCAGGCGCCTCGCACGCCCCTGACATCATCATTCCCCGGACTGTACTGGTGGCATGGCAGGGCACCGTACAGATGGACGACACGGTCACTCATGATATGCACCGCACAAGGTCGAGAGGAATGGCTTGGCGGAGGCTGTGCGGAAAGAGAACACGGAAAGGGACGTTGTCGAACGACCATTATCCCCAAAGGGAGGAGATCTTTTACGAACCCCGAACTCGAGTCAGCCTGGGAAGACTCGGCCTTGGAACATGCTACTACGGAGAACGACTGCATGAAATGGGGCTCTATGGAGTAACAGAACGGGAAAAAGGAAGGATTTAGCTTTGCAACTTCCATGATCATCCTCTCGACAGCCCTAAATGACCAGAACATAAACTCCGTTCTTCATCGAATACAGAATAATTGCCGCAAGGCCAACCCGTGCTATGCCCAAAGGGCTCCGATCTGCTCCGGGCGCGATGAAACCCACCAAGCCCTTGCCCGCGGCCAAAGACCAACCACCTTCCACCCCACTCCTCCACTCCGCCCCACCCCGCTCCTCCAAGCCAATCACCGGTCGCCCACGGCCGTTTCCAAGTCTTCCAAGTCTTCCAGGTTCTTTCCCCCGTGAGAAATCTGAACCAAGAAACCCAAGACATCGTCGCCGGCGTCCATTGGCTCACCCTATTGTCTCCCACCAGCCGTGCAATCCCATTCGATACACCCGTCGAATGCGTGGAAGCGAACTAACGTAGTCCCGGCGAACTCGCCCTTTTGATCTTTTGGGTAATCTTCGACGTCGTACTCCACTCTTTTTTTTCGTCTCTCTCTTTCTCTCTGGAGGCCTTTAATTATCCAGTGTGCCCCAGCTGAACCTTGTTTTGGATTGCTTCTCTTGTGTGTTATCTCTGGTTTGCGCATTTCCACCCTTGTCCATCTTGGGAGATCTTGTTCTTCGGCTCGACGAAGCAAGGTGTATTTGATATAGAATTGCGCCGGCTATCGTGAATTCAGTTCTACTGGCCCGCATGCCCTGCCGCCACCCGCCAGTCTAAATTCTCCTGATCAACCACATCGATCGTCCAAAATTCACCGTCACCATGCTTACCGGCGGGGATTCGCGACGCGCATCCAAAGTGTCGATGTCGCGCGTCGAGACAGGCGTTAGCAATACCAATGCGGATCGCACCCTGGAAGGCATGGGCTACACGCCCGAACTGTCGCGCAACCGTTCCATCTGGCAGGTCACCTTTATGTGCTTCATTCTCTCCTCGGTTCCTTACGGCCTGTCTACTACGCTCTACTATCCGCTCGTCGCTGGTGGTCCCGCCAACATCGTCTGGGGCTGGGTCTGCGTCTCCTTCCTCATTCTCTGTGTCGCCATCTCGCTCGCCGAAATCACCTCGGTTTACCCGACGGCCGGTGGCGTCTACTACCAAACATTCGTATTATCACCTCTCTGGTGTCGACGAGTAGCCTCGTGGATCTGCGGCTGGTCCTACGTGGCGGGCAACATCACGATCACACTGGCTGTGAACTTCGGAACCGCCTTGCTCTTTATCGGCTGTCTCGACGTCTTCGGTCAAAATGCCGCCGGCGAAGGCATCACCAGCAACTTCCAGGCCTATCAAACCTTTTTGATTTTCCTGGCGATCACCCTGTTAACCCACGCCATCTCGGCCTTTTGTAACAAGTGGCTCCCATGGTTGGAGGTATGTTCGCTGTTTCGATATTCCCATTCGTTCGAGTCGCGCTTGGATCGGTTCAAAGCCGGGCCGCACCACGTGCTTGTTTTCCCTATTTGGCAATTTGGCTAACGTGTGGTTTCTCTCATTCTCAATAGACGTTCGCCATCTTTTGGACTATTGCCGGACTGATGGCAATCGTCATCTGTCTCCTGGTCATTGCCAAGGGCGGTCGTCGCGAAGCTGATTGGGTGTTTGGCAACTTTGAGCCCCAGGCTGGATGGCCTGCCGGCTGGTCTTTCTTCATCGGTCTCCTGCAGGCTGCCTATGCCACTTCGGCCACAGGCATGATTATCTCGTAAGTCCATATAAACCACATTTTCTCGGGGAAAAAGCAGGAATTACCAGATCTCTGCCGCTTGCCTTACCCCCCAGCCGGCCATATCGACCTCAATGCTGACTGAAATACTTGGTAGTCTCTGCGAAGAAGTACGCGAGCCCGCTGTCATGGTCCCCAAGGCCATGGTGGGAACTATTGTGATCAACTTTGTCGCCGGTCTCATCTTCCTCATCCCAGTCTGCTTTGTGATGCCACTGGACCTCACTAGCCTCATCAACGCATCCCAACCCCTTCCGGTCATCTTTTTGAATGCCGTTGGTAACCCGGCCGGTGCTTTCTGCTTGACAATTCCCTTGCTGGTTCTGGGTCTCATTTGCGGTGTCGGTTGCGCCACGGCCACCTCGCGCTGCACCTGGGCCTTTGCTCGTGATGGTGGCATCCCTGGTTCCGGCTGGTGGCGCTCGGTGAACAAGAAGCTGGATATCCCTTTTAACGCATTGGTATTGGGCATGGTGGTTGAGATCTGCCTGGGTGCTATCTATTTCGGCTCCTCTGCAGCTTACAATGCCTTTTCAGGTGTCGGTGTCATCTTTTTGACCATGAGTTACGCCTGCCCCGTTGCTGTCTCCCTGATCTTCCGTCGCCGCGAGGACATCAAGAACGGTAGCTTCAACTTTGGCATCTTTGGTGCCATTGCAAATGTGGTCGCCCTCGGTAAGTTCTTTAGTTCCATAAAGATGCGCCCCTCCTTTTTGGTTTGCTAATGTCCCATCAGGATGGAGTCTTCTCGCCATTCCTCTCTTCTGCATGCCAACCACCAAGTCCGTGACTAAGGAAACTATGAATTATGCGTCGGTTGTCTTTTTCGGGTTCGTGCTGATTGCAGCTATCTGGTATGGCGTCTGGGGCTACAACAACTACCGCGGCCCGCCCACCGATGCCGTGGATCATCACGACGATAGCGACTCTCTCCCCGAAGCAACTGAGGAACTCCCCGACAAGTTGAAGGACAAAGTCAAAAGCCGTTAATCATTTGATTTGACCCTCCCCAACTCCAGATTTCCCGCATCTCGCCCCTTTCCATCATCCTCCGACTCCATCACGGTACTTTCAATATCCCATGCAGCCAACATTGATACCCTTGCGGCTTTTCACCTCCCTTGCAGTCAACCATCTGTCCCCTGCGACCACTCGTCTTTTTCCCAGCGGTTTCTCCTCGATTTCTCACGGTCCATTCGATCCATCCGTTCACCCATGTCGACTTCCATTCGGTTTCTTCGCCTCCAATGCGGTCATCCTGTTCCCACGCACCTTCACCCAACCGTAAAGCGAATTGTCAGGGCCTTGATTGGGAGACTCCTGGGTATATCTTTTATATTTAAGCATAGCTATCTTCATGTGTCATATCAGTTACTAGTTGCGTAGCAACTCAATCCATCTAAAAATCAAAATCAATCTGAGCTATCTATTACAATCACTTCTTGGCCGCCTGTTCTCTTTGTAATCTTCCCCTCTGGGTCTGCGCTGGCATCGCGGGTGCCACAAGATCAATCGTTTTTCCTGGAAGATGTAGAAAGACTGAGATGGCAATTAGGGGCACGCTATGGTGCATCCCTGAGGCGTCTGGCACTGTCAATCTACAGTAGACATCGTATGTTTCAAAAAAGGTAATCGTCGTTCGGTCCATCACGTGTGGAGTCCACGATCCAAACTAATCCACCCGCTTTGCTGCATGCTGTAACTATGTCTGTCATTCACTGGAAAATACTAAGATTTCTGGTTTTACAGGAAATTACATTAGTATGAATCGCATGGAGAATTTGACGCCTTGTCAGAATGCTGAAATAGAGTGTGGGAAGACCCTCATCGAATTGACTTGTTAAAATGGAGGGAGATATATATATCACCCTCCCTTCTCCGACAAACAGGATCCCAGATCGACCCCACGCAATACCTTCCCTCATGAGTCCTCAATAGCAGCGACGTGATCCGTCACCAAGCAGGTAAAGTCACTTGATCCATAGTAAATTGTATTGCCATCGTTAGATGTCTGGCCCGTGCTCAGGGTGTCGCCGTACTGCCAAAATAGATCGGCCGCAATGCCCTCCGCGCTCAAGGCCGTGGCCTGCCACGGCGCCTCCACGGTGCAGTGGTCGGATGTCACACCGTACTCTTCGAACAGACACGGTTTTCCTGCGGCGGCACACGCCTCGCCGTGCGCCGTGATCCAACCGTTGCCCCAGTCGTTGGTGGTTCCCCCTAATATGTTCGTGTTAAGCTGGCTGCCCAGTCTCGGATAGAAAATACGCAGAACTTACAGCTAGACGGGTACAAGTGGAACGTGCCAAAATCAATGGTGTCAATGGCCAGGTTCATGGTGAAGTTCAACCCCTCGCCGAGGGTATAGGGGTAGCTGCCGTCCGAGTCGGTGCTGAGGCCAAAGCCCTCTGTGTGTGTGTGAGACATACGTTAGTGGATAACACCGCCTAATTTCCCCTTTCTCTCCACCTTATGTGAATCTACTCACCATCGCCAATGCAGACCATGTGCTTCGAGTCGAGAGACTTGATATAGGCGCTGGTGGACTCGACCCAGTTGTAGATGACGGACGGGTCGCAGCCATTGCAGCGCGGCTCGTTCGCGAGCTCCCACGCAAACACCGCCGGGGAGTCGATGTACCGGGCAACGACAGTTTTGATGTAGTTGCGGTACGCAGTCTGCGCGGCCTCGTTGGTGTACCAGCTGGTGGCGCTGCCGCCGAACGCGGAGACGTAGGCAGCGATGCCGCCGTAGTCCGACCAGTTGTTGACGAAGTTGATGATGAGTTTGACACCGCGCTGCTCAGCCGATGCGACTACATAGTCCAGCCGCTGCAGGCCATCGGCGCCAGTGTTGATAGTCGCTGTGCCACCGGAGAGGAGCTGGTAGTACACTGTGCCCGAGGAGGGAACGGTGTTGACGTCGTTGAAGCCCCATACACGGAGGATGCGGAGGCCGGACTCGTTCAAGTGGTCCATGACAAGATCGACGTCGTCGTCGTTGGTCAAGAAGCCGATCCAGTACGAATTCGTCCCCGCGTAGTAGCTTGTTTCCCCATCAATGGTGAATTTGAGCCCATTGGTGCTTGGGAAACCCGTCGAGGTAGCCACGGCCGTCGTGGTGGAAGTGGTCTTGGACGTCGTGCTGGTGGTCGTCTTGGAGGTGGTGGTCGTGCTGGTCGTTTTCGTGGTCGTACTGCTGCTAGTGCTGGTCGATGTCCCTGCTCGAACCGGATTCTGAGCGACGTTCTTTCGACGCAGACGGTGTACCTACCCGCGATACACTGGCTATACCAGTCATTGTAGAAGTGACACACGTATCCTGACACGCAGGTCGTCGAGCCGGTATAACCGCTGCCGCCGCATTGTCCGTACGCGGCCACCTGCGCCGAGGCGAGGCCGGCCAGAGATAAGATGGCTAGGGACTTCATGATATCGAGTTTGATGAGCACCCCAGGGTTGACAGCCGCTCTACGCTGCCTTGGAAGCCATTATTTATTTCTCCAGGGAGGGCCTACGGGGAGATGGGGCAGCATGACAGGCGGACATGGCTCCGTTGTGAAACCAGGAGAGGGAAAATGGGCGCCATGGCGGATTCCATAGACTGGCATCACCACGGGCTTGAAGTAGCAAGGCCGTCCGTGTTGTTTGAGGAAAAGAGGTGGGGAAACCCGGGATTTTGTGTGACGGATTAATTGCGGGAGGAGGGGGAATTGCGAGGTACGGCACAGAGAGGGCGATGGACCTGCGCCTTCGATCATTTCGGACTGGCGACGGCCCGAAGGTCTGAATCCATTCAGGGCAATCCTGCACAGTCGAAAGCAGCCTAGCGCCGCTGCACCCCGGGGAAATTATGGCGCCCAAGCGACACTTGTCTCAACCCGTCAAGGGCCTGGAGAGCGGGATTGCAGGAAGAGTCGCGGGGGTCACAGCGCGTCCAACCTTTTCTAGGCAGATCGGGAGCCGAAGCCGAAGATGGGATTTCATTGGATCGCCGCTCCTGAGGGATCTCGGGGTAGAGTCTGTCTGGAGGCAGCGGTGCCGTCGTCGATGGCGGTTGATGACGACTCCGCAGACATCTTGGCGGGTCCCCCCTGCCCCAAGATCTGCCACGCGAGATTGTGACGCGAAACCCGGGACTATCGCGATGGATGGTGACAACCTAAAATCTAAAACTTTTCCCGGCATATCTCCCTCCCAGTCAGCGTTGACCCCACTCCCCTATGGCCGGCCGCAGAACCATAACTCGGGATCTAGGACGGATTTCGTCAGCCTATGCAATTAGATACAGCCAAGAGCATTTATCCAGCCGAGTCGGGCGCGGGGCCAGAGATCTCCTTGGCGAATCGCAGAGCCGGGTTTGTCGTGCCGAACGCTGGAAGGGCAAACCGTCAAACCGGCCGTACGATGTCGAGTGAGCCCACACCAGACGGACCGAGTGCGGAGCGAGGCTATTCCGTTCTCCGTGCTTCGTCCTTGATCCTGGTCGTGACAAGACGAATGCGCAAACCTCCCACGCCGTTTGGCTAAAACCTACTCCGGGCTGACTCAGCCGTTACGTTCGCTCGGAAAAAGCGGGAGTTTGTCAGTTTGGTCGGTTTGGTTGGTTTGGTCAATGAGGTCGTCCTGGAGTCTCGATGCAAGCTGGGGGCGACTGCTCTCGATTTGCCTGGTGCTTGGGGGCAAAGAATGGCTATGCCCAGTATCGATCTTCTACGGCCAAGAACCAAGCGGACAATTGATGTGTGTGTGTTTTTTTTTTTTTCATTTTTTTTTTCAACTGGCTACTGTACTTCAACAATGAAACGAACTGGGTGGATTTATTTCTTGGCGATCTTCATTTGCAGTACGTTTGTGGACGAGTGTGGCCCAGTCTTTAGGATTTGCTAGTGCTAGTTGCTCTTTCGACGGGCGCAGATTCTGCAGTGACGTACCAGGCACCAGTCGACGGGTGTGGCGCCGCCACTGATGGCCGTGGTTCCCGGACTACTATCAACCTGGTTTCCTGAACCTTGAAAAATTTTCTACGCGAACAAGAGAAATTTAGAGTAGGCCAGATGCACGTGGCTGGGTGAGGGTTTGCAGTGTAATCTAGAATGGGATCGTAAGACTCTGCTGAGACGGAGGCGCACGGCGGGGCCCATCGCTACCAGAGGGGCGCCTCTGAAAGGGGATGATGATGGGGTGCCCTGCGCTGAGTCTGTCAAGACCGACCGAATCATCGACCGTGATGGCGGAATAGGACACAGGGAATTTCGGAAGAAGACCCTGGGAGTCAACCTCGACGACACGTGTAAAGCCGGTTTTGGGCCTCCGGACTCCGCACTTTCGCTCTCCAGAGTTTTCCCCCCTGACGCGGAGAGTTGGGGTGTGAAGCTCACCGGGGCACACATCGGGCATGAAGCCAGCGCGAACAATCCGGAGTGCCTGGGGTCGGATGGCCCGGCTCCCTCAATGACATGGCCCACTCCGCTTCTCCAGAGAACCCCGAGCCCCGACAAACATCCGATTGCGAGACAGAAAGGAAGCCTGGGGCAGAGCAGTTGGGTCTGCTCTCTGCGAAGATTGAATAGACGAAGGGATCCCGATCTTCTCGGCCCCGATGACAAACCTGGCCCGATCCCGAGCCACGACTCGGCCTTCGGCCAGCATGTAGAGTCCGGGACATCTCGCCGAGTTTTGCCACCATGTCATCCCGATCTCCAGACTTGCGGTCCCTCGGCTGCCCGGGGACATTTGAGTGGTGAACCAAAGCCGACCCATTGCCGGAACCCACGCTGGCCGGCCCTGTCCTGGACTCTCCTGCACGCTTGAGTGGGTTCCTCGTGGCCGTGCGAGTCGGCTTCGGCCGGTTGTCATCATCGGCTCCCTGTTGTTGGCTCGTGGCCTGGGGCAATGGCCATCGTCCGCGTCGTGTCTCTCCACCATGTCTCTCCACAGGGGAAGTCTTCTCCCTGTGGAGAGACGTGGGTTGGTTTTTTTTTCTCATTTCCTTTTTCCGTTTCTGAGTCCACCGGATTACAAAAGGTCCCTGTTTCCCTCTCCTGAATTTCCCCCCCCCCCCCGATTATTCCTTCATTCTCCCCACGGTCATCTCCTCGGCCCTGAAGTGTGGTTACTTGTGACGATCCAGGATTCGGTCAGGGCTTTACTTTTCCTCTGGTCTCTCTACCCAGCCTGAACGAGTCTTAGTTGATATTATCTATCATATATAATCCCATCACTTCTCGGGCTTCCACGCTCTCACACTTCAGGAATAGACCCCAGCAAGAATTATCCGTCATGGGTCTTGAAGAATCTTCCTCCCATCATGGGGAGGCCATCACTCCGGTCCAGAACTCCCTGAACCCCAGCACGGAGTCCTCGTTCCAGAACAGCCCTATTCAGAAGCCCGTGGTGCCGGCTACTGTCAATACCGCAATCCCCCGCATTACCATTCACTCCTTAGTCATGACCCTCTTCGTCTCGCTGGGTGGTCTGCTCTTTGGATATGATACCGGTCAGATTTCGGGCTTTCAGGAGATGGATAACTATCTGCAACGGTATGGCCAGCTCAACAGCAGCGGCGAATACGCATTCAGCGATGTTCGCTCGGGTCTCATTGTTGGTCTGCTGTCCATCGGTACCCTGATCGGTGCTTTGGTGGGTGCTCCCCTGGCCGATTTCCTTGGCCGAAAGTGGTCGATCTCGGTCTGGTGTGCCATCCTCATTGTCGGCCTGATTGTCCAGATCACCTCGCCCTCAGGACACTGGTGGCAGATGGTCGTTGGTCGTTGGGTGACTGGTCTTGGTGTTGGTGGCTGCTCGCTTGTCGTGCCCATGTACCAAGGCGAGAGCGCTCCCCGTCACATCCGTGGTGCTATGATCTCCTGCTACCAGCTGTTTGTGACCCTGGGTATCTTCTTGGCCTACTGTATCAACCTTGGTACCCACACTCTCGAGGGTACTGCCCAGTGGCGCATCACCCTAGGTTTGACCTTCCTCTTCGCTATTGGTCTCGGTGGAGGTATGGCCTTCTTCCCCGAGAGCCCTCGCTTTGAGTTCCGCCACGGCAAGGTCGAGAGTGCCCAGCGCACTCTGGCTAAGCTCTATGGTATCCCAGAGAACCACGTCCGTATCTTGGAAGAAATGGACGAGATTCGGGAGCAGTTCGAAGCCGAGTCTGGCGATCAGAAATGGCACGAGTTCATCACTGCTCCTCGCATGCTCTACCGCATTCTCCTGGGCATGGTTATCCAAAGCTTCCAGCAGCTCTCTGGTGCTAACTACTTCTTCTATTACGTATGTTACTCTGTTTGGATGCCCCTGGATCTGTGATTCAAAATATTTTTTTTTTGGAGTCTTATCATCCTAACTTTACTTCTTTTAGGGAACCACCATTTTCAAGGGTGCTGGCCTTTCGGACAGCTTCGTCACTCAGGTTATCCTCGGTGCAGTCAACTTTGGTACAACTTTCGGTGGCCTCTACATTGTGGAGAACTATGGACGTCGCAAGTGTCTCATCTTTGGGGCCCTGTGGATGTTCGTGATGTTCATGATTTTCGCCTCCCTGGGTCACTTTGTCTTGGATATCGACCATCCCGAGAACACCCCCGGCGCTGGCAAGGGTATGATTGTAGTCACTTGCTTCTTCATCGCTGCCTACGCTATGACCTGGGGCCCCATGGCCTGGGCCATCGTCGCCGAGCTCTTCCCCTCTAAGTACCGCGCCAAGGGTATGGCTCTCGCGACCGCCTCTAATTGGGCTTGGAACTTCCTCATCAGTTTCTTCACCACCTTCATCACCAGCTCTATTGACTTCGCTTATGGTTACGTCTTCGCTGGCTGTCTCCTTGTTGCTGCCGTCGTGGTCTTCTTCTTCGTCATCGAGGGCAAGGACCGCACTCTCGAGGAACTTGACTACATGTACGTCAACAAGGTCGCTCCCTGGAAGAGCAGCAAATTCGAAATCCCGCGCCGCGCTGAGTGGACTGGGGATGAGACTCTTTACGGTCGCAAGGAGCAAGAGATGTATCATGCCGAGAACGCATGAGCTTCTCAGCGCCCATCATCTTTTTGATGTTTTCTTTTCTTTTCTTCATTTTTCATTATAGAACGTGACATGTTTTCCATTTCTCCCACCTTTGGGAATTTTATTGCGCCATTTGATGGCCATGATGCATGATTTTTGCATGAACGAGATCGTCTTGGGCCTGGAGCTTTGAGTTGATTTTTTGTGCGGTCCAACCCGCCTGGATGTATTTTTAGATTTTCTATTATACCACTATTGCATTCAATAGAACCTTGAGCAAGCTCATTTCTTCAAACAAAGCCTTTGAATTCTCTAGTTCCTGTTTTAGGTTGCTTACTTACATCGTGGAGACTCAGCTCAGCTCGTACGGCTCAAGGGACTGAGTCTGAGGTGTGGAAATTTCCACATCAGGAAAATCGTCTCTACTCTTGCCTTAAACTCTACATATGGTATTATCAAGCTAACATTTGATTTGAAAACATATTGAAAAATGATATCAGTTTCTATAGCCACTGAGTACCCTGCAGCTTTTACTTTACCTTGATATCGTCTATTTTTATTCCTGGAGCTTTTTTCAAATCCGTGAGCTGCCCATCATTTTCAAAGAGTCTCTTGTCTATCTGATTGCTTCAAAAAAATGTTGATTGCAGAGCAGGGTGTGAGATAAAAGTGGTAAGAACAAGAAATACAGGCAGGTTTAAAAGCAAAAGTCACGTTATTTTCAGCAGTATGATCAAAAATATCATGCATGCTCCTTGAACGTTGAGTTTCAAAAAGCCATTTCAGCTTCGGAACCACATTTTTAAAGTATATTCAGAAAGATTACGGCGACGACGGAGAATTGATAGCAGACAGACATGATTCGTGTGCGATCAGTAACGGGCTCCGCTGGATGACCTCGGCAATCATAGGGCAGAACGATGGGGTCGAATGTGGTGTTTACGCTGACGCGGAGGTCAGTTTAGCGACAAGTTGGTCACCCAATGTCTTAATACTGTCCTCAAATGTCGCACTGCTCTCCGCATCCCAGTCGGCAGTCGATCCAGGAACAGCATCTTGGCCTGTAAACCCAATATAGAGGACGTCCTTATCTCCATGGCCATTGTCACCGGTGAGATTCTCATCGGGAAAGCATAGTTGGGCCAAAGAGATTGACGCCTCGCCTGTGGAAGTACCGCCGTTGGTGTCTCCCCAAACACCATAATGCTGATCACAAAACAACATTAGCAATCTAGAAGAGATCCTTAAATTTTAAGAAACACGACGGAAATCCCTTACCAGATTGCCATTGCAAACAACTGCCATAACACTCAGAGGCTCCATGCCGTACTGCTGTGGATCGAAGGAAGGGCTGGAGCCAGAGTTGCCAAAAACAACATAGGGGTGGATATTCGCATTCAAATCTGAAATGCCATACTGGCTAACTTCGTCTTTGAATGCAGTCTCGCCTTGTCCACTTGGATCATTTGAGCAAGCCCCCGCGCCATTGTCAGCACCGTCGCAATCGACGTCCATATCAGCATATGCACCGCCGTTGCCTTCGCTGTGGAGAAAAATGGCGCCGTCAAGGTCACCACAATAAGAGACATCCCTTCCAGAGCTTCCGTCGCTGAAGCCACCAGTAAGAATATCGTTGCAGGAGCCGGCCTGATAGAGTTCAGTATGAGTTTGCCTTATTAGTTAGTGAAGAAGCTTACTTTGTGAGCTTCATAGATTTGCTCCAACTCGGATGGCAGATCATACGCCGAAATTGCTCCAGCTAGGGCAAGCAACAGTAGATTAGAGGAATGCATTCTCGCGGTGTAGGGAGAATATGTAAATTATGTATTATTATTACCGAGAAAACCGGGGTAGCGAGAGGGTTTAAATAATCTCAATTCGAAGCCGTCGCAAACGACTTTCCTAGACAGGATTCTGGAGATCGCGGTGGAAGATATGCAGGGGTACATCTCAAGATTACTTCCTTGGCACTGCACCCCCAGGCATAAACATACATCATTTACCCTTTCGGGAAATTAGTCTTCAGTGTTCACTTCGGACAGGGTCCTTTCGACGGTGCATATGACTGCAGTCGGATCCACTGCGAGAAAACCTTTTTGGTAAAAGGTGTCGAGAATATTAATGCGTGAGCTAAGAGCGTCAATCGAAGGGGCATTTTCTATTTGAAAATTGCTGATCTTGGCAAAAAGGCGTCTGCGGGCGGGAAACAACTCGTGGGTACAGCAGATCGTCGCGCTTTCATCCTCGTTTCGCTGCAACCTCAGATGGGGCTAAATTCCTTTTTGATCAGCCGCTGAACTCGCTAGTGTTTCAAGTAGTAAGAGAGTGGTACAGCTGAGTGTCATCGAACTTTGGGAAATATTTTCCCTTTTTTTTCAAAACCAACAGACATGGTACAACAAATGGCCGTTCGACAAAACCACCGTAGCCTACGAAGGCGATGCCACTTTGGCAGGAAAATGGCCTCAAAATTACAGAGAATTTAGAGCATTCAAGATATTTGCAAATAACTATATTTTAAGGTAGACTCTGAAAGGTATTATTTCTCGCAATCTTCTTCTTTCGCAGGCATTCGAAGTAATTAAATAGTATAAATAACTTAATACAATCTAGACTTCAGCTATAATCGACCTCTAGAGTTTTTCAGAGAGGATTGAAATCCAAGGGTTTTTAATTCGCCATGGAACAAACATTAACATAGTCACTTCCCGTTCAGGAGGAAACCTTGATTATCTCCATTCAAGACCATGCTCGAAGGCTAGATAAATAAAAGAGAAACACTCGAGAACAAAGTCTTCTCCAACAGTGAAATTTTATGACCTAGGTATATTATATATGCGGGTGTCTATAGCTTTGGCCTGGTTGATGCACGAGTCGCTATATAACGATCCTTAATGCCCTTGTCTTGCTCTCGTGCCCGCAACATCCGACGCAGTATCTTTCCACTTGCGCTCTTCGGGATTTCTTTGAGCATTTCAACCTCTGTTATCCATTTGTGGCGAACTTTGTTCTTTTGCACATATTCGATGAGTTCCTGCAGCAAGTCCATAATCGCTTGTCTGTCTTTGCCTTGAAAAGCGTCCGACTTGAGTACGACGTACGCCTTAGGACGCTGACCGGTATACTCATCTGGAATCCCACCAACAGCCACATCCTCCACCATTGCATGCCCAAGAAGAAGATCCTCGAGCTCAGCTGGAGCAACCGCGATACCTTTGACTTTTATCATTTCTTTGATCCGATCGGTGATAGTGATGAAGCCCTCTTGGTCCATGTAGCCAACATCACCAGTATGAAGCCAGCCTTCAGAGTCGAAGGTTTCACTTGTTGCCTTTTCATTATTCAAGTAGCCCATTACGACTTGTGGGCCTCTCGCAAGAATCTCACCGGGCTCTCTGTAGCCAAGCTCCTTACCATTCTCTGGGTCTATGATCTTTACCTCTGTATTGGCGACAATAGTGCCTACTCGATGTGCGTACTCGTAGGTTGATTTTTCCAAAGGATGTGCAGTGATACAACTGCACGATTCGGTCATTCCGTATCCTTGTTTGAAGCCGGTGTGGGGAAATCGGCGCTTAAGCTCTTGAATAACCTCCATGGATAGTGGAGCTGCGCCGGATGAAAACTTCTGTATGTGTTGGAGATCGTACTTTTGAACAATTGGATCTCTCAGGAGCCTAATCAATATCGGTGGCACAAGTAAAAGCTCTGTTATTTGATATGCGACCACTGTTTGGAGCATAGCTTCCATTGTAAATGCAGGAAGCATGTAAACCTCTGCATTTCGCAGCACTGGAAGGTGCATCTGATGCACGAGACCAGTAACTTGATTCCAAAGACGTTATATTTCCAAATAAAATTCAAAGCTTGAGCAGCAGGAGACTTACTATGAAATAGTGGAAGCACTGCAAGGACTTTTCTGTTATTCTTCGAGGTAAGTTGTTCCACCTGCATACACTGTGCAATTACGTTGTGGTGCGCTATCATCACCTGTACTCGTATTAAGACCTGGAACTATAACCTTAGTCCGTCCTTAATTACTTACAGCTTTAGGCAAACCGGTTGTTCCACTGCTGAAACTGAGAAATCCGCATGTCTTTTTATTTGTTCCACCCATGGGAATCTTGAATGGTGCAACTTGGCCATCTTTGCCTAATTTCTTTCCAAAATTCAAAAGATCCTTAATGTTTGTGAAGCCATCTTGACTTCCTTCAAGGAGAATGATCCTATCCTGGGGTATTCCTGCATTTCGGGCCGCAGGTACTGCAACAGAGAGAGAAGATGGTGCCGTCATCAAAACTTTTGCCTGTGCAGTCTTCAGTGCATATGTCATTTCTTCAACATTGTAGGCTGGAGAGGCCCCTGATATTATGCCACCTATGATAAACAATCCAATGAGCACATTGACAAATCATTTCATAGGACATTTTATGGGAATTTAAACCGCTTACCAATCCGATTGGTTGCAAACATCGCAATTGGATACCAAACAGTGTTCGGACTGAAAAGAGCCACAGTCTGACCAGCGGACAGACCAAATTTCTTCACCAGTGCTGTCGAAATGTACGTTGCATACTCTTTGACCTCATCATATCTTACTCGCTCCTTCGTGGCGGCATTAGTAAAGCCTCCCAGACCTGAAGTCCCATGCTGATAAAGTGGCGACGTTGGTGAATCGAAGAGCCATTGCCATAGACTAATGTCTTCGGGGACTAGAAATTGACATTTTCATCAATACAATCTCTCTAAAATTATGAAAGGGGTACTGGCCAGCTCTTACTTGAAAGGCTTGGTTGCTGAGATGTGAAAATCATCTTGAAATCGAGGCCGTATGGCACGGTTTTGCGAACAGGCTACTCAACTAGTGTTCTATGCGAAGCTGAAATTGGACGTAGTGTAGGTGGAAAGAGAGCGAGATGCTGCCAACTCCTGTAGAGATCTGGGGATCAATTAATTATATGTCCTTCCCACCTTTGTAATTAATGATGTATGAGCGGGGCTCCCCTCCATCAAGCCAAAATGCGGGGAAAGCGGCTACCTGGAGTGGGGGTCAATTGTTTGTGAATGTACTTCCCCTAAAGAGTCTTTTTCGGACCTCGGCTTTAGGCTCAAGCTTTCCTAGTAGTGTGGGGGCTACTACTGGCAGTCAAAAATGTAGAACTTACAAAATACGCAATCCCAGTCTTGTCAACAAAAGGGGAGCAGTCTTCACAGAAGTCACTTCAATATCACTTTCTGGTTCGATCGGCCCGGTACTCCTAGTACTTACTTCTAGTATATATAGATATAGTGGAGAATTTAAAAGCCCCAGTATTATACACCCTGAGGAATAGCGAAACTTAAATATCTTAATACTATTTTATTCTTTTTTCTTTAAAATTTGATACTAGAAGTACGTTCTTATCCAAATACTAAATTTTTTTATTGTATGACATTAGTATAAATTTAGAAGAGAGAGAAGCTAATATAGTAGTTCTTCTAATTCGGACAAAAAATAAATACGTAGTAAGTAGGTCTATATTCTAACAGTCAGCGGAATCTAATAACTATTTAATTTGAGATAGCTTTGAATAGCTATAGTATACAGCATAATAGTCTAATTAACAAATATAAATATATTTCAGAAAAAATCAACCCTGGGAGCGCTCGTGTGCTGAATCACATTATGGGCCCTTTTCCAAACTAATCTGATTCCATGATTTTCTCCTACTTTTTCTGCCTCAAGACACGGCTTTGATACTACTGCAAAATATCTCGAAGCACTCACTTAAGCGAATGAACACCGAGTCATCTTTGCCCATGGTGACTTCAAAGTCCATAATATCCTCATCGGAGAAGATGGCCATCTGTCGAGATCCCTCGACTGAGACTCGGCCGGATGGTTATCAGAGTATTGGGATTTACTACTGCAATGATGTTTGGAATGAACAGTTGGTGGTTTCATGTTGCCTTGTGGATGGGTGGAGATGATTAGGATCTAGAATTGTGATGCGACAAGGCATTGAACTCAATGACCGTTGACCTACATAGCCTTTTAGCAGAGCCCGGCAGTTTCAAGTGATGCCAATTGAAACGGTCGAAATTCCATACTATCCAAGCGTTATATTTAGTCCGATGCTATGCAGAAATATCTACAATAGATACAATAGAGCAACAACACGTTCAAAACCCGTCTCCTTCAATGTTGAATGAGCAGATATGACCAACAGAAGGTGCTGATATCTTAGACAACACATTTATTGCGAGGCTGGTTATTATTGGCAGCGCCCTGCTGATTTGCATTGCCGAGCACAAAGTATCCCTCCTCCACTGCAGAGATATCGCGGCAACAAACAATTTGGTTGACTTTGAGTTTTTGAAGGATTTCTAAAAGCCAGACACGGCAGCTCACATTGGGCATGCTGTCAACATCATTATTATGAAATTCATGATATAGTTGAGTAGGCTCTGTTTCTGCAATGGCACGGTTGCAATTTGAACGAGAACACACTGAAAGTTTGACTTGAAAACTCCTTTAGTTGGGTCATGGTCGCGCGTCCATCGAGCGCTCATATTTTGATGTGGAATTTGAGACCGCCAGTGTTGTTGGGGTTGAAGTAATAGCCCCAATGAAAGTCGGAAGCTACTCAAAGAACTAAAAAGTCTTGCAGTATCCAGTCATAGGGCACAGTGTACTACTCGTTAGGGTGGTGGTCTATCCGTTGAGTAAGAATCAGATGGAATGATTGAATAGAGTAGCATTAAATTGGAATAACGGACATTTCTTTTACGACCCGGTAACTAAGATCTTGAGATTCGGTTTTATAGGGCGATATGCCTTGTTGGATGATAGATAATGACGAACTAAAGAAAATAACTAATTCGGTAGTCATTTGCACTGTGATTAAAACATTTTGAGCCGGTATTCAGCTCTCTGTGCTAGAGCTACATCACATCTTGCCCGTTCGGTAACACCATGGACTTCCGCTATAGATGTGTGTGTATTAGGGAATAGAATCACCAGTTGCTCTTATAATTTCGGCGTAGAGAGTGAATAGCAGACGTGGGTTTTTCGTGCCCAAGGGAAAATTTGTTGGGTCTGTGTTGCTCAGGTTGTTCCGAAGTTTCCCAAAATGACTATTTGGACTTGACCGCTGTATGACATCAATACTGGATCTTCGTATCCGCGTGGGCTTGTTCGAATCTCGCCACAACTGGGCAGAGAATTGATTCGATGTCCTTGGGTCAAATGGGCCTGGCATATCCTCCAGTCTGGTGTTCCCTGGTTCCTTCACGTTCATCCACACAGAGGCACCCGGGAACAGACTCGCCAACATGAGTGTCACATCGGAAAACGCAATGCCAAGATAAACGGCGCATGTACAGATCAACCCAATCCAAAATGCTTTATGTGATCGAATGCAGCTTCGAGAGAGCTCTCTATACACAGCGATCGCGTCGAGCCACGGGTTTCTGGATGCCAACTGCTGCCGACGCATGTTTTGAAAGTCGACAGACCGTACCGTTTGGGTTTGCTCATTGGTCCGCTGCATCATCTCGTACGACAGTAGCATAACGGCTGGACTGTATGTCACCCGGTCGAGCTTCGCCGCCGCTAGCGTAAAAGCACCAACTGCCGCAACCGTTGGGGTCTCGCAACAACACAGCTCGAGGACACACCATGGTCGCTGAAGGACCATCAACAACGATTCCAAAGTGTTGTTCTGTCCGAGGACGCAGTGCTTGGAATATCTTGTTGCGTTGATCAGAAACCAAGGCAGATCATCATAGGGCTCGACGGCGGCATCGTTGCGGTGTTGACGGCACGGGAAAGGCAGGGAGGTGAGATCAGGTAACAGGTTGTTGCTGAGGAAGGTCAGAATAGGGAGTTTGTCTGCAACCACAGAGGCCGCTTCTTCAAGCTCCTGAAGAATATTTCGCTCAAGTCCATTGTTCCTCCATGACGGGGGGAATGCAACGATCGAATAGATTGCAAAGGCATCTGCTAAACCTACCCCGCCGCCAACATCATAGGATGCGCAAACTTTCGCAGGGGTTGGGCCCTCGTCCTCCTGGAAAGAGGGGCTCATGAATCTTCTCGAGTCGACAGAATCATCATCAACATCTGCAAGCGACAGATGGCTGCTCAAACGTAGTTGTCAGCGTTCCAGCGCGAAAGTGGCAACGCCCGGAGCTGTTGGATTGTGATGACTTTATGCCTCAGGCATTCTATGATTACCTTTTGGAGTAAATTATTGATGATGTAAGCATTCGGAGCCTCAGGCCTTAAGGGTAACTGCAAAATACCTAGACTCCTGCCTTTATTTTTTTTACTTTGGTTGTCACTATTTTTCTAAAAAGAGGTAACTCTAGTAAATTAATACTAAATAAGTACTTTAGTACCCCTGGCCGTCGGAGCAGATCTCTGCTCAATAAAGCCGACCGATCGCCAATGGCTGAATTGTCTACGGCCGATTGGCATGACTAGCTTTTGATCATAGATCAGAGAATATAATCACGAAGTTAATCAGCTTTGTTTTCCTCTTCGTCTTTTTTCTCCTTTAGTGTTCTATTTCAGTGCCCCTTGTCTCCCGTCCATGTTTTATTGATCCAATTGAATCTCGTCGATCGGCTTCGAGATACATTATTGTTTTCAACGAAACTTTTCGCCCAATTTAGCTCGCACTCATATATTTTATATTCAGAATCTTGGACGAAATCATGATAGTTGAACTATACTACCTTTTTCTACGACCTAAACCCTACTTATACTGGGTATGGGAAAGAGCAATGATCATTGCAACCTGAGTATTTGCGCAGTTAACCAGCCAAATTGTAAAGAAACCCCCAATTGAGAATCTCACGTAAGATCAACACGAGTACAGAATAATCAAGCTGCATTTATGGAGCCCCGATGTGCAGAGAGAGCAGAAAAAGCAAAAACCACCTCAATGTGATCGGCCTAGCACTAAACCATAAGCAGGTGGGGCCAACGCACAGTCTCCTGACCTGAAGACTTGTTGAGAACTTCCTCGGTGACGAGGGAAAAAATAGCTTTATGAAAGCTTGACTGCTATCGCACGAATCCTGGCCCCAAACTCTGGTCCCAGAGCCTCTAGGCTGCCATGGATGGATTCAAACCGGCATTGTACGCCCTGAAGATTCTAAGCCTCGCTGGGCTTGTACAGTCTAGTGAAAGCTTTCCAGCCCCTTTCGCAGATGCTCATGCTGAGCTCAAGGTTGACGATGGAGTCACATTCGACCCGCTTGGCGTTGCCGCGATTCTATACAACCCGCGCGCCGATCGAAGCACCGCGAGACTCTATACGCAGTATGATAGGAGTCTTTTTACCTGGCCACACATGACCATGATCGGGGGAACTCTTCCACCAATGCAAATGCTTGTCGAGCGGCTCACGGCGCCGTTCAAATGGATCCATCCAGCGATCAAAATGTGCACCAAAGATACCACGATGCTTCCCATTCGATCGGATGTATCTGGTAATGTTTTTCGCCAGCTGCCATTTAACCTCAGCAATACCTGGCTGAGCGACATAATCTTTTTGAGCCCTCCTCGCACCCGGGTAACGACTTTGCCATCGTTTATGTTGATGCCATGCATAACTCGACTAAAAAGCCCGGGGATCCGGCGAGCAACGATGAACACGAATTTATCCGCTCCCATATAGGCAGCATTCGCTGGCGAGCGGGTAAATGGACATTGAACCTCCTTTGCCTGATTAACGGCTTATCAGTCGTTGCGGGAATGATTTTTGGAATTCTCGTGGCTGATATTTGGGCTTTCACGCTTTTCTTGCTATACAGCTGCCACTGGGGAGCATCGGTGGGAATTTCTTTGACGCCAATGGTCACAGAGCACATCCCTGCTCGTATCGACCCGAACTCTAATGATCGCTTTGCCGTCTACGAGCGAGAAGAAGGCGGAACCGTCATTTTTAAGGGCGCGCAGAGTACACTGGAGACATGGGCGCGTTCAACGTGGGAATACAACCCCACCCGAGGCAAGGACAGTCTTCACTGGCTTTGGATTATCACTGGAACTCTTTCTGCTATTGCCTCGGTTGCATGTATGGTTAACATGCATGGTTCCATGCAGCTTGCCTTCTTGGGGATTCTCGTCTTTGCAACAGTGGCCGAAATTGGAGCCACTCGAATTGCACGAATCTTGCAGACCAAAGCCCGCGGCCCGATCCCCAAGGCCTTTGTTCGAGGAAACTCCACCCGCTCTATGGCTATCATCAGGGCCACTGTTGGTGTCGATCAAAAATGTCGTTTGACGGGCTTGGACTGGATCTCTATGGGGCTCCTTCCGGACATGCCAGTGTTTCAAGAGATGCAGGTTCTTCTTAAGGACATCGGCGAGATTGACGGAGATCGCAAAGGTGAAATGCCACCGTTAGTGGGCGACTCGCGCGATGCCGCGATTCAATCCAAATGCTCGGAGTTCCTTCGCAGTGTGGATGACAAGGATCACAATCGCTTAGGACTAGGCAAACGAATACTGAAAGAAGTATACGAAACACTGAAATTAGATTATGAACTACTGCCAGAGCTTTGAAGTTTTGGTTGGATATTTTTGAACCCAATCTCTCTTCCACCTCGTGCTCTTCTGCCATCACGCATTTTGACCAATGTCACGAGCGGTGGGAACGGAGCAAGAAAGAAAGATTACTGTAATCTTGGCGTATATCATCGAAGGGAAAGACGAGATCTGGCATTGAACAGATAGGAATGAACAGATAGGAGAGCTCTCAGCACTTCTAAATAGAAACAACTAATTTCTGGCCACTCACGCCTTGGCGGACGAGGTCAAGGCCCTTCGATATCCCATCCAGACCTTGACCAACATTTCGTGCTGGCAATGGCAGTTTATAACGGTGCTCGCCCAAGAGCTGCTGCAGAGATCGCATGATTAACTGATTCCCAGGAAGTTGAGGAAGGTCTCGTCCCCTGAACAGGACGGAATGCACATTTTTTGGAGCCTCAATTTCTTTGTCGCCCGTCCATACTTGGGCATAGATGCATGGGCCCTCAGGGTCAAGGGCCTGGAACACGTCCTGTTGCAGGCTTCCAGCCCCGACGGCATCGACGATGGCATCGACGCCTCTGTTATTGAGAGTGGTGGACTTCGCATCCGCGACCAGCGATATCGAATCTCGGGCAATCGCGGCATTTGCGCCAAGATGATGCGTCAGAAGATCATGATGTCTCGATGAGCTGGTGGCCAGGATTTTGCAGGTTGGCAGTGCGAGACGCAGCAGCTGTATGGTTGCGGCGCCAACAGCAGAGCTTCCACCGAGCACGAGAACCGACGACAGTTGTACACCCGACGTCGGACCCCCTTCGAGGAATGGAAGGGGTATTTTCAGTCCAATTCCGAGAGCCATGATGCCTGTGAGATAGCAGGTTCTATGTAAAACAAGAGCCAATCCGTTAGTAAAGATCACGATGACACTGGCAAAAAAGGACAAGATTGGGTGAACTATGGCTCACCCCATGGTCGAAGCCTCCTCGAACGACCATTCCTGTGGGATTTTGGCCACGTTTCTTTCCTGTACTACGGCCCGTTCTTGAAACGATGCCGACCGATCGCCAGGTGTGAACAGCGCGAGCACTCGATCTCCGATCGCGAAGTTGTCCACCTGGTCCCCGACCTTTTCAATCACCCCGGCACCATCGTGACCCGGAACCAGTGGCCATGCAGCGACTCGATGACCCTGATCGATCATCTTATGGTCGGCTGGGTTGATCGCAACAGCTTTCAGTCGAATGACAACTTCGTTTGGCTCCAGCGTATCAGACATCGTAGCCCGAGTCGCCTGGAGGGCACCGCCTCTCTCTGTCACGAGATACTTGGTATTCGGAAAGACCATATTGCAGATGACTATTTGCTCGGCATGCGATCCATCAGTCTTCGGCACTTCGCCGGAATATGTGGTTTTGGAGCTCGTTCGTGTCTCTTACCCGTCCACGTCGGTGGTTGTCTCCGCAGCAACCAGTGTGTCGGCTTCACCAGCGAATGCCCGCTCGCACCTCCTTTCGGTCGAACTTCTTGCTGATCAAAACTGCACGAGGCAAATGGATGAACCTGCTGAGCATAACCCGCGTGCGGCGATCCCATTGCCTTTTAAAGGAGCGGACGTGAGGATGATCTGATTCGCATGACGGAGTTAAGAGCTCCATCCCGGGGTTTCGACCGATCAGGGGTTCAGTTCGGAGAAAGGTATCATGCATAGTTCGCCTCGGCCAAGGGAGTTGTTGAGTGCGAATTTCTGTCCCCAGCAAGGACTGTCGAGGGCACTGTTGAGAGCACTGTCGAGACGTACTGTCAAGAGCACTGTTCTGGGCCAATTCCAGATGCCGGGCTTTTTGCCCTTGGGCCTTGGCCCTGTCGACCGTGTGTCATTCTGTCGCCCGTTCGCGGCACCGAACAGGGACAGACCTGTCGTGTTTGAGTTCTGATGGCGCCTCGTGTCTGGTGGTCGTGTCTAATAGGCTTCGTGTTGCCTCTTGCATCGACCCCCATTGTCGGGCGGCAGATGGACTTTGCGCCGGATAGTGAGATGCCGGTGTGTGTGCACACTGCATATTGCATATGGCATATTGCACATTGCCACGATGGAGGCAAAAAGCAAAAGCAAAGGGGCAAAAGGGGAGGAACCCAAACAGAAACGCCGGGCATCTTCGGCTTGAATGCAAATGGCAAGTCGCAAGTGGCACAGACCGAATGGCTCCCGTTCGAGGGTGGAGTAACCCCAATCCGACAGGAAGAACAGGATTTCTTTAGTGGTTGAGTGGTTGAGTTGTTTGGGTTGTTTCAGAAGTCTCATAGATTCATAGATTCATAGATTCATGGCTTCATAGCTTCATAGATTCATCGCTTGAGAATCACCCGGAGAACAGGCGCGTCCCATTTATTCTGCTGCAAACGAGTGGACTGAAATCCTCGGAATAATCAGAAGAATCCTCGCAATTAACCCTCCTCCTGCTAATATGCTAATCCATAATCCTCTATGCCTCCTGCTCCTGCTTTATCCTGTTTTCTCCTGCTGTCTCCTCCGGCGCCGGGTTCCCGCGTCTTGATGGGTCCGTTGGCTCGGCAATTTTCACCCGCATTGACACTTTCATACTGGCGACGTGCTCGCTTCGCGTTCTAGAGGGGCGTACAGGGGCGTCCAGGGTCGTCCCCCCTCTCTCCACTTGCAACGTCTCGGTCTGGCCCACGGGTCCACTGGTCCATTGGTCCAGTGTTTTGCCCACGCCGGGAGCTCTAGAACGTCGGGTCCCCGCTAATATTACCCTGTCTCTCTCGCCTTCTTTCGATTGTGATGTACCCGGTAGCTCGGTCTGTAACCAAAAAAAAAAAAACTAACCCCAAAAATAACTAACTATACCCTCCTTCGCCTTCTTCTTCACGACTGCGCTGTCTGCTCTGTGACTTTCGATTTCCTCAATGTCCAGTCGCCCGGCCGCTGCTCGACTCTGGCTGTGAAGCAACACGACCCATGAGCGAAGCCGGACTGGCTGTGGTCGGATGCGCATCCCAATCGCGGTGCAGCTGGCGCTGCTGGTGCTCCTGACAACACTGGTGAGCATCGCGGTGCTTGCGGTAGCAACAGTAAGTGACCGACCCGCCCAAGAGACAAGGAGTGCTCGAAAAGAAAAATTTATACAGAAAAAAAGAGAGAGAGAGAGAGAGAGAAAAAAAAAACTAACGCCAGGCAATCCTAGTGGGTAACAACATATGATTTCATCGTGGATGTCGAGTAGGTGCCTTCCCTTCAAACGACAACCATTACCATCATCATCACGACCAGCATGACCCCCATAACCACCACCACCACCACCCCCGGTTGGATCCGCTAATTGATTGACAGGGGACAGAGCCTTCGCCTCGTCGCAAACATCAAGGCCAGTCAAATCGCCTCGAGCCTCGAACTCGTGGAGGTGACCTGCAAAACCATCTCGACGCGACTGTTGATCCAAGCGGCCCTCAAACGATACAACGAGGGCAACCGGTCCGCCACAAACTGGGGCACTTCCATCAGCGATCTGCAATCGGCCCTGGGTAGCCGGGGCTATCTGAGTCTCTACCAGGCCGTGCTCTATTCGAGTACGGGAGAAGGAGGCGATGAAAGGATTCTCAATGTGACCAGCGATACCATTCCAGACATCACCTTGCCGTATACTTATGCCAATGGAAGTGCAGCCAAGCTGGGTCAGGGGAGTCTCGGGTACCCATCCGCGCTGTATCCCAACATCACCTACCATACCTCGTCCGATGGATCGAGCGTGGCGCTGGCCTTCCCTGAATATTACCTTGACCGGGACACAACGCTGTTGTTGGGCCCGCTCTGGATCAACAATTCATTCTCGCTGATGTCCTTGACCTTGCCGATTATCAACAACACGTCAAGCACCGACATTCTAGCGTTCATGACGTATGTGTGATTTCCCGGCCCCTGACTGCTTTTCAAGGAGTTCTAATGTTCTGGTCTCGTCTATTCGCGTTTGAGTGATGCTAATAATCATTGACAGCGTCCTTGCCAGTGCAGAAACAGTCCAGGATGTGGTCAGTTCTCGCAGCGGCCTGGACAATTCGGGGCAGGTCCTATTGCTCGGCCCCTCTCGGCCGGAGAATACCTTTGCCTCAACCGCGCAGCCTGCGACGGCCACCTCATCTCCGGATGCATCGGCCTTGTCTGCTGCAGAAGTTCATTACGTGTTTGAACCGACCGCGCTCCCAGATCAAGCGAACCGACACCAGGGCATCTCCACCAGTACCTCTTTCCCCCTCTCCCGATACCCAGCTGCCTTGAAAATCATGCTAGAGCCCTGGGGGAGACAAAATGCATCCATCAGTGATCTCTCAACGAAGAATGAGGAAGATGCAAACGTTGCCGTTGGAGTCATTCGACCCCAGACCTCCTTGGCTCAATGGATTCTCATCATCGAAGAAAATCATACGGAAGCCTACAGCTCGGTATATCGCTTACGAAAGATAATTCTTGCGTGTGTCTTTGGAACGGCAGGGACCATCATCCTCCTAGTGCCGTTGCTCATGCACTGGGCAGTGGCACCTCTTCGACGATTGCGAGAGGCGGCGCAGAAGTCTGTTGCTCATCAGCTTCCACCGACCCAAGCCCAGCAAAGAAACAACCTCAATTCAGAGAATTCGGGCTTCAGTCTCGATGAGGCCACGGCCGCCGAGGAACCGATGAATGAAAAGGGACCTTCAGCTCTGTGGATCAAACATCTCCGACGACCGCTCGAGAGACTAAACAGCTCTGTCAAACCGATCAATGCGGCTGGTCACCAGAGAATATTCCAAATCCCTGGAAGAGTCCAGGAGCGACGGCATTGTATTACCGATGAGCTGACTGAACTGACGAGGACCTTTAATGAGATGTCCGATGAGCTGACGATCCAGTACAATCGCTTGGAGGAACGGGTGGCGGAAAGAACCCGAGAGCTAGAAAAGGCAAAACTGGCAGCCGAGACAGCAAACGAAAGCAAGACACTCTTCATCGCGAATATTTCCCACGAGCTGAAAACACCCCTGAATGGAATATTGGGTATGTGTGCTGTGTGTATGGGAGAAGAGGACCTGGCTCGCATCAAAAAAGTCGCTCCAGGTCGTTTATCAATCTGGCGACCTATTGCTTCATCTCCTCAATGATTTGTTGACCTTTAGTAAGAACCAAATTGACCAAGCTATCCAACTCGAGGAGAAAGAATTCAAGCTGTCCGACATTCGATCACAAATAAGCACCATCTTCCAGAACCAGGTGCATGAAAAAAGGATTGATTTCAGCGTCTACTGCCTCGGTGGAGACTCCATTCAGCCCGCCAATCATCCTTTGTGTCTCGACAGAACCCATGCGCAGCCTGCAATGGGCTATGATGCATCGCAACATGCGAGAAATTTTGATATGGTCCTTCGGGGCGACCAACACCGCATTCTTCAAGTGCTGATCAATCTGGTTAGCAATGGCCTGAAATTCACCCCCGAGAACGGAAAGGTGGAGGTTCGGATTCGCTGTCTCGGCGAGATACCAAATTCAGACTCAAAAGATTCCACGTCGATTCATCGCCAAAGCAGTAAAGAGATCTCGTGCGTTCAGACGGATATTTACCAGCCAAGAAGAATGTCTCTCGAGAGACCAGACACTTCAACCAGTGGTGCCGGAGCAGACGGGACGCAAGTGCATCCTAGTCCACAAATATTGATGTTTCAATTCGAGGTCGAGGATAATGGACCTGGCATTGCGCCGGGTTCACAGAGGCGTATATTTGACCCATTCGTACAGGGAGATCTTGGTCTGAATCGCAAGTATGGAGGGACTGGCCTCGGGTTGAGCATCTGTGCCCAATTATCCCGAATTATGGGGGGCGTCATTACCCTTGACAGTGAAGAGGGCAAAGGTTCTATGTTTACACTCAAGATTCCGTTGAAATTTGTGAAGGAGGTGCCTCCCAGCACTCACAATTCCAGTGCCCCTGGATCCCGCACTCCGAGTGTATTGTCGTTGGAGGAGTTTTCGACTGCTGCACGAACACCGTCAAATCATGGCTCACTTCGAAACGAATCCATCGCGCCGGGATTCGAGAAGTCAGATATTCAGCCCCGCCTGATTGGGCTGAGCCAGCCATTCTTTGCGCCTACAGTTCCCTCCCCTTCATCATCACCATCGAGAAGTCCAGGGATGAAGACTGCGGATGACAGAGGTTCAAGCAAGAAACGTGTGCTGGTAGCAGAAGACAATACGGTCAACCAAGAAGTTGTTCGACGGTAAGTCCAAAATTGCGAAATTGAAAAAGAAAGAAAAAAATTCTCATTTGTCTGGTTACTTACGACTCCAAAGAATGCTGGCTCTCGAAGAAGTCTACGACGTGACCATCGTCAAGGATGGTCAGGAGGCCTTCGACACCGTCAAATTGAATATGGAAAAGGGCACCGTCTTCGATCTAATTTTCATGGACATCCAGGTAAGTATTCCTCAAATCTTTAGGTTTTGGAGGGCCTTCTAATAGGATTCAGATGCCCAATCTCGATGGACTTCAAAGTACGCGTCTCATTCGGGAAATGGGATACTCAGCACCTATTATTGCACTGAGCGCATTTGCCGAAGAAAGCAACATCAAAGACTGCATGGACTGCGGCATGGACATGTTTATCAGGTGAATAAAAGAACTTTTGATGAAAAAGACGAAATCCACGCTAACTATGATAGTAAACCCATTCGACGTCCGGCCTTGAAACAGGTGCTCAACAAATTTGCCACCATCCCCGAGGAGTTTGAGACGGGGTCATCCTAATGTTTTAGTGTATATATTGGATATGAGAGGCGGGGAATATAAACAGTTGTAATATGTAACCTTCATCCTGATTACTTTTATCCACCCTCAAAAAAAAAGAAAAAAAAGAGAGAGAGAATCAACCAAAAGAAACTGGATAATACCAGCGCAAACTGAAGATTTTTATTCGGGCTGGGAAGTATCGTACATGATTCTAGATGCTCGACGAGTCCTATCAGACAGCTCTGTTAATCCTCCACCTTTATCTTGCTACCTTAAAAGCTTATATTTGACCGCGGTCATAAATTTTTTTCTGTCAGACTTTGGGAAAATTTCTCGAAAACCTGCGATATGTTTTTAAATTAAATGTTGCCCTCTGATGTTACCCATGCAAGCGTTGGGCCTTAGATTGTCGTGGCATATCCACATCAAGGTTTTTTTGAATGCTGTGTTCCTCAGCAGTTATTTCTCAGAATAGGCATTCTTTCAGTGATAGGCTAGTCGGTATTTATTGATGTTGGCCACGATATTTAGGGATAATGTTAACTCATGTAAACGCTGTTGACTTGGACCATTTATGATGACTCCATGGAACTATTCAACTTCATGGATTTTCTCAGTCTCCCGAGCTCGTGCAGTCTGATCGGAACTATTACTCTCCCTGGCAATTCCGATGGATATCGTGATCGCTGTATACACACATTTTCCAGAGACCCATGTAAATTCGAGGTGGAGCCAGTGCCGACGTTGTCGACTTTTAAAGAAGGCGCCATGGGAAATGTAGACAGTCTCCGGTGGCGAGTAAAGGCCGTGGAAATACCCGACTCAGACCCTGCAGGAGTCTGTGATGATACTGGGGATTGATTTACAAGGGATTGCGATATTGGCGAAGGGGAACCTCTGCTGGCATCAGTTTGTGGAGAACCCGCCGGTACAGAGCCGGAGAAGTTGAACTGAGTGGGGAGCTCGGTTGGTGAGGAATCTGAGTATAAAAAATTTAGTCTTGAACCTAGCATGATCACGGGGAACTGTACCATGCATTTCGTAAACTGCGTCTCCCCCGGATTCGACTGTTCGTGGAGATACGGAAGTCATAAATGAACTCTGCATCGTTTCCACGTCGGTGGAAAGAGAAACTGGTCCAGGTCTAGGAGAGGTCGGTCCAGGCGAAGCTGACCCGACATCTGTAGAAGGCTTAGCAACGGCCTTAGCCATTTGATTGTTCTCGAGTTGCTCTTGACTGGGTTTCCGACGATAAATCCAGAATCCAATCACAAGCCCAATACCGAGTAGACCACAGGGAACGCCAATTACCGCGCCAGCCCAAGAAGGAACGCCATCGCCTTTTGTGCCTGATGTTATAGTGCTGGAGTCATTGATATAAGGCCAATAAGTGGTGATGGGTTTCGTATATGTCGTGTTGAAGATACCAGCCAGAGAGCTATTTGTCCACTCTGCAGGAGCGATAGTTGTAGCACCCCCGGAGGAACTGCAGACGCTGTTAGATCCTCCAGGTTTCCACGGCGGTCCTCGGATCTGCAATTTACTTACCTCCCTCCGATTTGCGCGGTCACTAGATCTGGTACTTTGTAATCGCTCCATAGAGATGGGTCATAGCTGTTCTGAAAACTGAGGGTGTTGAGGTTGAAGTCGGCAATCATTCCTCCCTCAAGGCATTTGGTTGGATCCGTATTCTGTCCGCCCAATGTCAACATTTGGTCTGGATATACTTTGATACATCGATGTCCGCTACGACCGTGCGAAGCACTTCCGTTATATGCCTTAATCCACTTGAAAGCCGGCAGGGACAGGATAAAGACGTCGTCTGATGGATTGGATTCATAGTCAATACCGTTGTACCCGCCATAGATATAGATATTATGGGATGAGCCATCCGATGCGCTGGCCAGCACAGAGCAAAACTGCGTTAGTTGGGGCGGCGTGTCTCCGGTCGTGTTTTGGAGATACCACTTTCGGCTCTCAATGTCATAGACTGAGACTGTCTCCATAAAGGTGGGACTAATCTTCTTGCTGAGTGCCGTCTGCGATGCATTCAGCCCGATATCCCGCCACATTTCTACGGGGTCCACCACTCCCCCGATGGCAACCAACCCTCCAGAAGTGGAGACCGGCACCCAGATGAGCTCAGCATTGGCCCGGCCTTGGACATAGTATGGCAATGAATCATTGGTCCACTTTGAATCGCGCAGTACTGACATGTCTACCGTGATCAATGTATCGGCCGTCACGTTTGAGTCCCTTCCGTCGTATGTGAAAGCGCCCCAGTCCGCTGCGCGCATTCCGCTGAAGTAAAAGCCCAGATTCTCATCTGGTACGGATACACCAGCACCATTGGTAATATACCGAGTGACATTGCTTGATAAAGTCTCGACATTCCAGCCCAGTTCCCCGCTGGACCGGTGCGGGCCGTATTGGTAGGCTTCGTAGCTCAGAACTTGACTGCTAGAGGGTGCTTCTGTGCTGTTGGTCAATCGCAGCATGCCGCTAACAGAATTCGCGATCATTAGTCTCGAGAATGGTTCGTCTTCTCCCCGTCTTCTCTAGATTGTCACGAACCCGTAGAGATGGAAATCATCCTTATTGGCAAACATGACCCCGTCAACATAGTTTGGAGCAATGTTATTGGCCGCTCCTCCCGCTATGGAGGTGTTCTTGATAAGGGCCATGAAATTGGAGCTAGTGTTAAAAGAGGTGGTCAAATTGAGCGAATAGATATACCCTTCGACATTGCCTGTTCCTGGTGAGCCCTATCTTTAGCGAGGATGTAGCGAAGGTAGAAACAGTCCCGTACCATCATTTAGGTAGTTAGCACAACCATCGGAGAACCCTCTGTAATGATTAGCCGCGCTCCCCACCCTCTGTCGTTTCCATGCTTACTGTTGGAGCCATAACTGCCCGCCATCGAGATATATTATATCACGGAGAATATTCGCTATCAACATTAGCCGAGCACAGCAAGCTTCATGACCGTTTCGACAATACTCTTACCCCGTAATCCTTGCCAGTTACACATCGAGATATTGATTTGTGTCTGCCATGAAGCACAACTGCCCCACGTACCCTCAATCGCGGCCACCAGGGTCAGGATCGCTGCTCCCAGAGATACCATGGTCGATCAACAAGATTGTGACCGCGATCATCTCCGACGACAGAGTCGACTCCAGCAGAATATGGGAAACCTGTTTGAAGAGAAAGGAGGAGTGGGCAACGACGTGGCTTTGTCCGTCACCCTGTTCTTTGTCGCTTTCACCAAGCTTGTACGGCACTGCTCCACCCTCGTGCCCTCATTCGATGTGATGCATGAAAGCTCGAATGCACAGCCCCGGATTGGCTGGAGACGAGTCCGATCGCTCTCACTATTACTCGCTATGACTTTTTATTGCTCGCAATTTCCACCGTATTCCAGGATCGTATACGCAAAGCAGCCGTATACCGGTTCTATAATCGCGACAGTCGCCCATCCAAGTCATTCGATAAGCCCTCAAGAAACGACATGGACTGCTTGATGATGATAAAAAACAAACCCGAGCAGTACAAAGTCCAGCTCGTGTTCTGGGCTGACCTTTCAATCTACAGATAAACTGGAGGACGTCTTCTGGGGCAAATGCGGGTGCACTAGCCGGCCTCGCTAGACTGGAGGCTTCTCACTATGGTTGCCGAGGTCTTTGTTTCGGAATTCTTTATTCGAAAGCCACAGTATTTCTGGCAGCTTCAAAAGTCCCCTGTAGTGCCGGGCCATGGACATGTCTTTCGGGGTCTTGGATCAAAGTAGTCGGGACGTGATTTCTTCCGCACACTTCATCCTCGTCGTGCGCTCTGCTCTGCTCTCTTTTGACGTTATACAGCTTCAGGATTAACCAAAGCTTCAATTGTTGACCTATCACAATGAAAGTTTCGGTCACTACTATCTCGGTGCTGATGCTCTCCGTGGTCGGTTTAGAAACGGCTTCTTGTGCACTGACTGCCCCTGGCACACTCTCGACAGTGCCAGTGACGAGCCCCGATGGATGTGAAGCAATCGCAGTCACAGCTACAGTCACGATATGCATGACGTTTTCACTCGGGGAAATGGAGAAAAGTACTCAGACTTTCGGACACCTAGTCACTGAAACTGTTTCCAATCCATGGATAGAAAGCAGCAACACGATGACAGCCACTATCACGAGGGCCACAACGAATACCATTATCGAAACAAAGGGCCACACAACTACCATGGCCACAGAGACCGTAACTCAACCGGAAAAAAGCATAGACTATTCAACACCAGTCACTCCCGGTGGCCAGTCCACCACTATGGTTATCTCAAGAGTGACAACGATAATCGCGGGAACTACACCCACACAGATCTGGATGACGAATAGTATTGGGAGCTCAGAAATTACCATTTCACGCTCTAGTATCAGTATACTGAGCTCGACTGTCACAATGCCAGGGTCAATTTTCACAGCCTCTGTTTCAAGCTCTTCTGTTGCCATAACAAATCCAAGATCCACAAACACATTTTTGAGATCCGAATCCACAATTACGATAGTAAACCCAGGCTCTACAGTCGCTGCCTCCGTTTCTACGACCATAATACCAGGATCATTCTTCACGGTTACCATATCAGGCCCAACAATTACTCTGCCAGGCTCTGCAGTTACTGTTTCAGGAATAACCCTATCTGTATCAACCCTAATCACAACAATTACGTATTCAGCAAGTACCAAGACAAGTATAGCATCCACCACCCTCACGGAAACGATAACACAAACTATCGAGGCCTCAACGAGTACTTCTCCAGGGTCTACCAGCACTTTTCCGCACACAACCTTGCCTTTCAAGGCTATTACCACGACTGTCACACGCCCCGCAAGTACAGAGACTATCAATGAATCCACAACGATCCTAAAAACAGTCACCATTCCAGGTAGATTACGCCTCCTCTATTCACCATAGCTACCTTGACTGGTTGACTCCTTTTTTTTGATTTAGGCACCACGCAGGTTGCCTCCGTCACCATCACCGATAACACCTTCGGCCCGGGGCCGACAGAGTTACGGGGCGTGAGTAGCACAGTCCCCGTTTTCATATCAGTATGCTCAAGTCTCATTATGAATCCAACTTATACTCCGACTGCCTCATTGCCAAACTATTATACATGGGGTTGCCCGCCGGGGTTCCTCTGCCATCCTCCTCATACAGAAGACCGTGCTAGTTGCAATGTCGAAGCCGGCCTCCCAGCTGATAATTATGTCTGTGACCCTGCGAATTGTATTCCATCTCCTCGTTTGGTTTATAATCCTTCTTGGGAAACTTCGAATTTCCAGCACTACAATATTTCCAATTACTATTTTAATCTAGATCCCGAAGACTTTGGCCTGGATTATCTGATATTCCAATTGCCGTCAGATATTACCTCATATTACACCAAGCGCAACGGATTCCCGCGACAGGACGGGTTCCTCTTTCTTTGGGGCCTCCAGGTCGGCGAGAAGGCCAAAAAAGACATTTCAGATATTCCTGGAGTTTGCTATAATGATTGCAACGATGCTGCCCTTGAAGCAGAATCTTCTGGGAAAACTCCCGAGTTGTGTGATAGTGACTCTGCTTTCTCGGTGGGTTTGGGGAATTGCAGAAATTGTATCAGCCATTATGCTCGTTCGGCCTCAGAAATATACTCTCAGACGCTATTGCCATCATTTGCGCAGTTTCTAGATTACTGCTCGGAAGTGCAAGCTACAGCCTCTAGTACAACAGAGCCTAGCACTACCACGAGCACCGCAACGACAATCACCTCTGCCACTGTAGTGACCAATACGGCATTTATCGGTACCTCAGCTGCAATTTCTGTTACCGGCAATCAGTCATTCAGCAGCCGGGCCACTGGCCAAGTAATCGTATCCGATACACTCAACTCGGCCGGGAGGTCTTTATCTACGAGAACGGTTCAAACGGTTACTCAGAGTTCGACACTCCAATCCGATTCAGCAACAATGGGACAGTCTCATCTTGAAGATACAACTACATCTCAAGGTCCGAGTACAGAGAGTATGTCTCAAGGTACGAGTGCAGGAAGTAAGGATCATCGGAGTACGGGTACAGGGGCAAGAAACCAAAACAAAGCGAAAAAGACCCAGGCTGCAGCTAGCGGTACCTTCAGCAGCATGTCCATCGCTAGTTTCACAAGTCATACCAGCATGGAGTCCACATCACCCTCCAGCTCCAGCGCTGTCCTTAGGGGGTCAGCTTCGGACAAATTGGTGCCCAACATGTGTCGCGGGATTTTAGCATTAGCTATTCTCGCAGTATTCATCTAAGGATTTCGATTAATGGTATTCCGCCAAGTTCTTTTGTCTAGATTACATGTACACAGCTAATTATTATGATGGTACAATTTCTTTTCAAAGCATTCACTGCCGTTTTCTATCCTAATCTTACCCAACCATAGCAATGCTTTGGACAATTCGATGGTGATTCCACTATAGAAGCTGCTCGGATCAATTTTCAATGACGCAAGAATATTTATTTAGATAACAAATACTTGATACGTGACTTTTTTTACCTTGTTATCTCTAAATCCACTCGAACTTATTGCCCAAATAGCGATGAGCGCGAACATCACCCGATCGGGCATGGCCTTCAAAGTTCTCTGCTCGAGCAGCTCGTCCACATAGAAGACCAAGCTCACCGCTTTCTTGAGGTGAAGTGACTTCCTGGTAAGTGACCGTCTTCAGGTACTTTCCAACCCACAATCCACCGGTATAGCGGGCAGCCCCGCGAGTGGGAAGGACATGGTTAGTGCCAATGCACTTGTCTCCATAGGACACACAGGTCTTCTCGCCAAGGAAAAGGGCGCCATAGTTGGACATTTTCTCCAGGGCCTCGCGTGGCTTCTGTGTCAGGATCTGAACATGCTCGGATGCATACTCATCGGCCAGCTTGTAAGCCTCATCAAGGTTTTCGACCACATTGATCTCGCCCAGGCGATCCCAGGACACAGCAGCAATATCCGCTGTTGGCAGGATTTCGAGGAGACGATTGACTTCGCTAAGAGTCTTCTCTCCGACCTTTTGGGAGTTGGTTATCAGCACAGCTGGGGTGTCGGGGCCATGTTCCGCTTGCGACAAGAGGTCCGTGGCAACAGTGAACGGATCGGCGTGTTCGTCAGCGACAATGAGAACTTCAGTCGGTCCAGCGGGCAAGTCGATGCCAATTTCCTCTCCGAACAATTGTCGCTTGGCCTCAGCGACGAACGCATTACCGGGTCCCGCAATAAAGTCCACCTTCTTCATGGTCTCGGTGCCGACGGCCATGGATGCAACGGCCTGGACGCCTCCCAGGATATAGATCTCATCCGCTCCGGCATAATGCATTGCTGCAACCGTGTTTGCCGGAATCTTCCCGGCGATGGGAGGGGTGCATGCCGTGACATGAGGCACACCCGCACACTTCGCTGTGAGAATAGTCATATGGCTCGAGGCCAGGAGGGGGTAGCGACCACCGGGGATGTAACTACACGGTAGGACAATTGGCTAGTTAGCAGACGAGCGAAAGAGAAAAAATATAGATTGGAGCATGAGCGACTGACGCGCCAACCGAGTTAATCGGAATGTTCTTCTGCCCGAGATGCACACCGGGCCGAATTTCCATCTCAAAATCCTTGATCGATGCCTTTTGCGCCAAAGCAAAAGTTCGGACATTGTCTTGGACTTGCTTGATATCATCGATAATCTGTTGGGGGACCGTCGCAATAATCTGCTGAATTTCCTGCTGCGATAGCTTGAAGCTTTCGGGACTCCATTTGTCGAACTTCTCCGAGTAGGTTCGTACGGCCTTGTCACCGTCAGTTCGAATATCATTGATGACCCCGCGCACAATTTCGGGCACTTTAACCGCAGATGCGGGGCCCGCGCTTAAGCGATTTGCTTGTTTCAACTTCAGAACCATTGTTGCAAATAGAGGGTATGGGAGAGATGATGGGTCAAGCGTAATGCGGATGAGTGCTGGAGTGTTTCCTGGAATATAACAACCATGAATTTGTTCCTTGCGACTCTATAAGAGGCTCAACCAACAAGCACGTCAACTATCGCGCGTGCCAAATCTTCTTGTCACTCGGACTCGGCGCCGAGGCCGATCTCCCAATGGGCCCCGCAACTTCGGATGCTGCGTGGAGAGAGGATGTTGTTGCGCTTCGGAATGTGGAGGGCGGCGGCGCGGCTACCCGAATGGCCTTGCAAAACAAGAGCCACAAAAACCCTCGTTGAGTTTTTTAATGGCAAATTTCACTCTCGGGTATCTGTTGATGATTTATCAGGCCCATCGTGATCATTTAAGTCAATTTTTTTGCTTTCCCTGAGGGGAGCCAAATGGTGGACGTTGTATGAAGGCGCCTTCCCCAGTTCATGTCATCGAGGGATCAACTATCCTAAGTTCCAAATCACAGCCAAGATCGCGGTGGCTTGCTCAATTTTTTGAGTTTTCTTCCAGTAAATTCAACGACTTCCAAATCGCCAGGCTTCTTCCCCTTTTTCGATCCTGTTGAGCTAGGGTTATTTGGCCACATACTACGATCAGGAAGTCGACTTGGTCCAAGAGCCTTCGTCACTCCGTTTTTTCAACAAAGACCCATAGTGATATCTCGGAGAGCTTTTATATTTTCAGGCGTGGAATAATTTCAGTAGGCAATGAAGATTTAATGGGAGGTCAGTATAGTAAGAGGACTGCTACGGTCCTCGACTCGCTCGCAAATACCCCGAGTTTTCTTCCCCGCATTTTCAAGGTGACTGCTTCACTGTCGATCAAAGAACGATATTTTCCACAAATCAGGTAAATATAGTACACAATATATGAGACTATAGATTGAATAAATCTTGAGTAGTTGCGATGACCTGAAGCAAGCAACCGATATTTCAAAGACCTAATGTATTTCATTACGTTTCTCTCATTTCTCTTCGCTGTAGTAGTGGGAGCCTCTCCCCAAGCAGAACTCAAACGAGACCCGTCACTGGTCTGCACGGTGCCTGCATCTGGCTCAGAAGCCATTGACGATACTCCGGCTGTAGTGGACGCGTTCAAACGGTGTGGCCATGGCGGGAGGATCATCTTTGAGAACACCACCTATCACATCCACAGTGTGATGAACACCACCGGGTTGCAGGATTGTGAGGTGGACCTCTATGGCACTCTCCTGGTATAGATACTTATCTAGACGACAAAACCCAATCGACTGACATTTTTCTCTAGTGGAGCACCAACATCTCGTACTGGCTGAATCACTCTCTGCCAGTGGGATATCAGAATCAGTCCACTGCATGGCTCCTTGGAGGCCGGAATGTCCGCTTCAACGGATATGGATACGGTACGTTCAATGGCAATGGACAGGCCTGGTATGACTCGGTGGGCTCGGTTTCCAACTATCCACGACGGCCCCATGCACTCACGATCTCCGGAACCTCCGATTCGGAGTTTACAGGCCTACGATTCCTTCAAAGCCAAATGTGGTACGTACTCAATAAGATGCCGGATACCGCAACCGGAATTCATACTCAGGGTTTGACTCGCTTGCAGGACTTTGTCAATTATCCATACCCATCGAACACTCTTCGACCATATCTACGTCAACAGCACCAGTAGCGGGGGTTCGTCGCGCAATACCGATGGCGCGGATACGATTTATAGCTCCCACATCACCTTTCGGAACTGGGAAGTCGATAACGGGGATGACAGTATTAGCGTCAAAGCCAATTCAACAGATATACTGATCGAGGATAGTTTGTTTCACCGAGGGCTTGGAATTGCCATCGGCAGCATTGGCCAGTATAAGGATGTGTACGAGATTGTGGAGCGGGTCACCGTGAGGAACATCACGTATAGTAAAACGCTGCATGCCGTTTACTTCAAGACGTGGACGGGCGAGCAAGTCAACTATCCCCCAAACGGGGGAGGAGGAGGATTAGGGCGTTTGTGCTCGTCTCATATCTGTTTGCGATGTTTGGGAAACATAATTACTAACCTACTTTGGTAGATGCCTCCGACATGACGTTTCAAGATCTCCGATCTACGGCCTTGAGAGGTCCTGCCATTGCCGTCTCACAATGCACCACCTTTTCGGGCACTGCCGGAAATTGCACGTCGTCCAAATTTGAACTCAGTGCCCTTTACTTTCAGAATCTGCGAGGAACAACAACCAGTGCGGACGTGGCTAGCCTGCAGTGTTCGGCCGTGAAGCCCTGCAAGGATATCCGGATCACGGAGGTCGATTTGGTGCTTTCAAATGGCACTCAAGCAGAAGACTACTTGTGCGGAAATGTCGAGGATACCCGGGGTTTTAATTGTACTGGAGAGGTCTGCGTCGGTGGCAGTGCCACAGGTGGGTGTTAGACGTTAGACACGAGGCTCGGTCGATCAATTGACGACTTGACTGGGAATTTTCAAAGATAACTTATTATGATTACTGTAATATGTTATGGAAGACATGTTGAAACGCGCATTTAAATCATGGGGATCGTAGCCTGGGTATCACATTCGAACGTTTTTATATATACATGGTCTGCCTTTTCATCTCGTGCTTCAGGGCCCACCTGTCTGGACACAGTGTCCGAGATCACCCATCAACTGGGCAAGACTCTGCACCAGCGGTGGTATGCTCTCGGAAGCATCCGGTCGCAGTATTCGCTGGACCAGCTGCATTGTAGGCCCTGGATCAGCAATGAAGACTGGTCCACTGAGGCTTTGCAAGGCAGGGACACCACAGCCCAGGGTCACAAACTTGGAAACATCGGCCACTTCTTCCGCGTCAAGGAACACGGTCGGTCCTTGGCTGGAGGGAGAGTCGGGGCTTCCTGTTAACCGGGCATTCTTTGCTCTGGAAACAACTCCGTATGACCAAAAGGCCAAGCTAGCATTATACACTCCGATAGCTAAAAACCCGGTGAGTGAGCCAGGGGCCATTTGCCGGGCCGCACGAATCGTTTGTCCTGCGTGCCATACGGCGCGTCGCGAATCAGGACTCGTTATCCATTCAAGAGCGGAATGGTAGACTCTCCGGGCTTCATGTTTGTCCTCTTTTCCTGCAAACAGCTGTAACTCCTCGAGAGACATGTGGAGGAGCATTGAGACTACCTCACACACCAGTACAATCTCGGGCCTACAGGGGACATGTAGCTCTGAGCACACCATCCGGAAGTGTTGCAGCGCTTGATCGAGCTCCTGCTGTCGCGAGTTTGTCACCAGGGCGTGCCAATGTTTCGAATTGCTTGTTGAGATAAACTTGAGTCGATGGTACTCGTTGATTAAGGCAGAAAGACCGTGAATAAGAACAAAGGCTGCCAACTGAGTATCAATCCGGTCTTGGAATACCGATAGCTGGGACATATCTCGCAGAAGGTCTGCAAGTGAAGGAACACGCTCGGGAGTCATCACACAGTAGAGCTGCTTCCATTCAGCTGCAGACTTAGCTTCCCATAAATGGCGAGATGAAGGCAGTGGAAGCTCCAACTCGGCGTAGGATATAAGAGGGTTGATATTGAGAGTCACTGCGGTCTGTGAATCGTGAAGAAAGCAATGATAGACAAGTCTACTCAAAGGTCAGCTTGCTTCAATTTTCATGGGTCTGCATAACGAGAGTTAACCTTTTGAATGATTCTTGCTCAATCCACTCATGCCATTTTCGCTCAAGCACTTCCACAGTATCCTCCGCGAGTGGTACAATGGTAGTATAAAACGTACGACGGAATCGAAGAGCTCGACGAATCATCGTCATCAAGGGCTGCGAGAAACTTTCGGCAATCTCTGTTTTTCGTCGATTGCCGCTCCAGATTCCAATATCGATAGTTAATGCATAGGTTTGTGAGCTTCGCAAATCCCGAGTGGTGCTGTTATCCCTCTCGTACTGTGAAAGACTTGTCAGCACATGTATCTCGACCATGAAAGAGGAGAATTAATAGATTAGAGTCTCTCAGGCAGAGCATACCTTAACCGGCATATACAAGCGAACGATTTCCAACAATGCATATCCAAGTTTTCTGATTGTGGGTATTGTGGACCGAACAGCTGCAGCGGATGCCAAAGCCGCAAGTATACTTGCATGTTCAGTGTTGGGTCGGAATGTTGGTCCGTGAATGAAGGAGTCTAGACTGTGGCTTTGGAATTCAAAGTACTGCTGAATCAGACCATCCAGTAGCTCCGTACTTGGGAAAGACTTCATAATTCGAGTCAAGTTGGCTTCACGACTAATTTCAAGAACGAGACCAAAGATGAGGTCACGACTACTTGACGAGAGTCGTTCGGAAAGAATTTGTCGGTCAGACGTGGCACTAGTTTCCGGGGAGTCAATAGCCCGTGGCACAGATAAGTTCTCGTGATCAGCGCAGGCATGGTCTTCCTGAGCGGGTTTCCATTGCGAGAATGATGATCGATGGTAAGCTTCCGCACCGATGCCGATTTCACGGTCAGCGTCGAAGCGGTCTTCTTGCTCGTGCTCATGCATCCCTGGGTTAAAACTTCTTGCATTATACATATCGATGAGACCAAAGTCGCCATCAGTCAGATTAAAATCAAAAGCTGGGTTTTCCAAGGCTCCATAGTGGGTAAACTCGGGTAACAGGGTGGATGGATCAAATGGGTCATTATAACGACTTAGTGAAGAAATTACTGAGTCTGGGATAAAATTTGGAAAGAAGGTGCCGTCCACACTGAAGATGCTGCTTTCTTGGTCGGTCGGTGACACTGTAATTTTTGTCAGTATGGGATATCATGCGGGCCCCGGAGGCTCCGGATTCATTTCTTACCCCCATACTCAATCTGCAGTTGTTCCCCCGCCGAAGGCGGCGGAACATCTGGAGAAATAATACCCTGTTCAGGGACCAGCCCATGGGGAGGTACAATGATACTGTTGGCGGCTGGAAAGTCCTCCATTGGGGTTGGCATAGGTGAGAAGGCAACCGAGCCTGTCAGGTCGACCGGTTGATTTGCGATTGTTCGGTGTTCGAGGGCATTGTGCGGTTGTGGCTCTGGAGAAGAGTCTTGAACCACATCTTGCCAGTCACACTGTAAGTTACGCTCCCGGCAGCGCTTACAAGGCTTCTCCTCGTCACATTTTAACTTGGAGGAGGCACATGCTTTGCAAGCCTGGGAAACACGGCTCTGCTTCGTAACCGAGGAGCTCCTCTTGCGTTTCCGGTCCCGTTCATGGGCGTGACCGGTGGCGTGACGCTTGAGGAGATCTCTGCAGGGAGGATGCCAGGTCAGTGACTAGATGGCGACCATATTTTACGGGGAAAGCACTGACGGTCGCGCAAATCCCTTGTCGCAGACATCACACACGTAGGGTTTCTCGCGGGTGTGTGAGCGGACATGGCGAATGAGATGATCAGCCCGATTATAATGACGTTTACAAAACCCGCATTGGAAATAGCCTCCATCCTTCGACTTCACCGGAGAATGGGAGGCATTAAGCGGATCAACTGTAGGAGGCGAGTCAAACATGACGGGGACGCATTGGGTGGAGGGCCGTCCAACCCGATACTTGAAGGAGGACAATAGGGAAGAGACGGCGAAAGGCCAGCCTTGATCGGATTATAAAAGCAAAGGGACCGAGGGTGAGGTGAGGAGAAAGGAAGAAAGAAGAAAGTAACTAGTCAGCGAAGTCCCAACTGGGCCGGGGAAGGAGCAGCTGAATAATTGAGGGGAAGAGCATCACGGGACTCGTACATCACGAGAATCTGGGGAAAAACGGGCAGTTTGGGCGGAAGCAGAAGCGGCCATCGCGCATCCACCCCTACAAATTCCCTCCTCGACTTCGACGACTCCTTCCACCCTGCATGGTGGGGCGTGTTTGGCATTCGACTCGCGAAAATCTGGTCTCCGATCTCTGCCTGGACCATACTCCATCCCGGTTAGCCACAAGGAGATTCGCGAACCAGAAACGTGCGGAATGGTCACTGTGGATTCGCCACCTCCACCCCGCGGATTCCCCCAGATTTACACCTGGACGCGCCAGCTATTGTCTTTTGTCTGATTCGCCCCAATGGCCGACTGGCTGGCCTAGATTGTCTCCTTGCGCAGTGAGGACCTGGTGAGAGGGATCCGCATCTCAGGGATCCTCCCCTCAGGCTTACGACTACTTTTTCTAGCCACCTCCGGTCCCCCCGCACGAAAACCAGGGGGTTCGCCCTTGGGTCCGATGGCCAGCGGTCGGCATGTGGGGGAACATACCCGGCGCCCTCCCCCAACACACCGATCAGGGCTCTCTGATAGCTGTACCCCAGCCGAAGACCAATATATTACTATTGATTTAATGTAATCTCGGTGGCATTGCACTTGCTCTTCTTCTCCGTATTCGTCATTCCTGTTCATTCCGATAAAATGGGTAAGACGCTTCTTGCATCCTAGATTCACTGTCGATCCAACGCGACCATGCAGAAAGTCCCTTTGCTAAAGATGCAGAATAGGCCTCACACCAGTGCATTTCTTCTCCCATGGCTCAACTATGATGCTGGGGGAGGAGTCGGAAAGTGCTGATTATTGGAAGAAATGCGGAGATGAAGCCCTAGCCCGAAACATCAAGGGAGTCATTATCATGGTAGGTGACATCCACTGATTCGCACCGTCATTCGAACTGTCTTGATTTGCTTTGCCTATTTTCTCTTGCCTTTGCGAAAAATGCGGAGACGGACAACATCTGAAACGCAAACGCGATCTGACCTCCTCTTTCGGCAGGGTGCGCACTGGGATTGTATGGGTGACAGAATCGAATTAGCGACAAATCCGAAGCCCAATAAAAGTCCTGTGGCTTATGTCAACCCCGATAAGTATGTCAACTATGAGCTCAACCCTGACCTCGAGACCGCCAACCGATGTATCGACATGCTGGCCAAGGAGGGATTCAATGTCGGCGGTAATTCGACTTTCGATTGGATTCACGATGTATATCTGATTCTCATCCGAATGTTTCCCGGAGGATGTCCCCCCACGACCCTAATTTCTGCCAATGCCCGCTACGATCCTCATTTTCACATGAAAATCGGTGCTACACTTCGTCCGCTACGTCGAGAGAACTATTTGTTTATTGGGACGGGCGGTGCCGTCCACAACCTCTACCGCAACCGATGGGCCCCGATGCTGAGATTCCGTGACAACTTTGCCATGGAGACTCCACCGGAAGACTGGGCAATGGAGTTCCGGCAATCTGTGGAAGATGTTATCACCAAGACCTCCGGTCCCCAGCTGCGCCGAGCCATGACCCGACTGATGAAGCACCCGCGATTCCGAGACGCGCATGCCACCGACGATCACTTCATGGCGGCCTTGTTTGTTGCGGGTGCAGCCGGCGATGCTGAGGATGAGCACACGCCGGCTGTCCTAGGTGCTGAAAGTTGGGAATTGACCAACATGTGTAATTCGCAGTTCACATTGGGCCAGTGGCCAAAAGAGATTGCTGCGTGAAGTCATGCCGACTACCTTACCTGATTTTGTCTCGGTTCTCTCGACAGAGCGTACCCAATTTTTGACCTATAAGCCACTGGCCCATTATGTTTTTATAGCAATCAATTGTTCTGTATCTATAGAGGAGAAAGTGATTCCCAAAGCCCTCAACTATTTGCCTGCCCAGTTAGTCCTTCCAAGATGCTCGACAGGCGCTCTGGCTTCTCTTGCAGCCTGATTTAGATCCATATCGCTGTCAAGTTATAATAGATCTTGAGGGAGACAGACTGTATCGGCTGGCTCCCCAGAGTATCGACTGTGGTAGAAGTTGAAATGAGCTCGTCCTGACAGCGGTCAGCCATCCCCTCCAATGACTCAAGAACGCTTTTGTTGATAAAACGGCTCTGGAAGCTGTTCGATCTTATCCCACGAGACCTCCCCAGAGTCAAACCGGCCCGAATTGAGAGTCTCCAGATCATTTGAGTAAGAAAAGTCAATTGCATCCGCAACTGGCTGCCAATCAAATGATGGCAGGTGTGGCCCCGACGCCGCAATTAGAGCATGGACGTGTTTACGGACTGGGTTCAATGCTTCTGTCGGAATTGTCCCCAATTGAGCCTTTGTTACAGTCTACAATCCCCGGAAAATAGTTCAGTCCATAGGTACTTGTAAACGAAGACAAATTGATCCAAGTCGCACTAAACTTTCTGCACGATAACTTCATCGTAGCGTGCAGAGAGTGACTAGTAGTCACCTCTAGAAAGAATGCCCCCCGTGATAATACCCCGAATAAGAAGAGTGTATTATCTCGGTGCTAAGTCCACTGTTTGATACCGCTACCCACCCTGCGCCACTTTGACAGGCTTTCATTACTCGCTGCTGCTTGCATGGTAGACCTTCAATGGGCTGATCTAGCAGAAATTTCAAGTCTCCAATACTATGGTAGAACAAGATTTGAGCTTGTAACTGAAGCCCATCTTGAAATCTAACAGAGATCCCAGCGATACTGAGCAGGGGCAAAGCCTTTGCCACCGCGTGGGTATGGAATAAGTTTCTGGGATTCCTGCGACTATGATTAAATTCTGTGAGAGTGGATTATGTCTATAGTACCATGAACTTCTGACAGCCAGATTCGATTAATCTTGCGAAAACCACTACGAGATGCACAGTATCGGCTCCATCAGCTGCGGGTCCACTCGGACTTGGTTTTCCTGATTCCAAGCAAGGCTTTGCGACGCAAAGTCAGTCTATATCCAGTGGTCCATGGGTACTTGATCGCTCCAATCTGGATCAGATCAATATGCCGGCTCTACGCAGAGCAATGGCGAAGTGAAAAGATGAACGATTGCTATTCCAAGATGTCTCGGAGAAGAGTATCCGGACTACGTCATAGTATGACTTGTAGTGGCATAGCAAATTACCGAATTCCAAGGAGATTCCAAGTTTGAGCGGCTTCATTAAAGCAACAGCATCCCCGACTAGAAGCGTCACAGAGACAGAAATATCCAGTACGTATGCAGTGCGTATATACAGACAGGCCACAATGAAAATCGAGGCCCCAAGAGGGGAAAGTAAAAGACAAGAGGAATAGCGGAGGGAAGCCAGAACCAAACTCAAGCAGACGATCCCACCACGCCAATTAAATGCTGTATCGATGTCGATCAAAAGAGGAAAATAAACACCCGGGCATCCACGGGCATTTTTGCAAGACTCACTCAGCATGAGTCGCATGCTCATGTCTCATCTCTTCGTGCCAGAACAAAAGGAGAAAAAAAAGAATTAGGAAAAACGCCGCCCATTAGTCAACAAAGGAAACCTCGCAGCCAAAAAAAAAAGATGAGGGGAAAGAAGAAGCTGCACCAACTGGGATATTCCAACTCCAAGCCCCAAAAGACGTGAAAAAAAACGAATGACGCAAAGAAAAAAACAACAAAAGAAACTTAGATGACAACGACATCACCCTCAGCGTCTGCGGGATCCGAGGCCATCATGTCTCCATATTTACCCACAGCCATCAGCATTGGGTCATCTTCCAGGTCTATGGCGCTGTCATCATTGTTGGGTGCTTGAAACCCCACCTCGGAATGAACATGCTTGGTATCCGGCTCTTCATCGATAGTTTGTTCCCGTTCTGTATCCCGGTCGATCGATGGGCTGGTGTTGGGCTTGGTGCGGGAAGCGTTAGCTCTTTCGAACGTGGGAGGCTCAGGAATACCATTCCGCTTCAGCGTGAAGTTTCCCAGCCCCGTCTGTTCGGACCCAAAGGTCATGTTTTGTAATGAGCTAGGGGTATGCCGCATAAATCCTCCCTTCTCGGCTTGCCAGACCATCATCTCATGGAAGAACACTTTGGTCATCCACCAAGCACTGAAGCTGGCAGCTCCGCCTAAGGTCAGGCGATGCAAAATAGAGTCCCAGAGAACGTCGACTTTCTCGATGACACACTGGGTGCGGTGGTGACTGAAAGCCGCCGGCAAGTTCAAGATGAATGATACCCACTTGTCTGGGAAGTTGTAGTCTTCACCCGTGGCATTCTCGACAGGGAACGGGCGAAATTCCATATCCTCGGGCAGATCAGGTTTTGAGAAGAACGGCAGGCCAGGAGGCTGGTCCGCGTCACTGAGTGGGGTCAAAAGTGCACGAATGTCATGTTTCAGGATCTGCTCAGTAGCTTTCTCGGCGCAAGTCGGGATATTGGCCTTCAAAATCATTTCCTTTGGATTTATCAAAGTTTTGAAGTCGTACCACATTTGGTTCCGATTATCAGGGTGGCAAAGCCAGGCTGCAGCGGCATTTGCAGCCTGATTCACATCGAGCATGTGCTTGAGAAGATTGCAAAATATGTGGGCAGGGATCAAACGAGCAATAGACACATGCGACGGTTGAGCCTTGAAAGTTTCCGCAATATGGCCACACAGGCGTTGGGAGATTGAGCTAAATGCATCCAACACAACCTTCGGGACGACTTGGGTGGTGAGCGGAGCTACGAAAGCGATCATTTTTTGATACATAAGCCAATCGCACTCCTTGATCCACGGTGCAAGGTTGGGGTGTGTCAACAGCTTCTGTACTGGAACCGTCAATGTGCCATGAAAGGCAGAAAAGTATTTCAAAAGATTTCGTTCTTTGCAAAATCGGAAGCTGTCAATGACAGAAATGCAGTGAGAGCGGTAGAGGGCGGCAAGGGCATCTGCAACTTTTGAATCGGTGTTGGCAGGAAGGTAACCACGGATGTCGGGGAGGGTAAGATTGTCGTTTTCAATAGAAGGAACTTCGTCGGTTGGGAATTGAAGCATCTGATGTACCATCTTTCCAGCCTGTTGAGCCACGTTGTCTGTCGTGATCGTGGCATCCGGGCCAGAGGGGGCTTGTATTTGGCAATTGCAGCCAACCACGGGAGAGTTGACGGGGAATCTGGGAGCGAAGGACGTCGTAGGCGATGGGAATACCGCTGTATCTGCTGTAGGTTGGGGAATACTAATGCTGAACAAGAGCCCGTTAGAGCCAGTAATAGGAAGTGAGGACATATCATCGTACCTCCGTGAGCGCATTGCACTTGCGGGTCTTTCAGGGACGCCGGCAGTCACTTGAGGGTTGGGAGCCACCTGTGGATTGAGTGACACCGGTCGTTGTTGCTTTTCTTCGATGACGGACAGATCCACATAGTGGTATTTAGACTCGCCACGGACACCCAAACGTCGAGTTTGAACATTTGGGAAAATAATGCGGACCAACTTTCCAAATGATGCCGGGTTTAGAACTGACACACGCTCGGTTCCACATTTCTCTGCGTAGCAACAATATACTCGGTCTCGTCGGACAGATCCATTGCTCTTACGGCAGTTCTCGCGCAACCTAGGTCCATAGTTAGCATCAAGCCTGCAGAGCTTGGAGGAGAGGGATCCAAAATAGAGTAATAAAGAAACGACAGATGCGATAGAGATTAGAGTTCTTACCAGATCATGGCGAATACCTGCTTCACTTTCTCTGCCTTTCCTCCAGCTCCTTCATGCTTCATGACTTCGGTGGCCATCTGTTTCAAAGTATAACCTTCGTATTGACGCAGCAATTTTCGTAGCTCATTATCATTTGCAAGGGTTGAGCTAGATCCTCTTTTCTTCTTTCCCCCGGGCTCAGAAGCCTCCTGATCATCCATCGTATGATCCGGTATGTGATTCTCAATCCCGCTGTCATACAAGGGCTGATACTGGGGGACTGGAACACCAGGCACGCCATTGTGCTGCATGTCCGGTGGTAACGAGTGATGAGAAAGGCTGTGACTATGCAATGCATGGCTTGGAAAATCATCCGGTCGGGAAGGTACAGAGTGAGAATCTCGAACGGTTGGATCCATCGACGCGCCGGGGGGTTGGTGAGACAGCTGATGTCCAAAGCGCATGAGCATGTCTTCCGGGTTGGCCCCGAACATGCTCTGGGTCCCTGCCATTTGTGAGGGCATGAATTGGGGGAACCCATCGAGGTGTTGATCCTGGGTCTGCTGCGTCGTGCTGGAATGGATGCTCGCCGTGGACCCGCGGGAGCGAGGGCGTCGACCAGCTCGCGAAAGAGTTTCCGATCGAGCACGCATGGGGTCTGCCGTTCCCGGGCGACTGTGGGGACCCATCTGTTGGGTGGTTTGGGATACGATGCTTCCTTGTGATGGGGCACGCGCTATTGGGAAAAGGGCATGAGCCAGCCGGTCCGGTCAAACATGCGGATCGACGGGTATCTCACCTAATTCTGGAGGCATGGCTCTGGTTCACGATTGATGGACAATCTGGAAAGGGAAAAAAAAGTGGAGGAGGGCCCGTCACCACGGAGATGACGGATCAATCTTGTCTGCACACGGGGGCAGCAGGCGTGTTTTTCTCGTCTGGAGTGGCCAACACAACGCGGCGGTGACGACCATTCGAAGCCAACAAGCCAACAAGCCAGCACGGAGACCAAGAACGAGAGATCAGGCAAAAAAATCAACAGCAGAAGTCCCAACACGAGTCGTCCCAAGTCGGCCAAACAATACCACAGACCGTGTGGTGTCAGGTCGAGGTCGAGTTGGGGATAAACAGAGACGGCCGTTCCTCAGACAACGTTTGTTTTGGGTCGGTCACGTGTGGCTGAGGTAAGCATTCCGGGCAAACAAACAAAGCGGCGGTCCGTCTTTCGGCGAAGTATGCCCTTGCTTCAGTCCCCAATTGCCCAGCCAGAAAGACATCACTGGTGACCGTTTGATGCTCTTGCAGATCCGTTGATCACAAAAAGTTTGTACAGTGGTTTCAACCCGATGTAATCTTCTTGGTACGCGACTTGCTTCATGATGGTACCGCGCTATTCTTGGGAGTCAGCTACCATGGGAAACGGGGAACCAGCAATCCCGGCGCTGCATCTTGATTTTGCAGGGTAGATACAACAATATTGCAGAATAATTAAGAATGTATCAACGATGCTTACTGTTGTCCCTGCGGAATCCAGTTGAGTCCTGCGGTTTGGTATTTTGAGGCGTATACATTTAGCCAGGACTCGGCAGCACTTGCATAGAAAGTAAATCATCATTACGATCGTTTGGAGTTGCAGAATGAGGAGGACTCCATAGGATAAATTAATTCTATATGTAACTTTGAAGCACTCAATAATGTCACAAAATTTTGTTGTTTGCTAATTCGGCATGGAGGGTCGACGTCATTCTCTACCTAGACCAAGGAAGACCAGCGGGTACCGATTTGATCTCGGTTGGGTGGTTGTTATTGGCCATCAGCTTATGCGCGACTTGTGGCATATACAGTATGCGATCGTCTCGATGCCATTCACCTGGAAATTTTCGTTGCTAAGAGACAATCCCTTTTCTATTGATCTCTTTGGCTTCTTCACGGTACTGGTTTTGTTCAATGACCGTCTACATTCAAGTCGCCATCATCCCCGGAAGTTGGAAGCGATCCTCTATATATGTTGTGAACCCTAAACGCTGATTCATATATACTCTGTGCAATCGCGCTGTCATAAAGTGACTTCGATAGACTACTGCACTTCTTTAATTCTCCGGTCGATCTACTCTGCTCCACCTCCACTCCACTCTACATCTCAAGAACATTTAGCAGAGTCATGTACATTGAGATCATTAAAGTCCAATGGCTCGCATCTTCCTTGCCATGGTCTCATCTCGGTACCGACGGGACATTGTGGAGCCTTCCCCTGAATCCTCCCACGGATAAATCATGATTTTACTACGGAGCCCTATATGAGAGTCCTTTCGGTATGGTCCATTAAGATCTTAATACGTTATTCGGAATACAGCCGACCCACCGAATACACAGAATCCGGGCCCCAGAACCTGGTTATTCGAATCCCGCGAAACCCGAATATCTGTGGCTTTCCCTTCCCTCGGGATTCGTTGCCTCTTCCCGTCTGAGAGTCCCGGTTCTAGCTGTATATTCGATACCGTGATGATTGGTCACTCTCTCAACTGTCCTCCGTATTGGTCCAACCCCGTTCCACTTTGCCCAGACCCCGACAAACTATACAAACCAGGGACGCGACGGAAGACTCACGGGACAGAACTAAAACCCAGCCCCATAGGGCTATCGTGATGTCACCGAGCAGCCCCATCTTTCACCCTCTTCCCCTCCTCAATCAATTTGCTGCCTCCAATTCCACCGCCATGCAGAAGTTCAAGGACAAGGTCGAACACGAAATTGACCAGCTGGAGGAGAACTTCAGAGGTCGGACCCATCTTTCCCAAAGCTCTAACCCCCCTCCCAATTCCAATTACAATTCCCTGTTAGCCGTTCCCCATTCTCCATTCTCCATTCTTCAATCTCCAAACCCGAAAACAGGTTCCACGCTGCCCCCGCAAATACTAACGTTTTATCGGGGTCGGTTGGGAACATGCAGACTCCCATCTCCACGATGCGAAAGCTCATGCATTTCATTTGAAACACAAGGTTGGCAAGTTCTTCAATATTGTCAACCCAAACCACCGCCACGATGAGGCGCACGAACAGGCTACGGACCGCAAACGCTCGGAGATTACTGAATCTCATCGGTTTCAATCCTTCGCGCCCATCCATGAGGGGAACCGCATCAAATGGTATGTCGATGCGTTGGATTACTTATGGGCGGTTTCCGAGGCTCTCGAGAAGGCGACCGAGACCATCTACATCGCTGATTGGTGGCTGTCGCCCGAATTGTTCTTACGTCGTCCTCCGGTTGATCATCAGGAGTGGCGGCTTGATCATATCCTGAAGCGGCGTGCTGAAGCCGGGGTCAAGATCTATGTCATTGTCTACAAAGAGGTGCGGTTTTTCACCTTCGCATGCTGTCGCCGGCAAGACCAGCAAGACCAGCAATCAGCACGAGAGCTAACGAGTGATTTCAGGTCAACCAAGCCCTGACGTGCAATTCTGCACACACCAAGCACGCACTCCAGAGTCTCTGCCCTGAAGGCACTCCGGGCCATGGAAATATTCGCGTCCTTCGCCATCCTGATCACAATATCTTTGAGAACGCCGCCGACATGACTCTGTACTGGGTAAGACTTCCCTCAATGAGGCTCCGCTCCCTCCTCGCTCATCACTATGAGACTCATATGCCAAATCTATAAATAGGCACACCATGAGAAGTTCATTGTCATTGACTACGCCCTGGCCTTTATTGGAGGTATTGACCTCTGCTTTGGCCGCTGGGATGCAAATCAACACCCCTTGGCCGATGTACACCCGGCGGGGTTGCGTGATGACATTTTCCCCGGCCAGGACTTCAACAACAACCGCATCATGGACTTCCAGAGCGTGCAAGACTGGCAAAACAATGAGTTAAGCAAGGCCGAGTATGGCCGTATGCCATGGCATGATGTGGCCATGGGCTTGGTCGGCGATTGTGTCTACGACATTGCTGAGCACTTTGTGCTACGCTGGAACTTCATTAAACGCGATAAGTACAAGCGAAGCGACACTGTAGACTGGTTGTTGATAGAGGGTCGGACCGGCGAGAATGAGGATCTAGTCGCAGTCCAGCGACCCAAGTATCCCTGTGGCGAGTACATCCAACACCCTCTCTCGCCATTAGACACCAAGCCCCGGGGCCAGCAGGGCTCGGTTCGTGCGCAGATAGTCCGCAGCAGTGATGATTGGAGCAGCGGCATTTTGAACGAACATAGTATTCAGAATGCATACTGCGAGACCATTCGGAATGCCCAGCATTTTGTTTACATTGAGAATCAGTTCTTCAGTGGGTGTATCTTTCTTTAATGTCTGTTATGAGAGAAAATTCGGACTGACCAGTGCTTCGTGAACTGCAGTTACTGCCACGGGTGACCAGCAGCGCCCGATTTTCAATACCATCGGTCGCGCCATTGTGGATGCTTGCATTCGAGCGGGAAAAGAAGGCCGCAAGTTCCGCGTCATTATCGTCATCCCCGCCATCCCCGGCTTCGCAGGCGATCTGCGCGACTCGGCGGCGACCGGTACCCGGGCGATCATGGACTACCAGTACAAATCCATTTGCCGGGGCGAGCATTCGATCATGGGCCAGATTGAGAAGGCGGGTATCGATCCGAAACGTAGGCTTTGCTCCTCGATCTCCCCCTTTGTTCTGGTGAGGATGTTAGATCGTTGAAGGCTGACTTGACCAGAGCATATTTTTGTCTTCGCCTTGCGGGCTTATGACCGTATCAATAAGACTCCAGCACTGGAGGAGCTCGAAAAGAAGGCCAATGTCACGTATCAAGATATTCAGCGTGGTATCGCCGAGTCTATCATGAGTGAGAGTGTGCACCCTTCGGTTGGCAAGGAAGGTGACAAAAATGAAAGGAGCTATGCCACCGACTCCCGCCAGAAAGAAGAGAAAGTGCGTAAGCTCGAGAAGTTCGAGGAACAGGTTGAGCAGCGCAAGGCCGACCTGGGTGACGCCAGCAGAGACTCGGTGGCCCATACCACTATGCTGAATGGCGGTAAGATGTCGGACGAGCTCTGGGAAGGAGACCCCGAGGCCGAGAAGGACAACATTGTCCAGGAGGAGCTGTATGTGCATGGGAAAGTCTGCATTGTCGACGACCGCATCGCCATCTGCGGCAGTGCCAATATCAATGACCGCGTAAGTTCTACTGGGCACGAATTCCATCTCACCGCCGCTTGTCTTGCAAATTGTTAACTTCTTGCCCTTTTGTTTTTGGGGGGTGGGTTGGCTCTGCAGTCTCAACTTGGATCTCATGACAGCGAGCTTGCCATTGTCATGGAAGACCAAGATTTCATTGAGAGTCGAATGGACGGTCAACCCTACCGTGCGGCCCGCCTGGCGGCGACATTGCGCCGCCAGCTTTGGCGCGAGCACTTGGGACTGCTGCCGGCGCAGAATTACGACGCTACCGGCCATCCAAACGCGCGACCCCCCGATGTCTGCCTCAACCAGATCCTAGATGATGTCCACAATGAGTTTGTAACCGACCCGCTCAGCGATGCGGTCTGGAACACTTGGACGGAGCAGGCTAGCGTCAACACAGACACGTATCGGATGCTGTTCCGGGCCGACCCCGACAACAATATCAAGACCTTCGAGGACTATGACAATTTCAGGCCGCGTGGGTCGCACAAGCAGGGTCATCTGTTCGACCCGTATCTGCCGGTCCAGGAGGTCCGCCAGAAGCTGGATCGCATCAAGGGCCACCTGGTATGGTTGCCGCTCGACTTTCTGTGCGATGCGGAGATGGCCGAGCCCGGGCTGGCTGTGAACCAGATCACTGAGGTAAGTGGTCCCATATGGAGTTAGTTGAGATCGAGCGAACCTTCTCACTCGATGGCGTGGGTGGGCCCGATTGATGGGAGGGGGCTTGAACCGGGCTCTTCTGCGAATTCTCGGCTAACTTTTTCCCTCCTCCGCTAGAGCATCTACACTTGAGAGCAATCCACCGCGACTGGACGTGTCCATCTCCACTCGCGGATGGGTCGCGAGAGAAGATTATTGATGCCCGCTTGGCATAGATTGGTTGATCCTTTTCTTTTACTTTCACCGCACATTCGATCAAATCATCACCGGCTCTGAAAGCCACATTATGGTCAGCCACTGCTGTTATCCTCTGGAGTACCTCTTGTGTGCCTGTACCTGATAAGAGGTCGAGATCATGTCTGATGTACATAGTTCCCATCCCCTCTATACAATCCTAAGCCTCTTTGTTCCTCTTCTTCTTGTTTCTTTTTTTCCTTTTGTTACCTTACTGTCTTCTTGTTTTCCCTTTCCTCTTCCTACAGCTTTCTAGAGCCATGGCTCTCCTCCGGGGTCTACCACGAAGTAGTACTAGTAGCCATCCACTGGGCCCAGTTCTGAAGTATCACTATTTTCATGATCATCAAGTTCCTGAGCGAGAAGAAACACAACTTTCCAACATACCCTCTCCCCCTCCTTATGGAGTAGGGGGGCTGGAAGTACGGAATATACTACGTCCTGAATACTCCGTGGTGACCCACTTCGCGACCTCCACCTGCCACCGAGTTCCCGTACCACCAGCTGGTCCTTGCGTGCCTTTTCCCTTCCGGAGGATCTAGGATGTGCCCAAAGTGGAGACGGGTCAATAGAGTTCCCAGACCCAAACCCCTGGAAATCCTTTTTGTGATTTGCTCCTGGAGCGTCGGACACCGAGAGTGTAGCGCTTGGACGACGAACAAGGGGCGGACAACAGGAACCCCCGAAAGGTCGCGTTTTTACTCTGTGATTTTGAGCCCATGGCCTAACACCCATGCACTTCGACGATCTATCACTTTCTTTGGGGGGCCGTCTTCGTTTTCCGGTAATTAGGTTTCATGGCGCCAGCCCTTTAACCAGATCGATTGGATTCCTTTTCCGCTCGCTTGCATTGGTAGAGTTGGCCAGCCCTCTGGCGATTTGCAAGCTGTTTTAGTTCGCATTCCAGCGCCCCACTTTTTGGTTTGAGGTTTATATGTTTTTTTTTCCCTCCCGGGCCCCAGTCGCTGATTGAATCCAATGGGCACCAAAGATACAGGTGGGGACTACGAGCGAGGTAATCGACTGGCCTTTGAGGGTTCGTGTGCGTAATGGGGCGGGGCATGCGAATGGTAGTCGCGAAGGGCCATCTGCCGACAGTGTGACGCTGCATTCCGTCGCACAAGGGAGGGATTCGCCGGGGAGAGACCCTGCGTCTCTGGCCATTTTGCCCTCTCCCATGTAAGGATTCGGGTCGCCTGTCGCGTATCACAATCGCGAGACCACCATTGCGAAGGGCCCGACTGGTCGTCCTCAACCACACTGACGGAACTCGTGGGCCACCGAAGTGGCCAATACAGGCGTGAATGCGTTGTTGCGATTCAAGAACGAAGAGTTGGTGAGTTTTGGTTGACGTGATTCTTTTTGGGAGAAGAGGAAGAAGAAGTTATAGATTCCAAATTCTGCTATACGGTAACAAAACAAGCTCGAATTAGAGATCGGGGTTTCGCCGGGTGAGCTCCAGGTCTTGACTCCGATAGATGTATAAAAAATAAGTGCACCAGCGTCTCCACGGGGGAAAAGAGTCAACAATCAATACAAGCCATCAATCTGAATACAAAACGGGACCAAGCTATAGATACAGTGCGTCTAGGAGACAACACCAAGACTAAACCACAAAACTCCGTCCGGATGCAAGAATCTCACGCATCGAAACTTTTAAAAGAACCTGACACTTCTTTTAAAGGGGAAACGGGCAACCGATCGAATGCAACATTCAAGTCATCAAACGCAAGCCATGGAGGGGAAAAAAGGACACAGCACAAGAAAAAAGTCAATGAATCGACGGGCCGAAAGTGCGCCAACCATGAATACACGCCAGAAAGCGGGAAAGATAGACAATGCATGGAGGGGATACCCTTGCTCGGGATGCTGCGAGATGCTCGAAGCGAGAGCGAAGGTGCGCTGGAGAGAGGGGGAAGAGGCGTCAGCGAGCGAATCATCACGATGGACACTTGTCGTAGATGAATGGGCGAGATAGGTGATTGAGATATGGGGCAAGAAAGAAGTTGACACTTACGAAGCCCTGAGGATTCCTCGTTGCGATTAACCCTTGGCATTGTGGCACGCATTGCATCGACAATGGCCACAGATCTTGCACCGCCAGATGGCCACGAAGGGGCCCGAGTTGCAGTCGGAGCACCGCCACGTCAAGATATTCCCGTTAGTAGCCTGAACGATGGCAAAGACATGGCCAGAACACTGGTTGGCCATTTTGGAGGACGGAGGGGGTACGTAAGACCCTTTTGTTGGTAGTTTGGTAAGTGTTCCTTATTGGTCTAAACAATCTAAAACGCTTTCAATCTGGCCGTCAATGGGAATACCAGAATTTGCAAACAGTGGGATCGTTTGAGGCTGAGAGAGGCTGATATGCAATTTAGCTTCGCACACGGACGGAGTTTTGACTGGAGACTTGGTCCCGAGGAGCTGTCACGTACTCAACTAGAGCAACTATCGCGGCCCGAGGGACTGGAAACCGGCGTCGATCACCGGAGTAGGCACCCTAAGTGTCGGAATTGGAGATGGCAGACAGGATGGACCAGAAATTCACCGTGAGCAAGGCGTGTACCAATCACAATTGGTGATCCGCGGGCAAACTGCTTCGGCAAAGGCTATGGGATGAACGGATTGAATGGGAGGGAGGCAATGGAGACGATGAAGACGATAGGAGAGAGCGAAAGATCCTCTCCGTTACTGGCGCCAGGGCCATTATATACCTGGGAAGTTGGTCTGTATCAACTGTTGGGGGGGGGGGGGGGGGAGGCAAGAGGGCGGGCCGCAGAGACCGAAGAGCAAGCACCAGCGAGATCCCTCGATCAAGCCAGACGGCATCCAAAGATGTGAATGGTTCTTCTGCACAGTGCCGTACGCACGTAGCCGGGATTGATGGATTGATGGACGTCAGGGTCAATCAAGACGGTTCCTCGACCCGTTCCCGGGATGGATAGGGTTGTACGTGGGGGGAGTGGAGGAGTGGAGGAGTAGAGATGAGAAAAAATTAAGGAATAATTGAGGATTGGGAACAAGAATTGAGATGAGAGCTCTGGATCTACCGAACCTCTATCTTGCATGATGCATGGAAATGGAGGCGAAGCCGCCATCGAACGGCCGATTCTCGCGATGATGGGAGAAAGACTTCAAGATCGCGATCATAGGGCATTAGAGGACTACAATTGGTGGACAACGATCTGATCAGGGAGCTAGGGGGCCGGGGCAAGCACATAGAATCCGATGAACGAAATATAGAAGGGTCGAGTCTCGAGCCTCGAGATCCGAGCAGCATCCAAACAAGACAAAGCTGGAAAGGCGATTGGAGGCGAATGGAGGGGACGAGGGGCGGGTAGAGTATCCGAACCGCCGTGGATGGAATAGAGGGTTTTTGGGTTTGATTTTCTTTTTTTTTTTTTTCCCTTCTTGGAAAGTGTTTATTCTTATTTTGATTTCGGTTGCTGATTTTACCATTGGATGTTTTTAGCATTGGGTTATTTTCTCTTGCATTTCTTTTTTTTTTTCTCTTTAATTTCTTGGGTCCGCAGATCGACTCGTGTTGACAAAAAGACGGTCAAGTGGATCTCCATACTCGGTGCTACAATCTGCTAAAATCTGCTAAAATCTGCTAAAAAGTGCTAAAAGAGCTCAAAAGGGACGGCGACAGGTCGCGGAGCTCCGCAGACAAGTAGCAAAGCGTCCTCACCACCAGATGAGATATAGCGGGGACAATTGATCCCAGAAGCGAACTCGCGACGCGTTCAATCCGACCAGCCGGGCTTGGAACTGGACGCCCCCCCCCCCCCCCCCCCCCCAGTCCAGGATCGCCGCGATGTCTGGGAACCGGTTTTGTTTTAGTTCCCCGGCCCCAGCTGAGTGCCGTCGGCGACGTAAGACTCGACCGAAGCGGCGTTGCCGAGGGTCGCGAGGAGTCTATAGTCTCGATACGATGGGTAGATTCTCGAGGACCCTCTTTAGAAAATTAGAGTGCCGGATACAATGGGAACAATGGCAACGATGGGAACTATAGGTCTCATCTCCAGGATAACAAATCCAAGAGCTGAAGGGATGGGGGAGGCCCCACCGATCCACCGGTTCGAGTGAAACTCCCTTATTTTTTCTTAGTTGCTATTCTCTTTCTTTTTTTCCCTCTCCCTCCCTCGCTGATCGTGGCCGATCATGGCCCTGTGCATCCCAGCAGCTCGGGTTGGGTCCGATCCCTGGGTTTATCCTGCGTCGGGGGCGTCAAAGAAGGTCCCGTATTAGAGATCAACAAGATCAGACCCATTGAGGAACCTTTGCAATCATTGACGGAGTGCTGGAGAATTCTCGCTGGACCCCAAGCACAAAGTACTTCGTACTCGGTACGTCTCGCCTGTCTCGCTAGGCCCTTCGCAACTGAGGTACATCCATGCATCCAGAGTGGATCCTGCCCGGCGTCCTCCGTCCGCACAGTGTGTCGCCTGTACTCCGTACTCCGTACTTTTCGTTCACAATGGGGTTAGCTTTCGTCACTAGTCACTCTCGGGACTTGGTCGACTGGTTCCATGGCCATTCTGGATGATGACTGGCGCAGGCCAGGGATTTAGGAACCACCCCCCGAGTCCCTGGTCCCCTGTCCCGCTCGATAGATCACATCGATGAGAGGCTAAGAAGCTGGTCGCCATCCAATGGCAAAGCGGTAGGTCCAAAAAAGTCCGTCTCCGTCACTGGCTCCCCAGCAAACTCGCCATTTGATGATAGGACAATGGATGACGGAGTACAGAGTATTTGACGCTTGTCGAGTACTTTGCGTCTCCACCTGGCACTTGACCCGGGAACTTTTGTTGGGTTCTTCTGTCATCGATGCATTTTTCTTTTTCCATTTTCTATTTTTCTTTTTCCTTTTCTCTTTTCTTCTTTTTTATTTTTATTTTTATTTTTATTTTTTATTTTTTTGCTTTCCTTCTCTTCTATCTTGCTTTTCCAGGTTTGATTCTTCATTACTTTCGGCTGTGGTCTTTCATTTTCCGGCCGGTATGCCCGGCACAATTAGGGTTTTCGTTCCTCGTCGTTTCCCCTGTTCTGTGAGCATCGCGGGCACTTTCATTTCGCCTGGATTCTATTTTTATGATCTGCTCGTTCCTAGTTCGCTTGACCTATCATCCGCCCCATGCCTCGTCCTGTTGAGATGACGATCGACCGGAATTCTGGCCCCGGCAGTAGTCATGTGTTCTGGCCGAGGCACTGTCTGTAGATCCAGCGGTCGATCCAGCTGCAATGTTAAAATGCCAATAAATGGGCACCGTTCACGGGCGATGTTGATTTTCTTGAAGCGCGCGATTGGCATTTGTCAGAAGCCGTGCCGTGTCGCACGGCGATCAAACCTACCACCGAATATGAGAGAATCCATTGGAACAGCCCGGGACGCAATCCACGGCCGCAGACAAATACAAATCAACCCCCACCAATAGCGCGGGGGACCAAGCTGGAGGTTTCAGAGGAACTGATGTATAGTACTACTGTCCTTGGTACTTTGTACAAAAAAAGAAAAAGAGAGGGGGGGGGGGGGGGGGGGGGGGGAAGAAATGGATACTTCTGCAGGTTTCCCTAGCCAAGAGCCGATTGCTGCCCGCTTGTAAATGTTCCGTAGTTTGATCTGGCTACCGGGTCTGTCGGTTTCATCGTCATCCTGATCGGCTGGCCCAAGATGGGGCTGGATGAATTAGTTGTAGTGGATCTAGCTGCGTTGCAACACGAGCTCCGAAGTCCTCGGTATTGTTCGCTATCGTCATACTCTGCCTTGCTGGGTCATAGTACAACGAGAGAGAGAGCGAGGTGAAAGAGCCGGGGGGGTCGAACACTCAAGAGGGTATCTACATTGGTCGGTTGGTCTACCGTGAGGGCTCTCCGTTCGGACGTCCATGATACCCACTTCTCGGCGAAAGGCAGCGGAGATCCATGCGTTCATCGGGATCCGAAGGGACATAAAACTCGTCCGCCCGAGATAGCTGGATCTCTATCCAGAGGCTGGGACGGGGGCAGGTGCAGATGCGGTCGCTTTGAAACCTGGCCAGCCATGCGGCGAATCAGGACCTTTTCAGATTGCGATTTCCTGGTCAATCACTGAGGCAAACCCATTGAGGCAAGTAGGCTCATGACCGGCAAACATATCAACGTCAGGGCCGCACCGAGAGCCATTGGCGGACGGGCCGACTCCCACGGGGAGCCACCATTAGGCCCGGCAGGGGAGCGGGGGACAGCGAGGTATGGACTATTGATTGGGGAAAGTTTGCTTGCGGTTTCTCGGCACGCAAACCGTAATTTGAATTACCCAGGCGATTCGGCTAATTCTTTTGACGGTGCATGAATCGGACTGTTGGGGAGACACACGGGGAGCCGCATGCCGCCGTTGACGGGTACAAAAATGATGTCAATGAGCACACAGGGAACACAGTCCAGCCAACAAAAACGAAACGACCAGGGACCGCTTGTCAAGTTGCCGGGAAGCCGAAGGACTGACAAATTGACGGAATGGATTGATAAAATGACCATGCTGGCTCCTCTCAAGGAGGGGTGATCAGTCGGGTTAATCAAGTGATGGGTGGATGATGGAGTAGATAGAGTAGATTGAGTAGATGTATACAGAGTGGAATGGAGTCCGGGTTATTTGCTAATAATTCACAATCGTCGTCGTGTCCGAGAGGTTCTCTTGCCCCGGTTTCACCGCCAGAAGGCAAACAGGAATTGAAATCCTGTAAAAAACCGGTGCCTTCATTTCTCGAGGGACCAGGCCTTCTTGCTTCCCTTTGCTTGTTCGACCGCAGATCCCATGAATCCCGAGGGGAGTCGTGGGATCGCAAGGGGAAAAAACGAGAAAAGAAAAACAATAGGGACCAGGCCCGGTATTTGCTCTGCCAACGCTCCGTTAAGAGCACCTCGTGGATAACGAGATGCTCCTGCAGTACCCAAGTGGACTGCACCGCTGGGTGGGGAAAGAAGAAAGAAAGAATTGGGAAACGAAAATCAAAAGGAAATCAGGATCAACGTGAGAGACAATCCCAAGTGCTACAGACCAGCCTGTGAAAAAAAGGCGATGTCTTCAAATGTGGGTTTTTTTTTCATTTGGTAGAAACATAGGTATCATGCCCTGGAAGCCCGGGAGTGCAGAGATATCGAAGTCTGCAAGTCAGAAACAACGCCGCCCTAGATGTTCAATTCGTCACAGCCATTCGCCTAAAGGCCTTCATTCAATCGTTAAGGTGGAACAGGGCCGAGACGCTGGTGAAGGTTAGTTGCGGTCCCAATCACTTAGGGAAAATACGGGGAAAAGAGCAGAAGGAAAGATGTTATACCTTTCACCGTAGTGATGCCGCCGGATGCTCTCGGCCAGGAGAGTCGAGACGTCGATCACGATCAGCTTCTTTGATCGCCGCAGCATTGACGGCTCAATGGGGAAGGTGTTGGTGACCACAATATGATCAATGGACGGACATGCCTCCATCTGGTCCAGGGAATCGGCTCCGAACAAACCGTGGGTGGCAATGCAGTAGATCTTGCGCGCGCCGCCACGCTTGACAACCGTCTCTGCAGCCGCGATCCAAGAGCCACTCTTATCAATCATATCGTCGACAATAAATACTGGTCGATCACGCACTTCCCCAACCAGGGTAATGGTCCGCTCATGGTCTGGACCGGCCACGCTCCCCTCGTCATCCGATTCGACGGCGTCAAAGGAGCCGCCCAATGCGTGGTCGGGGGGTATCGAGGACGCATTGGAAATCATGGAGTTGAACATAGTCTCCGGCACGACTTCGGTGTTTTCACCGGCGCCGGTGCTACCACTGGCCCCGGGGGTGGTCCCCCCGGATTGGGAGTCCGACTCGGGATGGTAGTCATCATCGACAAGCTGACCTTGCACTAGACGCCCAGTGATGACATCCTGCACCCGCACATCTGTGTACTCATGCGCAGCCTCGAGTTCCGATGGGCGGCGAGCTGCTGGGGGGGTCTCGGGACGAAGGAGGTCCTGAGGGGAGTCGGCGCTCTCGTTCTCCTCGAGTATAGGAGGAGTTGCCTGAGCACTGTGCAGGTGAAGTTCAAAGGGCTGTTGGTCTCTGGGGACACGGACTTCGTCTTCGACGGCATCAAAGAAGACCGTACTGTCGGACATGGTGACTGGAACCTTCGGTCGCCGCCGGTCGGTGGTCACAATACCGAAATTCAGTTTCAAGGTATCGGCCAGCGATGTGACACGCTTGGTGCCGCCGGCATTTTTGCTCACCACCACGGCATCCCTCCATCCTGGCACATTCATGCGAATCCAACGGGCAATGAATGGTTCGGCGAAGAGATTATCGACGGGTTTTCCAAAGAAGCCTTGCATCTGGGATGCCTGTCGAAACCAACCAAATCAATATCATTTACCAAGCAGTCAGGAGTTCATCGCGGCAACTTACATGGAGGTCCATGGTAATGACATGATCCACACCGGCAATTGTGAGCAGATTGGCCAGCATTCGGGCTGTGATGGCGCCGCGGTGGCTCTTCTTCTTGGATTGACGCGAGTAGGGAAAGTATCTCGTCAGAGTCAGCATCCACTGTGATTCAGTCAAACAAGACAGGCAGCATACGGCATGACCGCTGGAGAATTGTCAGTGAACCTGCCTTTCCTTTTCTTGTGTAACAGCTCCGCAAGAGGGAGGAAGAGGAGAACGACATACCAGTAATCGACTTGGCCGAGCCGCCCTTGCAGGCCGAGATCATGATGAGAAGCTCCATGACACTGTCATTGATCTTGCTGCTACCACTCTGGACGATATAGACATCTTGGTTGCGGACCGACACACCAATATTGACGCTAGTCTCCCCATTGGCGAACTTGCCCAGATCAGCCTTGGCCGGCGAGGTACCCAGCCGCTCGCAGATGGTCTCTGCGAGAGCCGGGTGGGAGTTCCCCGAGAAGATCTGCACACCCCGCATGGCGGACCTTTGGGAAGACTTGAGGTGGAAAAGAAGAGAAAAGATGAAGTCGAAGAGAAGAAGAAAAAGAGAGAGAGAAAAACGAAGCTAAAAAAGTTTTGCGGAACCGAGCTGCGCATGTGGTCCATCCCGCTCGCCGGATGCCCCACGTTCTTATCGGCCAAACGTCGCTGGACTTTACACCATTGTGATACTCCCCCGCACAAGATAAATATGGCCAAGTTTCCCGAGGTTCAGGGAGGAGGCTCATTAATTATAGCCTGGCAGATCAGGGACAAGCGGGTCTTAGTGGTGGGAGGGGGTGAGGTAAGTTGTTTCGGCGCCATGACAGGCGCCAACGAGCTATATTCCCGTTCCGATGACTATGATCTCGCAGGCTGACGCCAATCATCTGCAGGTCGCCGCGGGGCGCATTCTTCACGCTCTCAATGCTGACGCCCATGTCACCGTTGTCTGTCCCTCGACTGGTTTAAACGATGAGGTGGCCTTTCGGGTCGCCGAGAGGCAAGTCAGCCACATCAATCGCAATTTCGAGCCACACGACCTTGACATGGCGGATATGGTGCTTTGCGCTATTGACGATCCAGAGGCCTCGACTCAAGTCTGGAAATTATGCAAGGAAAAACGCATTCCAGCCAACATTGCGGATGTCCCCCCCCGAGTGCGATTTCTACTTTGGAAGTGTCTATCGCGATGGACCACTGCAGGTTATGGTGAGCACCAATGGTAATGGACCAAAGCTTGCTAGTCTTGTGCGCAAGAAAATCGCCGAGACGTTACCAAGCAATATAGGTGCTGCAATCGAGAATGTGGGTAAGCTACGGAGGAAGCTAAGGGAGGTTGCGCCCAATACAGACGAGGGACCAAAAAGGATGAAATGGTAAGATTGATCTTATTCTCGGTATACCGGTCTTTCAATGAAGGCAACATATTACTAACCATCACTCAGGATGTCCGGAGTCTGTGAAACATGGAGCCTAGATGATCTAGTACAAATGAGCGAACGGGACATGGACAGCGTGCTGGCTCACTATCAATCGGGCCGCATTCCCACATTACAGGAAGTCCGAAAATAATAGGAAAAGAATAGAAAATTTTCAAACCCTTATCAGTACAGGTATGCATCTCTAGAAGTTGAAAACAAGCATGCCAATGGAAACAGGAGAAAAAGGTAAAGAAAGACATGGGGTGGACAGAAACAAAAGTTGAATGGAAAAAAACGCCGAATCGCCCGTAAATCACACAGCCCGGGCAAAATAGTATATCCCTTGGCTCCTAAACGAAAACTCGAACACAATTACAATCAAGGCGTCGCCTGGCTATCGCGACGCGACACTTTTTGAGACACGGAGCTCCGCGGGCTGATCGGGACATCCAGCGGGTTTGGCGGAGCCACTCCCAGGCGGACTTCGCCGATCCGGCGGAGAAGAGATTGCAGCGCGACGCGTATCTCCGGGCTGAGATCACGGCTGAGAAGTTCAACTCCCAGCGGGTAAAGGGTCTCAATATGCTTGTCAAAGCCTTTCTGGGGAAAATTATTGTAACCGTCGATAACATCCACTACCACCGGCCGCCAGGCCACAATATTGCGGTGCTGAGACTCTTCGTCAAGACGAACGAAGCTGCGAATGATATCGGCACAGAGTCTAGGTAAAAGTCAGTTTTACTTCTTTTCCGTTGACAACAAGATCACTTGAGGTAAAACATACGGAATCAGGGCCGCCTCGGTCTCCGCACGGCTGCTTTGTCTCTCCTCGCGCTCATCATGATACATCCGGAAAAGTATATGTACGTAGGTAGCGGCACTACCGCTCTCCTGTTTGAGAAGATTGGGAGGTTGCTTCATGAATCCCTGACGCCAGAGCTGCATGCGTAATTCCTTGTCTTCGTTGAACTTCTTGGCAAATTGATAACTCTTCTTTAGAAGGCCCATCAACCGCAGAAGCTCGTGGCTGGGGATTTGGGCATAAACATTATCGTTGGAGAAGAGTTCATGAACCGTCTCGATCATAAGGAGCTGCAACACACAGTTGGTGATGATTCTATTGAAGAACCGACGTCGTGCCACAGTAACAGCGGCAGGTTGAGGCTGAGGGTCGGCATGGGGGCGATAATCCTCTAATTCTGCGCGTGCCTCGCTTTGCGCTGGGGGGTCCCCCGCATCCTGGAGTGAAGCATTGCTCTGAGATCCATTGGCAGGCAAGGAGTCAGGAATTTCAGCCGATGCAGGGGTCACAACCTCTGTAGACTGTGCAGCGTCACCATTGGTTGCAGGTCCATCCGTCAATTTAGACATTGATGCCGCCGCAGTGAAGAGCTCATATGCCGTGGTTTTGCTAAACAGCTCTACAAAGGCTCCAACGATCTGGGTCCAATGCTGCTCTCGAAATTTGGAGACATTCTGCAGGATCAGTTGTTGCAGGCAGTTGCTGCCAATTCGAGCGATGGTATCGTTCTCTTGGCAAATGCAGAGTGTCAACAGTTCCAGAAACCGGCCCAACATGTACTCCAAAGAATCGAAATAGTGAGTGAAGAGGGTTATCATATTTCGCAATGCCTGAATCATAGTGGTTGAGAGCCAGACCGACAAGTCTTCATGATTGGGAACCTTGGACATTTCTGACTTAGACTGCAGAACCACGAAGATTGGGCAGAGCAATTGACGCCAGAGAACATCCCAGAAGTCTCGAGGAAAGTCACCACCATGTCGAATCAAGGTTTCAAAGAGATATGTCAGAGCCCGCGATCGGACCTCGAGATCATCGCCCGTCATGAGCACATCTTGGAACGCAATGAGAATGGGGTACCAGAACTGCTCCTCCTGTGACTGGCGGGTAAGCTGCTTGGCAAGGTTGGTTCCCTCCTCCTGGAAGTGATGGGCAGGAGTTCCACGGTGGGAAAGAGGACACTCAGGGGCACGCAACATCTTGGTGATGGTGGATTTGAGCGTCTCGATGGCCTGTAATGACTTCTTTTGGAACTTGGAGTTCTTTGAAAACTCCGTCAGGCAAACAATGAGGTCTGCAAAGGCACCTTGAGTGATCACAACCCCAAACCGAGTATTATATATCTGGGTCACATGGTCAAAAGCCATGTTCACGATTCCCTCTGTTGTAAAATTGTCAGCGATAGTCTTTTGGACTAAGGAAAATATATTGAGGCCAGATTTGGGAAGAAGTGGGAAATTTACCATAGGGTTCTCGAGCAGCGACGGTAAAAACGCCAAACATAGTCTTCCATCCAGATCGGATGTTGTCACCACGAGCCTGAATCATTTGAATCAAACAGCGAAGGATCATATCCTTAACGGCAGCGGTAGTGCTATTTGCCATGACATGCTCAAACGGCTTGAGGAAGTCCTTTTGGAACTTGAAGCCTGGCAACTCACCAATCTCCATGAAGCGCATGGACAACTGTCGCAGGGAATCCAGGGCAAAGAACACCACGGTGGTGTTGGAATGGCAGCCAACTTGGTTGAAGTGTTGGCCTAGGACCTCCCAAATCTTCGACCACTCGATCCTCACACGAGTCATGTTGTAGTAACTAATTTCAACCAGCTTTTGTAAACTGTAGGTACGAGGAGAATCACTGTGCCCAGAGGACTGAATTTCTTGCCAGCTGACTTCGCTCAGGGCACGAACAAAGTCAATTATAGCTTCATGAGATAGGTTGGCTGTATTGGTAAAGATTCGATCCACACCACGAACCATGTCTGCAGATCGGCTCTCCATGGCAATTTCCATACGAAAAGCTGCAGGCCCACCGACTGAGCGAGGGCGAGATCTTCGGGATCCTTGCATGGACTTCCGAGAGGCATTTTCGGATGATGTTGTGGGTGCGCGGGATACATCTGGCAGTGAACCTTCGTCCACACCGTCACTCAGTAGCTGCAATCGGTCAAGTTGGCTGACGCAAGTGAGAATCTCTCGCCAAGAGCCACGGAGGTGGTTACCCTCGGTCAAAGCAACGTCTAGAAGAGTCTTCAGGGCCTCCACATTCTTAGCCATCATCTCCCTGACATTTCCAAGGTTAGTGAATTTAGCTAGGGCAGTGACAAAGGCCACTCGAGGAGTCTCTAGGTCGAAGGCACAACTAATCCGGATAGATAGCTTGAGCCCCTCCATGCAAAGCCGAATGATTTCGAGATTTTGAGTGTCCTGCATTGGAGCAGACAGTCCAGACAAGAAGGACATCCATGTCACATTGAACATCGAACCGACGTGACGAACCGAGGTGGCCGGTATAAAACGCGAGAGCGCATCTCGAACGGCCGTCTTACGCTGGGCTCGGATGAGGGAGCGATAGAGTTGCTCTGTCTTGTTGGCCATTTCCTCGGAAGCTTGTGCGTACTTCTCTCCTTGTAAGTCTCGTCCAACCGTGGCAAAGACCTGACCGGCACGGGTCGCCAGGCCAGCTGGAGTAGATGTCTGAATGCCAATATTGGCAGCGTGTTCACGTTCGGTATCGAGGACAATTTCATTGCTCCCAATCTCATCGTAGATAGCACTCAAATACTCAGAAGGTAAATCTTGATTGTCGTTGATGCCTCTGTTGTTCTTGATAAAGTCCTCCTTGGTCATTCGAGGCCCCTTCATTTTTGAACTATGTTGATCGGTGTTGAGCAAAATGACCGAGTAGGCAAGTACGTAGGCGGTATCTGCGTTTGCGAAAGCGTTGGGATTTTGAGTTGTATACCGTTCGGCAAATTTGAGCATAAAACGATCGATTTTTTGGGCTTCTCCGGGCAAACGAAAATGCTGCAAGAATGATCGAAGACCATCCACGAAGCGTCGCTTGGCGAAATCCATCAAGTCGACGAATTGATGCATAATGGCAATATTTTCCTGTTCTCCTTCGCCCAAGTATTCACCCAGGACGGCCTTGTCAAGGCGTTCATTACGCAACAAGAAGCTAGCGATATCTTCTGCGGAATCCGAACGAATGAATCCCTCTGAAAGAAGAAGTTTAATGCCACGTTTCGGCTTGAAATTGAATTGCTGAATAGCGTTCATTAGGGCGATCTTCCGCTGCTTGACCTTCTCAATCTGGTTCGGGTCGTCATCTGGTATGGGAGTAGATCGGCCAGTTCCTCCCTCGATGGCTTCCGGGCGAGGGGAAACAAGGACATTAGTGTCGAGAGACTCGCGCGAATTATCCATCGATTTGGATGGGGCAGCTGATTGAGCCGGTTGATCGTCCAGGCGCTGCGAGCCCCAGTTGTCAAGCGACCGCAGTATCTCTACCAGGCTCTCGAGAGCTTGAACTTTCAGAACGTATTCTGACGGAATGCTTGGCATCGCTGGTTGAGGAGGGGGAGTGATGTTAGCTGTTGTAAGAGATGGAGGTAAAGTGCCGCGTTGGTGCCAGTCCGCGCCGAGGCTAGACATCTTAGTATGGTGCTCCTGGAATGCCTGTTGTTGGGCAGCACTGGTAACAACTGGCACGCTGGAGTATCGCGACAGCTGCTCGATAATGTTTTGAAAAATGTTCTCCAATGCGGTCCGGTCACAATCATAGTTGAGATAAATCTCGACCAATGCACGAGGATCGCCTCCTAATCTTTCCAGAACTTCCATGAAGTACTGCTTCTGGAAAGAAGGAGCAGCTCGTTTTTCCAGGATAGCCAAGTATATTTCCTTCAGAAACACCTCCAGCTCTTTCTTCATCATAACCCGCATGTCCTTCAGCATCAGCCAAAAGATCTCACAGCACACCTTGAAAACGTGTGGAACAGCGCTGGACCCATTGCGACTCAGACTCAGACAGAGATGTGGCCGCACGGCCTGGAGAAGTGTCATGCCTTCGTTGCTGTTTGAGCTGTTCTTGATTGCTGCTAATGGAGAAGTGAATGTACCGATGTGATTGTTGATGAGGTAGTGTATTAGATGTAACGAAAGAATCTTGGACCGCATGTTTTGCGATTTGAGGTCCTGTTGCTGCTCGTGGCCAAGAACTTTATGACTTAGTTTGCAGAGGGCTCGGAAGACCAAAAAAGAGTCCTTAACGTAAATTTCATCAACTTCATCCTCAGCCGACCCGTCATCTTCCTTTTCTTCGGCGATGCCAGATATGGAGCGCGTGGCCGATCGCTTCGCACGAGTCACCGTAGTGGGCGCATTGTCATTGACAGTGGTCACTTCTTTGGGTGACTCAAAGCTCTGCAAAGTGAGCTTCTCGGCATTGGGCTCCTTTGTGACAGGCTGGTCTGTGTCCACCACAGATACTGATGCGGCCTCGGAGATCTGGCCTTGGTCGCTAGCCGAGGCATCGAGGCTGGTGGTGGCTTTCTCGATCTCACGAGTACGGAGTTCCTTCAGGTCCAACCGAACCCGAACACGGTCAAATACCGTACTCACCATTTGAGTCAGTGATCCCTGGGCAATCTGCTGATTCTGGCTTGACTTGGAGTAAATGAAAATATTGTAGATCTGGCGGACGGCTTTCAGGAGGCCAGCTCCATGCACGACAATCTTGTCGTTCAAAACCGCTGCCAGAAGAGACTTTATAATTTGCTGCTGGATCTCATTCGGGGTGGCTTCATTCTCGAAGCAATCGCAAATTGCATCGATAGCTCGCTCAATCAGAGGGGCTGTTCCGGGCTGGCTTCGCTCTCGGAGTCGGCGGAAGGGAAAGCGAAGTAGGAATATGTGATGAGTTTTCCAATGCAGTCCAAGGCGGTCACTTGAAGAGGGATACTCAATGTTTTGCTGGCTAAATGAAGAGGCCGAAAGATGAGCTCTGGATCAATAGGCTGTCCGTCGGACTGCTTGACGTTGCTCAATGCCACTTGAACGGCATCCTCGAGATCCTTGCTCCTCCGAGCTTCCCGGGAGGCACCAATTGTGTCTAGGGCGTTCACAATGAAAACGGTAGAGCTGACAACGCTGGATCGATGGGTCGCAAAAGTAGCTGTCGTTGACCTCGAATCGGATCGCATTCGGGAATCCGGCACATTCTCACCCGTGGGCTCCGGCTCCAGGATCTCGGGCGGCGCATTAAATTGCTGCTGTTCGACTTTGGCGCCATTGGTGTCATCCTCGTTATCCTTTGGTGGAACTTCAGGCTTGTCTTCATCTTCGTCACCCGCCTCTGCTACTCCCGCTGCTGTTGCCTGTTGAGTTTCGTCTTGCTCCTGCGTTTCATGCTCCGCTTGGCTTGAAGGGCTCTCTTGGCTTTTTTCCTCCTTCGCTTCTTGCCATTCAGTTTTCTCGTCAGAAAACGTCGGCTTGTCTTCTGTCAAGGTTGGTGGAGTTTCTTCACTGTTTGTATGCATGGGGGCCTTCTCGGCTTCGGGGAGGTGATTTGCTTCGGAGCCGGGATCGACATCCGCCATTTTCGAGATGGAGACTCCGAGCGGAGTTATCAAATCAGGGCAAAAGCATTCGATTTGGGCTAAAACAAGGAGGCTGCGGGCTCTGATTGTCTGCGACGGTGATTATTGAATGCATGGGGATAGCGTGTCTTCTCCGAATCGGGACTACGGTGCTGAGTCAGCACGTGCCGTCAGCCTATGGTCACCTGACTCGGAAGAGGCCGCTCACCGGGAACCTTAGAAGCTCAACAGAAAAGTTCCTGTCTTGTAGAGGCCATCTTTCTCCCCCAACTCCCCCATTCTCGGCCCTCCTCGGTTCCCTTGCACTGGAATCTCCCTTTCTTTGATCTCTGCGCCGAGAGCCTTTTTCACGACACATAATCTCCGGCCATTTCAGCCCAACATGGTCGCTGCCGCCGTCCGGATGCGCACTCCGAGTGCCATGTTCATGTCTCGCGGCGCCGCCGCTATGCGGCGCCCCCAGGTCTCCTATAAGTTTCAGGAGGTGATGCAGTAAGCGTCCTCCCACAAAACATTTGGACTCATGAAATGATACTGATGAGTATTCTCTGCGCAGAGCTCAATTGCCCGCCCTGTCCGCTCTTTCCCGCTTCTATGCCTCCAAGTGTACGGAATTCAATTGCATCATCCCTACACCCCCTGAGTTGGTCTCTCTCTTCTTTCTCTGACAGCAATCTTCTCTACAGCGTTTCCTCCGCACACTATCATCAGCATGCCGGCTCTGTCGCCGACAATGTCCGCGGGAAACATCGGCGCGTGGCAGAAGAAGGCCGGTGACGGCCTCCAGCCTGGTGATGTCCTCGTGGAGATTGAGACCGATAAGGCACAGATGGACTTTGAGTTCCAGGAGGAGGGAGTGCTCGCGAAAGTCCTGAAGGAGACCGGTGAGAAGGATGTGGCCGTCGGCTCGGTAAGAATTTTCCCGAAATTTACCGCGGACTTGCTGGAAAACCAGAGCAACCCGACTAACCGTATCCGAATGGTAGCCCATTGCTGTTCTGGTTGAGGAGGGCACTGATGTGTCTCCCTTCGAGTCCTTCACTCTGGCTGATGCTGGTGGTGAAAAAGCCGCCCCGGCCACTGAGAAGAAGGAGGAGCCCAAGAGCGCCGAGTCGTCCGCCCCGACCCCGGCCCCGGAGCCCGCCGCCCAGGAGCCTGAGACCTCCGGTGACAAGCTGCAGCCCAGCTTGGACCGGGAGCCCTCGATCAGCCCGGCTGCCAAGGCTCTGGCTCTGGAGAAGGGTGTCCCCGTCAAGGCTCTGAAAGGCACCGGCCGTGGTGGTCAGATCACCAAGGAGGATGTCGAGAAGTACCAGCCTACCGGTGGCGCCGCTGCCGCGGGCCCTACTTATGAAGACCTTCCCATCACCTCGATGCGCAAGACCATCGCCAACCGCCTGAAGCAGTCGATGCACGAGAATCCCCACTACTTCGTGTCCACTACTCTGTCTGTCACCAAGCTCCTCAAGCTGCGCCAGGCCCTGAACGCCTCCGCTGATGGCAAGTACAAGCTGTCGGTGAACGACTTCCTCGTCAAGGCCTGTGCTGCCGCTCTCATGAAGGTTCCTCAGGTCAACTCCAGCTGGCGTGAGGAGAACGGCCAGACCGTTATTCGTCAGCACAACACTGTTGATATTAGCGTTGCCGTGGCCACCCCTGTGGGTCTGATCACTCCAGTGGTCAAGAACGTGCAGGGTCTCGGTTTGTCTAGCATCTCGAACCAGATTCGGGACCTGGGCAAGCGCGCTCGTGACAACAAGCTAAAGCCCGAGGAGTACCAGGGTGGCACCTTCACCATCAGCAACATGGGCATGAACCCGGCGATTGAGCGTTTCACTGCCGTCATTAACCCCCCTCAGGCCGGCATCCTGGCTGTCGGCACCACCCGCAAGGTCGCGATCCCCGTCGAGACCGAAGAGGGCACCGTCACCGAGTGGGATGACCAGATTATTGTCACCGGCAGCTTCGACCACAAGGTTGTGGATGGTGCCGTTGGTGGCGAGTGGATCAAGGAGCTGAAGAAGGTTGTTGAGAACCCGCTCGAGCTTCTGCTGTAACACGAGGAGCCGACGGCCCATGGCAGGCTGACTACAATGTAATCTGTATTAAAACGGTTTCCCTTTTAGACCACCATAGGTCCCTCTTTTTGTGTGTGTTTGATTTTAGCAACCTCAATCCATTTCCATATGTTTTGTCTTAAGATCAAGTTCCGAGCCTTCGAGTTTTCTGGAGAATGATTCGGCGCCTATAGAAATGACGTTCCGTTGATTTTCTCTGCTCTTCGATGGCAGTAAATAGTGTTATTCAGGGCATCGAGACCCTCCATACAAAGCTAGATGCGGATCGGGGGAGATGGTGGATATGTCTAGATTTTAGTGGGATGTTCTGGCTGGTATCTACATCCTGTGACGACGTTAGGCTATTGGCCGGGATTTAAAGGTGAAAGGTATGTAGAATTGATGGGAATAAGGGGATGGTGTTACGCTATCTGTAGAATATTCAGCGCGATTTGTGCCTAGGCGAAGATTTGAAGCTGCACTATTGTATCGTGGTAAGCATACCGCATCGGTTGAGCATCACACACAACGGGCTGGTTGTACGTTTATATATATATCACTCTACTCTCATTATTCTCTATTAGCATATTCACAAGGAATAATGTACTCAACCAAACAACTGGAGCCAGTTCACTCCCAATGAGGTAAGTATTGGTATTTGGAGGTAAGATTCAACGTCTAGACCGACTTAATGGTGATATCGAGAGCCTGAGTGGCGTCGTGGTTGCATCCATATATTCTTCATAATAAATTATATATTGAAATTGATAAGCAAAATTATCCAATCAGCCTTCATAGCTCAGTTGGTAGAGCGTTGCACTAGTAATGCAAAGGTCAGTCGTTCGAATCGGCTTGAAGGCATTCTCTTTTTGTGCTTTTCCTACTTTTATATTTTCCTTAATTTTATATCTTCATTTATTTGCACCCCTTGATAACTAAAATTCCAGTGACGAGTAAATAGAACGCCATAGGCCCCATCGATGCGAGGGCCTGTCTCTTCATTCAAATCATCATGGAGCCTGAAACTCTGCACAGCATTCTGCCTAATCATTTCTTTCTTCTGTGGCGTACTAGGAGCGGCTCTTTTGATTCGCCTTCTGCTGTAACCCTCTTCAATTATTGTATTAAGGCGACCCTGAATGAGAATTCCACTGAGAGTCCCTTTCCCGCGGCGGTCCCCTGAGTCGCATTCCGATGTCCCGATGGGCCGATGGCAGGTGGCTTGCCAGGGTTCGTGTGGCTCCACCGAGTCAAATCAATGACGTGATGTCACACGCCTGCAGCTTCCAAGGTTCCGTATAAAACTCCAGCGTCCCGATTCCTCCCCAGCTTGTTCCGGTTCATCATTTCCGACCGACCTTCTCTTCCGTATCCTCACGACCTACGCTGATCAGCGACTCAATTTTCACAATTCTCCCTCCAGAATCTGTCTCTTATTCGTCTACTTCACATCTACACAACATGTCATACGCCGACGCCGCTGCGAAGGGTCCTAAGCAGTCTCCTGAAGAAGTAAGTTATTTCCAACCGATTACCGCGCAAATCACAATTAACCAGACTTTTAGGCGTGAGTGGACTGACCTCTTTAGAACCCCCTTATTATCGCATACTGACTCCTCTTCCGTCCCTCTTATCAGTCGTGCTCCCAATGTTGGAGGTATCTACAAGGATGAATCCGAGAGCACGGCCTCTTTGATCGACGTTGATTCCCCGCACGTCACCGCTGTCGACCCCAATTTCCTAAACCAGGAGGTAAAGACGACCACCCAGGCCGAACGGCTCGAGCGCGAGGCCGCCGAGGAGGAGAGGCAGAAGCGGGTCCAAGAGGAAGAAGCTCGCAAGAAGGCCAAACCCTGCAAAGCCAAGGGCCGTGGCCTGGGTGCCAATGTTGATAATCCAGTTTTCATCACAAATGCTCTCGTGGCCACCCTTGTCGGGGCCGGTCTGGGGTTCGGCGCCTACCGCAAGCACACGCAAGGCAAGCTCTCGTGGGAATTGGTTGGCCTGTGGTCCGGTGCCGTGGGCGCTTTTGGCGTGGTTGACTACTTTGTGAGCAGGTAAGTACTACTCGGATATTTGCTGTCATTACCCAATTCGATCCCTGAGGAAGGCCTGGAGATGGATGTTATGCTAATCACCGGAGTATATAGATGGTTTCTGCAGAACAAGTACCCACCGAAATAAGCCTGCTGCTTGATAATGCGCTGTTCTTATTCTTCCTCTCCGCTATTGCTTATTCCTTTGTGCTGTTTGCTTCTTCCTCCTCTCAAGTTCCCATATACCATCCCAGCTCTTGAGATCCTGCATTCCATTTGTATTTGGCGAGACTGGGGTTGGCGGACCTTGTGTGCCTAGCTGTAGTCCTTAGCCTCGAATGATACCATTTGTGACCTGATCAAGACAGTATCCCAAATATTGCTCCCATAGGCCCTGTGAGGACATCTTGTAACGCCAAAAATCCCAGATACAGCCTTCTCCTGGGTCTGGACCGGTGATCGAGCTACGGCGCATGCAGTAGTGACGTCGTTCTGCTGGTTCCACGAAGGCGGTCAGAGGCCTAAAACACCATGCTGGCCTTCACCCATCGAGACCACCAGCGACTTCGTGTAGCCTCAAAGGTGCCAATCTGTGGCTGATAACGATTTAAACATCACTTCCGCATCCACTGAAAACCAAGTCTGCTTTTCGCTTCCGTTTATTTTGGCGGTGATCTCCGAGACCCACGAGATCTCCCCTGGCGGCGGGCTCCTAGTGACAATATGGTATGAATCCAGGTGATCGATAGATTCTCACAGCTCGCAGGCTGATGATCCTGGTAGAATTCTCTTTTCAACTCTGCTTTGAAGCAGTCCTCCGCCATTCGCCGTGACCTGGACCTGTTTGCCCAATCCCCCGCCACCTCCACGCCCGCTCTCCAAGGTGTGTTTTTCCATCCCCCCCTCCCTTTCTCGCGGTGCGCCGCTTGAGACCGAGCTGAACTTTCATCGACATCATATAGGCCAGGTCGCCGCATCACTGGCATCCCTATCGCGGACGGTGGATGACTACTCCGCTCTGTCCAAGAAGGAGCTGATCCCCGAGAAGCAGGAGAAGGCATTTGAGCGAGTCAAGAACTTCCGCACCGAACTCGCCGATTACCGAACCCAGTTTGACCGACTACGAAAAGAGCGCGAGGAGGCCGTATGACGCAAACCCCTCTCCCTCCATCGAGTGTTTACTTGCCAACTGATGAGCCTTTCTCTGCAGCAATCGGTCACCAACCGCAGCGAGCTTCTCGGCCGTCGGCCCCATCATACCGCAACGCCAGAAAATCCTTACGCCCAGTCCGCCCTTCCATCCTCTTCACCATTTGCCCCCTCTTCGGGGCTCAGCTTTGGTGCGGGCCCGGCTAATTACAGCCGTGAGAGCCATGCACTGCGCGAACAATCGTTCTTTGCTAGCACCAACAACCAGCTGGATGACTTCCTGGATCGGGGGCGAGCAGTGCTGGCGGATCTGGGCCAGCAGCGAGAAGTGCTGAAGGGGACTCAGCGCCGACTGTATAGCGTGGCCAACACCCTCGGAATCAGCGGAGATACGATTCGGATGGTGGAGCGACGGGCACGGCAAGACAAGTGGATCTTCTGGGGCGGCGTGGTGGTGTTTTTCTTGTTCTGCTGGGCGGTTCTGCACTTCCTGCGATGAGGCGGATGATGGAAGGTGCAGGAGAAGGATCCATGATGCCCCCAAGTGCTTTGATTCTTGGCTCTCTTGTAATGGGGAATGGTCTGTCTTTGGGCCGCCGTGGATGTCTCTCTTTTCGTGTCTCGCTCTTCTCCCTCCATTAGCGACGGCGTTTTTGTTTCTATGGCTTTGTTCCTCCTGTGTCAATGGCCTTGGAGTCTTTTCCCTGATCGTGGCTTTTCAATTCCATGTTTTCTCCGTACTGGGCTCTTTCCTGGAGCTTCTGTAGCTCCTGTAGCTCTCGAGAAGTATATAATATGGTGGCATCATGCGGTGCGTCTAGTCTACGGCAGCTGCAGGTACTGCTGGGCTGCTATGCGACCCCCAAAGGTATCTAGAATGTGTAACTATGCTAAATGACTAGCATTGTATACTCTGCGACTCTCCACGAGAAACGAGAATTGCAATTGGCGTTGGACCGGATCTGAGTGCAGCTGTTCAGGACGTTGATTTGGGCTGTTTCTCCATTCATTCACGTTGTATGCCTGTACGGAGTCTGGCGCTCCGTGACCTGCACAATGAGCAGTAGTACAGAGGACAGGGAGGTCGCTCTCATAGTCCGCCATTGGCGGGTGAAAATCATCAAACGAGCATCGGCCGAGCATCGGCAGCCCGGAACTTCCCAAAAGTGGAGCCGCCCTTCCTTTCCTTCCCGCTTTTCCTTTCGCTTCTTCTTCTCCTCTTCCATCTCTCCCTTAGACAGACCAGATCACCATGTTTGCCGCTCGTCAGTCCTTCAACCTCTTCCAGAAGCGCGCCTTCTCGGCCTCCGCTAGCCAGGTATGCGCCTCTCATTGCCCACCATTCCACCCTCTCACCCTTTTGCTGGCCCCTCCCCCTGGCCCTGAGAATATACTCATCTCGTTTTCCCTCCCAGGCCTCCAAGGTCGCCGTTCTCGGCGCTGCCGGTGGCATTGGCCAGCCTCTGTCCCTGCTGCTGAAGCTCAACCCCCGTGTCTCTGAGCTCGCCCTCTACGATATTCGTGGTGGACCTGGTAGGTAGCTGCTGATGACGAACTCACCGATCTCTTCCGAGAGCTTCCTCCCGCCCTCGGTCGTGATCCATCCACATCGGCTGTTGTGCTGACCGAGATTCTCCAATTGCTTCGCAGGTGTCGCGGCTGACCTGAGCCACATCAACACCAACAGCACCGTCACCGGCTACAACCCTGATGCCGCTGGCCTGCGCGACTGCCTCAAGGGCTCTGAGATCATCCTCATTCCCGCCGGTGTGCCCCGTAAGCCCGGTATGACCCGTGATGACCTGTTCAACACCAACGCCTCCATCGTCCGCGACCTCGCCAAGGCCGCTGCCGAGGCTTCTCCCGAGGCCAAGATCCTGGTCATCTCCAACCCGGTATGTCGTCTTGCTCTCATGCAGTCCTTGCCTATTGTTCACCTGTCACTTCGGTCGCCATTATGAATAAATGGGCCATCCCGATCATTAAATTTGCCAATTCATTTTCAAACGCATATTTGACTGATGAGAACTACGCCTTAGGTCAACTCCACCGTCCCCATCGTCGCTGAGATCTTCAAGTCCAAGGGCGTCTACAACCCTAAGACCCTGTTCGGTGTCACCACCCTGGATGTCGTCCGTGCCTCGCGCTTCATCTCCCAGGTCCAGAAGACCGATCCCTCCGGCGAGAAGGTCCCCGTCGTCGGTGGCCACTCTGGTGTGACTATCGTCCCTCTGCTGTCCCAGTCCGCCCACCCCTCCATTGCCGGTGAGGCCCGTGACGCTCTCGTCAACCGCATCCAGTTCGGTGGTGACGAAGTTGTCAAGGCCAAGGACGGTGCTGGCTCTGCCACTCTCTCCATGGCCATGGCCGGTGCCCGCTTCGCCGAGTCCCTCCTCCGTGCCGCCCAGGGCGAGAAGGGTGTCATCGAGCCCACTTTCGTCGACTCCCCCTGTTCAAGGACCAGGGTATCGACTTCTTCGCCTCCAAGGTCGAGCTCGGCCCCAACGGTGTCGAGAAGATTCACGAGGTCGGCCAGGTTAACGAGTACGAGCAGAAGCTCCTCGACGCCTGCCTTGTTGACCTGAAGAAGAACATCCAGAAGGGTGTTGACTTCGTCAAGGCCAACCCTTAAAAATTTCTTCTCCACCGCGAATCTCCCTTATCCTCTCTCCTGTATAAAATTGTCTGTTTGGTCTCGGCCGATCGCAGAGCTTTAGGATTATGTACTGATAGATCGATATCCATGCCATAATCCAATGTCGGTCTAAACTCTCTCACGATCGTAATCCTGCATATCTCACCCGGTAGTCTTCAGAAATACTCTAACGTAAAATATGAAGCTAAAAGAAAGGGAAACGGATTGCATAAGTGCAATTAGATCGGAGTGGAATCTAATAAGGCCGACAAACGAGTCTGTCCACCGCGTGAGGCAGACGTTTGACGAAGTAGCAAGATCAACCCAAGGAAATTTCAATGCAACCGAAAGAATCAAAGCAATCTCTTCTTGATTCATCGGCCACGAACTGGTTCCTTCGCCCTGTTGGCCCCTCCGTCCCCGGTCTTCAGTCTCCCTTGCAAATGCCCCCCAACTCTAAGTGCAAACAAAGTCGTGAAAAGTAAGCGTCAATCAAAGAACATTATGCACTCAAGTGTAACTGCGCATCGCATCTAAGTAGCCCGTTCCGCCGCGCAAGTCATGGTCAAAGGTCTCGGCCACCTCGAGGACTCGTTTGATGTGGTCCATGGAGAGGGGCGAGCTCTCGTTTACGGCCAGAGCCTGTGCCGTACGAACGGAATTTTTGATCTAGAGAGACAATATATTAGCATTTGGCAAAGTTAAAAAATGGAAAAAGCAAACAGTCTGATGGAGCATTGATATGAGATCTGCCAAAGGGTAGGGAAGGCAAGGGAAAGAGGGCCTAAACTCGAAACCTCGAAAAGACGTACCTGGCGACCATTCAATGTATGCCGAGCAAGCATATCGTAGTCGTCCTCGGAAAATGTCGCCGTCTGCACGCCCTCGATGGCGCGCACTCGTTCCAGGAACATCTTCCAGATGCTACGTTTGGCCTTGGTCGTGAGGTCACCGTACCGGAGGGCGACGTGGATGCGAGACTGGAAGGCGTCGTCAAAGGTCTCGACGCGGTTGGTGGTCAGGAACAGGATACCCTGGAAGTATTCTAGAAGTCGCAGGAAGATGCTGACCAGCGCATTTCGGTGAATGTCGTGGATGGTGCGCTTCTCAAGGAAGATGTCTGCTTCGTCAAGGAGGAGCACGGCGCCCCAGGAGTGCGCGATGTCCAGAATTTTGTTCAGTTCGCCTTCCAGCGTGCGGGAGTCTGTTCCTAGCTCGCCGGCACTGACCATGTACAGTGGGCGTCGCAAGAGCTCGGCAATTCCCTCGGCCGTCAGGGTCTTTCCAGTACCGGGGGGTCCATGCAGGACGGCGACAAGGCCTTTACCCTTGCCCTGGATCACATCGTCAATGTTTTCCGCTGCATGGAAAGTGTGCGACTCGACGAGCGCCTTGACGATGGACTTCTGGTTGCTCGGCAGGACCAGCGAGTCGAAGGCGTCGGCATTCCACTCGATATCGCTGATGCCCGAGATGGTGAATTCGAGCCACAGCTTCTCGCTGAACGCAAATCCCAGCACCACCGGACTGGCAATCAGCAACTCCTCCTCCGTGAACTCTCGCTCCTGATTCTCGGCCGCGTCGCCTTCGATGCGGTCCATTTTCTCCCTTGTGGATCTCGTTCCCGTTCTCGTCCACCTCCACCTCCACCACACGGGGCGTCCCATCGTCGCCCTCCACAACCTTGTAGACGGTTCGAGGGGTGTCGGAAGAGCACCCATTCTCGGAGTCCGAGTCAGACCCACCGCAGCAGCAGGCATCGCTCCCATCCTCCTCGGCATCGCTGAAGCCGGCCTCCGAGCCATCTAGTAGGTCTGGATCTTTGGGTCGGACGGTGCTTATGGGGTAGTTGGGATTGATGCGTCGATGGATAGCCGGGTCGATCATGACCCGCCCATTGATATTCACCTTGATCACGAAGGAGCGCTTTTTCTTGTAAAACGCCATACCCTTGTGGAAACGGTAGTTCATGCCCCGGAGCGCGACGAATCGCTTGCCTCGTTCGACAAGACGAGAACGGAGTGCCTCTGAATCACGGTGATACTGTAGCGGATAACACGCGAGGCTGGTGATCTTGCGGGCGCCCTTGAACGATTCAACCTCGGCCGACATGGAGCCGAATCCAAAGTCCTTTCCGTCGTATTCAAGATACCGCCCTTCCACGCTGTACCACTGACCCTTCATGAAGGAGGATTCTTTGATGGCATATTCGATCTTGAAGGCCCGGGGCTCGTCGGCGTTGCCGTAGGTCGGGGTGTACGCGATGGTGTTCGGCTTGAACAGGGCCCAGAGGAGGTCAAATGTGATAGTATTGGCCTCCAGCAGCGGATACAGGGTCTTTTTAGTATCGGCATAGTCGGTGTCGAGATACTTGACGAGCACCTTCAGATGCGCGGCTTTTGCGGCCGCGCTCTTCCGAGCCTTCCTCTTCTTCTCTTTGCGTGACTGTCGCTTCAGCTCCTTCATATACTGCCGGGTCTCCTCCAGATACAAGAACAGCATGTTGGGGTCGACCACGGCGGGCTCCTGCACCAAACTGACGCCCTTGACCCCGTCCATGACTTTGGCGAGTGCATCGCGTAGGTGCTTACTCTTGATGTCGACCACGGTCTCGAGATACTTATTTTCCCAGTTGAACTTGCGACGGACGGTGAAGATGTACTGGTCCCACTCGTCGGCATCGGGATCGTCGACCGTTTCGGTGAGTTTGTACTTGTGGATGGTGCTATCCCAGACTATTGACCGGCGAAAATCGGAGCGAGTCAGTATCCAAATTAAAGAGAGGCAGGGTATAGGAAAAAAGAAAACACATCAAACATCGACCTCGCTGGGCCGACTCTGATGGATAGAGGGGGCGGCTTACGTTGATCCACCCGCTTGAAAGCCACTTTAGAGGCGGGCTTTTTCTTCTTCGAGCGCTTGTCCCGCCGACTCTCGCCGGCCGGGTCACTCAGATCAAGATCGTCGTTGGACTGGTTGCGAAGTCGCTTGGCGCGCTTCTTGAGCTTGATGCGTGCCATCAGCTTGCGAAGGGCCTTCTCGTCCGCATCCTCGATGTCCTCCGACTCCTCAGCGTCGGAGTCGCCGTCGGAGGGGATCTCTGAGTCGGAATCGGTCTCAACGAGTTTGCGCGACCGCAACTTGCGCTTCTTGCGGCGTTTCTTGTCCCGGAGGGCCCGTTTGGCCCGGGCCTTGGCTCGCAGCCGGTGCCGCTTGCGGCGATCTGGCTCGGAGTCACTGGCGATGGACTCAGAGTCGGCATCGTCCAAGTCCGAGTCGCTGTCGGAGGCGGAGGATGAGGAGGAAGATTCCGAAGAGGAGGAGGAGCTGGACTCGGTAGAGTCGCTGTCGGAGGCATCCTGCTTCTTCTTCTTGCTCTTCTTCTTCTTCTTTTTCCTCTTCTGGTTGTCTGCTTTGGCGTCCGGGTGTTTCTTGCAGATAGCTACTTTGGGAGCATTTTCGGTGGCCGGGACGGTCGCGGTGGCCGCATCTTTCACCGTGGCTTCCGGAGCTGTTGGCTGGGCCGACCCATTGAGGTTTTCAGTGGAGGGGTCAACCTCATGTTTCGTTTCTCCGGTGTCGACTTTCGTCGGTTCCGCCATGAAGGGGAAAACTGATTGGGAGCTCGGAGGGGAAGCCCGCGAGGAGGAACGCTACAGGGGAGCTTTGGAAGCTCTTGAAGGTGGGGGCGAAAGAGCGACGGCAAGTGGAGCTTTGCGGAGTTCCCGACGGGAATTGACCGTGGGAGACGAATGGGGCACGTCGATTGCGGGGGAATCAGAGGGGGGAAGGAAACCAGAGGAAGAAGCGGGGATGATGGAGGAAGAGAAAGACGAGGACGCGGAAGAAGTACAAGACGTACTAATAGCACTAGTCGTGGTCGAGGCAGAAAGACTAGACGAGGCTGAGCTGCATAAGCATAATCACGGGAGGAATCCCCGTGAACTGCATGAAACTGCGGAGACCAACAGGAATAAAGCCGCAGATGGGGATGCCTGTGAGTCAAGAAGGAAGGTGAGTCATTGAGGATTCGATGAAATGAAGCAGAAGAGAGAGAGGAAGTAAGAGAGAGAGAAAGAAAGAAAGAAAGAAAGAACGAAAGATGAGACACGAGAGCGGACGTGCTGGATTTAAACAGGATTGGGTCTGCATCTCGGCGTCGCTGCATCGACTGCATCAACCACCACCACTACACCCTTCCTTCTTCCTTCTTCCATTTTACCGGCATCATCGCGACTCCTTGACACCCTCTTCGGCATTTCTCTCGGTTGCTCCTCTCTCGCCTTCTTTCCCCCCACCCTCTCTCTTTGTCTTCCGTTGCCACTCTGGATCTCATCGACTGTCTCTGGTAGGACAGTGACCGGGTTGGCCCCAAGCACTAGCCATCACATCCCGTCTGACGCAACGAACCGATGTGTTTTCTTCCAGAGACAGGACTAAAACTAAAACGAGCATGACAAGCAGGACTGACAGAGCTTGCAGATCCCATGGAGCCATTCAAGATGCTCCTCTCCAACGCCGGAACGGCAGAGCAGGGTGCGACTAGTCTCTGATCTTCTGTCCTGCGTCCCTTTCCCTCTCTACACTCTGCTCTCTCTCTCTGTCTTTCTCCCCTCAAGCCATCCATGAAGCCCTCCGCCGGGCTTTTCTCGTCTCATGATTGTGACTGCGACCTGCAAGCATGAGCTGGGGGTGCTGCAGGCTGCAGCATCCAGGCAAAGCGCAAGGCCCCAGACCAATCAACAGGCCCCACGCAGCGCTGTGTTGGCGCTGGCTGGCGTCCTGCCCGGCCAGTCCGCGTCGCCTCATCCCATCGCCCCCGTTGGGCCCCTCGGAACAGGCGCTCGCCGCCCGTCAGACGGCCCCTCATTCGATCAGAAAAGCGCTGCGGCTCCGCCCTGTTTGTTGGTTTCTGCCCGCCTGGTTACACCGACTGACTGGAGGAGTACAGATGACTGCACCGGAAGAGAAAACGAGTGCCTGAGCCCAGAATGGAAGAGCGGAGCTTGACCGGACCTCCCTTCCCCCACCCCCCAAGCTTCCCTTTATTTCCCGGCACAAGCGTTTTGCATTCTGTTCTGCATTCTGAGATCTCACGTGGAGGAGCACGAGGATTGGTTGAGATGATTGTATAGTACTCCCCTTCCAACTTTTTGGGGTTCCGAGGATTCTTTCTGGAGGGGCGTCGTGTAGCCAGAAGAAACAGAACCAGCGTGCAGGAAATAGATTCGAATATTCTCCACGGACGAAATTGAGAGGCCCATCCCCGATCCCATGGAGGACCCAACGCACCTATCCAAGACCAATAAGCGCCCCCCACGAGATATAGATCCAACCAGCAGGGTTTGCAGTTAACAAGAGTATCTAACAAGGGCTCCCATATCCCCCACCCACCCTTCACCATGGCCCGACCGAACCCTGGTGTTGGCTATCAAGATTTCTTGTGGTTGCGTCCTCGTCCACGGTCGGAGTCGGTGGTTGTGTTGGCGATCCATAGCGTTTCTGCCTTTAAGAGGAAGCCGTCGGAGGTGGGATCTGGTCTTGCATGCATACTCGACAAGGTCGACCTTGCCTATGTTTCCAGCGTATCCGACCAGGCCCATGAGCCCGATGGACCTCGGATCCCTGGTCCCGATCGGGTGGATCCTGAGGACATTCGCCGGATCGATCCAACCAACATTGTGGAACGAGCGCCCTCAACTCTAAACTTATCTCCTTCACCTCGTGGATTGCCCTCTTCCGGTCGGGGTCGACGACAGAACCTGGAAGCTATAAAGACGAAGAAGAAGCTTGTCACATGAATCGGAGCTAACGCATTACACTCGGCTCTAAAGGGATAGATCTATCCCCCGCAAACCAGCTATGAAGCATAAATCGAGCTCCCTCTGCCCTTTCTCTCTCTCTCTCTCTCTCTCTCTCTCTCTCTTTCCCTCGATCCGTTTCTCGGCATCCTTGTCAAACCGCCTTTGTCGATTCAGGCCATTGATTCGCGTTCTAGTGTTCGTTCACCTCCAAGGACTTCGGTTGCCCGGCTCTCGATCAATGCCACATGCTGTCCCGTCCATGATACTAAGCCCTCCTCAGTCAGCCTTAGAAAATTGATTCGAGGAAGGTCTAGCGTCTACATCCTAAATACTCTCTATAGTCAAGGGCTCTGACCACCTTACAGTCAGGCTCACTGCACCTGCTTCTCTAGGATAGATGAGTGCTGCACGTGCCTGAGGAGGGAGCCCTTTGCCTCCGATTTTCCATCCCGCACGTGGAGCGAAGCCGAAGTGCCAACTCGCTGGGCAGAAGTGGGGATCCCAGCCGAGTCGATCGGGATATACCGACATTCATTTCCTCCTTTCCTCTTTTTCTCCTTTTCCTCCCGTTCTAGGCCTTACACTAGACCTCTCGCGCGATGCGATCTGTCTTTTATTTATCTTGTCCGTCTCAGATTCTTATTTAACCATTCGTCTCCTAACTTCATCCTAGATAGTACCACTGCCGCTGCTGCTGTCGTTCGCGGGGTGGTCGCTCCCGCCTCGGAGATCTCTCGTCCCCCAAAGCTCTATTGGAACTCATGATGGTATCTGCAAGGCGTCAGTCAACTGGTCCGACAGCCGAAGTTCCCTGCGGCACCTGTAATGAGTGCTCCATACCCCACCATTAGAGTCAGGAGGATACTGTCAGCGTCTCAAGCCCCACCTTAATGGCTTCGTGAAGGGAAACCTAGAGTTACGTTTGAGTCACTGCACCGCGCTCGCGCAGTACAGGTTCTCCGACTAATGTTCTCCACGCAGAGCCAGAAGACGTCGCGACTATTCAAAATTGGAGACATTTTGTGAGGGATCCTTGAGTCCTCCTCAGCGAGCCCGAGGCGGAGGGCTTGGGATCGTATAAGCATCCGGTTGAGGAGTGAAATAGATCCACATAGATCCAATTAGCAGAGACACACAGCAAACACCCATTGTGACGCTGCAGGAAGTGACCGGCAGATGATGTAGGAGCTTTTGATCAATTCCCCATTGCATCCGGGCCGTGATCAGCTCTTGGTTCAGGTTGGTGTTCAAGCCGGGACCTTCCCTTTTAGGCTATTGTTGGTTTTCATCCACTCGAGTCGGTGCAGGTACAACTCTCTCCAATCTATCACCACATGGTTGAAAAAGGAAAAGATCATCCCAGTGGCTACGAAGTTATATGGTTGTAACCAATCTTTGCAACATTGACCGGCCATAGCGCTTGATGTCCCGCTTTAAGCGATATTTGATTCAATCTGAGCTTCTTCCTCGTGGTTGCTGAGTTGGACCTCATTGGCGAGGAGTCCCTCAACCTGTACATCGGATATCTCGGATGGACTACCTGAAGCTCCAATTCCGGGCGAGCTTCTGTACAAGCGTTTTTAGACGAAGGCTTGACCTGGTGGGAACGTGCGTAGAAGTTCCCACGTGAGGTGAAGACAAGAATCTTCCATCAGGGCGTCCATGCACAAGCCCAGTATAAATGCACTCGGCTGGACTGCTCTTGAAAATGTTTGTTCGGGACAGCAAAGAATTCTGATCTCTTCAGGTTCCAAGAACAGGACAATCCGCCCAAATGCATCCCAGTGCTCTTGTTGGCCTCCTGGCGTTCGCCGCTGCGGCGACTGCTGCTCCTCAAAAGCCTCGCATTGCTCACTCGCATTCTTCCATTGACAACCTGAAGGCCCACATCAAGAATGTCGTCGTTCTGATCATGGAGAACCGCTCCGTGGACAACCTGCTTGGTGGTCAGACCATTTCCGGTCTGGAGAATCCCATCAACAACGGACCTTTCTGCAACCCCTACAATGTGACCGATCCCTCCCAGGGATTCCACTGCTCCGCAGCTAAGGATTTTGACTCGGTCACTGATGACCCTAGCCACGCGGTAACCGGTAACACCATGGAGTTCTTCAGCCAATGGACTCCCGACAACATCGCCATTGCCGATGGCAAGTTAATTCCCAACAACAAGGGTTTCATCCACGAACAAATTAACAACCATGGCCTTACCGCCAACGCGACTGTCAAGGCTTTGCTGGCTGAGCAGGTCATGAACTACTACACCGAGGAGCAGACCCCCGTTCTGACGGCGCTGGTTCAGAACTACCTGACCTTTAACCACTGGCACTCCGATATTGCTGGTGTAAGTCGAACCCTTCCAAATTCTTGGCTCCTAGACCATTATACTGACCCATCTTAACGTAGCCTACCAATCCAAACCGTTTCGCTGCTGTTGCTGGTACTTCCGGTGGCCACGGTTCCAACGATGCTACTTTCTATACCTACGCCTTCACCCAGCGCTCCATTTTTGAGCAGCTCGGGGAAACCAACCACACCTGGATCAACTACTGGGACACTGCCGGGGGTACCGGTCCTGAGGCCAAAAATTTTGCCTGGACCAAAGCTACAAACAACGAGGACAAAATTGTCTCTATGGACCAATTCTATACCGATGCCGCCAACGGCGTTCTCCCCGAGTTCTCGTACCTGAACCCCTCCTGTTGCGGTGTTGGTACCACATCTATGCATGACAGTGGTCTCATATCCGACGGTGAGGCCTTTATCAAGAGGGTGTATGAGTCTCTCCGTGCCAGCCCCCAGTGGGAGGAAACTCTCTTCGTCCTGACCTTCGACGAGAGCGGTGGATTCCACGACCACATTTCTCCGCCCCTGGCCACCCGCCCCGACAACCTAACCTACACCGAGACAGCTCCCAACGGTGAAAAGTACACCTACGAGTTTAATCGTCTCGGTGGCCGTATTCCCACGCTTTTGATCTCCCCTTGGGTTGGCAAGGGGCACGTTGAACAGCAGGGCAGCAACTACCGTGGTGAGATCCAGTCTTACTCGGCAAGCTCTCTACTCCGTACTCTTGGTTATCTCTGGAGCTTCGATCCTTTCACTCCCCGTGTGGAAAATGCTGCTTCTTTTGATCATTTGATCCAGAACCAGGCTCGCAAGAACACTCCCAAGACCCTCCCCACTCCCCATGCTTTCTAGTTCTGCAAGTTATAGAGTCTCATGTTATGGAATAACCCAACCAGGATACTGGACGCTATTTGGGTCAGCTTCGGATGCGAATCGCATATATGACGTGTATGAATCTCGGATGCTCCGGGTAAAGGCTGCAAATATTTTTTGGGAGCGATATCTCATTTATCGTCATCAATTTATTAAATGTCATATCAATTACATCAATTCTAATATCGGAGAAGTATCCCTATTCTCGAAACTGAATTCAAGATTCAGTTATTGAATAATATACTACTTTTATTATGCCTCGACTCTATAATAATTCAGTACTGATATTCCTTCCTTTTTTACCTGTTAGAACACACCTAGGAACGTCTTCCTATGTTAAGCCAAAAAGGACCACAATGTCAATGCACTTACGCATTGGGAGCCTAGGATCCAGACATAGTAGCGCACAATAGTGCATTTCCTAACAGATACTAGGGACAACGAATAGATTCTACAATACCTACCAAGAGATAATTGTAATTGTATTACTAGCGAATAGACGAATGAAGTAAGAGATATATCTCCTACTAGCTTAATAGAAGAAGGGGTATAGAGAAGTAGTACTAATCTAAAAGTATAATAGAGTAGAGCTATGTATAATATATGACTGAGGTACTACCTAAACTAAAATAGATCTTAGAGTGATAATTACTTATAGGCGTTAGATTATGGGTAGAAAACTATTTTTAGACGAAAATTGTATAGCAAAACGCTATTCTCCTTTATATTAAGTATTCTATCTACTGAGGCTAACATTAGGATTGCTCTTGCTTCTGCCGGCGAAAGCCCCTATATACCTATTACGCTAACCAGTTAGGTTAATAGAGTTTGATTTGATGTTACTTTATTTGATATACCACGATAACTTGCTTTCTTAATCAAAAGATGTGCTGTAATCTAATAATCAAACACAGTGAATAATCTCGGGATCCCCAATGAGTAGGCAGTATTGTGTGACGCCTGGATAAGCACAAAAACGTGGCTCGTCTGCCATCGTAAAAGCCTGGAAGTCGGGGTCATTAAAGACTTTCCTCACCCCTTCAGCAGAATTAAATATCACAAGGGACACTCTATCCTAGTCGGTCTGCGGAAGGCTAATTGCACTTTCGGTATCTGCCCTTACGGTAGTGCCTTCGTAGTACTAACACGATATTTGTGTTAATGCTTTATAACTCTTACTTGTTCGTATCGCAAACAATTTTCTTGGACGACTGCTAGACTTATAAACCTCTCAGCATAAGGCCCCCTCTAGTATTCATGAAAATCGTCTTTTGTTATTCCCTCTTTTCGTTTCGTAAATATGAGAACGTTCACCGAGGTAACCGAAGACAACGTTATTTTAGAACTAGCTAACACACCCGAGTATGATCCTTGCTTAGGGATCTAAAATACCGAAAGAAGAGGTTTGCTGATTGCGTATCTTATAAGAGGCTAGGGACATGAATCGGAATTTATGAAATAGAATTTCACCGGATAAATGAATGACTAAGGGGTAGACGTTTCAACCCCGTATTATGCTGATATATTCAATTTAAGCAAAGCCCTGCTGACCTAATGCTCCTACTGTTATAATCTTCTCAATAGTGTCACTTATTTCGCCCTTAGAACCTGCATCTGTTCCGATCTATATATTATTATCTCCACGATATGTGAAGAGAAAGTCGAAGCATTTTTGACTAGCCTTAATGATTTGACGGCGGGAAGAGATGCCCTATTAAGCAACATTCAGCGACATGCGCCCCTGGAGAAATAGGGAGAGTCTTATAGATCATAGATCACGGAACAGACTTCTTGTTCAAAGTAAAATAAAAGTCGAGATTACGTCTACCTTTACTGAGCATAGTATATTAAGCTAGTTAATATACGGGCCAGAGCCCGGTAGTAAAGTCATGCGCTATGGCTGTACAACGCCGCCTTTAGCAGAAAGGATTGCAAAGGACTGCGTTGTTCTTTATCTTCCTTTATCTTGGTAAGACGGATTTGAAAAAAAGATTCGATCATAGATAGGGCGGATTCACTTCCTCTTCCGTCCTTTTCGTCAGGATTGAACGACTGTTTGCTACTAGCCCTAGGTATGGAAGGTGGGCTGCGCTACTGCGGAAGATTACTAGGAGGAGGATATAGAGCTTATAGTTTTCAAAATCTCCTAGTCAGAGATTTAATACGCGTTATTCGCTGTGTAAGATCTTTAAGGAAGGTCCTATCAACGCTTAGTAAGCTTAGAGATAGCGGCGATGACCACGGCTACCCCCTAAGTGTCGTTTCCCCGTGCTTTTAGCGTGTAATGTTCGATAGAAAGGATAAAGCCGCGAGTAATAGGGTCGATATTACTAGATTAGGCATACTAGTAGATATTCCTTGCGATATAAGCGATTTTCTCTATCGAAGAGTAGTCATTGATTAATAGCTTATTAGTTGCTTGCTAGTTAGTAGTTCGCGTGTTACGCTAGAATTAAGTTTGTACCTTCTGTGGTTCGTGAAAATTTCGTACCCGGTCGGGGTGCAAAATCCCTATTTCGGCTACGCTTGCTACCGCTATCGTCGGTAGGGACCAAAGCCGGTATCGAACAATAGAGCAGGAAGTTATGATGGTTTTGAACTAGGCTTGGAGATCCTAGGACCTCTGATTGACGAGATATCGCAAGGATTTGATTCTACCAAGAGACAGTTGATGGAAGCCTCCCTTATCAGGGTTTCAATCACCAAGTAATGTTCCATGATTACTGGCAAGCGTAGGATGCTCTTCGACGTGACTGTGCAGGAGTCCACTATACCCCGCTACTGGCCGCACACAATAAGCTCTTTTTCTACAGACATAGACACATAGGGGGTTTTCAAAAGTCTTTAGTGAAACAAATAAGTAACATGTGAGTTTTATACATGAGCATTTACTTAAGGACATAATGTCTAGTAAATATTGACGTAGATCAGATCTCCACAGCCGCAGCAGCTCTAAGCACAGTGGTTCCCTTACGAGCGACGACTTTGATATACTTCGCAGTTACACTATCAAGGCTGACATAGGTCTCAAAGCCGGTACGCGAGTAGCTTCCCAGCAATACCTGGTAGCTGTCAGTGGGAGATGGTGTCGAATAGATAGCCCAGTTGTCGTAGTCGGTAGCGCCGTTCCAGCTCATGTACACAACAGGGGTATCCAAGGACGTGTCAACATAGACAGCCGGGTCCCAGAAGGGAGTAGCAGTCCAGGGGAACTTAAAGGCACGGTAAGACTCAGTGTCATCAGGTTCCCCAAATTGACCGGAGAGTAAAACAGCACCCTTAGCGTTATATTCCTTGATAATGCTAGAAGAACCGTAGCCTATAAACATGTTGGAGCCAGTTTTACCCATGATCTGGAAGCTACCTTGGGTTTTGCTGTAGACTGGATCGGTAGGGTCCGTCAAATTGAACATAAGAAAGGCCTGATAAGTGATTAGATTGACCTTAAAAACCATACCGGTAGTTTCACTATCGACCTGAGTAAGGGTGTTAGCATTGTTAAACAAGCTAAGAACCAAACTCTGGTCAGTCTCATCGTGTACACGGATATGGTGTTGCCACGAGAAACTTAAATCTTCGCCATAGAAGTCGCCAGTGCCGTCATTACCACCCTACAACATCGTCTCAGTTAACGGAGAAGTGAATTATGGGATCAGAGTTTAGCCTACCGAGAGCTCCCAACGGATAGTGCCATCTTTGTTCAGGTAGAAAGCAGACCAATAGAAACGAAGAGAAACCAGATAGCCACCATTCGTAGACGTTACAGAGTTCATATGATAGGGGTCCCAGGGTGTTTCGCGAGCCACGATACTTTGAATTGGTTTTCTAGATCGCGATAAAGAAATCTGGTCTTCGTGATCAAGGGCACTCCAGGAGAACAGAATCTTGTTGGTAGCAATATCAATTTCATAGAATTGGCAGTCAATCATCCACTGGTCGATCTCTCCACCCGCATAAGTAAAGTCGTGCTGAGTAACGTTGATAGCAGAAACGATGATTGTATTTTGAGAGGTAATATAGTGTTCATGGACATCGATATAGGAGTCCTTTTCCTTGCCGTCGGAAGTGACGAAGTTCAAGTTATTGTTGAGAGTGATAGTATAAATCTCTTTGTAGGTGTTATCGAGAATATGGACCGTGCCGTAACCATAGCCACCAGCAGCCTGGACCTCTCCAGACCAAAAAATGATCACATCCTCACCGAACAGCTTCTGTACTTTGAAATCCATAGTGGGCTGTTGAGGCCCCTGGTAAATCAGATTGCCATCGTTATCATAGATTGTTACTGCTGTGCCGTCGGCTTCGGTGGAGCTGTCGCTGCGAACAGGAATGAAAATGAGCCCCGGATCAACACCATCAGTCTTGGTAATTGACAGTTGAAGAGACTGCCAAGGGCCAGTCTTGTAGGTCGTTATATCCCGAGTTGTAACTGTAGCAGCCCCGAGAGACAGCAGGGAGGCTCCAATGCCGAACAGGAACGCCCCCCGCATCGTAGGCAAGCTTGAAGAATGCCCAGAGCAATAAAGTGAAAGAAAAAAAAATCAATATAAGGTTAGGATTGCGTGATATCAAAGAAGCGAGTGGGGTAAAGATATGTACAAATCGTAAGATTTGGGGAGTTGCCAGTTTCTATATGAAGAAAATACCATCGGATCAGAGCTGAACAGAAAGCTCATCATTTTCTATTGAGTGACGGGGCAGGGCTTTGACTCCTTTTAGTGGAATTCTTCTCTCAAGCCAATCGACTGCGAACCAAATATCTGCAACGGGGCGGTATCATCCACCCTGGTGACAGTAGCCAGGCTAGTGTCGGGTATCATTGTAAGACTCCACTAAAGGCCAGGAATACTTGCCCTTCAACCCTCCGGGAGCGGAAGCCCAGGCTAGCTAACAACCGTCGTGTCTATGCTTGAGCCGTCTTGGTATTATGTTCTAAGAACTTTGAAAAGGCTTAAAGTCTGTATATATAGGGGTACCTATTTTGAATCGAGCTAACGCATCGAAAATCCTCACCTGAGACTAAAAGCCGGAAAGTACCGAGTCGTAGAGCGTTCCGAATTGTAATAGGCGGAACATGTTTACGGTGGGTCAGAAGCCAAGATCTCCACCATAGATTCCTTGGCGAACCGTAAATCTCAATACAACACTGTGTACTTCTTCGTGTTGTGATGATTGATTTGATGCGGAGTCTTGGTTCGTTCCTTCAAGCTGCACGTCAAATTTCTCTTCTGGCTGAGAATTTGGCCACCGGGAAAGTGGAATAAAATGGTTTAGTCGTTGCTGGAAAATAGTCATGTTGAGAGTCTGTTCAACTAAATTCCGTTGATTTTAGTGGAGGTTGACCACCCTTTAGGCTTCTGAAAAGATTACGCAGTTTGTCTTCCAGTGCTTTGGATCTACTTATGCGTACTATAATAACGTGTTGGGCACAGATTTTCTTCCACTAGATATGGATAAATTAACATCCCGTTGAAGCACTATCTGAAAAATGAAATAATGCTCTAGCAATGGATTACAGTGGGATTCCAAGGGTTGCAGGATAGCACCACTACTCTCTATACCAGAAATGCCACCTATTCGAGAACGCTGCCCGGCCTTATAAATGAAGCGAGGATTGAGGAAATACGAAGAATTCTAATTAATACAGTCTCTCGCCCTTGACGCCGAAGAAAAGGGGAACTAGTGTAAATATATATATAGCCTCTAGATTTTGGATCCACTTTCGGAATTGTAGAGCTCCGCTGAGTGGAGATAAGCTGCGTCCTCAGTGGACGAGACGGGTGGGATCTCGGCTAATCGGCCAAGACTTACTTGGTAGTCCGCGCGGAATACCGAGCACCGGACGGTGAACAGTATGCAATTTTTAGTAGCTTTCAAGCTTCTTCACGAGTAATCAATGCATTCCTTTCGATATGAATTTCGCCTTAGATGTGTATAGTCTACTTGCTATATATAACATATTAATAGAGGTCTGAGTTGAGATATATATATTGTAGTGGGGAAATGGCCGACGGTGGAAAATCTGACTGAAGGATATCTTTCCTAGTACACAGTCTTTACAGGATATACGTAGCTTCGCATCTCCAATAGAGAGAGAGAATCAATCCTTACACATCTTTCGGTACAGCAGCATCTGCTTCCTCTCTGAGAGGCTTCCTTCCATCGTGGTGTGGTGTGGCTTGTTAGCTTTTTCGTTGATCCATCTCATCCTGCCTGCGTTCGCAGGTTTGCCTTAGAGCGCCCCTGGTTCAATATATACGCGTGAATAATATGCTACGGCCCGGTGTGCGATATCGCTTGATAGTTATATCTATACAGTACGATGCGGTGGAAGCTTGAAAAGGTGAGATCCAATAGAACGTGACACTTGATATAATAGTATCTAACTAATGAATTACCTGGCAGGCAGTGTTTGTTGTAGAACAACCGAATCTACAATACTTAATATTTTTCGGGTCACCCTCGGATACGAATCGTATACACGACGCACATACTTATTCAACACCACTAGTATAAGGCATAAATATGACGAATTAGGGTCCTATTTATTGTTAGGGAGCGCACCTAGGCACGTGCTTCCTACACCAAGCTAAAAAGACTACAATATCAACTTTCTTGCACATTGACAACCTAGGACCCAGATATAGGAGTACGGGGGGTCGCTGTTCTAGTAGAAGATTCGCTTTACTAGCAATCGCCGAAGGCCTAGGGGAAAGACTACGCGTATCTAGTGATAGTATCCACTAGTCAAGAGAATCCTCTTCTTAATGTGTTGATTCATAAATATTTGCGCGGGTATCCTAGCGATTTGGAACACCCTTGATACGCGTACGAAGCGTGCTCTCTGGCACGTTATAAATCCTTGCTGCCTAGCGAAGCGAGGTAGCCGAGCTATTTTGGATAACTTTTATGGCGAGTAGGATCCTACCCTCCATATCTGGTGATTTCAAGCTTTTTTCAGAGCGTTTTGAAGGAATGGTAGGTGGAATGGGGAAGGTACGTTTTTGGTGGGGTGCGCAGCTCGGTGGTGTGCGCAGCTCGCTAGTGAAATACGTTTTGTATTGTATCAAGTGGAACGGGAATTCAATAGCGAAGAAGCTCTACAAGAGACTGTGTGAGCACAGACATTACGGAAATATATTTTTTTTTCACTTTTTTTTTTTAATAGCATTCTAGGTACACTCGGAATCACTGCGCTGCAAGGCGCTTTTTATCAACTAACGAAACGGGAATACCTTTTAGCATCCAATATCCTTCTAGGCAAAGTTTCTGTTAAAGTTGGCTTTCACGAAAGCTAGCTTTACTTTTGAACCTAATCCTTGATAATCAATGCATCCGATACAAAAGAGTTGTAACACTAGCTTGCGCCGTTACGTGTATTCTACCTACCGCTTCTGTTGAATCACGTGATACAATAATATATCGGAACCAACTCGGTGGCGCGGAATGCTTAGTCACCCGAACCTTAAGTCGCCTAGTTTAGTTGTACGGCGCCGAGTTATTCGATTCTTCCTTCAACCGTGACTGCAGATGTAAAGACCGATGGACCTAGTCTATCAGCCTTCTGGAAATGCCGCAGTCCAAGAAGTCTGTCCCGTTCAAACGCAGCTGCCTTCGCTGTCACGAGCGAAAAGTCCGTTGCGACCGAGAGCACCCCTGTAGCCGGTGTCTCCAAGCTAAGGTCAAATGCTTCTTTCCAGAGAACAAAAGAGCTCCAAGGAAGCTTAAACGACCTCCAATCGCAACTATATTGGGCCAAATTAAAGTTTTAGAACAGGAGGTGGAGCGGCTACGGGCCCCATCTGATATAAATAATGACGATTCAACTTTCCGTCAATCACATGGGATTAGTGAGCCAATCCATACGCAGGTGCAAACGCCAGACACGCAAGTCTCACTCAGCGGTCGGGAAATTCGTGAATATCCGGCTTACCCTAATAAGGTAGGCAAGAGGGTACGTGAACCATCTAAGTACTGAACGAAAACTGAGCGGATGTAGATTCGCGAGCCCCAACTTGCACTTGATCAAGTATCAAATATGGTACTCGGTGCCCCTAGCGCCCACGAACCTTCCACTAGCCCTCTCCATTTACAATCTGTCGGCATTCTAGGGTTGAACTCTGAGCTGGAAGCTGAGGCCAGGTATGATCAATGCCTGCAGCCCCCGCAGATCCAAGCACTTTGGAAACTTTACAAGGATAATATTGCGCCTATGATAGCTCTCTTGCATAAGCATTCGATCGAGACCATGATCCACGATGCGTGCAAGAAAACGATCGCAAACCTTGGAATTGGGTCTGAGACTCTCATTCTCGCGATCTGTTCCTCGGCTACAATCAGTGCAACGCCAGAACAGTGCTTGTCGATCCTCGGCCAGGATCGCGATGTTGGCATTCGTAATTTCCGTCTAGCTGTTGAGCGAGCTTTAGCACGAGCGAACCTGATCAGTTCTCAAGATTTTCAAGTTCTGCAGACCGCTGTACTTTTCCTATTATGTCTGCGTTGGCTCAATTCTAGGCTAGCGTGGGCAGAGACAGCTATCGTGATACGCGTAGCACAGCGACAAGGTGTTCATTGAGACGGTCAATTCTCTAGGTTGAGCTGGTTCAAGACTGAAATGCGGCGCCGTCTTTGGTGGCATATTTGTATTCTCGACATGCTCTGCTCCGAAGACTAGGGTACCGACACTCAAATCCGGCCCGTGATGTTTAACACTAAAATTCCATCAAATATCGATATCGATAAACTTACGCTAGACTTGACGACTTTGTTACCTCCTCAGACAGGATTTACCGATATTACTCTATGCATTATTCAAGTGAGATAATGATTAACTTATATTAGGCCGGTATAAATCTTAATCTAGAGACTATCCAATCACCTATGCCCGATCGAGAAACCATCCTATACTCGTTAGCACCCTATATCGAAGAGCAGTACTTACGCAAATTCGACCTAGATATACTAATACAATGGTTGACAGCTGTTATTACTCGCCTTTCTCTTTCTAAAGCGCGGGTAGTTAGCCTTCTGAATCACTACAGATCGGGTGAAGTACCAATTGCTACCAACGATGAGATTTTCCAAATAGCAGTCGAGATAATTAAATTTGCAAATCTGGTACAGAAGAATAAGCCTACGGCACAGTGGGCGTGGCTTTGTAAAAGCTACAGGCAACGGCACGCCGTAGCGTTTATTCTATCCGAGCTTTGCGTTCGTCCTATTTCACCCGAAACGAACCAAGCCTGGGATATTGCTACGGAGATGTATACCCAATTGAAGGAAGAGGATAACGAAACAGATCCTATCCTCCGGACCAGCTTGTCCCGTTTAATAGAGCGCGCCACTATATCGAGATTAAGAAAGTTTGGAGCCTCTCAGGACACCACGCGACTATCACCCATCATTTCATATCCCAGTTTCTATCGCCAATGAAAATTTCCCAGTTACAGCCCCTGCCACCGATCTGGACATTGACCATTCCAGCACAAGTGAGTCTGCAGGAATACAGGGATTTTTAGATGACGAAGCTGCGTTTACTGTCCCAGTAATGGACTGGCTATCAGGGCCTTTTTTGTGAAATGTCATTCATGCCCCTGCAAGGGTCATATAATCCTTCCACCATGAACTGTTGGGATATACTGATCTTTCAAGAGCAACTCAGCGGTGGCTTACTTCTGACACTGATGGATATCCTCCTCAGTGTAGCATTCTTGCGCGAGGCTGCAGCTCCGGTTTTGTAACCACCGACCAAAAAAGTTTTCCCAGCCAGATTTAGAATACACATCTATCTACATGAGTCAATTGACTTTTGATTTCAAAGCATGAAGCCTGTCCACTTCAAATTGTATACAGTGCCTAGCTAATGAGGCCATCATTGACGTTAATCAAATTTTTCGCTATACTTGGCGTAAGTCAATGAATGATCTAAAGAGGGGCCAAAGCCGGCAAATGTGGCAAGAGCTTGAATTAAAATGGACAAGATGCAAAAAAGGAACGCGAGTTTCACGTGTATAGCGAAACTTCAAAGCATCTGTACAAGAGGTCCCTTGCGATTATTCTCATAGCACCTACAGTCAATATCGAATTCATATATTATACACATCTATTGTTCTATCATGAAGGACAAGTGGAGGACCACACAAAAGAGATCCCGCAGAGCCAACCGCAGGGGACTCCTGTTTTGACTCTCAGGAGCGGGTGCAGTAGGCCTGACTCTAAGGCGGTTAGAGCCCTTGAGTATGGGCAGTATCTAGACCTACCACCTTTACTGCAATCGAATTTTTCTCAACTTAAGTATAAGCACTTTTATTATACGATAAATCTCAAATTTCAGGAGTTTTCAAGTTAGATAATCACTTGTCTCCTCTTCTAATTTTAGCATCTCGAATATTGTAACTTTCGTACAATTTAAGTTTAAGTATTATAATGGGGTATAGTAGATCGCTGAATCTAGTCTAGGCCTTTTCACCATTAGAGCCCGGGCTATGGTGCATAAATGACGGTCGGAAAATATTAGTTTGATTGACGATTCAACTATGATCCTACTTCAGGTCAATCTCAATGAGATTAATCCGTCTGTCAAGAATGGGGGGATAAAGAGCTACGTTAATCTAACGGAATCGAGCGGTAAATCGTTTGAAATTTCTGACACTACGCCCAAGAAAAATGCTCGCAATGTAAATAAGCTCCCCCAGACTTCGAACCTTTGAGGATGTCCAAATTAACGTCTGCAACCGCATTGCGTACATCATTCTGCATCGTAGTAGGCCCACAGACATAAACGCCAAGCGACTCACTTGATTTTACTTGTCCTGCAGCTTCTCTAATGATCGAAGGGAGTTGTGGCCGGCCTGTGCACTCCTCCACTAACTTGGAGATTTCTGCTCGAGTGGCTCCATCACTGACTTTCTCTGGCATCGGAGACTGCTCTTCCGAAGATACCTGAGGCTCCTGGACCATGTTGATAGTTTTTATGTCTTGTACGGCCTGACCAGTATGGTACACCTCGATATAAAGATTGGAAAGTCGGCTTGTTCCTGACTGCTCTGTGAGAAGCTTTTTGACCGCTTGAGAATACCAAACTCGGCTGGTAACGTCTCTTGTCGCTAGGATGAGTCGCAACGAGCTTGGTGCAGACATTTTGCAAGCGTAGCGTGGCTCGCTGCCACTCGCTTCCTTTTCGCTGCCAACATCTACAGCTCGGCCACATTCTTCGTCAATGGGTCCCGAGCGGTGCGTGATAAATTGCTCGATAAAAGGCAAAGTCCAACCAACACCCGAGCCTCCTGCAATCACAAGGAGATGATCGCTGTGGACATATGACTGCATATTAATGCCTCCATACGGGCCATCAATAAGCACAGGCACTGTGGCGTTAGGGCTTTTCATCGCATATTCGTAAAGCTTGGCAGTAAAACCACCTTGATGACGAATGTAAAAGACGAGTTGTGACTCTACACCTGGTTCTCTTGATGGCAAGGAAGATATGGTGAACGGATGCGCTGAGAGAGCCCGCAAAAACCCGAAGCTCGTAAAGCGAAGGAAGCAGTGCTGCCCGGGTCTCCAACTGAAGGCCACTGGGATTGTGATGCGAGTAAAACCATTCTCCTCCACGTAAATATGGGCCCTTTGCCGGATTCCGTACTCGAAACAAGTCCTTAGCCAGGAGTGGACGAAGCAAGGCACATATACAGCCGCCGTCGCTATGAAATAGTGCCTATGGAGATGTCAACGTTTGCCATGGAGGATTTTCCCGGAATTCTTGCACTTACCAGGAAGTGAGTGTATAATCACAGTGCCAAAAGAATATCAAAATAAACATGGCGGCAGCAAAAAAGTGTGTTGCCTTGAAAAACTCGTAACCGAGTTTTCTGTACGATTAACATTAGATGATTATTTTTTGATGATTTTTTGATATTGATCGACTGTAGTGGTTCTGCACAGTTGACACGTACCGGATGAAACTGTGAGACGCAAATGTAAGCCACGCTTGGAAGATGATGGCGACAATGCCTGTCCAGTAGAAGATAAGGCTCATCTCCACTTGCATCACCATGTCATGGAATCTTATGTGGTAGACGATGAACGGAAATGTATGCAATAGCGCAAGAATGAAAAAGGCGTAGGATATCCATCTGTGGAAGACCTGAAGCTTCTCATGCGAAACACCAGTAAGAAGTGTGATCCAGCTGGTCTTCGTGGCGGTTGCACTATAAAGAATCAGTATTCCCCAGAATATCTCGATCGCTTGGGAAACCTACAAGACGAATGGCATGCATGCCAGAGCCATCCAGCCCGATCTAGTTCCCAATGGGGGTGAACCACCAAAGTCCAGACTTGGCCAGTAGTATGGCTGTGGAATGAGATCCATGCCTAAGAGTAAATCTATCAGTCCGCGATATATTAGTGGCCCGGCGTCATCTGCAGCTTACAAAAGAAATAGACAGCTCCTGCAGCACCCAGCAGCAGAAGCCCTAAGGGCGCCGAGTTCCATTGCAGAGCCTTGACATAGAAACCTCGATATGACAAGTATCGAACCATGGCGATTAAGCGCCGCCATAAACGAGGGCCGCGAAACTTTCGATATCCTAGCACTTGCGAAGATATGAAGTGGCCGATAATGAAGATTCCAAGGGTACTCATGAAAAAGGCTACTGTCGGCAGAGCGTAGACGAGGTCCGCAATATACCTGATCTGTCGGTCAGAAGATGAATAGGATGCCATTGACATTGTGTCGGAGACGATCGAAGGAAAGATCTCACCAAAAATGCCATCGTTGCATGTAGTAGTCGCATTGCTCCATTGTGAAGCCATCACAAGTGAACTCGCGACTCCCTGTCAGTTGGACCGGGAGAGTGAGCCAGCTTGCGGCCATTGTAGTGTGAGGATACTATTCCTTGCAGTCACTCGAAGATTCTTGCTGTGGGGATGCAAAGTGATTTTAACATCAATTCCCAGTCGGATTTCGTAAACGGCGCGGGATGGAAAACTTTCCTAGGAACGCCGCATTTGGTCTGAATTCCCGTAATTGGCCAGACTCTCCGCCTAAAGAAGAGCTTTTAATGTTAGTGGCAGCGGTTTATGGAGGATGGAGAATGAAGTACCCTGCAACAATAGTAGTGCATTAACAATACCTGCGTCAGGATAATGTGGGGACTCCAATAGCAGTGGCGGCTGGGCCCGCCGCCATGGCTGAAGCGAAAATTACCAGCCACTACATCTCTCGCCAATCCGGTGTGTTTCTCCTGCGGGTCCTGGCCCAAAGCGCGAGTTTGGTGAGCAAATTTGAGCTTCTTTACAACATATTCAATTGGTCGCTCGCTTGTTGTTTCAATTACCGAGATTGGTCAGATCGCAAGTCTTGCACGGGCGAGAGGCTCAACCTCAAAGATCATGACCTTGTCATGTCACTCATGATACGAAAGCTGCCTGAGGAGAGGAACGAGTAGGCGAATTTCACGATTCTCCACAGGCAAAGATAATTGAAAATTTCGAGTGTTTTATGGGGTCCAGCGTTATGGTAAACCTAATCGAACCTGGTTGCAACAATTTTCCGGGAAATTACCCGCGGTTTAAAGTGCCAACTCAGACCTTCTTCCTTAGATATATCGAGACCCCGCGGATCTGCCCACATCCGCCTAGCTGTCTGTTATCCAACAATAAGACCAGCATAGCAAGAACAAGAACCAATAATTACATAATTTTTCTGATAGAAATTAGAGGGTGAAATTTCAATAGCGAAAGTTTTCCCCCGTCAGCTCGCATTATGTAGCAATGCAAAGCTACTTGTCGATTGATTCACGCCGAAATTTCCAAAAGGCCTAGGCTGACTCGAGAACAGAAAGCAAATGCGTAGCATAGTTTGGCGCAAATCCTAGGCAAACGGTGCCAATTCATTTGTTTTGCGCTCTTTAGCTTCGTCGCTCACTTAAATCGGCTTTTGGTTCTTCCTACTAGTAATCTATCTAGGTCTCTTAATTGGAACTTCTTTATTTAGTCTATAGGAATCTTGTCAGTTTTTATTGTTGAGAATATTATATTATCTTATCTTACTTCATCAATCTATCCTATTTACTAATAGATACTATAATCTTCGCGCTAGCCTAAGTCTCTTTAGCAATATCTTCTAATGAGCAGTACCTTCATAACCTTCTTAGTATATACTCACTATAAGATAGTCCTTCTCTTCCTAATAATCTTATTATACTATTAGTATCTATAGAGACGGAGGAAGGCATTGCAGTACATCAAGGGAGGGTCTTGACTACGGTGGACCAAAAGGCTCAGCTTGATTCGGCATTAGTTAACTGCTCCTATCTCTAGCTTTGAATTCCTTAAAAGTGGACGAAAAAAATCCAAGGCTCTCGCGAGCAAGATTCCGCATTTGTAATTCGAAGGGAAGCATAATGTGGTTGGGCTGTTCAATGGCCGAGGAGTACGAGTTCAAATGAGCGGAGGCTTTGACTCTGAATGGGCAAGATGTGGGTTCCAGAACACTACATATAATTCGCTCTTACTGATTACTATGAACCATATCAAAAATATGATACGTTTGGGTGGTTCTAGTCAAATTTCTGATTTGTGGTCACAAATCACCACTATCAGAGCTCTAAATGACAGCTTTACGACACGTTATTCCAGTTGCAGTGAGATTTCGCTCGTTTGATCTCTTGTATTTCTCTCTTGCCTTAGTGGGCTTCAATCAAAGCCGGAAACGACTCATTTCCTCATTTTACTGATCTCGCGTGGCGCCATCGAATGGAATCTTTCGCTCCCCAGATCGATAAGTCTCGCAATGGGCGGTTTTCAAAAAGGAGATTCTATCATTTGAATTGTCGATAGAGGATGTGAAGGTCATGCAGGTGCTGGAGGGCGATCTGCCGGGGTTTAAAATCATTGATGTCTGCATCTGAGCCATCAAATCTTTCTAATAGAAATCCAAAAACAATTCTATGCTTGTGGACATGGGACCTAGAAGGTGCAGGGCTTTGGCGATGTTCTTCGGTTCATGAAATGCGCGAGTTTCTCGTGATAGACGAGAAACCTCCCAATCAAATTGTGATGATTTGGCAGAGACTGATCATTCTTGTACAAGTCTTTGTCTAACCGGGATAGGTTGGTTTGAGCGCATCGGGCTCAACAGCTTCGTTCTTCTCATCCCAACTCAAGACAGTCCGTAAGAACAGGACTCCATAGGTCCGTGACACTATTAAATGTTTCCTGCTACCAATCTACTGCGATTTGCTGGGCCGTTTGATAGAATCGACAAATATTCCCTATTTTCCAGGTGCTGCTTTCTTTGGGAATTTCGAGTGCTGAGCTCCAAAAGCATGGAAAACTTCAGCTGCCAAATATGCCAAGCTATGGTATGAGATATTTGACCTGTTTTCGGAACAGAATCCCGTAATAACTATCATTCGATTCCAACATGTCCAATCAGAGAAGTACCAAGGGGCCAAAGTTTCAGGACTTGTCGAGAATTTCTGAGGAGAGAACTGTGAATGATAAGGCAAAGTAGAAGACAATATGACTGCAAAGGTACAACTAGGCAGAACCTTATTGGAGAGGCATAACAGAGCGTCACGGTCTAAATATTTCGAATATGAAAAAGTAATCGCTAATAGAGAGGCATCGAGGCGCCGAGGAGTGGGGCAGTGGAATCCGCACGATCGAACTCGCTTCGGTTTGGTTTTCTTCTTGAGATTTGGTGTGTGATTCGGGCACACACCCGTATAACATCCAACACGAAACCACATGCCATTGAGACCTGAAATTCATAGAACTTAGCTTGAAGAGGTCAAAGTGGAGCTCTTGTTGTCTCGCTTCTCTCTGATCTAGAACCCTCCAACTCCTCTGACACGCTTTACAGCACCGAAGAACCCCCGAGCCCAACTGAACCGGCCTGGGTGAGTGCCAATAGACCCTGGAGGAATTTCACCCGTGATTAAGTCATGCCAGCAGCCATCCTGACTGCTAGCAGCTCCATATTTTGCAGTGTTCTGGTTCCTGTTGATGGCATCCAGCCATGTCGTGCAAATTAATTTCGAGTCCAGGAGGACATTTACTTCCTGGCTGTGAAAGAAAGACTGGGTATCAAGGTTTCCATTTCCTATTGATGAGAATGGTTAATAATCTTCAAGCAGCACGCCGAACCACTCAGTTTTGGACTTGTTTACCTTGGATGGCAATCTGCTCATCTACAATCATCAATTTAATATGACAGCTGCGCTTCTTGAATTGGTTATGAATTGGCCGAGTTTGGTCTTTGCCAACATAATAATAGATACGCAGTCGGGCTTTATCATTATCTGAGTCGAGGGAGTTGTATAAGCGGTTTGCAATCATCTCATTTGTCCCGTTTTGAAATGGCAAAAGCTCCCCAGCATCATTGTACCCCAGGCACAAGTAACAGGACACTGTTACTCCATGTCGAATTGCATTTAGAAGCGGCGCAAGCAACGGCTCTGCATTCATATTCGGGGTTTGAATGAATATGGAATGCTGGGCATGATTGATAGCTGAGATCCAGGCCGCATTCTGAGGGGTATTGGTGCTATTGTGATTTGGGGCTTTTCACATGAGTTAGATCTGAAATCTATCCGTAGCTATTCACGGTGGCTCGAAATAGGATCTTGCATACCTCCATACGGTTCCCTGTTAACGAGAGCCATTGGGACTGGTTCATGGGGAGGAAGAGTAATGTATGGCATCATTCTAGGCTCCTGGTCACTTTCGGGCGCTTCTCCCGTAGTGTCAGATTGGAGTGTTGTGTCTAGGGTCAGTCAGCGATGTGAAAACCTTTTGTTCGGCGTCTTTCGGCCGCGCTCCTTACTTAAATGCCGCGTCACCGCCTGCACAGACGTTTCATCCCCTTGTGGAATCACGCTATTGTTGACGTGCAATGCCTCTCGCTCGAGATTGGCTTGGTACGAACAATCTGGTCTGGTGGTCTGTGGACTTTGCTGTGTGTCAATTTGAATACCAGGCTGAAACTTGATGTTCTCCTTGCCCAGAGAAGGATTCGGGGCTTGCTTCGCTGGGAGCTCCAGCAGCGGAAACGGAGGATCCAAGGGCTTTCCCCAAGACAGAAGAGCCGTATCATAGAACGAGTCCACGATGGGTCCCTCAATATGGGTCATCATCTCCAGATTGTCATTGTCTTGAATATTGCTGCTTTGTAAAAGCGCTATGCAACGATCGATCACGGTAAATTTTGCATGAAAAGTTCCAAAAATGGGTCGATGAAAGTTGATTACTTGGAGATCGACATTGGGGATCTCTTGGGCTGCAGGGAGTCTCACTTTACCGCCTACATATTGTTCTTCTGGGACACTCAACCGATTCTCCCATGCCTTGACACTGATCAGAACTTTATATCTTCTGTGGTCAAAGGGTCTGATGTCTGAATTAGGCACTAACCTGTCGTGGATCTCCACGATCATAGACCATTTTCATGATGATGGTCTGCCCCCTTTTCCCGGCTCTTCGAGACAATTCCCGAATAGCATCCGTGATCAACATTGAGGCATCTGAATGAATCCAGAAATTGGTTCCCAGGAAAATCTCATGTTCGGCTCGAACAATACAGTTTGCTAGGTGTCGGCACAGGTCCGGTAATGGGGCCACGATCGTCAAGGGTACTACACCCGTCCTTCCAATTAGGGGAGGCGACACGACGCCTGCGAATGGGTTGTTTTCCAGGGAGCCGAGTACATCATGATAGATCTGCCATGCTTGGAGAGTAAGTAACTTTTTCCCTTCGTTGCCTCCTCTTATTCTATTCTGGGGAGGCCATTTTTGTTACCTGTAAAAATAACTGACTGGGCTCGGCAGATCCCCAATTGCCGCATGACCGTGCCCTTGCTAAGTCATCTGTTTTTTCAAATTCCGAAAATGCTTCAGATCCCGCTTCACCTTCTGTCGCGTGTATGTGATCGTGGTGGTTTTCATATAGCCGATTGAACACCTTGGAGGGATCTTGGGAGGGATCCTGCGCCAAATCGGAAGTCACCGTCTCAATCTGCTTGCATAGCCGATATACCTTCCATGAAACCATGTTGGCAGCGACAACGGGCTGATATCGAAGGCCGTTCAATCAAAGAATAGTATCGAAAATATCAAGAATCTCAATTCCACAACGGGGAAATGGCCCATGGAAACTTGGGCGAGAGTCGGAAGTATAGGCAGAATGGGAAGAATAGAATGAGTAATTACAGAAGTGTCTCGGAACTTGACATATCTGGTTGAGAGGCTATAAGAAAGAATCTTGATATTCTCGTTTGTCTGATCCTCTGTTTCTTCATTTATCCATTCTTTTTCATCGACAAGCATCCGAGGAACAGGTGGTGACGTAGGTCCAACTAGCCCTTGTAAAGTCCAGAGGGCGATGCTGCTCGGCCCATTCGGCTTGACCAATTTAAATTGCGAGCATGATTGGCGGTTCTTTTTCCTGCTCTCCGTCCTCCAGGTCCTCACACCTCCGAATGAAAGCGGGTGCCTAATTTTGTAATTTCGCATGGCGTGGATGTCAAAGCACGACGTCATAAGCGTCCGAGCGTTGCGGGGGCCCTTGCATCTCCCGCACCTTGGAGGGTCCAAATGGAGCAGAATCAATCAGTTGATCTCTGCGCCCGGTTCAAAGATCGGCATGAGCCACCTCGAAGCCGCGCCTATGCACAGATGGCTCGCAGTTACAGAGAAATCATCGTCTTCCGCAACGCGTGTTCGAGGTTTGTCTTGCCATTTTCTTAATTCCATAAGTCCACGATCTACACAGGGACAAGAGCTGCTTTCGGAAAGCCGAGTTGGCCCAATCAGCCAAGATGGTAAGATGGGACCAATTCCAATGCTGTGGGGCTGGGAGGTTGAGCTCTTTTCCTTGCTTCGGCGCAGGGCTGAAACATGACGTCGGGCGGGGGATCCGGAAAAGCTTGACAAGGCTTATTCTTGCTTTCTTGGCCTTCTCGGGGAGCCGGATCGACATATTAGGACTCCCTTGTTGTCCAAACATTCGGCGAGGAGGGCACGATTAAAGTCCCCAACACACTATTGCGCCCGAGGCTCCGTGTAGACTTGTGGGTTGGGAATCGTCGCCCGCTTTCACGGCGCTCCCACACATCTCATGACTCCTCCTTTCCTTGTTTGGACAGGTGGTTTGAGCTTTCGAAAAATCCTGGACCTTCCTCCTACCATCTGATGATCTTGGCTGTTCCATACCCAGGAACCCAGAAACCTTTTAGGTCGGTCGGGGAACGAGCTCGACATCCGCTAAGCCGGCCGTTCTGCGGATTCACTTTCAGTGAACTCCGCTGCTATATCAGCAAAGAATTCTGATGCCTTGATCCGATGCTGGTCTCGATGCGCCACGGTAGTGCCCTATCGACTGAGGACCTGTAACCTAGACATATGAGGTTTCGCCGCGGAGACTTTCGCTATCTAGTGGTTGAAAGCAACACATGCGACAGAAGTAGTACTATCACCGATAACGCCAAGCGAGACCGGCTCATGCGGCCGAGCGACAAATCCATTAGCCTCGCGAGTATTGCCGTGAGTACGAACGATATTTATGCTGTGCGGATGGCATTAAGGTCGCTATTGGCGCTATAGGAATACAACTGCCAGCTGTCTTGTGCCTTCTGGCACTTCTATAATCAACCCAGCTACTCCTACTACCTGCATAGTCTCATTGGCTTGTCCTATCTTGTTCTATCTGCATCGCTTCTCGGCGGCGAAGGAGGTTGGGTGAAAAAGGGGGGGTGGGGTTCAGAACTGGCTCGCCCAATACTGGTCTCGATACGTGCGCAGATTGGAATAGGCCTGACTTGTTGTGGAGTGTTGTAGAACTCACAGTGGCTATTGGCTATCTGAAATTCAAGTAAGGCGTTTGAATACCGATCATTTCCCATACCACCTCAATGCCGCTCGCAACTACCTTTTCAAGCACATTCGTACGTTCAAGCAGAGGTTCGGAGTCTCTGCTTTTTCGTGCTTTCTCCTTTCCATATTACAGACAGTAAGCTGCCAAGAACTTTGAAAATCCCATTGCTCTTTTTCTTTCTGTCTATACGTCAACCCCTGCTTCCGCGCTCCGTCAAGTCCTTCAGAGGCATATGAAGCTATCTTTGTGACGCCCGATTGCTAAAGGATATTACATGGAACCTGGATTCCTAACTAGTCATGAGTTCCTGTGTAAAATTGGTCTCAAACTCACCCTCATACGTAAAGGAATACCCATCGCCAAGTGGTGCATTCGAGCTAGGGCCATGTGCTGGGGTCCACATGACTGTACCCTCATTGGCGAAGTTCCCATCATCGTCTTTGATGGAAGGATTAACCTTCAGAATTGACTGGACGGAAGGATTCCGTGTCAAGGCAGGATATTCAAATTGATACCAAACGTTGGTAATCGGATCGCTTCCATCGTTGGCCTTAGGTGTAAAAAAGTACACATTCCCATTGCATTCTTCACCCATTGCTTGTGACAAGAGGCTAGCACTGATGCCAAACAGATTGTCTTGCTAGGAAGAATCTCCAATCTTTCGCCCTTGCTTATCAAAGTATTTCCTAAACATATCACCATGAACCGTGGGGGGAATTGCGGTATCCCAAGTAACAGATCCACAGCCAAAGCCTCGCTTCTGGCAATACTACTGGCGTGCTAGCTGCTGCCCCTTGGCACCTCCCAGACCAAGATAGAACAGGCAGTCCCTTTAGGGCAAATAGTTGTAGTCAACGATTAACTCATTGAACTACTCGACACTCAGTGTGGAGCAAACTGGAAGATCATCAGTGTCCACATTGCTGGGAAAGCAGCCTCGTTTGGCAAGGGAATGAGATTTCTCGGCAGTGAAATCAAAAGGCGTGGGAAAAGAGACCGCATTTTGAATTTGCAGCAAAGGGAAAAATAGAACGAATGTTGCGGAAAGATGCCGGAAAAGGAAAGGAATTGATCCCATCCTGAGAAAAATGCTTCCAATCACTCGTGGATTAGAAAGAGCGACACTCGTAGCGAAGACGAGGAAAACGAGAACGAAACGAACTAATGTGAATGAGTGACGATGAACAGTCGCAGGATAATCGCGGATGAAGGATGTATCTTATCTTTCCAGCAGAACCCTCTTACACCACTTCAAATAGACGGGCTTAGGACTACGTACACTAGTCAAAGTTGAGTTAAAAGAGCGAAATTAATCATTGTAGCTTTTGATACCAGGAGTAACATTGGCTCCGGAAGCAGAAGTCGTTCTCCGCTATTGTTAACCGACGCGCGCCCGCGGCTAAACATGGAAAAGCCCTCGACTAGTCAGTATATGTACAGAGAAATTTTAGAAAGAAAAAAAGAAGGTACGCCGAATATGACAACCAGGAGCTCTCGAAGTGCTTGTCGAGGTTGACAATCCCTGCAACACTCTGCGGCGGCACGTGGGGCCTGGCTTGGACTCCTTTCAGGGTTTTCCCTGGACCCGCCTAGAACTAGTTGATTAACTACGAGGTACTGTAGCCACGGCACTCTCCGAATATGAGCGGAAAAGGTAATTGAACTATCATTATATATGAGAGATTTGCCGAAGCACCCGAGCATATATGAGCGGGATGCTCCGCCAGCTGTACCCCGTCCCGGCTGGAACCGTATGGAAAGTCTGCCGCCCGTGTTACCTAACTTCGCCCGGCCGGTTGCTTTGACCACCTCAGCTCGCTACAGAATAGTCATAGGATGGACATTCGGCGGAGAAAACGAATTGTGAAAACTGTGGCCCAGCCGATAATTTCGGCAAGGGAGAACCGGAGGGTGGAAGTGAGACGTTCTATCCGCATTGCGTTTAATCTTGACTCATAATGCCTTAATCGAGTCAGTATTACTACATTGATACTATATGCTAGATTAAGGCTAAGAAGTCCAGTGAAACTCTAGCTACTAGAAAATATAGAGCCTAGTATCAATCAATCAATCAATAATCTTATTCCTGATAGAGCTTCCTCTATATACAAGGTGCTATGCAGGGATTTACGCCTTCTAGTGCTAACCTAGTGCGCATAAGAAGTTGCCAGCGAAGGGCTTACACAAGGTTAGAACGAACAGATGAAATCGAACGATAAAGGAAAGGTAAATAATAACGAAAGAAGGGATCCGCCTCCGCGGCTAGTCCCACGGTAGTCCCGGCGGAGCCGAGTGCACTATACTATATATACTAATAGCCTGAGCAAAATAGCTACTAAACGAGTAGCTTCTAGTATCTAATATATAATATATATATATAGAGAGAGCGGAGAGAGTACCGGCCTTATCTTATAGAGTAACAATAGACCCGGTAGAACTATACCGCCGGCCTTATCCTGCAGATTACTAATAAGGTTATAATGCATTTCACTAACTTTCCGCCCACACCAACATTCCGCCCACCCCACCACCTACTACTTTTTGAAAACACTATTTTCCCACCAAAACACTCTAGATTTGATTCAACTATTTACTAGGGCATTGAGTAATCTTATGCCCTACTATATTACATCCGGAACACCGAAACATACGCTTAGGAGTAGGCTCAGCGCCCTCGGTAGGCTGCTGAGCAAGCTCTGCATCATCGTTTCGAATAGCTTCAACGCTCGCTGGCAACGTTGAAACTAGAGATATAGATTCGCTGACCGTAGGATCTTGCTGCCTAGATACCTAGCGATTAGACCGTGTGCGTTTTTGACGCTTCTTCTCGTTGAATCTATATAGTTGCCGAATCTCTTCGGCTTGTAAAACAGTGTTATAAAACGCTAGTTCAGCACCTTTGATTAATTGATCTAGCACTCTCTCTGTAGGGCTTCCTAGCGATCGCTAGCGCTTGCGTAGTAGAGCTTTGATAGATAAAGCTTGCTTGCTAAGCTACTTTATCGTATATAGTGTAGTAGGCACGAAAGCGCTACTCCTACTACTAGGCCTACTAGTAGTAGTAGGAGGTGTAGGTGTTCGAAGCGATATATTAAGCTTTGATAGGACTCGGTCGGTATCTAGCGGAACTAGGCCGGCGCTAGCGAAGCTTGATTGTATCGTGCTAGGGAAGGCTTCCTAGCGTGCTAGGGTATAGGATTCTAGGAAGTCGAGCTTATCGATATAGTTATATCCTAGGCGAGCTTAGGCCTCGATTAAGCGACTATATAAGCGCTTTAGGATAGCAAAATATCCTATATCTAGCGGCTATAGAAGATACGATAAATGCGGTAGTATACATAGTAGTATAATATTATTTTGCTAACAGATTTAATCGAATTATAGTATTAGATAACTACTACAACTGTCTAATATTAATAGTCGATATTTACCTTATATACGCGGAGTAGTAGCTAGAATAAAGAGCTTTTCTAGCTAGCGTAGGCCTATATCGTCGGTAGTCTAACCGTTCGGTGATACTTCGATTCGTTAGTTATTTAGTAGGTTATTAAACTAGCTTTGAATATAAATCTTCCCTTTAAATACTATATACAGCGGAAGCGAGTAGCCGATTACCGATATAGATTTAATTACTATTACCTACTCCCGATTTCCCGGTTATAGAAGAGGTTTCCGACCGTATAGATTCTTCCGTGTAACGATTCTAGTAGTAGATATTAAGCCTATTGCAAAGCCGGTTTTTTCAAAGTTATAGATATCATTAGGTAGGATACCGTTATCGTTGATTGTTAATTCAACAAGCCTAAACTACGCGCGTAAGCTTGCTAGGTCTTCGTTTTAGGCACGCTAGTAGTCGTAGCGCTTAGAGAATTATATATAAAACTCTAGTCGACGATTAATATAGCGTGTAACCTAATTAATACCGATCAAAGAAGATTAGTTATTACTACGCGTTGCTAGTAGAAGATTTGCTATATCTCGAATCTGCGAAAGTCTAGGAGATGCTCCTCAGGCGTCTAGCGATAGTCTTCTTATGTTAGTTTATAGCTATTTACGCGAGTATCCTGGCGATTAGGAACACCTTTGAGACGCGTACGAAGCGTGCTTTCTAGCACGCTATAAATCCTTACTACTTAGCGTATAGAACTTGCTGACGAATCCTATATAGCTTTGATTGCTAATAGTATCCTACCCTCCCTATCTAGCGATTTTGAGCGATTTTGGGAACGTTTTGGTAGCATAGTGTTAGAGAATAACTAACTACTTTTACAGGGTAGAAAGCCTGTCGACTAGGTAGGAAGATAAGCGTCAGGTAAGGAAAGCAAATAGCTGTTTCTTGCTTTCTTAGATCTCTCCATAATCCTCAATTTATGTACAGGCTTCAACATCCTTCCGTGTGCCTAGTCGAGAGATAATGGATCACATTGTAATATACGGTCTGACGTGGCCTCCATAGGACAGGGTTAAGCGAAGGCTGCAACAAAGAGGGGTTAGAGAATCCCCAGCGAAAGGGCACCGAACTCTCAGGATGTTGTAGACCAGGTATCCATGTTGGGAGGGAAGAGGGGTTATCATCATGAAGCCTGACCGATTAGGTGTCGGACTGACACCTTAAGGCATCGAGTTGGGAATAACCTCATGTTACAATATCATATGACACATAGTGTGTAATGGAAGATAGTAGGTGGAAGATAGAAGACGCGTTTTGGATAGGGTGCGCAGCTCGCTAGTGAATTACGTTAGTACCGAGGCAAATTTTCTTAAGCAAGATAGTTACGATACTGATACAGTTGGAGGGACATGTGGAGGCGGATCAGGGGGAAGTCTCTCGCAAGTTCTCGGGTCTTGAACTACTTTCAGGGTCAGCCTTTGAAGGCTCGTCAGATTGCGCGTAGGGCCTGTTCGGGGTGATTATCGACAGGCCACGTAGGGCGAGGAGCTCGCCCACATTGGTACTCCCACTAGGAGCAAGACCTCCGCAGTCGTCGTAATCACTAAGCATCTTATCCAGGGTCTCCGCCATCCCAGTCATATGCAAGAAATGCCCGATGCTGGCGTGGACGCGCAAGAGATCGGGGTTTGGGAGGGGCCACCGACCAGTATGGTTTCGGAGGCGGATTAATCCGTCCGCAGGAACATCTCTCATTGGCGTTCTGGCCGCATTAGGAAAGGCGTGCACATGATACTGATGGATCACGGATGTTGCCTCCAACACTATGCGAAAGGCCCCAAACTGGGCATGCGCCTCGAGAGTCAACATGAGCATGTTGCTCTCGTGGTTGATAAGCTGGCGATCCTGCGACATGGCGTGTAAGACAGGGAAATAACGCCGAAGATTGATCCAAATGGCGGAGTTGCGGTACTCGGCGTCTCTGTTCCCTTGGTCATAACTACCCAGCGTGAACGGGATAATATGCGCGGCTTGTAACGTTCCGGACATAACATCCGAGGGAGGGTCATGAGTGAAACTATATACTCTAGTGATGGTGCACCGGTTGCCATCTCTCTCCAAACAGTGGTCGCGGAGTCGGGACTGGACCCCTCGAGTGATAGGCAAGACGATCAGACTACGTAGATCTTCGATCGAATCCTCCACCCCTTCACGTGGCGAGGGGGTGACTTCGCCAGGAGTCTTGCCGCCGGCTGCCCGCAGGGGGTAGATGAGGCCGGTTCGGATGGAGTCTACTAGCTGTCGCAAGGCTCCATCATCTTCGCAATCCACAGCGTCTTGTGCCAGCTTTTTCTGGCCTTCGCTTGGCAGGACAGAGAAAAAGCTGCGAAGAAAGAGTCGGATCGAGTCATTGGAGCTGCCGTTTTCGCATTGCTCCGGGGTGTACTCGCTTAACCGTTGGTCCATCACCTAGCTTGTTCATCAGTACTCCGCAATGACTTGACTCGATTGGTGTTCTTACCGATTGAATGGATAGCGACATGTGGGTCTCTTCTGCCTCTTATCCTAGAGGCCGGCAAGGAGGGAGGGGGGAGGTATTAGGCCGTTGTTGATTTGGGCAAGGCCGGTTCTGAAGCGGCAGGGAGAGAGATGTGGGCGCTCAACGGGAGATTGCTGGGCTCCTGCGGGAACGATCGAATGGGCTAAGAAACAGGGGGCAAAGCTAGCTGCACCCCACCAAAGAGGTTGGCTGGGATACGCCACTGAACCGCGCGTCTGCTGGATGATCAGTGTGCTGATGGGAGATGCAGGGTCTAGTGGCACACCAGGTGGAAATGAGGGAATGGAAAGTTAAGGTGGTGGGGTGGTGGGGTGGTGGGGCGGGACGAGCCCCGCTTCGTCCCAAAGGAGCCACACTACGTCCGGGAAGAGGTGTATGTATCATCCCGACAGCGATAGAGTTTCAGGCCGTACCTATCTAAACCTATTCTGGTAACTGTTTTGGGCTCAAGACCGACTGATGCCTGACAAGTAGATAAATCTCTGTCATATGATACATGGAACATAAGCAGAACACGGCTCAGTAGGATCCTTCCACCAAGAGTCACGTGTGTTTTGAAAAATGTAGTATCCCGGTTATTTACAATCCTGAATCGAAGTGTTTATATTAATACCTTAGGTCTTAGTACTGTTTCTCTTATGAATATTCATCTTCTTCAAAGATATCTACCTACTACTATAGTATCTAATACGAATTAAGCTAGTCGCTTAACAAAAATCAAGGATCTTATCGATATAAGACTAGATCTAGTCTACCGGGATATTATAGGCCTACCTCTAAGGTGCTAAAAATAGATACGCCTAATTAAATAAATTCTATAATAAGGCGGTGTCGAGACCTTGTCGGACGATAAGGGAGGAAACTAGACTTAGGCGGTAATACCTAAAGTTACGTGATATTATTGTTAGAGAATAACTACTTGTACAGGGTAGAAAGCCTGTCGACTAGGTAGGAAGATAAACGTCAAGTAAGGAAAGCAAAACACTGTTTCTTGCTATCATAGATCTCTCCATAATCCTCAATTTATGTACAAGCTTCAACACTTTTCCCACATGACTAAGCAAAGACGATGGATCACATTATAACATGCGGTCTGACGTGGCCCCTATGTGTCAGAGATAAGCAAAGGCTACAGAGAAGAGGGGTCCACGAATCCCTAATGGAAGGGCACCGAACCCTCAGGGTCTTGTAGGTCATGCATCCTTGTTGGGGAGACGTGGGGCTGTTATGACGAAGCCTGACCGATAAGGTGTCGAGTTGACACCTGAGGCGTGAAGTTGGGAATAGCTTTATGTTGCAATATCATATGACAATTATAGCCTAGCTATAATAGGGGTTACGTATAATTATAGCTAAGCTATTACTAGATTATAGCCTAGGTGTATCTCCAGTATAGCTAGGATATAATAGGGCTAGGTATATAAGGACCTTCGTGTTACGCGCTGCTAACTGGTTAACGTAAAATGAACGTTATCGTAACGTACCTCTCTCGTAAGATCCGACGATCTATCTCGTAATCTGTTAGAGAATAACTACCTGTACAGGGTAGAAAGCCTGTCGACTAGGTAGGAAGATGAACGTCAAGTAAGGAAAGCAAAACACTATTTCTTACAATCATGGATCTCTCTATAATCCTTAATTTATGTACAGGCTTCAACACTTTCCTATATAACTATTAGAGAGAGAATAACTAATTGTACAGGGTAGAAAGCCTGTCGACTAGGTAGGAAGATAAAACGTCAAGTAAGGAAAGCAAAACACTATTTCTTACTATCATGGATCTCTCTATAATCCTTAATTTATATACAGGCTTCAACACTTTCCTACATGACCAAAGCAAAGACGATGGATTACATTATAATATGCGGTCTAACGTGGCATACATGTAACAAAGATAAGTAAAGGCTACAGGGGAGAGGGGTTCACGAATCCCTAATGGAAGGGCACCGAACCCTCAGGGCCTTGTAGGTTATGCATCCATGTTAGGGAGGAGTGGGGTTGTCATGACGAAGCCTGACCGGCAAGGTGTCGAACTGACACCTGAGGCATGAAGTTGGGAATAGCCTCATGTTGCAATATCATATAATAGTTAGGCTCGGGCCCGGGAGGTCGGGCCTAAAGCCTATGCGGGTTAGGCCGTGGGCCTAGTCCCCGGGCCTAAACGTGGGCTTTGGCGATATCTACAGTGGAGACTGTATTAGAAACAGACTGAATCTTGAAGAGATTCAGATTGTGGGATTCAAATTCCAAGTTAAATACAAGTGAACCCCTTTAGGAATTATGCAAGAAATGTGACAGGTCAAGCGGGGGCAGATTCCATATATGATCCTTCGTGGAATATTTTATATAGGCATTCCATGGTGGACCCTTTACACTATCACCCCTATCTTGTAGTGGTGATCGAGGTATACTATATAACGCTGCTGCTTGGGCAACTGAGCCTGCTGAATCATTTTGAATAGCAGAAATTGGTAATAGGATCCTACCTTCCTCATATGGTTATGTTGAGCGTTTTTCAGAACGTTTTGGTGGCATGGTGTGTAGCGGACGAGAGCAGGTGACGCGTGGGGACGTGTTAGGAATAGAGGTGGCGACTCACTAGTGAATTACGTTAGAGAATACCAGAAAGGTACATGTACGTGACATATACCATTGCTACATGCTTTTCGACCCTGATGACGTGTTTAGAGACACATGACCCCTCTCCCCATATAACGCCATAAAGAGTTTCGCTGCGCCACCCTCCGCTCACGCAATAACGCATTTCCATATAGGGACAATGTACACCTTATGAGGCATAGCACAGATTTTGCTTGTTACACAGACTTTTGACCCGGCTTTATACAGGTTGATGATTATGAGAGGTTATATTTAAATTTCGGAATCAAATGTATGGACTTCTTTCAGGAAAGACAATCTTCGAATGTGGTCGTCTTTTATGGCGACAACAATGAACCTTTCTCTATGGAGAAAATATACTCTTTATCAGGCCAAGTGCAGATTTTGCTTGTTACACAGACTTTTTATTTGACTTATACATGTTGATGATTATAAGAGGGTGTTATATGTAGATGTCACATATAAAGGTGCCTTCGTAAAGTTTACAGCTCTTGTTATAGAGAAACCGAATATTATCGTATCAATCCGTAAGAACTATTAACAAGCATTGTTCTATCATTGAATCCTTTTAACAACTTTCCTTTTTCACGATGACAATCGAAACTCCTCATGCTTATTCACGACGTCCGGATGTCGATGTTATTATCATTGGCGCTGGATTTGGTGGCATTAGCGCTCTATATCACCTTCGCAAACTTGGCCTGAAATGTGCGATAATTGAAAAGGGGAAAGATATTGGTGGCGTCTGGTATTGGAATCAGTATCCAGGTGCCAGAACCGATTCTGGTATACCATCCTACGAGCTTGACATTCCTGAGTGTTGGCAGACTTGGACCTGGAGTGATCCATTTCCAGGCCACCAAGAGATCCGAGACTTTTTGGATCATTGCGATCGACAAATTGGAATTCGTGAGCATGTTATATTTGAGAAGAAGGTTATTGGAGCGCAGTTCATTAGGGACTTAAGTACATGGGCCGTCAATCTCGATAACGGATCAACCCTCAACAGCAAATACTTGATCTGCGCTACTGGCGTGACTTCCCAGAAACCTGACACTTTTGACGAGGACCTTAAATCGTTCCACGGCAAAGTTTATTTTCCGTCCAATTGGCCGCAACATGAAATTCACCCCGAAGGCAAAGATATTGCTGTAATTGGGACTGGTTCCACTGGAGTCCAAATTGTCCAGGCGTGGGTGGGGCCCACGAGCAAAGTCCTTGGTTGTGTATCAGCGCTCTTACAATACCGCTTTACCAATGCCCACCCAACCCTCCGATGGACTTGACTATCAAGGCAAAAATGAAGATCGTGCAAAAATGATTGCGTCCCGAATCACAACTCCCTCTGGAGTAGCCCTCTGGGCGCCTCAAGAAAAAGGAACATTTGAAGTCTCGGATGAAGAACGTGAAGCGATGTATCGTTATCTGTATCAGCGTGGTGCCCTCAGTTTTTGGCTCTCGGGGTTTAACGATGTAACAAAAGATAAGGCTGCCAACCGACTGGCATATGACTTCTGGGCACTAAATACAAGGTCCAAAATTCACGACGCACGAAAGAGGGATATCCTTGCTCCAATAGAGCCTTCCTATCCTTTTGGTGTAAAAAGACCTGGAATCGACAATGGCTATTTTGAGCAATTTAACCGCGAAAGTGTCGATGTCGTTGACCTTCGCCGAACACCAATTTCCGCTTTCAAAGGAGATGGTATCATCACAGAGGATAACACATTCCGACATCATGACATCATCATTCCTGCAATTGGATTCACCACAGTCATCGAAAATCTGAAAGCACTTGGAGTCACAGATATAAATGGCGCTTCACTGGGAAAGCTCTGGGCAAACGGCATACGTACTTATCTGGGGATAATGCATCAAAACTTCCCAAACATGTTCGTGATATGTGGGCCACAGGCACCAAGCGAACAGAGCAATCTACCCACATGTATCGATATGCAGGTTAGATGGATAGCAGAAGTTATCAGAAAGATGGAGAGAGAGAAAATACATGCTCTGTGGCCCACTGCAGCGGCGATGGACATGTGGAACACGAAATCAAATGCCACTTTCAACAAAGATTTCTACGCGACAGTTACTTGCCGATATGCGAGTTCAGGAAGCCCCCTCTACTACTCTGGCGGAATTCCAGAATATGGTCGACTGCTCAACGATGCGCTTGACACGTGGGAATACTTTGAGATAGTGTGACAGTGTCCGGAGATGTAAAGGTGATCTTATTAGTTCTGTCTAAGACTAGCTAAGAAGGTGCTAAGGGTTACCTGACCTAGCTTAAAGGGTAATATATGCCACGCTTTTTTAAAGCATCGTCCCTGATACGAAATAGAGTAATGAAAAATAGTCGTATCTTTTAGGTTCAGCCTGAATAATTGCCTACGCTTTGTTTACTTTTCGTATAGCCTCGCGTGCTTTATTATCTAGCTCGGAACCTAGTAGAGAGGGAGGGAATAGGGGAGTCCGGTAGCGGAGGATAGTCCGGAGGAGAGGGAATAGCTTATACTTAGAGGAATAGGTCTAGAGCTTCTTAGATAGGCGCTAGGAGGGTAGGGATACGGGCTAGCGGAGTGAAAATAGGCGGATAGGGGGTAAGAGGCTCTATGATAGAGGTAGGAATATATAGAGAGAGGGTAGTAGGTTATACTTAGATAGTTAGCTCGGGAAGAGGGTTAGATAGTTATACCTAGGGTATAGATTCTAGTATCTAGTCGACTACGTTAGGTACTAGGCTATTATATTCTATATACGCGAAGTCTATAGCTAGTAGTATCGGAGTAGGTAAATAGGACTATAGTTACTACGTATCATATGATATTGCAACATGAAGCTATTCCCAACTTCACGCCTCAGGTGTCAACTCGATACCTTATCGGTCAGGCTTCGTCATAACAGCCCTACGTCCCCCTAACAAGGATACATGACCTACAAGACCCTAAGGGTTCGGTGCCCTTCCATTAGGGATTCGTGGACCCCTCTTCTCTATAGCCTTTGCTTATCTCTGATATATAGGGGCCACGTTAGACCGTATGTTATAATATAATCTATCGTCTTTGCTTGGTTATATAGGAAAAGTATTGAAGCTTGTACATAAATTGAGGATTATAGAGAGATCTATAATAGCAAGAAATAGTGTTTTGCTTTCCTTACTTAACGTTTATCTTCCTACCTAGTCGATAGGCTTTCTACCCTGTACAAGTAGTTATTCTCTAACACTACGATATATCTAGGCTTAGTAGGAGCTATAATAGAATCTCTATAGGGCCTTAGTAGGCCTACTTTAGGACTATAAGGGTCTTTTAGTAGTGTTAGAAAGGCTAGAGATAGTCTAGTATCAATTATTTTTATAGCTAGGTAGAGGTCCTTAATCTTAGCGGAAATATCTATCTAGGCTTAGAGGTAGATAGCGTAGTAGGAGTCTAGCTTTTTCGATTTCCGCTTAAGCTTTCCTAAAGAGCTATAGGTTCTTAATTAGGATTAGATAGTAGCTTATATCGATAGCCTTAGGGAAGGTTTATTAAGCTTAGTAGACCTTATTAAAGATATTATATAGAATAGGATTAGCTTCGATAAGCGCTTATTCGAGGAGAGTATTCTTAATAGGGTCTAGCTAAGTATAGATATAGGCTTATCTTAGAGCTAGTAGAGATATAGGTTATAGCTTTGAGCTTATATAATAGTTAGAATAATTAGCTATACTAATAAACTAGAGAGCGGTTCTATTATACTAGAGTATTATAGTATATATAGATAAGATTTCTTAATTTATTAATAAATACTTTAGAGGTAATAACTAGGCTAACTAGCTAGTTAGTACTAGCTACCTTAGTAGTTATATTATTCTTAATATTAGATAAAGTACTATACTTTTTAGAGGCTTAAGGACTAGTAAGAATATAATATCTAGGGAAAACTAGAATAAATAGGATATTAAATATAATAAGAAGAGAGCTTAGAGCTAGTAAGGTATAGTTAGTATAGATTTTACTAGTATTATTAAAGTCCTTAGTCTAGTTATACTATTTCCTCTATTTAATAGATAGGAATTTAGTAACTATATTAATATATTTATTAGAGAGCTTAATACTTTTAGGAGGTAGCTATTTTTTACCTATAGCTATTATTATTATCGCGGTATAGGGAGGGAGAGCTAATACTTTTAGTAGCTTAGAGTTCTACCCTTAGATCTACTTATTAATCTAGTCTTGGGTCTCTTATAGATTAGTAGCTATATATAGGGTATCGGTAAGCTCGCGGTTATAGGTAGGTCTCTGTTAGAGAATAACTACTTATATAGGGTAGAAAGCCTGTCGACTAGGTAGGAAGATAAACGTCAAGTAAGGAAAGCAAAACACTTTTTCTTACTATTATAGATCTCTCTATAATCCTCAATTTATGTACAAGCTTCAATACTTTTCCTATATAACCAAGCAAAGACGATAGATTATATTATAACATACGGTCTAACGTGGCCCCTATATAACAGAGGTAAGCAAAGGCTACAAAGAAGAGGGGTTCACGAATCCCTAATGGAAGGGCACCGAACCCTTAGGGCCTTATAGGTCATATATCTATGTTAGGGAGAAGTAGGGCTATTATAACGAAGCCTGACCGGTAAGGTGTCGAACTGACACCTGAGGCGTGAAGTTAGGAATAGCTTCACGCTGCAATATCATATGACAGTCTCGATTAGGATAGTATCTTAGATAGTAAGCCTTCCGGCTTAGTTAATACTATAGATATATTAGTTATATAGTAGCGCCGCTTAGGGGTCGGGGTAGATATAACTATATAATAACAGGGAAGATAATAATAATAAAGTAGGATATTAATAAGATAAGATAATAGGAAGGAGAGTAGTGATAGTAAGATAGATAGGAGCAGGTATAAAGTTAGGTTATTATATAAGGAATAGGTAAGAGGTATAGGGCTTAGGCCTATAGGATAAATATAGGGAATATAGATTATTAATTAGAGGGTCTAATAGCTTCGAACTTAGCGATAAGATCGTTAGCAGCGATATCTTCCTTCGCTACCTACTAATCCTTCTTAGCGGATTAGCCTTTCTAATAAACAAGATATTTAGTAATCGATAGGCGGCTTATTATTACGCGCTACTAACTAGTTAACATATTATATACGTTATCGTAATATACCTCTCTCGTAAGCTCCGACGATCTATCTTATAATCGTACTATTGCCTACTCTAGCCTTATATAGGCTCGGATCTATAGAGTAGACCGAAGATGTATATAGTTAAAGGGCGCCTAGTTAGTCGACGAAGTAGTTATATAATAACTACTAAGTATTCCTCCTAGTTATAGGGTATATCCTTATATTATACTATAGAAGTATCTAAGTTACTAAAGATAGTTGTTTATTAAGTCTTGAATATAACTATAAGTAATTATGTTTTTCCGAAGTCTAGTGGAAACCACCTTCATTATGGACAGCCAGCCAGTGGGATTGTCTTTTAGGTGCATTTTTGGGCTGTAAGGCCGCCAGCATAGAATGCAATTGTAATCATCCCTTTTAGGCATGCTTCGGTTAGTGGACCCTGTTTTCTTTTCAGAAGCTCACCGGGGCCGGATTTGCTGTACAGGATGCTAAAAGGGAAGGGGGGTAGTTGACGACTTACCTAGAATTCCACACGCCTAAGCATAGTTGGTGGTGCAATCTAGTGCAACGTTCCCAAGGAAATGAGGATCAATCCTTTTTCAGAATACGACCCTGTTTAAAAAAAATTTGATTAAAAAATTACATCTCCAGATATATAAACAGCTTGGTTCTTCGTCTAACAATTCCCAAAAGCACATTTCTTTCTGAATATAGTCTCTCTCCAAGCCAACAACCCGTCTTATCATACAAGCACAATGGTTATGTTTGCACTTGTCTCAGTTGCCATCATGGCTGCTGGCCTACCTTTATGTCTTGCCGACAACTGTCAGCCCGGAATCCGCTATTGTGGATACAATCTTCTCAACAGAGGTGAGTGTTCGAAGGGTTACACTAATCAATCTGCCCCTTCAAATTACCCGCATTTCGCTAATATAGCAGCTCAGGTAACTACCTTGAGCAGATCAATGAAGCCCTCATTGCTGCCAACCAACCTACCGATACCTCGCATGTACGAGACAGCTTTTTCCTGTGCACCGGCGGTCCAGGTGGTGAAATCACTTTCAAGACATATTGCCAAAAAGGCTGTCATGATGGCGGAAATGATAAGAACGACTGGTGCAACTAGTACTTTGGTTGAATGAAGAGAATGGAATTCGTTTTCTTGCTTCTATTCAGGTGTCAGGGCTTTGATTCTTACTGGTACTTGCTGAGATATGGTATATAACTACCAATAATTCGCCGGTTCGGTGACGACCTACTCGTCTCTCATTATTCATGTTTTTGGTATGGTAAGCCTGTTCAACTTGGAATACCTGCCTTGTTACTCGCCATTACTACTGAACCCTTTCAGGCAGTGAGTCGCTCTCAACGGCGATTCTTTTATTTAGTTCTCTAAATTCGGTCCCCAATAATTCTATCCCATGGGAGATTTACATGACGTCATAGATGTCTAAGGCAGTAGGTGTCAGACAGTAGTTTGATATACATAACAATCATCACACCTTCCACACTACATAGGACTCTGGTCCTTTATGACATGCGGATGATATTGAGCACCAATTATACCAATATCCAGTAGTTGCTTATAGCGATATGTTACTCTAGGGCCGAGAGAAGAAAGTGGCCCGAGTCAGACCGTAGATAAAAGTTCGACATTCATTTTCCGCCTGACGCGTGTCGAGCCAAGTTGCCAAATAAGCTAGCAAGGTATAATAGTACAATGAGGGCACATTTCAGGGACCATGCTTTGCTCACTTGCGCCTTGTTCAAAAGCAGAGAGATGCTCGGCTTGAATGGCGTTGTGAAATTGCCTGCCTTGCAGGCACACTGCGATTCAGAAGCTGGGGAACATTGAGGGCTCCTCGGATAGATATTATTGATGCATTTCAAATGCCGGTAAACTATAGCGAGTACTGGAGCCAAAAAAATCCATCGTCTAATTCAAACAATCCGGGGATGGTCCGATAGAATGGGGGATGCATCACGGTCATACAGGCCGACGAGAGTTTATCAAACAATTAATGGACTTTGAACTCCTGCAGCCACCCTCTCCGATATTTTAATGGCTCTTTATCTGATTTCACCATACAATGAAGGGTTTTGAAAACGAGCCAAACCGTACGAGCTTGAAATGTAGGCCTTGGACCCTGACGCACTTTCTTCCCTCATCTAAACGGATCTCGGCCTAAATCCATCAATCGAAAAACTGATCGTAGACAGCTCCTGGAGCCAACTGAATAATATTGAAGGCAACGTGTTCAATCGAGGACAACGATTGTGAGCTCCAGGGAGCCTTCTCGGTTCCATGAACATGGTACGGATTTGTAAAACCAAATGAGGATTTACTGGTGCGCAAGACCTGCCAAAAAATTTCAGGGCTATATAAAGGTTCGCATTCTTTTACTGCGGGAGGGCAGCAACACCACTCACTCAAGGTGAGGCTGAGAGATTGGTTCGAGCCATTGGAGACGGATTCGGGGCGAAAGCCGGCACCTGGCCCCCGGTTGGCATCTCAGCGCTCTCACCTATCCTGTTTCTACAAGTGGATGGTTCGTTTATTCCACCTTGCAAAATTGCTCTCTCACCCACATTGAGATGAAGTGATAGCGCAAGAGACTTCCTCCGTGCCAGATGGCACCTGCCGCAACAACTGTGAGCGGTCTCTGTTACTTGTTTAGATACTGTAGATTCTAGATCGCAGGGTTGCCGCCGACGCCCGCTGATAGGATGGGCAAAACCACAAGAAGCCAGCGTAAGGGGAGGAAGTCTCAGCTTGTAACGAGGCTCTAAGTTCATGTCAGGAAGTGGACCATTCTAAATGTACACACTCGGATATATAGTTGTTGTATACTGCATATCGCTTCGGCGAGCGGTCAGTGTAAATTAATCCTACTACTACTACTACTACTACTCTGTAACCCAACATCACTTCGATCATGACTTTTCGGGTTTGCTTTCCGACCTTTTCGTATAGGCTTGCAAATTTTCATCAATGGAGTTATTGCTTCTCTTTTTTGCCGCCCCTTTCCGGTTGTAAGCTAGTTTGAACTGCAATAGCATGTCATGTAATTGTGTGTGACGGTTTTCAAAAATTGGTGTTGGATGCAAAAACCTCCCACTCATCACAGATCCTTAGCTTTGCGAACGAATTTTCTCTTATCGCAGTTATTGCGTCGGGACCCACTGGAAGCCTAAAGGGAAGTTCTTTGCCAGTGCATCGACCCTGACCTCTGACAGCTTCCACGATCAAAGTAGCCGCTTTGAGAGGATCCCCGGGCTGGTTCCCGTCCGCAGCATTACAACCTGCCTTAATCAACAAATTCAAGTTCCCATATTCATGTAATGGGTTCGGTGCTCGGTACAGAATGTTGCCTGGTGTCATGACACTAGTACGAAAGTAGCCAGGCGTGACCATGCAGGTTCGAAGACCAAATGGCTCGATTTCCAGACCGAGGTTAGGCACTAGACCTTCAAGTAGACCCTTCGAGGCTGCGTATGCGCTGGCGCCTGGCGCACCATAGTAGACACCCACTGATGACATGAACAGAATAGTCCCAGTCCGTCTACCCCGCATGTATGGAAGTAAGGCGCGTGTCAGGTTGAGAGGGCCAAGGGCATTGCTGCGGATGGCCTGGATCAAGTATTCTTCACTGGAACCGATGTCAGGTTTTAGACGTTCACTTCTCATGTTCGGTTGACCACTCACTCAATTTCTTCGAATACACCGGCGTCAATGTAGGCAGCATTGTTGACCAGAACGTCAATTTTCCCATACATTGCCCATGCTTCTGCAACTTTTGCATTGAGGACTTCTGCTGATGCCGTGACGTCTAACTCCATCACAGCGGCTCCTGCCTCTTTAAGTGAAGCTATGCGATCAAGACCATTTTCTTTTTGTGCTCGAGCTGATGCAATTACCTGATCGCCCTGATCTAAATTTTAAGAAGGTGAATATATGAAGAGAAGAATACAGTAGCTTACCGCCGCTAGGATTGACCGTACTAGACATTCTCCCAAACCAGAGGAGCAACCCGTTACGAACCATGTGAGCTTTCCTGACATATCGCTAGATTCGTTAGGCACTCTTAAAATGCAAAAGTATGAACGAGAAAGAGCAGGGGGGATAATGCTCTTTATTTGGTCTACACCGCCAAATTAGGCGTGCCACGGTAGACTTGGTCGTAGGACGCGACAGAGTCAAAGCGACCCATCTTAAGCTTGTTGACTAGCAGATCATCCACAGGAAGCCCGCTAGAACACGACTAGACAATCAATACTCCAACTAATTCTTATCTCCGCTCGTCAAAGAAAGTAATATTTCTTGTTTTATCCACATCTAGGCACCTGATTGCTCCTGATTCTCCTCATTTTATGAGAGTTACTCCGGATTAGCCCAGGCATTTCGGATTGGTCTATACACTCCCGGGATCTCGCTTCTCGATGCTCGGCGGTGCTTTGGCGTTCTCCCCTTCAGCTGTCTGGTCACTATTAATCTGGACCCCTTTGGGACGCTTGCTTTCCTGCCAAAAAATCGCGAAAAGCTTTTTTGGATGACGATTACATATGTTTGCTGAGTGGCCTTAAAACCGCGGTATTTGAAGTAAAATATCATACCATAAGTACTGATGTAACGCACACAATCGATTTTCGTTGGCTGTGCGAGATAAATGGGGGGCCTGACATCATCGCTGTTAGCTTGGCTAAGAATTTGCCTACCAATGACGTATAGTTACACGAAATCGCTTCACCGAAATGGACCCTACAAAAATCCAGAGAAACCGTGATTATGGCTGATAGCTTGCCGTGGTTTCTTCTCGGAGCGTTCGGTGGAGCATGACGTGCGCAATCCGTGGCAATCCCTTTTTGGTGGGAAATCGCCAGCGTGTTTCCTCCAGTTCCCTTTCCTCCAGTTCCGTAAGATTTCTTATCTTAATCGCTGAATTGTTTGACCGTGATAGCTTTCTCTTTTTCGCAATTTCTTCATCAAATGCCATTCCAGCAGGCCAAATTTGACCAGTACGAACGTCCGTTCGATACACTTGAGCTTCTATATCGCAGCATAGCAGCAACTGGCGTGCATTTTCAGAAGGAACAGTATCTCATCTCTAGTGTCATCCGACTTGAAAGAGAACCCTCTATGACATGCTTGCAGCAGTCATGGAAGGTGTTACGATACCAGCATCCACAAATCGCATCGGAGCCTAATAAGACAGGCACTCGGCTGGTTTATACGGTTCCTTCCCTGGAGGCACTGGAAAAGTGGCTACAGAACACGCTCGTTTTGCATGCCAATGAGACTCGTCCAGCTGAGAGCCTTGATGAAGACCTTCTCCCATCTTCCCTATTCACGCTTCATTATCTACCCTTGTCAAGGGAGCTATTATTCAGAACACCGCACTGGCGCACTGATGGAAGAGGCATGATACTGATACAGCGTGACTTTTTGACTCTGCTAGCTCAAGGCCCTCAGCCTGCCCTGGAATTTGACGGCTCGGAATTTTCACGCATACCTCCAAGCTTGGATGAGGCGGTAGGCATATCGCTCGAAATTACGGACGAAATGAAAAGGGCCACAGAAACCGAATTGTCCGTTCTTACTATCGGGCCTGAACCCGCTTCAATCATCCAGACCCTGCCGAATACCCGACCAAAAAATTCGTGCCGCTTAAGTACCCGGCTTTCTAAAGATCTGACTCAAAGACTTGTCGCGGCCAGTAAGGTCCGTGGCTTAACTGTGACAACAGCCGTTCAAGCTGCGCTTATTGTCGCTGTCCGTCCCTACATGGTTCCTTTGCATGGTCGACTGGTCTGCTTTAACACCTTTGACATACGTAACTGTATACCGGCGCCATGGAGTGGGTCTCAAGGGGCGACCGCCCTGTACCACACAGGTCGGCCCTGTAGCATTGACTTGAGTATCAATGAAAACTACGACGCCATCGCTGCAATGTTGGCATTACACTATCAGCGCGATTTGCAGCCACTTTTTAAAATTATGCCATATTACGTGCAGAGTATTGGTGCTCTGCTAGCGACGTCATTAGAAGTGGCGATCCGAGCACCGGGTGCCGCGCATCCTGAGCTAAGCTCGCTCGGTGTTATTGACGACCAGTTGCCGACCACCTATCCTGGCCCTGAAACCACACTGAATATTGAAGATTGGTGGTTAGGTGTTCAAATTACTAACCGAGTTTTGCAAACGTATCTATGGACTCGGGAGGGTCAGCTACATCTCACTTGTCATTTTAATGAAGCCTTTTATGAGCGAAATTTTGTGGAGAAACTTTTGGAAGAGTGGAAATCAAAGTTGGTGGGGGAATTGGTTCCTTGTGGATGATGGGCGAGTTCCGTGCCGAGGACAAGTCCATTTCGATGATGTATCATGTCAGTACCCGGCTGAAATCTCTATTGATGCTAAAGCTCGTAATTTCTATTCCGGGGATAATCGTTGATCATCCTTAGCATATTCGGGCCATGGGGGTCTTGTGGTTAAAAAAGACTTAGCAGGAAATCTTGGCGCCCCCCAAACTAAGAATGCTAGTAAACAAAGACTTCGGAGAATCTCAGCGGGAAGTCTCCTGTGGTCGGCCATTTCACGCTTTTCGTCCGTGCACCCGTAGCAAAGACTCCGTTCGACTGCAACGACCTGTCCCGCCATTACAGTTCAGTTACGCGGAGCCTGTTCGTCACTGTGATTAGTGCGTAAAAGGGGTAAAGGTTACCTCAGGCGTTGTTGGAAATGGGTAATGTAATCCACGGCCGACCTAATAGCCCCACCAGAACGCTCCGAATCCTGGCTAAAATCGGTTAATCAGGGGGGCAGAATCCAATACACCCCCTGCAATATTAAGCAGGGCCAAATCAAATCGTTCAACGTAACAGCGAAGCTATTATCCTCCACGCGCGTGCTTCGGGAACAACCTCACGCGTCGATAATCGCCATTTGGTCATAAACGGTCCCAATTCGAAGAGGATTCGCTTACAGAATGAATAATCTCTATGAATATAAATAGGTTGGAAACACAGATTGGATTGCAATGCCTTGACAGAACATCTTCTCGGAATATCCTCTTCGTTATCATAATCTCTCTTTCTCTACTAGATATCTTCATGGCCAACGAGAAGATGATAGATCACATTATATCAATCAATCAATCAATAATATTATTCCTGATGGAGCTTCCTCTATATACAAGGTGCTATGCAGGGATTTGCGCCTTCTAGTGCCAGCCTAGTGCGCATAAAAAGTTGCTATCAAGGCAAGGGCTAGCGTAACGCTAGAACGAACAGATGAAATCGAAAGACAAAGGAAAGATAAACGAAAGAAGGGATCCGCCTCCGCGGCTAGTCCCGCGTGTCCTAGCGGAGCCGAGTGCACCAACTATATGCACTAGTAGCCTTAGCAAAAATACCTGTTAACAAGTTAAGCAGCTTCCAACATACAACCCCTACACAGCTTTCCTATATACGGGCGGAGAACTACCGGCCTTATCTTGCAGAGTGATAATAAGGTAGAACTACACCGCCCGCCTTATCCCGTAGATTGATAATAAGGTTATATGTCGAGAAGGAAGACTGCATAATACGGGCGAGACCCACATATCTCTATGCGCGTCAGGATATTACAGGGATACTCGATTTGCTACGTGTTTTGTATGGTATCCCGGGTATACTCGGAACCCAGCGCCGTAACACGCTAGACAGCGAGGTAGGGGATATTCAACATTCCCCCGCCCATACACTTAGATAGTTCAGTCACCCAATACATCACTATATTGAGCATCTCGTTCCATTGGATCCTAGCTTTCCTAGCCGATACCGTATCCTACTATATTGACATTATATAGTAGCAGAATCTTACCGCCCGACCTCCGTATCTCCCGTATTACAACTCCTATATCCTATATACACTAGTCCGTATACACTATCCTACTTTTACAGACCCCACCCCTAGACTGCTAAAAATGGACACGCCTGAACCAATGGATTCTGCAACAAGGCGGTGTCGGGAACCTTGCTAGCTAACGAGGGCAAGGACGAACTCAGGCAATAACACCTGAGGTCACGTGACATCATAGCTAGGGCTATGATCGGAACATAGCCTAGGATAGGCCCCGAGCATATCCTAGGATATGAAGGACTGGATATATAAGGACGCTTATTCACCTATTTATATTTAGTTCTTCGCGTTAATTTATATATTATTACTTATAGTTATATTTAAGCTTAACAATCGACTATCTTTAGTAACGTAGTAACCCTATAGTATAATATAAGGATATACACTATAACTAGGAGGAACACTTAGTAGTTATCACATAACTACTTCGTCGACTGACTAGGCGCCCTTCAACTGTATACGTCTTCGGTCTACTCTATAGATCCGAGTGTCATATAATATTGCAACATGAGGCTATTCCTAACTCCATACCTTAGGTGTTAGTTCGACACCTTATCGGTCAGGCTTCATAATAACAGTCCCACTTCTCCCTAACATAGATACATGACCTATAAGGCCCTAAGGGTTCGGTGCCCTTCCATTAGGGATTCGTGAACCCCTCTTCCCTATAGCCTTTGCTTACCTCTGTTACGTGGGGGCTACGTCAGACCGTATATTGTAATTTGATCTATTGTCTTTGCTTTAGTTATATAGGAAAGTGTTGAAGCTTGTACATAAATTGAGGATTATAGAGAGATCTATGATAGCAAGAAACAGTGTTTTGCTTTCCTTACTTGACGTTTTATCTTCCTACCTAGTCGACAGGCTTTCTACCCTGTACAAGTAGTTATTCCCTAACACCGAGCCCGTGTAAGGCCAGAGCAGGCAACGGTACGATTGCGAGATAGATCGTCGGAGATTACGAGAGAGGTACGTTACGATAACGCACATTTTACGTTAACCAGTTAGTAGCGCGTAACACATGAGCGTGAACACTAAGTCTTGGTCGACGGCCGTACATTGTGAGAGTTGTTTGGTTGGACTGAAACCTCCAAGCCAGCTGATAAATCTGCCTGCGCTGCTTCTGCAATCTGCGAAAAAAAATACAGCCAACGATGTTGGAATAGGGCCTATAACGAAGTTAGGCCCTTAGATGCTAGATTACTAAGATTACCAAAATATGCCTAGGCTAGATAGCCGAATGGGGTATAGTCTACCCGTAGGAGCTAGCCTTGGCAAAACCCGCCTTCCTTCCCCTCACCGCCTCCCTGCTCGATGGGCAAAAATACTATATTTGGCGTGTTGTGGGAGGGGGTTCGGACCCTCCTACGTTTAGCTCCCGCTCTGTACACAACGTCGCCCGCCGAGTCCTCATATTTTCAAACTTCCTATCAATATATATCACCGAAAGCAGCCAGAGCAAATATTTTGTGACTAGTGGGCCTACGTACACTTGATCCGGTAAGCGGTTTTAGATATATATCACGCCTCGATATGCTTAGTTACTGTCGTTTTCGCTCGAATTTTCTCCCACTCTAGCCGCGTACGAATCTATAGACCGTTTGAGTGGGTTGAGTGGGTCAACTGAACTACATTACACGTCAATAACACTGATACTAGGACTACTCATTACACCCTCATTCGATACCTCGATCCCTAGCAATTGGCTACTCTATAAGATTGACCATAGCTGCGTATAGGGAAGAACGAGTCGCGACGTGCCGCGACCATCCCTCAACTGTCCGCATAGCTGTGAGAGGAGATTAACTCAGGTCTCATATTTTAAGAATTTGAAAGATGAGTGATGATGTCTCTGCCACGCCGAAAAAGACTCGTTCCAGCAAGCCTAAAGTACGTACCGGCTGCATCACTTGCAAGTGAGTGAGATGTAAATTGGGACAATTATTTCCAGTCAAAATTCCTAATGTCATCCAGGGCAAGGCGAGTCAAATGCGACGAGACTAAACCGGCATGTGTCCGGTATGACAACCATCGCGCTCCCCCGATAATCTGTTCCATCTGCCTGACGCACTTTTAGATGTACGACCACTGGTAGACGTTGCGACGGTTATGCTCCTCTGAAAACCTCCTTTCCAGAATACAAAGCTTTGGCTCCGGCCCGCACGACTGATGCATCTGATACAACTGGATCTTCTTCCAGCAGCGCATCGAGAACCACACAGACAGCACAACTAGTAATTAGGATCAGACCTGAATATCGCTCGCTGGCCCCGCTAGCGGACCCCAGTCAGGCTGACCTGACTCCCAAGGAGCGATGGTTTCTCGTGTTTTTCCGCCACGTCACTGCGCGAACCAACGCAAAATTCTTCGGTGAGGAGTTCTGGGGACGGCTGGTTCACCAGGCGAGCGAGGTCCAGCCTGCTGTCCGCCATTCTGCCATTGGCATCAGCGCTCTCCACTGGGACAGTCTCGCGAAATATCACTCTGTACGTGGCGATCAAGACCCTTCGTTTGCTCTTCATCAATGTAGCAAAGCATTCGCGTATCTGCAAGCGAATTTTGGAGCTAGTGTATCCAGACGGCAACGAATGGAAGCGGTGTTGATCTCATGCGGCATATTGCTCTCGTTCGCTTTTGGCCAAGGTGATGCTCGTGCTTGTGGATGCCACATCCGTTCTGGGCTTGGTTTGCTCCATGGATGGCAGAGGCTTCAAATGGACAACAGTCCCGTTGGGCTTGTTATTTTGAAGAGTTTTAGTCAGCTACATCTGGATTGGCTTCCTCTAGTCGGGCCCGATGGGGGATTGGAGAATTATTCGTATCCCTTGCACCTTGCCGTGAACTATCAGCCTAACATCGTGGTTGAGACACCCGAAGACGCGTGCGGCATCTTGCTCATTCTCGGATGGTTGACCTTGCAGATGAAACCACAGCGACTCCCGGGCCAGCCTGTTGCCTGCGCTTCTTCTGCGCTATTGCAACGTCTTGATCATTGGAAAGCTTTGATCTTGAATAGAAGCGGCGCATTGTCCCAACAAAACCGTGAAACCATAGCCATTCTAGACGTATGGCGCGAGGTTGTCCTTATCAAATTCCTCACCGATGGCCGACTTGAAGAAGGAGAGATGAGATATGACGATCATTTGCCCCACTTTGAACGCACGGTGGAATTAGGAAGATATTTGACCAACGGAGCTTTATCAAGTTCTTGGGCTTGGTCAGCTATCGTGACACCCTTGTTCTTCTGTGCATTTAAATGCCGTGACTGGACCACTAGGAGAGAGGCACTTGATGTGCTACTCGCTTGGAGACATGAGCAAGGTATCTGGTCGCTTTCGGGGCCTGCCCTAGTGCTGAAACGCTTGATAGAGATCGAGTCTAAGGATTACAAATCACATGAGGTCATCGCGGAGGTATCGCGCATTGATGCAGTCCACGTCGACTTTCCATCAGGCAACACAAAACATGTTCGCTTTTGGTATCGCAAGCCGGCCCCTTCGGATCAAATCTGTGTTTGCGATGCCGCCCAGGTATGGAATAATCACCTTATTCCATACTGAAACGGCAGCTTTTAGAGATCGGAAGGCCAAAATTCGACTTGAAAAAATCTATTTGTGCATAAGTTTCAGTCGCTAAAAGTCCGTATCAAGTGTCCAAACACTGAAATTGGTTTCCCACCTGGTGATACTAAAACCGAGAGTGGTCTCTCTGTAGATGGAGCGGTCGTAGCCCCAGAAGGGAAAGGTCGAAAGTAGGTCTGACAATGAGTGTCAGACAACCACAATGGAAGATTTTACTCGGCTACCGATTCGAGATGAGGCAACTAGAGTAGGCTCCCCACCATAATCGAAGCAACGAGCTCCGAGAACTCAATACCCATGATCCAACTGGATGGCACATGCTTACAGATACCCCGAACCATCAATCAGATATTCAGACTTAATCGGGAATTTCAGACGCTGATTACGAATGAGGCAGAGTATGATTCTCGGTCAATCAACATTAGGACGCCAACATTGAGACGCGATGAAACATACCACCCTGATCCAGCACCGAAGTTGAAGTACTGAAATTTGCTCGTGGGTTCAAGTTGCAACCAGTTGACTTGTGAAGCTTAAAGTTAACCATTGGACTACGCTTGGTAGCTTGGTAGGATTTGGAAAACTAAATCATTCTCGCGAAATAGCACTGCTGCATTTCGGCTACCTGGTGTTTGACTACAATGCAATTGATGTCATTCGCCACAGTGACTCACTTTTTCTTGCAGTAAATGTTCTCCGACTGCATTTTCTTAAGCCAGGTTGATCACGACCCCCGGCAGAAAGCGTCGGAATTTATACTTCCTCATATGGCTGATTGTCTCAAGCCAGCGTCTTTGCTCACGAGTTGGCTGGCCCTCTTCCGCACCATCACTACTGATGATTGCCCGTTAAGTACTCGTCTTGTAGTACGTGCAAAGCTCTGTTTCTCGTAAGCGGCACTGATGCCGTTGTCGCTTCGTGGAAGTTCGCGACTATCGGTATCATCCTTTAGCCTGAATGGGCCCAATTGCCGCCGTGATGATAGCAAGCACTTGAGCTGCGATGAAATCAAGGGAAGGAGAATTAGCGAGAATCTGTGCAGCGGCTATGGGATTTTCCGGGGTGCACACTGTTCCATGATGCGTAGCCAAACTCTTACAATCCACGGAAAGGGAAGTTCGGTCAAGTATTTCGGTCCATTGTGGCAATCAATACGATATCACACCCGGGAAAGTCTATGGATCTTCGCTCTACATCTAGTCAGCGGTCTATCAACAGGTTGCTGGAGGTCCGCAATTCTTCTGATCCAATTATTATAGGGGTTCTCGCGGGTGCTTAGCCTAAATAGGGACGCTAGCTAGCTTGCTAGAGCGATATTCTAGCTTACTAGAAAATCTTCCTCCTCCCTCTTCTTCTCCTCTATTATTTTATTTAAGTTCGGAATCTTTTATATTCTATCTTCTACTATATCGGAGCTAAATTTAAGCTCGATAGCTCCTATTATAGAGGTAGAAGAGTAGGATTTATTATTACCCTTATTTCTTTATATTCTCTCTAAATTCCGGATAATCTTTTATACGGCCTATAGTAGCTACTAGCTACTATACTCAATGGAGTCTCTCCCGGTATCTACTAGATAAATATTATCTCTCTTCTTCTTCAAGATAAAAGATTATATCTTTACACGAATTGGATAATCTTATAACCTCTTATACCGACGTGTTACGCGCTGCTAACTGGTTAACGTAAACTATAAGTTATCGTAACGTACCTCTCTCGTTATCCCCGACGATCTATCTCGTAATCGTACTATTGCCTACTCTGGCCTTATATAGGCTCGGATCTATAGAGTAGACTAAAGAAGTATATAGTTAAAGGGCGCCTAGTTAGTTAACGAAGTAGTTATAAGATAACTACTAAGTATTCCTCCTAGTCATAGTGTATATCCTTATATTATACTATAGGAGTACTATATTACTAAAGATAGTCGATTATCAAGCTTAAATATAACTATAAGTAATAATAAGGTAAATAAGCGTCCTTATATATCTAGTCCTTTATATCCTAGGATATACTTAGGGCCTATCCTAGGCTATATTCCGATTATAGCCCTAGCTATAATGTTACGTAACCTTAGGTATTATTACCTGAGTTTATCCTTGCCCTGCTAGCTAGAAAGCTTCCCGACACTGCCTTGTTGTAGAATCTATTAGTTCAGGCGTGTCCATTTTTAACATCCTAGGGGTAGGTTCTGTAACACTATAGCGAGAACCTCCGATAGTAATGTCATATGATATTGCAACATGAAGCTATTCCCAACTAGACATCGCCAAAGCCCACGGCCCAACCCGCATAGGCTTTGGGCCCGACACCCCGGGCCCGAGCCCAACCCAAAGCCCACTATGGGCCCGGGCTCCGGGCCCACGAAAGCCTATAAAAGCCTATTTTTGCATAAAAGCAAGGTCTTAGCGTTCATAAAATAGCTTACTTATCAGAATTATATACTATATATTTTATGTAGTTACGAAATAATACTATATTTGCTTTTTCTAGAGCCCACAAAAAGCCTATAGGCCCACTATAGGCCTAAAGGCTAAGCCCACAGCCCACCGTGGGCCTAAGGACCGGGCCCAAAGCCCAACCTATTCGTGGGTTGGGTTGGGTTGGGCTCGGGCCCTTGTGGGCTTTGGCGATGTCTATTCCCAAGTTCACGCCTCAGGTATCAGTTCGACACCTTATCGGTCAGGCTTCGTAATAACAGCCCTACTTCTCCCTAACATAGATGCATAACCTACAAGGCCTTAAGGGTTCGGTGCCCTTCTATTAGGGATTCGTGAACCCCTCTTCCCTATAGCCTTTGCTTACCTCTGTTATATATAGGCTACGTTAGACCGTATATTATAATGTAATCTATCGTCTTTACCTTGGTTATATAGGAAGGTGTTGAAACCTATATATAAATTAAGGACTATAGAGAGATCTATGATAGTAAGAAATAGTGCTTTGCTTTCCTTACTTGACGTTTATCTTCCTACCTAGTCGACAGGCCTTCTACCCTGTACAAGTAGTTATTCCCTGTCATATGATATTGCAACATGAAGCTATTCCTAACTTCACGCCTCAGGTATTAACTCGACACCTTATCGGTCAGGCTTCGTTATGACAGCCCTACGTCTCCCTAACAAGGATATATAACCTATAAGACCCTAAGGGTTCGGTGCCCTTCTATTAGGGATTCGTGGACCCCTCTTCTCTATAGCCTTTGCTTATCTCTGATATATAGGGGCTACGTTAGACTGTATATTATAATATAATCTATTGTCTTTACTTAGTTATATAGGAAAAGTGTTGAAGCTTATATATAAATTAAGGATTATAGAGAGATCTATAATAGTAAGAAATAGTATTTTGCTTTCCTTACTTAATATTTATCTTTCTACCTAGTCGATAGGCTTTCTACCCTATATAAGTAGTTATTCTCTAATAATTTCTATTTCTTCTATTTTTAATTACCTAGGAAGATAGCGCTAAGAACTCGCTCTACTCCTTCGACGGAAGAAACGGCTAACCCTCTAAGCCTACCTATAGAGTAATAGATAGTACTAACTAACCTTAATACTAGACTCTAAGCAACCTAAGATACTATTAAAAAACTATAGAAGCTTAAAGAGCTATAGGAGTAAGTAGAGATTCTAAAATCTTAGATTATACTATAGAGTAATTAAGAATCCTCTATAAATCCTAGCCGAAACCCCTACGAATCCTTAGATAGGGAAATTAAATTTAAAGACCTTCTAAAATTTATACTTAATTCCTTACTTTAATAATATTAGGAGTAGCTCCTTAACCTATAATAAATATTTAAAGAAGCCTCTAAGAAATATTATAATAACCGAACTCGGATCCTAGGAGCGATTAGCTATATAGATTAAATATATAGGTAGAGATAGTATCGATATATCGAAGAAAAGGCTCCGACCTCCTAATAAAATATAAAGGAAGATTAGCCCTACTTCGAGGAGTAGACCCTTACTCTAATTAAAAACGCTATAAGCTTAGAATCGGAAGTAATAGGATAGCTAGAAAAGGTTTTTTAGTAAAGAGATAAGAATCCTAGAGAGTTCTATATACAACTAGATACTCTCGAATAGTATTTTCTATAGTCGGCTAAGAAAGAAAGAGTACTTTCCTACTTTGCTAAGCTATAGTATAACCTATAAATAACTATTCGGCGATACGTAATTAAACTTCTAGAATCCTATAAAGATATAATTAATATTACCTACTACTTCTAGGATCTAGAAAAATTAGAATAGATACGTAAAAGGAAATAAACTAATAACTTAACGAAACCCTTATAAAAATAATTAATATCTTCCGCGGTCTATAAATCTATAGTTAAAAGAGAAGATTCCCGAGATAAGAGAACCTAAAACGATAAATCTAAAGGATTACCCCTATAAGGAAGACTTAATTATATTAGGGAAGACGGAAAACGAACCCGATATTTTAAATACGGAAGCGAAGAGTACTACTTACCCTACTACCCTAGGGCTTAAGACCCTAAACTAGTAATAATTTAGGCGGTATAGTAGGGAAAAGTCCTAGAGATAGAGTAGACCCTACGTCTTTATCTCTATCTCCCTTAGTAGGGACCTAAACTCGATTTTATATTTCGATTACTATCTAAAATAATATTAAAATCTACGCGGATCTAGATAGTAGAGTAGAAGTTAATCTTATTAGCTATATATTCGTTAAAACCTATTAGTTAGAAGCGACTAAGCTTACTAAGCCTCTAATTTATATAGTTAACTAATATAGAATACCTACCTATAGCGTATAGAACGTCCTACTAACTACTACTAATTTAAGGGGGATAACCTACCGATTTAACTATATATATATAGCTATTAACCGAGACCTACGACTTAGCGGGAGCCTACTACTCCTATTAATAACTACTATCTACGACCTTAATATCTACCTTATAGGAAGAAGCGGTCTTTAGTAGTTCGGAACCTCTTTAGTTAAGATAC